CGAACCCTGGGAGGTAGCACAGGTGGGTTGCGGTTAAACGTCGGGAAAGTCCTAAAGTCGGGTTATTGTGGTACCCCGACGGGGTGCCCTCCAGTGATAAATCATGCCTGCGCTTGACTATTTCCCGATACGTTACCCTACACCCACTCCTATTGGTCCAAATTCAAGCCTCAATTAACCCCTATCCCTTTAAGGGGTATAAAAATGCCAAAAACATGAACGGTACACCAAAGGCCGTTATAAAAAGTCAAGGGAAGTATGTATCACGATATTCACAATTTATCGAACAATGTTATTGACTCGGCTAGTTATAAACAAAAAGGTTTATTCGTCACAAAGACGGGCGGCTTAGGAGACAATGCCTTCGCTCAAGATGTCCAAGTGATTGATGCAACTACATTTGAAAGAAGTCGAAAATATGAAATATATAAAATATAATGCTATATATCTAATATTTTTATTCAGTTTTTTTTCTATAAAGTCTAGTAAGTTTACCTCTTTATTTGTTGAAAACCAATCCAATCTTCTAGTTCGAAAGTAATTAGAAAAATATGGCATATGTTGGAATACTTCGGCCGGTGATCCCGGGTCCTTTCAAGGCGAACAGATCGATTATTCAACCTCAACCAGGTCCTGGAGGGCGGATGAATACACCTCAGCACATAGCGACGGGAGGGCCAGTGGTTCAGCCTGACGTTGATGAGCCCCTCACAGAATTCGGGGACTATGAGCAAATCATATACAGCCGAGAAGTAGACAAGGATCCCTATCGTTCTCACTTTTCCGGATTTAACGCCCCAGCCAGTCGTGGTTCTATAGGCGGCGGACTCGGAGGGTTTAGCTCTGGCGGTTCCGGCAATGGTGGTTTTGGTCATGGTGGCCCTAGCGGTTCTGGTTCATTCAGCGGTCCTAGTGGTGGTAGTGGGCCAGGTAATATCAACCCGAATAACTTCATCGATGACGATAACCCCCCTCTTCCTCCAGGCCCAAATCGTATAACGGTTGGTCTTGAAATTGAGTTTGCGCTCGCTGTAACAAGACGCTTCCAAGGCTTACAGGATCCCCATCCGAATGATGGGCGGTGGCAGAGTGTGAACCTCGTAAACGAAAAAGACAATAATCCGCTTTTCCGCCTTTCACTCCGTAATTTGGTAATAGACACGTTAAGACGAAACGGAGTGGTAGCAAATAAGACACAGGAAGACGAATTCGATATTTTCGATGACCAAAGTTGGCTATTTGACCTCAACGACGGTCCTGAATGCCCAAATTTAACGATCCTTAACTATTGGCAACCATATTACGAATGGGACCAGCGGAAAAGTCTGCAAGATAACTGCGTTTCGGCCGCTCAGGTGATGAGCGCCCAGTTCATTAAATTCCACAACGATAATAGTCTCGAATTTCATAGAACGAGGGACGAAACCTTAGAAGAATTTGCAGATAAGAAACTTCCACTCTTCATAGAGGGTCTAGCTTACCAAGAACATCCTGATATTGGGAAGATTAACGAGGAGATAGCACGTCTCTGGCTGGAGATTCTTGAGAATGAACGAAAGCGATTTGAAGAGAGTGAAGGGAAGTTCGTTGACAGTAATTGTGTCCAGATTCCTGGGGCAGATCCGAAGTATTATGCGTGGACATGTTCCGTCGATGAAAGCATAGCAATAGACTCGGTAATTCCGCGGCACTATGTAATCCCAAATGACTCGCTTCTACCTCCAGCCGATCCCAATTTTCGGCTTATACCACTGCCGCCGGGACTATACAAATGGTGGCCAGGAGAATTAAAATCACCTATATACGACTACGACAATCCAGCGACTTTAGAAACTATCCGCAAAGCAGTAAGTATTTTAAGAAAACTGATATCGGGCATCCCATCTCCCCTATCTTCAAGAAATTGGTGGCTAACTTGTTACTGCAGTGTGCCGCTCTTCGAAATACTTACCGGATTCATAAACCAATGTCAGCTTTTGGTACAGGATTACACGTCCATTTTGGACAGGAAAGAGGTTGGACACTTTTACAGCTTAAGAAGGTATTATCTCTCTTATTTTTACTATTTGGATTTTTTATATTTCAAGTTGCTATCGCTTTCGAGCCCTTAGGCTCAGAGTTGGAAAAATATGAAGAAAGGCTCGCCTCAACGCATTTCAACAAAACGAACCAATGCTAACCAGATACGTTTTATAGTTTACAACGCTTTGGTTGCTCCTGGAGCAATCCCTCGAGAAGCTACACCGAAAAGATCGCTCGCATTACAATGCATTCGCCTGTCCATTAAGGAGTAGATGCCCAATTAGTCACGCACTCTTTGGGAACGGTCAAATGGCAATTCAAAATAGACAACGCCTCCCAGATACGAGAAACAGAAACCCGCAGCGATCATATGAGTACAAGCAACTCATGAACATGCATGTGCCTTTTGACCTCCCAGCGAGCAATGACTTTACCCAGGCGGTACGAGAAATCATTGCCGAGGTTTGGCAGTACGATACCATCTCTGGTTTGAACGATGGGATGACCAGTTATAGGGACTACGGATACGTTATGTATCGTCTCAGGGGCCACAAGATCACGACGGGTGCTGACAATGCTATGCAGACACTTGAGGTGAGGCTTATGCAGGGTACATTTGGTATGTTAAGTCGAAAGTTCTCTTTCCCCTTCTCTTTTCTAAAGAATAAACCGCTAACTCTTGCTATTATTACAGACGCTGACCACATCTGGAGGTGGATGAGTATCTGTCAGGGCATGATTAGATTTTCTAGGGACTCAACCCCCCAACAATTCAACAATGGACTGCGGCATATGCTCTTATCTACGGAACATCCTGGACGTGTCATGAATATACCAGTAGACTATTTCAACTGGTTTAACAACCACAAGGATGCTAATGGATACTTCAGATACCCTGATGATGACGTAGTAAACGTAAGTAACACCTTGTTCCTTTCCCCTTTCCTTTTTAGACGGTCTCAGGGATGAGGATTTTCTCATGCTTTGGGAACGTTCAAGCCCCCTCACTCTTTTCCCTTCCTTAAAAGAGATTGCTAACCCTTATTTTCTTTTAGTGGGCTGATCCTTTCATGGTCCCCGGATATGCCGATGTGTACACCGGCCTCAGTAGCCTATAAGTACCTACCTAGGTAAGTTCTACAGTGAAGAGAAAGGGGACGGAGAGTTAGACTCTAGTAGATATCTGTAAGTATGAGTAGATTGCTCGTAGATAAAGATCACCTTGATAAATACAATTCCGTCTCGTTGACCAACCTAGTCGGATCGGTTGAAGGACCGGTAGCAGCAGTAGAAGGTGCTTGGCTAGGCAATTAAACACTGTACCTACCGTATCACCACTATTTTGAGTGATAGCGGTAAATTAACCGGCCACGACGCATTGAGCAATCTCAAGGTTAGGTACCCTCCGCACATCAAATCGTAGCAAGTAGTATTGAAAAGAGAGGTCTAGGCCAATTCATGCGTAAGTGGACAGTCTGAGGATATCTTGTTAAATTGTGTATCCCTTTGAGGATATCGTTCGCTAGTAATAGTCGGCAGCAAGTTATAACATCAATGTATGCACGGAGAACAATATAATGTCACGATCTTTTGCCTGTATTAGTTATGAGCATTGATGGTACACAGGCCGAACCATCCAACCCAACGCCGAACTAGCCGAACCATTTTGCTTCCGAATCATGTCGTAGCCGGGCTTCGGCACTAGAGAAGCAAGTATATACCCCACCCTTCAAACCTTCAGCCACAAACTCAGCACGCCTTTCGCGTACTCGACGATCTCGTCGCCGCCGAGCTTCGACTCGCCGTACAAGCGGTCGACGAAGGAGATGGGGACCTCGGCGACGGAGAAGCCCATGGCCTTGGCGCGCACCATCATCTCCATCTGGAAGGTGTACCCTTTGCTCTCGGTGCTCTCGATGACCTTCTGCAGCACGGCCTTCTTGTAGAGCCGGAAGCTGCCGGTCAGGTCGCTGACGCCGGGGCGCAGGACGGTGTCGGCGAACAGGTTGGCGCCGCGGCTGACGAACTTGCGCTTGAGGTCCCAGCCGTACACGCCGCCGTCGCCGGCGTACCGCGTGCCCGTGACGATGTCGAAGTTGCCGGCGCGCTGGCGCGCGATCATGCGCGGGATGAACTTGGGGTGGTGGCTGAAGTCCGCGTCCATGATGATCACGAAGTTGCCCGTCGCGAACTGCAGGCCGTGCACGTACGCCGTGCCCAGCCCCAGCTTGCCCGTGCGCGTCTTCAGCACGACGTGCGGCGCGTACGCCTTCACCAGCTGCTCCGCTACCACCTGTGTTCCGTCCGGCGAGCCGTCGTCGACGATTATGAGTTCCCAGTCGAGGTTGCTATGAAACCGGTATGGTTAGCCTTTTTGTCTCACTAGATGAGACAACAGATATTATGGAGAACACAAGGGCTTTGTTAGACATACTTCTCGGTGAAGGTTCGGTTGAGCAACCAGGTGACGATGGGAAGATTGCGGCGCTCATTGTATGTCGGTAGGATGACCGAGTACTTGTCGTTCGTCGCAGCCGCCTTCTTCGGAGCCATTGTTATCGTATTTGTAGAATTTGAGACGGGTAGATCGAAACGAAATAATTGAGTTCAATATCGACCGAGGATTACGTCGAAAGTAGGTTGCGGGTATAGGTGAAAGGAGTGAACTGGAGTTGGCAATCGGCCGTCGGTCGTCGCGTAGCTTGGACAATTAAATTGGAGACTTGAATTGAACACGCTGCGACGTGACAACTTTAAACATTATAGTGGGTCACGGGGGAGCTGGTCATATGACTAAGCAGATCTAGCCCCTTTTTACCCCTTTTTGGTGTAACCTCTATTACAATCACTAAATACTGATTAGTTGCCTATTTGAGCGAATAAAGTCACCAATCTCTCGGTCCCCAAGCTATAAACTGATTAACGATCAGAATTCAATTTTTGAACGAGGGAATACTTTTGGAAGCAAATTAGGACGAAAATTAGTATCAGTATATGATGAGATAATCAATTTAATGCAGTCCCTAAATCTTGTTTCTAAATCAGGGCACTACCAATAGCTACGTAGGCTGATAGGTTATAAAGTCGAAGCCGAAAGCAAAGAAAACAGGTTGGCAACACCTAGGAAATCTAGCATCTAACCCAGACAAATCTATACGGGGCTCCCATCCTTCCTCTCCCTCGTGCTAGCGCGCGTGTCTACGGTGTGGTTCTTCCCGATGCTCCGCCAGCTCTTCAGACTGCTAAAACTAAACGTGTGGTGGAACTTGCGGCCACCCTCCTCGCTGCCCTGGGAGAAAGCACCCCGTACCACCGCCGCGTCCTCAAGCAGTCTAAATTGGCGCTTAGTCAACTTCCACAGTTCCATACCGGCAACGAATATAATAGTCGCGGCAAAAACCAGGCTCCACTCCCAACTGATAGCCGTGTGCTTGAAGACATTCGTGTTGACCACGGGAATGTAGACGACAGGGAACACGCTGACGGCGCCTAGGACCACGGCCCAGAAGAGGAACCTGTTTTCGTAGACGTCCTTAAACAGCGGGAACTTGGAGTCGTCGTCCGGCTTCAGCCGGAACATCGACCGGCGGATATCCTTGAACTCCCAGGCGCTGACAAGAATCAGCCACGTCAGCTCCGCGAACACGGTAGCCCGCGCGCGGAACACGGGCTCGCATTCGGGCGAGAACGCGCGGTTACAGTCGACGCCCAGCTGCCCGTCGTTCACGCCGTAGATGATGATGACGAAGGTCATGAGCGACAGCGTGCCCATGAGCAACCCGTAGACGAGCATGTCGACCAGGATCTGGTTCGTGAAGACGCCGCGCTTGCGGTCGTGCGGCGGCTTCCGCATCACGTCGCGCGAGGCCTGCTCGCGGCCCAGGCCGAAAGCGGGGAATGACGAGGTCAGCATGTTGATCCAGAGGATCTCGAGGGGCGAGATCGGGAAGACGGAAAAGCCGGATTGGTCCTGGAACCCGAGACCGCAGATGAGGAGGATGACTTCGCCCACGTTGGAGGTGAGCAGGTGCAGGATGAACTTCTGGATGTTGTCGAACATGCGCCGGCCCTCGCGGATAGCGGCAACGATGGAGTTGAACTTGTCGTCTGTTAACACGATCTTCGCTGCGGATTTGGCTACATCGGATCCGGAGCCCATTGCGATGCCAACGTCGGCGCGGGATAGAGATGGTGCATCATTGACGCCATCGCCAGTCATGGCCATAAAAGCGGACCGACGGCGCAGTGCTTCGATCATGCGTGTCTTCGTATCCGGAGCGCAACGAGCAAGCACGAGCGGTAATTCGGGTAAGGCATCGATCTCTGCATCAGAAAGCTTGTCGAAGTCGGTTGCCTTCTGCACGATTACATTGGCGATATCATGACTAAGAACGCTGAGGTTCCTGGGAATAATGCCTACTTCCTTGGCAATGGCTTCGGCGGTCGCAGGGTGGTCACCTGTCAACATATGTACCTACAATGTCAAGGGTTAATATTAGGTAACAGCGGGTACTGAAAATCACTTACTCTTATTCCAGCAGAAGAACATTCGGCAATCGCTGGCGTAGTCTCCTTTCGTGGAGGATCATAGATTCCTGCTAGACCTAGGAGCGTCAGGTCATTCTCAACACGCTTGCGAATATCATCATCGCTCTCGTGATTTTCAGGCGAGGCCTTCTCTTGATACTTCCCTTCCCACGGTCGCGAGGCTACTGCAAGAACACGCTGGCCCTGGCTCGCAAACGTGTCCATCTGTTCCAAAACTCGCACCTTGTATTCATCAGTTAGAGGTTCCTGGGAGCTTCCAATACCGACAGTAGAGCAGAGGTCAAGCACTCGTTCGACGGCTCCCTTGGTAAACACCATGCTATGCTCGATGTTTGGACCGTTGTATATAACCGACATACGCTTGATACCGCTGTCAAAAGGAAATTCGGCAACTTGCTTCCAGCCTTCTGCTTCCTTAACTTTTTTGCCTTTCTGAAAGCGGTGAGCAAATACTTGTAAAGCGATTTCCGTCGGCTCGCCGGTGACTTGCCATTCGGGTCGGCCATCTTTAGGCTCTAGCTCGTGTCTCACTGTAGCCAGATTACAGAGAGCTGCAGAGAGGAGAAAAGCTTCTAGCTCAGAGTTCATAGTAGCTACTTTCTCGTTTCCCTTCTCAGGTTCAGAGCGATGAAGCTTTTCATCTGGCACGTCGAACTTGAGAACGGCGGCACTACGCTCCTGGTCAAAGTCCCGCTTTTCGGACTCTTGGCTCTTATCGTCAAGCTCTGAGAAAGTGACAATACCTTCAGATGGGTCGCTCGGATGTTTCGAGTCCTTTACAGTATAAATCGCCTTGGAGGGAATCCATACTTTCCGAACGATCATAGCCCCTTGAGTCAATGTGCCAGTTTTGTCGGAACAAATGTTGGTAACGCCGCCAAGTGCTTCAAGAGCCGATAAGTCTCTAACAACGACATTGGCTTTTCGCATGACTGTCACGGCAACGACCATGGTTATAGTTAAGACTCTGAACATGAGTATAGTGTTAGCAATGTTCTTTTGTGCACGAATGTGGCAAGAGAACTTACGCAACGAGAGACTCGGGGATAATAGCAATTCCAGTACTGATAGCATAAATGACAACTTCCTTAGGAACATGAAATTCATTGACTGCGAATACGATGACTGCAAGTAAAAGGGCGGATCCGAAAAGCATATAAGCCAATTTCGAGAGCTTAATCTGAAGGGGCGTCCCTTCGGTTAACCCAAGGAATTTACCTACGAAATCATATATACGCCTAGCTAACCCGATAATCGGCTGTCGCTTCCCGTACTTCTTATAATTCATAGAGCGGCCGGCTTTGTGATGCTTCTTCGTGGTTGAAGCAGCAATCTTGCCAACTTCGGTCTGCATGCCGGTGGCAATGACAATGCCTCGACCACGACCTTTCCGAATGGTTGTTGTGCCGTAGGCAACATTAATCCGGTCACCAATTCCCAGCTCTTCATTTTCCAGGTGTTCGACTATCTTTTCGACAGGGACAGATTCGCCGGTAAGGGATTGCTCGTCAGCAGCCAGATTCATTGCTTCAAAAAGACGGACATCGGCAGGAACTGTATCACCCATTTTGAGAATGACGATATCGCCAGGAACAACTTCAGCACTGCGACTGTATTAGCGCCTCTTCTTGAAGTAATAGGCAAGGCGGGTTTACTTAGGGACGACTTGAGTCCTACCGTCACGGAGTACCATAGCGCTAGGGGCGGAGAGGGCTCGGAGAGCATCCATCTTCTTCTCTGCGCCGTACTCTTGGTAGAACCCGATTGAAACATTCAGCACGATGACGGCAAGGAGGACGCCCCCTTCTACCCAATCGTTTACAGCAAAGCTCAATGCCATAGCAAAGAAAAGAACCTAGACCCTCAGGTTAGCCATATATCCATCCCTTTCTTCCTAGTAATAGTAACATACCAAGATCATAGCATTGAATAATTGCTTGAGAAAGATCTTATACCAAGGAATAGCCCCACCAACATCTAATTCGTTAGGAGGGTAAATCTCTTGCAACTGCGTGACCTTTGTAGAGGAAAGGCCTCTTTCCAAATCTGTATCAAGTGCCTTCTCGACATCTTGAGTAGTTAACAGAAATGGATGGCGCTCGAATTGGCCAGCCATCGAAGTAGAGTAGGAGTTTATACGAGTATCCTCGGTTCGGAAACTGGGTCTTCATTAATGATATATTAAGTAAGAATGGTCGTCTATAACATAGGTAGTTTATCAACTTGGAGCAACTGTTGGCTTAGCACGGTTGTCTTCTAGATGATCCTACACTAGATCTCGTGTCTTTCAATACCATCCGAACCTGGGGGTATAGATCTCTTTATAACTTTAGACGAGAGCAAGAAACTCGTTCAGTTGAGGGGTCTACGCCACCAAAGATGCAAATTCTTCAGCGTCCTGTCGTCAGCGCCAAGTAAACTAAGAACACTTATCACGACCATGATGTTCTAGGTATACTTGTGAAGATGATAAGTCACATCGAGTGATGTTTAGTCCCAAATCGAGTAAGCGAGTGTCTACCATTGGTTGAGATGAGTGAAGGAAATAGGTAAAACCCGGATCCCAAGACATGCAAACGTCAGAACTGGCTATCGGTAACAGCATAGAACACGGATGAGGCTCCTAGACAAGAGATAACCGAGGGTTTTCGTGCGAAGTGCTTTCATATAAGGCTTGGTCCCAAGGCCACTGAAGCCTTGGCTTCTCAACACTAAGACTTGGCTCGAGGTATAAGATCATTTTAAGAGGCTCAAGAACTTGCGATTGAGTTGAATGGCGTGCTTGGTGTGGAGCTAGTTGTCGAGTGAAAGGAGTTCTGCACGTGCTAGTCGCGCTAAGTGGTTGTATTCTAGCCACGTGACACGAAGGCCCCTCGCCCTAACTCTTGGCCAAAGTGTCTTGGCGGTAGAATCTCGGTTAATCGGCACCATGTTTTGTTCTGGTCATGTGGTCCGAGCTTTCTTTCCTGTTAGGAGCTCGAGCCACTTTCATCGGAAGTATTTCCCCAATCGCTCTCCAATCTTTTTTTCCTTCGATCAATCATCGATGCATCACATCATGTCTTGCGCATAGTGATCAACATGAATCGACGAGTAAAATTACTTCTTTTCGGCAAGGTGGATTGCAGATCCCCATTCTCCTCCACCTAAGGCGCTCACCCGCTCTGCCCGCCCACCTATCAGACTTTCTGCCATGAGCCTCAGCTGCACGTATACGACACAGTATCCAACGCGGATAGAAATGTCAAGAATATTCCTACGCAAATTTTACAATTCGAAGCGCTACTCAATTGATTGACCTGTGCAGCTGTGGTGCTGTGGATGTTTTTCTTTTGTGTGTAAAGCACATGCAGTTCAAGTTGGTTGGCTGGTTGGGATGACCAGTCAATAAGTCCGACATAGTGGGTGTCATCCCGAGAAGCTGACAAATGGGGGAACGGCTTCGTCAGTCAATACAACAACGTTTGAACTTGCCGGAATCAAGAACATACCAGTGTTTGTTTCGGCCCGCCGTCTACCTTGCCTCTGAGTTGAGTTGAGCAATCCGTAGACGGATAGATGGATGGGTGGGTGGATGGAAGCAAGTAAAACTACCTAACCGCTAGTTGGCTAATTTGGGTTGATTTTATTATTAATACATTGTTGATGTGCCGTACAAATGTCCTGGCTTCCAAGGTATGGTCTGATGGAATGTTGGGTAAATTCTACTTGCTACTTACATATTTAGGGTTGACTGGTCTGACTGGTATGGACGACCAGATCTAGTTACAACTTTGCAACCTCCTGCAGCTTCCCCTCATTGGATCGGATGCAAGTGCTCCTTAGCTCCAGATATTTTCCCCCTTACTCCCCTGCTCCTTGACAGCCCTGGCCGTGGCAGTTGCTATGGGTTGTGTTATGTTTGTGTTCCGGTTGCGTAAGGATCTGGAAGCAAATGTGGAAGCTTCGTCCTCAAATAGTTTTCCCGGTGCCGTCGTGGCTTCTGATTCGTTCGTGCTACTAAACTGTGAGATGGATCAAGAAGCTTGATCGACCTCACCTCGCCTTTTTTTCCAGTTTCTATTTCCTTTTGTCTTTCTTTCATGTCAGCTTCGAGCAGCATCTTAAACACCTCACTATACCCAACAACCATCTTATATCGTAACATTGGATTCCCACGTTTTATAATTCGCATACCCCGTTAACGCCGGATGTCCATATAAATCACCCTACACACTGTGCGCAACCTTTAGCCGGCTCTTCTGACGTCATCAATATGGCCGAGAACAACACCAACGGCATCGAAAAAGGTATTGATTCCATTAATTCTGTATTTTTATGCCATAAATTTTTCATGCGACCTTCACTCAAACTCAATTGGGCTTTTCTGGGGCTTCGCGCGCTTTCCGCGCTGGTGCGACTAGATCGCGACATTGAAGTGGCACAGTGCGCTAACGTTTAGGACCAGTTGCAAATGGTGATGCGACAATTGCCGAGTCGCAACCTAGCATTCCACCAGCTGCTAAAGAACCCGTAGACGCAGGAGACGATTCCACGAAGCCGTCGATTGCGACAGAACCCGCGACTAAGACCGCGACTGACGCTACGACCGGCACTGCAACCGTCGCGCCTAGCTCCGAGCCTGCGGCGCAAACCGATGCTGCCGGTACTCCCACTCTTCCAAAAGAGGAGTTGACCGAAAAGGTCGGCGAAGCTGAGAAGCTAGCTTCGCAACCGGAAAATCCGGCCGATTCTGCGCCCACCCAGACTACCACAGACACTACGACAGCCGGAGCCTCGTCGCTTACTAACGGTGAAACCAAGGAGCTCCCCAAGCCAGTCACCGCTGAAGAAATTCGTGATCAGGATCTGCCGGACGCTGCTCCTACCGAGATGACTGGAGCACTTCCTGTTGATGAACCGGCGGAGAACGCGCCAAAAGTTGATGATGCGCCGAAAGCTGATACCGTTCCAGCAGTTTCCGAGGCTGAAAAGTCGGAAATTAGCACCGGAGATAAGCGCAAGCTTAGTGAGGCATCCAATGATGGTGATGATGCCGCTGAGAAACCTGTGGAAGACGCGCCGGTTGAGAAGAAGCAGAAAACTAACGGAGCTACTACTAACGGCCCGCCTAAGAAAGTCGGTCGACCAAAGAAGGACAAAAAGGAAAAGAAAGCCGCTCCGTCCGTAGGCAGAACTGCAAGGAAAACCCGAAGCCAGGGAGCAGCTGATTGAATGACCTGTGATATCGTCCGAAATATAAAATTCTTCGTCATTCCCTCTTTACCATACATCAATTGGGGTTGCTTTGCTTTCTGTATGTTTATGGAACCAAATGGGGCGGGCGCTGTGTGGGAGTCATGGCTTCTCTGGTCTAAAAAGGCGGAATGTTTTCACGCCCATGCTTTTGTGTACATATTTGACTGCTGAGGATCAAAGAAAACTATTAGATGCAGGACTTTCCTGCTGATTTCGGACTTGTCCTCTCAATGTTAGCGAGCACCAGAGCAGCATTGCGCATTACTGGTGATGTGGACGTCAAGATGTAATATTATACTGGACTGTGGTGAACTGAAGATAAGGTGGAGTGCCTTAGCTTCCCGTGCCCAGCATCTAGAAGATATCAATGGGATAAATCGATAGAATGATCTTGTTGATATGTGTTGGCATTGTGAAAGTTGATGAGAGGTCCTCACTTATGAAATACAGTGAAGCTTCAATGCAGAATGCGTTGCTCTCAACGCCTCTTATTTTAGCTCCGAAGTTCACCTACTAACTGAAGTGACTACACTAGAATATGTGTACCTACATACCTACCTAGGTCTGGTTAAATGCGACGATGAAATATCGAATAGCTGCATATCACTCCATACATAGGTACACTAGATTAGGTAGTTCAATGAGTAACTAATATCGATCTGGTGTCTTATTACCATTCATAATTACTATCGTCAATCTCTTAAGCAATCCATTGCACATGATTAGTACCTGAGTAAATCTAGAAGATATTTAAGTGTTTGACTTCTGGAGACTACGCATAGAACTACGTAAACTTTAGCGACGGAGACCTTGCTAATTTTCAATTACCTACACTGTGAACGGACTACGTACGTATTTTGAGACTCAAGCCACATCTTTAGCGTAGCTTATTATGGTATGCCACATATCGTTTGATGACCTAGTCCTCGCGGACGCCATCTACGTTTTAAGTCTTCATAATAGTGTGCGTATTATCTGACTTGGATAAGCTTGGCTTTGGAAGAGTCAGTCAGTTAAAGTACCTACTATAGGTAGATATCGTAGGAGATGCTACGACTGGCGTGATGGTATCTGGAGTTTCAAGAGTCCTCCAGGACGTGAAGTAGAGTGACGATGGCTTTCTTGAGAGTACTAGATAAAGACAAAAATTGAAGATGATCTATAGAAACGGTAACTGTGGCACCTGGGTAGCTCATTGAGTTGCATCTATAACTATGCCGAAAATTTCTAGGCGACCTCGATCGCTCTCTTCCTACCTGGTGCTGACGCGCTGTGCGACGCGATAGCCCCAGCGCAGTAACTAACACGATAGTGCCAACTCCGGATTCGAGCGCCTCGGATTGATCTTGTGCTGGCACATTTCATCGAGTGGAAACATGCGCACATACTGAGATTAGAAACGGAGGCCGTCAAGATATGGTATGGATGAAGATTGGCACTCGCACTTCTAATCACGAATAATTCATTCTCCTCTGAATGGTTGAACTGGTTAAACTACGGCACGGCACCTCCGTGACGGCGTTGATCATGTGAAACATTCCGGCGTCGAGCTTACCCGCCGGGTCACAAGTCTTATTCAAGAATGTCGTTGGAAAAAGAGACTGAGGCAGCCGGTCATGACGTCCGAACTAACTAACCGCCGTATGTAACTGTAAATGGCGATATTCCGGCCATTTCATTGGTTGTTGTCTGCGGTCTTTAAAAGGTTCGACATTTACGAACTGCCAAGGATGAGGTTCTGTGAATTTCCAAGCCCCATTCCCGACACCCTGGCTTAGGATCGGCGGACCCCTAGTAGTACGTTACAGAAACCGGTCCTTGGTATTTTCTAGAAACTTAAACTCCTTGTATGGTACATGAAGTTATTATATTTGAGATTGTGTTGGATCCAGTTATTGATCGTCGTAGAGATGTGTAACTATACTAAAATTGCAATTGTAATGGCTCTTCGAGTGATGCACATACAGAGGCACATGATAAGTTGTTGGATAATGACATGCTCTCGAGGACAACAATGATGGATGTCTTGCATTAAGTATCTACCTACTAGTAATGGAAAGCTCGTATTCTGGAATGACCCCACTAACTCACCATTAGCACCTATTGGGTTACTTAGATACGCGGCAGTGTTGTCCCTAGTTAATTCTGAACGATGGGCTGGTCAAAAATAGAACATTTGGTTGGGAATTGAATCGCCTAGCCATTCTATTGGATACTGCACCTGGTCGAGACTCTCTTAAGCTTGACTTTGTCCAGGGGTTAAAAGCGGGCCACATGCAAGATACAGTGAATACCTGGTAGATGCATCTAAGCAACTTTATACGTGCTTGGCATAAGAATTATCATTTTCGAATACCATGCACATAGTAAGAAGGCTTAGAAGTTTTGTACACCTATCTGAATCAATTTGAAAGATCATCCAACATAATGCTAGAATCAGCGGGAGATGATCTATATATAAAGTTATAGACAATGCTATGGGAGCACCTGCAACGTCACATGCAATACACGTGGTCATATACTATGTATATATCCGTGCTGCCCGTGATAGGCATGATAGGCTATTGAATTTACAAGCCGTCAAGAACCTTAGAATGAATGCCGAATATTATTATTTGACAATGACAATTCATCTAAATGAAGGCTTATTTTATACAGACCTACCTACATATGAAGTACCTGCTAATGTGAACGGAATCAGAAATAACCGAAATGTTTATCTTGATATGTACCTCAGTACCCAGGTTTGACGTTTCGTTAGATGAATAATTCCAACCATCGAATAATACATACCCTCAAGTACCCCTAAAATTTTCGTAACTTGAGCGCCCGGGTTACCGTTAGCGCAGTTAGTACATCTCGACGTGTCCCAGACGGCGAATGCGACCTTTCGTCATTCTCTCTATGGTCCCCTAGGCCTAGAAGAGATCCCAACAGAAAGTCATCTGTCTTTCTCTAAAAAATTCTCATAACTCGCATCCATCCATAACACTCGCTTTTTCACCCTCCCGAATAATACGTGGGGATACCTTCTTTTCTACGGATATGTATGCACGTGAGCAGTGCATAAGTACTGAATAAGCGGTAACCTGGAACCGACGCCTATCACGCCTATCTAATCTAATACGTTCCGAGGTCGTCTCTCGCCTCGAGCACGTACACCAGTACCGTCGATTCTCTCGAAGCCAACCTACGTAATACAGTCTTCTTTATCCCTTCGACCGTGTAACCTATTCAATCATCGACTCAGAATCGCGGTCGCGTCGCTCGTTTGCGCCCGCTTTGTGTGCCTCCCACCCTCGCTATATTACGATTACAACGACTGCCTTTGTTAGGAGATAATAACTTGTCTTTTACCCGGAAAGAGACTTCCTTCGTGACTTGACTCCCACGAGATCAACATAATCCGAGGATATCTTGCTGATATATCACACATCAACATCTCGGGCGTTTCCTATGCGATTCTAAATACGCCTAAAAGATTGATAACCGTGGGGGCCCCATAAAGGCCAGGAGGTAATCGTTGGGAACCACTTCATCTACTGACCCTATACGGGTCTATACGATAGGATGGATGTCTGGGGTCAAATACGGCACGTAACCTGGAGGCGGGACTTAAATGCGGGCGAAGAGTTGCTCCAGTTGCTGCGGAACCCTTTTAAACAGACGGTAAAGAGACAACCTTATCTGCTTCGATTATAGAGTATAATAACTGACTCTACTCCATATTAGCTTACAGACGGTGCCATATGGTCTGCCTTGGGCACATCGGTAGGATTTACTGCCTTCATAGCTATCGCTTTCTCCTTTCTGCGACCATATAATTCCGTCGTCTACGCACCGAAACTCAAACATGCCGACGAAGAACATGCGCCGCCTCCAATCGGCAAAGGGTATCTGGCATGGCTCCCGCCCTTATGGAAGACGACCGAGAAAGATATGATCAACCACGCTGGCATGGACGCTGCCATATTTATTAGGTTCACTATTATGTGCCGTAACATTTTCCTCGTACTTGGCGTTGTTGGATGTGCTATCCTCTTACCGGTATACTACACGCTTAACAGCGACAAGACAGGCAACCAGAAGTGGTTCATGAGACTCACGCCGTCTAATGTCAGCGACCAGCCTATCTGGGCATTGGTAGTGACGGCCTACCTATTCAACTGCATCATCATCGGATTTCTCTGGTGGAACTATAGGCAAGTTCTACAGCTTAGGCGGTTGTATTTTCAAACCAAGGAATACCAGCAAAGTTTATCTGCACGGACCTTGATGGTCAGTCTTCTCTATTATATAATGCTTAACGATCGTGATGTAATTGACCAGCCTACAGTTGAACGACATCCCAAAGAAGTATGCGAATGATGAAGGCATCGCGAGAATCATCGATGATGTAATCCCCCACGCCTCGTTTGCTAGGACTGCTGCGGCTCGCAATGTTAGGGACTTGCCCAGTTTAATCCAACAGCACGACCATACCGTTCGGAAGCTTGAGAAGGTACTGGCTATATATCTCAAGGATCCTCAAAACCTGCCAGCTGGCCGACCAATGTGCAGACCTTCCAAGAAGGACCCCTCGTTCAGCACTTATCCTAAGGGGCAGAAGGTCGACGCCATCGAATATCTAACTCAACGGATTAGAGAACTTGAAGTTGAAGTCAAAGAGGCGCGAGCGAACATAGACAAGCGCAGTACCTTGTCGTACGGCTTTGCTAGTTATGACGACATCGCTGAAGCTCACAGTATCGCATACGCCCTGCGTAAGAAGAAACCCCAAGGGGCTACGATCGTATTGGCGCCGAAACCAAACGACATTATTTGGGATAATATGCCTCTCACACCGGCGAACCGAAGCTGGAGAAGGATTATTATCAACCTTTGGATTGTGATGCTAACATTAGTCTGGATTGCGCCCAGTGCGATGATTGCTATTTTCTTGGTCAACTTGAGTAATCTCGGATTAGTCTGGCCGGCCTTCCAAGCCCAATTGTCCGCAAATACTGGCTTCTGGTCCATCGTGCAGGGTGTGGCGTCTCCGGCCGTACTGTCTCTTGTCTATCTGGTACTCCCTATCATCTTCCGCCGGCTTTCTATAAGAGCTGGTGACCGCACGAAGACGGGACGCGAGCGCCACGTCGTCGGCAAGCTATATGCTTTCTTCGTCTTCAACAATCTTATCGTCTTCTGTCTCTTCAGCACCATCTGGAATTTGGTTTCTTCCGTTGCCAACGATCCCCAGAAAGCTTGGGACACGCTGTCGGATTTTGGCGTGACCTTATTCGTCTCGCTATGCGACATCTCCTCGTTTTGGGTCACTTGGTTGCTGCAGAGAAACTTGGGTGCCGCCGTCGACTTGGCCCAATTATGGACTCTCATCTACAGCTTCTTCATGCGCAAATTTTCGAGCCCTACGCCTAGAGAGATGATCGAACTTACGGCACCCCCATCCTTTGATTATGCCAGCTACTATAATTACTTCTTGTTTTACTCTACCGTAGCCTTGTGCTTTGCTGGTCTTCAGCCCCTCGTTCTCCCGGCCGCTGCGTTGTACTTTTCCATCGATGTGTGGCTAAAGAAATACCTGCTACTATACATCTTTGTCACGAAGACGGAGTCCGGTGGGATGTTTTGGCGGGTACTGGTCAACCGGTTCATTTTCGGCACTATCCTCTCCAACTTGGTGGTCTTTTTGACAGCTTGGGTGCATGGTGATGGTATCCACACGATGGCCTTCGCATCCGTACCTTTGCCGTTTATCATGGTTTTCTTCAAGATCTACTGCTCCCGAACCTTTGATGCCAAAATCCACTTCTTTTCGACTAGGAACATCCAGAAGCATCCGGAGGGGGCAATGTCTAAGGATCCGTTGCGATCAGTTGGTCTTGCTACTCGGTTCGGCCACCCGGCTCTTTACAAGCCCCTGATCACGCCGATGGTGCACGCGAAGGCCCAGAATATTCTGGCTTCTATATACAAGGGACGCCTGTCGGATGGTCGGGACGCCTATTCGGGAGATACGATGTCCACGTCTGGCTACTCCGACGCCTATATCATGAACCCGATGCACGCCGGCAAGCCTGGAAAGGCGGCACACCTGCCAGGATTCGAAATAGTCCCGGAGTCGAGGCTTGATTTCGAGTATTACAAGACACGCGCCGAATTCGCATCCGAACATGGCGGCGGCGATATTTTCGGTCGCTCCAATGATATCATGCGCCCCGGCACTCCTGGTAGTAGTGCGTGGAATGGCAGCGAACCGAATTCTAGGTCCGGGAGTCCTACAATTCCGAATATTCCTAGGATGGACAGCCCGGGTAGAGTGCTGTCACCTAGCGCGGATATAGGCATGACATACCCGAGTGGCTACAACCAACCGTTAGGTAGTCCCTATGTCGTCGAGACAGGACCCGGTCGTTCGCGTAGCCCATTATACTCGCAAGGGAATGATAGTGCATCTAACTTGGTGGGAAATGCAGCAGCGATGCCCGTCGCCGCGCCTATAAGAGAGCGCAGCGTAGAGCGTCCAGGCAGAGCGCCAGGAGGGGTAGGAATGTTGGGAGGTGGCCCACGGGGATACGGCGGTCTACCTCAAGAAGAAGACTTCGGCCCCGAGCAGCACGATCCCATGCAATATAACTACTTCCGAGAGGCACGGGCTCCGCGCAAATTTTAGTGGGCGGGAAGCTGTAGCTTCTTACGAAGGAGGGGGCGGAGGGGATGACTGTACATACGATCCGGCGTAAGATCATTAAAAAATAACGCGTGGCTTTTGTTTATAGAGGGGGGTTTCCTCCCCAGGCGGCATACCTTGGCGGTGACGGCGTTCTATTTTACTTGCTCTTCGGTTTTCTTTTTCCCCTTTTCCTTTTTTAACATGGCCACGAAGAGGGTTAGTCCTGAAGAAAGGGCGGCCGATGACGAGACATTCCGTTACTGAGTTATAGGCTGTAATAGAAGAAGAGACGCATGATGACGATTTAACTACCGAGTTGAGTTCTCGCGGACGAAGACGGGTTGTCTTTTTGAGAGGACCTCGCTTGTTGTTTTTTAATGGCGATTGTGGTACCTACCTTGTTTATAATATGCGCGCCGCGGGAGTGAGAGAAACGCTCACGAGATCAGGGCCTAAATACCAGGTATTAATATTCAGAACATTTCAGTACTGCGGTCTTATGGATTCGTATGCGAGCGGCTGAGGATGCGATGGGTACCTTAGGTACACGAGGCTTTCGGCTAGGCGCTTTGGTGTGCCTAGGTAGGGGTAGATATGCAACCTCCGTAGTCGTTGTCACTTCTCAGATTCTTAGGAGGCTTGTCGGGGCGTTTTATTGGGTAACTTAGCATGTAGTATTTATCGCCAGCATTTCACGGCATAGACTCTTGTTGGTTGGTTTGAACAGTTGACCTGCGACCTGCAGCCTTTCCCCGCAAGCTGTAGAGCCTGAGCTTTACGTGCAAACGAAAATGCTTGCTTTACATCCAACTTATTGAAGTTTCCTATCTAATAATTTCTAGGCCTCGTCCTTCTGTGGTGAACTTCGGATTTGATTCTAAAGATGCCTAAAGTTTCGTACGACGTGTAAGTCTGTTACCAATCGCGACAATGCACCCGATGCTAATCAATGTGTGTGGTTTATAGCATCGCGGCCTCGAAGCCGTTCAGGTTTCTCGTCGGGCCGGATAAGAAAGAGTGTTTCATGCACGCTAACCTAGTCGCGCGAATGTCTAAGCCCCTATGGACACTAGTGAATGGCAAGTGGAAAGAGAGCGAGGGATGTTTGGTAGATTGGTCCGACGTGGACGAGGAGACCTTCGTTCGGTTCTGCGAATTTTCTTACACGGGCTATTACCAGGCCGCCGAGCCTTTTTCTATAGAGCCCCCTACGCCGACTCCGCCGGAGGGGAAGGAAAGTGGTACGAAGCTGATATCCCTCTAGTACAACATAGTCACTAACACATATTGAAGATAAACGACGTATGGAGACACCGAGTAAAAGTATACCATTGATGATAGAAGAGCCAGCGCCAGAGCTAATGGTAAGGGATTCATGGGGAACCCTTATGAGGCCACCAAAAAAAATCACAACAACCTCCAAGAAAGATGTTATGTTGGATGATTTCAAGAGATATGTTGATGAGGCAGTGCCAGACAGTGCACCCTCGGAAGCATCAAACACAAACCCCTTGATGAACTACTCTGAAGTTTTCTTGTCTCACGCTCGTTTATACGCTTTTGCCGACTGCTACGCTATTGACGACTTGACGAAACTATGTATTCGCAGATTGCACCGTGCATTACTGAATTTCAATCTCCACGGGGGAACGAGGGCGGCCGATGTTGCAAAGCTGATCGACTTTTCGTACAAGAACACGCGGAGTGATACGGTCAAGCAAGACAAGCTGAGGGGCTTACTTTCCGCATACATTGCTTGTCATGTTGAAGAGATCTGGCCTAACCTCTACTTTCGAGATGTTATCGAGTTGGGGGAAGTAGCAAACGATATCATCGGCAAATTACTGAGAAGGTTGGACTAGTCATACCTGCTCCAGGAGCAGACATTGATAGATAGGTTAGGAAGACGCAGTGGGTCAAAAGTTTGCGTGATACTTTACGCGGTCTCGACGACGACTACGTTATTGAGGTCCTAGATGGCAAGCTCTACTAACAATTGTATCAACTTACATCTTCTCATCCTCAACAATTCTTCGCATTATATTAGCATCGTGAAAATTGTGTCTACTGAAAAGAAAATATTTCGTTAATGGTTCATCTACTTTCTATGGATGAGGAGCTGGTCTTCTTCCATCACCTATGAATCTCCTTGGACATGGCGCCAAATACTGGAACCCTTCACTGACGGATAGGTAGCTTTAAATACACATGTGTATGCGCCACGCCAGCGCATAGTAGGCGCGCTCTCGATATTACAGGGGTGCGGATCCCTTAGTATCAGCTGGTATATATGGCCCCTCAAAATCGAAGACCAACCCAGAACGAGACCAGCCACAGAGTAACTCGTCTCTTCAACTTCACTATTTATAACATGCTCATATTTGAAACAACAATGATATGGATCCAGTGAGCGCAATCGGCGTGGCCGCTGCCGCTGTACAGTTCGCCGAAATTGCGATTAAAATTACGAAGCGCATTGCCGTCTTCGCAGTATTGCGCGATGTACCAGAGGACGCCGAGGGGCCTAAGGCTTTTGTAGAGCGCCTGCGCAGCCAGCTTGGCCTTCTCAACACTACCATTAGACGAATCGAGGAAGGGCTCATGGGCTCTAACGAGAGCTTGCAAGACAGCGAATTATTAGAGCTCAGGGATTATATATCGAACCTCAACCGCCACGGCAAGAGACTTGATGGATTGCTCAACAAGTATCTCCCGAACGATGGCGCTTCGGCCCCCGCTAGGCTGCTAGCAGCTCTGAGGAGTATCGCATCTGACACTGAGATCAAGTCCGCGATGGATGGCGTCAACGAGCTACTCCCACTATTGACCACATTCCTTCTCACTTCGATATTCGCGAAAGGCAGTCTCGCTTTTAGCCAGTCTAGGAATATTGGGGTTGAATTGGGCCGTGGTCCTACGCACCCAAGTTTCAGCGCGATCTATCAGGTTTCCCGCCATGAGGTCCGGCATTTTATTGACAGGCCTGACTTATTGACCGAGATCGATCGCATTTTCGGCACTGAGCAGACACAATTGCCTAAGATTGCCATATTACAAGGCATGGGCGGCCAGGGGAAAACACAACTTGCTATCCGGTACTGTGGAAAAGCTCGCCTCCAAAAGAAGTTCCAGTGCATATTATGGGTAGATGCTTCTACTAGGGCCTCGACGGTGCGTGGCCTGGAAGAAATCTCGGAAAACCTCAACGACAGCAATCAGACTTTGTTGGACTCCGACGCTCGGGTGGCATTTGTGAAGCGCAGGTTGACGGCCGCGAATCTATCGTGGCTCCTAATATTCGACAACTACGACAATCCTGCTGCATTCGATCTTCGGGAGTATATACCTAAAGGTACCCTTGGAAATGTACTGATTACTAGTCGAAGTGAGGATCTGGAGAGGGTTGGGCCGGTGATGCGCATTTCCGGCATGACTGAGGACGAGGCAATTAAATTGCTATTCACGCTACTCAATCATGCCGACAACGAAAGGAACCGGACCGCTGCGGCTGACATTGTTAGGCGACTAGGTTATTTACCTCTCGCTATCGACCAAGCCGGCGCATATATGAAGGCTGAAGGTGTCCCCTTGGCAGATTTCCTCCATTGCTATGAGCAATCTGCGAGGGATGTCCTTGAGTCGGTTCCGAATTTATGGGAGTATTATGAATCTACTACCAATGAAAATGGAGAGGGCATGAAAAATACTACGGCGAAAACGGTGTTTACGACATGGAATTTGTCATTCACGTTATTGAAGCCTGATACCTCCGTAGGTGCTTTGATGGTTACCATCCTTTCACTACTAGCATTTTTCGACGAACACGCGATATCAGAAGAATTCTTCGAAGTTTATTACTCCGCAAAGAAGCCTGACCAGCAACCGGAATGGATATCTCTCTTCACCGACGAGGAAGGCCGTTGGTCAAGCAAAAAATTCGACAGTGTGATGAGGACGTTCCTGCGGCTGTCGTTGATTACTTCACTCAACACAGAAAGGGCAGACACCAAATATGCTTTGATATCTCTTCACCCTCTTGTCAAGGATTGGATCAATCTGCGCCAGGAAAAGAGCATCCACAGGGCGAATTTTACGACATTCACGAAGATTCTAGCGGCTAATCTCTCGGCAACATTCTGGGAAGACTCGGTTTTTATTTGGGGGTTTCGAATATCTGTCGATCAACGGCGGCGATTAGCTGAACATATGACACCTTGGATGGATATGTTTAAACGGCATAAATCAGATATGCGGCCTACTATTATCTGTGCAGAGCCTGAGCGGGACTTGACGACTATTACGGCAGAACAACTTATAGCTAAATTCATTTATGATATCGACCAACATGAGAATAGCTATGAACTGTCGCGCTGGCTTTGGGAGTCATGTGACATATCGAATAAACATATGCTGCGAGTCAAGTTCGACGCAGGCAACCAACAAGTCATATCTCTTCGCGCAACGGACGAGGCGAGAGACAAGAGTCGAGAACTTTTGCAATATTGGAACTCAGTACTTGGTGCAGATAGCTCGACAGACTACATGCTTCATGAGAGCCGTCTCGTCTTCGTCACGTCGCTGGTACAAAGTGTCCATGTAGAGGACAAGCAGGAATGCATCGACACCTGCAAGGTCGAATTGGAGAGACTACCGAACGACGAGGAAAATATGCCACTTAGACATCGTTTGTTAACCGAACTCGCATATGCGGCGCATTATTGCTACCAGAAAGATATCTATAAAAAGACGTGTGAAATCATGTTAGACGAGACGGGGAAACGTGGTGGTGACGACTACCGGAAGAAAATATGGTCTCATAGAGTCTGGGACGCCGTCGTGATGATCGTTACTGATACCTTCAACGACCCAGACCTCGCAGATCGCCTCAGTCTTCTTGCGCTTGAGTGGGCGAATGAAAAATATGGTATAAATCAAACTTACATCGTTCGATTCTACCTTTTAAGGGCGCGAGTCCTCCTGAATATGGGGAGGTTCGTTGAAGCTGAAAAGATGACACGAGATTGTATCGCGATCGGTGGAGTCAATCGCAACCACTACATCCAAATCCACCAGATACTAGGCCACATCCTTAAGCGTCAGGGGAGATTCGAAGAAGCCTACGAAGCTTACAATTCGGCCCTTCTACAAGTCCAGGGGTCAAAGGTGCAAAACGAAACATTGAACCTGCTGGATTCATGCGGAGAGGTTGCCAGCTGGTTCAACCTTGGACTTGCCGATTCCCATTACACGCTAATGCTATCGCTTGCTAAGAATATACACAATTGGAATAGTGTAATCTACACCACAACGAGGTTGTACTGGGTCAAAGTAGCAATTGGAACCAAGGTCGCTTTGCAGGACGCCGTGGAGCTGCTTCTCGACGCACTGACAGTGTATGGAATTGAAATTGTCTACCAAAAAGATTACACGCAACCGACGCTTCTGAGAGAAATTCATACTACTATACATTTAGACGAGCCAGAGTCAGTGGAACATTCAAATGGAAACGAGGCGGTTCATAAAGCACTCACGGAGGACTTTGGTGGCTTATACTGTTGTGGCCTTGATCTTTTAAATTGGTTGGCAGCGCGACTGCTAGGGACTGGGCATATCAACGCGGCTGAACGCGCTTTTCAGCTCGCTAAATCCGAATTCGAAAAAACCGCAAATATGGATGACTACGCAATAACACGATTTATCAACGGCATCTTTGATTACACGAGATTGCGTTTTGTAGTTGACAAAGACGTCCGAAGAGTACGAGACATCCTAGACTGGGGGAGGATCGTCATTCGTACAAGGGTGAAGGGAAGCATGGAAGAATACGACGGTTGGTGGGAGTACCAAACGACGACTCTTCTGGATCTAATTGAGACTCCTATACAACGTGCTAGAAGGAGGCAATCTAAGGCGATACGGAAGATATCTCATAGATTCTCGAGTATCATGAGTTTGAAGCGCTCTAATTCACGTTCACGCCTGTCATTACAGCATGGGTTGGTTCCCGCACACAATATCACTGCTTCACCAGCTACGCCGGTCGTACCTCAGACACAAAGCGACTCCATGGCAGGTGCGTCTCAGTCATGATCGGATTTTTCTGAGATGCGTCACATATTACGATTTATGAATGACATAGAGGGACTTATACGACCCTAATCATCCAGATCAGGGTAAGATCATTTCATGGAATAGTTTTGCTAGAGCTACGATGGGTTGAACATGTAGAAATATTTCGACTTCAAGTTTGAATTGTCATTATCAATGAGGATTAGCGTGGCGTACGGCTCTGATTAAGTATGAGGAGGAGGCGAAGCGTGAGTGTAATGGTTTATAGAACAAGCACCTAATTGAATCAATCTTGAATGCGCTACAACCTCCTTTTCTAGAGTCAATAGGTACTTTTCTAGGTACCTAGTATACATTACTGCTTTTTTATTATGTTATTATAGAGGAGCAGTCCGGGAAAGCTCCCTCTCTATTAGTATTTTATGGTGGTACCTTTTAATATCCCAATCATTAACACATTACATCGATATATACTATATTCCATAAGAGTCCTATCAGTAAACCTAATCAATCCGTTACATTCCTTCCAAGCGGTCCGTATCCCACGTTCACGTCATTAATTATTGCATAGTAAGTTAAGTCTCGAAAGCCTGGCGCCCGCGGTCTGTTCGCTGTAAGCTCAGCTCCTCTGTAAGAAGAGAAGACACGAGGCCAAGTCCGGAGAACCCAATCATGACGTAGAAAACGGCGCGCATGGCTGTGAGGTAAGTTTGTACAACGGGGCCGAGGATGTCGGCGGGGAGATCTAGGGTCCGTAGCATCGGGATGAAGGCTACGGCGTCGTGGGCGTCCCTTAGGGCGGCTAGCGACTCGGGAAGTCCCCCGATGGTCGCGATGACCGATCCGAACACGCTGCTAAATACCGTCGACCCAATAGCCAGTCCGACTAAACCTCCAAGACACCGCATTGTGAGAAGCAGCGCGATGGCGTGGCCGGTATCATCGACGCTTGGCACACTCGCCTGCATGGGGATATGTAAGAGGCGCAGAAGAGCACCGATACCTATACCCCAGATGATGGGTATGCCGTAGCGCATGCCGGTGGACGACGACTCGTCCAGAAGGATGAACAGGCCTGTCCCCAGCGTCACTAGTGCCCATGCCAGCCATATCCTATGCTTATACCCGAAGCCGGCCTTTCCGATCGCGATTACAGAGCTGATAGCGCCTACAACGCTAGCGACGCTCGTAGGCAACAGGGAAACCGCCGACAAGATACGAGTGTCGAGCATGACGGCCTGATAGAAGAGGGGTAAGTATTGCAAGAGCGTATACAACGTCATTCCATGGACAAAACCACCACATAACGTCACTATCGCCGTCCTCGAACGGAAAAGTCGGTGTGGCATAACCGGCGCCTCGGGCTTGGCCTCGTAGATTGCGAAACCGGCGAGAACGGCGAAACCTAGGAGCAGCGGCAGGATTGTCTGATACGACTTCCACGGATACAGGGAGTCGGCCCAGCTTATAGGCAGGACGAACAACGTACATCCGACAGTGAATACCAACATACCACTCCAATCGAGGCGCTTCAGCTTAGTTTCGAGGGTCGATTCGAGTCGTTTGAGCTTGAGGAAGAAGAGCAGCAGTGGACAGGAGATGCCTAGCAGCGGCAGGTTGATCCATCCTATCCACCTCCAAGTGACGAAGTCGCTAAACAGAGCTCCAATGGTCGGACCAAGGATGCTCCCGATGGCAATGGGTAAGGACATGATTCCGAGGTATAAGGGACGCTCCTTCAGCGTTGTCATGTCGGAAACGATGATCTCGCCGAGAACGTCGAGCCCGCCACCGCCTAAGCCCTGGATTATGCGACCGGCTATGATAGCGGCCATATTACGAGCGAGGGAAAAGGTGAGGGAGCCGGCTGTGAAGAGAAGAAAGCCGACGTACAGAGGCGGTTTGCGGCCTATGACATCGGAAATGGTCGCGTATAGGGGCTGGCTGACAACAAGGCCTAAGAAGTACGCAATTCCCGCCCAAAACGACTCTAGCGTGGTCCCATGAAGCTCGGATGCGATGGCCTAGAATATGTTAATACACCTCTACAAGTTATATTCACCGTGCTCTGTGATGCTCTCTACAACATTCGAATTGGGGAAAAGTGGCTAGGTCCTACTTACGGGAATAGCCACGGCAAGAGTCGTAGCATCTAGGGAATATAGAAAGACTAAGATGTTGATAGCAAGAAAGGAGAGATAGAATCCCAGAGGCTTCCCCCGAGATTCTGCATCTTCCGCTGTGTTGGCGCCGGTTTCGACATCATTTGCTCCAGGCGCATAGGTCTCGCCCGGCCCGATCTCCGTCTGTTCTGTGCTAGCACCCGACGTCTTAGGCTCGGTGCTCGACGACTCTCTTGCGCCGTTATTCACAGCGGCGAGGGCCATTTTACTTTCGTAAATCTCAAGATAGAAACGAGACGCCTTTTAGGTCATTGATGTTGCACATGAAAAGAAATGACGTTGGACCTTAGCGTCAGCAAGCCGCGAAGCAAGGCGGGACTCGGATCCCGATAAGTGAGAATGACTGCAATTGAGCGACTGAATACTTAGTCATGGACAAATGCCAAAGTCGAGGCACCGCTTAGTCCAGTGTCGACATAGCTAATATATCAGCGACATATCTTCGCTTGCCTGTGCCACGTGAACTTGACTTAGGAATGGGCTGACTATAAGTGTTGGTTTCTGTTGGTGTTTTTCTCCGAAGTCAGATTTGAGCATGGGTCATTCGAGCCGGACCGCCGGCCGGTTGAACTAGGACATAGGAGAATACCCCTTAAGGAAATAGGCTAAGCCGGAAATGGCGTTAGCGCAGCTAGAGCTAGAGTTTGGTAGGCCCAGTTTTATTCTTCGAATCTGTTTCCAGAGTTAACGAATGCACTTAAGCGAAATTACAGAGGACAATGCCGATCATTCCGTTAGGCAACTACTTTTCAAAGTTCTCAACTTCATTCATTACAACTCTTGATAAGCTACTGTCTACATCCTATGATATGAAGAGGCCTCCTATCCCCTTAACTGGCAATAGTCGGTGACCATCGCCGAGGCTCAAGTCGTAAGACACAGCTAGACGAAAGGGAAGTAGAACGGGATTCCTAACATTACCCGGACGACGATGTGCAGCCAACTTAGGTAGGGATCAACAGGCCGGGTCCTAATCCGACTGACCTTAACGGACTCCTGACAGGACAGTGATATCATTTTACATTGTATCTGCGATGACGCCCAATATTCTTGTTGCACTACTTTTCTTACGGACGTTATGCTTGGCGCTATTAGGTAAGCTTATTCGTCCTTGATCAGTTTGAGCATCACGTGTAAACCATACACCGGAGCTAAAGTGATGGCACCGCCTGCTATAACGTCTTTCTCGTCCATGTCGAGTTTCCACTCGAAGCGGGAAATCAGGGCTGCCAGGAGGCACCTCAGTTCGGCCCTAGCGAAGGTTTGCCCAATGCAAGCTCGCGGGCCATGTAAACTACGAAGACGGAGGTCAGTCGGGTCCCAAGTACATCCCGCGAGCAGGGCACGTTCTAGGAACTGAGGTAGCCCAAAAGGGGGAGGAGACGGGGACAAGGGTAAAGTAATGCGTACAAGCTGAGGAATTCATAGTTACTGGTAGCGCCACCTGTATTATTCGGGCGTCCATCCTTCTCGATCCACCGCTCAGGTTCAAACTCGGCCGCACTTGGGCCCCAAAACGTGCGGGATCTGTTGATCAGCCATGGTGAGATTAATATTTCGGTGCCCTTCGGAATGGAATGACCGGCCAGGGATGTGTCTCGAGCTGCGACTCGGATGGTGACCGGGATGCTTGGATATAGACGAAGCGTCTCGTTCAGCACTCCATTGAGAAATGGAAGGCGCTCTAATGTTCCCGAGATATCTAATTTGCCATCCACTGGATTCTCGGTAGATGCAAGTGCATCGCGGACTTCGCGTTGTAACCTGCTCTGCCGAGCCGGGTCGAGTGCTAGTAGATAACACGCCCAAGTCAAGGAAAGTGCGGACGTATCATGCCTAGAGATACATTTAGTTTGATCTACATCGTTGGGGCGGCGTACTTATTGAGATACATACCCTGCTGCTAAATACGTGAGGAGTTGATCGCGGATAGCAGTGTCCGAGAAATTTCCAGATTTGATAAGCAGCGACATGATATCGATATTATCGCCGTCGTTCTTTCGAATAGCCTCTCGTTTATCACTAACGAGCTGGCTACAGGTACGCCGTAATGTTGATCCGGCATGTTCGAAAGCTTGATTCATCTTCCAAGGAAGCATTCGGACGAATCGAACGGAGAACCACGCTGACAGGATGAAATATACCAGCATCTCTTTGCTCGGGTTGAATATAGTCTCATAGCTTTCCACTAGAGGATCATTCGAGTTGTTGAGTGTGTTGAAGTCTCGTCCTAGCCCAGCGATGCCGATGATGTTGAGGGTGACTTTACTCGCCCAGCGGGACATCTCAGCCTTCCCCATCAAGGGCTCAGTGGCCACATCATCCTCAGAATGCTGCTTTCTGATATTCTCTTCCAAAGCATCAGTGAATGCAAGCGAGTTCTTCCATATCATAGGATATAAATCCTTGATGCGGCGAAAGCTGAATGCACCAAGACTGTTCTTCCTGAGAAACTTGTGGTCTTCTCCCTCCGCTGTAACTAATCCACTTCCTATTACACCACTGAGAAACTTGCGCATATTGTGAGGCTTCTCGAAATCATATGAGCGGTGCACTAGTAGGTCTGCCAATACGGATGGCCCAGTGATCAGTAAGCGACTTTCAGTTACCTCCCTCAGCGCTACGATGCCGTCGTTCGGTACATCTTGAATTATATCCAACAGCAGCTCAGCCTGTGTTACCTTGGTGGCCAGCCGAGCGTAGATCATTCGGGGTAACCACCACTAGACAATTATTGTGTTAATCTATATCCAGTTCGCATTCTATCCTATGGGAATTTGGCGAACAGACCTTGGGCCTCGGGAAATGTCGCAAGGGACTGATAAAATCAGGATATATGATCGTGGAATATACGAATAAAATGGCATAATTAACGATAAAGACAAGCGCAATTAACTTGACGGTTTCTTGGAAATATGTGGTACCAATATACTTGGGCAACACCTTTGATATCAGTATTGATTCAATGCCAGCTACAAGAGTGGCGCCCTGCAGGCTGAATATTGATGTAGCCATCCTCTCGTTAACGTCTGGTGTCGGCTTTGCCGTGAAATAAAATTTATAAAGCCCTAGAATGTTTTTGGGATTATTTTGGAAATAAAAAGTAATTTTCTAACGAATTTAGAAAGAAACCATTGGGCTGAACAGTGCATCCTTCTCTCCTATGGCATCGGTGAGCCATATTCGTTGGTCAATGGATCATCCCTAATCGTCAGCTCTTGAACATAACCCCTGCCTCCTATGCTATTCGGCCGAAGACCCTAGAAACTACTTAATTTGATATAGGTATGATAAATTCTCTAGGAATAACCTTGGGAGACAGTCTCCGAGTATTCTACCCTAAACTGCCTAATTAGCAGACGAAGCAATGATCCAAGAGGATCTTTAGCAAGTAGAATATATAATATGTGGTGGGAACGACATTATGATTAGGTAGATGCCGACCTAGCTGTGTAGGTCCTAGGGCAAGTGTAGCTCGGCGCCGGTACTCGGGTCCCTGCATTAGTCGGTTCCTCTACTCCGGGCACTCCGGGTTCCAATTGTAGCTGCTGCATCTATCATAGCAGTTCTTGTGAAGGTTGCACCTGCCCATTAGAACCCCGCGCGGCCGGATTCCGTGTCGAAGCAAAGCGGATTCCGTGGCCGACCCCGCCCTTGGCAGGGTTGTTGTAATAAACAAGATATTTCCGATTACATAATCCAGGATACAATATTCTCTAATCGGGGCTCTTGGAAGATTAATGCATTAATGCATATTGGTTATCTGATTATTTTCTAGGTACCCTAATGAATCCGCCGCCATTACCAACTCATTTTTAAAAATCGTTACGGACTTATATGAATACTATTTGCTTTATACATCGGCCATCAGTGCATATATCTGCTGAGCAGCTTTGGGAACCTTCGACTTTCCCTCCCCCTTTTCGATGTCGATCATCTCCTTGGCCCATTCGCAGATTGAATTAGCCAGCAACTCTACCTCTGCTTCGGTATTCCTAGCATGGAACATGAGTCTAATTCTGCTTTGACCCTTAGGAACAACAGGATAGTCGATAGGAAATGCCGATATCTTTGATAATTGAAGGTGAAAAACTAGCCAGAAGTTGTAACGCTGGCGAGTCCACACCGGGACAATATGGGTCATAAAATCACGAAACTCCCAATTATCGCTGATAGGGATCGATAGGATGCCCATATCATTGGCCTCATCCCAAATTTCATGGGATGTTATGGTCGTCAGGAAGTGCTTGACCAGATCCTGAATCTTCTCTTGAGACTATCCTCAATGTTAGACTCCCTTTTCATCCACATTGCAAAAGAGAAAAGTAGGTATCTATGAAAATATAATCGAAACTTTCTCACCTCCTGTGTCGCACCGGACTTTAAAAGATTATACGCAGAGCGAATTGCGGCTACTGCAGGGAATGAGGGAGCAGTGGTGTAAATGACGGAGCGCGCAAAATTCAGAATCGCTAGCCTCACAGACTCGCTTCCTAATATAACAGCTAGGAAATATGGCTAAGCATTATTAATCAATCAATGTGGCGGTCGATTGAATCTTACCTCCCGATGAAGCCAGCGCCTTTCCGAAAGTATGTAGTCGGATTGCGATCTTGTCTTGAATGCCGAGCTCGCAAATGAGACCGGCGCCGTTTGGGCCTATTATCCCAGTCGCATGAGCTTCATCCACGATGAACACCGCATTCTTTTTCGGGCAAACTTCGTTGGCGATATCGATAAGCTCTTCTATAGGACAGATGTCTCCGTCCATACTATATATCGATTCAACGGAGATTAGCACCGAGCGCGACCCATCCCTGATCATGGACTGTGAATCGACGACGGATGCCAACGTGTCCCTAAAAGAATCTACATCATTATGGCGGAAAGGCATTCTGCAGAGAGCCAGGCTATGGGTCATGCCGTCATGTGTGCTTGCATGGACGAGCTCGTCGTAGACAATGGCATCTCCTGGTCTCGGGATAGCAGTATAGATGGCACCGTTGGCTTCATACCCCGAATTCAAGATAATGGCACTTTCCGCGCCGTGAAAGCCGGCGATTTCCTGCTCGACCTGCTCAATGTAGTCATAATTCCCATCCATCAGCCGAGAGCCCCCAGCATACAAGGAAAAGTCAGGGTGTCGCGCAAGTTCCTCTAGGAACTCGGTGCGCAACTGTCCTGAGGACCCCAAGGCAAGTAGATCATTGGAACAGAAGTCAACAGCCTCATCCGTCTTCCACGAGCTCTTTGTTCTCGTAGCCATGGCATGGTCAGCCCTTCGCACGTCTAGAGCCTCTTCGAGATTTCGATAGAAAGTGGGGGCATCTTTCATTCGTGGGGCCTTCGGTTTCTGGGCCTTGATCCACGAAGCAAGGAACTCTGGCGGGGACATCTTGAATCAACAAGGTCTGGCGAATGATAATTCAGCCCCTTGCAGTAGTTTAAGTCCTATATGATGGATTCTTGTTACCAGCAACGAATCGAGGTATTTGTGAGGCCAAATTCCATTCGAACCTGTCGAGTAGGGAAGTAGACTCCGCTGTAACGCGTGTGAGCCTGTATCCATCCCGTCTCGCCCGAGTTGATCTTAGGTTACATTCGGCAGCGGAACCCGACCAGGATCGTAGCAAATCGTCAGCACGATTGGGTTGGTGGGTCATTGTGGACGTCCCGTCCAACTTCCGCAGCAGGTCAGAACTCCATGGGTCTATGAATGCGGCTGACGAAAACTACAACACCCCGGTATTGCATTATTCAAGAAATAAAGACGGCATCATGGGTGCACCAAAGACTTTGAAAGGAAAGGTAGGGAGTTTCCGTGATTAAATGATATGATGTTTCTTGAAAGCCGCAAGGCAACCTTGGAAGGTAGTGCTAACGTTATGCACAGACTGTTTTTGTTACAGGGGGTTCCGGGGGGCTGGGTAAAGCAATATCTAAGGAGTTAGCTGCACGAGGTTAGCAATATGATTAAGCCATTATCCCCTCTTTGACTAACTCATACAGGTGCTCACATTACGATATTTGCTCGTAGAGAAGGTCCCCTTGAGGAGGCGAAGAAGGACATACTCACTGCTCGCTTGAGCGAGGACCAGGAGATCAATGCCGTATCGCTGGATCTCGCTGATGCTTCAAAGGTTGATGAAGCGTTCAGAGCCCAACCCCGAATTGCAGATGTCCTGTATTGCTCGGCGGGCGGGAATCATTCCGAGAACGGCTTTCTTGCGGACATCGAAGCCAAAGACCTTGACAATTGCATGAAAAACAACTATTATTCATCTGCTTACGCTGCCAAATCGTTGATTGACATGTGGTTGGCGGATGATAAGAAGGGATCGCCCCAAGGCGCTCAACCGCGATTTCGCCAGATAATCTTCATCAACAGTGCTGCTGCATTTCTGGGCATACCGGGCTCCATTGCTTATACGCGTATGCCCCCCCCCCCCTCCCCAATTCCTAACCCGAAGCGAGATATCTAACTTACACCTCTGACAGCTGCGAAATGTGCCGTCCGTGCTTTGGCGGACACGCTAAGAATGGAAGTCCTGCGCTATAACTGCCCAGCTTCAACCTACACCATCCACTGCGCTTTCCCGGCCGACTTCGTCTCTCCCGGTTTCGTCCTGGAGCAGAAGACGAAGACGCCGCTGACAAAGCGTATCCAAGGCTTGGATCGCCCTTTCGAGGAACTGGAGACCCGCTTTCCGTCTTCCGAGAAAGTTGCTACGCTCATCATCGCGGCGGTGGAGAGGGGTGAATTTATCATCTGCGAGGACTCGTTTGCTGCATCGGCCCTGTTTACTAATATGACTGGACCCTCGCCAAAGAGGGGCCTTGGGATCGTGGATTCCATCATGGGTTTGCTGGTCGGATGGGTCGTCTGGCCGGTCTTGAGAAGGAGATGGGAGTCTATGTGTAGACAGGATGGTGAAGAATCTAGGAAACAGGTAGAGTGAAACCTATGACATTGGGTCTGTTTATCTTACTGTCATTATGTCGTTACATTAATATCATGGGAAAGCTATCTGTTTCTGAGTCCATCTAATATTTAGCCCTTTCTTACCTAGAAAAGTGTCGAAAGTCCCGCTCCCGCAGATCGTAGCGCCTCTATAACGTCTTCAATAAATTTACTCTACAGCTCTTTATCATCTAGGTTCATCTCGCCAAGATCGATATCACATCCTATACATCTGCGTATGATGCGGAAATAATCAACCCCATATGCTTAACCACTTACTCAAGCATAGGTTAATTTCAGCAGGATGCTATAATAAAGTTAAAAGATGGCATGGACTACCATACCCCCATAATCATATAAGGGGTATTATTATAGCTAGTTTTGTGCCACCAGAAAAACAGGTTGGTAGAACGTTCAAACATGGTCCAGATAGACCACAATAAAGAAGAAAGATAAGAAGGGCAAAAGAAGAAGTGGTGAAGGATATTTATTGTACTGGCATTGAAAGAGATTTTGGAAGCTGCGGAAATAATTACCTAGGTACGCTAGCGTGGGTGCTAGCTTTGCTCCTTTACGGCTCTCAGGGTTAGCTAATATCTAGGAAATCCATCATTCTTGGATGTATTTCCTAGTCGCTTCTCATGGCTCACAAGTCCTGGTTTAAGGGAGACCGATGCAATGTGCATGAATTTGACGTCCATTTCATTTCACTGAAGCCGTATATCTTCGACTGTCATAAGACTACACCCTAGAATTTTCTTGGAGCAGGTTCACTAAATGGGCTGTAAGTGTTGAAGCTCTTAAGGCATTGGACAGTAATCTTCAGAGGGGCAATGCAAAATTCGACCAATCATCATTACGTTTCGTTGATACTAGTAAACTTTAGGGGTTGTTGCTAAGCCGAAGACCTCTGTATGAGCGTATGCTACATATGAGGTATGTAATAGAGTTTATTTCCTCTTAAATACATAATATTGCTATAGCCATATTTCCTAATAATAAGGCGTCGGGGCCGGAATCCGTGCTTACGGGCAAGGTTCCTTCGAGGGATAGGGGTTAATAATTCCGATTAATGCATACCATAGGCTCTAGGAGAAGGATGTAGTGTAAGATGCTGAATTGTAGATCTTATAGATCTATTAGATCTAGCAATTTATCCATATCCCCTCCAAGCTCCAAGCTAAGGGTATTTTCTGCGGAATTCCACAGAGCCTGGGATTATGCTTACTCCAAACACGACAACTTCGAACGGTGCGGGAGTCGAAGAGCATGTCGTCCCCAGTTGGCCGGAACCCAATGACAAGGTCATGGCCAATGAGTCTCCAGTCAATGGAAATGAAGGTACCAAGCATTTATCTAATGGTGTAAAAACCAATGGAAATCCTACCAACGGCGAATCTCTTAACGAGTGGTTGAAGAATGGCCACCATACAAATGGGCACAATGTTGCCGACGTGCCTGTTTGTAGCAACACCGGAAGCGGCACTATGCCCATTGCGATATGTGGCATGGCCCTTCGTCTCCCAGGTGGATTGACGACGCCTCAGGAGTTATGGGAATTCCTACTTACCAAGGGCGACGCACGTTCCCGGGTGCCCCAGACTCGATACAACCTATCCGCCTTCTATTCTCCTACTGGAAAACCAGGCACAGTTTTCACCGAGCATGGATACTTCTTGGATGAGAGTGTGGATTTAGGGGCGTTAGATACATCATTCTTTACGATGCCGCGGACAGAAGTTGAACGTGCAGATCCCCAACAACGGTTATTGCTGGAAGTCGCGAGAGAATGCTTTGAGGACGCGGGCGTTACTAACTGGAGAGGGAAAACGATAGGTTGCTATGTAGGGAATTTTGGCGAAGACTGGCTTGAGATGTTCACCAAGGAAACTCAACAATGGGGTCTGCACCGAGTAGTCGGCACTGGTGACTTCGTACTTTCGAACAGAATCTCGTACGAAATGGATTTGCGTGGACCGAGGTATGTCAACATCATTTGATCCATCATGCAATTTCTGACTAGGTATCTACGTAGCATGACTATTCGTACGGGGTGTTCGGCAGCCCTTGTGGGGTTGAATGAAGCCTGCATGGCTATCTCTAGGGGTGATTGCGAAGCTGCACTAATTGGTGGCGTCAACCTCATATTAGCGCCGAACATGACTACCGCCCTGACAGAACAAGGGGTCATCTCCAAAGATGGTTCCTGCAAGACCTTCTCAGCCGAGGCTAATGGATATGCTCGTGGTGAAGCAGTCACTGCTATTTACGTCAAGCCGTTGAGTGATGCTATTAGAGATGGAAACCCAATCCGAGCGGTCATAAGAGCGACATCACATAACGTGGATGGGAAGACTCCTGGAATGTCGCACCCTAGTACCGACGCGCAAGAAGCATTAATGCGAAGAGCTTACGAAGTCGCTGGCATAACGGACTTCTCACAGACAGCTATGGTGGAATGTCATGGTACAGGCACGCCGGCCGGCGACCCCATAGAGACTCAAGCTGTTGCTCGAGTATTTGGGGAATCTGGTGTTTACATCGTACGTATTACGCTTAATCGTGAACTCGCTCTTATAGGACTTTCTAACATCCTTGATTTCAGGGATCATCGAAGCCAAATCTAGGGCACTCAGAAGGCGCATCAGGGCTCGTAGCAATAATTAAGATGGTACTAGCCCTAGAAAACCGGACAATACCACCTAATATTCGGTTTACAACACCTAATCCAAAGATTCCGTTCAAGGAAGCGAAGCTCACGGTTCCTCTGGAACCTACTCCGTGGCCAGCTTCTCGACTCGAACGTGTGAGCATTAACTCCTTCGGTGTAGGTGGCGCAAATGCCCATGTGATTCTAGACTCTGCTGCTACCTTCAACGCGTCTGCCACAACACAGAGCACGCCTACTACACCACAGTTACTACTATATTCCGCGAATACCTCGAAATCACTCACCAGGGCTATTGATAATTATAAGCAATGGGTAGAAAAGCATCCGGATAAAGTTGCGGACTTAGCCTACACGTTGGCTCTACGGCGGGAGCACCTACAGCACCGAACATTTGCCATCGTCAACAATGGGGTGGCCGAGAATGCTGCACCACCTATCAAAGCGGCCCTGAAGCCCAATGTTGTGATGGTTTTCACTGGTCAGGGCGCTCAGTGGCCGCTTATGGGTAAGGAGTTATTACAGTCTAACGAAACCTTTAAATCCGCGATAAAAATGCTAGATCAACATATAAGAGCTGTAACGGGTAACGCGCCTCCTTACTCTATCGAAGAGGAGTTACTTAAACCGGCTAGGAAAAGTCGACTCAACACGGCAGAACTTTCTCAACCCCTCTGCACTGCTGTTCAAATTGCTCTCGTCGACACGTTCAAGGCCTATGGAATTGCGCCAAGTGCTGTTGTTGGCCACTCAAGTGGTGAGATCGCGGGGGCGTATGCTGCTGGTGCCCTTACAGCCGCAGAGGCAATCATCGCCGCCCACCATCGCGGTGCTGTAACAGCGAAGCAAAAGCGAGCGGGAGCTATGGCAGCCATAGGAATGAGTTGGGAAGAGACCGAGAAACACTTAACTCCTAATGTCACTATTGCTTGTGATAACTCGCCTAAAAGTGTCACAATCTCAGGCGACATGAAAGAAGTTAAGGCTGTAGTTGCGGTCATCAAGAAGTCAAACCGAGATGTATTAGCCAGGTTGCTACAAGTTGATAAGGCATATCATTCATATCATATGGCGGAGATTGGGGAAGACTATCTCTCATTGATCGGACAACAGGTAATCGGGAATGAGCCTACGGTTCCTTTCTTCTCCAGTGTGACGGGCAAACTGCTGAACGGAGAACGCAATCTGGGATCAAAATACTGGCGTGATAACCTAGAATCTCCTGTCCGATTCAGAGAGGCCGTTATTAGCCTATTAAAACATGAGGTCGGAAAGAACGCCGTTTTCCTCGAGGTCGGACCACATTCAGCTCTCGCGGGCCCCCTAAGGCAAATTTTCACTGAGGTCTCTTCACCCGCTCCATACGTTGCGGCGATGGCGCGCAATCAAAATTGCATATCTTCACTTTTAACCGCCATCGGAAAACTTCATTCACTTAACGTGCCGATCGATTTTGGTGCGGTATTTCCAAGTGGGACGTGTCTTCCAGATCTCCCTCGGTATCCATGGAATCACGAAGAGAGCTACTGGTACGAACCTCGGCTATGTAGGGATTGGCGTCTGCGGAAGCATCCGTATCATGACTTATTGGGAGCTCGTTCCACCGAGAGCACCGAGATCGAACCTGCTTGGCGCAATATGTTTCATCTTTCTAATGCGCCATGGATTCGTGACCACAAAGTTGGGGACGACGTGGTGTTTCCATTTGCTGGCTATATCGCCATAGCTGGAGAAGCTGTGAGGCAGATTAGCGAAGTAAACGAAGGATTCAGCATTCGGAATATCTTGGTTAGTATGGCTTTAGTCTTGGGTGAAGGCAAACCGACCGAGATGATCACTACTTTCCGCCCACATCGATTAACCAGTTCTCTGAATAGTTCGTGGTGGGAGTTCACTGTCTCTTCCTTCAATGGCCACATATGGACCAAACATTGCACAGGCGAGATAACAGCAATATCGACAAGCCTTAGACCGGCCGAAGCAATTAATGAGCTTCCCCGAAAAGTGAATGCGCGAAAATGGTATGAAACTATGCGGAAGTCTGGGTTGGATCTTGGAGCGTCTTTTCAATCGCTTGACGCCATAGAAACATCGACCAACTCCGAGAACCGAGCAACCGGAAGAGTGATCAATGGCCGACAGGGGGACGAGGCGAGTTATCATATTCATCCTACGGTTATTGATGGGACCCTGCAGATTATGAGCGCTGCTGCTGTGAATGGCTACGCACGCAAAGTCAAGAATTGGCTTCCGACAAGCATTGACAAGCTTAGTATCGTTCGGTGTGGTTCTGATATGATAACAAGCGTGTCGGCGAAGGCGACAAGTAACCATTCAATTCTCGGAAGCGGAAGCTGTACTTCTGGAGATCTTACAGTCCTCGAGGCCTCTGGCATTCGCATGACTCCTGCGGACGGCGCCCTTTCGAGTGATGTGGCGGATACTCACGCCGCAGCGCGATACGAATGGTGCCCTGACATAGACTTCTTAGATGTGAAGGATTTGATTCAACGACCAGTCGATCGCGCGCCTCATATGGCTCTAGTAGAGGAGCTTGGTTGCCTTTGCTTATTGTCTTCTCAACGAGCGCTCTCTAAACTAGGGGCTCACTTAGGTCACATACAGAAATATGCGACGTGGATTGCTTCACAGAATCAGGCGGAAGATTTAATTGGATTAGATGACGAATCTTTACAGGCCCAGATTGAACGACTTGCAGCTTGTCTCTCTGGAACTCCTGCTGCCTGTGTCGCTATCGTTCTTCTCCGGATATCGACGAAAATCGATCTCCTAGTGTCGGGTCAAGCATTATCAGATATTCTCTCGGATGACGAGCTTACTGGACTATATGAATTTATTAAACAGGCAGATATATCGGCGTTTATCCAATCCCTGGGCCACTCAAAGCCGAATATACAAGTACTTGAGGTCGGGACCGGAACAGGTTCGTTAGTAACTAATGTTCTTCAGAATCTTACTCGGTCTGACGGGCAAGTTCTTTGCTCGAATTATACCTTTACGTCTACCGGCTTTATTTCTGGGAAGGACCAGGAAAAGCCTTTCCCTAACATGGAGTACGCCACTTTAGATATCAGCAAGGATCTCGAAGAGCAAGAATTTGAAGGCCGCCAATACGATTTGGTCATTGCATCGAACGCCGTACACATAACCAAGAACATCCAAGAGAATCTGAAGAATATCAAGAAGCTCCTTCGTCCTGACGGTCGGTTACTACTACAGGAATTGTGTCCATCTTCAAAATGGATTAATTATATATTCGGATCTTCGCCTAACTGGTGGTACGGTAGCGCTGATGGCAGGCCAAGTGAGCCTTACATTGGTGTGAAGAGTTGGGAGTCCGAACTTCTGGCTGCAGGTTTCGGTCGAATTGATGGGATAATCTTGGACTCAGATGAACCGCACCAATTGACAGCGACTATGGTTGCAAGGCCTTCCAAGTCCACGGATGCTACGCAGAAATGCGTGACAGTGCTATGCGCAGAAGATGAAAGTGGCACGAGCGAGATCGTTAACCATCTGGAGAAGAACGGATACGAAATTACGAAATGTAAGGTAGGCGATTCCCCGCCTCCTGGACAAGACGTTATTTCTCTTCTTGATGTAGCCGGACCGTATTTCGAAGGGTTGGACTCTGCTCGTTTCGAATCTTTCAGAAAGTTCCTTCGTGGCCTTCAGGATGCCGGACTCTTATGGATCACGCCCCTTTGCCAGCTCGGATGTGAAGACCCCAGATACGCCCAAGTCCTTGGATTAGCGAGGACGATGCGCTCAGAGATGCTAATTGATTTCGCAACTTGCGAAGTTGACAATTTCAGTTCGGCAGCCGATAAAATAGTCCAAGTTTTGGCCAAATTCCAGAGGCGTGATGACGATGATGTCCTTAAGCCAGACTTCGAATACGCGATCCGTGAAGGGAAAATACAGGTTGGAAGGCTATATCCATTTGCCTTGAAGGATCAACTATTGGTATCAGAATCTAATGACAAGGCCGTTCTCGATGTTGGCACGCCAGGGCGCCTTAAAACATTACACTGGGTGCGACAACCACGCCAAGATATCCGTAGCGACGAAGTAGAACTTGAAGTGCACTCCGCTGGGTTGAATTTCCGGGTAAGACGATGCTTAGGGTATGACTTGATTATTATTTATATGCTAATAGCTGTATTCTAGGATATCTTAGTCGCCATGGGCATAGTCGAGCTCCCTGAACGCCAATTTGGGCTCGAGGCTGCTGGCATCGTGACCCGTGTGGGAGCCGATGTTAAGAATATCAAAGTCGGGGATCGGGTCTGTTTCTTGAAGAAGCATGCGTTTTCAACCTACCTCGTTAGCGAAGAAATGTTCTGTGCGAAGATTCCGGATCGCTTAAGTTTCGACGAAGCTGCATCCATGCTCATGCCCTATGTTACCGCTATCCACTCCTTGATAAATGTTGGGTGTCTTGAAAAAGGACAGGTAAGTCGTATCGACCTTTATCCTTCGGGCCTGCTAACAGTAAATAGTCCGTCCTAATACATAGCGCATGTGGCGGAGTTGGGCTAGCTGCCATCCAGATATCTCAGATGCTGGGAGCAGATATCTATGCGACCGTCGGTAATGATGAAAAGGTGCAGTTCTTGATGGATAACTATCACTTACCAAGGAACAAGATATTCAACTCTCGAAATGATTCATTCGTGGAAGGGATTATGCGCGAAACGCGGGGCGCTGGCGTTGATCTAGTTCTCAACTCCCTTTCCGGCGAACTTCTACATGCTACCTGGACCTGCGTTGCCGAATTTGGTTCTATGGTTGAAATCGGAAAGAGAGATCTGATCGGCAACGGAAAACTTGACATGAATGCCTTCTTGGCTAATCGTAGCTACTGTTGCGTTGATATCGACCAGCTCTGGAAGAAGCCGGCTTTGATGACAAGGTAAATAAACATTGGCACCGGGATTGCGCGATACTATATCAGGTTGACTATATGAGCTAACGAAATTATACAGACTTATTCGATCGACCATGGAGTTTTATGAAAAGGGGCTTACTACTTCTATCCAACCCCTGAAGATATTCCCAGCGACCGAAGCCGCAGACGCATTCCGATACATGCAAAAAGGACAGCATATTGGTAGAATCGGTATTTCTTTACGAAACTCAACAGAAGATCGTGATATCCATTTCGAGACCATTTCGAGACCTAAGACTCTAGACTTCGAAAGCTCCGCATCTTACCTTTTGGTTGGTGGACTTGGAGGCCTTGGGCGTGCAATCTCTACATGGATGGTCGACCATGGTGCTCGTGAATTGATTTACCTCTCACGAAGTGCCGGCGAAGGGCTAAGTGACGGATTATTCGTTACTGAGCTTAAAAGTATGAATTGTGATGTTAAGCTTGTGAAAGGAGACGTCACGAATCTCGACGATGTCGCCAAGGCAATATCGTCAGCAACATATCCATTGAAAGGCATCATTCAATTGTCCATGGTTCTTCGTGACCAAAATTTCGAGGCTATGACTTTCGATGAGTGGAATGTGGTAGTGGCGCCTAAAGTCCACGGAACTTGGAATCTTCACAATGCGACGATGGCAGCAGGAGCTGATCTTGATTTCTTCGTCCTGTTCAGTTCGCTTTCAGGGATCATTGGACAACCGGGGCAAGCGAACTACGCCAGCGGAAATACATTCTTGGACGCCTTTGCGCAGTATCGAAATGTATTGGGGCTTGCTGCCTCTGTTGTGGATATCGGGGCTGTTGAAGAGATTGGGTTCATTTCATCGCAACAAGGGCTAATGAACAAGATGAAATCTACTGGATTTAAAGGTGTTACTGAACAAGAACTTCTTGACGCGATGGCACTTGCCATGGCTCCTCCAGAATTTCGTAAAATTTGGTCCAGCGGTTCTCATTTTGTTGATGACAATACTTTCGTCCTTGGCCTCAGTTCGACAATCCCGCTTAGCAGCTCCACCAATCGAGCAATTTGGAGGAGGGACCGCCGCATGGCTGCGTATCATAACGCCTCGAGCGGGAGTGCAGACGCTGCCGCTTCTAACGAGATTCTAAAGACTTTTCTCGCTAGTGTTAAAGCCGACCCGTCTCTTCTCAAAGCAGCAGAGTCTTCTAAAACGCTTGCTCTTGAAATCGGAAAGAAGTTATTCGATCTACTACTCAAGCCACAGGAGGACTTGAACACTTCCCTGTCATTGGTTGATTTGGGCTTGGATTCGCTAGTAGCAATCGAGCTGCGCACCTGGTGGAAACAGGTTTTCGCCTTTGACATTAGCGTCCTCGAGATGCTGGGCATGGGTTCACTAGATGCCCTAGGCCAACATGCAGTAGAAGGCTTATTGAGGGTTTTAGTGGAAAATGTTGATCAAAAGGGTTCCGAATGAGGCCTGAGAGTCCCCCCCTGAAGGATGAACTAGGGGGCAACTTTGGATATCCTGGTGTCTTGTCTGTATTATTAGGTTCCTTTTGAAGATAGGCTCTATCAGCTGCCGTTTATGAAGTGCTATTTTCTCTCCGTCGCAGAGAATTATCATATGTCACATCCCAATCCTTCTCTATCAGCGTGAAGTGGACTAAGTCATCCTACCAGGAGATTTTCGCGCTGCTTGGCGATCTTGAACATGTACCCATATCCACGTCACAAATATGATAGGTAAACATATAGTTTTCAATTCACCGTTAAGTCTTCTCTGAAAAAGGGTCAATATATTAGGTAGGTACCTAGTAAGGGGTAGTTCCAAGATATGCTCACGGAGAGCTCCGGCTATCCCCTGAATGGGAAGACTTCCCCTATTCATGGTTTCTATCATCCGCCGTCGCACAATGTTTCTAATGTTGGGTTACCCCAGATCCCACAAAATGGCATCCAATCGCAAATAGCGAATACACTTGCAAGTTTGTCAACGTTGGAGCATTACAAATGATATTACTACATCTGCGGTTACCAATACCACCCAAGGGGTATGGGATCTATCGATCAACACATCAGGTTACATTCATAGGCGCATGTTTTAAATTCAAAATGTCACCTTTGAAGATCTGTTTCAACTTCTATTGGTCTTAATAAGATCGAAACGCACGTGGCAGTACAAGAGAATCGTGCGGAACAAGGAGCCGCCTTTACATGCACAACCGGACTCGATCCGATGTCACGGATCACCAATCTTGGCTCGGCCGAGTACGCTGCGTCACCTGTACTAGTTTCGACCTCGGTCCCGGGCCGTATGGACTATGTAAGATAAAGAAGGTACTTGGTATCGATAGATATCATCGGTAACGCAACAAGTAGCTGGGGGTCATCGCGGCACTTGCAGCCAATGCGTGCTACAATTGGCCCCTGAATCTGATCCTGATTGCCTCAAGGTAGCTTAGCTTCGGGTAGAGGAGACCAGTCAGCAGATAAATAACCATCGCTACGGTAAAAGAAGGATTTTGGGTTTACTTAACCAACTAGTACATACCTTGCGCCTATCTAATCCTTCGGCCCGAGATGCCTATTCAGGGTGTAGAGCCGCTCGTCATGTCGAACGTCGTTGCATTAAAGTATGAAAGAGGCGAGGTATGTTATAAAAACATCATTCTTGCTGGAAGATGTAATACATATATGTTGTATCATATCTACCTGACGGGACGAGATACGACCCACTAGATCTAAGTACGCACTTCGTGTCAACCCACCATCTATATCAAGCTAGTCCATCAGGGCTCCTGGCGCTTTTTACCTACTTGCTCGCCTATAACCCAGACGCGGCAGGATTCTACTAGCGTACCCAAGCTAGCAGCTTTTATCCCAATACCTAATTATGGCGAAGTGCTTTGATGGCGTAATTAACGTTGCAATATCGCGACTGGATTGTCTAGGCGGAGCTTACAATCGAGTTCACCGAGTCTGTAAGTAAGAATAGACTAGTCTAGGCCGAATCAGCGTTGGGTATGATCGTGATTTTTAATGGGTTGACGGATACGCTGAGGCTTACGGGAAACATCATATCTCGGAAGCCATGACCAATAAGCACTCTAAAGTGCCGAATAAGTCAAGGAAAAGGATCATTCGTACATATGGCACAGCCGCTCGGCATATGCCATGATATAGCCAAGCTCTGTGATTCTGTATGGGATGACTCCTTGGTGAATAAATATACTATTCGACAAAGCCTCGTACAGTATCTCCATCGACCCACACGCCCTTGGCATACCAGTATTACATCCTTTCGGTGCGAATTAGGTTCTACGCCTCCTTCTTACGTCGGATGAACAAGCCAAGCCAGGTAGGTATCGTGCAGCTTGACCGGAGCGGGCGTATATAGTGGATGGTTACAATCTAGTGGGTCAACGTAAGGCGTCTGGTCCCCAGCTTTAAAGCTCGAAACATGCAGAACGTGGCCCTACCGTTCTTCATATAAGCCTGCGCAAATAATCCACTAGCAGGGGTTTCACCCAGGACTGTTTCTCAGCTTCGAATAGGCGGACCCCTTGGGGACCGTTGAAGCGCTAGGAGCAAGCAGTTGATTGCGTAACATTCGAGGATTTAGTGGAATCACCAGTAAGCGCATCGAATTACGTATGGGTTTGAGCTGGGTCAGATCAAGATAGAACAGGTGGGATACCAAGACATAGGTAGCATTGGCCTTACGGCAATGCCCACCCAAGCTTGTTCACTGGGTCGGGAAATCTAACTACAGGAGGAACACTAAGGCCGCTTGCCTTGGACCCCAAATCCTCTTAATTACCCAGGTACCGACCAGGTTCGGAACTTTGGATGCGAAGGGCTGATTGAAATGAGCGGCATCCGCCTTATGTTGACATACATGGTCATGGGAGGCCGTTCCATTGATCATGTCTTCAGAAAAGCGTGTTCGGACACACGAGGAGGTAAGATCTCGAATTCATTCTGTAAATGTCTACCTGTTAGGTAAAGAAATCTAATTCTAGTCAGATGTCGAGGGAGACGAGCGGGAAGGATTACGCAGGTGAGCGGGGATCACTAAGACCCCAGTTACGTTGGCGTGAACGATAGCTAATCATCATGTCGGTAGTATGTGATCAATGCCGAATTAAGAAGATACGATGCGGGAGAGAGAAGCCATTTTGCTCAAACTGCACACGCCTTGGGCACAGGTGTGAATGGTCCGGAAATGGCAAGAAGGGTAGTCAAACGGCTCTACTGTAAGAGTTGATTGGGTCGAGCGGCCTCAAGTACACAATTACTAACATATGATAGAAGCCATACCATCGAGGGTTTAAGCAGACGTCTTGAAAGTTTAGAAGTATGTGGACTATCCCCGTTTTGTTTCCACATAGACTTATCACCTTGGGCAGGATGCACTGGCAGAAACACAGAACAGCGTGAAGCGGCTTGCAGCCGGCACTCCAATCCTCACGGACGATCCCGTAGTGCTGCAGCCCAGTCACACTTGGCCTACACCAGAGGACACCAGTCCTATAACTTACAACGCACCTATTTTCAAGAGGCCTCTTGGCCACTTTCTTAGGGGTCAAAACGTTGAGAACACGGAGAGGTACTTTGAACCCACGTCGCTCGAGTCACTCTTGTACAATATAAGAGACTCTATCATCGAGCCCCTTGTCAGTGGCGGATCGCAGAATCAGTGTGTGAGGGAACACGCCCTACTTGCGCAGCAAAAGTTCGATCTCTTAGTGATTCGGGAAGAGAAGACTATTCGGGATGGGACTCTTCCTACAGCGCCTCCTATTTCCATCTTAAAGGCTATGATTGAACCATATTTCTCAACCATCAACCCTCATTTCCCCATATGGACTAAAGAATCGTTCGAGAGAGTTGTCACATCCCTACAAGAGACAGATTCTTCCGATCAAGATCTAGGGCGGGTTGTATGTTCCAACAATTTGATACTGATGACCTTAGCGGCAAACCTGTTACATCCTCCTCGTCCGGATAAGTCGAACAGGTCTAGGTCGGTGCGCAATACCTCCTCTATTGATCTCGATCTTACGAAGGGTTTCCTCGCAAATGCAAGAAGAGCAATAGAGAATGCGGAACTCTTACTCTCACCTCGACTCGTCAACGTTCAAGCCCTCTTATCTCTAGTATGTTCTCCATTGGATGCATACCTTCTAGAGAGTATCGCTAATATGCGGTAAATAGTGTGTAGTAGCGCAAGAACACATGTCGCCAGTCGTCTTCATGAGGTTATTTAACATGGCTATGCAGTGCGCAAAGTCTATCGGGGTCCACAACTGGGAAATATGCGCCCGAGAACAAGAGGACACTCGAGAACAACAATGCGTATCGTACTGCCTATACATCCTAGACAAGGCGGTCTGCTGGACAGTCGGCGCGTCGATTTCTATCCCACTATCCGATATCTACATCGATACAACGTTGAAGTCGTCCCATGATATGACCATAGATAGCCTGATTGCTAAAGCCAAGTTAGCTGAAATTCAAGAAGAAATATACTTAGAGATATATGCTCGTCGAGCTCCAGCAAGGACCGAGGAACAAGTTCAACTGACTATATCCAAATTCAATCAGAAACTGCGAGATTGGTTGACCGAGTCTAATAAAGATCAGCAAGATCCGAGTACCACCGCGCCTCAAGAGTCTATCTGGAAAATTGAACACTCTATCGGGTTTACCTGTACCCAGCTATTATATATGTGGCCCTTTAGAGAACACCCAGATGTCACATCTCAACGCACAGAAGTCAGCAGGAGATGTATGAGGCTTTTACTTTGCTTATGGGGCTCTTCCGCGGAGCTAGGACACCAAGGGATACTTCCGCGGTTAGCATTTCTGGCTTCGACTGAACTCCTATCTTCTGTCCTGGGGAGACTAACTTTGTTAATATAGCATCGTCGCGTCTTACCCACCTCTGTACCTTTACGAGATCTCTGCGCAGATTCTCAATGGGGACGAGGAACAAGATTCGTCAGACGTGGAACTGCTGCAATCATTCGTCGAAATGCTTCAAATCATAACCGAACTACAAGAAGAAAACTCATACAACAGACGATTGTATGAGGTCTCGTCCATTCTTATGGAAGTCGTATCTGCCAGAAAAACCCAAAGTAAAAGGCGAAAAATGCATCACACTCCACCATCATCGACCTTGCTCTCGTGTTCAGCGTCATCGACGCGTACGCGTCGCGCATCTCCTTATACCCCTTCTCCAGATACCATGCATGCTCATTATAACGAAAACAACACATCTCCTCAACTTCAAAATAACAGCCAAGATACTTCGAATATTGCAAGTTCAAGCTTCGACTCGTTAATGTCCCCGGCCGATTCAGGGGGTTGCGCAGAAGACCAACTAGCGACACTGATAGGATCGCTAGGGAAGGGACCGTTCGAAAACTTCGACCTCCTCGATTATAGCGATACTCAGGTATCAAGAGGCGAAAACCTTGTGGAGAAAGAGATCTGGTGGGATTGAAAACCTGTACTTTTCACTCTCACTGTTCATCAAAACAGGGAGCAGGCACTTGTACACAAGGGCGTGTGGTAGGGTGCTTTATGGACACGAGGGCGTATTAGACCATGGCTTTCTCTATAACGAGAAATGGTAAAGAGGTACCTAGGCGCCGGGAGGTATCTCTCGGGTATTCGAAAGGCATTAGCTACCTAGTAAGGGAGCTTATATACCTGTGTATATAGGCCCCAGGTTTGCGCCATAAGGACTAAGATATTATTCTGATCTTTCGGATGCGGCGTTCTTTTTTCCTGGTTTCATGAGTTCCAGTATGAATCTCATGCCATCATTGCAAGGATCCGGTGGACCCCGAAAATAGACATCGTCGACGAATATTTCGACAGTTAAGCCAACATTGGACTTCTCGAACTTTTGTCCCCAAGAATCTTGAAGCTGCGCACCGTCAATTAACAACTCAATTGTGGACGTAACCTTGTCCATCTGAGTTAAATACTCCTGCGGATATGCATCCCATAACGGCTTGGGTAGTAAATTTGTCCGTACGGACCCAGGACAAATGGCGTATGTCCTTATGCCATCTTCTTGGTAGAACAACGGAGCTACTGAACGCATGAAATTTAAGATGCCGGCTTTGGCTGCTGCATATAGAGGTGTACTTGCTTGGGGATACTAAAACGTATAAGAAAGATATCTTTTTATAATTACGTACCTCCTAGGAAGGTAGTTAACGAAGAAGGGCACTTACTATACCAGCGATGCTTGATGTCATAAGGAGAACGCAGTCCTTGGCCCCATTCGTGTTTGCCCTGAAGTAGTGTTGCGACAGGTAACTCGTCTTGACCACCCCTTTCAGATTGACATCCATACTGGACTCGTCCGGTTCCGGTGGTGGCGATGAGAGCTCATGTCTTTCGAAGAACTCCCCCTTTTCCATAACACCAGCATTCGCAAAGACGAAATCGAGTCGGCCCTCGGTCTTGAAAACGGCATCGAAAGATGACGACAGAGATTCCCACGAGGCAACGTCGACTATATGAGAAACACAGTTACCTAGTTCAACTTCATTCAAGTCGAAAATGTGCACACGCCAACCCTTCCGCGAGAAGACGTCGGCGACTGCCAGCCCTAGTCCTGATGCACCGCCGGTGATAATGGCTACTTTGGAAATCGGCATTATCGGTACCTAGGTGCTGTATAAATACATAAGGATTCAAGTTGAACCGAATTGATAAAGTACACGGGAAGATCCAGGCGTTATATCTTATAATTTGTGAGCCCCTACTACTTGGCTTCCGTCCTGAAGACTGGAAATATTGCCAGGGGGATTCCCCGCACCGGCACTTTTCAGAAGGTACCCCATTTGTCTCCTGTTCAACCCTCTTCTTGTCAGTTCTGGTATTTTAGTAGGTATAGTAGGGTAGGACATACATACCTACAAGGTAGCCATCGAAATATCTTGATAGGGGCAGGCTATTACATAGGTACCTACCTAAGTACCTAGGTACCATGAGGTACTTAAAGATGTACGAATGGATGTAGTGTTATATGCCAGCACATGCTATGGTCGTAATAGACATCATGAAGTAATTAATTCAGTATACCCTTAAGAGCTTTGACACATATAGACGATCATACTTGTTGGCGCAATAATGACGTAACGCAAATTTCAAAAGAAATACGTGTGCGAAAGCCACAGACTCGACGTTGCCGGCTATAACGTTATAGGTTCAATGTTGTGAAGGGATCGCAGGTCTACTAACAAAGCTTCGAGAAGGATGTCGCGGAACACACTGATTGATGATCGGGTACTTATCTGCCCCGCAGTGGCTTGATCCCTGTGAAGAGCACGGCCCACATCCAGGTTTTAGTTGGTGATAATGGAGCCCCAGGCTGCTTCGGATTGGTGCAAAGCGCAGTAAGACAGCTGTAAGATAGTGGCCGCTTTCCCTTCTAGGCAGCGGAATCAACAAGGATCTCCACTTGAAAGTCGCGACGCCAACTCGAGTGCAGCTTCCTCCAGTTCATGATAGCAAAACAGCCTCTGGTTCTTTCCATTTTCACCGTACTTCTACAATATACATATACTACTGTAACCCCGGGGAACTTAAATAAACCTTGTAATACACGTTTTCCCTCCGTCCTCTTTTCGTGAATTTATCTTCTTCCTACTCATTTCATCCTTTTTTGTTATGAGCTCCTTCGCGACGAACACGTACCTTTCAACTGAACAACGATGCGCCTACCTGCTTGATTCGAATCTTGTTGCCGTCGTCGCTCGCCGTGATTATGGATCGCAATCCACCGAACTCTCCGAGAGTTCCGGCTACGAAGGCTAACGGAAACATCAACGGTAATGGTAACAGTAACGGGTTGGGTATCGGTCGCGGTGGTAGAAACACGACACAACCCTTCAGCTCCCGACGAATACCTCAGAAAAGTCCTAGCAAACCTGATTCGAAAGACAACATCACATCCGACACAGATACTAGTCCTAATACTGGCTCACGACACCCCTTATATTCGAGCCCGAAATACATTCCTCATAGCCACGGCTTCAGCGCATCAGCTAATAAAATTTCCGAGTCACCGCGCGAAACGCGAATACCTCAACCTAAGACCACAGCAGCTATTGCATCATCTTTCGATCGACAGAATAGCCCAATAAACAACCAAAGAAACAAGCAGAGACATCCCCAGACCCAATCTCTGGATATGCGACAGCCTTTGAACCTTAAGTCCGCCTTCGAGCTAGCTCGGCAGCAAGAGGCGGATGACACTCTCGACGATACCATTAGTATTAAGCATGCCTTCAATATGGCTAGCGCTGAGATGAACGGGCGCATAGACGGTTCCCCTAGTCCCGCTCCACGGCGCTTGCAGTCGAGACAGTCGTACAGCGCAGCTCCCCAGAGAACTTTGACGACTGGTACGAATAACGATCTTGGACGTCATCTTCAGCAATTCGATCGAAACCACCAGCTTAGTGCAGGCAATGGACCACTTAATGGCTTATTCGGTAGGAACAGAATTGGGCCTAAGGTGTCGGAAACCGGCAACGTCCTTGCTAAGACGACTAGCGACAACGACCTGAGAGGTTCCCCGGTGCGTCGCAGGGACAGTCAGCAGAATGCCATCTCAAGAGCGGATGAACATGCCGAAGCTGTTATACCTATTCCATCTATCGAGCACCAACCAGCCAACAATGATCGAAGCGACAGGGCTTCTTCGACTAAGAGACCGGCGAATCCGTCACCCGAGAAGAGCTTTAACTGGGAACTCGACGCCGACTTTACAGCTGGTGATCTCCAGATTTCCGAAAGTCCCCGGATACGAACCGATCAATCCAACGGAAGGTCTCGACGGACATCAAGTATTACATCTACGGCTAATGGCACGGCAAATTCACGCCGCAGCAACAATAGGATTGACGAGATTCGCCAGAAAGAAATTGAAGCTGCGAATGCTGTCTTGCCGGAAGAAGATGCATCATCGTTCAGGCGATCGAATAGCCGACTTGATGAGATACGAGTGCGAGAGATGGACGCGTTATCTAAGCGAGCAGTGGCTACGAGCAGGCTCGACGAGATACGAGTTAGAAACTCTGAGGCGCGAGAGGAGTCGCCGGAAACTGGGCGAACCTCTAACAGGGAAGAACCACGAGGTGGTTCACTCCAACTTAGTAACGAACATGCGAAACCCCCGGAGAATCAGCTGGGATTGAAGGCAGAGGAAGAACAAGTCGTAGATACCCCCGCCATTGTACCTCGAAGCACAAGTGAACAGAAACCTAACGAGCCACCTAAAGAGAGGGCAAATGCTTCTAAGACCGAATACGACAGAAATGACAGCCAACTATCGCGAAATGATTCACAAGACTTACTCCGCCGTCTTGCGCGGGCAACCAGCGCTAGTCCTCCCTCTGAGAAAACCGAACCAAGAGTTATTTCGGATACCCTACCACCGAAAGAAAGGTCTGATAGCAGAGAGAATAGTCGTTCACGTTCAGCTCGGGAGGAAAGGAAATCTAGGAACCTAGAGGTTAAGAACCTGGAGGTTAAGAGCTCTAGAGAAAGACCGACGGTTGGATTTGCTGGTTTACGATCAACTTCGTCTAGCGATTCTATTCGAGAAAAGGGGAGCAGCTTGCATGGCTCGGAAATGGATCCGTTGGATCGTATTGAAGCTGAGTTGAGACTTTTTGCCCCCCTTGACAACTACTCCGAGAAGGGATCTGTTCGAGCGCCATCTCCTGTTCCGTCGGAGCCGGCTGAAGAGGAGACGCCCCGAGTAAGCAAAGTTGACCCCTTGACTCAACCAACACCACGTGTCACCGGGGCATATGTTGAGACGCCGGCTACCGTTCGTGTCAAGCAAGAGAATCATGTAGATGAGGAAAAGGTGTCAGATGCCCCTAGCCGCACCCTGGATCCAATTTCGAAGCCGCGCAACAGAGATTCTAGCCAGCCGTCAAATAACGAAAGCGTTAAGCATGAGGACGATGATATTACAACTCTGAGAAGAACATCGGTGCCACGATCCTCTTCGGTGCCCACAGCTTCGCGTCGCGCTAGATCTGTTTCTAGACGCCGTCAGCCTCTGCGCCCTATAATCAATACAGCCAAACCTCCGACGGTAAAGGATGACATTCGTGCTATTCTACGCATGAACCAGATTGACGATTCAACCCTCGAAGACTTTGATTCCATTCTTGCCAACCAGGATATTGATGACGAAGAACTTCAGCAAATGATGGATGACACCATCGACAAGATCGACAAGGATCCTCAGCTGCCAGATCTCTCGGAGCGGGATTGTGAACTTCAGATCTATGATAGAATGAGCAAGTCACTGAGGACGGGTCTCCTGGGAATTCAGTCCGCAAAGAAGGGGATTGAACGTTTAGAAGACAGGGTTATGCATACCGAGCTCAAAGCAGAACAGACTCATACGGACCAAAATACCTCCCAGGAGAAATCGAAAATACATATACCCGTCAGTTCAAGCAGCTCTGCTCCCGTCATGCTCACACTTCCTGCTCTATACCGAAGAGATCCCAAACTCAGGCCAACAAAGTTCGGTATGCTAGCTATCGCAATGCTCATATGGTACACTCTAGAGTCGATCTTCTGTGTGCTTTACGTACCTCAGTATAATTGTACACCGGAAATACCCTGCGACTGGTCACCGAATGAGCCGTATTTTCCGTACGCTATGCCATTCATGCTAGATGAGTGGGCTACCGGAGGAAAGGGGAGAGCCCTAACATGGAAGGTCGGCGAAGAGATAGGAGACATCTACGCCGAGGTCTCAGACTGGGTGACGAAGAGAGATTTTACCCAGTTGGATGAGAAGTTTATGAACGTCTGGGAGCGCAAGCGACATCGGAGACGATTACGGAAGCGCGGCCTGGTTCCAAAATGGGTGGCGCCTCCGGATTACAAACCCAGATTTCCGCAATGGAATGCAGCGCGCTTAGCTATGGAAGCTACCGAAGAAGGCGACTATGACGCGGAGGACGAGACCATGGAGGCGGACGAGAGGCTTAGGTGAAACAACATGCCAACAGTCATAGCAAACCTTTAGATCTCACGATCTGCTGTGGGGAAACTGCCCTGTATACTATTTCCAGTCAGTATCTATGCTATTGGCTGTTCATAATACCATAGGCTATACGGGATGCGATTTTGCATGTGCTAAAGGTGGGACACAACTGGCGTTCTTTGGCTTCGGCTTTGCAGTTTTTCGTCAAAACGGCTTCAAAGGGCACGGAGTACTTCACGGTCAAACCAGCTTACGACGTCTATGTGTAGGCTAAGGCCACAATATTGAAATGGAAATCGATTTGATGGCATTTCGCGATGCACTGTTTACATGAACTCAAGTGCTAAGCCTTACTATTCCTAATTATCTGCTTCGTCGAATTAAAGCGTCGCTTGTGGATAAAGTCTCAACAGGTTCGACTCATAAATATTTATGCCATAGCTCTCTAGGTTTGTATTACGTCGGACTCCGACGTCAGCTCTCCGACGGCGCTTCAATTGTTCATTCGTAGAATCAAAACGTGCTAACTTTCATCACAACGATTACCGCTTACGCAATTAAGTTTCCGGGACAGGAAAACATGAGATCTAGCCGTCAGAACGAGATTTGCCGGTACCGAGTCGACGCCAGCTGATCGGGGTCTTGATGATGAAATGGAAGATTTTAGTCTGAGACGATTTCATACTAACCCCTTGGTCCACAATAGCTGAATTCCCGATTAGGCAATGGAAACGAATTGCAACAAAGCCGCTAAGACGTCAAGACGTCGAGACAGACCGCTATCGCGATCTGATGTCATGAATGCCGTCATTGTCTTTCATGTTGTGTGTGATGGCGCACAGCTAGCCGTAGCTGCAATAGCTCCAGGTGGTATTGTTGTTAGAACGCAAGGGATGTATTCGAATCTCAAACCATGAGCTCATCTACTCTGCAGCACCTCTAGACATTTAAGACACTACTCCTCCCATTTCACAGTAACAAAGTCTATCCTTACTTAAGAAATTACACGATAACTTATCCATTACAGCCATTACTAACTTATTCCCAATAACTTTCCACTTTAAGCATAATGACTTCATACACATCACAAGAACCGGAGCATATTCCAGGCTCCTTCCCAACAGACGACATGCTTTCCACACCCGTCGAACACACAAACCTCGCTTCTTCAACACCTCATTCACATCACAATAAATTGCATAAACGCGATGATCCCAGGGGGTGGACCGACGAGGGCAAGACTGCTCACGGACACCAGCATACTGACTCCAGCGTTGGCCTTACCGACAGGAGTGGCCTAGACTATGATACTCGAAATATAGTCAACGAAAAGGCTTTCCACTCAAACCAAACTCCTTTACAAGGACATACAGAACAAGGCAATCCATCCAGCATCACTGATTCACAGAGAGCCAATCAACATGAAATCCACAGGAAACCCGGCGTCATGACTGGCGCCTACAGTCAACTTGACGAGGACAATAATCTCAACCATCCCAAATCAAATGCGCCATATTCAACCCAGCAACAAACCGGTGTAGCTAGGGGTGTCGTTGGCCCGACTCCAGGAACAGGCGTCTTAGTTACGCCAGAGGCTGAGGCCAAACTAGGAAATGACAATCGTAACATGGTCAAGCAGAGTCTTAGGCATTCAAGCGACCTCGAACATGATGATCCATATTGGGGCGATGTTCCCTATGGGACTGGAACTTACAACACCATTACTGGTCACGGAAGCTCCGAGACACCTGACATGGGGTCCGTTCATCCCCATGGTTCCCAATTACACCATGACCGGGAGCAGTCAAACCCCCTTTCCACTGGCCACATCACTCCCCATGACGAATTAGCCAGCCACAACAGTTCGAAATTCAAAGAAGGCGCTGCTACTGGTACTGCTGCTGGTGCCGCCGCTGGCGCTGGCCTCGCGGCCTCCAAGCTTCCAGAACACCAAAAAGGTCATCATCATGAGAAAGCGGACATGGAAGAGTCCTCTTCTCATAAGAATGATGACAACAGCACCTCGACCGGAAGCAAAATTCTTAGCTTTTTCCAATGGGACAATAAGGAAAAGGATAGTAGGCCTGAGAGACATGAGGTTGAGAAAGAACATGAGCCCAAACAACAAAAGCCAATCCACAACGACAAGCCTCTCACAAAGAGGGATGCCGGAGCAGCTCTTGCCGCAGCTTCGGTGGCATCGGGTGCTAAGGATAATGATCGTAAACATGAGGACAGCAAAACTGCGTTATACGGGCATCCGGATGATAAGTTTGACAGTCGTGATGTCGTAGCGAAGGATTCCTACGTTACTACTGGCAATACCGGTCCTCACACTCAGAGCACCTCGCAGAATACTAACAAGGTGCTACCGATGTCCGACAATACGACTAGGAGGGGTCATCCTTCCAGTTCCCAAGTAGAGCCTACAGAACATAAAGACTCAAAGTTTGCTTACGGCCTTGGAGCTGCGGGTATAGGAGCAGGCGCTGGGTATGCTATTCATGAGCATGCCAACAAAGACAACAATCCTAACAGACATTCTACGCAGCCGGCGTACGAGAACACCATGGTGCCACCACCCAAGGCATCTACACAGCCGATGCATTCAAGCCACATCGACGACAGGGCTCAACATAGTATGGTTGCGGGTACAGCAGCATCTATCGCATCCTCAGGACAGAGGCAGACAATGCCACAAACCAACCCCAGTGCCCAATCTTCCCACACAGATCCCAGCCACCAGCCTCAATACTTCATCTTGCCGGATGGAACTCCGTCGGGTATGAATATTGGCGACCACTCGGGTGCACAGACCCACTTGGGTGAACAGAGGAACACGACGACCGGAACCTCAAGTGTCGCACGGGACGTCGCAGCAAAGGGCGACCACACCGGTGCCAAGCTCGCCGCAGCTGGCGCAGGTGTCGCCGGTGCCGGCACAGCCGCTCATCACGCCAACAAGCAGAGCCACGGCAAGAACACGACGACCGGGTCGCGCAAGGCTATGGATCTTGATTCAAACAACGTCCATGAACCGTACATGCAGGCCGCAGGAGCTCAATCCCACATTCCGACTGCTACCAGCCATCACGGCGAGCAGCAGCATATCCTCAGAGACACCATGCGTCCCAGCAACACGGCCCGCGACCAGCACGCTGACAATAATCTTGCCGTTTCATCGCCGGGCGCTCCCGGTACTATAAAAGATGGTAACCGTACGGGAGCCAAAGGCACTGCCGCCGCTGCTGCAGGTGTAGCCGGAGCCGGAGCCGCAGCGCATCACCACAATAGCAAGAACGTCTCTGACAATAATGCCGCGCCTTCTAGCACGACCCGCGAGCAGCGTTCCGCTACGACCAGCTCCCACGCCCCGCACAGCGCGTCCTCGACTACTAAATCGCACGCCCGGAACCGCGCGTCGACGGACTCGAGTCATGACGGGCAGTACAATGTTCTTTCGTCCGGGACGCCTTCCGGTATTAACCGCGAGCATCTCGGACACGAACATGGAAGTTCGGATAGTGGGGAGGGACTCGGTGGTTTCGAGACTGGAAGAAACGCGGTTCATCCCCCGGCTATGGAAACAGGGGCGGGTATTGGTGCTGCGACGAAGGAGAAAGAGACGGGGACGGGGTTGAGGAGGACGGGTATGGCGGCCGGTGCTGGCGCTGGTGCTGGTGCTGGCACAGGGATGGCTGCTGCTGCGGCTTCGGCGTTGAAGGCTGGGGATCGTGTGGTGCATCGGTGTGGCAAGTGTGGTGAGGAGAATGATATTACGGGGTATTTCCGTGAGTGATGGATGATGATGGGGTGAATTGAATGACGAGGCATGAGTGTGATGAATAGGGGTATGTTGGGCCATGAACTGGGGTTCTGCTGTTAATTATGATCTGTTTTGCACTTGTTTTAAATATTGATATCGATTTCATGGGAAAATGTCAACAATACGTATATGAAGAAAAGTGGCTTTGTTGTTTTTCTTCAAGTCAACGTCGTTTCATGGCAGGTGACTAGATCCTGGTGGCAATGTGAGATTATCATTAGAACTAAATACTTCCTGTTCGAGCTTCTGTCAGGTAGCATGTTGGATGACAAGTAAACCTTCCTCGTCAGCAAGCACACGGCCTTTATCATCTAAGATACCTACTCTATGGTCCTCTCCAGTATGCTGTCAAGGAAAAGTGTTAGCTGCTGTTTGACACCTAAGGTAAGTAGAATCTTGCCGTAGAAGGAAAATCGGTCAAGGCTTCATCACTCAACGTACGTAGTTGTTGAGCTTCGGACACTTAGGTATTGAGCAAATTACCAGTCAATGATTTGGAATTAACCCGGCTATTATAAGCGAACTGATGGGAGTAATTTATAATAATAGTTCTGCCACGGTTATTAGCTTAAATCCGACCAACAGGTGGCTGAGAGTTGAGCTGGCTATCAGGATCGTGAGTTCACTTATGTGAGCCAGGAATTTTCTTTCCTAAATCAGTCAAGGAAATAACACTCACAGTCATGTGTCTCTTACGTAGACTTAGCTGACTTGATCTGTTGGGCTACGATGATGCAAGACCTAGCGTAACTCCTAGGCTGAGCCCCCGAAATGTTAGCTTATAAAGAGATGAACCCTTCTTTCCAGACACAAGAGGCGAGTAGTTATTTACAGTCACTCTGATACCTACTCAGGATTCATAGATGACGTGGACGTTCATTATATATAGGGTCTATTTACATGGAGTACAATGAAGATTTCCCCTAACCTCCAATATCCTTCTTTATTTTCATATCAAATTTTGAAGGGGATTAACGATCAAAATTGACGGAAATTTTTAACATCTAAAATCCTTTTCACCATGGAGAGCTCAGACCCACCCGAGTTTCCCGACTTTGAAGTCGAGTCACTAGATGACGCGGAAAAGATCTTAGCCGTATTCAAGAAGATCGAGGACTACTTCGACAGCATCGAGACTGGGGAGATCCTGCCCACAGCCACGTACGAAGTGCTCGTCAAGGCTCTAGACTGGTTCCCATATGCGTTGAGGAGACTTGAAGAGGGCAAGGAAAAGTTTACTGATGACCCTGAAACGAAGGAGATAATCCAAGACGCTTTGGACATCTTGAATACTATACACCCAACAATCGAACCGACCATTAACGACAGCGACGAACTAAGAGAGCGCGAAGGGGAAGTCAATGGATCTTAGGATGTTAGCATTAGAAATCGGCGTGGTAGTCCTACATAGGTTAGGGCATATCTACACGGTAATATGGTCAGACTATCAAGGAAGTTTCACCCCTATTTAAACGGGAAATATTATTATCAATATGAACTCCCCTTTCCATGAAACGTACACTAAAATTTTTCTTATGATATTTCACCCGATTATATTCCTCCCTGGAAAAGTTCTTAGATATATGACAACCTTCTTAACTTTTAGTTTCATAAAATGTACCTAGAAGTATCTATATAACCATCATTCTTGATTATGACTCTTGTCCTTGTTTATTAGACAGCTAATAACAGCTTGATATTCATTATGGCAAACTAATCACGTAGTCAAAAGAGAACCTTTATTTAATTCAAGCAAATGCTCTGAGTCAATTCTGTTGTTGACTACCTAGATCGTTTGATTTATATATGACGTGTCCGCAAGGCAAGCGGGTAGGAACCTTACTATATATAACACCTGTGATCAATGTCTTCGTTACCCTTTTGATAACCAGACTCTAATTTAGTTCCGAAGTTATAACCGCAGATAAGTATGAATTTCCAGGGGCAAGATCTACCAACCACTTCAGTCCCGCCCGGCAATATATCTCGTGGGAGCTATAACCTTACTAGTAATGATATCGAGTGCATTCCTAGCGAACTTCGCAATTCTTACTGCGCGCATTTTTACGTTGAGTTCTTCGAGATCCATAAAGAGGCACATCTGACACCAGAATATCCAAATCACGCCATGATCGGGATCGAATTCGCGGAGAAATGTGGTGAATACGAGGGAGTTGTCATAGATATAGTCGCAGATTTCGATGACATCGTTAGCCGAGGTGACCTCGACTTCTCAGAGCACACGCCTGGTAAAATGGTCATTCTGCCTCTCGAGTACAAAGATGCTTCTCCGATCACAACTCGTACTTTTCAGTTTTCTCCCCCGCCCCAGACAGCTCCCAGACTGTTGGGGGATGTGCTCGCAAGTATAACGAAGGCCGGACTCCAGCACTTTGACTTTAGTGGAGAGATGGGAGGTCCGCTACTGCGTGGGTGCCGCGACTTTATGTAGGTTGGAGCTTGGACGGCGATCGAAACGAAAAGATTCACTAATACTAAGTATGAGATAGTTACCAGGTTTTCATCCATCTGATAATTTCTGGATATACTGAAAACCGAGTTAGAATGACCTGGCCGACCCCCCCGCTCCCGTTGCAGGTACAATACCTGTCTGATATCATGGGAAAGCATTATAGCGACGAAGGAGATGTCGAGCATCCCGTCCGTAGAGGTCGATTCCGTATCTACCAGCGTAAACTGATTGGTATTTCACTACCTTAAATATTAGGTAGTATTGTAAAGAATGAGACGTCACAGTTACTTATAATTCGTGTTGATGTTGGTGTTAGTGTTGGTGTTGATTTGCACATAGAGTTGAGCAAGTTGAAGATTCTAAATGCCCCCTGTTAGTCAAGATATTCTCTAAGGAGAGCTGCCGCACATACCAATTAAAGTTGACTTATACATCTTGCGTGGATAGTAGGTACGAATATCGCATGGATTATCCTTTTGTTCACGTAACACAGCTTCGCCGTACTGAAGTCAAGAGGTGAGATTTCCTTACAATGCAAACCCGTCTTAGAAGGAGGACAGAGAGTAGTTAGTGGTATGAGTAAGACTTGGATGATTTGTGTGAAACCGCACATATTTTACGTGTGCGTGATGACTTGCTAAATTTAGAATCATTCTACATCGATTATTTGTACTGAAGGTCTATTCAACCATCTTGGCTACAATCATGAATGTGTTCTTTAGAACTGTAAATCTTCAAGATTTGCAATTCTCAAACTACCTTTTCATGATGACATACACCGTTGTTTATCTCTGGTAAGGCTGGGCCTATGTAATGGTGTATGTACCTAATAATATCTTTTGGTGGCTCATTGGCATTCAGCCCCTTCGCTTCAGGGGTCGGGGCTCTCTGCCTTACCAGGAAATAGAGCTCCAATCTAACCCAGTCTAACCCCAGTCTAGGGCTGAAGAGCATTAAATGAGCAACCAACAGCACTTAATGAGTCCAGGCTTTGCGCTAGGCGCAGCACCTGGTCAGGCAACAGTTTAGTGCAGCTGTGATTCGCTGCGTAGCCGATGATCCCTGGGTTTTAGAGTCGCGCCAAGGGCAGCTTTACTTATCTGTACCAAACAAAGAAATGAAACTAGCGTAGCTCTGCCCGTGGCTTGCCCGTGTCTGCCTCAGCTGTGCCGCATACGGCATATTTAGCTGTACAATAGATCCCAGCTGCCTGGGTCCCTTACCAAATGTTGACTCGACTCGAGAGATCTAATGCGGTATGACATCTGTAGCGTCTCGTGCTATGGCTAGATAATCACTACTCTGTAAAGAGATGAAGTTTTAATTATGGAGTCCTCGACCCATTTACTTGGCGGACTTGTACCTCGTGAGATGTTTATTAATTTAGAGTAACCCTTATGAAGTGGATGTTTTGTTTGTTTCCTTCTTTAACTAATCCCACCTTTTGTTGACCTGCCTTTCCCGCCGAGAGATCTCGACTTTGTCCACGGCATCCATATAGAATATTAAAGTCCATTGTCTGCCTCCCTAGGTAGAAGCTAGTTGTCAGATGGACACTCAAGAGAAGATTGTCTACGTCGCGCCTGAGCATACCCAAGCTAGCCAACCTCAACCTCAGTACCAACCGGCGATGCAAGGACAGCCACCTGTAGGAACTTACGTGCAACAACCACTACCGCCACCGCTATCACCGCAACCGAAAGGGCTACCCGAAATGCAACAACCCCAGATGCAGCCTCAGATGCAACCCCAGATGCAATCGCAAGCGGACTTGCGCGCATATCCTCACCCGACCGCATATGGCCAGCAGGGTGGTGAATGGCAAGCGAGTCTTTGCGATTGCTCGCCATGCACAAGCTGCCTGCTATCCACATGTCTGCCATGTATCCTGCTCGGTCAGACGTCCGAACGGATCAGGGACCCCTCGATGCAATCGGCCGACATGATGAACAGCGACTGCATGATTCACGGTCTCATCACCGTCTTTACCGGTTGCGGCTGGATGTACGTTTTTTTCTTCCCCCTCGACCAATTTTTTTTTTACCCATCACTTGGGAAGGCAAAAGAGCTGACGTTTATTTTATTTTAGCTACGCGTTGATGAAGCGAGGCGAGATCCGCGAACGATACCAGATCGAAGGCAGCGGCTTTAGCGATTGCTGCGTTTCGTACTGGTGCCCGTGCTGCGCGCTGATCCAGCAAGACAACGAGGTTAAGGTGCGCCAGCGCGGCGCTGCGCCGGTAGCGCAGGGCTACCAGCCTCAACCCGCCATGCAAATGCCGGCACCGTCTTACCAACCATGAGCGCAACTCCTATAAAAGTTAATTAACTTTGAATCTCTATATTGGAATAATTGGCCTCGACGAAGTGGAAGCGAGATTAGGAGCATTCTTAATAATGGTGTGCCGATATTGCCGCGATTCTAAAACTCAGATGAGGCAAGAGTTTATTTCGCAGCGGCGGATGATACCTAGGTGAATATCGGTATCCCAGTAGGATAAATAGGATTGGTTATACCCAGGATGGATTGTATATAATAATTTAAACTTCGTCGGCGCGAAACAAGTCTTATAGGTGCGATTTCTTTTGAAAATATCAGGCCAACATACGTAATTGTGCATGCTGGTTCCGCGGCCCCGGGTACACATCTGCCTAAAGCGCACCGTCCGGACGGCGGAAGGCGGAAGGCAATTCGCATAGACGATCCCCAGAAACAACCCCTGAGCTTAGTTAATATGGTTTAGTTAATTAGAACATTTCATCTTCTAGCCTTTCCTTTCTACACTACTCTGTAGGCACCCTTTCTGATATTTTCACTTCTGAGTTTCCTAGGATTCCATGTCGAGAGCTATAGTTTCAGGCCGTGCAACCTGCGACCACCTTATAGCCTCAAATCTTGGTCCGATCTGAGATTCCGTAACAGCGAGGGGCGCGGTTTAAGAGTGGCACAGTGCAGTGGACGATGGATTGTGCATTACTCAAGAAGCCAACCTATTCGTCGCTGTCTCCATACTCGCAAACTTGATGAACCTCGACCCGCTGACTCTGATATAAATGCATGCTCCATGAGATGGCGCCCACTAGAGCGGGTGGCTTATAGGACGACGTAAACGGATTCAGCGGATACGGATGGAAAAAAAAAAAACCTGCACGATTTCCGTAGAGACTGATAAGTGCTTCAATAATGCCGACTCCTTTGCGATTTTGGGCAGTGCTCTGTATTGGAAACCCAGAGCAAGGAGATTGACGACGACGGCAAATTCACCAGCCCTCCAACTGGACAAAGGAGTAACATAAGTTCTGTGGGTTCAGGGGCTGGGCGCGGTTCAGATGCCATGAAGAATGATGCGGCAAAACGGTTCATGTAAGATGTAGGACGATAGTGTTTTGAGCAGATAGTAACGTAGAATGGTTAGAGATGGCCCAGGATTTTGATATTTCGAGGCAAGTTCTAATAATATCGCGATGAAAGTCTTAAGACGGCGCCAGTCGCTCAATTACCCACTCTTTCAGTATGTCTTCGGCGGCCGTACCTTGTGCCTCCGGTCTCTCCCAGTTCACCGTCAACTTGCCATACGCTCCGTCTCTCAACAGCCCTCTCAGCGGCACAAGAGCCTCCATCTCGTGCCTCCGCCAACTCCTGTGCCATGAACCGAGCGCGTGCAGCTCGACATGCACCCACCTTAGGCCCTCCAACTTCCGCATATCCTCCCAAATCTTCAACCACTCGCGACGCCAGAATTCCTCTCTCCTCACGAATCTGCGGCTCAGCCTCCGCTTAATCCAGCCCATATCCGCCGGCAGTGGCTCAATAACCGGCGGATGGCCCCGCCACGAGCGGAACTCGAGCCGGCGAATCCACGACGCGTATGACGTGGCGGCGAGCAGCGTCACTGTGTCGCGCGTGCACACGGAAAACGTATTGACGCTGTAGAGTACGGGAAGCGCCTCGGCGTACGCGCGAGAGCACGTCACCAGCAAGCTGAGCAGGCGAGCCTCGCGCACCGCGGTAACCCGCGGCCCTTCGTCTACGGGTCTTTCGAGCCCGATGAAGCGCGGGAGGCCCTGCGTGCTGACGGGGATGGGCGAGCTGTCCAGCGCGAGGCGGAAGATCTTGAGACGCAGGTCGAGGGGGAGCTTGGCGAAGAGCGACGACTGGGTTTGCGGGTGCCGCGGGATGGGGGGTCGTTGTTGCGCCCGCGGTGGAGGGTAGATCCATTCGTACGGTATGGGTTTTTTGTCGTTGGGGCGGCGACGTCTGGGACAAAGTAGAAAAGGCATCTGGGTGGATTGATGAATGTAAGGAAATTGTAATTCCAACGTCCCGTAAGCAGAGGAGGTTTCTAGTATTTATATTTTTATTACGTTCTGGGTGTTGGTGCAAGTATTTATGCTGCGCCTTATTGAAAAAGGGGGGTTAGTTACGACGTTTACACGTATAGTAAGTAGGTAGGTAAAGTAAAGGACTCTGGGAGGCATCCCACCAAAAACATCCTCAGTATGCATATATCTAAGAAGAACAGCACAACATTCACGCAAGGATCTCATTGATTCTCGTAATTAAACATATGTAGAGCGTTCTACCTCTACCTGACATGCCACAACCCCGAGAACTCGCCATTTACCTCTGTAAAGTAGAGTTGCGAACTACCTAGGTACTCAATCAGCCGTAGCGCCCATCCATTCACTCCTCCAGAGCCAGAAAGATCCATAAATTCCCGGGGCTCCGTGGTCGATGCCACATATGCCTAGGGGCGTGATTGAACCCATCAAGCGATGCTCGCCCAGATAATTTTGTCTGGGTGTGAATTCGAAAGTATGGTACACATCCCGGACGATAACTCGACCACGCATTCTGCGAACTGCATCCGGCGCCGCCCCATCCGGTACTTCAACCGAGTACTCTTCGCCATTGGCGGTGACCTTGCGGAAACGTATTCCCTTCAGAGTCGGTTCGGGACGATAATCATTCCCCTTGAGGAAATAGACATAGGAGCAGCACCATTCCCCTTCGTCGAAGCTCCGGAATAGATCACGTACGCGCGCGTTGTACCAAGACCACCACTCATAACCACAAAATGCGTCGAAATAACGACCACTTTTCTCCTTCTGGGCCACGAGACTAGGCGTAATAAGGGGAAACCTTGGCTGTAGAGGCGTGAATCCTTTTTGTCTCGTGTTTTCCATCTTGCTTCGGCCACCAGAATGCCAAGAGTCGAATAATTCGATCTTCTTAGGATCTGGGAGCTGGACGGGAACTTGAAGCAGCACCCAGATTACAGAGTTGGTGTTGGGGATATGTATAGGCCTGCCTGCCCCCCCGTGTACGGATGTGAAGTGAATCTTTCGAGCCATGAAATCCATGATGTGGAGCGCCCATGTCTGTTTTTCTATCCAGGCCTCGTTGAACTCTGGCTGCCGCGCAGCGCGGAATAAGAAGGTCCTCGCATATTCATATGGGACTCCGCCATTTGGTCCGCCTGACTCGTGGGTTTCAAGGGTGTTCATAGCCAAGACGAAAGAGAATCGCAGAAAGGTTTCGGAGTCGCATCTCAGGAGTCGCCTGGAAATAAAGAGCAACTGAAGGATCCGAAGTGTGTAACCAAGCCATGGCGTTGTATCTAAATGTGCGATTGTATTAGATAAATCACCCCGTACGTATTGTATGGAAAAGAAAAAAAGAAAAGAAGAGGAGAGAGAGAGAGAGAGAAATTGATACTAACATCCCCAGATTGGCAAAGTCGCATGGAAACTTATCAGTCCTCGCAGAGACTTCTCGGTGTCTTCATCCACGACATATTTATATTTCTCATCAAACTTCACAGTCGATGCAATCCGTCTCAATTCTGACAATGAATCTGGAAACCGGGACACTGCCACGGCCAGGCAAAGCCATGTCATCCTTGGACCTTCGTACTGTTGGCCAGTCGTTCTCGGTCTGTCGATATAGTTTCTCATAATTTGTACTAATGCGGTCTTGTCCTTGAAGGCTGTGGACGTGAGCTTGGGAAGCTAGCGGCTCGTGGTTAGCTTTTAGTCGGAAGATATCTTGGTGGAATGTAATCTTACATGATTCTGGAAGGACATCTCGAAAACAGCGGCAGTGTTGCAAACCGTATTCAGGTGGCGACACGTCCGGCTGAGAGCTAGAATATCCGAAGCCGGACACCATCCAGCAATGAGCTGGATCAGCTCGACGGGTAGATAGACTAATGGCGTCATGGTGTGTAGGGACACTTCGGGTAGAGCGAATTGATTGGACGGTTGGATGAGTTCTGAGGTGAAAACGAAGTGTAGAGAATTAGGATTAGGATTAGAATCAGGTTAATGCTTATGCCAATGATTATATATATTTTTAATGCCATGTTTCTACTGTCTACCGTACATATCCATTGATGCTACCGCTTTCACCACCTGCCTGGCCTGAGCACACACAGTTGGGCATAGCAACGCCAACTGTCTCTCTGGTGACAGACAATAGACCGGTGCATGGACCAGGTTCAGGTGACTGCGAGATAACTTACTGTACGATATTAACTGGCGTCTTTCCGAAGAGACTGAACTGCGAGGAAGGTGCATGGTAAAATACACCGTCATTTATATATTCCTTACATACCATAGCGGGAAATAACGTAGCCTAACAATCATTTAAAAGTCAAACAATCATTAATACACCCTAAGAAATTCAAACAATCATTAAAAACTAAACAATCATTGGCAATATAAGAATTATTACTCGCTTTTACAGCTGGCAAGTAACTGTTAAGCTAGGCTCCTAAAGCTATCAGCCAGGTAGTCTATACGATAACAAGGCTGACGATAGATTATAGTCCCCCTATAACCCACCCACCACCTTACAACCTTCGAACTTTCACAAAATTTCTAAGGTTCTAATATCTTCAACATCACCTACCCCCTCTACCCCCCTCCCTCCCCTCCTCCCCCCCCGCCCCTCCTACCTACAACAACAACAACAACAACAACAACAGCAACAACAGCAACAACACTAAAGTCAACACTTGCAAAAAAACTTAGGATTTTTTTCCCTTCTCACACACATCACCTACTACACACAAAAAAAACTTAGAATTTTTTCCTTCTTCCCACACTTATACACACACACATACACACAAACATACACACACACCTACACACACACCTACCTCTTACACATACACCATCCACTCGCATAATACTTTATATTTTTAACTAATACTCATGTATTAGATCTATCAAATAATCCTTATATACTAAGTCACCCTGATACTAACGCCAGTAGATCTGTAGGGTGCAGTAAACGCGTAGACCTATAGGACTATAGATCTGTTGACTAGTAGGACCGTAGATCAGTAGACCTGTAGACCTGTAGACTTGTAGGTCTCGTCCCCCGTCCCTGCTAATAATAGCAGGGACGGGGACGAGGAATAAGAGACCTACCTAAATACACCTTCCAATGATTATTCACACCTACCAATGATTATTTACTTGACAACCATAGGTAAATAAAAGCATTATAGTGATAATGGGTAATGGTTTTCGCGGAAGGTAAATCATTGTTCAATAGCGGGGGTTCCCGGTATGGTAATTTGACCTCCTTTTCTCGGATTACTAAGCAGTCTTGACAGTCGTGAAGAATGCTTCCACTAATTAAGGTTGGAGACCCACATATCTTCTCGGCACCTTCCTAGGTACTTGGGTACACAATGAACCTTGTCTTTTTTTGGCCATTCTAATCAATTACAACGTAGGATTTCTTACGTAATATTGACAGCAGCGGGGTTCATGAGGGACACACAAAAATAGCTACGAGTATGTACGTTGATAGGGTCCCTATTCGTTCTCAAATTACACAATGTAGCCCAAGCCCAAGCCCAAGCCCAAGCAACCCAACACATGCCTGCCTACCTGAGTACTAATTCGCTCTGCTGCCTTTTAGCCGCGAGAAAGAGGTAATCAGAAATATTTAAAATTATTTTCGAATTTCTTTAAGAATGGTTTGCTTTCTGGATTTGCCTAATGAGGTTCTCATCGCCATCCTTGAGCCCCTCGCAACCGCCGACCTCCAATCGCTCATTCTCTTACAGCTCACAAATCGACGACTCCATGCACTGGTTCGAGATGTCATATATAATATTCAAAATGTCTCAGCTGCCAGTCATAGTACTCACTTCGAAGAAACGCAGATACACCCCTTCCTAAAAGCCAAGTTCAAGGGATTGTTTAATACAGCAGATTGTTTCACAGCGGCGGAAAAGGGCAGGCTAGCATATCTTAGTCTCAATGGCGATTATATTCTTCCGTTTCGCAGGCTCCCGTGGGCACAACGCCAGGACAAGCGCCAGGTGTATTTCCGTCCCGAGGCGAGCTGGCGCGATCTCAATCTCACTTTTGGACAAGCCCCCATCACACACCTTGACATAGTCAAGAGCTATTCAGCTCCGGAAGGTGATTCTGTCGATTACTATCAGCTGGAAATGCCGCCGTCCGGTATGACAATGGGTCTTTTCTACGACGTTCTTCTGTGCGACACTGGCACGTACCGCCGTGAGACAGGAAGTTGGGAATTGATCGTCGGAAAGCGATTGCGCAGCTACGATGTCCTATCTGAATATGAATGTTTTATCCCCGATGATCGCGAATTAGTGGATTATGGCAAGGAGGCACGACAGGCAGCCGTGTTGTATGTGCGAGGTGGTCCTGTCAGCCGCAATATCACTAGCGAGGCCGAGGAGAATGAATGGATCTCCAGCAGTCAGAATAAGCAACGGCTGCTTCCGTGGCAGGGGCCGATCCAGAACTTTATATTTACGGGGTATTACGATTAGATCCGTACAATTAGGAATACGCATGGTCTCCAGCTCGACTCGATAGCATATCAGTTACAACACACTTGCAACCTACGGTCTACCCAAAGAACCAATAAATGGAGTTCAAATTGAAAGCCACTCGGGCCACTGTCCACCTGCCTACCTAGGATAGGGGAGAGAATAATTGCCCTGGTTTTCTACTAGAACGGCGCTATTTGAAGATCCCGCATCTTAGCGCCATCTCGAGTCATACCATAAATATTGTAGATTTGTATTACATACCTACCGGGTATCTCGTTTCGAGACAGCCTTGTAGGCTCGGCGAGGAGTGAAAGCCCGAATCTGACCGGTTTACTAATTCACTCAAGGCTACCGACTTGACATCACCCCGACTGCCGAGAGATCTTACATCTAAAACAACTCAATCTGACATATATCAATTGTCCGAACCAATGAAACCTGTGTATCGTCAAGAATTGGATGTTGATTTCCAACGCAGTATAGTAATTGCACATGAATAATCATGATTAACAAGCAAACTATCCGTCACAACGGGAAGATCATGGAAACAGCAATCAGTCAAAATTGTCGTAGATCTGTCCGTGGCGGTAAAGAGAGAAGTCCTAGAGCCATCGCTGCTTCAGCTTCATGCACCTAATCTACCCGCTAAGTTAGCATTGTAACTGACTAGCACAATGACACGTTTCAGGGCCGGTCGACCCATATCCACCGCCCCTCATTCGGACGATATCCCAACGTCAAAGACGCGACAGGACGTAACCTTGGCGGGAAGAGACAGGTAGAAAACCCAGCTGATGACTAATTCGTGCATAAATTAGACGGCAAACCAGTTTCCGTCGCGGGCCCGTTGTTTCCTGAAGCTTCTATACGTAGTATAAATATTGGACGCAGGAACTTTGGTAAGAGGGGTTTGTTCTGAGGGGTTCTTTTCCTATCTCCATCCCGATCACAACATTTAAACTCCCCATTGCAACATCAGATAAAAATCTCTTTACTTACCACAACTCTTACAACTTGACACCAACTCAACTTCACTCACCTAACAACCATGGCTCCTTTCGGCAAGATTTACTCCTACCCCAACAACTTCCGTGTTGAGCGGGTAAGTCTTTTCTCTTCCAGTTCCTAATCTTTATCTCCCAATCCCGAATCCCGTGTTGTCGAAATCTAACAGTCGTCGCAGGCCCAAGTTGTTGCCGCCTACAATGGTCTCGAAGTCCCGCGCGTCGAGGACTTCAAGATGGGCGTTGACAACGCGTCGCCCGATTTCTTGGCCAAGTTCCCCATGGGAAAGGTCCCGGCCTTCGAGGGTGCGGACGGGTACTGCGTTGCGGAGTCTGCCGCCATCGCCACCTACATCGCCCTCTCGGGACCCAAGAAGGACCAGCTGATGGGCGCCGACGCCAAGACCCAGGCCACGATCTCGGAGTGGATTTTCTTCTCGGAGAGCGAGCTGGTCGGCAACATGCTCCCGCCCGCCGCCATGGTCGTCTTCAAGATGACACCTTACAATGAGCAGCTCTACAACACATGCGTCTCGCGCGCCGAGCGTGCGCTGAAGCGAGTTGAGGTCGCGCTCCAGGGCAAGAAGTACCTGGTCGGCGACCAGGTCACGCTCGCCGACATCCTCGTCTCCGGCGTGCTGTTCTTCGCCTCCAAGTTCCTGATCGACGCCGAGATGCGCAAGGACCTTCCCAACGTCTTTTCGTGGCTGCAGCACCTGGCCACGCTCCCGGAGTTCAAGCCCCTCGGCGAACTGTCCCTCTTGGAGACTCGTGCTAAGCCTTGAAAGAAGTATTGATCATTGACGTCCGTGGATGAGAAGGTCAGCGATTAATAATGTACATCAATCTTCGCGGCTGCATTTCTCGAACACTGTTGTCAATAGTGTAAGAGAGGGGTTGATCAGAAGCCAAGTCTGAACTAGAGTACGCCCTATGTTTTACATGTCCGTTCGGAGGAAGAGTGGACCAGTCAGCGCGATGATGATGTCAAATAACCAACCAAAATAAAAATATATTTAAGCTTACAAATACCCTGCCCCTTCACGCTGATTGTTTGATTACATGTTCGACCCGGAAAGTCTTTCATTTATCGCACTGAGGTAGGTACCCGTTAGTCGGTGATTATTGCCCTGTTTGTCAGGGAGAAAACCTTGTGCGACGGGTGTGGGCCGGTATCCCTTCCCGTTTCCTTCCCACGCCACATGCCTCCTTCCGCCCAACCGTCTCAGCAGATTGCCTTTTTCGTTCGGTGAGCGAATCCCGATTGGCAAGGGCGGCTAGCCTAGCCTCTGCAGGGGATGGCGCCCACAGCGAAATATGGCGCAAGGGCGCTGAGACTTGCAGCGACGCAGGCCCACGCCCACGCCTTCCCGATTACAGGACCACCTCCGGTTCCGGCAAGTATAATTCGGACCGGGCCCTCGTCTCGGAGGGTCCTAACGATCTCATACCCTTTGTTGTCACACGTGCGACTTTTCCATTTTCAAAGTAGAAAACTCAACTTCGTCGTCGTTAAAAGAGACCGCTCCGGTTCTATGAGAATAAGGTGGCGTAGTACTATAGGTTTGATCCAAAGACGCTTCTTGACGACCATCATGGCGGCGCGGAGCGAAAGTACCCACCACGTCGTCGTCGCCCTAGAATCCTTCTTCGTCCCCGTCCCACCCTTCGACTTCCCCGCCGGCCACACGTACGAGCTGCGGGAGTACTCGCGGACGCGGCCCGACGAGGTCGCCGCGCGGATCAGGGACGCGGACATAGTCCTCGTCACCATAGCGCCCGTCACGGCCGCCGCCTTGAGCGCCGACGCGTCGCCGCGCCTGAAGATGATCGCCGTCGTGGCGTCGGGGACGGATAACGTCGACTTAGCTGCGTGCGGGGCGCGCGGCATCGTCGTCGCGAATACGCCGCATTGCAATACCGTGTCCGTGGCCGAGCACGCCGTCGCGCTGTACTTCGCGACGCGGAGGTCGCTGGCGCTGGCGCATGCGCTGGTCCGCACGGGCGAGTGGCCGAAGAAGGGCTCGTTTAAGGACGCGCTTAATGGCCCGGATGGCAAGCCGCCGAGGACCTGTCGGGATGAGACGTTGGGGATCGTCGGTTACGGCGCGGTGGGGAAGGCGATTGAGCGGACTGCTAGGAGCTTGGGTATGAAGGTCCTAATATCGGGGCGAAAAGGGGTGCCCACGGCACCCGAAGGCCGCACTCCATTCGAAACTTTGATCCGGGAATGTTCGGTCATTGTACTGTGTTTGCCGCGGTCTCCCGAGACGTTGAACACGATTTCGGAGGTCGAGCTTAATGCGATGAAGCCTTACGCGGTTATAGTCAATGTCTCGCGCGGGGGTATTGTGGATGAGAAAGCCCTTGTAGCCGGGCTTAAGGCGAGGAGGATCGCCGGATATGGTACGGATGTTTATGAGACGGAGCCGGCCGGTTCTGAGAATAGCCTCTTGGTGGGACCTGACACGGATGGTCTCAACTTGGTCACTACACCGCATGTCGCGTGGTGTGCGGAGGATACGATTGCTAATTATAACAGGGCGACGAAGGAGAACGTTGAAGGATGGCTTAGGACTGGCCAACCGAAATACCCGGTGTTATAAATACGATGAACTTGCAGACGAGGGGCACCAATTATCCAGGGACACTGCATTGAGCTTTGCGGGGTGCATAGAAATAGACATAAGATAGGTATGCCGAGTATACACAAACAAGCTATAGAAGTTGGAACCATTTGTCTTCATACCAAGGTTTGCAACGCGCGTTTACGAGCACCCTAACAACCTGCCGAGTTAAGTATGATTCTACACATTATGTCCTGGAGCTGGTGATAATCGTATACTCCTAGTCAAGGTTGACGATTTACATAGGGAAACCTTTTTTATATTACGAACTAGATGCTTTCCTAGGTAGGTGGTATTATGCCGAGCTATTAACATTCAGATCTGGTTGTCGAGCCCCAATGCTGGTAGATTCTTTGCCGTTAATTTCCGCATCCGCTCACTCTTTGCTCTTCGTACCTTCGAGCAGAGAAGCTTGGGAAGCCTCAAAGCTATTGCCTTTGCTAAAATGACGAAACTTGTCTATTCGATCGACTAGATATCGTCATGAAGCCCAAAATACGCCGAGGAGCAGGGGTCTGTCCCTAGGTAGCCTACCTGGCTCCGTGTCCACTCCGCACAACCAAACAGCTTACTCGGCTCACCGCTTGGCAAATGGGACGGCAATTTCCCAAATCCCTTCCGGCGCGGTTCCCGGGTCCCATCTACAATGTTCTCAGCTGGGCCCCATGCAGGTAATAGCGAAACCCCCCCGGCTTCTTTTTCAGGGCGAGTCAGACGATGATGGGGCGTAACGAAGTAGGATATTAATACGAGGCGAACGAAAGAATCTATTCCCGGTTTCTAGAACGGGATAGGGGTGGTCACGGGAAATGAATATAATTCTATATTTATGTACGATGCCCCTTGCCCCAGATTGAAGCTTCTTTCTTTTTTTCTTTCCTTTCCGCTCCAGCTTCTCCAGCTACTGACGTGACGGATCATGATGATGCAGTACTTGGCAAGATTAGCTCTGGGCATATTCGCGATCGCCGGTCCCGCGCTCGCCGCGCAGGTCGACATTCTAGACCTGCAAGACGGCGACTTGGTTCCGGGCAAGTATATCGTGAACCTGAAGCCGGCCGTAGACATAAAGGCCCACCTGAGCTGGGTGCGCGACGTACACAAGCGCAGCCTCGACTTGTGCGTCACGGCAGGGCTGGAGAAGACGTTCAGTTTCGCCGGCTTCGCCGGGTACGCAGGCGAGTTTGATGACGATACCATCGCGAAGATATTGGCCGATGCAAATGTAATTCATAATCCACCTAAATCTTTCCCTGTCACCTAAATAACACTGCTAACATTATTCAGGTCCTATCTGTAGAACAAGACAGAGTAGGCCGTATATCAGCTCTAGTACAACAGGGCGATGCGCCATGGGGTCTCGAGAGCATATCGTCGCGCACGCCAATCACCGACACAAACACGCGAGGCCACACATACTCGTATGACAGCACAGCCGGGAGCGGGACGTTTGCATATGTGCTGGATTCCGGCGTCCTGACCAACAACACGCAGTTCAACGGTCGCGCCATCAAGGGTTATAACGCGTGGAATGGCACGGAGTCCTTCGACGACCACTTCGGCCACGGCACCCACGTCGCCGGCACCATCGCCTCGGAAACGTACGGCGTAGCGAAGCAGGCCACCGTCATCGACGTCAAGGTCGTCAGGAGTGTTGTAAGTCAAAAACTCAGGACCTCCCAAATTCCCCACGCTTTTAAGCTTACGCGGAGCGGTAAAAAATTATAGGGCTACTCGACGCTCGCGCACGTAATCGACGGCATCAACTGGGTCGTGAACAACGTAACCGGAACGCCAGGCCGAGCGGGCAAATCAGTCATCAACATGAGTCTAGGTACTTCCCCTTCACCCCTTTACCCTTCACCCCAAGTCCCTTACCCTTTCCCCCCCTAATTTTCCTATCATCTAACAAACCTCCCCAGCATTCTCCACCTCCACCTCCCTAAACCGCGCCGTCGACGCCGCCAGCGCATCAGGCATCCTCTCCGTCGTCGGCGCCGGGAACGACAACGCGCTCGCCTCGACGCGTTCCCCGGCCTCCGCTAGCACCGCGCTCACCGTCGGCGCCGTATCCGCGAACCGCACGCGCGCCCCCTTCAGCAACTACGGGCCGGAGGTCGACGTCTTCGCGCCCGGCGTAAACGTCGCCTCGCTCTGGAACGAGGAAGGCGCCGAGTCCGTCAACTCCGGGACCTCCATGTCGTCGCCGCACGTCGCGGGTTTAGCTTTGTATCTCAAGGGGCTCGAGGACGGGCTCGACTCGCCCGCCGCCACGATAAAGCGCATCAAGCAGCTGGCCCAGTCGGACGTCGTCGTCGACGCCGGGGAGGGAAGCCCTAATCTGTTGGCTTATAACGGTATTACAGTGCCGACTTATTGAAGGGCTTTTACGTTTTATGAGGGATGGGGGGTGGTTGTTACTGGGTAGTGGCGGTGAAACTAAATGTAGATCGAATGGGTACCTACCAAAATGTATTCGTTCTCTTAGTAGCCGTCTCACTATCATATTATCTATCCTGTTGCTTTATTAGTCTCTAAAATGCATCAGCCGAAATAAAAATGATAATACGGGATATATAGCCTGGGAGAATATGGCTGGTAACATATGCGCGTGAGGTTTGCGCGGTCACGAATCACCTTGTCACATCAAAAGTTGAGATCGTATGCATCATCACCGGGACGATTATGATAGGAAAGCTTCTGCATTTCTCGACCGAGTATCAAAAGCTTGTGTCCTCGGTATCAACCTAATCCTAGTACAGGCATCGAAGCCTCGATGCCGAAGATGGAACCCTGGTAAGGAAAAACAATCGTACATGCAAAGTCGCGTTCCCCCCCGTACCTATTAGCAAGAACTTTTCTGGCCCTTTCCGTGCCATGCCCCCGCCAATTAAAACGAGAGTAAACGGTACCCTCAATCATTCATTAGAGTAGAGAAAGTATCAGCCTAATAGTTGGTGTATGGCATGACCACCGCCACCATTCAGCCTTACCCGCATTCTGCATCCAGGCCGGTTTCGTCTGCGATTCTGCGGACTACGCGATGCCTAATGGTAGTTGCCGCCCCAACCACCCTGTTGTTGACGGCCATAGTAATTCCCGAAGGCTTGGTTGCCTCCGTAGCCCCCGTAAGGCCCATTACCGTGGCCCTGTCCAGCGGTACCACCGATTCCATAGCTACCCGCAGATTGGTTCCCGTGGAGGCCATGGCTCAGGTGACTAGGATATCCGCCGTAGCCGCCCATGCCCTGCTGAGCCGATTGAGGAGGGGGAAGACCAGATCCTGCGGGCGCGGTGTTTGTAGCTGATCCCGGCCGTGCGGCAGCTGCGAGGGAAGGGCTTGGGCCGCCGGCGGCTTTCGTGTCACCGTATGGCTTTAGGTCGTCGTTGCCAGCTGTGGTGCTCGATGCTGGCGCGTTGGGTGAGTTGAAAGATTGCCCAGCCTGAGAAGGGTAGGCCGAGCCACGCCCGAACGTGTCATGCATTCCGCCAAATCCACTTGTACCAAGGCTGCCAGGCGCTACTGACTGAGCAGAGCCTGCGCGACCGTAGTTGTCGATGCTAGAAGCTAGACCAGTCTCACGAGCTCCGAGAGTTGATTGGCCAAAGCCGCTAGTCGCAGGAGACGAAGCGTGATCGTAAGGACCCTGTGGGGACATGCCGTACTGATGAGGTTGTCCATAGAGTCCACCCTTACCATAGGGGCCACCGCCGTAGCCACCTTGCCCATAGCCGCCACCATACTGGCTCATATATTGAGCATAATAAGGACTGGAGTAATAGGGATGAGAATACGGGTACTGGTTAGTGTGCGGCTGTTGGTGGAGATTCGACTGGGGCTGGTTAGTTTGGCCAGCAGCCTGCTGACCTGCTTGCCCAATAGGATTCGGGGTGTTGTGGCCGCTGTTATGAGACTCCGCGGCGGCAGCAGCAGCGCCGTATCTGGTCGGCTGAGCACCGCTTTGAGGGTATTGGCTCAGATTATCGTTCTGGCCAGCATTATAGCCACCAAATCCGCGGTTCGGTGCGTTCGAGGTTTCGTGGTGGTTCTGGCCACCGTGCTGCTGTCCATACTGTTGGCCGTAGTAGTTATTGTACGAGTTTCGGCCCTGGGGGTCAGCAGTATAGTACGACGAGTAGTCACTCGGCGCGGAACTGAATGCGCCGGTGGTCGGGGGTCCTGCTGTTTGCGTAGTGGGCGTAGGGAAGCTGTCGAGACCAGCCGAGGTAGTAGCTGTCTGTTGGCCGAACGTGTCGTACGGCTTCTGGGGGAACCCAGCCGGTTCCTGCACGTTAGTTTGACCAAAGCGTCCGAATTGTTGGCTGTTGGCAGGCGCTTGAGGCGCTACATGAGGATTAGTTGAATGCTTGATCTGGGGGTACTGTGGATACTGCGACATACGTTGAGCCGTGGTAGCAGCGGGACCGGTCGGAGGAGCTACGGGTGTTGCTAGAGGGTAATTAGTGTACTGGTTCATCATATAGAAGAATTCATAGGGTGTTGTACCAGCTGTGCCAGGTGCCGGAGGAAGTGAGGCGGCCGGCTTCTGGGCAGGCGGGAATGCTTCGGGCACTGCAGCCGGCTGGGATACCGGAGGCAACGAGGCACGAGGAACGGCGATAGGCGATTCGGGAGGCGGCTGAGTTCTAGTTTCGGGATCCTCACGGTCGCCGTCGATATCCTCTTCGCCACCATTTAGACTGAATGCGCCAAATTGAACAGCAGCCCGATCAACCTCGCGGTTTCCGGGCATGCGAACAGCTTCTTCTTGCTCCAGAAGACGCTTCTGGTAGCTGGGCATACGCGGAGCAGGACGTTCTGTCGCCTTGATCGCCGTCGTTGCGTAACCACTGGCAGCAGGTCGTGGAGTCTGGTGCTGGGCTTGCGAAGCTGAAAGTGGAGTGACCGATGCACTTGGCTGAGGTTGTCTTGGGTCCCACGAGTCCGCCGTAGTGCTCGCAGCTGTGTTAGTCGCTGGAGGGTTCGACGCGTCGGGCAGTTGTTCAAGATTAACTCGAGTCAGATCATCTTCAGGAGGGGGTAGTGCCGCTTCAGGCTCAATAACCTTGGGCGGCTCCGCAGCGGGAGGTTGCTCGATGGTTTCCTTAACCGGTTCCTCGACGGCAGGCTGAGGCTCGGGTTCAGCGACGGCAGGTTCAGCCGGGGGAAGGGGCTCAAGGGGTTCGGCGGGCTTAGGGGCGGGGACTTCTTTCGGCTTCGGGACTGGTTTCGGTGCGGTCGACTGACGAAGCATACTAGCCCAGGTCTTCTGAGTATTCTGTGGGATGACGGTAGGCTTCGAGGGGGCAGATTCAGTAGTAGATGCGGTGGTAGTAGTCGTAGCAGTAGGTGTCGTGGTAGTTTCGGTGGTTGATTCAGTTGCTCCCCAGGCAGAAGGAGTAGCATCGTCATTCGCAGCACCAGTCTTCCAATCGGCGGATTCTTCAGTCGGGACAGAAAGTTGCTGGTTGTCCTTGGATTGGTGACCGTTTGTAGGAGGGTGAATGGTAGCTCGACCTCTGCCACTGCCTCTACCTCTCTCACTGCCGCGAGCACGTCCACCTCGGAAATCAGAGCGACCGCCACGAACAGGTCTGCTGTTACCGGAATCGGTGACGGTAAGAGGCTCCTTAGCCTTAGGACGAGCGGTGGTCTTCTTCGGCTTCGATACTTCGCCCCATTGAGAAATGGTACCTATAAGAGATGTGATATTAATATTGTGAAACAGGGTGGCAAGGGAGAGCAATGAAGGGTTAAAAGTAGGTATGAAGTGATGGAAAAGGCAGAAGCTTGAACATACCATCTGCGATTCGAGTAGCAGCGACTTCAACGTCACCATCCGTCTCTTTGAGAGCGTAAAGGATATCAGCGTCGGACCAAGTCGGGAAGAGTTCCTTGATAGTGTCCAGCTTCAAACCATACTGCTTTCTCAGTTGGCTAACATCACCGTCGTCATCTAAGCTGGTCGCGTCTAATGAACTGAACTTGTCGCCATTTGTGCGTCTGTTCGCGGGGCCACGGCTAGCAAACCCTCCTCTGCCACCTCGGCCACCACCTCTTCCGCGAGAGGATGGTGCCTGGGATCGAGCCTGGACCTCAGCCATCTCTTAAGCTAAGGTTAGGCTGTGTGAAAAAAAAGAGATAGAAAATGAGAAATGATTCCCTTCTTAGAAGGGTTTGTCAATAATAGCAATCAAATCAGCGACTATGTCGACTTGACAGAATGCTATCGATATGGAGGAGGGAGAGTTCGTTGTGGATGTTGAGTAGGTAGGTTGAATGACGAAGGAGTGGGTTGGTTCCAGGTTGGTTATGGTTGGATGGTGGACGGGAAGAAGGTGTTTAAGTTTAGAGAACTAGGGTGGCGCGTGTGGTGGCACTGTTATGCGATCGACTCAACCACAGGCAAGGCTGACAGTGTTAACTTTGCCAATTTTTTAATTGACGCGCAGCGCTAGGCGAATTGGCCAATTGTCTGGAGACAATGGCAATCGGTGGTGAAGTAAGGAAGAGCTTCAATGTAGCGGAAAATGTTTGATTATTATTGTGCTTTGGGATTTTGTAGTACGTGAGTGTTAAGAACCTGAATACAGTCCAGAGCTTTGCAGCGAAAAAGGAAGTGCACAGGGTGAAATGTGGACCCTATGAAGGCTTTTTCGGCTGTTGGATTATCTGATAGTCCTGAGGTACGGGGCAGCTGGGCAGCTGGGCAACTGCGCATCCGGGCTTTTGCACTTGGGGCACTGTATCTGGTATTGAACGTTTAGGAGAATGCACTGACCCAAATCGGGCATCGTACCTACCTTTTGCGTGTTGAGTACGTACCTGGCCTGAGCACGTCTAGCCTGACAGGTAGGTAGGGATTGTACCCCATAGACAGCGGGTACTTTCCTGAGTCTTCTTAATATCTTATTGGCCAACCACAGGGATGGAACTGTGTAGAGGCACGTGCGAGTCAGCGCCTGCCATTTACGCACCTAACGGTATGGGGAAGCTTGGCCTAGCTAGATTTTGAAGGTAGTCGCTTAGGGTAACTAAGATCGATCTGCGTGCCTCATACTGGACGTATGCGGCATCACCTGAGTACTGTACCTAAGGCTTTAAATATTTCATGTATTGAAATGGATATCTTGGAATGCTTCTATATACATACTATACAAATACACAAGTGCATGCCAAACCACATTAACTTATGTATGTCAGAAATTGGAATTACTTGTAGAAATATCATTCTTGTTTGTTATTAAAGCAGCATCTAAGGGTATACATATGTGACTACATAACAGCCACATCAAATATCACCATTGATGGGCGCATATATGTACTTAACAAACCGTTGGAATTTACTAGATGGTACCTACCGATTTCACCTTTCCGGCAAGTTGGAGAAGGTTTAGCTAGCTGTCTCTTAGCGATACAACATTTGAATGACTTATGAACCCGGCATGTAATTGCCGTGATTGAAACGAATATCTTCGCCCAAGTAAATGATAGTCGTCGCTCTCCTTGCTTCATATTGGCGCCTAGTCATTTTGTTTTTCCTACCTACCTAGCAGGTAAGTAGTCTTAAGCTAGATGTCTGGCTAGGGGTACTTTAAAAAGTAGGTGATGGTGAAGAAACGTAGGCAATACTATGCGCAGACATGTTGTCGTAACCCTTGACTCCTTACTTGGACTATTGAAGACCTATCCTGTACAATTGCACCGGTATTTTTAGGGATAACCCCCTGTGTTTTGCATGGCTCCTGAAGGTATGGGTATCTACCTAATGAGTAGGTATGCATGATCATTGCCTGACTCAGTCGTAAGACGAGTCCGTCACATCATAGTGCCGTCTATCTGATCTTACGCAGTACATGGCAACCTTGAGTTCCAAGTTCTACATACATATCGGCTTGCTGCTTTGGCACAACATGCTAATAGGTAACTAGAATATTTGCATAGATAGGATTGGGAGAAGCAGCAATTGTATGTAGAATCTGTATGTCAAATGAAAGATTTCATAAAGTACAGCTTGAGGGCTGGATTGTGCACCTACCAAAAGTATTCATCTGTTCTATTGTAGGCTATGCCGAAAGTGGCTTAGCCCCAGAACTTTGACAAATAGGAAGGCACGTATCTAAATAGGTACTATGTACATGATATTCCTATTGATGTTCCACCACTTTAGTTGAAATACTCAACCGTGACCTCATCCACCATTCAATCAGCGACGACAACGTGGATGGCTACACAGGACTCGCGCGAAAGATCACACATCGCTCGCTCCAGCGCTTAATCCTCCATGTCGATTCAGCCGATCAGCTTCCCTCCTACAAGCTCTAGTGGTACAGGTACTCAGAAGCTGGGAAGCTTGAACATCCCCGCAATACCAGACCCGAATCTCGTCATCGGCACTGTTACGGCCACCGTCGCCGTCACTGTCGCCGTCACAAGCCACTCAAGATGGTGGTTCGAACGAATTCGCTGAAATCTCTCAAGAATATCCTCCCGAAGATCCACCAGTCATTGCCATTGAATAATCGCGAATCCCGGCAACTACTCGAATCCATTACGGCCTCCTTCCGAAAGAACCTCGACAAGGAACACCCGTGGGAGACCAGTAAAGATGACTCAATTTCGCAGAAAACCACACACCTGAAACAAGATCGTCCTCTTCTTAAGTCAGCCTCTACCTCTTCGAATCGTCCAACGGAGAGACACCTCCACGCGATCCTCTCTCACCCCCTCTTTTCCCACCAAGAACGCGAGAAGCCAATAGCCGGTGTCGACCCGTTTCATGTCTTCGATACAGCTGTTTCGAGGGGTCTGATGACACCGCGTCGTGCAGCCGGCTTCCTCGCTAAGGTCCGGACCCAGATCGAAGCTGAAGGTGGCGATATTCCACAAGCCATGGCGAAATCCGGCGCCGGCCTTCGGGTTGTCCGGTGGATGCGAACGTCAGGGTTAGAAAACAGACTTTATACTCTTTCGAATGTCGAATTCTATTTCTTCTGGACTCTCGTACCTTTCATGTATGCCGAGGGTCTTGAAGAACTGGTCTGGACTTGGGTAGCGCGCCTAGGGTCGCAGAAAGAGACTGAAAATACTGAAGACTTCTCTACCACGGCCCTGTACCGCCTGCTGCAGGCTATCAACAGACAAAAGGGAGTCCCGTATTCTAGGATACGCGGCCTCGATGATGCCTATGAGGCAATGTTACGGGCATATGATATATTACAGCCAAACGAAAACCAGGTAGCGTTTGGTAGCTACAGGAAGGCCTGGTCGGATTTGTCCTGGCGCTCTACGGTGCTCGCCTCGCGTTATCCAAAGCCGTCAGTTGATATATTTGACGCTTTCGTCAACGTTGGACGCTCTCTCAAGACCCCAATAGATATAGCTCATCTAGGATTGCATCACCCCCAATCACCGGACCACTGCGCCGCCGTTCAGTTTATGCATCACAAAATCAACGAAACTGAGCAGACCGACGATGACTCGCTAAATAGTCCGTTATATCGGAAGAGATTCGTCTGCTTAGCCTTAGATACGGCAGATCGGCTGAAGGAGGTTGGAGATGTCGAGGAGGTTTCCTGGATCGAACGCCTCCTTACGAAACTAGGCAATGATTTAAATTCTAGTATCTCCAATATCTTGAACACACAAGATGACCCAATGGGATCGGAATTGCGTACATGGCATACGGCATAATTTTCGCCAAATGGCAACGAGGAGACAGCTATGAAATTGGGCGGATTTTTATACCATAGCATGGGAAGGGATATGATATCAGGGTTATATCGGCGTTTAAGAGAGCTTGGGCAGCTACCTCATATCCAAGTATTGCGTTTACACAAATTCGATTACAAATATGAATACGTATTTAAATGATCCAATATATTACGCATTCATGATTATGGGCAGGAAGCAGTGGTCTAGCAGACAAAGGTATGTAAATCAAGAAATACCAGTATATAACCCAGATGCCATATATCCAAATAGCATAACAGAGAAACAAGGACAGGGTATCGTACAGTAAATCCAAGAGAGCTAAGCGAATGCTCAAGGCTCATCATACGTACAAGCCATCTCTCGTATATTCCATTCATCCATCCAGTCCCTCCCTTGATGCTGTCATTACGTACTATATATCACACTCGCCAATAGATCATTTTTTGGGAAAAAAAGGTAGACGATGGAAGACCCTCACGACTCCTCCATCTCCATCCCATTAACCACGCGCAACGCCCGTCTCGGGCCCAAAACCACACTAATAAAATTCGGCTCCCGCCCATCGAGCAGCGCCTCCGCCGAGCTCCCGCTCGCCGTGCTGCGCGTCGCGCTGCTCTTCGATCGGCTCACACCCCCTGCCCCCGCGCCTCCGCCGAACCCGTAGCTGTCGTACCCCCACGGATACCTATCCTCGCTCGGCCTCGGCCTCCCCGACCCGTTCCCCGACCCCGAGGTCCCCGGGCTGCGGTCCTCGCCCTCGCGGCCCGGCGTCCATTTCGGCTCGCCTAGTTGTTGGCCGACCCAGCCGAAGCGCTCGACGCCGGCGCCGGCGCTGCTTTGGGGCTGCCGGCTCTTGCGCAGTTTTTCGCGTAGACCGGCCGCGCTAAACCCGTTAACATTGTGATTATCGTTGTTGTTATTGTTGTTGTTGTTGGCGGCGGTGGTGGTAAGGGGGTTGTTGTCATCGTCCGCTGCTCCTGCCGCTGTTGTTGCGGTTGTGGCGCCCGAGTACCGGTTCGCGACCGCCATGTGCCGCTTGTACGCCGCGACCTGGCGGCGGTACAGCCACGCGCAGAAGCCGAGGTACAGGGCGGCGAGGCCCGCGAGCCCGGCGATCACGCCGGCGGTGATCAGACCCCCTTTAGCGCCCGCGGGGGCCGCGGTCGGGGCGCCGTTGGGGTTGTAGCCTGTGGCGCCGGGGCCGTTGGTGATGGTCGCGGTGCTGCCGGCTTGGGTGATGGTGAAGACGGGCGGCACGCCGGTTTTGAAAGGGCCGTCGGTGGCGGGTCCGGAGGCCGGTTGCGTTGCGGTTGCGCCGCCGTCGGATGAACCTCCTATCACTGATTGTACGACGCCGGGGACTTTATACCCGTAGCTGCCGGCGAGGACGCTGTTGTCCGGGTGCGCGTCCGCCGGATGGTCTGCCGCGTCGAAGGAGCTCTTCCATTTCAGGTTCGAGGAGTCGAAGTTGTAGATACCGGGGCTGTCGCAGGCGATCTCGGTACCGACGTAACCGCCGATCACGATCATCTGACCATCCCGGGCAGCACATTGATGACCGGCTCGAGCAGGCGGCTGCGTACTTGTGGTGGTGTCGACTTTGATCCAGGTGAATGAAGGGACAGTCAGGATCCACATATCCGTATATTGAGTCTGGTTACCGTACGGAAGCAGGTTTTGTCCTCCGTACATGTAGATGTTGAATGAGCTGGCGTCGGAGGCTGAATAGATGACCGCGCACGGATTGACCCTTACCTGGGGCGCTTCGCCGGAAGTCTGTTGGTGGTACCAAGTGCTCGTCTTGATGTCGTAAACATCGATGGTGCTCATGGAGGAGAAGGCATCGGTAGTTTCGTCGCCACTGACTACTCCTCCGCCTAGGCCGAGTAAAATTCCATTAGGCCCCCAGCCAGGAACGTACACGAGAACACCGTCGGCTCGTTCGCTAAAACCTTCTTGATTTTGAATCCCGCCCCAAGTGATGTTGCGATAAGCTCCTCCGGTAGGAGCGCCAGAGGAACGGAGTGAGTCGACCCCGGAATTCGCATAGCCGGGGTGCGTAAACTCAAGTAGGCTCTTCAAGTAGACACGACCGACCTGGTTTGACCAGCCCGGCGTGGTGGCCCAGTCTAGATGACCACCGAAATACCAGCTGACGCCTAATTCGGGGACAGAAACTCCAGCTCCTTCTGCGGCGCGTTGTACTAGAACGCCTTCAGGATCTGAGTAGTTCCCGGCTGACGTTTTGGGATCTTCAACCTCGGTCCATGTCGAAGAAGCAACATCATATACCCATGTCGAAATCGTGGATGGCAGCGTTACGGGGCTGTCGGAAAATTCGCCGCCATATAGATATAGACGATTCAAGTCGTTCCAAAGATAACCGAGGGACACGGCTGGGGGGCCCGATGGTTGCGGGAGGCCTGTCAGAGCTGGGGAGCTGATATCCCATGATTTAGTGACATCAAGGGCAATGAAGTCGTTATCTAGGTATGTATATATCAGCAAGTAGTCGCCATTGTTTCTCGTATATTTCACTTACTCCACGTGTTTGTTTCCTGATCGCCAGTAGTTTTCGCCCGGCCACCGTAGTAATATATTGTCCCATTGATGAGAGCACCTGGTTAAGGTCAGTCCCGTATCGTAGATAGGAAGAGGCTATATCGTGGGCCCTTACTTTGGGCGGCCCATCTTGTGCAGACACTAGTAGGGCTATTCTGGCGGTTTTCGAGGACGATACTCGGGGCTGGTTTAGTCACCCCTGCGTCTGCGCCGCTAATCTCAATCTTCTGGCGGCCATTATGAAAACTAATAGTGGGAAGAATAACTGCAATAAGTAGAAGGATCATGGGGAGCCTGTATAGCCCTGTAAAAGTGGGAGGTGGCGCACTGGAAGCTGTTTTGATTCTTGGACGCCTCTTCGGTGCCAATTTAGAGTACCACTTCACTTTCCCTTTCGACGAATCCTCACTATCAGGGGTCTTCTTTTCGACTGGCGATGCCACCTCTGAGGCCGATTCTATTCTTTCACTTGGTTCAACCTCTTCACGGCCCTCGGAAGTCATGTCTTGCTGATCCTGCTGGCCGTCCTGTTCCTCTCCAAACAATCCTACCTCAATGAACATTGATTGCCGTCCTTCCCTAAGCTTGCTAGACATGGGGAGTGTTGGGAACGTCAAGCTCTCTCTTAACCGGTCCGCGGTGACTTGCGAATTGAACCTCGGGCGCGCTGTAGGACTTTGTTTGCATTCGGGATCAGAATTTCTGTGTGGGACTGTGGTAAAAGTCATAGTGAAATGCTGCTTGGGTATCATTAAAAATATGGATATGTACGTAGGTGGTCATTTGGATCTTTTGCAGTGGGTGTCGCCACTCCATGTAAAATGGTGGCTATGGGAGGGGGGATGGCATCTTCATATATGAAATGAGGTCACATAGTAGCCCTCAAGGGTTTTTAGAGGTCGTTAAGCTGCATGGCCAACGACAAAAGGGCCAACCAATCTCTATCAAGCCACGGCTTACCTCCAGCTATAGAATTGGCAAGTAGGTATACTGAGCGTCACCAGGTAAAAGCTGGGTAATAATCGGCTGGAAGCCTCTTGAATGTAAGAGGATAGCATGCTGGCATATTAGCATGGGTTGTTGGCCCGCTACATCATGGATATGGCTATTGATAGCCATGATTGCATCAACTAGAGCATTTGCTATAAGGAACCATCAAGACCCGACGGATTGAAGGGGCAGAAGGGGGAAACTTGGAAACTTGTTCGACAGAAATCGGTAAGCATGCAGTTGCTCATTGCCGTTTCTGGCCAGGAACCGGCGGATACGTCCCAAGCGATTGGTTCTGGGGAAATGGGGCGACCAGGGGCAGGTTAACGATGACGACATACTCCAAGATCTGGTCGATCTGGATGTAGTCTCGCTGTCAAGACGTTGAGCGAAGCGTTGAACAAGATCGCTTGTCTATAAGGAGGTTTTGCTCCTAGCTGCATTCACATCCCTTTTTTGCGCTCTCCAAATGCTCGATCATGTATTGCCTACATAGTACAGGTAGAGGCGTATTATCTAGGTGTGTCATAATTGCACGTTTGTAGTAAAAAACCAATAAGAAGTTACTTGAGCGCTGAGTCATCAGCAAAGAAAATAAATATCTGGGATGTACTGTGTAATAATTATTGTGACCACATCTTTTTTCCTACTATACCTAGGTAGTAAGTATCGGAATCTTGTACTCATCCTATAATGGATTTATATCGTCATCTATGAAATTACCCAGTCACATAAATAGTACTGGGTAGGTACCTAGATTAGTGCGAGGACGTACTTACTTCAGCACATGTGGGTAGCACCTTCATATTTAGTTACTAGGTACATGATAATACCTCCAGGGCTACTGTGTAGGTGGTCCGTCCACTCTACGAAGTGCCGTGTGTAGTAACTGAGTAACAGCCCGCCGCAGCTCAGGGCAACTGCCATTTTAACATACACCACCTGGCAGGTGAAGTACCTTAGTACATAGAGTCGTCACCGACCTTGAGGATATTATTTGTTGTTTTCAAGTTCAACTTTATTTCACAACCTTACTACAGCTATATAATCTCGTCCAAGAAACTACTTCTTTCAATTTTCTTCCATCTCAACAATGCACCAACGTCCCCACCACCATTTTCTTACACACCATCAACATGGATCACATCGTCAATCGTGACCGTCAGGTCCCAAAGCGTCAACGACTACCCTTCCCGCCCGATATTTTTCTACGAATTTGTTCATTTCTATCACCATCAGATGCACGTTCCTTACGACTTTGCTGCAAGACACTAGCAAACATCGGCGCTCGGTATGGTTTTAGGAACATCACCCTTTATGTCAACAAGTCCGACTTTGACATGCTACGTGCTTTTTCTCGCCATCCAGTGATCAGCAAAAATATCAGGACCCTCACCTACATGCCTGAGACACTTCTCCGCGAAACACACCCTCTATACTATTCCATTCAGGAATATGCGAATTTCTCTGCTAGCAACTACTACATGACCAAACGCGTCAAAAAGTCTAAGCAGAACTGGCTTCCGAATGGCGCCTTGGATAACCTGCCTATCTCCATTGAAGATATCCAAGAAAACTACCGCCATTACATGATCACTGCCCAAGAACAGTTCCAGATAGTGGATGGGAAAGAAGACTTTGCACTTCTCAAGGAAGTTCTCCCCAAACTCACATCATTGGAGGGAATCTACGTTGGTAGCTCACCTTACAAAAGACGCTACTTCTCACCATTCTTCGCATGGACAATGGATCCATCGTATGAGCTACCCGTACAAGCTATAATGTACGGGCTCAGTGGCTCAGGCCTTCGACTACGCCGACTTGAGATAGATGGACTACTTCCCAGTATCCTGAACACGGGTTTCTTGCAACAGCTCAGTCCCTCATGCAAGTACTTGAAGTCTATCGATCTCTTAATCGAAGAGGACACCGAGGACTACGACGAAGTCTTTCGTGTCGATCCCATCTTTGAGAAGACTCGCCACGAGAAAGAGCCCGGCGCGTTGGCAAAGTTCCTCAAAGCCCTCCCAAACCTCGAAGAAATAGACATTACTTGGGACACGGATGATTGGGAGGCCCGTTATCCCTTACGAGAAGTTATCTACCCGGGCTCCCGATGGAGTAACTTACGGGACATCAACTTGCACAAAATCCGAACGGAAAGACAAGAGTTGATCGCTTTTTTCACGCAACATCGATTAACACTTCAGAAAGTCTCAATAGGATATTGTGTTCTGGAGAGCACCTCATGCAGAATTCTCTTGTGCCAGATGAAAGAGATCTTGAAGCTCACGGACATCTGCATTTACAACATCATGGAGGGTAGATTCGAGAACGGCGAGGACAATACTGGATTCATTTACGTTCCTAACCGTCTCTCTGACCCTTTCAGACAAGAATGTGACCCTTTCGGGCAAGAATGGTGGTTTAGTGACCCACCCGATCCCGAATGCCTGGGAACTAAGGTAGCCGATTGGTTTCTTCGCGATGCACCTTGTCCTCTCGTGCCTGGTATACAGTATCTAGAGGATCTTATGTTCGCCTCGCCCAATACGAAGTCCGATATCCATTAGCATATGAGCAACCGTTGTATTGCGTTTGCCGCTATTGCATCTCGAGTTGTTGTCAGAAGGTGGCATGGCAAGGAAACGGCACACCGGATATCTTGAGAACGAATTGCGTTGGGGAGGTACAGGGTGCTATGAAGGGGGGATGAAGCCCATAAATCGGGATGATAATGTCAATTAAGAAATTGATATTCGGACAACAAACGTCCACGACTTGCTATTCATGACTGTAGCAGAAATGTGACTCTTTAAATTGCCAGATTTATGATAAACAATTACTTTTCATTGAACAAGACAGACCGATGACAAGGCAGTTGAAAATGTTCGAGATATTCGTCGTCATTCCACTTCTTTAGTCAGGGTTTGTTTTCTTCGTGATTAAGGGGCAAACAATATCTTGGGACCTGACTCAACGTTGACGGCTAGTCGGCCTTCAACATTTATATCTGCGAGACTCACTCCAGCTCATCAGTCAGTCAGCTAAAATCACCATCTGTGCCTAAGTAGGTAGGTATGTGCCTGTACAGGTAGTTTGTAAGTCCCCCGGTTTTTATATAAGTGTTTTCTTCCAAATTTTTGGATCTTGGTTGAGAATAGCAATCCTCTCGAAGTTTGATAAACTTCCGCTGCGGTAAAATTATCAAATGAATCTGAGACAAAGCTTTGAACTCTCCGACTGCAGCCGTAGCATCGAACACGATGTTTATCATACTATTAATCTCTCTCATAACAAGCGTATATGGCCTTTGCGCACCATACCCCATGGGGAACGACTCAACCACGCTTAGCCAACCGACGTTCGCAACCACGGTTACTATTTCCGTTCGACCAGGATCGCGACGGAATAATCATACTGGCTCTGTGGTATCCGCGCCATACCCCACGGGAGCGAACCGAGGTATAGGTGCATTAACATCTCCAGCCGTTGCCAACCTATCCAATAACGCAACTGGACCGTCGTGTGGGTGGAATTGCTCCAGCCCAACAATCCAGACTCCTGTGCCGTCCCCGGTAGTTTTCAGCTCAGTACCATGGAATAACGATGACGACCCAAGTCTTCCTAGCGTGATAACAATATGGCCATGGCCTAACACTACTTCCCCGGACACTTCATCGCCGCCGCCTCCCGAAGTGCCGACATATACCCCAACGCCTCGGACCACTACCACCACTGTTAATGTTACGGGGACTCTTGGTATACTGGGATGTAGTTCTTCGACGTTAGTAACCACGACCACGTCGTCTGTTCCCGTCAGTCAAAGCACCGGTATTCCCATCGCATCAAACGGCGGTCCTCTGAATAGTCAGGGTCCGTCATCGACAACAAGCGGAAGCAATACTGCTGCAGATAATACAGCACATGCAGGACAGGCTCCGGCAGCAAACACTGGGCCAGGCACTTTGGATCAACAACCAAATACCAGCAGTTCTACCTCCGTCCCTATTACTTCGACTCTTACTACGCCCACCACCACCCCAACGGCCACCGTTAGAGTCATTCCCGTCACCGATTAGTTCGAGAACTAAACTGAATTAGTCGACGAGTTGTGGGAAGATATGAACCCTTCAGCTTTCTCTAGGGTTCGCTATGTGTGGGCGTTTAGTCTTAATATTCTTAGGCCAGGGAAATTTGGTGGAGATGTGACATTGACAAAGGGGTAATGTGCGATGGAAGGTTGATCGGTTCGTAATTAGATAATGAATCTGAAGAGCAATAATTTGCCAATTCGTAATCAATGTACTGCACCTTCTCTCCCGTTTTTTAAAAGAGATTTTGAAATTTTCTTGGGTCGCCGCCTAGAGATCGTTCGAAATGAATATGGTCCGAGTCCATACGAATCCGATATATGATCCCTGTCTCAGTCGTTTGTGTCCCGCGGCACGGCCGTGCTTGACAACGTCTAAAGACATGGCTCGTATGATATTGTGTAGTAGGGATAACGGCGTTTTCTTGAAACGGCTTGATCAACGGGATTGGATCTCTCGAGGGTGACCCTCTTCTACTGCATGCATTGACACGGTACTATCTCTGGTTGAGGGATTAGACACTTCGACGAGCGGATAATTTTCCGTGTCACCTTCGGTGGTTGCAGAACTCTCTGAAGGTGCTGACAGCTCTCCACCAGACATGATCATACACCCCTGGCAGTAGTTCGCGGTTGGTTGACGCCTGGTAAGGTACCACTCCGCCGAAATCTTGTACAATTGCCACACGCCCTGCATCAGTACTAGGTCAGCTACGATGATTGCGAGGATGAGGTTGCCCGCGGACTTGAGTTCCGGGACTTGGCAAAGGTACGTGGTTGATATGACGGATGGAGTAACACGTAATGGCCCGGTCGTGGCATTAAGGTCATCGAAACTTTCGTTTGCTGGTCCGGCCTTGAAGTTGGCCATCTCTATCTGTGAAATATTGGAGGTAAAATACGTCAAGAGCGTTGCGTCGCTAAGTATGTTGGGTGTTGCTGTTGTCTGACCCAGGTCCGTCAATATGGTTGAATAGGTCGATTTGGCTAGAGTATCCGCCTTGGTCCAAATATTAGGATACTCGCTCGTCGCATTAAGAAACTCTGCTGTCACTGGCATAGGTAAACCGCCTGGACTGATCACGTCATAGTAGCTACCGCCCTTGTCGACAATAAACCGATAATCGGCATTAAAGTATTTTAGGTCCTTAATGTCAGAGAAAGATCCGTTGAGCATGAACGAGACAGTTCCTTTACGTATCCCATACTCATGATTGTCGGTTTTGTTTTCGCGTTCTTGCTGCATCTCCCATGTGACAGCTCCCCAGTATGTTGACATTAGCGATTCACCCCACCAAAGGCTCGCTCGCGTTGTTTGATTACGGCTCAGAAAACCGCTGCCGAGAAATTTGCCAATATCCGTATAGGAGACAGTGCTGGGCACGTATTCATAAGTTTGTGTGAGATTGAAGAAGACGACACCGGAAGAAGTGGCTATTTGGCAAGTAGCATAGGATCGCAAGAGGGCACCCCATTCAGAGTAAGCGAATTGATTTGCGGATCGATCCATTGATTCTAGATTCATTTCGATCGAGGCAACAGAGCAATTCTCTAGAACATTGTTGTAATAGCTGAGCGAGGGAGAGGCGACCTGCTCCCCAGTAGCCTCATGATGCTGCCATACATTCGTTAACATGTATGTGAGCGCAGTCTGATTCGTGAATATCTGGCTATTCACGGGTAGATTGGCGGGCTCGCATGTGGGTTGGACCTTGGCAGTTAGGAAGGATGGCCAACGCTGGAGCCAGTTCCCTTCGGACAGTGTAGCGTTAGGATTCGAGGAAATCTGCACGACCAGATTATAGCCACTTGAAGCGAAGTTCAAGAAAGTAAAAAGAGCGAGGGAAACGATGCCTCCAATTATTGCACCCGGCGTAAACCAACGGAACGGGAAGGGCCGAGACACGCTGTAGCTGAAGAAGGATTCATATTTCCTATTGGACATTATACCGCTAAACGAGGTTTAAGGTGCTAGGTGAGGCGATGTGGTCCAGGGCTTGAACAGACTTCAAATTCTATAGAGGCGCTAGGTTATCATGTTTTAATTGAAATTGAGGTTGGAAGAAAATGACTAGACATAATAACTGAAAGTAGAATTCGTGACATACAAAGCTCTATAATGCATTGTGGAGGTCATGGGCATCGGGGGGACAAGGAACCGGCACCAATCTATGTTTTATGATATCTATAATAAGACCACTCTAGGACCAGGATATACATAAGTCCGAATTCATATAAATTAGAAGTCTGTTTGAGGCCGCAAAATACCGTTGCTCGCATTTCAGCCCGTCAGCTGCCAAGCGCGAGCTAATGCCTACGGGAATGGCCTCGGTATTATTAGTTAAGAGCACACACGCACCCCCTAACAGTCACATGATTGCCTGGGTCTGAATAGAACTTGGGGTCAGTTTTCTTCATAATGCATTGGATTGCTTAGGTAACCCCCCCTTCGCCCCCTGTGTCCTTCTATAACGCGCCAGACAGCCAGATATCCTAATGGCCATATGTTCCATAGGCTTGCCTATGTACACAGAAAACAAGGAAAGAGACAATCAGGTCAACCCCAGTTCTTCAAAATAATGCTAGGTTCCTCATTGCCCCGGACGACTGAGTTTCGCTGATAGTAGATCCTGTTGCCGTAGTCGTACTGGAGGCCCCGGTAGTAGTAGTAGCAGTAGTAGTAGTGTTACCAGACGCCTCGTTCTGTTCGGCCTTGAAGACGTTGACCAGTCCCTTGCCACCACAGAACGCTTTGCTGTCGCCGGTGCAGGTGGTGTTGCAGTAAGTCTGGTTGCTCGCCCACTCGCCGCCCACGTAGCTGCCGCACCAGCACTGGTTCCCCTCCTCCACGCCCGCGAAAGCGTACGCCTTGAGGTAGCACGCGTTCTCGCATTTGGGAATAGTCAACGCTGTGTCGCCGCCCTTGGGGCTCAAGTTCTCCTCGAGGATAGGCAGCGCCGGGTCCTCGACGTAACAGCCCATATCGGTCCAAGAGGTGGGTGAGGGTCCGGGCGTGACCGCCGAGCTAGTGGAGACCGTCGTTGTCGAGGAGGAAGATGAAGTGGTGGTGATTGTGTTGTTGATCTTCTCCATGGTAACGATGCAGTACGACTGATACTCCCATGGCTGGCAGTCAAGACCGACGGAGGGATTCCATTCATGGAACTCTTCGGGGGTGATCCCAAACAAACTGCGTACGTACTCGCACGGTTCGCCGTCGCTGTTGTTGTACCATTCGATGCAGTCTTTAGCCGTCTCTGGATCCCATTGAAGCGTCGGGTTGGGGGTACCACAGGCGCGGCGAAAAGCCGCCACGAGCAGAAACAACAAGGAGGTCTTCATAATAGCGCCGATGCAAACCAAATTGCTAGGTAACCCGGTGATGAAGAATGTAGGAGGGATGGACGATGGACGATGGACGATGAGAAGAGGAGCAGCAATCCAGCAGCTACTGGAGCCGTGGGCAGAAACGCCGGCTATAGGTATTCTCACTTGCTTGCATCGTTTGTTTCCCTCATGACTTTCTCCCTTGGCGCCAAGTGCAGCTCATATCGGCGTCAGTTCAGTTGTAGTCTAGAGTCTGAGTTACGGCTGAGTCAGCATGATCCCCTTACGACGATACTTTGCGCTACCTATATGGTTTCCGGGGTGGTGATCGTGCAGCGGTAGCATGTGGCGGCCTGGGCGGACTGTGCCGCAGCGGCTGAGAGACGGCGGGCGATATTCGCTTCACTAAATCCAAATGACAAGAATTGCCAAGAAAGAAGAAAGAAATAGACCGCACACAAGAACCAAAATGCCAGTTTAGTATCGCAAAATTTTCCTCACATCCTATGGACTGGCGCATTTTACGACGTGCTAACTATTAATAACCGTTGGCAACTTTTCTCCTTCCGCTTCAAGTCACGAGCCGCAGACTCTCTACTACGTAGTATCTACACTATCTACCTGCATGGAGCCCTACGCTTAGGAACTAACAACAATGTCCACATTCCATCCATTTCCGCGCCTGCCAACCGAGCTGCGCGAGTGCATCTGGGCCTTTACGATCGAGCCTCGTGTCGTAGAGGTCCGCGTCGTAGACATCCGCGTCGCATCTGACAGCTGGGCAAGAATTCCGAAGCTGGTCTCGCCCACGCCGGTGCCCGCCATACTCCAAACCTGCCAAGAAGCTCGTAACATGGGCCTGTACAAACGGGCCTTCTCCGAGCTCACCGCCACCGCCACCAAGGCCCACGCCGCCGCGGGTGCAGGTGCGGAGTCGCGCTATGTCTGGCTCAACTTGGACATCGATATGGTCTCTATCGGGAAAACCCCCTTCGAAGCTTTCGCGCCCGTCGCATTATCCATCAAGCGGCTAAGGTTCGAGCGCGAGAACTCGGACGACTCCTTCTACCACTTTGAAGCAAAGGAGCTCCGGGACTGGGTAAACACGGAGGAAATCCACGTGGTTTGTGCAGATGGGATGGAGGCCTGGCTTGGGGCTTCCCAAGATCACCCTTGGCCTTGTGCCCTGGAAAACCTGTGGTTTTTTGATCCGGATGATGGCCGGATGATGAGGAGCTTTGAGATGGAGCAGACGATTGGCGAAGCGCTGGAGAGGACTGGAGGAGTTGTATAGGTGGAAAAAAACGAAGAGGATACTGGAGAAGTATGGGCTGAAATAGGATATGACTACCCTAATGGTGCTCGTCTCAGCTAACTAGAGCTGTCTCACTGAGGGAAATCAATCAATTGCATTAATATCTACAATCGTATCGCTCTGTATACTACATCCGTGCTATCTATCCTGTTCCCCTTTCCCATGCTCTGCCTCCTCCAACCTTCCCTACTGTGCTACACATAACCGCTTCCAAATTGCCCATCTTAACGACAACTCAGGCTTTTGTCCGTCGCCCGCTTGTATGACTGTATCACTACGCGGTGGTCCCTTGCCTGCTTATTGGTCCCACCATAGAAGTCCTTGAGAAACCCCTGAATCTCTTTGTCGACGTCAGGCACGCCCTTGGCCTTGGCTTGTTTGGCCGTCTCTTTCCAATCCACAGTTTTCCACACTTCGCCAGTAGCAGGATTTTTCCCACTTCCTAGGTCCTGTGTCTGTATGTCCATCTTGCTACTTAGCGCGTCATTGGCTGCCTGGATGAGATGAGGGCCATGGTCTCCGGCCCGCGCCTCGCTGACCTTGGCCATAGTCGTGTCGAAGCTCGTCCAGAGGCCCCGGTTTCCAATGTTCCCTTTGTTCTTGTACGTATTGTTGACTGTGTTGGTGATGCGCTTGATGTAGTCGTTGTACTCCCACGCATCTTTTGCGGCTACGTGAGGCGGGAAGTTGACCACCTTGGGATTCTTCCCTGGGGCGGTCGTGAAGATCTTATAACATTGCTTGGCCGTCCCCTCGGGATCCAACTTCCCATCAGAATCATCGACGGACCAGCCGGTTTGAGTAGGAGCCTTGCCCAGGAACACCATGAGTTCGTCGAAGTTGCACCGGGTGCGACCCGAGTTCCTCTTTGGCGTGCAAGCATTCCACTTGGAGCATGATTTATTCTTCGTATCTGGTTTGGCGCACTTAAAGCCGATCGTCTGGTCCGCCTCGTCGTTGAGCCCATCGATCTCATAGGCATTGAACAGCAGCACGCGCTCAAGACATCCTTGGTATCCCCCGGCCAAGACGGCGGAGAGGTGAGCAAGAACGAGGAAAAGAGTAACTTTCATGATTGCTGCTGGTGGACAAGACTCAACAGAGCAAGGAAGAATTCGAGTCCCAGATGAAGCAAAGGATGGGCGAAGAAAAATGATTGATGAGTTTGCTCCCAATTTCAGGACCGTCCTTCAGGCTCAATATCACAGCGGAGCTGCATCTGATCATGTTCTGTTAGAAGCAGAGCTGAATCGATATACGCCATGTTACCGTATCATCTTGATCCCCGGTCCTATAGGTCATTCCGTTAATAGTTGTATTGACTATAATAATACTGTCAGCCTGGTGCTGATTTCGCCTCTTGGCGACGGTTTAGTCTGCGGCGTATACTACGCCAAGATCATTCAGTGAGGCACGTATATCCCTCGAGCCCACTTACATAATAGCCGCCCTTCGTAGGGCAGACCAATCAGGGTATTTCCAGCACGTACCAAGATTCTAACTTCATTCCCTCGCCGAATTCTTCTCATCTCGTGATGATTCATTCGATAAACCCCTGTTGATGGACCTGACTCTATCGGAGATGAGGGTACTTGTCTATACAAAGCCGTGGATATGTGGGCCTAAAGAGGCGGAAGCAATCCAGGTAATGCCAGTAGGACAACATCAACCATGTCTATGCCAAGGCTATTCTCACCGGCCTTGATGTCGATATCTTAAGCTGTTCGGATGCATGAGCTCCGCCGTCCAACGTTCGCTCAGCTCAACCTCCCCTAACCTCGCCAGTGCTCAGCCGCTTCTGTTTTCTCATCTGCCTTATATTTGCTCCCTCTTGTCCCAGAGAGTCCAAGGCCTTCATCCCCTCAGCGAACCTGCTTCCGCATTGCCATGCTATCATGAGGGCTTCTTCACTTGTTCCTTGGGCCGTCTTGGCTTCCGAGGCTTTTGCATCTCATTCTCATACCGAAATCTTCCGCCGAGACGAAGATGTAGCAGAGCTTGAGTCGTGGCTCGTGACGGCCCAGCGAGCATCACTTGATACGCGCAAAAAGTGCCCTGTGTTATGCAGCGCAACCAAAAACAGTAGCTCGAGTGCCGAATGGTTCTTATTTCCAGACGCCTCAGAGTTGGCGTCATGTAACGAGACTATGCTGCTCAACGTGGTCGTCAAGACCACAGCTGAAGACCAAACAACTCCTACGGCTATCAGGGCATGCACGGCCGACTATGGCTCGGGGGTAAAAGCTGCATTCGTCGCGGACGAGAGCAAGGCATCCCTCTGTTCAACGTCTAATCGCGTCCTGAAGGAGGCCTCCATCTACATGCACGAACCACAAGTCAGCAGCAATGCTGAGTTCTCTGTCGACCATTTCCTGGCTGCTGGGAATCAGATTACCCGCCATCTCGAGTTACAGGTACCCTCCTGCTCTCACAACGCAATCGAATTCGCCTATTCCCAATCAGCAGCCATTGGCGTATTTGCTGGAGCGGAGATTCATCAACACGGAGTAACGTAAGTACACCAGGGGTTCGAACTTCTTTAACCCACAAATCCGTCTTCGGAGGCCGAACCACTAACCTACTGTCATAGCTCGGATGTTCTCAACAATCTTCTGAAATACGCAGAGGAGAAGGCCATCTCTAAGACCACTGTCATCCAGCTGTGCGGTGCCGATGACCGCGGCGCAGACTATAGCATCGGCATTGTTGCTGCTGGTGTCGCGAATCTCCCCTTTATTCAAGAGGCTGTCAAGACATGGGCCGACGGAGAATGTGTCACTCAATCGGACGTGGGAGAGCCTTGGATGTCGGTCAACCTGCGTGTTCCCTCGCCCGTCGAGGCCACGTCAAATAATGGCACCAACGTGACGACATCATCTGGCACTACGCCCGCAAGCCTCGGGGCAAGGTCGCGCCTTACCAAGAGGGCCGACTGCAAAACAACCAAAGTCCAATCGGGAGATGGATGTTGGGCTGTGGCCGACAGGTGCGGGATCAGCCAGGCAGACTTGGAGAAGTACAATCGTAAGGACCTTTGCAGCACCCTCGTCCTCGATGAGATCGTCTGCTGCAGCAGCGGCACTCTACCTAGCACTCTGCCACCAGGCAACTCGGATGGCACGTGCAAGACGAGAACCGTGGTTTCCGGCGATAGCTGCGGCTCACTAGCCTCCAAGTGCGGTATCAGCGCGGCGGACTTCACGAAGGCCAATACTAAAACCGATCTATGTTCGACCCTGGCAGAGGGTCAACAGGTCTGCTGCACGGCCGGGAAGATGCCGGACTTGAAGCCGAAGCCCGATCCCGACGGCAACTGCGCCGTGTACACGACCGTAAAGAACGACAACTGCGCCAAAATCGCGGCAGCCCGTGACCTGACCGTGAAAAACCTGGAGGATTTCAACAAGAAAACCTGGGCCTGGAATGGCTGCGAGAAGCTCTTGCCAGACTTCAAGATGTGTGTGAGCACCGGAAGCCCACCCATGCCGGCGAGCGTTCCTGTAAGCACCTACTTTCTTACCTACTTCTCGTAGGTGTCTTGTTAAAGTACCTTGGCTGATGAGAATTCTTGACAGAACGCTGTATGCGGTCCAACGGTAAGAAAACGTCTTCCTCACCATCATATATAGGAAGTCATGATGACATTATCCAGGCTAACGTGGATATGTAAAGGTGAATGACACAGCACGGCCGCCCGCAGGAACCGATTTAAGCACCCTTAACCCGTGCCCACTGAATGTTTGCTGCAATATCTGGGGCCAGTGTGGTACGACGGATGACTTCTGCGTTGAAAAGGAGTCCGAGACCGGTGCGCCTGGAACCTCGGGCGCAAAGAACGGATGTAAGTTGCCTTTTCCCCAGCTGCCTACGTAGTTTCGTCAAGAGCCATGCTGTGGGTAAAGCATCGAGCTAACTGTAGGGATCAGGTGTCAGCAACTGCGGCAGAGATATCATCAAAGGATCTGCGCCGGCTAACAAGATTAAGGTTGCGTACTTTGAAGCTTGGAACCACAACCGCAAGTGCTTGACTATGGATGTCGATGAGATTGACACAGATGTTTACACTCACATCCACTTCGCCTTCGCTGATATCACGCCGAATGACTTCGCAGTGGATATCAGCAAGGTCAAAGAGCAGTTTGACATCTTCAAGGGCATGACAGGCGTCAAGAAGATCATCTCATTCGGTGGTTGGGACTTCAGCACGATGCCCGGGACTTTCAACATCCTCCGCACTGCCGTCCAGCCTGGCAACCGCGACAAGTTCCAGAAGAATCTTATTGCATTCGTCGATGAGCACAATCTCGACGGCATCGACCTCGACTGGGAGTATCCTGGAGTGAGTTACCCCCTTCCCTCCACCCCTGTTCTGCTTGACAAGACTAATGGGTGAGCACGCAGGCCCCTGATATTCCCGACATCCCTAGTGATGATCCTGAAAACGGTAAGAACTACTACGAATTCCTGTCCGGTATGAAGAAATCCATGGGCTCTTCCAAATCAGTTTCCTTCGCGGCACCGGCGTCCTATTGGTACCTCAAGGCGTTCCCCATCAAGAACCTGGCCAAGGACCTCGATTACATCATCTACATGACGTACGATCTGCACGGCCAGTGGGATTATGGCAACAAGTGGACTTCTCCTGGTTGTGAGAGCGGCAACTGTCTGAGGTCCCACGTCAACGAGACGGAGACCAAGGACGCCCTCTCTATGATCACCAAAGCCGGCGCCGCCTCGAACAAGGTCGTCGTGGGCGTGGCCAGCTACGGCCGGTCGTTCAAGATGGCCAAGGCGGGTTGCGACTCCGAGGAATGCCTGTTCACGGGGTCGCCCCGCGTGTCCGACGCCGCGAAGGGGCGTTGTACGGATACGGGGGGCTACATCTCCAATGCCGAAATCGACGAGATCATCCTGAGCGGCAAGGTCACCAGGCAATGGAAGAAGGAAGGCTCCAACTTTTTGGTGTACAATGACACCGAGTGGGTAGCCTACATGGACGACGACATGAAGAAGTCGCGGGCCGAGTTCTACGATTCGTATAACTTTGCGGGCACTACCGACTGGGCCGTGGACTTGCAGTATTTCGCAGAGTAAGTCTCACCATCATTGTTGCGCGCTTCCGACCTTCCTTCCGTACTAACGATTTCTAGTGGGAGCGGTGGCGACACCTACGACGAAGATTACGAGTACGAAATCGACGACGACTATTGGCCTCCGTGCCAGGGCTCCTACACCACGATTGATCAGCTCAACAAACGGAAAGGCTCGATGCCGGCCCACTGCATTGAGCAGTACCTACTAGACGTCCAGGTAGCCACCTTGGAAACAGCGCTGAACAAGTACAAGAAACTTATCGACGACGGCTACGACGAGAAGTTCACGATCTACGAGAACTACGTCACGGAACAGGTCCCCGCTCAAGTCGACCATTTCATGGCCAGCGACAAGGTGCACGACTACTTCACATGTACAGAAACCAAGGACATCACGTGCTGTAGTAGCTGCCGCTATGCGACCTGTGCCGAGACCTGCGTCAAAGGTAGTGACTGTAAGAACGGCAGGGGCACGATTGATATCACGTGCCCCCAGATGGAGTTCCAGCGATCCCTCGCGGACGGCGACCTAACGCCGATCCCCAACGCCACGTTCACGCTCAAGGACGCCGACGGTTTCTGGAAAGACATCGGAGACGAGTACGGCATCGAGGAGTCGTGGCTCAAGTTCGGCAGGCGGCTCATGCGCGTCAACAACGGGTGCCAGTACGCGGGCGAGGACGTCAACGAGTGCATGGACAGGCAGAACAACTTCTTCTACAACTACCCGCTCGCCGACAAGGTCACGGTCTACAACCCCAAGGAGGTCATCGGCGACTCGTTCCCCAAGGCCACCGACATGCTCGACCGCTTCAAGATCGTGCGCGCGTACGGGGACTGGGACGACCTGATGGAGCTGTCGGACCTGGTGGACGCGACGTCGCTGCCGGGCTACTCGACGGAAGAAGCCGTCGCGAGCATGGACAAGATCGTCGAGCAGGCGGGCCAGATCCAGAAGGCAGAGCGCGAGCAGTTCATCCTCAACTTCATCACCGGCCTGCTCTTCTGGATCCCGTTCGTGGGCGAGGCCGTCGGGGCCGTGGGCATGACGACGGTGCGCTCGCTGCTCCGGCTCATCGGCACCACCGGCGAGGCGGGGGTAGCCGTCTACGACATCGTTAATAATCCCGAGAACGCCTTCATGGCCGTCTTCAGTTTCCTGACGGGCGCCGGCGTGGGCCGCGCCGGCTTCAGGAGCGCGGCCAACTCCCGACGAAGCTTGACCTCGTCCGAGTACGATAGCCTCGGAGACGTAAAGGGGAAGCTGGACCTAGTTCAGGACATCCGTGGCGGCATTTGCCCTAGATAAATAGATATCTTGTAGCCGACGTCGTCCGGCCTATTGTCGAGAATTAAGCGCGAGATTACCTACTGTTAGAGCTTAGTGACAGCGAAGTTAATACTTATGAGTTGAATAAAACGTCCTTTATGAACTAAATGAATAATCGATTAATTTCAGCTCTGTAACCTGATTGGGCGCATCCTTGGAATAAGTGGGTCAGGCTCCGCGTAAAAATATTTCTTACGTGAGATTTGACTCGGCACAGTGTTGATGACATAAGCACACCGGTTTAATTGACTTGATTTTTTAAACAAGTATTTTAAAGAGTACGACGACTTCTGACGGTGGGTCATGATAAACTGGTAGTTCATCAACAACACATTAGACAGCAAATCCCGCCGAGATGTTCATAGATATCCGCAAGATAATGACTGTTTCACAAGGAACTTCGCATTAAACGATGATACTTGTTTAGGTAATAGTTTACGAGCATACGGATTGTAGGTAGGTAGTGAAACATAGGTATGAGGTAACCATATCCAATAGCTATTGTCTTTACTTTGGTCAAATTGTAAAGCAATACCACCTAATTGTTTTGCGTGCCATCGGGTGTGTAGTACTTACTCCACATCTGTCCTAAGAATGGCCTGCATCGCCTCAAGGGCGTCTTGCTTGTGTTGGTGTATGTCAAGAGACATGATGAAACCCCATCTGCCGGGTACGAGTTCTCTTAGCTTGTCTGGATCTAGGCCAATCTCCCGATTCTGTCCGCAAAGGATCCGGCCTGTTTCTCGGCTGGAGTCGATCACTCGTTGGCCTCGTGGTCTTCTGACGGCATCGTACGCCTTGAAAGCAGCGGTGAGATCGTCCTTGGCTTTGATGTGAGATAGAAGGTGTCCTAAGATCACGGCATCCTCGATAGCGAGACCGGCGCCAGAGCCTTGCCACGGGGTTGTTGCATGTGCAGCATCACCAACAATACAGACGTGACCCTTAGCGTAGTTGGGTGTTGATTTCTGCTCCCATTGAGAGTAGGCCTTAAGATCACCTGGTTCAAGAAGTAACTGTGAAGGGATGAGTCCATGGTCTGAAACATGACTTGAGAGCTCTTACATCGATCACTCCTTTTGCGATGGGACCGTCAAGCCAGTTGCTAAACGTTTCAGTGAGCAGCTCTTTAGTTAGCGGTCGTTTTCTATCTTTCGGTGGATCTTTCTCGATTGCTGATACTACAACCTGAACCATGGTTCGATTGTCTAGGACGTCGTGCATGATAAACGCATTATCACCGATCCATCCATATTGCCGGTCAAGCTCGAAGAACTGGTCTCCAATGACACTGCGTGCCTTTTCAAGTGGGATTAGATGCCGGCAGTCCCAGAAGCCAGCAGGCGATGCTTGGTGCTCTCCGGAGTTACCCACTACATAGTTACGGACCTTGCTGAATATTCCATCCGCACCGATAATTGCGTCAAAGTATTTTGAGGAACCGTCCTGGAAGCGAATTTCCAACTCCTCTCCCTGAGTTCGGATTTCAGAAAGCTCTTTACTTGTATGTAGAATCTCTTCAGGAAGTGGAGCGAGGATTTCGCGCAGTAGCGAAGCACGATGGACCACGATGCCCGGATCCCCGGCACCTGCGAGATCGAAAATGAGGGACCCTGAATCTGGCCCTGAGCCCTATTATGCCTTAGAACCATTTATGGAGACTTTTTGAACTCCAGATAAGACAAAAAAAGTTTGTATTAGGAATAAAGAGCAGATTCGACGTGATGAGAGCTTACTAGAACGATACGAGAGGAGTTCATCGAAACAGCACCGGCTTTATCTAGACTTTGCTTCATTGACGGAAGAATTTGATCCAAAGCCCGCTGAGCATTTGAGGTAAGACCAATAGCAGCGCCGCGCTCTGTGAACTCGGGTGCAGATTCGAAAAGGTCAAGATCTACATGAGACACCTTGATGAGTGCATTAGCAAGCGTAGCTCCAGCGAGACCGCCGCCAATGATAGCTACGCGGATGTTAGGCTGCGACATGCTCTATGATCTAAGGATGGGGAAGATTTGGTGTTTAGCAGATGAAAAGGAAGTAGTGAATGTAAAGATCCCCCGCCAGGGTCAAGAAATAGAGAGGTTAAATGATAGTTACCCCCTTACGTGGGATGCATGTTACGTAATACAAGTGGGATTTGTGCTTATGTAAGTTTTTACTCAATTTTGAAAAGGGCAGAAAGGGGTAAAATTAATACCTAGGTACCTACGTAGGTACTGGTCCCTTGGTGACACGATGGCCCCGAATTTAGTCGGGCAGTAGATCTGAGGATTCGATTGCTCGGCCTCATAATTCTCAGTCTTATCAACGCTATAACGTTCAGTTAGATCATGATAAATAATAGCGCCTCAACCTGGCTGTCGAAGCTTGGTGGGTGGAAAGTTCAACTTAAAAGTAGCCACTCAAAGCTTGACGCAACATATTAAAGATTTCCACATTATGTTGATGTGTTTTTTTTTTTTTTTGGTAATGTTAAAAGAATAGTTGTATTTCATTCTACAAGACTACTTAGCGCCCATATTCTGAAGGCTTCTGGGAGCTGGAACTTTTGCTGTCGAGTTAATTACGTGCCGGTTGTGTTTCTAGAACGTTACCTTAGGCACAGATAATCCATTATCACAGGGCTACCAGTCGAGCAGAAACGACCAACACACCTCAACACTTGAAGATCTAATTATCTCGGCTACAGGAAGGCCGACGATAGTAAAAATGCGCTACCACCAAGCCTGTAGGCTCTTCAAGACCAAGCATTGGGGGACCCTCTGGCGAAATAATATCCCAGGCCTTGACGCGTTGAAAGAGATGTCTCAATATACCTTCGTGGCATTAGATTTCGAGGGGCGGATCACCAAGGACAAGCCTATTGGCATTACTGAGATCGGACTTGCTGTCCTTGCCCCCCCTATTGCTACCAACAGCATAAGTCCAGATGCTCTTAAATATCAAGGCAAAACACCTGAAATCTTCTTTGAACAAAACTCGATCGAAAGCTATTGGATCCAAATCAAAGGAAGGGAGCGTAGCAAAAAGTGTCGAGACCGATACCATTTTGGCAACGTCCAGGAAATTGAAGCCGAGCAGGCTGAGAACGCATTAGTCACCTTACTACAGTCTATTCAGTGCCGGTCCAAGAGTCCCTTGGTTCTCGTTGGATTCGACCTCGCCTTCGAATTTATAACGATCGCATCACATCTCTCTCAAATCACCCAATATTTCTCATACTGGGTTGATTTGCAGGAAATCGTGACAGAAATCTCCAACACAAAGAGTCCCGGCATGAAAGCTACACTTCTTTCTTTCGAGTTCTTTTCAGAGGACCTAGCTATCCGTGGTAAGAGCGATCATAATGCTGGAAATGATGCGGTTCGCGAGCTGGCAATCCTTGTCAACCTGCTGTATCTAAGCAAGGGCAACACTATTCAAATTCAGGCCAAGCAGCATAGAGATAGGGATACGTTACAAAGATTCTGGACAAGGACCCGTCCATGCCCAAGGGAACTTTACCCCTTTACAGTCAGGATTCGTATTGAGGGTAAAGATTTGAGGTCTTTGGTTCCAAACTGCCAGCAACTATTTAGTCTCTTTCCTAGCTATCAACCATCAGCAGTAGGAATGACCCGGACTGGCAATTATGGCTGGGTATGTCTACCAACTGAAAAAGAACTAAAACGTTTCATTGATGAGCTTCATGGCCACAAATTCAAAGGAGAGACATGGATCGCCGTCACAGACTATGATTCTCAGATATCACATCTAACACCCAAGCAACTTCGCGAGGCCGAACGAGCAAAGCAGGAAGCTCAACGAGAGCAAAAGCAACTGGAAAGACGCGCGAAGAGGGACGTTGAATCAGATGAGCTCGTCAATATCAGTCCCGCGTAAGGAGGGATGGATTTTGAGGTACCTCATTTATGACACGTCCTCATATGATAGATCTTATACCTTTAAATGGCAGTTATGCCCAGCCAAGGGTTGGAAGGCAAGGCATGGCTTCACATGGCCTGGCGGATTAGACCTAGAATATAAAGCATGAATTGTACACGATTTTACATCTATTTGCGTTGAGCCATGTGTACTAGCATCGCTCTGAACTGAGCTTTCGTAACTGCTTAGTTGTATTTTACCGCCTTAATCCCTGGCCGGCGGCAACTTCCAGTTAAGAGATGAAAACAGTGGTATTTTTGTGTGAGATGTTTTGCAAAAGTAGGTCATGGGGATCAGGTATTAGGGGTAATCCCGTGATTAAATAATAGCCCAAGCGTTCAAGTGGCAGATACTACATATATATGTAGGTACCTATGTACAGATGGAGTGTACATGGCAGGAAGGTGCGATTAATACTGTACTAGTATTTAAGATCTCTACAATGAGATCCAAGGTCTAAGAGAACTTACCTAACCAATATAACATCTTTATCCCCTCTAATTCTTATCTCCTACTGGTTACTAAATACAAAACGGACTGTTCCATGTGACATCTCGTGTTTAAAAAATAACTGTAAACCTTGACATGCGTTCAATTACCTGCTAGGGCTGTCAAGGTCTCTCTCCCCCCCACCCCCCTTAGACCTGGTAACAATTACTGACTTGACATAATCACTCCGATTGGCATCAATCAGCTCAACAGTCATCGTGTTTTAACATGACACTAGCACTAAGGTGGTTATTTCCATCCAAATAACTTTTATATAAGGGGTGCAATTGCCCTTCATGGTGATAATATCCACACTGACAACCAATTAAGTTTGCAATAGTTAGTTATAAACGTGTCGGCTGACATCATGTTTACTCCCGGTGACTGTTGCTGTGATAATGACTAGATGCTTCCCCTACCTCCTTATCAATGTACTTACCTAGTCTTTCGCAGCTTCCTTTGAATCTCAAGAAAGTAGTCCTCTTAACAATCGACCGCTAAAATAGATAACAAGAAAATACCACCCCAATCAACAATAAGCCAAGGCAGGATGGCCGAGTGGTAAGGCGCCAGTTTCAGGTCCTGGTGGATTAGTCCTCGTGGGTTCGAATCCCACTCCCGTCGCCTCCTAAGGGGAATAACGGCGGGACAGGAATGTGTAAATCTGGTCTCATCAGAGGCGGGGCGTTCGAATCCCCCTCCTGCCATCCACATAATTTGATTCTTCTTTTTAAAAAATTCTTTTTCTGTAACGTGGAATTTTGGATAAGTAGGTCTTTGCTGAGACCCTACTTTTGACACAGTACTCTTCCTTAACCGTCACGACCTACTTTTGCAATGGACCCCCTTTTACAACGCTTATACCGCTATTACCCACCTTAGATTTTTTCCTATTATAATACTAAACCTTTAATTAAATTGTTAAAAATAGTGAATAAAAAAGATTATGAGTAGTGTATTGCGCGTGCTATAATGAATGTGTAAGAAGGCTTGTTAATTGCGGTGGCGGTTGTAAAATATAACCTTATTCCTTCCACCCTCTTGCGATGGCTTTGCGGGACTTAGTTATATTAGGAAGGAGTAGTGTACTTATAAAAATTAATTCCCGAGTAAGAAGAGAAAATAATTGATTGGATTGTAAACGAGCAAGCCTGCAGGAAAGTTCTTAATTGTGTTATTGTTCTTTTTTTTATACAATCTATCCTAACCGCTGGGGGGGAGATTAAGAAGCTTGGGGTTAGGTGGGTGGATAGGTTTTTAAAGCGGAACGTAAGGGTTATATGAATGATAGGAAGGCCTGTAAATACTAACCGTATACACACGGACAAGGAGAAGGAGATTTGGGCGTTTTATCCCTACCTGTGCGGTGTACGTAAGTATTATAATATACTACCCTTAAATAAATACAACATCGATAAGATTAGGCTTCAAGAAAGAAAAACAAACAACAATCTAGTATTCGGGACTACCGAAGAATGCTGCGTTAGAGTAGCAAAGTCAACAGCTACTTCATAAGTGACAATAATAAAGTATATATCCAGGATTGGGCATCGAAAAACCCCTGTTATTATCTATAAAAACAAAAAGCTTCAAACGTAATAATTTAGCCAAAAGGTGGTTGAATAGGAATTTACAACTATTAAAAATGGTTAAACTAATAATAAAGTAAAAGCCCGTTAACTAAAACAAGTATTTTTAGTTAAAATTAAACTTAAAAATAATTAATATAAATTATTAATCCTTAATAACCACTTTTCCCACACCAGCTTTAAATTTATATAATTAACTTATATAAATAAAATAATTTTCGTTTATTTTTTTATTTATATTAATAACTTAATGTAACTTTTAAACGTTAACGTTTTTTTTTTTAAAAAATTTATTTTAAATAAAAAATAAAATTTTAAGTTTTATATTTAATTATAACGTTAATTTATAAATAATAAATGTTATAAATTTATATTAAAATTAATAAAAAGGTTTTTTTAATTATAAATATATTAATTAAGTAATAAAAATTAAGTTTATAACTTTTAAACCTTTCGAAAATATTAATTAAATAAAAGAAAAAAAAAATAAAAGAAAAAATAATTAATCCCCGGAACCCCCCCTTATAAACTATTAAAAAATATTTAAAAAACTTTTAAAAAATTTAATAATATTATTAAACAATTAAAAAATATTAAAAAAAATAAAATAAAAATAAACTATAATATTTATAACTTAATTATTAAAATTAAAAAAAAATTTATATTTTAAATTTTAATTATCGCTACCTTTTAAATAATTAATTAAAATTTAAAAACATAATTAAATTAATTCGCTTTTAATATATATTAAAATATCCATCCTAATCCGAATAAAATATTCATTAATTTATTAAAAATTAAAAACGTTTAATTAAAAAAAAAAAAAAATTATTTAATAAATCTTTACTTAATAAGTTAATAAAAGATTATATTATTATTATAATAAATAAACCAAAAGTTAAACAACAAAAAAAAAAGTAGATATTTTTTTTAATTTAATCGTGTATCAATTAATTAAGTTATTATTATTTAAACTTTAAAAGTGGTGGTGGGATAAGATTGCAAAAGGGGGTCCATTGCAAAAGTGGGTCGTGACGGTTAAACTTACGATACTAGTGATACAAGCACTCCGACAAACGCTCTTCTAACCGCGATCCATGCAGGAGTGACTCATAAGTGTTTCGGTTTAAGAAATATGACATTCAGGGATTGCACATAGATTATCTCTTTCAGTAGAGTAAAATCTTCTGAAAGTTGGGAAGATCGAACTCGGACAGCTAACCAAAGAATATTTCCAAAAAGTATTTAATCATGGCTACCACACTCCTTCAAGGTTTCTTCATACATCCTACTTCCATTGAATCACATCTTTTACTCCTATATCCCACATACTACCCTAGCAGCTTGGATAAAGTCCGCTTTTGGCTATATATAATACCTCAACCACATTTTATCATCTATATTAAATTTCCCCCTTGAATTCATCACATAAGGAGCTGTTATATGCGATGCAGTTCTTTCATCTTTTTCTCTTGAAAAGATTTCGAACATACCTTGAGCCTGTGATAAAGAATGTTCATCAAACTTGGAATCACACCTTTTTCTTGTAACTTTTCTACACAATAATCACTTCACCTCCTATCACACAGTCTGGTGGTGCCGGATCTCTAACATAGTGAACAGTATGATCTATCAAGAGAAGGGGAGCATTGAGAATGCAGTACTAAATATACCCACACTCAGCTAACATAATCCAGGGTTAATTCCTATATGGATGGATTACCTAATTACCCCGTGCCAATCGAACAATATGGTGTGAAAACATTGAGCTCGTCATGGGAAAGGGAAAAAAAGGGTTGGCACAAACACTCGTTTGAAGAACAATATCTGGCAAGTTGAAGAGTAAGTCAAGTATATTGGACCCAAGCGACTTGTTCCTTCGATACCCTTTGCTATCAATTACTAATTAGAAGTGCCTTAGTGCGATACTAACTCACGAGAAGTCCTATGGTTGTTGTGTCTTCTTCACCTGGACCGGATATTACCATTTCAACCATTCCAACGTACCCCTAGCAACCTTCAATTCCTCCTTTTTATTTCTCATACGTCTATACTTTAACGGCGACAAAAAAGCTAGTAGAAGCATTCAACACTATTGGCGATACTGATTTCTTAGTGGAAAGTCAGACAGACTCGTCACATCTTGACAAGAGGCCTGGTGGCTTCGTTCCTCTCGACTCATCACAGAGTCGGAATTCTCCGAGCAAGCTCATTTCCCGATTCATGGGAGATATAACACCTTCCGCTCACTAGGTTAGATGTTGGTGGATTTTACTCAAACGAGCCCATTCCATTACGACATAGCATGTCCCGGTGGCTACGTCTTCATCTTATTACAAAGTGTCTGACTTTAGTCAATGACGAAGGGTCTAATAACCTAATTTACTATTTGCTAGTAGTGCGTAACACGGACTGAATACCTACATAAGGCACACAACTCTATTTGGTATTGTGGTGCTTGTGAAAGTGACTAGACCTTGTGGTGTCACTCGTACGCGTCCAATCCTCAAATTTGGAAATTTTCATTCTTTGCAATCCGTTTCCCTACCTGTGCTACGGCCGATGCAGCACGTTCTCAGACAGCCAGACGCAGAGGCACTACTATATCTCTGCGATATTGCGTCAGAATTTAACAATACCGGGATCTCGCCCCACTCATTGGATGGGACCTGTGGTCTAACTTATAACAATGGAAAATTATTCCAAGTCGTCCAAGCTCCCAATGGAACAACCAGACAAGTCACAAACGTCCAAGAAGGCCAAAGAAAAAAAGGCCAAGGCTAAAGTTACGCATATCGTTTTAGAAGTTGATGACGATAATGGCCTCCCCTCGAAGCTCGTCACAGCCAATCAGCGCACAGCCAAACGATACACGCAACAAGCGTAAAGAGCGGGATTCTTCAAAATCTCGTTAAAATCATACGTCTTCGCCCTCCAATAGGGCACGAAAGAGGCTCAAAGAACGGGTTTCATCAACTACTCATCAAACCCACACGTCTTCAGCCCAGCAGACCTATATTACACCTACAAGTAGTCATTATCACAGACTAAGCGAGGAGAGTAGGCGACGTTTAGGCTTATTTCAGGTCGGACTCGTTCGCGTGTTGTCGCGCCACGAGACAGTTGACTAGGGAGGTAACTGTACCATGGTGGAGATAGATGAGGATGATACCGATCATCAAGTTTCCCATTAATTTTGTTTTAAAGATATACGTATTCACAAAGCGATAAATTGTTGTTGGGTTGGGGATACTCAACAAAGGGTATATGACATACCTACCAAGTATGATAACTTATAGATATTTATATTTGAATACATGGGGTCTTGCCTATAGAATTTAATTAGAATAAAGACTTTGTCGATAGTGGTACTTAAGTATATATGAGATCTAGCATGCCGGGTTTCATATACCAGTCCGGGATGAGACAAGCTCGGTTCAGGGTCTGTAAGAAATGCGGGGGAGGAATGTTGGTGATAGGTGATAGGTCAAACCCGATGAAGCGTTTTAGTATACGTGGGGTATCCCCGCATGCGAATAAATCCCGCGCGAAGACCCTGAACGAGCTGACGGGCTGACGGGCTGACGGGATGAAGGGATGGGATTTTCGATCTTGGTTAAGTTGGAGTAGGGTTACGTTACGTCCATGTTCCCTAGGATAATCCTTAGGCAAATCCTTACATACCTAGTACGTAGATCGCCTGGCAATCTTGACACTTACAAATAAATAGGTACTAGTAGATTAGTAGTAGTTTAGCCTGCCTAGTTGATGGCTTTGGCCCCATCGCCGGATGGATACCTATGCTTCGATGTTGCGCATGAGACTCGAAGAATTAGGGGTCGTGCCTATGCTTATAGTAATGCATTGATCCACCAATAAAGCCGAGTTGACTATTATCCATCACAGGTTGCTATTCCGCAGAAAATAATAGCCGGTAAAGCCTTATCACAGGTACACGTGGGTGGACGAGGTGTAAAACGTTGGATGGCAAGTCAGGACGGTGGAGGATGGGTAGTACGTAGAATGTTGGGCAGGCACCAGAATTCTGTTTCTGTTTCGATGCAATGTAACCCCAAAGAATGTAACGCTGCTTGATGAACCTGGCTATCGTTCTTCTTCTTTTTCTTCTTTTTTTCTCTCACATTTTCTAGCCTTCTAGTATGAAAGGCAACACGAAAGTAAAGTTTAGATTGTTCTCCTGCTTATAAACTGCTAAGCTCTAATCCAATTCTTTAATTGAACTTTAGCGATACGTAATTATATACGATTAGCTTCGATAGTTAAGCTATGATGCAGTACTAAGTGATGCACTAACATAAAATCTACAGCAATTCAAGTTAAAGTGTTTAGTGAATACCTTAATCCATCTTATCCGCCCAGTCATCTTCAGCGCCAACCTTAAACCCGGCATTTCCGCTTGGCCTGCCCCGGTTTACGGAGGGGTCTGTGGATTCAGGGACTCGGGGTGCCTTATGTACCGAGTACATACCTGAAAATATGAAAATATTCCTTAATTCTACCTTCTTCACATATTAATTGGAATCGATGCTGTTGATGTCAGGTGTATGCTACCACTATCTCAGCATGTGATTTAATTGCCCATTGGATATACATGGATGTATATGAGCCCTTACTGGAATGCGTTTATCGAATAAGGCAATGACACTGGTACCGGATTGTCGGGACATAATTGGCAGCGCATCTTTCTTGTCACCGTAACCCCGAACAGCGAATATCCCATCCCCATCCCCCATCATCCCTGTACTTTCAGTACCCTCTTCCATACCAACAAGCTTCTTTCCTCCACTCCGCTAATTTCTGACCTTGGGACTTGGACTTCCTACTGAACAACCTGAACAAAGCTCCCTCTCTCATTTCGCCCCATACCTAGGTACTATTCACTCACGCCCTAATCATAATCCATCATAATCCCCTCCCCCATTAGGTATCTGGTTATGATCCCAAATTGTTAGAATTGTGTTCTTAATACCAATATCCTCTCGATACCTCTCCTGTCGGCGCATGCGATCCTCTTTTGGCGTTAATATCACCCCGGGTAGGAAGGGTATAGCATAAGGGCCAGGAGGGTGTATGTAGCGCGATCGAAGCGAACCGAGCCTCGCGAAGGCAAGAGAAAGGCGAGGTAAACGGACGCGACCATGCCCGAGAAACCACTTACCGTTGCTACATACGCGGCTGGCGCCAGTCTTGCTGCGATCACTCTCTTCTACGTCTTCGCCCCCAACTATTTTATCGATGGCGACTCCAACGCGAAGGGCAAGAAGGGCGTCGTAGTCGGCCTCTCGAACCCTGCAAACGATTGCTTCATCAACTCCGTCCTTCAAGCCCTCGCCGGCTTGACCGACCTCCGAATTTACCTAATCCGAGAAAACCACCGAAGAAATATAGACGAGCCATGGGTCTACCAAGAAATAGTCAAACATCCTGCATACAGAAACACTCCCGAATGGAAAATACACGGTCTACAAGCGGGCCTCGTCACTCAGGGTCTTAAGAATATCCTTGACAGCCTCAATGAGCGACCTATTTATAAGAAGACCATCTCCGCTACCCCTTTTATCAAGGTTCTCGAGAACGCCTTTAGGCAACGTATCAGTAGGCAGCAGCAAGATGCGCAGGAGTTTTTACAGGTGGTAGCTGAACGACTATGCGACGAATATCATGCAGGGAGAAGAGCTCGACAAGCAGCCAAGAAAAAGAGTGCTGCCGAGGCATCGGCTAACAAGGCAGAACCTATAGATGGCGATGCTGTTGAAGAGCGTTTAGCGAGGCTGGCCACCGGTGAGGATACGAGTACTAACACCGCCGAATCAAACGAAAGAACACCGGAGGCTGAGATAGAAGACGAGGAAGGGTTTCCAATGGAGGGCAAATACGAAAGCCAAATCGAGTGTCAGACGTGCGGCTATAAGACGAAACCGACAGAGAGTACGTTCTGCACCTTAACTCTGAACGTGCCGCAGTCGAATTCGTCTTCACTTAACTCTTGTCTGGATGGCTTCTTCAAGACCGAATACGTGGACGATTTCAAGTGTGAAAAATGTCGCCTTGTTTATGCCAGAGATATCTTGGAATTACGGAAGACGCATTCTCATTCCGAAAGCTTCAAAGCCAGCGCGCAAGAAGCAATCGCGAAGCTTCAGCATGCCATCGATAATAACCCTGAGGACCCACCACCAGACGTTGAATTACCGCCAATGCGTGACGCTCCGACCTGCAGGATTGCGAAACATACGCGGCTGACAGGTTTCCCTAAGATCATGGCTATCCATCTTTCTAGATCAATTTATAACAGCATCTCTCAGAAGAATTCGGCCAAGGTCTCGTTCCCAGAGCAGCTCCTAATGGGTACCTTGCTAAACCGCAAAAAATATAAATTACTCGGTACAGTTACGCATAAGGGTAGTCACCATAGTGGACACTACGAATCCTTCCGCCGACAAAACGTATCACTTCCCTTCTCGACCCCTAACGCCTTCCAGGCTTCTATGGCCTTTACCAAATCGGCTACGCCAAGTCCAGCCTCGACTCCGAGAGTTGCGGCGATGCAAAAGTCAGGAGAGCCTAGCCCGGTGGCCTCTACTCCTGATCTAGTCGCTTCTTCGCCGGGAGCTAGCTCGCCTAACCAGTCCATCGACGGCTTTCCACGACCGTCGACGGATTCCATACCAACTCCTCAAGGCTCGTCGACTTCTAATAGTCGATCGACGTTTCGTCGCAGCCCCACCTCATCCACAAAGGATCGTGAGTCGGATACTATCAGCCTTAAGTCGGTTGCAGCATCTGCTCGGTCGACCATGTCTAGGATATCCCACTCGGCAAGGAATAGCAGACCAGGGAGTCCTAACAAAACGCCAGTTGCGCCGTCTACGGCGAATGGGAAAGCAATCCCACCAAAAACAAAGGCAAACAAGCCAAAGCGCCAAAAGCCGAATGAAAGATGGTGGAGGATTAGCGACGAGAAGATCAAGGAGGCCAAGACAAGTGAAGTTCTAGGGATGCAGCGGGAGGTCTACCTGCTCTTTTACGAACTCGACCGCGAGAGCCCGGCGGAATCGTAGTGGGATGTCCATCGGCTCTTGGAGGACATCACGCAGGCAGCCGCTTACGATCCGAAAGACGACGAGCGGGAGAATCCCTATCTCAAACATCGGGCCGAACAGGGCATCGTAGGACGGATCCAGGTCTTTTTCTGGAAGTTGGGTTTGCTACTGAGAAAGATGGCTCGGAGGATGAAAAAAGGTGTTATACGTATGTGGAATCTGTATATGGGTTATTACGACATCGTGGACCTTGAGGCTGGCTACACGGAGCGTCAGCATGGGTGTAAGAAGCCTGGGTGGAAGAATTATCATGGATACATGGCTTGCGCAAGCACATTGCCGGCGCACCAAGAGGGGATATTTGAGTCGTCATTCTAAAAGGAGGAGAGCCATATCATACGAAGAAAATTATCGGCGACGAAAACGATACAGGACGGGGCCTTGAATGTCCCATTCGTCATAAACTGCATGGGACCATATCATTTCATACATGGCGTTAGCGGCTCATGGACGAAGTCACTTTTTCCCCCCGCTTGATGCATTTTCTGGTCCCAAGGTGGCATGATGCGAATGTTGTTGTTTTTTTATATCGCAAACCCATATTCCTTCACTTCATTCTAAGGGGGTTGCATGGATTAGGGTATGGATACATTTTTGGCTCAACATTAAAAAAAGGCATCGTCCATTCAGAGCAGTAGGTATGTACTAAGAGCGAGAACAATTGATATTATTACATTGGAAGCATTCGCTGGGGGCTGCAAAAGCTGAGTCGATACATACATACTATACCTAGCTAGCTGCGAGTACATAAAATAGATGTAGATGTTCTAGCATATGCGCAAGATTCTGGGCAGCATCTACCTACATAACAAAATCAGGAGTTGAAAATTGGTGTCGACAACGATTCTTTCTCATGTATAGGAGCCTAACTAGTAGGTATTCTACGTATACTCTAAGAAAGTCAAAAGTCGTATTAGATACTATATTGTATGAAACATTCAAATGTATTCATTCATCGTAATGCCTTGCTGGCTTGTAAACCGACGTTCTCCTCCCCGCATGCAATCTCGTTATTTCGTGACCCTATTACTATGGCAAGTTCCTTAATCGCCTTTTTGATTATCCTCGAAGTGCCTCCACTACCCTATCTTACCTAAAGATTTTCTCATTGGGGAGATATTTGATTTAATATTGTCCCTCCAGAGTCAATGTCCCGGTTTTGGTGATGAGGTACTCGTTGATGGCGACATCCTTGCCAGATTCCTTGCCGAACCCTGACTCCTTGATTCCGCCAAATGGCGACTCAGCAGCAGATGAATTTCCTATAAACATTTCGCTCACCATTAGTCTATACGGTTTCTTTCCAGCAATGTCACAGGAGGAACCGAAAACGCGAAAAAAAAAAAAAAAAAATGGCAACTCACCGCTGTTTAACCCAATCATCCCCGCCTCCAAATTCTCAAACATGCGCCAAATCCTGTCGACGTTCTTCGTGAAGCAATAAGAAGCCAAGCCCATCTACACCGGTGACGTCAGCCTTTAAATGATCTCTTACACACCTAAAGGATACCTACGCTCGTGTCGTTAGCCAACTTAACAGCCTCCTCCTCCGTGTCGAACGGGAACAGGGCCAGCAGCGGGCCGAACGTCTCCTCAGACGCGATCTTCATCTTCTGCGTCGCGTTCGCGATGATCGTCGGCTCGAAGAAGTACCCGTTGTTCAGGCTAGTAATGCGGTTGCCCCCCGTCACGACGACGCCGCCGTGCTTCTTCGCGTCTTCGACTTGTGCCGCCACTTTGTCGAGGCCCGTCGGCACGGTCACGGGCCCCATCGTCGTGCTCTTGTCCATGCCGTGGCCGACGCGGATCTCTTGCGTCTTCGCCGCGAGCAGTGCGGCGAACTCGTCGTATACCCCTTTTTGCACGTACACTCGGTTCGCTGTGACGCAGGCCTGGCCCGCGTGGCGGAATTTGAGCGCCATTAGTGCTGATGGATCACTTGATTAGCACATTAGGTGTGGCGTGTCATGCTTACGAAGGTCTTACCGTCGCAGGCTTGGTCCAAGTTTGCGTCATCAAATACGACGAACGGGCAATTGCCTCCCAGCTCGAGCGTGAGTTTCTTGAGAGTACTCGCGCAATGCGCGGAAAGGATTTTTCCTACACGAGTCTGGCAGCACGTCAATCGGCCGTGCAAATTATGGATTTAGAAGGGGGAGGGGAACACATACCGATCCGGTAAAGGAGACTTTCTTCACGGTCGGGTGTCTACAGAGAGCTTCACTGAGAGAAGGGGTATTGGCTAAAGTAGTCGGCAGCACATTGAATACGCCCTTCGGGTACCCAGCTTTCTCGGCCAGATATGCTAGTGTCAGCGCCGATAAGGGGGTCTCGGGCGAGGGCTTCGCGACCATCGTGCAGCCTGCGGCCAAGGCAGCGCTGGCTTTCCTCAAGACCATGCTAGAATAAGATATCAGTTTCCAATTCTTTTCCTCGGCATATTAGTCGGATAGAAAAATCGCTAGTAACTCACGCAATAGGAAAGTTCCAAGGGACCAGCGCGGCGCAGACACCCAACGGCTGCTTAATAGTGAAAATCCGCCTGCCGGGCATGGCGGCGGGGAAGGTCGTCCCTTGGATCCTCTCCGCCTCGCCGGCGAACCAGCGCGTGAACGAGGTCGCGTACTCGATTTCGCCATACGCTTCAGCCAGCGGCTTGCCAGTCTCAAACACGAGAATGGTCGCCAGATCATCCTTATGCTCCCGTATCAAAGCATCGAACTTAGCTAGCAGGTCGGCGCGAGTCCGAGGGGTGAAAGTGCGGTAGGCTAAGAATGCCTCGTGAGCAGCCTTCACGGCGTCATCGACGTCCTCGGCCGCCATGTCCGGACATGATGCGAACTTCTCATTAGTCCCGGGGTCTGTTCGCTCCTATGTAAGCAGGACATCAAGTCTCGAGGCACGGATTTCTGGACGAACCGATGATGTCAAACCTCTTGCCTGACTTAGCCTCGATCCATTTCCCATTGACATATGCTTGGTTCCGGAAGAGCTCCGGGTGCTTCAGCTTTGACTATTTTCTTCTATTAGTCCTCCCTTTTATCCATTTAGCACTTTATGTAGAGTAGTTACTCACGTCAATAGCCGGACTTATTTCACCCATGTTGACTTAGGATTGATCTTGGGTGTTTGGTCAAGTATTCAGATGATTCTTTTGGGTTTTATCTATGAGACTGATAAATCGGAATCCCGAAGAACGATCATCTCACTTCTCCGAGACATAGATGTCATCGTTACGCCCCTTACTTACCTAAATGGGTAGCCACACCAAAACCAGCCCCGCACAATGGCTTGCATCTTCGCCCCGAGCTTTCGGGTAGCAGCCGATATGAATTGTCTTGGCCGGGTCACCCCGTCCCCTATGCCTGATGCAGTTAGTAATGCGGACGCTTGTGTTACAATACATCTCCCAGTACCGGATTTTGTACTTCCACTAGTACCTTACTAATCCAACATTAGGGGTCACCGAAGTTCCTCAATTCTTAAGTATGTATCACAAACCTTGCCGTCGCCCCCATCGAGCTACATATACCAGCCAATAGCTGCAGATCTTTACTCAAAGAGTCAGAAAATCCTTCATCGCATGATGTTCAACATGCAAAAGTTAAGGAAGCTATCATTTCCACTAAATAGTTCATAATTGACTGTACCAGTCAGCATGGTTTTTCAACTCGATAGATTATGATGCACATGTTCTAGCCCTTGGCCAGAGATAATTTTTCGAAACGTCTTTAAACCTCGAGGCAATTACGGATAGGGATAGTTCTGCCGTATGTTAAGTCCTAGAATGTCTTGTTCCTATACTAGGAAGTCGGAGGACTGTGGGTATGTCCTACATATTAATTTTCAAGATATTACGTATGTTCCTCTCTATTCTACGCGGCCCCTTCTATATCGTGGCTATCTGTTACTATATTGGGTAAGCCTCAGCTTTCAGCCTCTCGAGGCTACAGGATTCGATGTTGCATTGGTGATCTCACTTGACCATTGTCCTTTGGCCAACTTTTTATATGCCTCATTTCAGGCTGACTTTTTTTACTTACATTATCACCGTAATTGGCAAGTGTCTACCCTCTGTACAAGCGTACGTATAGGACTTATGAGCAGAGTTAGGCTTGGCTAACGTTTATTCTTAGTATTAAATTATATTCTCCTATCTTATTGGATAATTGTTAGTATCAAAGTGCTGTACTAAAGCTCAAGATTTTACATACGCGGTAACGGAGATGAATACCTTACCTCTATTTTCTCACCGTCGCAGTCACCTGCAGGCTATATATCTTGGCGATGAATTGCCTTGTGAAATAACTTTGTCCTCAGTGCGCGGCTTGCCTTTAGTGTCAGGACCGCGCCGATATATCCGAGGCCGAGTGCATCTAGATCTACCTACTAGATATGGATAATCCTATAATAAAGCTAAGTAAGCGACCCATGCATCTCAGTTGATTCCCCGGCTTTTATATCCATCGATCAATTCTTCAAGATGATTATGCATTATAGCCGATCAGGCCCAAGAGCCTTTCTTCCATCGTTGTCTCGAGATGCTCATGGTTTGGCGACGCGTCTGCCCGAAGATATTCAAAAGAGTTACTATAAAACATGTCGGTTCATCTCAACACAATTGACTAACTCTTATCAAAGAGCCAAGTCATATATAAAATCTGTCGAGTGGTCGAGATGGATACGCGCGGGCTGTTGGGTGGTCTCTATACTCTGGACCGTCATGATACTGGGTTTCTTCGCATTTCTTGGCTTATATGGTGCTATGTCTTATAGGTTTGAGAGTGAAGACTCAGCCTGCCGATCTGACGACACTTTTAATCCTGTAATATCTGAGTATAATGCTTGGACAATATCAGGGTTCTTCAAGATAAATCTAGGCTTTGGAAGCTTGACATTTACGGAGGCAAAGATAGTTAGTATACTTTGGGACATAGTAAGCTCAGAACCTAGCTTCTTTCAGAAGATAATAAGCTAATACTTTCTTACAGATAATAGCCCGCGGGGTGCAAGCGTATATGGTGTTCATGTCCTGGCATGCCTTTACCATCTACGTAACAACGTCGATGGAATTTACCCCCGTTACCTATACGGTCTTTTTCACCATATTCCTCCAGGTCGAACCTACATTTTACTCGACGGTCAATATCGCACGAGCCTTTATCTCCCATCGTGGTCTGAGGTCTAAAATTGCCATGGGCTTTATGGTCTGGAGTATGATATTCCTTATGGCATGGCCAACAGTTGCTAGTGCTATGACTGGATATACGTCAGTCAGAGAAGCACTCGTCTTGGATTATAATGGCCATTACATTCCTTTCAGAGAATTTCAACCCATAGCATATATCATCCATGACGGATGGAGAGTTAACTTGACAGGTGACTACATCGTGTCTCTTTTTGGTTCCGGAGGAACTGCCAGTAAGGTCATGGTAAACTCCGATTGATCCACTGGGCTTACAGGACCACCAGAGGAACCTACTGTTAGTTACCGAGATGACTCCTTTTGGGGCGCCTGCTCATTTGATAGTCTATCGGTGTCGGAAGTCAATTGCTCTCTACAAGAGGCAGTGTCCAATTGTTCGTATTAACTTCGCGTCTTAATACCATTCACCATAACTAATACTTGAGTGAAACACAGATGTGTCGACTTATGGGTTCTTCGGCCTGAAGCATACGATATCTGCCTTCAACGGAACTGAGATACCCAGTCCAGTTTTGAACATATCCGCTTTTTACATCAATCCTGATGGGGATTTCTATGGTGCTTCATTTTTCAGCAATATATCGAACGCAGCCTTCGTATATAACAATCAGATATACCCCTTCACCTACGTGATGAAGAACGGAAGCTGCCAACCCATAGTAGATGTGAGTATATGATGGGATACCGGAGGGTACATCGATATATTACTAACTCAATCTATCTGTCATTCAGACCCTAAAATGGGGATTTTCATTCATACAAGTATTCATCGCCCTCTTGTCCTTAACTATTTGGACGATAGGGACAGGTATGTTGTGGTATGAAGCTCGATCAAACTTGCGTCTCCTACGCCGGGCAGTTGTACCGAAAGGTTGGCGTTCTATACTAATACTAGCTGAAAATATGAAAAAAGAAATGGACAGGGCCGGACTTGATGCACATTCATTGACGGATCAGCAATTTGAGGACGAAATTAAAACACGATTTCAAGGGGGATCTGTCTCTCTTAGATGACATTGATGATTTATCATCTATTACGGCCATTAAATAAAATCAAGGTTTACTAGAGATGCATATTTGTGGTATTTGATATGTGATATACTACACTAAGTTTAGCCTTGTTGTTCCTTGTGAGCACCCTGCCATCCAAATATATCCTAATTTGCAGCAATCACTTTCGGGGGTTCAAGCGCTAATATTTTCCTAGCCGCATGTTCAGCTGCTGAGACAATCATTGCAGAAGGATTCCCGGTCATCATTCCTGGGAATATGGAAGCATCAACAATAAAGAGGTTATCCATCCCATAGACTTTGGTATTCGTGTCGACGACAGATGTACCGTTAGCCTCTCGGCCATCATCCACTCCCATCTTCGCAGTCCCGACCCAGTGATTTGAGCATCGAGATGCTGGAACTGCGGGGATCTTCCCAAGGGCTTCGTTAGCAATTCATCTATTATTTATTTCCGCGTTATAGAAGGGGTACTGTTCATTTCTACCTCGCGGGTCATGATGGTGGTCCGTGCCACCAAAGCATAATGCAAAAGGGGCAAAAAGGGGCAAAAAGGGGTAAATATCCAAAACGCACTTACCGAGTCCACGAACTGTGCTGACGTCTGATTAGACATGGGGCGAACCCATGTAAGATTTGAGATGGGCTCAAAGTACTTGCGGACTCTCTCAAGTCCCTCGATGACAGCAGCCCTATCGTTGGCCTCGCGAAGGTAGGGCGGGACAGACACGCGAGTGTTAAGTTGAGGGGTGATCACCATGCGCCCCCTTGACGTAGATCCAGTCCCGAGATATTGTGTTATAGTCATAGAAGCTTAAGGATGCAGTTAGTCAGAATTCACTCGTGAGCCATACAATAAGTTGGTGAGTTACTATTCGAAGACCCTTCCACTCTAGCTTGCCAATGCAAGTGTCGATCGATACCGTCAGGGCCGGGGATAATTTCCCAAAACTTCCTTTGTGTTAATACCGTGACCCATTTTGTCCTTCTGGGCGCTCACTCACAATAGGCCCTAAGTTTGGTGCTGCTTGGGCAAGAATTCCAGTTCTGTTCTCTGCAATCAAGTCAACGGGATATCCATAGAGGAAGTCAAACTTAGCTTACGCAGATATATCTCCGTGTCGCTCAGGATTGGCTTATTATATGCCGCGTAGAAATCGTAGAAGACAACATCGGGATGGGCAACTTCGATATCAGTCTACACATCGCAAGGTCAGCATAATCTGCCAATTAAGAAAACCACACCAGATCAAATAAGTACTTACCCCGACATGGTCGATCAGGTTATATCCCACCGGAAGATCGATCCAGGAGTCCTCAGGTATCATCGTCGTCGCATCTGAAGTCGAATTCTTCACAATATCCAATTGGTCCTTCGGCCCAATTCCACCTATTGCCATTCAATCAGCCACCTCGAAGCGACACCATCAGAAAGGGAAGTAAAGCAGGTAAGTCAACAACCATACTTCTAAAAAGCAGCTTAGCCGAGCCAAATGCCCCAGCAGACAAGATCACGCGTCCGGTCCCCGGCGTAACCGAAACAACACCCGCATGCCCAGCCGCATTCTTAGTACACTCGATCTCGACGCCCGTCGCGCGGCTGCCGTCCCTCACGACCCGCCTCGCCGTCGTATTCATCCAGAGCGCGAACCCCTCGCGCCGACTGGCCTCGAGCAGATACGTCGCCAGCGGGCCTCCCCGCTCGCCATTGGCAAACATATGCGTGCTATGTCCGAACGTGCGGTCCTTGAGCTCGGGGTGTTCGTTCGGCACAATAAAATTCCAGCCACTCGCATTGAGTCCCGCCGCCAGCGCCTCGAACCCTTGCTGCAGGTACAGCCTGCCATCAGCGCTAGGGTGCGTAGTCCCAGGGATACGCTCGAACGCCCGCGCCGTCGCATCCGCGACGTCAGCGCTACGCCAGCCCTCCGGCCATCCGCTGGTATCCCAGTCGTCCGGGTGCGGCTTCCACCAGAGCCCGGAGTTGACGGCGACGCCGCCGCCGAGCACGCAGCCGGCCATCTGGTCGACATCCGTGCACACGACGCCGCTGGGGTCGTGCCAGATCTCGTTCGCGAGCCCGGGCACGTCGAACCGCGTCAGCGTCGCGTTGGACAGCCACGCCGGCTTCATGGTCCCGCCCCAGAGCCCCGTCGACGGCGGCCCTTTCTCGAGGAGCAGCACCGTGTGCCCGGCCTCCGAGAGCCGGTCTGCGAGGGGGATGCCGCCGGCTCCCGAGCCTACGATGATGTAGTCCCATGTCTGGTCGCCCGAGGTAACGTTGGAGCAGACTGGCGGTTCCAGTTTTATGTTAGGTCGGGCTGCGCATGGCTGGAGTACTAGGAGTCCCGGTTAGAGCGGCGGTGGGTAGATTTATTAGAGTGCTTACGAAACCATGCTGCCGTCACAGCGGCGCTTAGGTATAAATTGCCATGCATATCCACTAAGCTAAGTCTCGTGTGGTTGAGCTTTTGAAGAGTAGACGATCTCGGATTTCAGGGGAAAGCACTGATCTTTAAGACGACAGCGAGAAGTCCCTTTACCGAGCGCCGTGTAGGCGCTTCATCATCGCCAAGGACCGCGGGTATGCCTACCTAAGTCTCTCGCATCGTGAAGCGCCGCTTCAGAGTAGTCTTTTTGATGCATTAAAGTAGCTAGCGCGCTTGAATACTATGCAATTGGTTTAGAATGTAAGGATCTACAAGCCTCCTTCATTTAAGTGCAATTAGCCGGACGTTTGGTTATCAGACGCCTCATGAGACTGGGCTCGCGTAATTAGCCGCGAAATGAAAAACCTGGGGTAACGCATGGACATCCAGCTAGCCCGGGTTGCTGGAAGCTCGTTTATGGACAGGAATGTAAGTGCCGACGGAAGGGGAAAGCGGTGATGGTGTGTCAACTCATTGTAACAGGGGGCGGCGGATGTAGCCCTCGTGAGGCTTCGGGCTTACGGTGATTCTCCAAGAAGGAAATCCTGGAAGCAACAGAAAATATTCGGTCAACCCATGAAGTGAGTTTCACATACGGTAATTAATATGGCTAGTGATTGGATTGTGATAGATTTAAAGAAAGGGGTAAAATCAAGTCTAGATTCAAAGCACTAGCCAGTAATATCAACCCACTGTACCCGCAGGTGTTGTTCTCATCTGGATGAGGACTGAAACCATGTATATGTATAAGCAGACGGGCGATGCCAACATAATTCGCAATCCATGTAGACCTACATACTAAAACTGAAAAATACGGCAGCCAAACTTTTATGGTTAGTGATAGCGTATCCGGATGGAAGGTTTACTCGTCATCAGGACAAGATTCTACGATGAGAAATTTCTTAGCTTCTATTCAGACACAAGCGACCAGCCCACCTTCCAGGAATCTTCTTACAAAATCATAGCCCCAGCGCCTGCGGTATCTTTAAGCTTGTGATCAGAACTACCACCGCCACCACTCCCGCCTCCAGATCTTTTCGAATCACCGGTACTACCTTTTCCAACCTACCATGATAGGACAATCATTAGAACCAGACTTCAGTGCCGCAATTGAACGACTTACCCCAGGTTCGGACTGTTAAAAATACCTGAGATTAGTAAAAATAGCATCTAGGCGTGATATGGCATCACTTACAATCGCACCGGGTGCTTCAAAAATACCGCTGGCGAGATCAACATTTGGCAGAGCGTCAACACTACCAAGGTCGAACCCTCTCATCCCCTTCCCAGATTTATTTTGGTCTTTCTGTCCTGAAGTAGTCATATTCGTATCGTAGGGATGATATGTTAGTGGCTTGGTTGTTTTAAAGGGATTTGATGTATGCTATTGGGGAGGAATGAACATGTTTGAATGCATGCGATAACATTTTACTACATTGGTAATATATTTATCGCCTTGTGGCAATAATACGTCATTCAGTAATGAAGCTCCATTCATACGACACAATATGCGATATACTTACGACATGCTGCTGGTGACATTTTACGTCACATATACGCGATGCGACCCCCTTTTTACTGCTTAGTCATACATACAACCACGTAGACATACATCAACCTAAACCTTCAATGAAAGCTGACTTATTCAAGATATATATATAAATATTAATCTAATTATATTTGTCTCTTTATGATGAATGGCAAGAAACATCTATTCGATGATCGAGGCCAGACTGGCTACAATAAGTAACGTCTCCCCCCTCCGATATACATACTCATCTACAGTCCATGATCGCCTTGACAGATATCACGAGTAAATGAAATACGCAGATTTATGTCAGTAGAATGGTATCAAGATATCCATGTTAATGTGATATTATATCATGCTCAAGGATAAAGCATCAGGGGAGAATGAAGGTCAATTGGAAAGCCTCATGGTGTCTATAGCAAGTATCAAGTCGGTCAAGCCAAGGCCAAACAATGGAGAGAATCAAAATTCCTCATTTCTGAAGGCACTTGGGACATGTTTCACGCTAGACTTACGAGTAATTAATAATATCCAGCTCTGAACATTATTAATTGCGTCTCTATTTGGCTATGGCTCTCTAACGCAGTTCACCGCCACTGCAATCGCTTAACTTAACTGTTTGCGGGCCATCCTTCAATATTATTATAGGTATTCTCGGTGACAAGACCGGCAGAAGGTGACGGGAGCGGGACCTTGCTTTAGTCCCGGCAGAAAGCCGGGCGCATCGTGAGATACTCTGCGGGCCGCAGTGCAGGGTCTTCTTTATGCCGCGGCGGTTCCCGATCGCTAGGCTAAGAAGGTAGCTGGCATTTCTTTCCCCCTTGTTCGGAAACATACGGGCTCGAACTTTTAGAATATGGCTAATATTGGTTAGGTGCTCTAGGCAGAGTGGGTTTCCCGACGTGGGAGCTTCTTCTATGTGGATCGTGGGTTGGGAGATGGGTCGTTCATCATCGTGCTTTTGGAATTTCACGGACAGTAAATGCGTCCGATAATCCGTGCCGGAATAAACCTGATCCCCGGTAGTGATTCTATCTATAATCTTCCGAAGTAACAGAAGGCTTCAAAACACCGGATTGAAATATAATTGGTTATAATAGCTACAGGAGGATTGTGTTAGTCATCCAACTCCTAACAATATGCTAAGCATGCTCAGTTTATTGGATGCGAAAGTATCGTGAGCCATGAGGAAATATAAATATGTAACCTAGTAGTCGGGAATCGATATCTCATCATCACGCCCTTTAAGAACATTAGAATGGCAGCCAACATAATCCCCAAGGAGACTATCATTGTCGACAATGTGCTCCGTTATCCGCCCACAGGGCTGAAGGTCATAGTTGTTGGCGCTGGTTTAGCTGGTCTGCTTGCGGCAGCCGAGTGCTGGAGAAAAGGGCACGATGTTGAGGTTCTTGAGAAATCGCCAACCTTCTCGTCTATTGGTGTGTGCATCTTGGGTTCGGTCGAAGTGGTCGGGTATTTTATGTCACTAACATATCTGTGATTAATAGGCGATATCCTTTCAGTTGGTCCTTCAGCCTGGTCTACTCTCCACAACTATCCCAGCATGGTGAAGGAATACGTGGAAGTGGGTATTGATGCGTTGATGACCCCTTGTCATTTAGATGGTCGATACGCGATGGAGAAGTTCGAGTTCGAATGCAACCGGGAAGGGGTTGCAGAACATGCTGCATATCCAATCCGAATAGTAGGAATGAATGGACGTGCCGACGTTGCTAACATTCTCCTCAACCAATGCAGAAGACTGGGTATTTCAGTCACATATGGCGTATCGATCGCCGACTACGCAGACGAGGATGGTTCCGGTGTTGCTATCTCTGATGATGGGAAACGATACCAAGCCGACCTAATTATTGCCGCAGACGGCATCGGATCCAAGTCGTGTAAACTCATTCTTGGAGGACCTGTTCGCCCGGTTAGCACTGGCTATACGGTTTATCGCGCGGCTATGACATCGGCTGATTTACACGACTCGCCACTGCTTAAACAAGTCCTGGCGAAAGGTGAACGACCAGAAGGTCGACTATACCTTGGGAAAAACCGGCACATCGTCGTAACTATTTCCCAGCGTTTGCTTTCATTCGGGATCACGCTTCCCGATGTAAGTTCTCTTCTGTACAAGCAAATGTCATCCGTCTTGTGCCTGAACAGCCTCTAGGAAACCAGCGGAATCGCGCAGGAGTCCTGGTCATCCACCATAAACACTGAGGAACTGCTAGCAAAAATACCCGACGTGGAACAACTAGATCCCCTTGTGGTTGAACTAATTAAAAACCTCCCCAATAACAGGATTGTAGCATGGAAACTGTGTATGCGCAACCCCCAATCAAAATGGTCATCGGAAGGTGGCCACGTCGTTCAGGTCGGCGATAGTGCGCATAGCTATATTCCCACATCTGCAAACGGTGCTACGATGGCGCTTGAAGATGCTATCTCGCTAGCCGAATGTCTAAGGCTCGGTGGTAAAAAGGATCTCGCTTTGGCCATCAAGATCCATCAGATGCTGAGGTGAGTTTGTATATCTCAATACATATCAAGTGACGACCAATCACAACACTCTCGGACCAACTACTAACATAGGTACCTTATATAGACATCAACGCACGACACTCATACAGCGCGTAGGGCTGTTGAACAGGGCCGCCTGGCATCAGGATCGAACTGACACTATCATGGACATTGTTAAGCTGATGCCTCTAGGAAAGTGGGTATGGGGACACAATCCTGAACGGTACGTGGTTGATAATTTCCGTAAGGCTCGCGAACATATCGAGACTGGCGCACCGTTCGAGAATACCAATCTTCCTCCCGGCCACAAACCCGAAACTTGGACGCTAGAAGGAGAAGTTGAAAGAGAGAAAACGGGTCACGTTTTCGACCCGGCTGCTAATGGTGATTGGGGTGTTTGCTAGATTTGTCATGCCTCGAAGGACCCCTAGATCTTCTTCCCTCCTCTCCATTTCGCGCGTAGACAGCCATATAGATAATACCTAGAACTAGACTTTATCAAAATTCCGATTCAGTGTTGTGCAGTTGCCGATGTTGAATCGCGGGTGATAACAAGAAGATGAAATGGCACTAGGTGAATTACCCCTGTCGACTTGTTAGACAGCGTAACTTAGGAAACGCTGACTAGGCGGCTACTGTAGAATTGCATAGAATGAATGAATCGACGAATAAATCTTATCCATGATCTTCACAGATTATATGTGAAATCTTATAAACTTGTACCCCGGTAGTTTCTTTAAACTCCAATCCCCAAAGTCAAAAGCACCCTGGTTAGACGGCGCCATATGATTGGCCCAAAAATCTCCGACGGAAAGCGCCGGACCAGTCAAACGGCCGGTCCGTCCAACCCTCCAAAAAATTCACAACTCAAATGGAAAGAGAGCTTCAGCAAGCTTCCTTTTCGGCTTCCCGACAGAAAAAGACAAGCAGATCGGAGCCGGGCATACCGTCCACCCCCCGCGCCAACCAATTCCAACCGCACGATGGTACCCACGCGCCTCGCCGCACCGCCGACATGCCTCTCCTGCCTGCGACGGCTCGTCCAGCCCACCCCGTCGGCGTTCGCGTCGCTGCGGCCCCTCGCGCAGCAGCAGACCCGGGGCGCCAAGATGAGCAAGGCCGAGCAGGAAGACACGCAGGGCATTCCCGTGCGCCTGCTACGCAACATGCCCGGGTTCGGGGCTAAAGGTATGCTCTCTACCTTCCATCCCACTCCCACTCCTACGCCCTTCCTCTTCCTCCCCCCCCCACTATCTCCTCTTGAGGAGCGCGGGGTTAGTGAAAGAAGAGAGCGCATCAGGGTAACAAGTGGTTATACGGTAAACAAGCTAGCACAAGAGCAACAGTTCTAACTCCTCTCCTTAACAGACACCATAATCCGCGTGACAGCCGGCCGCATGCGCAACGAATGGTTCCCGAAAGGGCAAGCCGAATACATGACGAAGCAGCGATTCCAGGAGCTGCAGCTGACCGAAGCCGCCGTCGGCGTGCGCGACCGCACCTTCGGCTTTAGGTCGCTCGCCGACGAGTCAGAGGACGCGGACCAGGCCGCCTCGAAGAAGACGAAGAAGGTGGGCGAGAGGAAGAGCAGTGCGAAGGCGAAGGCGAAGGAGACCCTGGTCTTAACGGTGAGCAGGCCCCCTACCCCTAGCTACATACCTATATATATTTGCTATGTCGTTTGTAAGACACAGCTAACGAAACACCTTAACCAAAACCAGCCCGAACAATCCCTCACCCTCCTAAAAACACACATCCCCAGCACCCTAACCTTCACGCGAAGACCCATCCTCCAGCCCGTCGCCCCGCTATCAAGCGAAATCGCCGAGCCCGCGCCGATACGTTCGCCGTCGCTGGCCCGGCACGCCGCGACCTCCATCCAGCACGCCGCCGTCCCGGAGGCCGAGCCCGAGCCCGAGCCCTCGAAGCCGGCCCCCGTCGCCATCTTCGGGTCCGTCTCCGCCTCGGACATCCTCGCCGTCATCAAGGAGCGGCTGCTGGAGTCGGACCCGGCGATGGGGGGCCGCGTCGCGCTTGAGGCGGACGGCATCGCGATCGCGGGCCTGGAGAAGGGCGAGGACCGGATCAAACACCTTGGCACTTTCGAGGTTTCGGTCTCGGTGTCGGCGGGGCAGAAGCCTATTCAGCTTAAGGTCGAGGTGGTGGCTGAGGAGTAGGTGATCTGGCTCAGAGATGTTGGCTGCTAGGCTCTTGTTAAACCACGTCAACCGCTTAAAGGGAGCGAGGTCGGGGATAGAACGTGCGGCAGTAAGCTGCTACATTGCATCCCAGGTAGTGCGTAGGATGGATGGCACCGGCGCAAGCATGAGTTATCCGCCGAGGTGCCTTGCCAGTAGGTAACGAGGTAACGAAGGTAAAGTCATCTGGGCAAACATGTACATAAAGCAGCACATGTGGATTATCATACATATATCAACGTGTACACTATCAACCGACCCCCGCAAATCGTCAAAGTTTAACAACCCTTTATATCTCGACCATGACACGCATGGACGCAGAAATTGCTAAACTCATGATACGGGATACGTATATAATCTCAACTCTCACGAGAATGGGTACAAACACAAAGGAGACGGGGATGTGGGCTTGACATGAATCTGAGTCACTGCTCGGGTATTGTTTTTACATTCCTATCTCCAACACAGCAATTTCCCCCTAGTTCATCTGATTGTCGAATTACCTATCCTAGAACCCCTCCAAAAATTCAAACAAGCGCGACACACCGAACCGCCATACGCCGGCGCTGTGCCCCATGATAAAACATACGAAAATGGAAATATTATTCTATGTTATGCAGTTCATACTGTGCCGCGAAGTAACTCATCCATCCAGTTGGATGAGTGGTATACTTCATGTATTTATATAGGTGCGGAAGATAGGTAGAAGTTTGTTTACAGACAGCACAGCGTCAAGAGGCTAGAGTAAGAGTATTCACTTCCCAGGATAGCTGACATCCAGGTTCCAAAGTGAGTCCCATACAACGCTTCTTCTCGCAGGGCTTGTTGGACTTTCGATAGACGCAGTACTCACTTGTCTGCGAAGTTGGGAGTGCTGTAACCGTTGTTGGTGTGAGTGTACCCGCGGCTGAGTCGGTGGCCTTTGTGGACTCGTGTTCGGATTCGAGTTGTCGTCTTCTCGCCGGCGCTAGATCCCATCAGCGACCACGTCTCAAGGATCAACGAGTATATCAATTGTCGTCTCGCACCTCGCTTTGCTCGCCCTTATCCACGGCTGCTTGTTTGTCACCTGCTGCATCTTGTTGCGTTCCACTCGGTCCTGCGGCTCCTTGTCCCACTGTTGGGCTTGTGATGCTGTTCGTCTCACTAGCCAGCGCGCTACCCTTCCCGGCGCCACCGCCCCCGGCAAGTGGCAAGGCCTTCTTAGAGCCCGAACTACTACGTCTGCTCTCAAGACTCTTGCTGAGGGTTCTACTAACACCCTCAATTCCACCATTGGGGCCAAGTTTAGATTTGCCTTTACTCGGACGCATATGTTGGTGCATGTCGGCTACAACTGCAACATTATTCGCAGCCACTGTAGACCTTCCAGGCCCGGGAGTGGCGGGAGCGCCGGGTTTATCCTCATGTGCGTCAATCATCCACCAGCGCAGGCCATCCGACAGATCAAACGGATTGTCATTTTCGTCGCCCGTGTTGACGGAGTCGGTTTCCGTTTCCGATGGAGGGGCAGCTGACTGTAAGCTCTTAGATAAATCGACTACACGCTCCTGAATACGAGTTATGCGAGCTACAAGCCACTCGCGAGTGCGCAAGCGGTGGCCCTCTTGCTCGCGCAGGAAGAAATGAGGACATCCAACGTTGAAAGCAGCCCAAGCACCAGTGGTCTGGTTACGGGTAGGAAGGAATAAGGCCAAATCGCCCTCCTTGAACTGCCTGAAGGCAATCTTGTCGCGGGCTTCCTTGGCAAGGTCGTGTGCTCGTTCTCGATAATTACGGGCGTCTCGTGTCATCTTTCGCGCTGTGTGCTCGATTTCTTTGACACGACGATACATTGCCTCAGAAAAGGCATCGATGTCGAAATTGCCCGGGCCAGCCATAAATGCCTGATACTGCTCATCCTCGGTGTTCGAGTCCTCGGCGTTCATCCAGTAGAGTAGCTTGAGGTCAGCGCTGTCGGCGAGAGGGTTGCTTATTAATGAGACGGATCGTCGTATAGAAGACCCGGGATCTGACGAATCATTGGGATTCTGAGAAGTGCGCTCCGATCGTGGAATTTTCTGGATGGCCATCGATCCATCCTTTCGTGTTACGGAGAAACCAAGACGCTCAAGGAGTCTACAAAGCCTCTCATTTTGCGTATATAGCCGTTGGGTGAGATCTTTGGTACGAACATTACGCATTTCGGACCGGCTGTTGAGGGTTTCTAGCGTGGCATCGGTCGATTGCAACTTCTCTTGGAACATTCGGACTTCCTCTTCAAGACTGCCTACTTGAGATTGCTTCGATGCCAGCTGCTCGGTCAGTTCCGCAACTCGCTTCTCCTCATCTTCCAGTTTCTTCCGTAGAGTCTCTGATCCTGTTTCTCCTTCAGTCATCTTGACCCGCAGCTGATTGAGCTGCTCTCGCGCATCATTCACCTCCATTTCAAGGGTAGAGCATCTAGTCTTCTCCTTATCTAGAGTCTCACGAAGATGTACTGAACCCATCTGTTCACTAGAGAGCTTCTCCTTCGTAACATGCAACTCGGACTTGACCTCTTTGACGGTGCCCTGGGCAAGTTGAAAATCAGCTTTCACCAAAGACAGATCTTGCTCGAGGGATTTTAAGTTTGCCAGGACGTCATTAGACTTGGTTGCGACAGCATCGAGGAGATCGGCGAGATCTTGGGGAGGCTCTTCCGTTGGAGACAATTGCCCATAAAGCTCCCTGAGCGAACGAGCATGTGTTTCCGTGTTCTCGTTGAAATTCTCGGCTCGCTTATTAAGGTCCCTGATCTTTTCACGTGCCTCTTTCAATTCCCTCTCTAGGGATACATTGCGTTCTCTTTGGACTCGGGCCTCGTTACGCAAAAATTCGAGTTGACCCTGGGTCTTCAGGGCATCGTCCCTCTTCTCCTTATTGAGACGCTCGACTTCTACTTGCAAAGACCGAAGTTTCTCATCCTGTGTTATTTTTTCATTTTCTCTGGATTCACCAAAGTGCTCGATTTGATCCTCAGTCTCTTCAATGTGATCTTTCAAGGCTTTGATTTCATCTTCCAGCAACTTCCGCTCTAACATGAACTCTCTTTTCAGGGCCTCCATGTTCCCTAAGAGATCTTGTTTCGTCGAGTTAGCTTCATCTATACGGCCTTTCATGTGTTCGATCGCGTTTGCTTCTTTCTCTAAAATTGCGGACCGTTCTTTCTGAGCATTCAAATCCCCCTCCAGCTGCGCGATCCGTTGAAAAAGGGCCTCGTTGTTCTCTGATGCTATTGATCGACGACGCTCATCGGGCGCACGATTCGTCTTGACAGAACTAGTGGAGTCATTCTGCTGCGGCTGGAAGAGGTTTCCTAAGGGTGATGGTCTCGAGGCTTGGGTTTGGCGATGCAATAGATCTTCTAACCGACGTACTCGACTTTCTGCGGTCCTCAGCTTACCCTCCAGTTTGGATTTATCGCCTTGTAGGCTCCTGAGCAAATCGTCATCTCCACGAATGAGTAAACCACTTCTTCCGAGAGCTGCTTCGTGGACGCTTCCATTTTTAAAGGCCTTCAGTCGTTTTGACTGCTGCTTAGTTGGATTAGTGAGCTCGTTCATCAGTTTAGTGATATCTCCTAGCACTCCCGGGTCCGCATTATGACGTCTCAGAACTGTCAAGAAGTCGTCGAGCTCTTGCTTCGTCATCTGAGGCCAGGACTCGTCATCACCACGAAGGTTCACCTCAAATCCGAGGACGCTACTTTCGGTCTTCTCAGGACCGTATGTGCTACCAACCATCTTATGCCATTTCCTACGTCTCTTCAATTCCTCGTCTTGGAAAACAGCCATCTCGTTGAGCAACGTCGAAGAATCAACCTTTACTTTTTCCGACCATTCTCTTCGCCTTACAGCCTCGGCAACAAAAGATGCATACATATAGGGGAGCTGTTGGATGAGACGAAGATAGTCGAAGGTGGTCATTTCCTCCTCCCCTTGGTTAATTGCATTTATCTGAGTCTTGACACTATGGTGTAAGGTAGTAATTTCAGCAATTCTTCGCATGAAAGCAAGAGAAGTTGCAGCAGTCTCATTGCGTGCTTGGGTCGCATAACGAATCATCTCATCCATCTCAGAGGCTCGATTCTGAATACTTGGCAAAAGTTGTTTGGTGTGGTTGACAGCGGTCTTCGAGACCTGCGCAATGTCCCTGCTTGAATTGGTATAGGATAGGGTGGTCTGATAGTCTGTATCGACTTTTCTTGCCACCGCCTCGATGTCTTCCAACAATTGGGCACAATCGTTGCTGTGCTGCATCACTGAGCGATCTAAGAGTTTATTAAACTCTTGGAATAGCTCTTCGCTGCCGCTTAACATCTTCTCCACAACCTTGTCCAACTCGGAGATCTTGCCATTAAACTTTCGTAAGGAAGTGGCAGCGAGTTTGCCAGCTTTGCGCGTGGGTTCGGGATCGATGAGGTCCTCCAGGGTCGCCTGACGGGACCTCCGGACATCTTGGCCAGTCATAAAACGCACCATAGCCGGGGAAATATTGATACTTCGTGCTAATTCGAGATAATGTTCCCAGTTAGAAGCTAAGTTAGCATATTCCTCCTGAGTAGGAGTTGCCCATTTCTTCAGCTCCACGTGCTTAGGGTATATTGGTTTAACAGCCGTGTCAAGGTTCGCTACGGCGGCGTCGAGGCATTTTAGCATGACGTCCATTTCGCTATATCGTTCTTGTGCCGCATCGGCCATACTACGACAGTCTTCGACGACCATCAAGGCCCAGTCGCGACGCCTCTTAAATAGGTCCCGCCATGACTGTAGCGAGTGCATGTCCTCGATCGAGTTTGGGGCTTGAGATATGGCATGTCGCTTGGGTACGGGTAACTCGGAGATAAGAGAGTTCGAGGCACCGGACGACGAAGCTTGAGTTATCCTAATATCGTAGACGTATACCTCTCTCTGCTAGGTGTCAGTCTAGAAATCATGCAAGGTATAAGTAATAATTAAGGTGACAAGAGTTGAACGAACCTCTGATTGCATATTCTGGATCTTGACCGTCTTCCCTTGCGACGTAAGTGCAACGAGATTCTGGACAGGGATGGAGCTCTGCCGAGCAATCCATCCCTTAAAATCATCTAGGCTATAGAAAATATTAGTTGTTGTCTACAATATGTAGACTCGGAGAGTCGAATATGTCCAGTCATGGGTAAGAGTGGCGAGCAGGTAGCAAAATACGCACGATGTGAGTTGAGAAATATCGACCTGCAGGCGCTGGCCCGTGTGGGCTATCAACACCTGCGTCTGCGTCGCCATCGTATATACAGTCCATCCCCTAAAACAATGAAAGAGGATGATGGGACGACAGAGACAGGCCAGGTGAGATGTATCGTAAAAAGCGTGACCTCGGAACCCGAGCGACGATGAGCTACTAAGAGGAAATGCAAGTTGGGAAAGTAAGCTTTATCTATCGGAGCTCAAAATGTCAGCTGGCAGGCAGTCAGGCGCCGCTTCCACACAAGGGCACCTTCCAATTTGTGTTGCTTTCGTCACAACGGACCCACAACCTGGGTGCCGAGTTGGTTAAGCTTAGACCACCTTCTAGAGAATACGGGGGTCCGATGAGCTTATTATGTAATAATGATCTCTTCCAGGTTCCTAGATCGAATACTAAATAAAGTGATTCGATTATCTACCTAATAATTCAATGGTTTAGAATTTAACATGAAATAACTTGGACAACTTGGTAGGTACAATGAAGTCCTTGCCATCTTCCAAGTAGGTACCTAGAATAATGAATTCTTACTTAACGCTTCAGTGAATGGAGTGTAGCAGTGACAAGAATCGACTATATTCAAAGTTTGCATCACACGTCGCTGCCTTACCGTGATCTCTGCTGTGTATTGGTTAAGCCACAGTCTATAATAATACTAAGCCACACCTCTTAAACGCGATTCACCAGCACGCCCCATCATGATCTCGCGAAACATGACAAGTGAGAAAGCTGCATCGATCTTAGATAAAGCCCTTTTTCACCAGTTGTCAATGTAAACTTGTCACTCGGGTTTCCTTTGTGACTTAGGGATTATTTGCCACGATAATGGCAGATGAAACTGCTACCGAGGTCCAGACGCCACTTCTATTGTCAGACGATGAGAAGCGAATCCTAGAATTACACGATCGTCTTCAGCAGCTCCAATTAGAAATCGCCTTGTTGACAGCTCAAAAGAATTATGACCCGAGTCAGTGAATTTTCATTGGCCCTACAATTACGTCTCTGACTAACAATATTCAAGGCACAAGTCTACTCACGGAGAATGAGAGTATGGAAGCGGCCCAGAAGGCCCTTCTAGACTCTAGATCCAGATACGTGCTGCGGAACCAGGTCGCAGAAAGCATTGTAGCCGCCAACCCGATTCTACAAGCAGTCCACAACGGAACCAAGGCCTCACCCATAGAAAGGTAGGGTTCACGAACACAATTTTTCTCGGCTTTTCAGCGTTCTTCATAACTTCTAACCCTTGAGTCCACTTCCGTAGGGATTTACTTCCCGTCTTGGAGCAGCGTGACCAGTCGTCTTCAGTGTTGTCGCAACAGTCTACAGAGTTGCGAGGGCTGCTAGACGAGATCACTGAAGTAGAAAGCCAGAGTCTGCGGCTTGGCCGCGAGAATGTGCAACTGGCGGCGGAGCTGCTCGATCTCGCCGAGCAGACGGACCGGAGCAAAGCGGAAGCTATCAACATGGACCCGGAGCGGGCGGCCGAGATCTCGCGCCTGGAAGACCAGGTCAAGCTGAGTAGACAACGATGGCGGGTCTTGAAAGGCACTGCGAGCGCGGTAGTTGCTGGTAGTGGGGTTGACTGGTCTAGGGATGCCGAGCTGAGAGATATCGTACTCGATCCTGAAAATGACGACGAGGTATGACCAAGAAAGAATAGCTGAGATTTCCGTGAGAGAGGCGGAAAGGAGTAGTTGTTCAATGATACCCATGGGCCATAGCATGACTAATATGTACGCCATTCTCGCCTTCGCGTAATATAGGACTCACCATAAGGATTTTGGTGTTGTCAGTAATCTCATCACATGTTACTATGTACGTAGCAACTCTGCCGACTATAGATTACGCTATCATCACCCTTATCTGGACCCTGACTGGCGGCGAGATCTTCAGCACATAAGAGCTGCTGCATCCGTTCCTAATCTGATAGGGCTTAGCGCGACCTGTCTTGGCCGAAGCTGGTATAAATCACGTGAAGATGCATCTATTTTGGGATTCTAGAAGCAGCGTGTATCTCATGCAGGCCTCACGCATTGACATGGCTCCGTGGCGTGGAAGGGGGGTCATAACTCCGGTACCTCTCGAAGTAGCACACCAAATTTCTAAGTGCCATCCAAGCTGTTATGCTATTTGCTCAGGAAAGTTCCGATGGAAATAAAGGCAGGATGATTGTGCAAAACAAACCATCTTATGCTTTAAATAGTCAATAAGCGCTTGGTAAAATGGCGCGTCAGAGCACCGAGGTAGCTTGTGTCCCGACTCTAGGGACCAGAGACTAGAGAGCTAACTAAAGCAATTTTGCCTCTTGCCGGAATCAAGGCTGTTTTGCCATATGGGCCTATGGACTCATGGTGTGTTCGATAGTGGGGTACCTTGGGAGACTCGAAGAGGTCATCATCGTCACGCTAACGAAGACACTGTAATCAATATGGAAAGCGGGATACGCGGGAGCACAGTGTACGATGCACATGGGCCCATTTTGTGAGCGTCTCTATTTGGTGTAGCGTGTGGTAGTATAGGTATGTATTCGATGTTCCCCGTGGAATGGAATGTACCCGTCTATATATGTGGTACATACCTTGGCTGATTTCCGCGTCGATGATTTTGGTTTAGCAAGACACCCGATGCCTCACAACTAGGAATGAGAGACAACGTTCCGGCTTGTCGCTGATAAAGCAGCATGGTTGACGGATCTAGGCATGACCGATGTTCCAAGCGCTGCAAATCTGTGTAATCCTAATCAGAATGGCGTGGAGCCTACCAGCCAGACCGCGCTCACGTTCCCCCATCTATTGGAGGGAGGTCCAGTCCTATGTACGTACTTATCACATCAAGAAAATGATGGATGTTTGGAGCGATGTCATGCAGCAGCAGAGATCCCCTATCATGAGGGAAGCATAACGGAATCCTCATGATTAAAGGGACCCCTTTTTTTGTCACCCTCTCTTTCGATCGTGCTTCATCCCTGGACGGGGTTTTTTCTTCTTCATTTGAGGCCATTTGTTCCCTGTGTATGCAGATTGTAATGGATCCTTAGACGGCTATTGCAAATACCTGCCTATATGTATGCGCCTCGATAATAAGGTGTTACAACTCCAAATCCGTGCGACAAGCTTGCATTGTTCAAATTGCTACAATATAAGAAAATGGAGTTTTTGAAGGATGCGCAAGCATACCGAGTAGGCTGGCCTACGGGACTCTGCGGTGTGGTGTTACGCCAGTGCAACAACCAGGATAGCTGCAAATGCAGAATTTCGAGATCATTGGTCGATAGAATAGCGGTGCTAATATTTGTCTGTGTAGACGCACTTGGCCTGCGAGGCCCCCAGTTACTTGCCAGTTACTTACCCAACAGTAATATCGTATGCGTACGAATTGGTTTACGCGATCCGCATATCTTATGATGAGTCTCGTCTATATATAAGTTACCCAATAGTGGTCAAAGCTATTTACCTATCCAGGCCGTCTAGGTCGGTAGACATCGTAATCGGTTAGCGAGAAGCAGAGTGACAGACCAACAAGACGCACAGAGGCCTTTTGCATCTAGATCGTCCAGCTTTTTGAGAATGCAAAACTTGCTGATAGAACCAGAGCCATAGAAGAGGATCATGTTGAGGCGCCTTGAGCAATTAGTAAGTTAGCAAGTTGACTGGCGTGTGTGGAATGATTGTGAGTGGCTGTCAAGTTCCAAGGTTGTGTGATGCGTCAACTTTGTCTAGGTGTCTAGGGGTTGGGTAGGTCGGATAGGTTGAATAGAATAGGGCGAATGCGAAAGAAAGGGGAGAGACAGAGAAATCGACCATAGCAGACAGAGAGGGGGAGTGTCAGACTCCCAGAACAGCAGCTAGGAATTTGTGTGGTTGTAATCAGCTGCAAAGAACCAGACCAGGCAAAGGCGAAAAAAAAAATCATCCACCAGGGAATCCAAGCCCTGATAGTGGCATGGGCAATGACCATGTACTCTCACGCTAACAAGGGACTGCAAGGTACTTTCTAGCCTGTATGGATGTGTATCAATCATCGTACAGCCTGTAAGCCTGTAGCCTGTAGGCTATGTGTACCTCTTCTCTCTGCTCCTTTCGGTGTTTGAGCTCTCTGCCTTTTTGTCTCCTTTTTTATCACACCCTTATTATCACATAAATTCATTCATCATCGATTCCCAGCGCCTTACATGCTGATCCTTTCTCAAGAAGATCTAAGGGTAGCCAGGTGCATTTTAAGATTCCAGGAAGTTAATGTAGTAACAGGTATACATGTCGAATTATTGGTGTGTTGGTCAAAAAACAGAAAATAGAAAAATTGGAGGCCTTCTGTGTTTTGATCATTTTAGGAATGGAGTAGGTCGAATGGATGCTGATTCCCGATGCTTTGACTAAAAGAGAAGAAGAAAAAAAACATTCAATAGTAAATTGAAAAGAGGAAAATCAAATCAATAAGGCCGCCTATTCCCACTTGAGGTAAGGCAAAAGTTTAATGTATACAGTATCAGGGGCTAGGCTAAAACTTGGTAGGATGATGTTGTGATGTACTTGATGCCTTCCCTCTTTTGTTTAGTCTGATTCCAATCTGGTCACGTCGGAGAAACCGCGACCATTTCCGCGTGCAACTTTCATTGAGATCATTGAAACATGAGAGGCAGAGAAGGAGGGACAACAGCGGAGAAGGCAAAAAGAGAAAACCGTGAGTGACCACTGACCACTTCAAGACTATGTACCTCGCTAAGCAAAAATGGGTGGGGTGTACTTCATGTAACAGGAAAGGGTAAAGGCTGGCCATGCTAGTAGTTGCTACTGGGAAGTAGGGAAGTACATAACAGATTGAATGACCGAATCAATGAATAAAATTCAACCAAGGAAAGTGATACAGTAATAACAAAGCGACATGGCATACCTTCCTCCAAAACGCCCACTTACCTACTAGGTAAAGTAGCTCTTACAGTACAAGAGGCACTGTAGATTTGAGGTCACCTCCTTCCTCCTTCCTTGCAAGTTGTATGTATCTGTTGCTGATTGCAACGTCCTAAACTACAAGGGCCTAACTTCCAAGGGCCGCTAAGGAGTACCTTTCAGTCTAATTTTGGTGGGAAAGGTACCCAGCCACCCCAAAGACCAAAAAAAGACCAAAGACAAGCCCACACACAAAAGTTTCGTTGACCAGAGAACAGCCAGTGGTCGCGGTTGCTTTCTTGAAATTCGCTTGGTTTACCCCCTAGCATGTAGAAAGTAGATATCTGCACTTACCTAGGTACAGGCCTAGGTATGCAGATATGAGGTAGGTGTGTATGTACAGGTCTACCAGGTCTACCTAGGTCGGTACAATACGGTGGCAGGTATGTACGCGCATAGTGGTATGTAGGTAGCAGCAGAGGTAGTAGCAAGTAGCAGTAGGGAAATAGTGTGAAGACAGGCGAGGTAGGCACGGTCTTGTTCGCCCGCCTGCCCGCTTTTTGGTGCAGACCCCCCTCCCTCTTTCGCACCTTTCGCACCCTCCCTTAGAGAAATTGGGGCAGTCTTAAGTCTTGCCTGGTCTTGCTCTCACACATTGTCCACACAATCACCCACACGCAGTAAAAAGGCAGTAGGCCAACGCTTCCCCCCATACAAATTTCCCTCTCTTCTCTCACATACAAATCTACCACCAAAATCGTCTCCCATACAATCGCACACCACACTCAACCTCAATACCTGCACATACAAATTGTGAGTACCTCTATTTATATGGCACTTCGCAGCAAACACAAAGTCACCATCAACCACATACTTCTATTGCGCTCGCCTTGGTCGCATTAGCTGTATCAATTTGAACATTGATAATTGCTATGTTTTTATCAATGTTTGCATCGTCGTCGAAACTCATTTGAAGCTCATTATAGATCTTCTGTTGAGTTTAGACAGTTGCACCATCCACTTCTCTTCGCCCATCGTCATCAATTAAAAAAGAGCCCACCCTGCACTTTTAGACTGAACGATTTGACTGACTGCGATTGCGCGCAACAGCTTCGTTGACCACAACGTCGTTATCCAATTACTTTCAAACTTGTTCAAGGTATGCGGATGATCCTATTTGGTTCGATTTCGAGCTTCAAGACGCGGTTTTTACGCGTTGGCGGTCGCAATTGCATTTGCGACAGCTTCGCATCGCGACCGGACAATCGTGCATCAGCCAACCACCACTCTATCCATCTGCCCCTCATCCACCACTATCCAAGCTATCGCGCGCTCGCTCTCATCACACGATTAATTCTTCCGCTCTCACCACAACGCATCATATCTCACAACTTGCAACATTACTTGTTCAATGTCTGAATTATGTAGACTAACATACTATTTCAGCACCACCATCCACCATGCCTAAGGAAACCACCAAGCGCGGCAAGACTGGAAAGGTCGAGAAGCGCAAGGGGAAGAAGGGTAAGTCGTCCCATGAACAGTTTTACTCTCGCATGCTCCGGGCATGGCTTGTGTAAATTCGGTGTCCGACTCGATAGAAATATATCGTCTTTGAAAGCACATCATGCTTCATGGATGGTAAATCTAATTAGTCACGCGTCGCATTTACTAGCTATTGACCCGATCGCATTTGCCATCATACGTGTTCACTAACATTTAAATAGACCCCAACGCGCCTAAGCGTGGTCTCTCAGCCTACATGTTCTTTGCCAACGAGCAACGAGAGAACGTCCGTGACGAGAACCCTGGTATCTCTTTCGGTAAGTTTTAATGTCAATTTGTCCAACTTTCTCATACTAACATTGTCGCAGGACAAGTCGGCAAGATCTTGGGTGAGCGGTGGAAGGCTCTGAACGACAAGCAACGTGCCCCGTACGAGGCCAAGGCTGCCGCCGACAAGAAGCGATACGAGGATGAGAAGCAAGCCTACCAGGTATGTATCTAACTTACGCCCCTTCTAACAAGCAGTGCTGAACGTGGCTGATTAGGCCGAATCCGATTAGGCTGGCGGTGATGAAGAGAGCGAATAGAAGCAACTCATCTCAGGTCTCCCTATTGATCGTAGTCGTTACGAGGGTTCATGATGAGATGACGAAATGGTCATCGGCCCAGGAAGCCTTGACCGTAGGGGATTCATAAGTTTCCTTTCGAGTCTAATGCGTATGGTATCGGTCGGTGTTGCTGCACAGGGAAAGGGACATTGTGCTTTAGTTTTCTCAACATTGTTTTTACTGATGACTGGGCCAGAGTTCGGGGATTACTTTGGTCCAGTGGAGTTGTCGCTTACAAGAGCTATTGAAGCTACAGGGCGCCAAGTACGAAAACAGTAAATCGGCGCTTCTCGACAACGCAATGTAAAATAGTTTGCTCTTGCAATTCACGCAGCAAGTTGTCTGCATTCGTACTATATTGCCTGGCGGTTTCCTTGCCAACTTGAAATGAATTGGTGAATGCGGGCAGAAACAAAGATTCGATCCCACGTGGCCGGATATAACCCGAGTCGACTTGCCCCATGCTCGATAAGTAGATGCATAGGAGAATCTTGATCCATAGATCTGGACGGGTTGTTAGGGCTGTCAGGGGTCTGACCGAGGTGTGGGAGCAGATATGGCCAAGGTCCATTCTCCAGTTATTTGTTTCCTAACTCACAATGAGTCAACGACACACCAAACACGAGGCTACAAAGTAATAGGATGTATGGATTGCCTAATATATAATATCATAGGATACCCATAGCCCCTGAATAGTTGTCACTAGTCAGAACGACGTGGGGAGTCGTTGTGTTCCTGTTGTTGTTTCCCAGAACTTAGGTATGTCTAGGAAAATTCCTACATAGCATTTGATTCGACCAATTCAGTCATAAACGTTTGAGGAACAGGTGTACTAGACCGAGAAACAATATCTGGCTTAGTCCAGTCATTACTCCCACATCATATGCGAGCACAGGTATCATCGGTTATACAGCATAACTATCTCAAATGTATCGACACCTCTTACATAAATTGTCTAGATCAACTCAGATCTGACACTTGTGCTAGCTACCCAACCTACCTAGGATTGGGGATGCATGCAAGCTATTGGGAAGCAACGCAACGAAGCATCGAGTTTGATCGCACGCTATCGGAGCTTCGATCGGAGCATTGCAGCGGTGCTTCAGTCAGACATGGAGATGATGCTGCCATCCTCTTCTTCGCCAGATCCTAGCCCAACATCCTGCATATTCGAGCATACACAGCATTCGGCTTACCCTACGACTATCCGACAGCCCACCGTACAACGTCATAGGTATTTCATATTCATATATTAAAGCGTTTGCATTTCTCATATTCAGATTTCAGATGAGTATAGTTCAGTCTCTCTCTATGACAATCATGATTCTGCCGCTCACTAAGCGCCAACAACCGTATATTCCGGACTGAAACAAATATATCATGTAGCCAAGCCAACTGCTACTACACATCAGCGGCTACGAGACAAACCGCAACGGAGGTAACAAAGTATCACCGACAAGTCAGAGAGCCTCATCGTGCGTTTTTCTCCCGTCATTGAACCTCTGTCTGTTCCGGTTCGCGCCAGGTCGCAGACAAACAAAAGCGGCTCGGCAAGCATTATCATGGCCTCTTTCTCTCTGCCCCTCCCTCCTCGTTCGCTCATCCAGTCCGCTATCTTCTTCCCTGCATATTATTCCATGCAAGCGCTCCCCTCTCCGCGCCGCGAGCATGGTAACACCATGGCCGCTCTACGCCTGATCCGGGTATTGCGACCAAACCCACCAATGAGTTGATGCATATGGTCTTGCTGCCGGGCTTCGTGGCAGTCTCTCACTTGAGTCTGAGAAATGTTTGAGAGTGCCGATTTCTTAGAATTGCCTACACTGGCAAACATCCGAGCGGCCGGACAAGCCAATTGACTTTTTTCTATTTAATTTTTTTTTCTTCCGTCATAATTTCTTTTCCATCTCACACATCTTGATTGCCCTATCACCTATTTATGTACGTGTGCGTCGGCTGATTCCTTCGGTGGTATATGATTGCTATCATATCTACGAACTTCTCGGAGTAAAGGGATTACTGTCATTTTTTCTCAAATTTTATATATGCGCTCAACAGCGGCGGCAAAGGCCCCTGGCTGAATCACGCATGCGCTGTTATCCAGTCAAACTTCCGTATCTAATAAAATCCACGTCTGAGATTGTGTCCTGACTTCGTGCAAGTCATATCTTAGCAGTGTATAATAAATAATTGCCCTCCTACAATATTCGCAGATATTCGACGGCTGCAAATACGAACTCCACACGCACTGCACTCTTCGGAATCGAGCCCTTTCTCTATTGGGGAATGCGCACCTAACACGTCACCCCACAGTCGTTGGGCTCTAGACTCACGTTATATGAGATATTGCAGCAGAAGAGATCTCCATTGACGGAGCAGATTCTCACCACCTCTAATTCTAATAGGTACAATAATAACTCCTCCTCATCCCTTTGCTACTGAGTTCATTCTCATTCTTCCCCTCCCCCCACACGCACGGCCAACTGGCTAGCCACTTGCGGAGACGACGATCATCTCAGCGCTTATCAGCTACTGAGCGAGAACCATAATACTAAACGGCATAACGCCCCATATTACGCCGCCATCTCGACATTTATATCAGCCAGGTTCCCTACACCTCTCAGTGATATCACTCATTAGTAGTGCATAGCCTTGGTGTGTAACAAGACATCGTCCCATGGTGGGCTGTGGAGGAGCGGTTTTTTAAAAAGGGTTTTCTTTTTTTCCTTCCGAAGTGAGATAAGGGATCTTAACTACTCGCCATCATGAGACCATAAGTGCCCCAAACACCATGGACCCTATTCTACGCCGTACCCGAACACCTACCGCCAGGTTGGCGGCCCAGCAGATCAGCCCTCAACTACTCAATGGCTGTTTTCACGAGGCTGACCGTGCCGACTTGGTCGGTTTCAACCTCCAAGGCTTACGAAATGCTCTCCATGAGAAGTTCCATCCTCACCTGAACGGGATTATCGAGGAAATCTATAACACGAGCCGACTTCTTCGAGACCTTGCAGAACAGGCGCAGATACACCTCTCTCAGCTGCCCGCCGTTTTTGATTACCTCAACGTCATCCTGCCATGCCTCTGCAAGACGCTACGGGATATCAATACGTTCTATGAGGATAAGTCAATGAACAAGGAACACCGTTGGAGAGCGATGTACCATAAGTTGAGCAACGAACTCCCCGGTACGACTTTGCCGGCTAGGTTTATCATGTACAACCAATTCCTGAGACTGCTCCAAGATCTTATGACGAGGTAAGACCTTTCTCAGATGACCCCTGAGTGATGCCTCCTTGTAACCTAGCTACATAGGTCCCCGAACTTTGACTTGAATGCAATGGAGTCTCTGCGAATCCGCATCCTTCAATTACGTGAAGTCAGAAAGATCCGTCAGTAGCCCAAACACCCTGTTCATTGCAGATAAACTAAACCTTTCGCTTAGCCCCTCCGAATCCCATTAGAACCGATCTCATAAGACGAGACGAAGCTTTGGACTTCTGGAACCGGGAGACTGTAGGTCCTTGATTCTCCTTTTAGTGAACATGGTATTAAAACCAGGACAGAATTCACATTGGGCCGAGGCAATCTTTACGCAACCACTGCCGTCCCGGAGGGAGTTCAAGGTTCAAGGACGGTAAGCCATTATGCCGAAGTAGAGTATTCGACCTAGAAGTTGACATCATGTAGCTCAGATGCATACGGTCCTCTGCGGAAGCTTGGCCATCTCCCGCCGCTCTCGCGAGATGTCAAGATACTAGTCAAAAGGTAACTAGTTGCGTGCTTCATCTTTCATCATGCTGGCTCCCTTAATATGGCATGTACCCCTTACTAACAAATACCTCAGATCGTTTGATAGTGACCGCATCTCGGTTATCTTCTTCCTGCAACTGAGAAACCAGGCACCGTCTCTATTAATCCGCTCGAAAGTTGCCAGTCAAAACTGGGTATCGGTCCTCGGCGTCCACGAACTTTCTATTCGGCGAGAGGGCGAAACCGTCTTGCACCTGTCCACGTGGAACACGGCGGAACAGCGGATCGTACCCTGGGCAGACCTGTCCTTCTTGACCTGGGAAGGTTAGTAGAATTCGTTGCTCATGACCCAAGCAAGCGGGAACCAAAACTAACGAGGTGTAGAAATGGTGCTGTTCTACTGCACATTTCTGTGCTTGAGGGTTCGCAGCCAGCTCACGCTCAAAGTGAGCCCTGCCGAGTTCCACCTCCGCAAGGAAAAACGCCTATTCCAAGCGTAAGTCATAGACAAACTACTCGCTCGATAAAGGAGAGAAAGCTAATGTACGCTTTATAGCCAAATCATCGATGACGGATATCAGCACGTTCTTATGGTGTTCGAGGATACTGTCACCGGTGGTTGTCGGCTCCACGCGGCCGTCTGGGAAGGCAAAATGCGAGCATGTCCCGTCTGGACGGCATTCAGTACGTCCACCTACATCTCATATTTCTCCCCGACCATTCAGTAACTAACAACCGCTTCTTCAGTTCCCCCGAATGTGTCTTCGTCCTGGCTCCTCCGCAAGTCCAAGCGGTGCATCTGGCTGCGCGACATCCAGCCGTACGTGTTCTGCGAGACGTATCGGCCAATAAACCAGCGCAGAGGCAAGTTCAGCGCGTACGAGCTACGCTTCGCGCACAAGGAAGCCGCCACGCGATTTCAGGAGCTGTTCTCCTCGTCGCCCGAGACATCGGCCGCGTCTATCCCCGACTCGCCCTTGGATAACGATGTTACTACGACTGAAGGTAGTCAGTAGACTGGTCAGAGAACAGCCAGCGAGGATAGACAAAGAGCATGGTTCTCTTGAGACGATAGCCAAACAATAACAACCTTATGGACTGCCCTTGAAAGCGCAGGGACGGGAATCTATGTCGAAAAGGAGACGACCGCCCAACAACCCCACTAAAATACCTGGTGTCGATTTGAATATTAACTATCCTTCACATTGTATCTACGCTTACTCAGCCCACCCTCCCTCAAAAAGTTGCCATTTCCGCTTCTTTGCTTCTTCGAATGTCCCATATTTGCGACACCGAGCAATAAAAAGGAAAGAAAAAAATATTTACCTACTTAACCTGCCAACCCATTCATCCCCTACGCTCTTACGAGAACACGACATCAGACGGCAGAAACGCATCTACGGGGATGAACAGAACCACGAGATAACGACGCCCACGACGCACGACACTTTTTTTTCATTTGTGTTAACGACTTTTACGAACGACGAGATTGACGACTAGCGATGAAACTAGCAACGACAATAATGAGGCGAGAGAGGCAGATTGAGTGATGATACCCCCCTTTTTTCTTATTTATTTACGTAGCATCTAGCGAGTCTTTGATTTTTATTTCCTTGTCTACTCATCTGCTTTTTGTCTATTCTGATTTGATTCGTGGAGGTGTTGATAGCGAGTACACTGAGGATGCATTTACATAGGTGCGTTAAGGAGTGAGGTTCGTCGATGGATCGGAACAGAGGTTTCACCTGAAGGGATACCCATACCTTCTATGACAAGACTATTTGATTGATTCTTGGGGAAATTGATATTCCTTGTTCTCCGTATCATAGTGAAGGGGGCCTACGTGATAGCGCAGCGTGCCTACTCCTTATCGCACACAATATTATCTGCATATTCCACTATCTTTATAGGCTAAGCAGCCTGGAATTTTGGTGCCACGCACATGGGTTAGCTCGAAACTATGTGTCAAACGATGATCATGCGATAGTGTAAACTTTCTGATGAAGAGAAACGCGTGATTTTTTCAATCGATGATACCCTCGGGGTTACTGGTCCTGTGTTATATAGGGGGCCTAGGCCCACCTTGCGCTTAGCTAGATAGCCGGCCTCTAGGGAGCTAAGCGCGGCTCGGCCCGTTGTCCGGGATGTTCGCTTTTTGGGGGCCATTCATTCAATGTCAAGACCTCGAAAAATAGCTTACATACATAGTAGCTTATTACAACATGGCCGCTACCGACGACGAGGTGAAAGGCACATTATCGCTTATTGAGAGCGAGAGGTTACCCCATCCATCGGGTCCACTTCTTGAATTATTTGTTTCTGAGGCTCTTCACCCCGTCTTAGCCGCACGTTGTGTGAAGTATAGATTGCTAGCTGGCGAGGCATCTTCATTAGTGGACGACTGGTCTTACATCATTGAGTCTAGTAAGTTTATACCCAAATTTGTTCTGCTTACCTTCCTGACCGTCAAATAGTTACCCAAAATGGCCATCCTCCACCACGGCCTCATATCACCCAGCAGCACCTGATCACGAAACGAGACGGCGGCAAGTGTTGTATCACTGGGAAGGTTGGCACTTGGCGTGATCCCCTTATCATCGCACCTATTCTTCCGGTCCCATCTGGCTGGGATACAGACAAGGTATATTCGTTACCGTCGAGACTAAATATAATCATGGGAAAGCTGACGATGGCTCTTGAAAGGCTAACATAAATGATATGCTCGGTGCTTTCTTCGGACCGCCTTATCGGGATTGGTGGCTATCTTATGTTAGAAATCCTGGAGGCAGAATGCCTGAATCCAATCACTGGCTGGTCCGAAAGTCTGCAGCAAAGGCATATGCTTCAGGGCTTGTCAAGTTAGACAGGCTACAACCATCAATGGTTGAGGTGAGTTCCAACTGGTGAATTCATCTATACTTCCATTTAACAGCTTGCAATAGTACCATCTGAAGCAAGTCGCCATTGGACTGGAGGAGCCGATCGAAGTTGACGGTAACTATCCATTGTTAGGTGATCACTCACGATCGGGCCTCACTAAGGTCGACCCTCGCTTCGTCGGCTCCCAGGCTCGACTATGCAAAAGCATCCAATTCCTCAACCTTGCCAGGACATTTTCATCGGAAATTCTGCCCCAACCATCGAAACCATTAATTGATCTTCCAGCACGGTACCCAAATATTGCGCCGCAAAATCATTGGGGTCTTTCGAGTTTGTGCACGAGCGCTTTCCTCAGACTTTGGCTTTTGGTCCCCGCAAGAGTCAGGATGGTTTGTTATAAGACGTTACGAAAGCTTGGAAAGCATCTTTATGGGGAGCCCGATGACTACAGTACCGTCCAGAGATTGCCATTTGGGCTATACCTGAAGTACAATGGAGAAGCTGGCGAAGCCCGTAACGAGTTCAACGCCTTAGGGATAGTTCGTCGACACACTTCAATCCCAGTTCCAAAGGCAATCGACATAGTTTTCAAGCAAGGAGATTTAAATGACCCGTTCTTCTTTCCTGGGGCATATGTGCTTATGTCGAAACTCCCTGGTTTACCGGTAGCACACTGTCAAAACATTCTTTCGGAAAAAGATATGGAACGAATTTCAAATCAATTGAAGGGCTACGTAGCCCAACTGAGAGACATTCCTCGATCGGTCACATCGGACAAACTAGACGTGGCCATGATATGCAACACCCTTGGGGAGGCATGCAGGGACTCCCGTATCCGGGGCGCACAACCTTTTGGACCATTCGAGGATGAGGCAGCATTTAGTCAGTTGCTGCGGTTTCCAGACGACCCTGCTCGCCGTGGGCACAAAATCGTGTTCACGCATGCGGATCTCAACCCACGCAATATCTTGATTGATCGGACTGCACAACCGGATGGAAGCATCGGTTGGGGCGTGACAGGGATTATAGATTGGGAATTCGCGGGGTATTATCCTGAATACTGGGAATACACAAAGGCAATGTTTGAGGGGTTCAGATGGTCGCTACGGTATAATAATATGGTGCATGGTGTGTTTAGGGAGTTTAAGGATTATTCTGCGGAGTTTGATGTTGAGAAAAGAAGCTGGGAGTCAGGGGATGCCGTTTAGGTCTCTATTATGTCAGCTGTATTAGGTACCTATTGAGGGGCAAATGATATCCGGCGTTTAACCTACCTACTCTGCACACTGTGTAGGTATTGTTTGAAAAGATTTTGAGCTTACCTAGATCTCAGTTTTGAGATCTTAAACATTGGTACAGTGCTAGTCGCACCTTTCTATCAAGTAACTCTATCTGTACCCTCCCATATGTACCTATACATATTGGACCTAATTTAATCCACCATCATACGTCATTCCATTCCGCCATGACTGCATTAAACATCCCCTTCCTCACCATAGAACCCTCGCAGCCGCACACCCACACCATCGTCTTCCTCCACGGCCGCGGGGACAACGCCCGCAACTTCGCCGCCTCGCTAACCCACGCGCGCGACTCCCGTCGCCGCACCCTCTTCGAAGCGCTCCCCTCCTTCCGCTGGGTGTTCCCGCAGGCCCCGACGCGCAAGTGCGCCAGCTCGCCCGAGACCTGGCCGCAGTGGTTCGACGTCTGGGACGTGCGCGACTTCGCCCTGAACGAGGAGCTGCAGGCCGTCGGACTGAGAGAGGTCGTCCCCGCTATCCGCCGCGTGCTGGCTGATGAGGCCGCGCGCCTGGGCGGCCGTTGGGATCGTCTGGTGCTCGCGGGTATAAGCATGGGCGGCGCGACGAGCGCCCACGTCCTGTTTAATCTGGATGTGCCCCCGGAGGCCGGAGGGAGGCTCGGTGCTTTTGTCGGCTTCTCGTGCCGGTGTCCGTTTGCTGGTCGCAGCCTTGCCGGGATGAGGGGTGTGCTTAGTCTGGAGGGCGTCCCGGACCATGGTCGCGTCGTTCAGAATACGCCTGTGTTGCTCGAGCATTGTGTCGACGACCCGCTCGTCCTAGTTCAGAACGGCCGAGGCCTACGAGAGACTCTACGTGGGTATGGCGCCCAGGTTGAGTGGAAAGAATACCCCAATGGTGGACATTGGTTTCATTCGCCGTCTGGTATGGATGACGTCGTGGATTTTCTGAGCAGACACCTTCGGGAGGACAGTTCTGCAAGCATCCCTACAACTCTGCAACGAGCATCACCTGATGCCATGGATCTATCATAGAACATAGACTATGGTCGTAGCCGATCAAGTCAAAAGAATGGTCGGCCTAGTTTCTGGAATTCTATGTAAACCAGAAAACTTTCTCGGTGACCATGTTCAATAAGCTTATTCTGGAACATGTCATCGATGTGTGAGACCGTTTCAGATCTAATACGGCCCTGATACAAATTCAACAAAGCCGTACGTCCGAAGGAAAACAAGCCCGACTCAACCATTAAAACGTTGATTTTTGAGGTTGGAACTACCGTGCGATGTTACAAGTCGACTGAAAACGTAAAATGCCATCGTGCATCTCCGTCTTGTCGTCTGTCTCTCGAAATACAGCGCTTTCTCGACGTGGATATAGAAAAGAATGCCCAAGTGTGCATCATGTTACACAATAAAAAAATGCAGAAATTTGTTAACTTCGCAACTCATATTAGCATCACTGTCAGTTTTATGATGTATAGGACGAATTGGACTAAAAATAAGAAGCCATCGATTTCCTGCACTAACAACACCAACAATTGTGAAAAAACCGACTCAGACATCATGTATCATGTCATGTAACGAGGCGGAAATAAAAGGCTGAGGAATAACGACGTTGTTGCGCTTATAGCTCTAACTACACCTTCCAGGGATGCGGTATACATACATAACTAGCCCTTCCTCTGTCTATGGCTAAAGGGCTAGCTGCCAACATGGCGGCCTCGTACAAGCCGGCTCCCGATCCTTCTGGGCTACTAGCTAACCCTGGCGAGACCTCTAGCTACCAGCTCTCACGGAGGAGGCTTCTGACATGTCACTTGGAACACCTGGTGTTACCGACCATACCGAATTATGAAGGTAGCGTACCGGAGAACAATCTTGACAATAGGAAACGAGGTTGATCTGAACGCCTTTGAAAAAAAAAAAAAAAAATAATGATGTGGATGGAACAAAAAAAAGCTCAGCCCCGAACTGAATCGGCGACCTACGAAAAACCCCGAGTCCGCTGTAGTAGGAATATACCCATCTACCACAGCGTGGCTCGAACGAGTTTTCTCTAGCCTCAAGTCACCCACTAGATTTCAAGACTAGTGAGGTCGGCTTGAAAATTTAGGGATTTAAACCGCTATATAAGCCTTGGTATCGAGATCCGAAAATCTCCCGGTTGCCGTGGGCAGCGACGGCGAGATTCGAGATGGTGGTGACTCACGGAATTACCATGACAATGGACACTGTTACCTACCTAGGTACCTAGTTTTATGCCAATTCAAGTCGAGGCCAAGTACAACAATTGCGTCATGATCTGTACGCGTGTCAATTTCAGAAAATGATAGTTCCGGCGTGCATGACTACCTACACTCGTTCGGGTATCTGATACTCAAGTCCACGATTAGCCGTAGCGACAACCCCAAAGATCTGCGACCTAGACCAGGACCACGTTCTCAACTATCAAGGGTATGCCTCGATAGTTTGTATTTAAATGATCATCGTGGAGTTAGCTCTTTGAAACCTTAAGTTTAATATCTATAATGGGACGAAAGCTTTCTACGATAAGTACTAGTGATGGCAATCATTGAGGAACTCTAAGCTTTTCTCCACCCTTTCCGGGCCCATCCATTTACGAATGTTTACCTAAGGATTTGGGGGGAAGACCAGCTTTTAGTCTGCCCAGGCTCAATTCCTGTCAGCGCTATTGGTATCGCGCTACTAACAGTCTTTCTCCTTGAAATACTTTCTAGGCTACTAGGTAGAGTAAGGTCCCGCCATTTGACACGAATGACACTTCACTACATGACGCTAGGGTAGGTACGGTGGCTGGCCTTGGTAGATGGGAAGATCAACTTTGTCCCCGAGTCACCCTACTCAAGTAAGACGCCTCCCGGTTTGGCCAAACCTTACGAATACAGATTGTAGGAGTAGAATAGAGCGCTTCCTTCAAGACAAAGGTTTCAAAGGACCGTTTCTTCTAGAAACCATATTTCAATATTCCCAACTGACATTTTCCAAGATAACCGGTTTAAACCTGTCTCAGTACTTCAGACAGAATTACTATATGTTCGGCATGAAAGACGAAAAGGCAATACACTGCGGTATCACAAAGTGGGATGAATTCATGCCTGGAAGAGCTACTGCTTTTGGACATTTCTCCATGTGTTCTCGAGTTAGAAATGCTGACGACAAACTTCAACAGGGACTAAAGTTTTCAGAGGTACCTAAAGCGAGCATTCAAGTTATAACAACCCCTGTATGCTACATAGATTCATGAAGATACACGAGGATATGCTCATGGGATATTCTTACTACTAACCCATCAATGAAAAGCTCATTTCATTTTGAAAAATCGGTTGAATAGCTCCTCGGACCGACACGCCTACCCCTTAAAAGTTCGTTGAAAGTGTCACGTGACACCCGCATGTCTCTTCATGTGAATTCTCAGTAATGCAGGTACTGGTGAGGATCGACGGTGAGCTACATATATAGTTGCCGTAGGCAGGTTGATTTTCAGATGGGCGCATGGACCCCTGGTTCTCGCGTAACCGACATGGACTTGGAACATATCCAATGGCAGTGATGTTAATCTGCCGCCTGTCAGCAATGACTAAGGGCGGGTGTCAATTCATGACAATGTGCTTCTACTTGACAGGCACTAGGTCTAATCGAAAGCACTATTCGTGAAAACGTGAGTGGCGGTAACTTACTATGTAATAGTGCGAGAACCGAGAGCTCGTCTCCAAAATTGCTTGACAGATTTCGCGGTGCTATGTCGGATACTCTAACTTGTCTAGGAAAGGCAGAGGTCAGAATCAGGGGTCTTCCCCAGTCATTTCGACCCAATGCCAACCCGACCGTTATGTACAAAAAAAACAGGGTATTCTTGTCTCTGATTCGTACCATAGGTAGTATGATCTCGACGCTGGTCGCGCATTGCTCGGGCCACGGAATGCCATTCCGCAAAGCTATTGCGCCATCTTTTCAAGTCCGTTCTATGCGAATCAGACGCACCAATCATAACCCTAAGTTTTGTTCCTGGATTGTTTTATGTATGTATAAAGTAAAGCTTGTTCCCACGTGGTGTAGGAGCTAACGGGTTACCAGGGGCATGAGATAAAAACACGTGAGAATTGTACCCAGTTCGGCGGTGGGGGTTTGATGCATCAAGTGTTCGTGCCGCGGATCGTGCGAAGCAAATCATATTTGATGTTTACATAACAGAGTAGGGGATTATAGGTATCGGGCCTTTAAATCTCGATCATGTCTGCTGCTGAATCTCCTTCATAATAATATGTTGTATCAACAATTGCCGATGTCCACTCATACGGTAGCATCGTTGGGGCTGGCATGTTTGAGCCGCATTACGAACTTTGCGGATGGAACGCTTGTACGTAGATAATTGTGGGAATACCGAGGAGTTCTTTGAAAAAAAGGGTATTAAACCCCCAATCCCTAGTAATACGACATTGAGTAATAGCGCACTATATAGTGCTGGTGCAATCCGGGGCTTGTCTGGAGAGAAGTCGACTACGCCCTACGTAGTGCTAGCCAAGCCTGTCGAACTCCTGACCGAGAGCTATGACGTGTGGGGCTCCGGATTAAAGGAAAGTTACCTTGGGTATGCCTGCAAATTTGAACTGGCCCAGGCTCATCCAGGTCGGAATATGGGTAGCATACATAGCACACATACCTCCTACAACGGCTGACCGGCCCCGAACATCTCGAAAGTTGATGTCTGAGAAAGGCACTACGGGTTCTCCCCGTCGCTAGAGCGGGTGTCGTACGAAAAGATGTAAATGCAATTCATATCTTGATTCTAGGCTTTTGTAACATGGTTATAAGGCTGTCTGAAGACTTCGACCTTCCACTTTCGAATAGCACGGTGGCTCGCGGCACGTCGGCACCGTCCACTCGTCCGGTCAAATACGTGGGATAATTTTACAAGACATCTGAATTCGGTGGTTGCTTATATAATTAACGACAGACATAGTGGACCTACCTAGTAATGATTGACAACGGAAATGACCCGATCGACGAACTGTGCGCGGAGGCTACCGATAAGAGTAAAGACTATCCCCTGGAACTGATCAGTGCTCAACCAAGATCTTATTATTCCCGGAAATCTTATTGCCCAGTAACGCGTGTAGATGCGCCTCTCAGGTCTTGGCATAAACGATCGCGCAAATGCTGATGATAAAGAGACTAGTCCTTATGACGATTTACTGAGGCCAGGCCGGAAATAAACGTCTTTCTGCTAGCCCTGCCGTTAGTCTCGTCCTCTCCGTTGGGTAAGTGATGCGGATTCAGCGCACCATACAGACCATAGTAGTGGCGTCGAGTCGAGGTCTGGGGTCGCTGAGTAGGTACCTAGTCTAATTACCATGCACCTACATATCCTTATGTAACATTTCTTAGATGGTACCTGGCAGCCCAGTATGTAACGTGGAAAAGTCGTATCCCAGAGATATAAGTGCCGAAGACCTTACCGTAGGCGGTGATTCGTCCATCTCCACTAGCGCATCCTCGTAAAAATCAACTAACCGTAACCCTGTGAAATGCAGGTAATGTCTTGGGGAAAAGGGGACATGAAACCCGAGAGCTGGACTAATGCAGTGACGAGCTGACCTCAGTCGTACGCTGCCACATCGAAACCGCTGCAAAACATTAGTCAAAACAAACTTTTTGGTGTCCTGGTAGCTATATGAGATTGAAGGCGTATAATGTTTTTTCCGCCACTGATCACCTAGGTAGGACCTGCTGTGGAACGGATCACAAGTTGTTCTTCGTCCTGCTTTATACCTAGGAAATTCGTACCCCTCCCTGCGGATGCCTTCTACTCGCCTCCCCGGGTCCGTGTGTAATATTGCTTGTCTCCTTTAGACTGCATTGAAATCCACATATATGGGCATGTGAAGTACACTACCGTCCTAGATCCGGGGTTAGATCTAAACGACTTCCCCAAGTGCTTAATTATTAAAAGAACGCCCAAGTAAGCTTTCTTTGGAATTTCAAGAGAAATTCTTCTTACTGATGCGTCAGGGATATGGAAGCTTATACGTCCACCAATAGTCTATAGAGCCTCGAAGGCTTATATGACTATTGTTGTTACTTTCATTATATCGATTGTTTTGATTGAATATCATTGAAATACATCTAATTCGCATCGGCCGATATTCGTAGTAACATTCACTGACAACGGTTTTGGATTGATGATAAAGGAGGAAACGACAACAAGATGGCGACGAACAGCGATGGAATACCGTTGGCCTACTACGAGGCGCCGTACAGTCTCCTATCCATGGACAACCAAACCTACAGCGGACTTCTAGTCATAGGGACCCTCGCTGCTATCTCGCTGCTCTTTACAAGTGCTCTTCTCAGTTTCATAACATGGCGTATGGTCAATTGGAAATCCCACTATAGCAGTCCCGTCAGTCGAAACCAGTCGATCGTTCTCATCTACCAGCTCATTCTCGCCGATCTCATACAAGCACTCGGGTTTTTGATATCATTTCACTGGGCAGCGGAGCGTAAAATCACCGGGCCGAACAGTTCGTGCTTTGCACAGGGATGGCTGATTCAACTTGGGGATGTCGGCAGCTCCTTTTTCGTCCTCGCGATCGCGGTCCACACGACATACCAGGTCATTCTCTCGAGAAGTCTATCTTATGGGGCCTTCGTTTCTTGTGTGCTCGGTGTTTGGGGACTATCCGTCGGCCTTACGTCCCTCGCGCCGATCATCGGCGGACGTTTTGTGTTCATGAGAGCTGGAGTCTGGGTGAGTGGAATTCCTATATTGACCACCAATCTAGGATGGATAATCTGACTATGGAGTTAGTGCTGGATACAATCAGATAGAGAAGGACTGCGTCTTTCTCTTCACTATATTTGGATTTTCATCGTCGAATTCGGCTCCATTCTAGTCTATGCTGTCTGTTTCTTTTACCTGTATCGCCTCAGACGCAGAGAAGCTCTGATGTCAGGTCGAAACGTCGAGAGCCTGCGAAGGGCCCGAGCCGCTATGTTGGCGTACGCAATAATATACACTCTCTTGAGTCTACCTTTAGCGTAAGTAATCCCTAACCAGTCCCCCGACGACTTAAACTTACACACCCTTAAGCGCTGGAAGAATGGCTAGTATGTCGAATAATACGCCGTCCGATGGATATTATCTATTCGCTGGTGGTCTTTTCACCTGCTCCGGTTGGGTGGATACCGTGCTTTATACTATAACACGACGAGCGCTACTCTTCGACGAATTAAACGTTTATGGACGCCGACCTGGAGCAAAGGTGGGCAACGGCACGCGTCACGCCAAGGACGCCGGCTTCCAAAGGCAGAACAGTACGGAGTCTATTCTAGCTAGTCACGGCTTCGGGAGTATTGGGGGGATCAAGTTGGAGAGAACCGTGAAAGTCGAGCTCGCTGATGTGGAAAGCGGCACCAGCGGATCAGGGAATGGAGGGCAAGAATACTATGCCACAGCAACGGCAGAGGTCATGAAATCCTAAGATGGAAATAAATTATTGTTAGCGTTATGTAGACAATAGATCGCAGATCTGATTCTACAGCTAGGATCTCGAATCTAGCGGGGACTAACCTTGGTCATGATAGATTTCTTCAGTTCCTAGCGTATTGCACTTAGCTTCCGCTATATCGCCATATTCATGTTTTTATGGCCTCTTATTTGTTTGACATATTGTTACCTACCATAGCGGGAAAATACGTAGCCTAATAATGATTTGAAAGTTAAATAATTATTGATATACCTTAAGAAATTCGAATAATTATTGGAAACTAAACTATCATTGGTAGTATAAGAATTATTACTCGCATTTACAGTTGGTAGGTAGCTGCTAGGCTAGGCTTTTAAGGTTGTTAGCTAGGTGGTCTATACAACAACAAAGCCGACAATAGATTATAATCCCCCTATAACCCACCCACTACCTTACAACCTTCGAACTTCTACAAAATTTCTAAGGTTCTAATATCTTTAGCACTACCTACCCCCCTCCATCCCCTCCTACCTACAACAAACAGCCAACACTAAAGTCAACACTTGCAAAAAAAAACTTAGGATTTTTTTTTCCTTTCTCACACACATCATCTAGGTACTACACACAAAAAACTTAGAATTTTTTTTCTTCCCACACACACACACACACACACACACACACCTACCTCCTACACATACACCATCCACTCGCACAATACTTTATATCTTTTACTAATCCTCATATACTAAGTCACCCTAATACTAACGCTAGTAGATCTATAGATCTGTAGAGATTAGTAGTATGCAGTAAACGCGTAGACGCGTAGACCTATAGGACCGTAGATCTGTAGACCACTGGATCAGTAGACCTGTAGACCTGTAGACCTGTAGACCTGTAGACCTGTAGACCTGTAGACCTGTAGACTACTAGGTAATAAAACAGTAGGACTGTAGATCTGTAGACCTTTAGACTAGTAGGACTGCAAACCTGTAAATTTGTAGCCTGTAGACCTGTAGACTCGTAGGCCTCGTCCCCGTCCCTGCTAATAATAGCAGGGACGGGGACAAGGAATAAGAGACCCACCTAAATATACCTTCCAATGGATGTTTTAACCTTCTAATGATTATTTAAACCTTTTAATGATTATTCACACCTACCAATAATTGTTTACTTAACAATTATAGTCAAATAAAAGCATTATAGTGATAATGGATAATGGTTTTCGCGGAAGGTAAATCATTGTTCAATAGCGGGGGTTCCCGGTATGGTATCTACCTGGGTACATATGATTTGATTGTTGTGAGATTTCCACGCAAACCAGAATTCATGTAATTTGTTGTTTGGTAGATGGCTAAGTCTATGTTAACTCTTTAGATACAGATTATTATCCTGTTTGCCAGGAGTAAGCCCTGGTAAGGGATCAGACCGACGTTTGTTTGAGGAGTTGAGATTTGACGAACTTGTGCCATATATTAAGGCAACTGTGTCGTTAGAATCCGCCGCTTCTCAATCTACAAACTCCTCGTTACTAAGAGCAATAAATACTTGTCAAGTCCTTCTCATGGCGTCCAAGTTCAAAGCGATTATCTTCGACCTTGAGGGCGTTCTGGTTGAATGGCAGCGCCCTCGGAATACCAAAGATTTTCGATGCTCAGGTTTAGAACTACCCAAGATTAAGTATTCAAGTATCTGGGAGAATCTGAATACTGGCAAGTTCTCATTGGATGATGCATATGAGGTATTGCAATACTTCTAAATTATGTACCTATTCCTATTCGTTGAACGTTAGCTAATATTAAGAAAGCATTTTGCCGAGGAGGAAATGGAGGAGAAAGCATACGTAAAGTTATGCCTCGAGAAAGTATTTAAATCAGTAAGAGTCAACGAGAGACTCGCCAATTTGATTCGAGAGCTGAATGCGTCGGCTCATTATCTCAAAATTTGTGTCGTGGCTAATGTTTGTCGGGTATGTTTCTCTTGTCCAGGATGAATCACCATAAATCTAATAACGATACGACAGGAACATTTCGAGATCATGAAGAATGCAAATCTCCCATGGGAAATATTCAGCTCCGTCTTTATATCGGGAATCTTAGGCATGAAGAAGCCTGATCTATGCTTTTTCCAACATGTTATCAATGCCGTTGGACTGCACCCGAGTCAGATACTAATGGTTGATGCCGAGGCTTCAAATCTTTGCGCAGCTAGGTCTTTCGGCATATATGGAATTCCGCCGGATGGAACTTCGGTCGGACTTGTTCAGACCCTGAGGAATTTGATTTTCAACCCGTTACCAAGGGCCGAAGCATTCATGAAACCCAGACCAAGAGTATTTGCGAAACCCGACCCTAACAAGCGCGTCTCTATTGTCGAGGATCGTAACATCATCATGAACGAGAATATTTCGCAACTCATGATAGGGGAACTCCTTGGCGATAGAATCTTATGCAGAGAATGGTCCCCGGAGGTTGATGACATCACTGTCGCAGAGGCAGGCTTCTACATATATCTAAGACCTGAAGGACCGTGTCCAAAGGGTTCGGATTTCCATCCCAACGCAGACATCACCTCGATAGCATACCTATCCATTCCACGACCTCAACGTATCGAAGAGCTACCTCACGTACACTTGATTCTGGAAGCGATGGCGAGCAACGTCGATTCCGATGGTATCTTACAAACATACTTTGATCACGAAGTACCGAGAACTGACCTAGAGACATGTTGCAACATTCTTAGACTTTTCTACAGCAAGGATCGTGAAAATGACCCGCGTATCAAAAAGACCGAGAAGTGGGTAGCCCAATGTATCAAGAACAGAGCTTATACCTACGGGAGTCGGTGTTATACGACGCCAGAGACTTTCCTGTACTTCGTAGCTCGTTTATGGTCCGATTATATGCCGGAATTTCTGTACGACTCGGATATTGAAGACTGCATCATCGAGCGGCTCAATATTCCCACAAACGCATTGGCTCTGGCGTTTCGTATTTCGGCCTGTCAGCTCATGAAGGTTGAACCGCGCCTATATCGCCAAGACTTGACGAAGTTCGTGCTTCTACAAGATAAAGATGGTGGATGGCCGGCAGGTCATTTTTTTCGTGCCGAGGGAGTGAAGAACTGGATCGGCAATCGAAGCTTGACAACCGCCTTGGCGATAAAAATCTTTCGTTGGGAAAAGGCAAACTCTAAGTCAACTGATGGTTGGCTATCCCTTTCATGAGATGATGCCTACCTAGGTATTGGTAACTGGAACGGGATGCGGCGTATGAACTATAGCTGTAAGCCACTGAAGAGTTCCCAGAGATCTGGTGGATATTTTCAAGTACCTGATAACTGTTAGAAAATATTGATTCTTTCGTTTGAGCTATTGCTATTAGGTAGATGCCTACCTAGGTGATTTGTTATTGTCAGCCACATCTACCTACGATTACCCTATTTGTATGAACCGGCGCTGCTGATTGGTCCTAGCCGAACTTGATGTTACACAGTGGCATAGGATTATTCTAAACAACCTTGAAGTCACCTTCAATTTGACACACTTTAAAATCATAAAGCCTCTAAATGCTGGTACATTATGCTTATCTCAAACGTGGTATCATTTTACGACATCAACATATATATACACTTACCCATTACCCCGGGTTTTGGTCAACGTCTAAATGCCTTTTATCACCAACTTTCAAGAGACGACAGTTTAGTCACCACCGCCTTTCTTAGACTTCTTAGCCTTTTTAGGTTTCTTCTCCCCAAATTCCTCCTCGTAAACCTCTGCCGCCGTCATGCCGGCTTTCCGCTTGCTCTGTTTAGACTTCACGCTGACGACAGGATTAGAGCGCCCCTCTTTTGTCGCTTTTAAGACCTGCTTCTCCGCTTCTTCCCAACCGGGCGCATCGCCTTCGATCTCGTATCTGAAGTATAGTGTAAGTATAAATGTTAATTCAGTGCGTGGAACGATCTTACTGATCGAGAGGGAGAGAATCTATAAGTTCCCTCTGTTTCGCTCGTAATTCTTGCAATGCCTCATCACCAGCTTCGTCCAACTCAGCGTCCAAACTCATTTCTAATGGTGCATATTTGTCATTTACGGCCTCGTCTTCGTGAACTCCAGAAGCGTTTTCTTTGCTGACTCCGATCGCATCTGATTTCGGCATATTCGTCTCGACGGCTGATGTAATTAGCGATGAGAAATGTGCCGTGATTTTCCGTATGATTTTCATGAACATAGCCAAGCCTTGAGAAGACTCTAAAGAGAGTTCTGTGCATATGGCGCCCACGTCTTTCCGCTGCAAACCAATACCTAGCAATAGAGCTCGCTGTACACCCGTGAGCTTGATGCTTGGCTTCAAGGGGCCTGTGAAGTAGAGATCTGCGAGCTTAGGAACGAGGTCAAGAATGGCGTGGTGGTCTAGTACACCCCTCGTGTACGATTCTAATCGTTTGCAATCGAAAGGCGTTAGTAATCTATCTAGCTCCGATTTGGTCAATTCAGGTGGTTGGTTGGACGGAACCAATTGAGCGCCAGCTGTAGCAGACTGGTCTATGCTCAATGCGAGGACGCAGGGGAATTCTCGGAATTTATAGGATAATAGAGCGAGAAAGCGGCGGTGGAAATCAGAGGCGAAGGCCCCAAGCCATTCTCGGTCGTCCTTTAGTGGCCTAAGCATCACGCAAGTATGCTCGCCAGTCAGATCGTTGGCTGTTTGTCGCTATAATATTGTCAGTAAAGATTTCTTGGGCATGCAAAATGAATCGTTTTAGTGCAAAATGCTTACCAGGTACACGGGCGCGAAGAGGGCGCGCGACCAGAACTTATGGAGCGGTTGAGTTAAACCGTAGCTGACACCAACATACTCGAGGTCCTCTGGCTTGCGTTCCGCTAGTCTCAAGAATAGGGGCTGCATCTTTTCGATATCTCGAACCTTAATATCTTCATAAAGAAGACCACCATCCTCTTTCGAGGTATCTTTCGCGGCGTTGGTAGTCGCCTTGGCTGAGGCCTCGCCGTCTTCTCCAAGGTTTATGAATTTGCCTTCATAGTAGTCAATTAGGAGCTCGAGAGCTTTCGTGCCGTAACCCATTGAAACGCAATCTGGATGAGTTGCTATCCGAACTATGCGCGCACCGGATAGAGAAGCAAAGTCGTCTTGGAACTGTTGGCTGACTAGCCAAGGAATCAAATCACCGGCAGGTCGCTGACCCCTATCCAAGCCTGCCATTACACTTTGTTTGCTGATATTACCTTCAAGCGCTATCTGAATTACACACAAAGGCTCAGGTAATCCGTTGTCTTGAATAGTAGAGGAAGTTAAAACGAAAAGCTCGTGCGCTGGAGCATCGCTCATGAGTTGCATATCGTCTGGGGTGTTCTTATAGTGGCTGGTCACGAAAAGGGCCACCATTTGTCGTAGAAACCTTTCCGGTACTGGGTGGAAGGAGAATAGGGTATCGCGGTTAACGTGGAGGAGTTGGCATTGAGATGGATCGGGGAATATGTTATTTTTGGGCTTTGAGGGCGTGACATCTAAGCAGAGAAGAGCGTTCAACCACTTTTCAACTGCATCACCCTTCGCATAACGAATCGGTTCGGCAAGAGTGACTTCCTTAAGAGACCTTAGGCCCCGGGAATCGCCATCCTGGGCTACGCTAGTCGCAGCCTGCTCTTTTAGTTGCTTGACGAGTTTTAGTGATAGCGAACGCCCAGTACCTTCATAACCGCTTATTGTTGAGGCCATGAAGACTGTGTAAGGTCCAAGGAGCTTTCGCACCAACGCTACCAAAATTAGCATACATCAGTTACTTAAAGGGATAGAACATACGTAGTGGAATCGCCGCAGCTTCATCGATGATGACAAGTTCAGCCTGCCCGAGTACATGGGCATCTTGAGGTCGGATGTATTGGATAGTCTGTCGGTGGTTGCGGAAAATATTGACCCTAACAATCGCCTTTTTGAAATCTGGATTTGTGGACTGAATGATAGAGTAATCTGTATGGTCCTGATAATTCAAGGCATCAAACGCTTTAAATACGAATTCGAATAGGGTACCTAAATTTTCTGGAGAAGGAGATGTGACGAATATGTTGCTGTAGCCGTAAGATACAGCGGCCGCGATAGCGACACCCACTATTTCTGTTAGCTTTTCGCTTTAAAGGGGGGATGTTAGTAAACATACATGCAGCCGATTTACCACGACCACGAGCCGCCGTTAAGGATACAGTATTGCGAAGCGTTTTGGCGGATATAGCATCAACGAATGTAATCAAAGCCTCTGCCTGATCTTTTGTCCGCGCAAGTTTGACTAGGGATCCTATTGGCTGTGTGTCTTGGAGCGAATCCTTGATTTTCTCTAGCTCTAATTCCTCAGGGGACTTTGACTCTTCCACAGGTGGCAAAGGTTTAACCCCCCTTCCCCCAGATATCGGCAAGACGTTTAATTCGTCGTCAATAACAAGGCAAGACTCGCATCGGCCCAGGGAAAGCAGAAAGCGTTCGTTGAACCTCGCAATGACATCGTGATGGGCTTCGGTTCGGTATCGCGAATGTACATCCATTGAAAGGGTGTACAGTTGCCTCAAACTATCCATTCCTTTCAATAGTAGGATGACCAAGCCTCCTCCCTCGACAGTCTCGATAGTGCGCGCCAAAGTATTCGGGGTGAGGGCCTCAAAATCTTGGAGGATGCACTGTTCACGAGGATTAGTATACGCATGCGATGGATGGCACATTCACCACAATTCCTTACCATGCCAAATGTCCTACCTAAGATCTTTTCAGTCTCCTTATAGTAAACATATCTGACGTCATGAAGCGAAACGAAGAGCTCAAACGGATCTTCAGTGTTTGCATCTCTGATGCCGCGCTTGATTTCCTTCTTGATCTTATTTTCTCGCTTCTTCCGGTGACTGGTAAAGCCGAGGAGCTTGTTCTTATAGGCCCAAAGCACAGATTTGTTTTGTCGCAAGTCCGCTTGGGACATTATGAAGTGGAGTTTGACAATGGCATCTTTGGAATGATCGCCAACGACGACGAAGAAGCTTCGCTTATGCTCGGCGAGGCCATTTCGAATTAGAGTAGGAATGCGCGAGTCTCTATAAGAAGCCAAGGTTAGTAAATGAATAAGGAATCCGAAATTGTGGTTTCATCCCCTAAGATTGGACATACACAGCTTTCCGCGACATATTGCCGTCCTGTTCCTGCGCACAATTCTCTAAAATCGAAGCTTGTCTGCTTGATCTAGATATTCGAATATCAAGATCTGGCGCAAAAAAAAGTTCTAGAGAAACGATATTCTGCCGGGCGGTGAAAGATTCTGCCGAGCGGTAACCCCACTAGCTCCATTTAAAGTGGAGCCCTATGTGACACTAGGTACCTAGTAGTAAGTGGAATTCCGATTACAGATACATGAACAATGTTTTATTCCATATGGAAGGTTTCACCTGATAAAATATTCATATTAAAGGAATATACCTAGTAGATTCATGAGAATAGACGGACATGACTGACAGTGTTCTTCATAAGAGACATTAAGCTAATCTACCTGGGTTGATAGTGAGCTCTTAAGAAGCGATCTATTGTCTTCGTAGGAACAATAGTTTCCTAACGTAAGCTAAGAAGCACACGCAAGCAATATCGCAACCCAGCACAAGAAGAGTAATCTTACGCAGATCGAGCGTCGGTACCTGGCACGCCTTCTAAGCTTACGAGGTTACGAGGTCACACGTACATACAAACAAAGTATTGGATTCGGGGTATGGATGTGACAATACACATGGAACGGATTCTTTTCGTCGCGTAACCCGACCAAGCAAACAATCAGAAATCATCGCCGCTCCTAAGAGTCCCTCGTACAGAACAACACAACGCCCAACTACCAATCCAAGCAGTCCAAGTAAAAAAGGACAAGAGACAAATGGAATCAAAAAAGGCGTTGTCTCGACAGACGCAAAACCCGTGCATGATATCACATTAGACCGATCCAAGCCCAAAGCTAGGTAGACATTAGGTACCCAGTAAAGACCCCATCTATCCATACATCCATGTATTCCCAAAGCCCTTTGTTCGTAGCCTCGTTCTCTCATCACCGGCGACTCGGCGCATAGTCCGCCGGGTTGTAAGCGTAACTCCGGCCAGCACGTGAGTCCGATCTATACGCACTCCGGCCCTGGTTTTGGTTTTGATGGTGGTACTCCTCCATAGTCTCCTGGTGCGTAGGTAACTCGGCCGCGAACCCCTTGTGATCCAGTCCGGGCGACGCGAAGCCGGCGCTGCTCGCGTCCGAGGAGTACGAGGTCGGTCGCGAGCCCATGAGCGACGGGCTCGGCTGGCTTTGCGACCAGCTCCACGCTTTCAGCTCGGGCGAGTGAGACTGCACCGATGCGGGAGAATTCCGGCCTTGGTGGTGTGGGAGCGTTGGTGACGGTTGAGGCGGTTGCAGGTGTGGCGACGATTGCGGGTGGTGGAAGTCTCCTGGCAGTTCCATGATGAAGCCCTGACCGCTGGGGCTGGAAATTGGGCCTTGGCTCGCCGGCAGTTCGGCATACTGCTGATTCATCTTACTAGTATTTTGGTCGTATCCCCCATTCATTTGTTGGAATTGGGCCTGCTGCCAGTGCGCCGGGTAACTTAGCGAGCTCGCGGTCCCGGGCCTGCTCCCTTGCTGCACGGAAATTGGTCGTGGTACCTGGTATGGTATCGAGGGCGACATGGGCGGGTGGAACGGAGATCCTGGCGACATCGGTGGCGATTTCATCCCTGCGTTCAAACCGCCAGTGTATGTCCTGTCGTTTGGATTGAAGGTCTTCATCTTTCCGTCCTCGATCATAGCCTGCAACACGCCGGCGTCTAACAGCTCGGCCTTTTTGATGATCCTCTGCACCATCTCTTTGCTAGCCGCCTTCATCTGCGCCTTCACCATGCCGACCATGGTGATGTTACATCTAATCTCGATATCCTCTCTCAGGTAAAGCCCGTCCGCCGGGGCGCCTAGCGCAGCCAATCCCATCTCCTGAGGCTCGGGAGGTTCTACACCCGGCTGGTTCCCTCCGATGCGATACTTGTTTCGGAGGTCGACGCCCAGCGGGACGTAAATGTGCGTTTGCAAACCCCACGGCAAATCATGAAAGCAGCCATTGAAAGTGAGTTTGCCCGACCCTAGCTTCCCTATGCCAGGGACATACTGTATTCTCTCGGAGATCTCGTACCATGTCGAGAAATACTCGTCGGCGGCGGCATTGCGAGGTGCTTTGATCTGCTTGTATTCGAGCACGAGGGGATTGAGCGTGATGACTTCGCCGTGGCTGTGGAGAATGTCGATGGCTAGTTGGCGGGGTATGAAGGTAGGGATCGGTGTTATAACCGTATATACCTCTTTCTTTCTGAGCACCATCGCGACGGTGCGCTAAAAGTCGATTATTTGTCTTTCGGTCTCTTGATCATGGAGTTGAGGCGATTACGAAAGGAGGAGGAAGAAGAAGGCTGAAGAGCTAATGTCCCTCAAGCCTTTTTTTTACACACGTAAGCCCAGCCAGGTCGATCGCATAATTGTTGCTGCGCAAAAACGATAGGCTAGGAGGTTTGCGCTCGTACAAGGAGCCCGGGTTTTTGCAAGGTGGTGCAAGGTGATTGCGGACGATTTGGTACTCGGGCGTCAGCACTGTGGGTGATACCAAACTGCTTTGGATTCTAACGGCACCTCCGCTAATGCAACGCAAACTAGTATTTTATTTGACAGTGATGCTAGGAAGTATTATGTGTAGGTGGGAGAAATTGGTAGGTAAAGTCTTGGGTAGCCTTCCATTTTCGGCCCCCCTACCTCCCACTCTATGCAGTCCTTCAATCTATTCTTAGTCGTACTAGGCCAACATCACTGCCCTACTGTATACTTCAAAAGTGTCGGGCAAGTGAACAGCCGGTCCTTTAAGCCACGCTCACCCCCTCCGGATCCGACAGGTTGGGCCACCGTTGGCAGCGCTTGGTTGGCCTCAGGATGACAGATAACTGGGTAATCCCGCATTATTTTCCTGCTTTTCCCTCAGAGCTGCGTCACGAAAGCGAGTCATTCCTAACTCCTCAAATGCCCCGTAGGGCTCGATCATCTTGTCACTGTACGCGAGTAGGGTTCTGCATTTTATTAAACAAACATACCTTAAACGTTTTATGCATTATACCAAAACGGTTTTATAGGCTCATAAAACGTTTTACGGAACGGAATAACCTATCGGCCCCACATATTACATACATACAAGGATTATTTACCTTAGTACCTATTAAAAATAAATCCTTAAACATTCAATACTTAATAAGCAGAACTAGTCTATATTAGGTTTAGTGGCAGGGTCTAGCGGCTGACTAATCAGCAAATATTTTGAAGGTAATTTTGTTGTTTTAAGGGCACGCGACTTGACGTATATGAGTGCCAGCGTGCCAGTTTTTGACCTGATTGAAATAATAAACAAATAGATTTATAATAATATCGAGTGTAGTTTCAATTGAATGTAAGGTTAGCTTAAATCAATTGATTAAAGCATCGTGTATGTTTGAAAGGTTTAGAAGATAGGCTGACTAATTAGGTTAGTAGAAGTTTTTAGCCTTAAAACAGCATCATACCGTTTACTATACCATTTAGTATGGGTATAATGGCATAATGATGGTAGGTTTTATATTAAACGGTATAATGGTGCCAAAAAACGTTTTATGCAGAACCCTACGCGAGATCTCACTCTATCGCAATGTCGGTAATATCGGTTTAATTCCTTGGGCCCTAGTAGATCAGGATCAGCCCGCTTAATAGCGCTGGTGATCGGCAGAGCTGAACTAGCTCGCAACGCCATGCTACCGTCAGCATGAACATCGCAGTCGGGACTAAACTACATAAGTCCTTAGACGGACAACCATGGGTCCCTTTGATAAGGCTAAGGGCAATAGTGAAGTATTCCCAAAAGCATCAATCTCACGATATGATAGGCTAGGTACTTAATTATGGGCTCTTCTAGGTGCTTGTGCTTGCAGATTGCATATGCCCTACCTAGAAATGTGCCAATCAAAAGAGTTAAGATTTACCGACTTCGCTCCAAATGCCCCTTCAAAGGTCCCTTCAAACACCATCAGCGCTGCGTACTCATATTATCAACTTCTGGGTAAGGATGAGATTCACGTCTAGGAAGACGTAGCCAAGATTCAATATACGGCCCGTTAGATGTCTAGAAGTTGTTTTAGAAGTTAGACTAGTACATGATTTTCGTATAACTTTACCTACTTCAACGCAGCATTATCACCTTCCTCTACAATTACTTACCTAGTAGATTGCGGTGCCTCTTCAACTACCGAGCCCAGCGAGCTTTATAGGTACCCGTAGACTTAGATATGAAGATTCAAGAACAATACACGATGAGTGTCACACTCCTCCCCGTACAGCCACCACAGCATGAAATCCAAGTCGAACGGAACCAATTGAATTAATTGCAGTTATCGGAGTATTTTGCACTTTACACCGGTCTCAACGGTCGGTGTAAGTTACAGTTAACCGTTCTACAACTTCACCAACCAGGACTTTTTATTGTGGGGACATTGGTTTATCGGGGAATTTGACATAGCCAAGCGCCGAATTTATGCACTTACTGTATGGTTCTACCAAGGTGCGACTAAATTTAAACGAGTGCAATTCATAATTCGCGTCTATCCTACTTCAAGTAAACATCCAGTTGATAGCCAAACGAAAGTACGTCCCGTTATGCCCCAAAGACCCTGAAGCGCCCCGAACGGACAAGTCTCCTATCATCCTCATAATTCCAGCTTCCAAAGTAGGTGAGACCAGTCTCTTTGCTTCAACAGGTATCCAAGGGCTGATGTCACAATGTAGACATGGTGAGAACCAAAAGATTAGGAAAAGAACGACGTTATCGCGTAAGTCAAACTATCAACTTCAAACAATGACTCTTCCTCGGCATATGGTCCATGCTCTTTCCTTTTAAGTCTCAGATACCCTCTCCCCCGGGAGAAGGAACTCTTGGAAGGTAGGAATCCGGCCACCGTTCTTGTGGAACCCGGCCATTTCCTTCGGGGCGCATAGAGCAAGTGATATCAAAATGCCGGCGCTTCCAAAAGAACCATCTTTCTTGGCTCAAGCCACCGTTATCCGGCACTCCAGCCTCCTGTGCAAGTGGACCGAGACGTCCAACCTCTTGGGGGTAGTCGGAAAAGTTGTTCGCCGAAAGCCTCATTATTGGGTCCCGGGCCTTCAACAGCCAAAACTCAGCACACCCCAGCAGATCTAGGACAGTCAGGTCTCGGATCGTCCTGTTCTCGTCTTCTCCATCTTCAGAGTTATCGCTGCCCATTTCGCGTGGGGTCTCGAAAGCTTCTCGCAAGACGAGAATGCCGACAGCGCTAAGCTTGTCGCTTACGATGTTACCGCCAGCTACCGTGGCGAGCACGTAGTGTAGGTTTCGACGTTGAGAACGACTCATAACCGCAAACTCTAGGTTCCAGAAAAAAAGCATTTCCTCGGCGAAGAATGGCATATCGGTCCACAAAACACGGTCTGCCATAGATGCCACGACTGTTTGGTTGTCCTTAATACAAGTCATACCACCCACTCCGTGTAGGAGCATGAGCTCAACGACTAGCCTGTCCCGGTATTCGACGTTACAAAAGCGAGCAGCGGTATAGATATGGGCCCACAAGATTCGAAGGTGCCGTGAGAGGTTCGGTTTCCAATCGGTGTCGGACACCCCAGCTTCTATCGCAGCCTTGAACTGGTCTTCGATGTTCCAAAGAAAACTGCCAAACATTGACAGTATCTGATCCAATTGATTATTTCGTGCCTGGCGCTTTACACCATCGCGCAGCCCTTTCGAAAGCCAATCGGCACGAATTGTCTCAACGTGGTCTTTGAATTCCTGAGGAATACTCCAGGAGCTAGGGGCTGCCATAGTGAGATAGCGGATGGACAAGGAGTATTCTTGAATATCGAATATATCATAAAATAGTTCCTTGCCTATTATTTCCTTGGTCCTTCAAGATTCTGACAGTAGCTGGCTTTTATGGTTCTAGGAATTCAGTCTACTTCCCACCTTCATCTTTGTACCCTCCAATCAGTGCACGCGTTCGTCAATCGACTTCCAACACCAGAGCACAAGCCCCTGTCACATGATATGACGCCGATTCGTGGTTGGCAAATGAATTAATGTGCAAGCCTACATGGCTGATCTATCCGTCTTGAGTGAAAGGTAGCAGGCTGCGGCCTTTGCCTTCATCTTTCCAAGTACCATTTCGGTGCTTTTTTTTTTCGCTAACCAATAAGAAAGTCTATTCGCGATGTACTGGTATCCTATTGGCTAATGCAAAAATGTCACCGAAACGACATCAGAAGGGATGTGCTTCGGGGCGGAGGATCTTCCAATCGTTGGTACTAGGATCCGATCGAAATTCCAGCTTCAGGGCAGGGTACTGCTTAGGTATCTACATGGATGAGATGTTTTGTACGTCTGTCATATTTCTTCGCACGATCACACATTCTGATATATTGAAAAAAATCCTTGGAGTGGTAGTACTTTAGTTAAAGCCGGATATTATGAGATCATCTTGAGAGGAGTCAGGGGCTTGACTATGTGTTCATTCAATCCAATTTTGCAAACTTTAGAATTGGAGAAAAACCATCTTGTTAGCTATTTGCCGGTTGTAGAATAAGATTAACCCAAACTGCTATGTAAAGAACGACGTTGTCCATTAGAACAAATCCATTACAGAAGATCCATCCTGATGTAGCCCTTGGTCTACGCCCCCATCCCCCGGGTCTCAGAACCCAAACGCCGGGGAGATATGGAGGTGAAATCTAACATCGCAGCAACCTAAGAAGGAAGGATGTATGTGAGAGGCCACAACAAGTCATCAATGACACATCTAACCCTCGATTTCTAAACCACCATAGGCTAACAATGTTCATCTTATTGACCATGATCGCCATAACAATAACAAATTCCCGGCGGCGGGTTATACATGCAAGCTGGCTTAGTCACATATCTAAACCCGTTGAAGAAGCTGAGGCTGAAAGTCGCACGATTAGAGCACTGTCGAGTTAGCTAGGAGGATAAGTATTCATATACAGTGACTTACTGGAGTAGACGGGTCACATTGGCACCAGTTTTGCTTATTCGTGAAGCACACCCCTCCGTCGCCGACGTCACGAACGTAGCATTTTTGGGACTGTGGACTGCACCACTGTATACTTTTGAGCCTTCCTGTTATATACGTAGTGAGAGGAGGGTAGACAGAAAACATACTCCACTTCCGGCCCTTTTCTCGATAAGCGCGGTATCATTGCCATTCAGGGAACGACCTCTAGAATTTCCAATGACTTTATCAGTTGTGCAATAGTCGTCTCGACCCTCCAATATGGTCTCCCCTTTCTCGCCAGTTGGGGTAGCAAGAACAACATTGTGGGTACAAAAGAGTAGGACCCCGAGAGTAAGTGATTTCAAGAAGAACTTCATTTTGTATCAAATATATGTAGAATCCTTGATATATATAGGTCTCTCTAGAGTAGGTAGTTGAGCAAGTATTCAATGGTAGAGAAAACGAAATATGGTTATTTTCTTGCATTCTTATACCACTCGCGACTCATCTTCCACTACTTTGTGACGATAGCATTGTTATGATGTTGTCCACTCCATGGACCTTCTTGGAGTTCTATTTTTACGCTCGAGGAGCAAGATTCACGCACATAGGCATAACATGTTATGCTGACTTCTACGCGACATGGACATGTAGAAGCGATTTGCAACTGAAGGATTAACTGGATCATAAAATGGCATGACACCTTAAGAGCCCAGTGTTTGTATCCAAGTCAGTCCGAAATAGGTAGCTAGGCCGGAAATCTCTCCATTATTAGTGACAATATTATCTCTAGTAAATCTACATTTCAATGGTTCTGGTACTATTGAGGGCTTGTAGCAAGCTCGTGACGTATCTAATCGATTTTCCGACCAAGGGGAAGAGGATGTTGGTTGGGTTGAACTTACGCGTGTAGTGAAGTCATAACTAACTTAAGATATCCCTTGGTTTGGACAGTTAAAGAAAATCCCAACGTAGCCGTCGAAAAATCTTCTCTTCTTGCTTAAAGCATGGTCAAATCTTTATAACCAAAATCCTCAGGATGACTTATCCTTGTGATCTATCAACTAACCAAAAACCTCACCCGTTCCGTCACAATCAACCAGCCAATCAGCTCACAGACTGATTTAAATAGAAAACTTGACGATCTCGATTACAGCCTCAAGATGTTGGTTGTTGATGGGAAACGTCTTTTGACGGTGAGATAATACTCTTCCCCGAACGTAGCCCGGCAGCAAGCGTCCTTTGTCTTGCTTCGATCATCGCTATATTCGTATATTAAGGCCTTTAGTTGATAACCCCCTCGACGAGCACATTTCATTAAAGCCAGTGTGTTCGTATCAAAACTCTCTCCCGCAAGACATCAATACTAATCGTTATCTTCATAGTCTGGTTGCTTGAGGTATAGCATTTTTCTAATTTAGAGGGAAGATTTCGAACGAGTAATGCCTGTGTTAGATACTTGAGCAATGGAAATGAACTTGTGACTCGTAGAATTAAATGCCAGCGTTGCTTCTACTTTCGGTCCAATAATTAAGATTCGAAGCCTCAATCCTTCATGTTATGAAATAGTAGGAGATCGGCAACTTAGATATTCCTATGCCTCTACTATGGAGAGCTACAATGCATCATGTTCGCAGTCAAGGTCCTTATCCTTCGTCATCGCACTTAAATCCGCCAACATTTATGACAAAATTCACCACGTACGATAACAACGAACAGCCGGGACTGAATTATCTGTCCCGTTACAGCTCAGAATAGCCAATGCTGTTGTGCTTGAGGGTCTATATAAACTCTTCAACGAGCATACTTCCCTCGACTCGACACAAGGTATTCATCGACGCTACAACTTGGAACTTTATAACTCATTGACCTCGTATTACACGTCCCTAGTCTTCATTTAAATTATAAGAGATTCGAATTTTCCTACACTATCGCCATATTACCATCACCAGTCACCATGAAGATCCCGACTTTTCTCATTTTAGCATTCGGCGCCATTACTGGCTCCGGCGTTCAACTAAGCGAGGATATCGCGGACGGGCTCTTCACAGCCGACTTCAGCTCCGGAAACCTCAGTAACGTGGAGATGCTCGCTCTACACGAGCGAGAGGAGCCAGCGGACATTAACACTTCGCCAAATCCGCAGTTCGGATCCCGCATCACGCAGCGCTCGCTCCCCGTCACCCAAGCCTCGTGCAGCGACTTCATGTTCGTCGACTCAGCAGATTACCTCCAGTCGCTTCAGAAGCTGCAGAACTACTGCAACGCCAAGCCAAACGTCAAGTCGAAGGGCATCGTCGGTTTCAAAGTTGGCTCAGCGATAGCCTATATGTGCAACTATGGCAAACCGATCCAGTGTCTGACCGATGAACTCAATGACGATATGAACACTCTCAACACCCGATGCCATAGTCAACAGAAAACTGGATTTGTTTGGCATAAAGGGGTCAAGAAGACGTATGGACGGAGTCTCTTGACTGAGAGTATCTGTGACAACATGTAATAATCAAGCTTGTAACTGTATTTCTGGATATCAGATGACGTTAAGGTAGAGGTAGTATGCGGCCACTCTCTTTCAGGGCTTGGGCATTGTTTCTACGGGCAACTCTACTATCCTTTAAACCCAAATTCTACATTCTTTAGAACAGACATCCCAGATTTAGATATTACATGCGAAAGCATACATGTCCTTACCTACCTATAATTATCCAAAATTTTTATAGGCAATAATAATGGGAGAATTCCCATTGTTAACGTAGCATACCCATTCCTTTTTAGTAATTAGATTCTGAATAAGTCCGAAGAACGAGACTTTCAGGGGTTAATCATTTTCTGGCCCGATAGTCTTAGACAGAACCAGCAAAAGATCTTCCTCACCTTCAAAACTTGGATCGAGTTATTTAGGGGAAATGTATGCTGCGGATCTAAGGGAAATTTGTTTTATTTTTTATCATATCGGTGCCGGTTACAGTGTATTGACACCATAATCTCAAGAAGCTAGATACTCTCAGAGCCGTAACATCCTAATGCATATGCTAATTCCAATCCAGACGTTTGGCTTTCTACGTCTTCACATCAGGTTCGTCACGTCCCACATATTCCTTGAACTTCAATAGATCTGTTGCGAACTTGATTTCATCCTTGAGGAAGACCTGAGCATCCTGGCTATACGTCGAGGGATCTTTGCTGTACTTCTCGATATATAGACGAATGGTTGCTCCAGATGAACCAGTTCCAGACAGCCGGACGACGATACGGCTGCCGCTGTCGAAGCGGGCATAGAGACCCTGGTTTGAAGACACAGAACCGTCCAGGTCAGTGTAAGAAAAGTTGCCCGCATCAGTAACTGTGCGCTCTGCGGAATGTTAGTCAATTTTTCAGCACAACAGTAGCATATAGTCCTGTTTAGATACATACCTCCAATCTTGCTGCCCTTGAAGTTGGGGTCAGCAACTAAGTCCTTCAATGTTCCAACAACCTTGTTCGCGCCGTCAGAGTCCACGTTCTCGTAGTCGTACCGGGTGAAGAAGACTCGGCCATAGGTTCTCCAGAAGTCTGCCTGGATTTGCTTGATGCTCGGTGTAGTCCCAGGGTTGGCTTCTCCTAATCCGGCAATGATATTGAGCCATGCGACGACAGCCCAGAGACCATCTTTCTCACGAATATGGTTACTTCCTGTGCCAAAGCTCTCCTCACCACAGATACTTAGCTTATCTGCGTCAAACAAGGCACAGAAGAACTTCCAGCCGGTTGGAACTTCGTAGCAGTTCAAGCCCTGGGCTTTTGCGACGAGGTCTACGGCACCCGACGTTGGCATACTGCGAGCTAGACCATAGACCCCCTGCTTCTTGAAGTATGGAATAAGTTGCGCATGATGAGCTATGATAGCCAGACTGTCGCCGGGTGATACGAAAGCTCCTGCACCATAGATCATGTTTCGGTCGCCATCTCCATCGGATGCTGCGCCGAAGGGAATGGAGTTTTTGTCAACGGCTTCTACTAAGGAATGGGCGTAGGTGAGATTGGGGTCCGGATGCCCGCCGCCGAAGTCAGGTTTAGGGACACAGTTCTGTGTAGAGCCTTTGACGCCCAATTCCTCCTCGAAGATCGCCTTTCCGTACGGGCCAGTGACACCATGTAAACCGTCAAAGAGCACTTTGAAGTCTGAGTTGTCGGCGAAGAACTTCTTGATCAAGGGGAAATCGAAAATGTCCTTGAGCATTTGCATATAGTCAGCCGTGCTATCGACGATTTCAACCTCCAAGGGGCCGTAAGTCTTGGTTCCAATCGTGGTGATGTCCACATCGGGGATATCGGCGATCTTAAAGGAGGTTAAGGTCTTCGAAGTCTCAAATATCTTGTTCGTTACACTCTCCGGGGCAGGACCACCGTTAGATAAGTTGTACTTGATACCGAAGTCTTGGTCGGGCCCTATTTAGTGTGGGATTAAGGAATTAGAGATGTAGTCATAGCCTAGGTAGATCCAGGGATCACGCTTACCGCCGGGGTTGTGGCTAGCAGTCAGAAGAATACCTCCTGTTGCCTTTCGCTTTCGAATGACATGACTGGCAGCAGGTGTTGAAAGGATACCATTTTGGCCGATTAGCAACTTCTTGACTCCATACGCAGCTCCAATTTTCGCAATCAGCTGGATAACTTCGGGGTTCCAGAATCGGCCGTCACCACCAACGACTAGAAATGCACCTAGTACACACACATTTAGAAATTATTACGGCGGCTACTTAGTATATATTTATCATGCTCACCCTCGGCACCCTCCGGGATGGAGAGGAGGATGCTAGTGACGAAAGACTCGCTATAGTTGGGTTGTTGGAAAACCTTAACCTTCTTTCGAAGACCTGAGCTGAGGGGATATCAATAAGCTGTCCAAATAGGAGAACGAAGGACGACGTGGTGGCGTTCCTTTCTTCTGTGGGTGACGGGGCATGGCTGAGGGTTGTGGGAGGAGAGACAGCGGGGTAGCTCAAAGAAGGCTATTCACATACGTTCCAGGCTTCTGGTCAGCAAAGGACTTGAACTCGACAGACTTGACGCTCATGATGAAAAACTCAGATCGTATGCAAAGAGAGAGTACCAGACGGTTGTTAGCTTGATATGCCAACGCTTACAATGAAGCTTCAAGGTTGTGAGGTTTAGAATAAAACAGGAGACAGGGGGTGAGGGGAATCAATAAAAAACATATGACGACGTTTGGCGGGGTTAAACGTCTACAGGGAAACCAAGCTACGGGCTATTTTAGAAAGTGGAAGCTACAGAGGTCACAGCAAATAGAATTGATCTAATAGCGCAAGCACGGTGATCTCATTTTCATGTGGGGTGTAACCACAGAGGCGAAACTTCGTTTATCGAGTTAGTACCTCATTTTTATCCGCACTATGTTGATATGCCTATATGCTCATTGACATACAGTAGATATACAGTGAATATTCATTTCCATACCATACCATGCAGCACATACATACAAACGCTCTCCCCTATCAACGTTATTAGAAACCGTCAATTAATCTATCAATCACCTTGGTCACTTTGCATTTACCACGTTCTAGACAGGGCTAGGAAGCGACCATTATTAGCCAAACATTTTGCCACGCGCGATCCTAAGGCCAATATCCAACACTTGACAGACTTCCTGTGATAGGAATTAGGTATCAATTCCGTATTTATCGCATCACATCCCATCCGATATCGCGTCAGCCACTTTCGTATATGGCGTTCCGAATAGCATCAGTGTTGAAGAAGAATTTTCATCTTCAATAAACGGCTTTCTCTTATTTGAACGAGTTATGAGAATCGATTCACGTATTGTTATTTGCTCGAACAGCTAAACCCTAGTCCCACAAATTCCAACTTCTCCTGTTCCGTGTTTCGCTCACTCGGTAATTTTGGCGCTGTTGAAAATTACATCCTTGTAATATCGGGCTTCAGCGATACTTTCCAGGATATCTTCTTTGGCCTGGTGCAATCCCTGTTTCGTTGGCGCATTCCGTATGATATCTCTAGGACACCATCGTCGAGCAGCCTCCTTCAGAGTGCTAACGTCTAGGATCCGATGGTGTAGATAGTCAACTACCTTCTTATAAGGTTCTTTTCGAAGGAATGCTCGGTCAGCATGAACACTGTTACCGGCTAGCAGTGCACCTCGCTCTGGTATGTATTTCTTGATATATGCGAGAAGCTCATCTGCTGCCTGTTCTGGCGTCACTTTAGATGCCACTACTGCTGCTGTTAAGCCGCTCTTCGCATGAGTACGAGTGCACCACTCATCCATCTTGTCCATCCTCTCCTGCGATTGATGGACGACTGTTCCCCAGCCATTCTCGTCCACGACGTCTAGCGTGCCTGTGGTTATGATGCAGAAGATCTCGATAATTTCCTCTTGATCAGGGTCGAGACCTGTCATCTGATCATGTATGTCAATTACATTGCCCCGTCATGGGGATTAAAGAACCAGAAGAGATACCTCGCAATCAATCCATACCAACGCTCCGTTACTTGCCATGGTTATTACAAAAACGTGGAAGTGACCGTTATTTTATAGGAATTAGTATGGGGGAAAAAAGGGATTATTTGTATAAAGTTGGTAAAACGTTAATTTCAATCACTTCTAGGAAGGTGATGGAGTTTTTGATGTAGATAAAAAATATCCTGCGTCAGTGTGTGATTATGTAAGCATCAGACCTACCTTAGCAAGACAACTGACTATATCTACTATTAATACTCAGATACATTATATTTTTATATAAAAAATCCTTTCTATACATGTATCTGATAAATCAAATCTAACTTCTATTTTTATACTCAGTAGATCTTTGTAGTGGCGGACCCAGCTTCAATAGAGGTGACTGGCTTTTTACCCCTGAATCCTACACGACGCACATTAGAAGACACAGCTTATGTTGAAACATCATTCTGCCTTATCCAATGTAATATCACAAGTCATAATGAACACTAGACACTAGGTTAGAATTCATGAATTCACCATCGCGAATCCATCTTTCTTATTAGACATTGTGATAAAGGATGAGTAGAGTATCAGAAGACAATTTCATCGACAAGAGCCGAAACGAAAATACATAATGAAAAAATAGGTGAGTGGCTACTCAGTTCCTTGACTTATTAGCACATGTGTCATCTCTTCGTACTCCTTAAGCATTTGCCCCTCAAACCTAACATTGGCTTAACCTAGGCATGTTCTCATTCAAATAACCTCGTCATCATCCCTTTATCGCCTCCACACCTCAATAATACCCCTCAGACCGGATGGCGACGGCACTTTCCCGATGAAGGCTTATGCTGAGACTTGGGTTCACTTGTGGGATTGATGGATGTTGGTTGGGACGTTGATGATGCGAGTCCAGACATTTGATACGTCGATTCATGCGCGGATATAGATATTATTGTGGAACTATAAGTCGTAGGGTGTAATGGGGAGGGGAATAACGATGACGTAGATGAAGTCGAGTATGTCTTTTTTGTAGACTCGTAGCTCGAAGAGGTTTCACCGATAGCGTATAACTCGGTGCTGGAGCTATCTATCGACGTAACGCTAGATGATAGCTGTTGTATGAATGACCCTTCGGAGGTCATGGAAGGCAGGCTGTCATATGTCGCTGTTTTGTCTTGTTGAGACTGCCATATTCTAGTTGATTCAAGGGTGGAAGGCGAAAATGGGTACGAATTGGAAGAGATGATGTTCTTGGATAGTGAGCTAGGTAATTCCACGGTATTTGAATGACGGCCATGGCCTGGTTTCTTATGAACGCGGCGACATGAAATCAACAGTGGAAATAAAAGATAGACGAAATGCATTGCGTTTTCTCTCTACCGACTGGGCGTACAAATGGATCCGAGTAATCATGGAATGTCTGACCGTGGTAGAAAGTTGGGTAGAAGGGTGTCATACCTATTTAACTCTTTTCAATTGCTAATCGGCACCCATAACAACATTCAAGGACAATATAATATCTCCGCCTATAAACACATAGAATCAGGGGATCTGCTGAGATTTTGCTGATAGTTGCTTAAAGATTTTCATGCTAAGTTAGATGGTTTTAAAGGATATGCTCATTTTATATTAACAAGCAAACCCCGAGTCCTGAATGGTTTGAGGGGTGACACATAATCAACTTAAGAATGAATCTTCATATAACCCCTTTCTTACTTTATGAAACTAATTACGAATATCAATCTAATGTTGAGCAAACCGACTTTACACCATAACTCCCTTGTTTGTGTTACGGTGATGAGATCTTCTCTATACCATAACCAGCCTCTTACTCGCGTAAGTAAATGGATCTCTTATAATCGTTGGTAATTCGGAAACCTGAAGCTTTCAGATGATCTTGTTCAATAAGAAAAGCCTTATGGATACACATTTCAACAATATGTCTCTCGAAGGCGGATGTGTACATGGAAATACTATGATTTGCGGGGCAGCTGGCTCGCAGCTAATGTCAGCTTAGAAATTTAGTGCCTTAGTACGGTGTGCGCCCTTTTGTCGACGAAGCCGCTGACTCCTAAGAGACCGCCTCGACTTGACTGGGAATAGGGGCTTTAAAAATGATTTGAAATATTCGAATTAATCACATCTTCACAACCTGAAAATCTTATTTCGCCTTTTGAAAACACCTTAAAATGGCCAATCCCGAAGATCCGCCGTTCTCGTGTATCCGCTACCTGCCCACAACTGAAGCTTATGATCGATGGGCGGCAATCTACGACACAGATGGCAATTTTTTACAAGCACTCGATACTATCGAGTTGAAGACATTGTTTCCGCAATTCTTACGATCGATATTATCCCCTAGACCGTGGCGCATCGTGGATCTGGGCTGTGGTACGGGCCGCAATACTACGCTTCTTCTCGCGACCCCATGTATAGAGGAAGTGATTGCGTTAGACTCAAGCAGAGGAATGCTCGAAGTAGCGAGATCACGACTGCATCAGGCACTGCATCAGGCGGGTGATGGAGTTAGTACACCGAGTAAAGAACCAGCGAGAGGAGTCCCTCGGCTGCATATGGAGGTTTTCGACATGCTCGCTTCGCCAGTGCCGCCTAAGTCCGCGCAACAGGCCGACGGTGTGATCTCGACTCTAGTGGTCGAGCACGTGCCACTCCCGACATTCTTCTCTCAAGTGTCACAGATTCTGAGGCCGGGTGGCGTGCTCCTGCTAACCAATATGCATGCGCACATGGGTGGGATTAGTCAAGCTGGATTCGTGGACGCTGAGACAGGCGAGAAGATCAGGCCAACAAGTTATGCTCATACGATCACGGATGTCGTGACGGAGGCGAGAAGATGGGGTTTGGAAGTGGTGAAAGCGGGAGATGAAGATGAGGCCGGGATTAAGGAGACCAAGGTCGACGAGATCATGATTGAGACGTTAGGCCCTAGGAGTAGGAAATGGGTTGGTGTTACATGCTGGTTCGGAGGCTTGTTTAGAAAGAGGGCAGACCAATAGAATATTATATCTCGACTGAAGGCATCGCTTCCAAATCTCAAAGATCATATACGAGGGAGCTGACCTCGACGAATTGAGATTGCTCTCTCGCCTTCTATTATCTCGTCAACCTACCAAGCTTGATCAAAGAGATCAGCAAGAGCTTGAAGCCATCGAGTCGCCTCGTATTCTCATCAAAGTTCCTATTGATGGGCGCAATGAAATCCATTAAGGATTAAGATGTCTAGGGCCATAACTGCCCTGAGTCTAGGAAAGTCTATTATGAACTAGTAGGTACCTAGTGCTATGCATAATAGACAATATATGTAATTAAACATGATAGCCTATACGTATTGATGTTGTACCTGACTCTTCTAGGTCGCAAATCAATTCTTATCTCAACCAAGTTAAAACTTTCAAATCGGCTACTTCGGTAATATAATTTACTTCATTTATATTGAGACCTTTTACGCCGGATGGGTTACTACCATTTCCAAGCCTTATTATTACATCATGGTAATGAAAGGTACCTTGGTAGACATGTTAGATAATCACGGCTAAATGCCGGCAATACGAGCGCCATCCTTGTAAGTCGCAAGATTGGACAAATCAGGTATCCCAGGATCATCTTCCCAAGTCCCAAGCTGCCCGTGGACCGTCCACCTGCGCTTGTCGTCATCCCTTTAATGCGACACATTGTTCGACTTCACAGCTGCATCACAAACACCATTTTCATTGTCGCGATACTTTTGGTCAATTTGTGACGTGCTATCTGTAACACGAGCAGATCCTGCACCTATCCATTCGATATATCCCCGAGCTTCTACCTACGATCGATACGATACCCATAGAACTCGGAGAGGGTTGCTAGGAGCTTCCCTGTCCCATGATCAGAGCTCCAAGCTATTGACAATTTGAGACCTCATCAATCAACCCACGAAACTATTTAAATCCCGGCACTAAGCTGGGGAGGAGGAATGGTCGAGAAAATCCGACAGAAACAGCTACAGCTGCTTGAATGCAACCCTTGAATCCCTTCCTCGCCTCTTTCTTCAAACCAGGAAGTCCTATCGTCACCCAGTGCACTCCCGTCCACCACCATATCCTTCTAGTCCCAACTACCGAGTTTTTCCTTACCTCCCGCGAAACCGAAAGCGGCCTGTCTCTTTCAGATATCGTAGGATCTGAAGACTTTCTGGGAAGCCATGTACTCCGAGTTCCCAGTCCGGCTACCGCTGCGGGAGGGAAGGACACCGTCGGGAACTTGCGCGAACAGAGGGGCAAGCCGAAACAGTATTCAACGTTAAATGGGCGCAGTGTTGTCATTAAGGATAACTTTGTCTATAGTAATAAGGGTAGGTGGAAACCTTTTAACGATGCCACCGACCCTTTTTAGCGCTTTGCCTTTTGTCTAACCCATCACATCGTGGCAGGATTTAAGACGCTTGCTCAAGCACAGTTACTGAATGATTCCGTTTGGTACGCTGATAGCATCGAACCACGGCAATGGCTTATATACTATATATCGCGACCCTTAATCGGCATCTGGGCAGACAAAGAGATACCGCGTGCGATATTTATAGAGGGTATGGCCAAGAGGAAGCTTGCGGAAGCTAAGCAGGCAGCAGCTATTGAGAATGGCGAGCCCAGTTTACCACGAAAAAAGGAGATCCAGAGTTTTCATGACCTTTTAAATCATTTCCCGATGATCGCAAGGCAAATGCAGCCCGGACTAGAGAAACTGTTTAGGGAGTTCACGACGATTTTCGAGAGGCCGTTGCCCCCTCCCCCATCTGCGACACATATCCCCGACCCCCTTCCGGACGGTCCTATTGTGACTGCTATGAAAAGGGCCCGTTCTAACAGCTTGTCTGCGCGAAGAAATAGTTTAGAAGGCCAGGAAAGTGAAAGTTCTCGACCAACTGAGAACTTCTATGCCGAGGACGATGAAGATGTTATGAGAGCCTCGTTAGAGACGGCGGTAACAAATGCCATTGACCTCTTTCAAAGTGTTGACAAGCAGCAGCTTTCTATGCTCGGCGCGACGACTGAACTTACTGGGCCAGTCGTTGAACGGCTGATCGAACGCTACGTGAGCGAGAGTGTTCATAATCTTATCTGGCCTCGGCTGGCTGCGATGCGGCGTCCAGATGATCTTGAACTTGAAGCAAAGATACGGCAAATGGAATTTATCGACATATCACAATTAGGCATCTTCATTGAAGGCGGCCCCAGAGCCAAACATGAGCTTACGTTCAGACTCGGTCACGCAGTCGACGAGTTCCGTAAGATGACTTCATCCATGTCTCCGCAAGAAATGATGGAAATTTTATTGTCGACGATGAAAGCCGCCACGCAGTTGACTGAACAACCCCAGTCAAGTGCTCAACCTAACCCGACATCCGAAAAGCCTACCATCACCGTTAATGCTGATACACTTGTATCCCTGCTTTTATTCGTGTTGATTCGATCTGGCGTGAAACACCTTCAAGCTCGATTGATCTATATAAAACACTTTGTCTTCATCGACGATGTGGATAGTGGCGAGATAGGTTATGCTCTCAGTACGTTCGAAGCAGTTCTTCAATATCTGTCTACAGATTCAAGTAGCTTAAGAAGGGCAAGCCGTCGGAATAAAGCACTGTGGGATGCGGCTAAAAGGGGCGACATGGATGAACTCAAGAGAATGATGGACCCAGATACAAATTCTATCGACGAAGAACATCTCGACTCTCCGATCTCGGGCCATGCACCTTCGGTCAGCTGGAGCATGGTTAACGGCTCGTCAAGGAGATCCTCGGCAGCCTTCACGCCATCAGAATCTTATTCCCAAGGATCAGGATTAAGCCATGTGTTTCCATTTCAGAGCCAAGCAACGAATGATTCTTCAGCCCCCTCGGCGAAAAGGATCAAGAGAGTCTCTATGGATACTAGGAGTATGTCAAGTGGTTCTGAATATTCTTATCACTCTAGAGCTGGGAGCGTTGTCACACTTGGAAGTGGCCTAGAAGGGGATACCTCGATTGAACGATTGTGCCAGACTGAAGATGCGTTCGGAGAATCCATTCCGATGATGGCTGTTCAAAATGAACGAGCCGAAGTATTAAAGTATTTGCTTTCACTCGATGATTATTTCCCAGCCAATGTCATTTTGGACGATTGCAATAACGAAGGTACCAGCCTGTTAAGCGCTGCCGTTCAACTCGGCAATACGGAGTTAATTGATGCGATTCTCGATTTTGTCGTGGCGTCGTCTCCCGAACCGCAGATTCGGAATTATCTATCCTTGCAGGACAGTCGGGGCCGAAGCGTCGCACACTACCTATTCCACGCGCCGTCCTTAATCGCGCGCATCGGTAAGTTGCTTCCTTGGCGGCAAAAGGATAAAAATGGTCAAACGCCACTGTTTGCTCTTTGTCGCTCGTACGACCACCAAAATTACCACGATATGGTCGAGGCCGGCCTCGAAGTAGCGACACATGCGCAGGGCGATAATCAGCCACTTCACCTAGATCAGCACGTGGACTCAAAGGGAAATACCCTCTTGCATATCATCAACGATCACCAATTGGCGGTTAAGATTCTTATACAGTGCGATATCGATGTCAATGCGACAAACGACAAGAAGTTTACCGCTCTGATGGTAGCGAGTAAATATGGTCGCTTCGAAATGGTTAGAGCGATGTATTCGGATCCGAGAGTAGACGTATACGCAAAGGAGCTACGGGGACTCACCGCAGTAGAATTAGCAAAGGACGACGATGTTCGGAATAAGATTGACGACTTGACATTATTCACTATGCCGCCTGCGGAAGACGGCCGCATTACGGGCGTTGTCAGGTCATTCTTCGTTGAAGACGCTACTATTCGACTGGTCCTCAAATCGGGTGCCCCCGTAGATCATGAGAGCTACACTGTCACCACATGTCGTCGCTCCTTCGCGGACTTTGAGCGCCTAGCTAATTTGCTATCTGTGGAAAACCCAGCCTCATGGATACCCAAAATAATAAGTCAACGGTCACCATTCCAGATCCCTTCGAAGCCTTCAAGGGCCGTATTGAAAGACCTCCAAATACGGACGGACTCTTTCCTTAAAATTCTCTTAGCCCATCCTACCTTTGCGACGCATGAAATGCTATGGGAGTTCTTCCTGGTACCCGACGTACAAACAGACATGATAGAACAGCGTAGCCGGTTAAAAGCCGCGACTAGAGCTGAGAAGGTGAGGGACGAGTTCGAGCCTCTAGAAGATATCCGCGAAGTAGAGCAGTTTGTGGATCACGCCCGAGATATGGTTCGCAGTGTCAACTACTCAACTAAAAGTGTTGCACGGCGAGCTAACGCTATCGGCGTTGTTACTAATGGTATGGACCACCACCCCTAAACCAGACTATCGTTCAATATTAACAAGTTTGCAGACTTCTACGACGCAGCGAGCGAAGTATCACGAGAAGTCGCTAATCTTGCATTTGTCCCGCCAAGTCATATTTCTGCGTTCGAGGCTTATGTTTACACACTTATACCACCACAATCTAATCCGTCATACTTATTTCATAATTCTTTCTTAGCCGTCCAATCTACTATCCAGGCTATGCTCGCATCTCTATCCCGACCACCTCAACTTGTTACCCAAATTGTATCTTGCCGTAAGGCAATAGAACGTAATTACAACTCCGTCTCGCGCTCAACAAGATGGCCCCTCGGCCTGCTTGACGAAACACGTCAGCGAATTAACGAGGATAGAGAAGAAAAAGCAAGGCGCGCTCAGACCGAGGTGGATACTCTGAGTAAAGAACTCCGGTACACGCAGCAGACGGTAGCAAGCGAGCTAGCGGGATGGGAAGAGATGCACGAGCGTATGGGCCGCAAAGCCATACGGGAGTTCGCCAGGGGCATGCTCATCTTGGAGCGTGAGCGACTGCAGGGTCTACGCAGGGCACAGCGGAAACTACAAGATTTGGATTTGGACTTTGGCAATGGACCCCAAGGATCAGGTGTTCGTAATAATGAGGAGGGCGCGGTAATCGAAAACGGCGTTGGCAAGGATCCAGCGGAAGGCGAGTCTAGTACATCCGGTGAGGCGTTTGTGGATAGAGTAGAGTAGATCTCGGTGACGGTTTGAGGTGGTAACTCGGATACCTCAGTAAAAGGCCGTTGTATAGCAATGCTGAACTTGTCGCAATTATCACCGCCACCATAGCTATCCACGGATGTGTGTACCACCCGGGTCGTAGCCTTCCCGTGCTCGCGCCGCAATCTAATCATCATCCCTCACATCATATCGTACTACCTCAGAATGGGAAAAGTGACAAGGTGAAAAATCGGGAGGCAGCCCAATATCATATTATACCCAACTTGCGAGGAGGGGGTTATGGTGCCTTATGCCATTTTTTCAGCTATGCTAATGTGGCTTTGCTACTTTGAAACAGGCCTGATCATCGACGGGCGCTTCGCTTCGGCGACCAGGTTGGACGGCCTGCCAGGTAGCATCCATCCCAAGTAACGTAGGTGCGAGGCGCAAACTAAAGAAAAGAAGGGAGAAGAGAGACCCGGCCGCAGAATAACGACCGCGGAAAGGAAATAAAGCTTGCACTTTCTGCATACATCGAGATCTTGGTGGTTGTCCTAGGGTCTTTTTGCCTCTACGTCGTAGTTTCTCGGCTCTTCATGCCGGGCGGCCAATCAATCGAGAGATAGCTCCTTCGTAATTAGTTACGTAGTGTTTCTCTTTTTGACATACCGAAGGTCAAGTATCTGAAGGTGAATGTTTCCAAGACACAGGTTGCGAAGTTGTTGAGGCGTGGTAATCTGTACACACGTAGGTGGTCGCAAAGAGAGTCACTCCCAGCCACTTGATATTCACATCGACTTATCATCTAGACACAGATAGACACAGATTACCATCCACCATCCATCATCCCCGTAAGCATCCATTGTTACTCATACTAAAGCAGCCCGTTTTCGTACACGTAAGTGTGCGCGGACCCGTATTCTCATCGTGATGGCGAATATCATTGATCGTCTAGAAAGACTAGAAGCATGCAGAGATAGACAAACATATGACCCCCATGCATGCGATAGCAGGGAAAGATGACTCACTCGAACGTGGAGAAAGAAAATCTAGCTAGACTTACCTGAACTACTCTAAACGGGAATGCGGGAAACGACATCTCAGCGAACGAGAACGGTCCCGGCAGTGTAGATCTGAAACGAGACCCCAAAAAGGGAATGGACTTGAAACGAAACATTCTCTTCCCTTTTCTTCTTCTTGTTCATGACACATGTTTGTTGCCCCCCTCCTCCCGCCGCCGCCCGCTCTGCCCGCTATTTACATGGCACCGGGGTCGGTTGGCCGATAGCCAATCATGGACCTTGACGCGTCGCGGTAGCTGCGAATAAGTTACTTGTAGCTACTTCCCGTGGGGCTAAGGGAATCGGCGAATCAGGCACGAGTGCGGGGGATGGTGGGGCCTTTCGAGTGTGGATCACGCAGAACGCGGCTCTCTTTCGTGGCATTTACGCGCCGGAGGAGGCTGTGCAGCTCTTTGGCTTGGGCTTTACCTTTCTTAGTAACACCTAAGGTTAATTCTTACCACATGACATCTGATCGCAGTCGGTCCACGTTCATCCACGGATGTCGTTCAATTTAAGCGCGCTTCTCTTCTTTGGTCGAGATTAAGGTTGCAATCGGACAATTCCATTGAAGATGATTTTCGTCGAGGAAGCTTGCGGAAGGATCATTAAGGAATGGATATCGGTCCTAATGAGGCATGATGAAGGACGATTATCATACGTATGAGATCTCACGATGATCTCTATCTACTAGCCGCTGAAGAAAACGAATGCGAGTAATTCAAGTAATTCTTACTATGTACGGACCCAATATGGCTTACGTACATACGGCGTCTATACATATTATCGAGATGAAAGCTGTGGAACATGGCCTGGAAGCTTGCGCGTTTCGATCAAGGCCGTCTTCGGCGCCTGTCTTGCCTCATCTCGCGCTGCTCTATGTCCGGTTTTCTTAATATTGCGCGGGGTCGGAGTAATGCTCGAGATTATTATTCTTGTTCTCACCGGATACTCCTTTGGCTCACCTTGGAAGAAAGCTCCACAGCAAATTTGGTGTCTGCCGCCCATCCACAGAGTGGAAGATCTTCCCCAGGTTCCATCTGTACCCATCTGTACCCATCCGTGCTCTGTAAATAGACGCGCGCAAATCAATTTCCCGCGCTAAACATGGCGTTACCTGCCCCCATTCTCCGCCAAACGCACAGACACACGGAAAGCCGATTGCCCAGGTGGCTGGTTTTCTGGCTGGGTCTTCGCCCTATCTTATCACGAATCCGGCTTTCTCGTCAATGCCCAGCTGCTTCTCTACTATTTTTGTCTCGGCAATTAAATTTGGCGAGCGGTTACTGAAATGAAGGCAAAGCACTCTTCGGTTGTATCCCGCCAGAACTGAAATTAAGCTTAAGCGCAAGCGCACATTGCATTCTGGCAGATCTCTGGGCGATCAGGAAATACAACTTAGGCCTTGTCCAGATCGGTTACTGTTTCTGGCGAATGCTGCCGAACAAGAACGAAGGATCCCGGAATCTCGACTTTCCTGTGGCGGAGTGCGCGGTTGCGAAGATTGGGTAGCAAGCAGAATGCGCGCCGCCTCTCCTCGCCGTAGCGCAATGCGACGCATTCTAACGATAACAAATCGAGTGCACCGAGGACGGAAGTGTTCTCTAGTAGTAATAAACAGGGAAAAATATCTATGGATGTTGAATTTTGACAGTCTCAGGGCATAGAGCAAGTGGCTGTGTGTCGCGATCCCGTTCGCTATAGCGTGCAGAACACGGTTGTATGTAGCAACGAGCGTGCCTCACTCACGATCGTGTGGCGCGCTCGCGCGTTATTCTGGCGTTATGCAGGATACATGCGAAAACCATCCCGCAAATGCATCTCGGTTCCACACAAACGACGGAGACAAGCCGAACTAATGCACAATGGAACATGTGTCTATTTCTAATATGAGTCACACTGGCGGTATCTGGATTAGTTCGCTCGAACATGCCTGCATTCCTGTATATCGAGCTCTTGCATTCTGCCAATATGGAGACGCAAAGAGTGGGAACGTTATACTGATCGTGGAAGATTGGCAGACGACGGTGCTATCAAATTCACTGTCCAGATTCGACAGCCAGTAACAAGACCCCGGCCTTGACATCTGATAGGTCAGATCGTCGTACCCACGATTGCCTCTTGTGGCAGGGGTGTTACGGAGCTACAAGCCGAGCTCTATACTGTGCCGTAGCCGCCCATTTTGCGCAGATCTCAACGTGCTAAGACGGGTTCCCGCTTACCGTATGCTGGATGCCCTGGATGCCCTGAATACCACCCTGCGCTAAAGATCAAGAAATACGTACCGCGTAGCCGCAGAGCTGTCAAGCCAAAGCCCACTTACACAACCTCGACTATGGGCCGACTCGACCTGGCCCCGTCGACCTGATCGTTCGGGCTTCCACGTACCGCACTACGTACATGAATGATACCTCTAAATCCGAATTCTAGTCTGCTTCTCCAAGTTTCAGGTTGGACATCTTGCATCTGTGGAATACATCATCGTTTAGTACAAGGCGAGTTCCGCCGAGGTGATTGGCATCCCGGCCTATCCATGTTCGGCCATCCAGCTTCGAGGATAAGAGGACCGGTCCTCCTCCTCCATCGGTTCTCCTTTCGTTCCAGTTCTTCAGTATCAACTCTCTGATCTAATAGGATCAAATTGCATTGTTTTTTCTTTCATATTTATTAGATCTCTCCTGAGGCAGGCCGCCAGTCACGCGACCCCAAGATTTCTCTCCGCTTCACGGCATCTCTCATCTTACCAGTCCTGAACAGACATCTGCATCTGGAGCCGGCTCTCCTATACACATTCATTCTATAATCTATAATCGCCTTAGTTCTTGTCTAAGCAGACAAGAACGCATACATAAACATCGACATGGCTACGTGAGTTTTGAAGCCACACTGCTGCTCGTGACAAGATGTAACTAACAGGCGTGTACACAGTCTGGAAGCAGGCATGTCTTTCGACTTCATATTTCCCACATGCGAGCCTACCACGCCGCCGAGCTTTTCTTTTGATCCGTCCTTTCTGGAGATGCCTTGCAATCCCGGACACGCTCGCTCAAGCTCGTATAGTTCTTACTGTTCTACTACTGAGTCGTCGCCCTCCGACTCGGTCAGCACGCGTGTAACGACGCCTTCCCGCTCGCCGCCGCCAATCCGTCAACATGGCCCCATCTTGCTACCTAAGATCCGTTCCCAGGACCAGGCCATTGACTCGCCCCCAAAGCGTGTCAAGACATCTCCTGCGCCGGCTCCCAAGCCTAGCCGCCGCGCAGCTTTCCGCCCCACGCATAACAGGAGCTTCACTAACCCAGAAACGTTGAACCAATTTTCAAACGCATTCTTTCCGGCCCCAGATGACCAAAATACTATGTCACAATCATTGTTGTGCTCTCCCGTCACGTTCCCTCAAGATAGCATGGGCCATTCTCGCCGCTCTTCGGCTGTGAGCCTCGACGGCGCGGTGCTTGAGAAATATGGCTTCCCTTATCGCCAGATGCCGGCATACGTCCCAGCCGTCACCCAGCCCCAAAACGACCAATTCTTCTTCAGCTATACGCCTCGAGCTCCTTCGCCATTGAGCCTCTCATCTACGCCCACACCTGACCCAACCCCGTCCACCACTCTCATGAACTACCTCTCAACCTCCAACCCCGCCCCATCTCTAGTCCGCACCATCTCATTCCCGCTCCGCGACCCCAACACCAAGCACTTCTGGTGGGACGTGCGCCAAATCCGGCCGTGGACCAACTTCAACATCAACACCATTCTCTCACTCCCCGGCGCCTCCGGGCTCCTCCACTGCCCCGTCCCGCAACCCCTCCTCCAGCAGCCGTCGACCAGCGCGCGGCACCCGGAGACCGAGGCCGCGCTGCACAGCATCTACGCCTCGTATTACATCCCCAAACTAAACTCGGCGCTCGCGCTCACCTCGCAGCGGCCCATGCACCTCAGCGTGCCATCCGGATCGGCCGCTTCGAAGGGAATGTCGTCGGCGGCGAACGACCACCTGTTCGTGGCGAACGTGGCGGGCGAGTCGGCGAGCGCGGCGGCCATCTTCGGCGGCAAGCCGACGGCGCGCGTCGTCGGGCTCGTCAAGAGCTTCGACCGCTTCAACACGGGCATGCGCGTCGAGGGCAACGTCAAGCGCGTCGAGTACCTGCGCGGCCTCGCGCACCTGCACCACGCCATGCGCGAGCACGGCACGCGCTACGGGTTTATACTCACCGAGATCGAGCTCGTCGTTTGCCGCAACGGCGCCGAGGGGACCCCGCATTTCGGGTTCTTGGAGGTTACTAGCGTGCAGCTTAATGCTACTGCTGAGAGTAGTTGTGGGGAGGAAGGAGAGACGCCGCTGACGGCGTGTCTCGCGCTTTGGGGGTTGTGTGTTATGGCTAGTGATGATGGGGTTAATGGCCATGGACTCAGTTTTGGTGGCCAGAGTGGTATGGTCGCCTGGAGGGCGGAGATTGGAGCCCCGGCTGAAGGGACGAGGAGGAAGGCCCTGCCGAGGGATGACTGGATGCCGCAGCCGCAGCTGGCGGAGAAGCGCGAGGCGAAGCGTGCTAGGGGGTGGGTGTTCCCTGAGGAACCGGTTGGGAGGAAGGAGCTTGGGAAGAGGGGGGTGCGGTACGGTGGTTGTTAATAAGATACCTACCGGGTTTTGTTTTTTTGTGGTGGTTGCATTTACATAGGCACTCCTTCCTAGGAGCCATAGGGATTCTTCCCGCGAACGAGCTGGTCTCGCTTTCGCTGGGTTTTTTGGGGGCTGTGATGAGAGACGAGGCATGAAGTTACGAACAACTGCGGGTTTTATTTACTTGCTGGGTGGGTACAGATGTTTGGTTGAACTTATGCTTACGCAGTAGGTTGGTTACCCCCGATGCTCTCTGCTCGGGAGCCTGGTTGGTAGAATATTAGTTACTTTAATTAGGAAAATATCGTTAAATTACTTATATGCCTTTGCGAGACTTGGTCTACTGGGACTTGTGATAAGGTAGTCGTGGGAAACATTCGTTTCTATGAAGCTCAGTATCTCTCGACCTAGGGCTATCTTACACCCTAAGTAAACATTCAAGGTTCTCTTTCGGTACCATCTACTTCGAAGGATTGGGGCAAGCAATGTGATATATACTGCTATTTCGCCTCGTCTATATATCCAGTTTTAATCGTTTACCTTGGATAGTAGGTATCTCAATGGAACGTTTCCATACTTGGGTAGTCTTCCACCTAACAGTAACAAGCTCGAAATGGCCATTTTAGACAAGATACCTATTACCTGCTTTAGTTCACCGCTAAGGCAACGTTTGAGCTGGCTTTAGATATGGGTCAATATATACCCCTATTGATAAGACTATGATACGCAGCAAGTATAATAATAAAAATAGATTTCAATATTTTGAAAACAGATATCGAATTACCCGTCATACTCTATCATTGTCTTACTTGAACAAAGAATAGAAACTTGTGGAAGTGCGACCTCACATTCCAATCCATCTCACGACTCGACCTTCTAAATGTCTCAAGTAAGGGACGTTGGCCGCAGAAGGAAACAGATACACGACTTAATGTACCAAGTTACAACTTAGTCCTGATTATCCTGAGGCTATGTAAACCAGACCGTTTGCGGATATAGCCAATATGTGCTATATATCGGCATTATGTCAATGTTCCAAGCCAGGACTCGTCCTTTCAAAAGACGAAAAGACAATGAACTACCTAACGTTTTTGTCTCTCAAAACCATATTCTAATATCACTGTTGGTCCTGCTCTTCCTGCCAAATACCACTAAGAACACAAGAGAGGAACAGCGAATACCCTCACACCCTTCCACCATGTCGTCCCGCTACCCCAAGCGCAAGCGCGCCGCCATCGACTACGCGGCCATCGCATCAGGCAACACCCAAGCCCCTCGCACATCCAAGACGGGCAAAGCCCAGGCTCTCCGGCTCCCCAAGTCGAAGCGACCAGCAACTTCGCCCTCGCCCCCCAAACTTTCTAAATCCTCCTCTAAAGCCGCCAACCCTGCTAGAGCATCTAAAACACCCAAAGCCCCTAAGGTTAAAGCAGCCGTTAAGGCCATTAAGGCCCCAAAGCGCCCCGTCGTCGAAAGACCCGAGCCCGAGCCCCTGGACCAGAATTCAGACGGGGGCCCAGACCCGCCGTCGCCGGACCCGGAGATCGATCCTGAGCAGCTAAGCGCCACGACAGCGACGCGCACATCCTACGCCACCACCACCACTCCCTCGACAGAGTTCGTCCCACAATATGAGCAGCAGCAGCAGCAACCCACACCCGTATCCATCCAACCCAAACCCGGCCCCCGTCCGCGGTCTATTTTCGACCCGGACCCGGACGTAGACCAGCTATTCCGAATGATGGATCAGCAAGAGCAAGACCTAGCATTCCTAGACATGGACACAGACCCAGAGCCGTTCCCGGACCTAATAAACGACTCCTCCTCCTCCTCTATCTTCTACCAGCCGCGCACGAACCCGCTAACGGAGCTGAGCGTGCAAGAAGTGGTGGATTTCGTCGGCACCGTGATATACTTCGTGCGCGCCGTCAAGCGCATCCGGATCGACGTCGCGAACCCGCTGTCCGTGACGCGGGCGCTGGACGCGCGGGACCGCGTGTGGGACGACCCGGCGCGCGACTGGGCCAAGTACGGCGACCGCGCGTGGCGGCATCGGTTCCATGTGGCCGACGGCCTGTACGAGATGCCGTTGGGCCACGTCGCGGCCTTGGTAGATGTGGTGATGAGGTTTAAGGAAGACCTTGATGACAAAGGCATTCACATCGGGTTGTGAAGCAGGATTGTTTCCGTTAGAATGACTTGGGGCTTAGTATATCTGAAAAGGGGTTGTATTACATTTACGATATCCGTATGCGAAAAGCCTTTCAGTTCACTGAAATCAATATTAATAACTACGAACTTGGATAATTCTATTTAGAGAACAAGTCAAAATTGGCTCGCCTCAAAAGATTGCTTCGCCGGCTTCAATTGTATTCCCGCTTTGAGCTGGTTATAAATAGCAAGTAGTTGATCTCATTCGTGATATCTTTATTTGGTCCCGCATAACGGAGGCATGAATTCTTAGCTCATTAGATAGATCTAAATTCGCTCTTTAACCCTTGGCAGCACCTGCCTTGATCAGCAGGATATCGCCGTCCTCGACTACGTATTCCTTGCCCTTAGTCATAATCTTACCCTTCGCCTTGACTTCAGACTCGTCACCCAACTCCTTGAGGACATTGAAGTTGTAGACCACGGCCTGGATGAAAGTCTTTTCGAAGTCTGTGTGAATGACACCAGCGGCCTGTGGTGCCTTGGTGCCGACACGGATGGTCCATTGCCTTACCTCGTCAGTACCAGTTGTGAAGAAACTAGCAAGGTTCAATGCCTTTCGCATCGTTGTGATAATCTTGGGCAATGCAGATTCAATGCCGAGGTTTTTGCATTCCTCAGCAGCTTCGGCATCGGTAGCGAAGTGAGTAAGACGTTCCTCAAACGATATAGAGATTGGGAGGATAGGGTCGCCAGCCGCGTGCTCCTTCATCCACTCGGCAATCTTAGCAAGATGCTTATTCTTCTTGCGAGTGTAGTCCTTCTCTGAGAGGTTGACTAGGTACACCACCGGCTTCGCTGAAAGGAGGAAGAGGGTATTGATTACTTCGACCTGTTGACTATGTCAGCTGCGTTTCCCCTCAGATTGCAAAGATGAAATTTTATAGGATTGGGTAATCAGAGGATTCTTTTATCTCAGTATGCGCTCTGCGTTGTATTATTGAGGCATTCGAAGAGCTGGGATTAGATCAGGCGCTATGGCCCTTGTTCATCATATTAAATGAGATTGAGGAATTAAAGAAGGTTAAATCTTACCTCCTTTGGTGTCCATGTGCCTTTTCGGACATCTTTCCCGTCCTTTAGCCACGCGAGAACCTTTTCTATTGTTGCTTCGTCCTCTTTCGCCTTCTTCAACTCCAGACTCTGACCACCCAAACGGGTCTTCTTCTTGGAGTTCTCTAGGGCCTTCTCGGTGAATTCGATATCCTTCAACCGAAGTTCCTCGGCAATGATATCTAGATCTCGGACGGGGTTAACGTCACCCTCGACGTGGATAATCTCCGCATCATCGAAACATCGAACAACTTGGAAGATGGCATCGACAGCTCGAATGTGTGATAAGAAGGCGTTACCAAGACCGGCACCAGTCGAGGCACCTCTCGTCAGACCAGCAATATCATAAATGGTCAGGTGGGCGGGCACTCGCGACTTGGGGTTGTACTTATTGCACAACCAGTCGTAGCGCTCATCCGGAACAATGACACGGGATTCTTCCGGGTCGATGGTGGCATATGGGAAGTTCTACTCCTGCCTGTTTAGCTGGAAACGCAGTCGACGGTCAGAGAGCACCGACTTACGGCAGGGTTACCAAGACTACACTTCGTAATAGCCTGGAACAGTGTCGATTTGCCGACGTTGGCTAGACCAACGATACCACTCTTTAAGTTGTTTCCCGGTCGACCGAGGAGGATCTTCTCCTCGACAACTTGCTTCTTGGGAGGCATTGGTTTTCGTCGCTTGGCGTAGGTACGAGTGGAGATGAGTACTGCTGTGCAACTAGGCACGCGGAGAGGGAAAAAAGCAGAGCTAGCTGCTACAGGTCGAAAAGTTTGGAATAGAGAAGCGAATGGAAGGGTGGAGGAGAAGGAAGACACGACGACGGTTCTCGGCTGGTGGCCGGTTGGGTGATATCGAATTGGACAAATACTGATATATCTGTCTAATACTCGATCACCATCTATTTGAAGTATTGTTGGCACTCGACTGCTGCCCTCGAGAAGACTTTTTTTATCGCGCGGGTTGGTACAGCTGTCTTGTCCTTTTTCCTCTCCTCTTTGGAGGGGCAGTTGGGAAAAAAAAGCTTGCTCTTTGTGGTGGAGTTCTCAATTAAAATTGGGCTCAGGAATTGCGCCGGAATCCGGCTGACCTATTTCGCCGAAACTTTGGGACTCTGGGCAAGACTAGGCTGAGACTTCTGTCAGATGATGGCACCTGACGCGCAAGTGGTAGTCAGCTAAGGCAGCTACGAAGGTATCAATTGTCTCAGGTCTGCCTTGTTAGCCTCTTCAAAGTGGAGCATCGGCCAATGGTTTTCAGCCATTTCGCGACCGAGCTACCGGATTCGTCGTTTATTGGCTGATACGTCAGCTAGCTGTGGCTTACGTTCTCACTCACTAGATCCTCCTCACTCGGCGGTTTGTATCGTCTTCGTAGTTGCCTCGAGCTAAGTTACTATGATCTACTTCCTACAACTCGCAATGAATCGCCAACTTCTGCCACGTAACTAGAGTTTACCATACATCTAGTTAGTTCCTTTGTGTGGAAGCTGTATTAAGCCTTCGCCGAGGAGTAGAAGATTACATCCTTCCCCACTGCGCTAGATACTAGAACTTGATACTTCGGCTGTTTCTTTCACCTATCGCCACTTGTATTAAGCCTCCAAGATGTCCTCTAAGAAGTCGACGTCTAGTAGATCTTCAAGGCAGTCTCACCGATCAACATTGTCCTTATCGAGGACAGAAATTGTAATTAATGTCTACGACCTTTTACCTGTAAGCAATTAGTCTTTGTAGCGGCAGTTTTCGGGAATAGCTATTAACTCAACACCAACCACAAAACAGGCCGGTCGCCTCTCCTCAGTTTTGTGGACAGTTGGTGCCTCATTGCTACATTCGGGCGTCGTTATAAACGGGAAAGAATATGCCTACGGTGGACACGACCAGCCTGGCATGACGGGCGTTTATTGGACACGGCCGAAGACGGAACCCCCTGGCGGCACATTCAGGACCGAGATTCTGCACGGATTTACCTTTGCGACACAAGCCGAAATCGATTCTAGCATTCGCCATGCTTCCGACGAGTTCCAGGGCACCGCCTACAACCTGCTCACCAGAAACTGCAACCACTTCACCAGCTACCTTTGCCAGAAGCTTACCGGTCGGCCCGGCCCCGCCTGGCTCAACCGTGCCGCAAGCATCGGAGTTGCCCTCCCGTGCGTCGTCCCCCGCGACTGGGTCGAGCCGCCGGATTTCGAGACCGCCGAAGGCGAGCTGCTAGACGACGAAGGATTAGACGACAACGAGGGCACGAGGATGCTACGACAGAATAACGCAAGGAGATTTGCTACGCCCGAAAGCGAAGAAGAGGGAGAGGACTCGGGTTGGGACGGCGAAGAAACACACCGGGACGTTAGGCATGGCAAGGGGAAAGGCCCGGCGAAAGATACAAGCGGGCGGACCCTGCCACCAGCAGAGAGAGCGCCTTCGGTAGGCAGGGGAAGCATGTCTTAGACGGAATGGGGGGCGGCCTGGTTTGAGGGGGTGCATTACAAGGCGTTGGAAGTGATTATGACGGAAACCCGGTTGGGTGGCGTTCTTCTGGGGTCTGTTTTGATTGATACCAATTGGTCGCTCTACTGCTCGAGGCATCGTATGTCGATTTTACGTCAATTAACTGCATGTTTAACAGGTGCGCGATTTTGCACTTTTGTACATAAATGTACATAACAATGCGGTATGATATACACTGGCTGTCTCGTCGACTATGTCCATTTCTAGTTCTTGTTCTATCTCTCTAACCCAGTCTCCTGGGCTTGGGACTTCTCGTGCCGCCAAATTTCAGTCTTGTGGAATCTGATACCATGATGATCTTATTCCTTAACATACGACCCTCGGTGCCCAAGAGAACCTTGATTGCGGCCTCGCGTCCAGCACCGAAACCCCGCAGCACGACCTCCAGGCTCGTTATAGTATTGTGCCAGTTTCCTTGGTGCAACTTGTCTATTACATATGACGTAAGTTGGTAAGCAGCGTCGTAGGTGCTGCGCTTCGACTTTTTAAAGCCGATATTGCCAGTCGACATGCTGATGATGGCTTGTCGATTGGGCTTCGTCACCGTGACATGTGAGTTGTGCTTGTGCGAGTATATGTGGAAGTGGAAAGGCTCGGTCGCCGGGCCCATGTCTTCCTGCTTGTTGGCTTCATCCTGCAATATTTGTTGGCTCGTGGGTTGGTTGCGTGCCTTTGCGACAGCGTCTTGTGCTAGAATCCGTTGTAGCGCCGCCGAACTAGCTCCGGGACTTGGTCGTGGAGGTCCCGCCGATTGCGTTGGTGTAGTGCGTGGTCTACTGAGAGATTGGAGGAGTTTGTTTGGCGACCATGAATTGGCATTGGTGTTGGATTCTTCCCGTCGTAGACATGTTTGAGAGAATGAACGGAGGCATTGGCGGGTGGGCTGAGACGAGGATATACGAGCGCGGGTGGCCGCCAATAGGCGACTGGATGGTTGGCTCATTGTAGCTGTAGATGCATGAAGTTAAGTTCGTCCCCCCGTTTTGCGTTGGGAATCTTTAGGGAAAGCCGTTGTGAAACGGCCTCGCCGAATCCAATTGTCGTCGCCTTTGCGTTGCGGCTGATAAAGCTCGAAATTAATTTTGACAAAACAGAACTTCAATTGCGCCTCGGAGCGGACGAAATCTAGACTTTCGGGTGTGACCTCTTTTTCTGTATGGTGATTGGCTGAATGCATAGACTATCGCTCCTTTGGGTTAAGCTTTATTGTAAAATACTTTATGGTTCGTTAGCTTAGTACATAATTTTTCTAACTGCCGGGGTCGCCCGCCTTCCTCCATTAGATCAGCTGCAAAATAAAATTCCTCTGTCGGCGTTCATCTTTTTTTATCCTTTTCAAAGTTAATGGTCTTATAAGACCCCGCCTCTAATATTGCGAAATGACCTCTCTCAGACAGATTACGAGGAGCGCACCTTCGCCGGCTTTCTTAGGAGCACCTTCGCTCGCCACTTATTCTTATGGCAGATCTCCGGCCTACAGGCGGTTATTAGAGAACGCCGCTGAAATCTCCAGACCGGCAAGCAAAAATGTAGCGCCACTAAAGTTTTCTCGAGTTCCCTCATTATCACACCCCTCACTTCGATCACCCTTCGTTCCCGAGACCATAGCTACTTTACAATCCCGAGCTTTCCACCAAACGTCACCATGGTACCAGGAGCCGCAACAAGCCGCGCAATCCGCCAAAGCGGATACCAAGTCTGCAGATCCAAAAAAAGACACCGGAAAAGCTGCTCCAGGTGCGGAATCTGAAGCAAAGGCCGGATCGGAAGAGCAAGCAAAGCAACAAGAGGAACAGGGTAAAGAAAATGAGGAGAAGGAGAAGAAGGAGGAGAAGAAGGAAGACTTGCCGCCACCACCACCTCATGGCGACAAGACACCATGGCAGGTGTTTATGGAGACTATGCAAACGGAGTTCAAAGCTTCCAAGGAATGGAACGAGTCAACTAAGCAGCTTGCCGACTCTGCTCACTCTTTTACCGAAAGCGAATCAGTCCGACGTGCGAGGCAAGCATACGAAAATACCACCGGCGCTGTTTCGTCGACAGCGGGCAGAGTATTGAAGACTTCTGCAACCGCTGTCGGAAAGGGCGCGGCGTGGACATGGGAGACTCCTGTAATGAAAGGCGTCCGAAAGGGAGCTAATTTGACCGGGAACATGCTCGACAAGGCAACAAAACCCATAAGAGAGACTGAGGCATATAAAAATGTCAAGAACGTCATCGACGACGGGAGCAGTTCTCGGTACGGTGGTTGGATCGAGAAGGAGGAGCGAAGGAAAGCCAGAGAATTGCGCGAGAAGCAAGCTCGTTCCATACACGGCAACGCAGAAGAAATGGTCGAAGATCCAAAGTAAGCCCAAGAGAGATGAGCCATCTTATTGACTAAGATCTAACGATTTCTAGTGCTGGGACAAACATTACACTCCACAAGGACGCTGCATGGAAGGAAGCGTGGCGTGATTTCCGAGATCAGAACAAGTTTGTCCAGGGAATTTTTAACATGAAGAACGTTTATAACGAATCTGAGAACCCCTTAATCACGACCGCACGAAGTATTACTGACCGTGTTGCTGGATTTTTCGCCGAGAACGAAACAGCGATGGTCATCAAGAAATTCCGTTCTATGGATCCCAATTTTCAAATCGAGCCATTCTTACAGGAGTTAAGAGAGTACATATTACCAGAGGTGCTTGACGCTTACGTCAAGGGTGATACTGAAACGTTAAAGCTTTGGCTTTCCGCCGCTCAGTATTCGGTGTACGAAGCTTTAACCAAACAGTATCTTCAAGCTGGGTTGAAATCAGATGGCCGGATCTTAGATATAAGACATGTGGATATTTTGAAAGCCCGTATGCTCGAACCTGGTGAGATTCCGGTATTCATCATCACGTGCCGGACACAGGAAGTCCACGTGTATCGCAACGCCAAGACGAACGAGCTTGCCGCCGGTATGGAAGACAGAGTGCAGCTTGTCACGTACGCGATCGGTATCACACGAACTCCCGAGGAGGTTAGTAATCCCGAAACAAGAGGTTGGAGGTTGATCGAAATGCAAAAGAGCGGAAGGGATTACATTTGAATGAATCTCTTCTCTTACTTACTGAACGATTGCGCCACGATATTTGTTTATAATACTGTACATTACCGGCCAGGAGGCGACGGAATCGAGACTGTAGCAGACGGTCTTATCACACCACTCTGAAATGGCAGCCTTGGATTAGGGCAAAATAGGCGTTAGGCGGCAAGAATAGCATGGATGAAATGTATGATAGACAAAAAGGTGCATATATGGTCGGGCATGAGAGACTGCGATGAATCTTAAGCAGTATGCCGCAATACGATATTCTCAAGAAATTAGGGGGAGCTAAGTGAGACTTTCTAGCCCAACGTCTACCAGATCGTTCAGAACGACTATCATGCCATTTATCTACGCCACATCTTGGTAACTACCTAGGTAAGTTGGTTGCTCTATTCACTCGAATAGCTACGAAGCTCAACTACTTAGTCTAGGTGTCTTTAATTTGCTTTCATTTCAATGGTTTGAGATTGAAGGAGAGAATTGGTGGGGTACTAAGACGTCAAGATAGTCAGCGCCTTCCCCGCCTACCGCTTGCGGCCTAAGAGACCTAAATAAACGGGGATCCCGTAACTTCAAGACGTTCTAATTATAAGCACACCCCTGTATTTCTCAACTTTATCGGGTAGGTACCTACATGTAGGTAGGTACTTCGTACCGAAAGTTTCGCGGTCATCCCCAAAATCACAAACCGCCACAAATCAACATCAGATGAGACGATAATGGTCGAACGCGCAAGGCCGCTTGCTCAATGAAACTCCAACGTCGAAGCGCTAACGATGCTCTCGGACAGCCTGGCATCCGCGCCTTGCTCCTGCTCGTGACGCTCGTCTCGCTCTACTCGATATACGGCTCGCTTTACTTCTACCGTGATCCGCTTTCTATCTTCTTCTCCGAAGATCATGGTTTCGACCGTTTCTATTCGGCCACGCGCCAGGCCGAAGCTGACGAGTTTCTTGATGCGGCTCTAGCAAATCCTAGTGCGACTCAGCAACAATTAGGCACGGCCGGTGCGGATCCTCAGATTTGCGCCGTGTTTATTACGGTCGGAAGGGATATGGTGGGGCGGCAGTATATCGACAGCGCCGTGGGATCATTTCTAGCGAACATGTCGCGGGCCGAGAGAGGGTCCACGCACTTGAAATTATTCTTCGCCGACGTGCCAAACCCCGATACGCAACATAGGAGCTATACAAAGTTGGCAGAATCTGGCATCGCGGACGAAGTATTCACCTACAACACCACGCTATCCCCGCAGGAAAAGGATAGTAAGATTCGCGAACTCATGCAATTTGCCAAGGATCGCCAGAACAAGCACGCGCTCGAGAGAAAGACGGTATATGATTATGCGTACGCCCTAGATCGATGTGTGCAGACAACCAATGCGCCGTATATTGCACTTTTCGAGGGCGATATTCTGCTTGCTGATGGATGGGCTGCGAGGACTCTCAAGAACCTACGAATCATCGAACAAATGATGAAGGATCCTAGGCGTCACGACCCTCAGAAGGGCCAAATTGAGCCGGGCGGACCAAATACGTGGCTGTACTTGCGTCTTTTCAACCAAGAACGGAGCTTTGGGTGGTCGGGCGGCCCAGGCTTCAAGAGTAATAACGTTCACATTACATCAGTTGCTGTGGCTATTCCTCTCCTACTGGTCTTGCTTCTAGCGCGAAGACAGCTTCCGCGACACCTAGCCCGACATCTGGATTGGTGGACGTTGCTAGTGATATGTGGCCTTGCGGTCCCGCTCTTCATATGGCTTTTCTACGCATCCGGGAAGGCAGCCCTTATCGGCGCACCGCCGGGCGTCCACGAAGAGTGGTTTGGATGCTGCAATCAGGCGCTAGTCTACAACCGCGAACACGCGAAAGGCCTCGCAACCTATATGAAGGTCGCCTCTAAGCATGAGTCACCTGGTAGGAGTGATATGCTTCCGAAGCAGTTCGCATGGGACCATGGTTTAGCGAGGATAAGTGCGTATCCAATGCTTGCTCAACACGCAGGTAGAGTGAGCGCGATCGATACGAGTAACGACGAGGCGAAACGGGTTTGGAGTATGGCGTTTGAGGATTTTAAGCCGACTCGGTTGGCTAAGGAACACTTCAGGGATGTACAAGATCTGTTTGGATCCGAGGCTGCCGAGCAGATGATAACGCATTGGTCTCCAGGATACATAGTATGAGATTATGAGAATACCGCGTTAGTGTTCAGTCTGAATAATCCATATAATAGCTTCATTAACAGGTAGCCTTCTCGTACCCTAACCCACGCGGACTTGGCACAAAACAAGCTCATGACCCTGGTGTTCGCCAATCTGTAGAGGCCAAGACACTAACTTCGGTACTTACAGAAAGCTTAGTTCGAGGACTGCGCCCCTTTTATACTACGCACTATCTTTGTGAGTCATCGTTCAAAGGAGATATAGCGTTCACTTTAGTCAGTCCATAGTCCTACTTTGACATTCATCGGCGATTCTTAAAAGTCATCAAGACAGATACAGCAACCCATTCACATACACAATGGCCGAAGTAACAGCCGAGGAGGACACACCATGTCAGGAGAGCATTAGCAGCCGGCCCTTCAGATTTCTAGACCTACCCCTAGAACTACGGAACGAGATCTACGCACACCTCTTTCTCCAACCCGAACCCATCGACTGCTTCCGAAAATGGTTCACCACAGCGCCGCGGCATCTCCGGCGCCGGGCCAACGAGAAAGCGCCGGACTGCTGCGGGTTGAACTACGGGTGCGCGCACTACGACGCGCGCCTGCGGCCGCGCACCAACGTCCTGCGGGCCTGCCGGCAGGTCAGCGAAGAAGCGCTCGACGTCTTGTACGCGCGGAACGCGTTCTGCGTCGAGCTTGAGAGCACCGCGCGCTTCCTGAAGTTTTTTAGTATCGGTGAGGCGAACCTGCGCCGGATACAGCTTCTGACGCTCAGCGCCTCGACCGCGTACGACCAGTACCGGATCGCGCGGCCGTGGGAGACGCAATGCCAGTTCTTCCGCGCGGCCACGAGCGAGGCGCCGCTCTGGGCGGCGCTGCTAAATGGCCTGACGACGCTGCTGTTCGTGATGAAGATACCAACTTGGGGATGGCACGGCGCGTGGCCGGTGTGGGTGGCGCAGTTGGAGGGCGTGCTGGGCTTTGTGGGGGAGCACGTGGACGAGGGGACAGAGGTGATGATTGACGATAATTATTCGATGTACTTGTGCGAGGCGGTGGACAGGTGCTTCAAGAAGGGGTTCCGCAGGGTGAGGACTAAAGAGGGAGACGGATATTATTGGAAGATACGGTTCGATCCGGATAATATTACGGAGCCGCTGACTACCTAGTTAATGGAGTGGCTGGGGATAGATAGGGGTAAGTGTAGAACGGTGAGCTTAGGACCGCCAACTACCCGATTACTATGTTCACTAGAATCTAACCATTTTCATTGGTATGTGGCGCCGATTGAGAGACCTTACCGGCTAATTGTGTTCCGTTTGTGTAGAGTAGTCGATTCCGTGTTTGTCATTGGAGTGTTGTTAGTTCTTGGCACGTTCTTCAATATTGCCCCTTTTTACTTACCCATCTAGGTAAGCACTCACATATTTTCCGATTTCTCATGGCTATTCTCGTGGCTAATGACGAAAAGAAAAGGATACCAAATACTCTTATCGAATATATTAATACAGAATAAGCGAGTCCCATTGCAACGTTCATATCTCGATACATCTTACTGGATCGGTTAATGGATAGTTGGCAATTCTTGTCGACCGCCCTCGATTCGTCGCATCACCCGCATGCACGCGCCTCACAACACATACCAGCCAACCAAATTCCGCAGTCTTCGCTCGATGCAGCTGGCCTATCACGAAGCACCCAGCCGAATTGACAATTCAGAGCTCTTCCCAAAAGTAACCTTAGTTTCCAAGGAAACTTCTGACAACCCGCAGCGGCCCAGCCTTGCCCTTTGCACCAAAGGAGATGAGCTTGAGCGACCTTAGGCCGAGAATACCGCGTGTTCTCGCGCTCCGTGCTCTGACTTCGCTATCGTTTCTCGATACCCAAGCTCCGGCTTAGATAGGTACCTAAGACAGATAATAGCTATTTGAGATTACCTAGTAGACTAGACTAGGCCCGTCTACCTATGATTACCGTGTAGCTGCAATCACAGCAGCCGCACAACCAATGCCCCCACGGCGCATATCAGTCCCTCCACGGCGTCGCGCGAGGCGGCCCGAGACCCCGCCCCCGGCATACACAGAACACGACATGAACTCGTCGGCGCCCTACGAGCAGGACGGCGGCGCCGCCACCATTGCCACCGTCACGGACGTCGGCCTGGGCTTACCCGCCGTCGTCAGCAGCCCGCGCTGCCAATCGACGTTCTGCTACCGCACGGTCACGGTGGCGAGCCACTACTGCCGCAAGCACGAATGCAACGTGAGCGGGTGCGTGGCGCGCCGCGAGAAGGGGCGCGGCAAGCGCTTCTGCGCGAGCCACCAGTGCCGGTGGCGCGGCTGCGACGGGCCCAAGGCTCACCCCTCGCACTACTGCGTCCGCCACACGTGCGAGGCCGCGGGTTGCAACACGCCTAGTCCCGAGGAAGGGTACCGGTTCTGCGACGCGCACACGTGCAAGATCCAGCGGTGTCCCGGGCGCCGCGAGGCGCCGTCGAAGTATTGTGGTAAGCACCGGTGTAGAGCGGAGGGGTGCGCGAGGCCGTTCGCCAAGGCGAGCGATTTTTGTACGGATCATAAGTGTGAGGTTGATCGGTGCCGGGCGGCGAGGAGGAGCGGGAGTAACTTGTGCGCGCGCCACGAGTGTTCTGTTGAGGAGTGTAGTGGGCGCAGGTTCGAGAAGAGCCAGTATTGCGGCGCGCATAAGTGTGTCACGAAGGGGTGCGTCGACCCGCAGATCCGCGATTTCAGACATTGTGAAAAGCATAAGTGCCGCTCGTGCGAGCGGCCGTGTATCCCCGAGAGCGGCTTCTGCCGCCGCCATAAGTGCTGGAAGGCGCGGTGTCTCGAGGCCCGCGCCGAAGGGTCGACGTGGTGTCCGCGCCACGTGTGTCAGTGGGACGCGTGCGTCGAGCCCGCGCTCCGGTGCGATGGGTTCTGCGGCGACCACACGTGTTCGGTGGGGGAGTGCCTCGAGAGCGCGTACAAAACGGAGGACACTACCAGTGATTACTGTCAGAATCATACCTGCGCCGAAGAAGGCTGTCTCCAGAAGACTTCGAAAGCGGCGTATTGCACACAGCACGAGTGCCAACGGCGCGCGTGCCCGGACTCGCGGTTCTGGGATGACGAACAGGGCGGAAGGGAACATGCGTGTTGCAAGACTCATACGTGCGACCACAAGGAATGCTACGCTCCGACCGTCCGTAACAGAGCTTTCTGCGAGAACCACATTTGCTCATTTAGCGACGGTTGCTTGCTACCCAGGGCGCCGAGTTTGGGGTGCTGTGAGGCCCACAAGTGCTATGAGGAAGGATGTCGAGATCCTTGCATTCTAAACAGCTTATTCTGCAAAGCCCATGCCTGTAAGAGAGGCGGTTGTACCGAGGGTCCCATAGCGGGAGGCCGGTTCTGCACGCGGCATTCCTGCGTTCAGCCCGGTTGCGTGGAACGTGGTGGTGACGGCGGTTTCTGTAAGGAACATGTGTGTGTCTGGGAAGTAGGCTGTCTAAACGGTCGCGGCAGTGCAGAACAGCTTTACTGCGAATTACACACGTGTACGCAGCGGGATTGCTACGAGAGATGTAAAGGGGCCCGCGGCTTATGCGCCGTGCATGCGTGTCACTGGAGTCAGGCCTGTATAAATACGCCCATCAACTCCGGCGACTTCTGCCAACGGCACACCTGTGTCAAAGACGGATGTGCCAGAGCTAGCGTGGTTGAGGATAGTCTGTGCGGCCGCCACGCTTGCTCTTGGAATTCGTCGATCTGCCTTAAGCCGCGATGGAAGCGAAGCAGCTTTTGCGAGGACCACACGTGCGGGGAGATGGGTTGCGGATTCTCTCGGGTCCCTGGCGGATCGTATTGTCCTGACCATTCCTGCCAAGCGTCCACGTCCTGCAAGGGGCAGGCGGAGATGGGAAGCGACTATTGCATTGACCACAAGTGCAGCAGGCCGAACTGTAGACTGAAGAGCGTGGGAGGTACGCCGTTTTGCAAGAACCATAAATCTCTAGGTCCCCCTATAGGGATCCACGACCTAGCAAGCCTGCAAAGGTAAGGGATCCAAATCCCCGTAATACGTGAAGTTAGCTTACCTGTGTAGCTTTCGATCGCGAAGCCCGTACGGGTTCATCGACCCCTTAGTCGCTGCATCCCTTACAGATATGAGGCCACCAAGGGCAAAAACTCCAAAACACATTTCCAAGCAACGGCAATGGGTATAAGATAGTGTATCAATCTTGTTGATTATTCGCGTTAGGATGTTGGTTTAGACTGTACGTACAAGGGATTCATTTTCTGGAAACTAATGACTGTTATGTACTACGACGGGTTCACAGCTTCTACGATTGTTCATTTTTGGGGGGCATGAGACATATGTCAGCATTAGCATTTGCATTGACACGATATGAGACTATGAGTAATTTGATAATACAATCATTTTAGATGATGTCGTCTCTCATGAGTGTTGAACCTAACTAAACCGAGAAAACCTTCAAGAGACACAGGCTACTTGGCTCAGGGGTAAACCACAACCAAGGTCACTCTTGTCCACGGCCGATCAGGATCATAAGCTTTAAATTTCGTCAGCTAGAAGTTTTATTTGCTAAGTTTTGCGCGGAAACTTACCAGTATTCCCTTCTGGCGTCCATCGAAAATCATACATGCCGTTGAACGGACGAACACCAACGTTTCCTCCGACTTCCTCATCTCCTCGAGACTTGAAGGCCAGCTGTGTCTGCAAGGCATCTGTGTCAGGGTTACAGCCATATACAACATCGAAGATAGCGCGCGGATCGCCGCGTTCAGTCATGAACATCTTGGTCGTGTTATCCTTCACCTCGTACTATATCCGCAAGAGCAATGATTAGCCCAGTACACCAGACTTTCGATTACAAGTTGGGTATACTTCTCCATTAATGACTACACGTCGGATTGGATCCCATGGCAATGTAATCACACCATCGACGAGCGTAAGCTCGCTCGTAGAGTTTCCCGCAGGACTGACGAAAAGGTGTTGATCACCGCCGCCCCAGTCCCAAATATTTAGAAAGTGATTATGAATGTCTGGAAATGAGGCATTCTGTATCTGGAGAGAAAAGCTTTCGGTGATGTTGTTCGGTAGTACATCTGTAGGAAGTTCACACGCTAGGACGGCGGCGGCATAGACAAGGATCGAAGCAAGCGATGTATTCATCTTGAGGAGCTATATTGCATCGATAATTTCCAATAGACTTCTAGACAGGAGTCTCAGCTGTGAGAGCATACCTATAGGTAATTATATAAAGGGGGCCCAGAAGACTGAGAGGAAAGCTGAAGTTGAATTTAGTGACATGCCAAGGCCTTATACGAGGTCGCGCATGTGAGTTTGGCAGGAAGGTAGTATTGTCGCCCTATCACCACGTTGTATTATTAGGTCTAGACACTCGACGAAGCTTACTTGCATTAAGTGTTATATGCATCACCGTCCACCGAACGGCTGCATGTTTGCCATCAGCCAGCCTCGAGAGTGTACCTTTCTAGTCCATCTAGAAGAACGTGATCATCTCCATGAGCTTCTTTGGCTCATATTGAGGTCCTCATTAATTGCAATCCTTCTTTCGACTTAGATTACATCGAGACTCATCCTAAACAGCATTGAAGGATCGAAGGAGCACCATCCACTCCCCTTACACAACGATAGGTCGATATTTGAAAGTTCCCTTTTCATATTGCCGTGAATCTTTGAACCTCAACCTCCCCTAAAGTTGTTGCTAACTCATGCTGTTGCAGAATTTTCTGTCAATATGGCCAATGGGCTCGTGTGACAGAGCACGATACCAGTGTCATGGCAGCAGCCCGAGGGAGCTTCGAGGATCTTGTACGATCAGAAACTCACGTATAGAATGATAATTCTGGGTTTTAAATCTGTGTACCACATACGTGGATACCTATAGGCGCTGAGCGTATTTCCATAATAGACAGAACTGTATAAAGGGTTGAAAATAGACACTTCAGCGGTGCAAAAGAGGATAGTTCTACGCCAACCCCTATCCTACAGCCCTAGATCCCAGTATCATAACCCTCCAACGTCAACACCATTATAGAAATCATAAGTTTTCATTCTGTATCTCATAGTACATACATCAGCAGTTGAAGTAACTCTCCTACCCTCAATATTTTGCAACCCTAATCATGCAAATATACCGGTATCGTAACCCATCCATCCGTAGCTCAACACCCGGATTTTGAACCAAGTCATCAACCATCCTAACCCCTATTTCCCTCCTCCCCTCCTATTGCCGTATCCCATACATTTGACCATAACAAGTATCCTCCTACCCCCTAAACCTCATTACTAGCATACTCAACCACCGTACTCGGCAAAAACTCCTCCTTAATACTCCTCACGCTCACAAACCGACTAACAATATTCACGCTGCCCGCCTTATCATTCGTCCCGCTCGCCCTCGCGCCCCCGAACGGCTGCTGTCCCACCACCGCGCCCGTGCTCTTACAGTTAACATAGAAATTCCCCGCCGCGTTCCGCAGCGCCTCCTCCGCGGCCCGGATCGCCAGCCTGTCGCGCGCGAACACGGCGCCCGTGAGCCCGTACTCGCTCGTCTCGTCGACCAACTTACACGCCTCGGCGAACGCCTTCTCAGCGCCGCCCTTCGCGTCATCATACACGTAGACCGTGAGGATCGGGCCGAACAGCTCCATGCTGAGCAGCTTATGCGCCGGGTTCGTCGTCAGGTAGACGGTCGGGTGGACGAAGTACCCCTTCGAACCATCGTACTTACCTCCCGCCAGCAGCTCGAGTTCGGGGTCGTCCTTCGCGGCGTCGATGACGCCGCTCAGCTTCTTGAAGCTGGGCTCGTGGATGACGGGGCCGATGAACGTCTGGGGCTCCCACGGCGCGCCCACGCGCAGCTTGTTCGTCTCGGCCACCAGCTGCTCCCTAAACTCGGGCCAGATCGACTTCGCCACGTACAGGCGGCTCGTGGCGCTGCACTTCTGGCCCGAGTACTCGAAGGCGCCGCGCACCGTGTGCACGACCGCGTTCCGCACGTCGGCCGACCGGTGCACGAGGTGGAAGTTCTTGCCGCCCGTCTCGCCCACGATGCGCGGGTACCCGGCGTACCGGCCCTCGGCGACGCCCCGCCCGATCTGCCCGTACAGCTGGCGGAAGACGGCCGTGCTGCCGGTGTAGTGCAGCGCCGCGAACTGCCTGTGCGCGAGCGCCGTCTCCGTCACCTCGACCGGGTTGCCGGGCACGAACTGGATCACGTTCTCGGGCAATCCCGCCTCGAGCAGGATCTTGTGGACGAGGTGGCCCGCTGCTACGGCCGAGTCAGACGGCTTCCAGATCACCACGTTGCCGAGGAGCGCGGGCACACCGGCGAGGTTACCGCCGATCGCGGTGAAGTTGAAGGGGCTGACGGCGTACACGAAGCCTTCGAGGGGTCGGTATTCCATGCGGTTCCACAAGCCAACCGAGTTGTGGGCGGGCTGTTGGGCGTACAGTTCCTCCGCGTACTGGACGTTGAAGCGGAAGAAATCGCATAGCTCTGCGGCGGCGTCGATCTCGGCCTGCCACGCGTTCTTGCCCTGGCCGAGGATGGTCGTGGCCATGATCTCGTATCGGTACTTGGTGGAGATCAGATCAGCTGCCTTGAGGAAGACAGCCGCTCTGTCGGCGAAAGGGAGATTCTCCCATGCCGGTTTGGCGGCCAAGGCTGCCTCGATAGCTGTGTTGACGTCGGAGGGACTAGCAAGGGAATAGTTCGCTATCGCGGTGGAGTGGTCGGAAGGGTTGTACTGTGTAGATCTCCGTGATGATTTTACCTGCTCTATGGGTCAATTACTAAATAAAAGGGGGGACCACGGTTAGAACCATATATACCTCCTTACCCCCTATTACGAGCGGTATTTCTATGGTACCCTTCTTCTGTTGAGCAGCAATTGTAGCCAGTAAGCCCTCTCTTTGTGCTGAGCCCTTCGCATAGGTATGCTATATTCCAAGTTAATACCAGAACGTTGAACGGCAATGATGATTTGAGAATTCGGCACCTCTAACATACATTAGGCTCGTTAGAAACTTTTGGTATCTTGAAAGCAGCCAACGTCAATCTAGCATTGGTCGTGCTCAATGCCCTCGCATTTCTCGGGGACCGGAGAGTTGGTAAACATCTTGAACAGACTTTGGAGGACAGACCAGAGCTTCGTAATGCTCTTGTGAGGCCGTATGTCTTCAGTGCAGACGACATCTTGGAGATAACTAAAGTAAAGACAATTATCACCAAGTCTAGTTCTCTTATTATTGGGAATGATAGAATTAAAAGGGAAATAGGTATCTTAGTATGTCGTTATATTTAAAACGACCTGTTGCCACGAGAAATTTCCCCAAGGTTAGGTAGATTAGCTATCACGTATTATAACTCAATCGATAGAGCTCATCGGCGTTGCGACTCCGACGATAATGATGTATACTCTCGCTTTGTCGCGGCATAAACGAACGACATTGCGGGGCAAAGAAGCTGCGAAGTTATAATTGAAAGGATTGGCCAATGAGAAGCCCGATATTTGCTGCGAACGAGCCGAATTCGGCATGAGCTTCCAAACCATCTACCAGGCCGGCGGCACGCTAGCTCGATTTCTTACTCTGGCAACCAGACCCGACTACTCTTCTAGATGCACTAGTAGAGTTACCCGTTCTTCCTAACGGCCTTTACCATTACTTAATTCGTACGTTCGCGGGACAGTCTAATAGGTCTAGGCATACGCAGTTTTTCTGGACCACGACACAGGGGAGATGCGGAAAACCTATCCATTATTTGGTCTTTTCACAACACCTAGGTAGAGATGCCTAGGTAGGTAGAACATGCTACAAACATGATTATTAGCAGTAAGGTATAAGAGTCCAAAACCACCGGTATGGGAATCAAAAACAAATGCAATGCAGCAGTCCTCTTGGGTATTCAACTTTCTTATCCTTCTGTTGGGTATGGGCCATATTGCCCCAATCCTAAACTCGTTCCTTGGTTAGGCCCTCTAGAGCCAAGAGCAAGGCGGATCACGACTCCACTCTACTAAACATTTGCACTCGCGTGCCATCTTCGCCACGAAAACTCCATAGCAACCCGAGACAACCCGTCTCAAATTGCTAAGCAAAACACATTTCTATACACACTAACGGTCGAGCTAGGTTGACATTCCTTGGGGGCGTTCAGGCACATCGGGTATCGATCCTGGTAGCGAAGGGATGCTGGTTGCCGGAATAGTACTTGCGGCTCCAGAAGTGCCTGGGCGGCTTCTGTGGGAAGTGAGATGGTGATGGTGCGCGTTTGTCCCAAATTTTCCAGCCTCATAATCGAGCGCCGGAATTGTAAGACCATATGGCTGAGTTTTGCCCTCTTTATCGTGTTGGTCGATCTCTATTCGTATGCACACGTCGAGGCCTCCATCGTTACTCTTGCCATGTCTCTCGAAATCGGCAGCCTTATGTTTGGTTCCCGCCCCGGATTCGCCCTGAGAGAGGAATTGGTGGCCATGCTTTCCATCAAATTTATTTTCCGGGGTATTGGCGTCTGCCGCCTCTTCAGCGCCGTTAGCAGCCTCGCCGCGGTTGTTTGGCGAATTCTCCGTGAGCATGGCATAGTTTCGGCTAGGCATGGTAACATTGTTGGATGATCGTGTCTTGCTGGTCTTGCCGGGGTCCTTGTCGAAGAGGGCCATAAGCGTTTCGTCGGTGTCCGGGTCAAGGTGGTGGATTTTGTTACGACTTGCTAACAAATTGGCAATCGCTGCCGGCGGGGGTTTGTTAACAATGGCGGAAGAGACTACGTTGACTATGTAACGGTGGTCTTTCTCGACAGGAATATGTAAGTTGGGGTTCGAGTAGAAGCGTCCCAGAGCTGCCAAGTGAACGTCGCCTCCTAGAATGGTAAGTCGAACAGAGAACTCGGCACAGACTCCTTGGAGCCGGTGAACTAGGGCATTTCGCTCCTTCTTGTGTGTTCTAGCCGTGTAGTGATCATCTAAATCGTCAAGAAGATCCACGCTACCATCGAAGTGGTTGAATACACCACCACCTATTATCGCCATCAACAATCGCTATCACTTGGGCAACACTCGGGTTTACTTACCGAATCCAAATCTTCTATTCAAGAATTTCACAGGCGCAATTAAAGGGCTGCTGAACACATTTTCGAGCCAGGTAAGTCGCTGTTATTGTTAGCGGGTTATAACGACACCATAGACGACTATCTTACCGGATACGCAATGGGGATGCCCAGTAACAGGATCAAATGTCTAAAGGGTTGGCCGGCTGCTTGTGCTGCCCCAAGCTCTTCCCTTACACGGTTGAAGATCAAATCGTACGTTTCCTCATAGTTCACCTGGTGCCGTGTACGCTCGGTACGAGCATCAATGCCCATGAACGCGATTCTGGCGCCAAGCTTACTGAACATATTCATCGAGTGCTGCGCGACGTATGGACCAGGCTTGCTACCAATGATATAAGATGAATCAAAAGCCTGCGGTTTGACATAGGTATCCACAAGTTGTTTTGGATCATCCTCCTCTCCATGGTCCCCTGCTTTTGGCGCATCTGAAGTGAATGTGGAAGCAGGTGGTGCTAGGTGATGTTGGAAGAGCATGTAATATTTGTGGGCAGTACCGCCAATGCCTCGGAAGACATCGCAGTTCATGAAGTCGTTGACGTATGAACCAAACCCGTCAATAATATCGTGGTCATCCCAAATATTCAGTTGTGGTATTTGTCCGTTCGCGGCCGCGAATGGTTCAGTAGAGTACCACCGAATGTAATTCTTCAGGTAGTAATCGTCACAAGCTTTGCGCAAGCTCTCGGGGAAGGGAAAGTCGCGTCGCTTCTTCGGGTTCCCTATATCCGTCCACTCCCGTAGAGGTCCCTTAACACGGATACCATCGTTGTAGATCTGGTCGCCGCCTCCTATCATGACGTGGAAAGGTGATTTTGCATGGTTTCTCATCACGTCGTTCCATAGTGCTGGCCCACTCCATGCGTCTTCGTCAGTGCCTACGCTGAAGCCATTGCATGAATGGAACATAATACGCATCGACTCGTCGATGGCTGGAACGAAGAAGTAGTTAGTCTTGGGCTTCGTCTCGCTCTTGTAACGAACGTCGGCGATCGAGTACGCCCACTTCGTTTCCGTGTCGGCAATGTCGCATTCGAGAGGAAACGCCCAGAACGTGCATCTCGGGTCGGAGTAGAGACAAACACCTGCAATATCGGACCCATGGTTGGTGGGAATCGCATTAGACCCTACCTTCTCTCCATTGACCGCAGAGCCCTCGTTAAGCAGGCCTTGTTGTCCGCGGGCTACCTCCACGCGCCCAAGGCTTAGGGTAGGTTGAAAGTTTTGTGTCTTGCCGCCGCCTTCGGTAACAACCAAAACGCTACCGTACCAAGTTCTATTTTCCATGCGTCGATAATTCAGCAGCGGACCGCAAACCACCTCTTTCCCGTCCTGGCCATCCGCTGCTTCGTGTACACCATCGGTGCCACCGACCACGATGGGTTGGTAGCCTGTTCCGTCCGCCGCAGTTCGACTACCTTCAACTCGGTCCTTATTCAGAAAGTCGGATAACTCCCTCGAGTGGCCGCTAGAATGGGGATCTCTCGCCGCCTTTGCAAAGGACGAAGACTCCTGATGCCTCCATTTATTGGCCGAAGCATAAGGATTGCGCTGCCCCTCTTCGTCGAGGTTTTGATCGTGTTCGTGTGCGGCCATGGTGTTTTGCAACTGGGCGAGGCTGACGACGACGTCTGAAGTAAACACGTTTTCAAAGGCCTAACTACGACAAAAAGTAATGACAATCTAGAGGTAAGATTATGTAGGAAGTTCGCTTGTCGGTGTGGCTAACAATGCAGGCGCTGACAATGCAGAATTCCAGGGCTGAGCTGCCAAGAACTCCTTTGACACGAAGCTCGCGGGTGGAACGCGACAAGTTGCTGTGTTTGGGTGAGGCCCTACGGATTGGCGCAGAATCAGAAAACGACGAAAGACAGAATTTCGGCTACATGCACCATAGCATGGGATATGTAAGAGGCGTTGATAAGGTAACGAGCTATTGTTACCAGTTCGAGGGATCAGGGTATCACCTAATAAACAGGGACTCAGGACTCAGACGTACGCCAAGACAACGACAACCACGCCGAAAAGCAAGGGGACTAGGGGAGAAAAGGGAAAGGGTTCCCAAGATTATCAATCGATATTTTCAAAAGTGCCCTCGATATACTATTTACTAATTAGAATTACATGCAGGAGTTAGTCATCTGGTCATCCAAGGACCAACGATGCGAATGGAGAAAAAATGCGAAAAAAGGAAGGGGGCTCTAAATAATTTTTGGTTGAGATTGTGAGACATCGTGTGCCGATTCCGAACAATGAAAATCATAACAAGTGCAAAAAATCTCACGATCAGCAGTATCCCGTTGTTATTCCTGACCACTAAGCTACCAGCTAAAGCTACGCCTGCCTTAGCATGCAGATACCTCGGCACCTGATTGGAGAGCCCCGGGCAAGTGGGGACATGGGATTGACTTTAAGTCGGTCACGACTGGTCGGTCATGGGCAGTTACACTCCGATTTGCCGTGGTCATAGCTCTTTCTAAGTGGTTCATCCCAATTTGGAGCAAATAAGGCCCGCTAGCGTTACCACGTCGATCTACAGACCGCTCGTAGATTGACAGGGGAGGCCTCTCAGGCGATCCAGCCTTGTCTGACTTAGAATTGAACGCTTTCTTGGCTTCCCTCGAATCTGACATGATATGGTATGATGGACCATCTTGCAGCTGACCGTTACCAATGGGACATGTCCAATATTATTTGGCGACACGAGTCTAATTAACCCGACCTCTCACACATTTGTATCGCACATATAGCATCACACACGGGTACGCGGCAAGGCGTAAATATCATTTGCCTATAAGCCGTATCATACTTATTTAGGCATGGACATATTAATAATTCCCAGCTAAGCTTTCCAAGATTTCCTTGGTAGCACTTGCATTAGGCACATAAATTATTCCCCTACAACTAACTAACTACAGTTTGCACTATATTTTAAGGTCTAGGGGATGACGTAGTTCCCGATTGCTTGGGAACGAATACCATGTCCGTAAACTTTATCAGCCTCTTAAACACGTGAAACTAAATAGACGTTTGTAAGTGCCAGGCCTCCAATTGAAGATACACAAGGTTGCATGTGTTAAATATGTTCTCGGCTTTCAATGTGCCATACGAATGTATATACAAGGAGTATACAAAATTTAAGGCCGGCCACTCGTCGGTGGCGTCTTCGGAGCTTTTACTTGTACAACTTTCTCCAGCGCACCCATAGTCTTCAACCTCTCAGCCCTTATTCTCTCCTTCTCATCCATGTGCTTCTTCACGAGATCGGCGCTAACCACGCCGCCCAGCATGCCTGCTAAGTGCGACACCACGTCCATACCGTGCGCCTTCTTCGAAAGCAGCGGCAAGACGTGCAAGCCTAACATCAGACCGATAAAACCAAGCCCCTGGGGACCGGATATTGGATCAGGCGGGTACCCGAACAGTTTGAACTCGTCGTTTCTGAACAGCCAGAAGTATGCGGTCGCAATCCCGTAGACCGCCCCAGACGCTCCCAACGTCGTATAGTTTAGTCCTCTCATCAGTACTAGATTTGCCAGACTACCCATGAAGCCCAGGGTTCCGGAAGCGAGGTATATAGCAAGAAAATTGCCTCGTCCGACCTCGTCATGGAGCCGGGTGCCAAAGAACCAAAACACCACCATATTCATGGCAAGATGACTGAACTTGTGATGGGAAAATATAGCTCCGACTAACTGCATAGGTCGCGGCGTCGCAGCGACTACGATCATGTATCGGTTGAGAATATACCACAACGGCGGGAGCTTCCAACAAATCCAACATGCCAAGTTGATCCCGATGAGAGCGAGGCAGGTTGCCGCAGCTGGAGGAATATCCGGCCATAGCCTCTTCGAACGTTTAGGAGGTGTGTACAAGGTAGCGTACGTAGCACATGCCGCCAATACCAAGAGAGTCATCGCAAGGGAAGGGAGCAAGCGTTCCCAGGCCTTCATTTCCGGGGGTTCTTCTAAATCGCTCGTTGCGCGCTCGGTCCATTTTTTCATGCGCGGGCTTAATTCCCTCCTCGGCTTCTCCTGCTGAGTTTGGAGCGTTCCGACATTCTTCAGAGCCTCCTCTTCCTCGCGCTTCTTCTGTTCCTCTGCTAGCCGCTTCTCCTCTGCTTCACGCCTCGCTATATTTGCGGCGCGGATTCGGTCGAATGCGCCTTCTCCGTATGGGGAGTCGCTTTTACGTGGTTTGGGGAGCTTCCCAGCTAGGACATTCACGTTTTGCACTTCGTTCTTAGAAGGCGGGTTCTGCGGACTGGTTTCCTCGAATTGTTGCTCAGCATCGTCTTTGCCTTGCTGTTCCTCTAGATACTTGAGTTCGTCTTCGGCTCGTAGACCAGCATTGATAACCTCTTCTACTGGAATATTGGCACGCAGGTATTTCAATGCCTTCGCTTTATCCGATTCGCTGAAATGAGCCGTATTGACTTGCAGGTTCGGGTCTTCGAGAGTCCCCGCTACCCTACGGCCATGCAATATTCTTAGAAGCTTGTTGGCTTCTCGAGAAGGCAAAGGGTGTCCGAATATCTGATTGACCTCCCTTTGGTTGAGGTCTTCTTTCCGGAAGGGGAGCCCTTCGGCATCTTCGTATGAGTCGGGTATGTTTACGTACTCCGTGATCGCGCGAAACCTAAACAATGTTCCAGCAAACCTCCGAGGTGAAAGGTTATACGAAGGGCGATTAATAAGGATTCGTAAAGGACTATGGGCCCCATTGCTGCTATATCGGAAACATGGTGCTAAAGGATTATGTGGCGTCGAGATTGAGCGAGTCGCAAAAGAAATGCCCGATTTTCCAGATTTGCCAGTAATGGCCCGCAAGCCGAGGCGAAAACTTGACGGCGGAGCAAATGAGGGGAAAATAGGCATGGTACCTAGATCATACCATCATGTCCTTAAGTCTATTTTGATCGCGTACGATCCATGAGGTCTCTAAAGGCGATTTTGGTCTAAAGTTCAAGCATGGCCGATGGATCGGGCAAATCTTTCTATCATCTATGATTTCTAAATTTCAATGCGATTAGTCGCGGCAACTTCGGTGGATGATTAAAGCCCCGCATCGGTACAATTGGTGCTAAGGAACTTTAATTCGGACTGGTACGTCTCTTAAATGCATAACTTGATATATCTCTTGCTAAATGCATTCATTTGAATATCAATTGTATTCATTCTCTTCACATATTTTGTCGTATTTAAGGAGTGATGATCCTCCAATACAGAACGTTTAATGTATATCTGAGTCCTCCACCATCGTTCATCGCAAATCACAACTCTCCCATATTCCGTTGATCTTCGACAGCTGCGACTGGGGAAGCATCGAAGTTCCTGATCACGTCATAGTAGAATCTCACAGCTTCCATATGCGAAAACATATCCATCCGCTCATCAACAGTGTGGGCATTAAAGGTGTGGCCCTGGCGGGTAGGCGTCCAGCGGTAGATGTTGTGGCTTAAGTCTAAGGGATAGGATATCAGCAACTATTGACAAGCTCTCGGGTAAATCAGAGACTTCACTTACTCAAATAATGACGAGTGTCTGTGTTGCCAGTCATCAATTCTCCTACCGGAACAACTTTACCGCCTTCAAAAGCAAAGCTGTGCTGGATTGTCCCCGAAAAGACGTCCCAGACAGGTCCATACGTAGGCGAGACTGGGGCCACCAAGGTAGCCTGAGAGGACGTGAGTGTGAGCGAGCCATTGTACTCAACCTCATACATCGGATCAACAACGCCATCCTCCATATTTTCATATAATTCGAAATCAGGATTGTTGTCTTCTCCTTTGAAAGCGGACACTGATAATCCGAACTTCTTTATAATGGGCTGAAGTTGTTTCAGGATGTTAGCCTTGACTGCCGGGATCGAATCCTGAGGCGCAATACGGTGGTTAACACCAATCCGGATGTACTCGGGCATAGCATTGATTTTTACTCCCCCATAGAAATAATCAACTGCTTGGGATGTCTGTATGCGGTATTGAGTGGCCCGATCGATCGTTGCCAGCTCCTCCGTCAATGCACTCAGATCCCCCTTGTTTATCAAGCTGGTGATGTTCGGCGCTGCATCAGGGGAGTACCTCGCCTGGCAGACGAAGTGGTTATAGATCGGTGATCCTTTGATAAGTTTGGGTTTCCACGGGTTGGATTCCAGCTGGTTAACAAATTCAGACATAATGCCAATACCCGTGTGTGGGAATGGAGTCGATGAGTGGCCACCATTGACATAAAGCTCCAACCAGATGTCGACGTGACCCTTCTCCATCACAGCAGGAAGAGCGTCTATGCAGCGTGGTTAGCTTAACGACGCAGTCAATTATTTTCCCTCGATATCACTCACATAATGTATCATTGCCAAGTAGTTGCAGTCCCATTCCCCCTTCATCAAGAATCATATCAATTGACTTAGGACCATATCGCTTTTCTAGGAATTTCCCGATCTCACCAGCGCCTCGTTGACCCGAGCACTCCTCGTCGAATCCAAGTGCAACGATTATGGTTCGTCTCGGTACCCATTGAGGGTTCGCCAGCAAAGTATCCAAAGCGGACATGAGGCCAGTCAAGCTGTTCTTGTCATCGGACGCTCCTCGTCCCCATAACCATTGCCCATCAAAATGGGCAGAAAATGGCGGGTACTTCCAAGTGGAAACGGCATTGACAGGTACTACGTCTTGATGAGCGGTTAACATAATGGGTTTGAGCGCAGGTTCTGTTCCTTTGATTGTGTAGACGAGGCCAAACGTATTCACCGTCTCGCGATCCATTCGAAGATGTCTATAAGCGTGAGATTAGCCGAAGAGGCTAGCGAGTAGCTGTATACCATAAGACACCTACACATTTGGATATAGAGCAGCGAGAGCTCTATGTAGGTCATAGAACACCTCCCATCTGTCATCTTCGCCAGGCTCTCCGCCGTCATCGTACGAAATAGACGGTATCTTTACAATAGTGGAATGTCTTTTGACCTGTAGTTGCAAAGCCTTTTCGTCGGAGAAGATATCCCGAGCAGCAGGCAAACCGTCTTTCGAAGGGTCTAACACCGACGGTAAATCACATTTGAAATCGGCTGGCGTGACACCTTCGAGGACTTGCTGGGACTCATCGTAAAGAATTGAGCGACCCAGAGCAACCGCCGGTAAGGCGCTGGTTACAAGAGCCAATGTAGACACAATCATTTTCCCTGTCGTCCACGGGCAAAGAAGAGAAGATGAGTTTCAATTAGCCTCTACTGCCAACAGCTAAAAATGTACAAGTAAACCCCCCAAAACTTGGCGACGGGATCGGGAGGCGAACATGATGGTTTTACTTCATCCATATATCATAGCTATGCCCTATTACCCCGACCCCCGATTATAGTGATAGGTATGTACGGTTTCATCCTGCGGGGGACGACCAACGACAGCTCTGAATGGCCAATTCAAATAATTATGAGGTTTTCGATGGAGATAAGATACGACAGTACGTAATTACACACTAGGGAGATGCCGATTTAGCAGGGCTCTTATCGCGCCATTCGAACTTTCCTTGGACAGCCGAAACGTCGGAAGTCTAGTTGCCCAAGTTGGAGAAAGATACGACGAGGCCGTGGCGACCTTGTTTAGAGCTCCATTCCGAGAAGGTATCGGTTGTGACCGACGACCCGCATGCCCCGCACTCACCGTAGCTAGATACCTGGCCCAAGCTCCCAAGCTCCTAAGCTCCTCAAAGATCCCCGCAAAAAAGTTTCTACAGTCTCTTATCGATAGGTAGGCAGCTTAACTTCATAGGTACCTAGATACATAGTATAGGTAGGCAACTTCTGTATTGCGACGACTTCAAACAAGAACCAAGTTAAGAAGAAGCCCTCCAACCTCCCAACTTCCCGCAGCAAACTAGGCACTACCAAGTTCTCTCTAAAGAAGCAAAAGAAATAAGCAGCCACCATGTCCTCAGAAACACAACCCATAGACCCCGCCCGCTTCGCCGAAGCGCTGAAGGAGCTCTCGGCCGAGAGCCTGGCCCTGAAGGTCCTCGAGCTGCGCAACGCGATAGCGCACCTGGACTACTCGAACGCGGAGCTGAAGCCGTACGCGGAGGGGCGGGCGCCGGCGGGGGAGCCGGACCCGGACTGCGCCGAGGCGATCGCCGAGAACGTGGCCGTGATCGCGCGCATGCAGGACCGCATCGAGCGCGTGCGCGCCGAGGTCGAGAGTCGCGGGCTCAGCTGGCGTGAGTTCCAGGGGAAGCCTGATGATGAGGAGCAAAGGGAAGGAGGAGAAGAAGGAGGAGGAGAGGGCGCTGCGGCGGGTTCGAGCGCTAACTTGACGAATGGTGTAAATGGGCATGGGACTGGTAGTGGAGAGGCCGAGCATCCGGCGTGGCGGGACGGCACGTTCCAGACGGGGACTATAAGCCAGCTTAGCGATGAGGAGCGTGAGCTACTCAGACAGCTGGAGAGCCGGATACCGCTTGACGATGATGAGGAGGAGGATGATCCGGAAGGGGGTATGCATCTATGACCTTTGGTGTCTCATTGAGTTTCGGTATGGGGTTACGAGAAAGGGCGGCGGGTCAACCTTTTTAATAGCTTGAGCAGTAGTCATTAGTGGCGTTAAGGGTTGGGCTGTGATATCGAGAATTATTTTCTTAAGGGAACCGGTTGCATTATGCGGAATAGGAGTAAACGAGATGGTCATAGAGGAGTGTACATCCCAAGTATGCGAAACGAACATTCATAGATTAAAAGATCTATGCTTAAGCCCACCGTTCCATGTGCGCATATTCCCAATTCCGTTTCAAAAGATATCGATTGGACCTCATTTATTCGCCCTATTTGGGCTGGAGAGAATATGTAGCTCCTACTAAACCCCCTAAGTATTCTCAAGAACGTCTCAATAGCGGTTGAATACGTATCATATTTGCAAGTCATGCACAGATCTTACGAGCTTCAGGAGGGAAATGACTAGAATTGATATTGATAAAATATCATGTAGGAGCTCGAGGTCCCATGAACATTGTATGGGAGCGATTATAAGCTAATCTAGTATGAATAATAAAAAAGGATCGTGTGTGCAGCGAAGAAAAGGGTGCATGCACTGTCTGTCTGTCCTTTGAAAAAAAAGGAGAGTAATAAAAAAAATCAAGAGGAAAAAATGGCAAAAAGCTTGGCTTGCGACTCGAACCAGCGGGATCGACCTGAACAATTGGCAGTTGCCGCCACCCTAGTGTAAGTTGGAACGAGCCTGGGCCTACGAAAAACCCCGGACAGTTTTTCTAATCCGTCATCTACCATGACCACTAGACCAATTGCCATCTCAATCTCCAGTCATATATCAGGACTGGAAAACTTGGACAATATTCAGGTATATAAGCCCAACATCGGTAGGGTGGCCTGTGTCAGGTGGCCTGTGCCAGCTGCCCGTTGTTCTGGCGACGACGAACCTTGAGATGCTGAGTCACCCTCCTAAAATATTGTCATAACTAACTACCACTCCACTTTTATAGGTACTTGGTCTGTGTACCTTTTTACACAAGAACCACTCTTACCCCCTTACTATCACTCCTCACTCCGGAAACGATGACGTCGTGGTCGTATCGGACATCGTCCTCGGTCGTCTCGTATAACCGCATATGCGGGAAGACTCGCAGCGTAAAAGTCGCGACAATAGTGTACATCTCGCAGAGCGCCAGACTAGCATCGCCACCACTTGTTAGCATTCTGTATATGCCCACGACCGAGGCCCGACAACCAAACCCCAGGTTTGGATAGTCGGTTTAGTCGATTAAGGAAATCAAAGGGGTTGAGGTTGACCTAGGTAAAAACTTACTTCATGCCCAAGCATATCCTCGTCCCCTTATTAAACGCCATCAAACAGCGATCCAAATCCCTCCTCCTCTTCCCCTCCCCATCCAACCACCGCTCCGGCGCAAACTTAAACGAGTCCGGGAAAAGGCTCTCGTCATGGTGAATTAGATACGTGCTCATCCCCACCGCATACCCGCGCGGAACCACATGCTCGACCTTGCCGCCTTTCCACTCCCCGCTATACACGAGGTCCTCCTCGGTCGCGGCGCGCGCCGTGCGGCTGGAGACACCGTACGAGAGCCTCAGCCCCTCCTGCACGACGGCGGACAGGTACGGCAGCTTCTCGAGGTCGGACCACGGGGGAATGCGCAAGGGGTCCGGGACGGCGGCGCGCAGCTCGTCGGCGAGGCGCGCGAGCGTGCGCGGCTGCGCCAGCAGGAAGTAGGTTATGACCGACAGCGTCCAGCTGACGGTCTCGGTGCCGCCGCTGAGCACGGTGACGGCCTCGCCGACGATGCGGTCGGGCGTTTTCTCCGCGGCGGGGAGGTCCGAGTGCAGCAGCTCTTTGAAGATGGTGGGGTACTTTTCGTCGATGACGCCCGCGTCTGAGTTGGCTTTTGTTTGCTTGACGTTGTTCGGGATGTCAACCTAGGGGTTCTGGCTGTTAGTTGATTATGCTTCATTCGAGCTTACGCAATGTGAGGGAGGAAGTGCCGCTTACTCGCAGCGTCTTGATCATCAGGGACATGCCCGCGGGTAAGTAATTCAAGAGCCTATATCCTGTCAGCGTCTTTGACGGTTCCCTTAACTCTCTGGAGCATTCGTCAGAACTAACCATGGCATCGCCAAGAGAGAATGCTTGAACATGGGGAAGAAACGGCAGATATATGTTATGTTCAAAAGCGCGTACAGCGGCCCACGAAAGTTGGGCGCCCACCCGTCTCGCTCGAGAAAGTTGAAGCTCTGGCCGAAGCAATAACCCGATATGACGTCCGACGTGAAGCAGCTGTAAGCCTCCTGGATCAGGAAAGGCTCGCCTTTGTTCACACCGCTGAGGAGCTTCTCGCAGAGGCGCTGGGCGTACTCTCGGATTTGAGGCTCGTACTGAGAAATCTGAGGCTTGGAGAAGTATTTGACTAAGGGTGCGCGCCGGAGGCGATGGTGGTCGTGGGGCGTGGTCATGAAACCGGACCCTGCAAAGCTATGTCTTGTTAGTTTCGTGCATACAGCAAATGTTGGCGAGGGAAAGGGGCTTACGGTGAACCTCTGGTTTGGTGAGTTGGCTTATCACGCTTCCTGCCACCCGCCGCATAGATGGAGTCGACAAAATTGAAGTCGCTACAGTGAATCTCATCTGGATTTATACGAACCATGGGGCCTGAACTCGAATCAGCATATAGGTTATCTCTTTACACCTTTAGCAGCAGATAGGGGCTCAGCACCATAAATCTCATGCATTCTTTTTATCTCATGAGTATACCGCCCAAACCTCACACAGTCGTACCAAAACTCAGGAAGGTATGTCGCCGCCGCCAATTTAGGACCAGGAAACCGGCTGAGAGGGTGGAATGGAGAGATATTCCATGCTGCCCGTAGCAGTTGGTAGACCATCCAGCCGCCGAGGAGGATAAGGGCATTGCGGATTGTCAGAATCTCTACCACTTCTTCACGAGAGGGTATCTTGGATAATATATCATTGACAACAGTCATGGTGTTGAATTTTAAAAGTTGTCAAGGGCTAAGTGATGAATCGATCGACTGAGTCAGGCATACGACTATCGCTTGATGTGCCGAGTCGCTAGTATCGAGGCCTATTTATATACCCACCATCTACCTCAAGCAACCCTCACAATTGCGGGGATTATGTATGGTATATGAGTAAATGAAGCGGGCCTCGAACAGAATGTGTCGACAGCATTTTCGTTGTCGTCCGTCACAATCCGCCGCCCCTATAGCGGCTCTCCACGCGGAGGCGGAGGCGGTCGGTAAACTGCGGTGGTATCCAGCAACGTCACGGCATCCACCATGGTGCTGAATCGACGATAACACACAGCAGCAGGTAGCTATTCACAAGGCATGCGATAACGCCCTCTTCCGATGGCTTGCATGAATGATGCTAGATCATCCACTTATAATGCCTGCACGATCGCAACGTGCTCCCCATAGATGCAGATGAGATACCACACGTATACGGTTATCCGGGGCTGTCATCTCTATGTAGGGTGATCTTTTGGTACCGGAGTCTGGGCATGGTGTTGCGGTGGCACTATTCCACTGACAGGCTTCGACGCCGTCGATACCATATACGATAGAGATTACCACGAACCACTACCAAACCGGCGAAATTAACAGATCGAGTGACATATTTGAGGGTAATCTGTCTGACCATTGTGAAACGATGAAGTGATAAAATGATGTTACCAGCAGAATCACATACATACATACCTCAGATAGATGCACGGCAGTTTGTCTCTCGGACGTGATTTGTGGTAGTTCCAAGCCTCAATCCGTTCTGAGTATGCCGGTACGTTGACCGTTATCACACGTAAGCGATCTATACTCTTATAGGCCTTCCATTTGCTGTTTCTTCTGGTGGTGCAACGGCTATACCATCTTCCAAGGGTGTCTGTTTGGCTCTTGGAGAGGATAGTCTTGTTACACCAAAACTGTCTTAGTTCTAGGTAACGTGCCGCGCTGACCCAAGAGAAAAAGCAAATACCTTAGTATGTAAGATGACCATTGACGAATGCAACATGTGAGAACTGACAGAGTTTCTGCGTTGGCTGTGTAACTCGAAATACCGGATGGAAGGTCTAATCAGCTGGTTACGTAAAAATGGTAATACTAGGTAATTCTACTTGAATGTAAATCCTGGACCTACAATAACCGAGTGATGAGTGACATCAGCGGCGTTTGTACAGGAAGCAATTCAGAAATAAGGCTGCGGCTCAAAGTTGTCTCCCGATTCCTATAACCAACCAGGCCAGCCAACCCGCGCAGATAACTGGGAATCTGTTATTATGTATGTCATTCACAATATAGCTAGGTAGCTTAAAGTTTTTATTTGTTTTTATTTATTTTGTTTTACTTTTTTACTAAAAAGCTTGGAGTTCCCCTATATGACTTTCCCAATCTCGTAGCCAAGCCTATGTTCCAACTAACTGATAAAGTTGACGGACTCTTACGAGAAACAAATATAACACAATTTACGAACTGATCTATTTATTTAAGCTGTGGCTGCATCGCATTGTACCATCGCTAACGAAGGAGCTTAAGGAGGCGTCAGGATCGTCGCCTGTGGGCGTTGCGCCAATCTAGCCGATTAGGACCTTTGACCCTCCGCGTTCGGAGTGTAGAGCAAGATAAGGCAGACACTTCTTCGGATATTTGCTACCAGGTCCATGGCCCGACCTACAGACCCGAGGAATCACTTTCACAAAATAAGTTTCGGGATAAGAGAAGCCTTAGAGGCTTTGGACACTTATGAACTCAATCATTCGAACACTCAAGGAATTTATGTTAATGGACAGCTGGTTTGATGCTAAGATACTAGGCGCAAACCAAAAAAGAACCCATCAAAGAATTGTCGAACGAGGGCCGAACCAAACGCCATGCAAGCCTGCAAATGCGACCCTTAGACCAAAGTTGCCATGCATTTTTGAAGAAACCGTGATGTAACAAACCGCCCGCTATTTCTACAACCACCTGATCGTGCGGCACTATCCGCTTGGCGAAACCCGAACTTGCCAACACTGTGCTACCCGAGGAAGCTGTAGCTCGATGCTGCCATCCGACTCGGCCATCTGTCTATCCCGATGACACTATGACGAGACTGCCAGTGGCGGGCCTAACGTAACGGGAGAGGGTTTCTGTTGTCCATCTTCGAGGTTCTTCCTGCTAGGTGTGGCGGGATTTGTTCGGGATGGGCTGGATCCGCTCGTGATGTTAGCAAGCGCGTAACTAGCCGATCGGGTGAGTGCCTCTCCGTCTACTTCTAGCGACACACTCTCCTTCGAATCCTTCTCATTTTCCTGGGAACTGGATATAGGTTGTAGCTTTGGCTGTCGCGCTGCTCTCCTACCCCGTCCAAAAGAATCCGAGCTTTTCAGGTGGTAGTACTCCTCCTCGGACGAGGAGTCAAAGTCGGCAGAGACCGGTGGCCGGGCCCGACGACTTTTCCGCTTCCGGGGCTCGTCCGAGGCATCCGAGGATTCTAGTGACACGCTCCGACTTCTTGGAACTCGGAGACTTTGCTGTCCCCGGCTTGAAGCAGTGTTCTTCCTAGTAATAGTCTTGTGAAGCGTTGTGGTGGAGTCAAAATCTGAGGGCAGCTCGCCACTCTTGAATTTGGCCTCCATCGCTCTTTCGTGGACCAGTCGGCCTAGGTTAGGTCCGTCACTCATCGTCGTCTTGCGGCTAAGATGACTCGCCATGCTTCCACTTCTACTAACCGGCACTTTACCTTCCATGATCTTCGCAGGTGGGGGTGGTTGCAGCATCCACTTGTTACCGTCCTTGTGTACGGGCTTCTGTCGCACGATTGGGGGGTGGTAATCGTTGACAGGAGGGTTTCGTGGTGCAAAATAGAAATTATGCCTGTCCTCGTCGGTAACTGGTTTCGGCTCCTTCCCTAAACTTGCATCAAACAGTCGGCCGGCCGATGACCCCGCTTGCTTAATAGCGTCCATCAATTTATGAGTGCGGGATATATCTTGATCTTGACCCCACAACTCTTCGTCTTCCCTCTGGTAACGTTTTCGGTTCCAATCGTCTGAATAGCTAGTAGAAAAGCTAAGTTTACCATCTTCGACGGCCGTCCGACTACTACCTGGGCTTAGACTGTTGACTTGGGTACTGCTTCCAGCGGCGCTTGTGCTCTCCTTGCCAGAACTACTTAGGCGCTTTTGGCTTATGTTTTTATTTCCACCTCCATTATACTTCTTCGCTTGTATGCGGGGGCCCATCATGATTTCTTCGGACCAATATGGATTCGTGTTGAAAGGATCTGGGTGAAGGTATGATCCAGGGTTCTCGGCTTGGATGCGTGCCTTCTCTTCGCGTTCCTTCTTGGCTTTCGCCTTGGATTGCTGATGATGTTTCGCTTGGAGACATGGCGCACAAGATACGAGGTAAAATATGGCGGACTGAACAGCAACACCGAACGACATGATAGGTATGGAATATTTGTGTGTGCCTGTTGAAGGCCTACGTTGAAAATGAAGGGACTATCCTTGGTAACAGCATTGGCGAAATAAGCTAGTTCATAAGATGGTTCGTAGACGGGCGTGTCGAAGTGGGAGGTTTAGAGAAGGCAGTTCGATATTAGCGGCGAGAGGAGGCTTCGTACGTCGTTCTAAGTTTCGGCTAACAACACAAGACGAATTCTATTTTTGGTAAGGCTAAGTTCGAAAGGGGTGGAAGGTGCAATTGGTCGTTTCTGAATACGCCAGGTAAAGAGAATTCGTCGGTATAGAGGGGGAAAAGTCAAATAATCATTAAGTTTCAAGGTCCAGCGCGTGAGTGAATGAGCGAGTGCGATTCGTATAGTATAAGGAAATGGGACAAGTGATATGCGGTAGGCGTCGGTAGCAATCTAAAATTGCTCAATTGTATCGTAAGACTAGGAGCTGGACAAGTCGAGGCTTCTAAGTGCTTAAGTTGAAACCAAGGCAGAAACTAGTGTGGTGGAACAATGGGATGAGAGGATAGCAAACAATCGGTATGGGCGGAAGTCGTTGTCGTGTTAGAAGGCGAAGTCGAATATAGAAACAATATAATTGAATTGACCCCCTGATAGAAGGTAGAAAGAAGTCAGTCTTAATTTACAACGATAATATAAAGGAAGACGACTCTTCAGCTACCACCGGCAGCGTGGAGGAAATAGTCGACGAAAAAGGGAAGTGAGGATGTTGTAAGTTGTAAATGGTAAATCAGCGAGTGGAGAGAAATTCGGGAAGTGAACTCAGGATGTCGATGAACAAACGTAAACTAGCAGACGGCGGACAGGCAGGCGACGATGGAAATTGGGAAAGGTGCGGACGATCCCACGCACGTTTCTGCATTCCCTGCATCCTACGAAATAATGTATGGTCCGGGTTGGATGGGTTATGTACGATAGTGGACCAATTGAGATAAGTTTGGGGGATAAATGGGGCAGGATGGGGACCAGGGGAGTTAGCTTCACTCTGCATGTTTCAAAGGCGCAAGCGCCACATCTTGGCTTCCAGCGAGGCAGGTGCAGACATTGCAGGGGTGGAGGAAGCAGGGTTCTGTGGTGGCGTTCCCCTCGATCCATGCCACTTGGACGGGATATCATTGGACATCGAATAAACTCAACCACAGAAGGTGGGGTTATTCTCTTGAATACATACCTACCTGGTAGGTAGCAGTTCGAAAGCCATACACCCCCGGCTGCCCCACCACTATGCAGTATAAACGACCCGCTTTCATTTGCGCCTGCCTTTATGCTCTCGGGTCCCTATCGGGTCCCGCCCTTTCCTGCCTTCGAATTGGAATTTGGATAATCGCTCGCTTGGCAGTGCAATGTCAGCAAATGGCACGTTTTACCCTTGTCCGCCACGGCTAGTTCACCTGGCCTGTGCTTTACAACTCGTCAACTTGCATACTCCCCGCAACGAATCCCAGGTACGACTGCAACACTCGCATTTGGATAGATGAACCGAAATGCATAATGACCTCCGTTAAGATTCCAAGATTCCCCAAGATTCCCAGAGAATTTCCCTCAATCACACCTGTCTCTTCTTTCGCCTCTTCTGCCTCGCGTCTCTTTGCCACGCAAACTTTAGTGGCTAAGCAACTGAATATGAGTATGAGATCTCACCTATCCGTAACTCACACGTATGAGTGATATTGGACAATCAGAAGATTGCTGAACACAGCCATACTGCGTACCTGATAAATAAATAGCCACACGTCAGATTCCACCTAATCCCACTTACGACTGCGCCTTTTCAGCGTACAACATCCACCAATCGTCTTCGGAATGCATTACTAAATTTGTGTCGATGCATCGACCCATGAAATCGGGAAATGTAACTCAACTGGCATATTCTGGAATGATTGCTGCTAACACAACAAAAACCTAAACAGCCCGAATTTCTCGAGCTTATCAAGTTTGAAATTAATAAAGTACAATATAATTACACATATTAAACTCATCAGTCAATTAATTGACTTCCAAAACTTAGATTTGTGCAGCGTGTTACATGTGTACACGTGAATGAAAGTCTGGGTTTCACGTGAGCCATTGCAATGCCGGTTAATATTCTCCTAGCATTAGGTGCATCCATGTTTAAACGTTGATAACTAGTAGGTAAGCTAGGCTTTCCGTCATCTAACGGAACTGATATCCAAGTGATATATCAGTGAGCGCCAATATGATAAAAAGAAGCCAAATAATAACCCTTTAACGAAGACAGAATAGAAAAGAGCTAAATGCTAACCATGATAACAGATCCGCTCTTACATACCAGGCTATTTCGGTGTCTGGATCTACGAGATATCTCATCATCTTTCTTAGCTAGAGCCGGGATACCGAGATATCCATATAAATGACCTAGGTAGGTAGGTATATAATGGTCAACAACTGCCTTTTTGGATTGTCAAGTCGATGCTAGCTCGACGGGAAAAGCCGTAGATCTACTACGACCTATTGATCACCTTCTAGCCATTATCAATTGAATCCATTCAGACCAATTCAGCTACATTTACTCTAGAACCACAGAAATCTATAATATAACTAGGGCATGGCACATATGCTTAGATCGCGTCACGGTTTCACCAATAAGCAGACACGTTAAAAAGGAAAGTATGCGCATCCATTGTGCTACTCTGATCTCATAGCTACTTCGAATTTTTAAGAAAATAGTGCCCCCATCTGTCCGCCAACTGTGGGCACGAAAACATTAGCACGACCTCTCCACATCTCAATCAGGCTGAAATGGGAGTCGGGTAGCACGAGATTGTCGCGCCGTTGGTGCAGAGATCAGCTGCAACGAGTAGAAGAAGAGAAAAAAACGTAGTCGTTGATACAAAGCAAGGGCGGTCAAGTTCTGTGTTTCGTTCGGGCATCCAGCAACAAAGTAGAAAAATAAAACGAATCTCCCTTGCCCGATCCAAGTCCAAGCCCTTAATTTTTTGGTTTCGCGATGCCTGACGTCCGTGTCTGTAGTGTGATTGATTCGATGTAAAGGCGGTGATGGTACGGTAATGGTACGGTGATGGTGGAGAATACTGTACAACAGGGGGGTCGACCGTTGAAAGAAAAGGGGTTAAGTCATGAAATCTATGCAATATTCACGGCGGGTAAAATGTATAAAGAAGTAGAGTGTGCCGGTATCGAGGTGCCCAACGTCCCAATGTCTCAACTTCATACGTCCCACTCTTCCTCGTCATTATCATCAGTCTCCTCAGGAGTGAGAGCAGCAAAAGAGGAGTTGCTGCTGGTTAGGATCGGCTTCTTGTTGGTGCCGTTGACCGGGGCCGAAGGCTTGGCGGTCGGAGTGCTACCACCATTTGTGGCCGGTGCTGAAGGTGTCGACGTCTCACCGGACACATCCTTCTTCTTTCCCTTCTTTTTCGTCTTCACCTCGTTCCAGGAGTCCTCTTGTCGAAGCATCTCCATCTGCTCCTCCTCGGATGGTACACCGGAGATCCAAGGGTCGGCTTTCTCCTTGATCGGCTCAGCAGCCTTCGTGGCAACAGGCTTAGCAGCCTTCGCGGGCTCTGCCTTTGGCTTCTCGTCAAACGTATCTAACGGTTGAACGGTGTTGTTGTCGCCATTGGTAGGCTTACCATTCCAGGCATTTTGAGTGTTAGCTGCGAAGGTGGAGCCGTCCTTAGCGGCGCGTCCTTCGGCAATGCGAGCAGTTCGTCGCTGCTGTTCCAGCTTGACCTTTCGCTCCTTCTCTTCCTCCTCACGAGCAGCCTTAGCAGCCTCGGCCTTCTTTCGGTTCTGACGTTGCTTCTTTGTCTCGACTACTTCGGGCGCCTTCTGCTTTCGCTCCTTAGGCTTCTTGGCAGAGTCAACATCAGTTAGACGAAGGACGGAGGGACCGGGTGCAGTAGGTTCAAGCATATCAGATACATCTCGGCTATCAGCAGGTACAACGACAGGAGAGGCTTGGGAAGACAAGTCATCATCGGCATCACCGGCGTGGGAGGAAGGGACTGATATCTTTCCAGCTTGTGCTTCGGAAATCTCCTGTGCCTTGGACTGCTTGACAGACTTTTGTTTCTTCTCATCCGACTTCTTGGTGTTAAATTTGGTTCCAGCGTGAGTAGTGGATAGTTGACGAGCAAATTCCCGGTCAGCTTTCTTATCGGCGGCCTCGACCTGTTCGCGATTGTAATCGATGTTTGATGGGGCAGGTTGAGTCGGTGCGTCTGCCGGGGCTTTCGGCTTCGGCTTTGGTTTTGCGGGCTTCTCCGTCTTCTTCTTAGCGTCACTTCCTAGACCAACTTCATTCTGTTTTCCTGATTGTCTAGTGAAGGAACCACGACGTTCAGTTCGCTTCTGTAGCTGCTTCTGTTTACTACGGTACCAGAAAAGTCCGCCAAGTCCAATCATGACCGCCCATCCACCAATAGTGGTGAGGGTCGAGTGAGTGGTAGAAATATCCATGGTAAACGGAAATCGTCGTAAGCGCAGCTACGTATGCGCCGTTGACCAGATGGAACCGATGGCAGAAGGTAGACAAATTGATGGCAGCACGAAGTGCCTCGAGAATGAAGGCGTTAAGACGTCTCGGCGATGTCGATGTGTTCAATTTGCGTGTTTCGTAAGACACACACCGGACGTACGAAGAGCTCGGAGGAGCTAAACCAGTGACGGAAGGTGATGCGCCGATTATGTCGAGCTCTACTGCACTGCACAATACAAATAGGAAAGAGTGTGGACGAGCACACCCGAGAAATGAAAGGTGGCCGATGCAAGCTTCTGGTGAAGCTGAATCAGCGGCGAAGTGCTTAAAAAAAGGAAATAAAAGGATGTATTTTTTATGGTGACGAGTTATACGAAATATGGGAGGAATAAAAAGAGGAACAAAGTGAATGTGGTCTGTAAATTTTTAACTTTTTGGCTTTGCGTTGGCTGTCAAGGTTGTCAGGGTCAGTGGATGGGATGGATATGAACAGATCGTGGTCGCCGCGTGGTAACTTCAATAACTTTAGGGGATAAGTACCTAGTCGTAGCTAGTAGCACGGATAAGGTTGTGCTGTCATTAATGATCATTGACCAATCAATACGAGTCTAGATGTAGAAGGTTATCCATTTAAAGGGGCCAATGTTGGACAGCTGTCCAATACAGTACAATGGCAGTGGGTCTTCATAATGTATAATTGCCCAGGTGAACTCTACATCCGCTTATTCATGGCGCCAGGGCGCTTTATCTCGTTATTGTATTAGCGTCTCACCAAATTGAATTTGTGGATACGAAAGAACACGGAAAGCCCCTTAAAAAATCGACGAAGCGTAAATCCTATTCGCTTGGCCTCGCATTAGAGAATGAACTGACATACTTAGCGCAATTTGGTATGGATGGCGCGAAACCATTCAGACATCTGTGATTTGAATGATTGAATACAAAGCATATGTAGGCGACGACTGTTCGGTTGGTCAAAAACTTCCGTGATGCAAGCTGCCAGCTCTTTCATTTGAGTACCTTTTTTTCTACTCTGTCACTCACCAGTCGGTTAGCCTTCCTTACTACGAACATTGAGGGATGTACATAGGCAACTTGCATATCTTACGCAGATCCAGATCTCAACCAAGATCAATCTGACCAATAGGTGGTATTGGCCTGCGATACTTGGAAGCTGTCATTCACTGTAACCTTTCTATTTGTTGAGTATATCTGGAGCACCCTTTGGTTTTATACATTACTGATATTCATATAATATTTGGTTCACTGCTTGTTGAATCCTCTCAAGACTCTAGTGTCTAGCTACTCCTAATTGGCAATGTTACAAGATCTCCACCTTGGCATACTCGCTACCTTATCCTACTTGAGCAGGTCATCACTTATACGGTGAAATAGATTGCCTATTTGTGTATATGCGCCCAGGTATTTTTATTCTATTATTAAGTTTCGATTTCATGTGCCTACGCCATCACGAATTTCAATATCCATTTATCTAATGCGCTTCATGTGCCATATGTAGCAAAATGGGCGGGACTTAGCCACATGCGTCCGTTACTCGTTAAATTCGAAGAAGCGAGCACAATGCGGCAGCATAAGTACTATATCGCTATTCTCTTAGTTTTTCTTATCTCATTTGACTAGCATAAAACCCAATTCTTAGGTCAGCAATTAATTTTCTTGTCTCTGTTTGACGGGATGTATTCATCGACATATTGTAAATCACGAACAATACAACAATAATAGGGACAAGTCGGGGCGTTAATACATTCCGTCTTCCGGTTGCCGGAGGCTTGCGGGATCGGCTCCCCACCCGTTGGTCACCGACGGAGGGCGCTAGCGTCATCGGGTCGCAAATACCTTTTGTACCTAAAAGGGCTTAATTGGAGCCGCATCTTATCGCCATTTCCATATCTCTATACTTCCAATCTTGGCCTCTAGCTTTTCCACGTACCTTTTAATAACTTCAATTTCATATCGTAATTATATATATTCGAAATTCTAAACTTTCACTAAGATTATGGCTCCGAAGAAGCTTATTATAGACACCGATCCAGGTAAGTAGTGGAAGCTAAGATACAGAGCTCCGTAGCTTCAAAATTGAACCCTAGCTAATCTCTACTAGGTGCCGACGATGTCATGGCCATGCTTCTAGCCCTGGCAGCCTCGCGGGAGGAGTTAGAGGTGGTGCTAATTTCGGTCACCTACGGCAACGTGGCATTGGAGGCTTGCTTACGGAACGTGGTTGCTATGTTCCATGTCCTTGACAACGAGATGGAGTGGCGTAAGGCCCAAGGAAAGCCATTGGGTTTCGAAGGTCTACGCACTTACAAGCCTATCGTTGCCGTCGGTCCTGAGCACGCCTTGGAAGAGGAGATTTTGATGGCGGATAACTTCCGTAAGTCGAGATATATGAACATGTGTCAGGCTGCATGAGAAAACCGCGACTGACATGACATCTACTAGACGGGGCCGATGGATTACATGGCGTTCACGAGGCTGTATGTTGAAGAGGCCTTATCTTGCTGGGTGTTAACATTGGCTGACATACTATACTAGCACCCACATCTGTCACCAGCCGATACCTGGAAGTCTCTATTCAGAGACGGGCTTCCAAGCGGGGCTGATGAGCCCTCTTATTTGAAGTATTTCACACCTTCAAAAACTCCATCACACAAGGAGATCCTACGGATCCTAAAGGAGGAGCCGGCTAATACTGTCTCGATTTGCGCTCTTGGCCCGTTAACTAATCTGGCGCTAGCTGCCTCGGAGGACCCCGAGACCTTCCTCAGGGTTAAGGAAGTGGCTGTTATGGGCGGAGCTGTGGAGTGTGAGGGTAACGTTACGCCGGTTGCCGAGTTCAACACCTATGCCGATGCTGTTGCTGCTGCCCGGGTATTTGCTTTAACATCGCCGAGCCCTGCTTCTACCATGCCACCTATCCCGAAGGACAAGGCGACTCTCCCGCCGTACCCAGAAAAGCTTTCCAAGACCTTAAATATAAGTCTGTTCCCCCTCGATATCACTACGCCCCATCTCTTGAACTTCGGCTTCTTCCTGGAGAAAATCGAAGCACAGCTTGCCAATAATAGCCCATTAGGGACGTGGGTTAACACGTTCATGGCTGGCATTTTCCGTCAAATAACCTCCATGGTTGGTCCCGACGTAGAACCAGGACTGTCACTCCACGACCCCCTGACCGTCTGGTATATGCTCACGGGATCAAACCCGGCATGGACGCTGGCCAAAGGGGCGCCAGAGGACATACGTGTTGAGACATCAGGGCAGTGGACTCACGGAATGCATGTCTCGGATCGCCGCATTCTTAGGAAGCCTGACGGCGTGAACACTTTTGAAGTTCCGGGAGATGAGGATGGTTGGTTGAGTTTGAAGAGGGGCAATAGAATAAACAGGTATGTTACTAGTCCGGGTGAAATAGCTTTTGCGCCATTCCTGATGGAGAGGATATTCGGGTGAAGGGGGTAGTATATATGGAGCGCGATGAGTTCACCAGATATATATATGATGTGACAAGGGCAGTAAAGGTGTCAGCAGAATGCAAATATGGGTATCATTAGGCAAGAGGCATACCCTATGTGTGAATCTTCAAGAATCCCCTCTTCTGTAAATGCAATTATCCTTCCTCCAACGCCAGACCTATGATCTTAAGAACCCAAAGCTTTAAGGTTTGGTTCATACGCGATTCCAAATCCGCCTCCTATATGTGCTTGATACCACCAATTGCTGAGCCCTTCACCTCTTGCCAATTGATGCTTTCGTCGAGCGCCTCGTCCACCAAGCCTACCACGCACACATTGTCACCTCGAACAAGATAGAGACCTAACGGAACCTCTGTGGATGGTTCTGTGTCGTCGGAGGTTCGGATAACACGTTCAACTGTCTGGCCGAGGACCTGAGCATGTGGGGTCAGCCAGGGATTCACGATCAGAAATATGATACTTGTGTTCTTACCAAATTTGTCATCTGGTCGCAGCTTAAGAGATTCCCCACCAGGGTCCGTGAGTCTGCCGTAATTATCAAGACCTTCTCTAGTAGTCGCATGTTAGACAATTCACGCAGCAAGCCATGTTTCGGGTTGAAGATTGAGACCGTCAAAGAGAGAGCAACGCGACTTACTGTTGATATACCCGCCGAGGTTCGACATCTTGACAATTAAGGCAGTCGGGCTGAAGCTTATTACGATGTAAAGACGTAGATTGAAGAATGGGTACGGTAGGCTTGGAGGGCGTAACCTTAAGCTTGGTGCGGCTGTCAGTCAGGCAGCTCCAAATGCGTCGATGGATACTACGGCTTCCAAGATTTGAACCTCTTAGAAAATAGAGATGTAATATTCAAAGCCACACATTCACAAGTTATTGTGGCTGATCTAATGTGATAAGGTACGTACATACACTAGTTTATCCAATCTTTGGGGCTCAAACTGAGATCGGTTAACGGTTTCCCCACAATCATTGTCCGACGTACCTAGGTACCTTATGTAACACTCCGCTTAACCCCGGACCAATGATTATTTTCGTCCCTTTGTGACTTCCGAGGTGGCTTAGCTTTCATAATTCCCTTAGTTTTGCTGCCCTTAATTTTTAAACCCCGTTGAAAATCCTCCCTAATTAACCTGAGGCTCAGTCCATTATTCAGGGGCTTACTATGGTATGGAGGGTATTAGTTAACACAGGCCTAAGTATTTTTAAGTTTCTTGGCAATCGCAGGGGTAAGAAAAGATACTTACGCCTACATTCATTGAAGGGACTAGTACCAATTTAGTCTAGTGGACTGCTTCACGTGACGAATTGGTACTTTGGGGGGTGTTAATTAATTGGCCTGATACCGTAGTAAGGTCGTATTCTTTCTCGGACCCTCCCGAATTCTTCTCTTTATTCAAGAATTGACGATGAGTTAAAGCATGCAGGCAACCACCAACAAATACTACTTTAAACATTCTCATAGTAACAGAAACTACATTTCGGCTTGCCTCCTTTTTAATACCTTCCCGACTTGTGCATCCTCGACTCCAACGGGTCCGATCACAGTCGTCTCGTAGCCAATGATGGCCAATCAATTGGTGGCAAACGTTTGAAACATCTAAACTCAGCTGGGATTTTTTGTTTTTAAGTGACGCAGCCGCTGGACTTCCTACTCGGGTGATTGGCTCCCTCTGTTACCCCTGGCCGTTCCTTGCCGTTGCTTGTACATCACCACCAGTCTCGTACTAGCAAGACTAGGAAGGCCGGCGAGTTAAAGCAAGTCTTTTCCGTGGTCGGTTCACGATTCAGGGGCTCTTACGGCGCTCCATCGTTACCCCTTTGGACCTCCAACCTGTCATTCTTTTGCCAAGCTAAGCAAGGTAAAGTTCCACGTCAAGAAAGGATCCGCCATATGCAGTTGGTGAGAGATCTCTTTGTCCAATACACTCGTATGGTATATATCATGGCTTTTTTCCCCATTCCCAGCCATCTATCTCACTCCACGTTCCTACGTTCCTGACTTTACCGTCTGTCTCACTCTTTCATTCGTGGCGTCTGGCAACTTTTCACTCTTTTTCATTTTAGATATAAGGGATTTACTCGCCCTTGTTTCCAAACAATTACCTTCTTTACCAAGTACCCTCAGTGGTTCCCTTTCACTCTTTCTATTTTCGTTGCCAAGCACGACAAAGCCACCACCAATCGGAGCCCACGACCGTGTAGTTGGAAAACAATACGGAACCGACGATTCGACTTGAGTCTTCACTTATAAGCCAGCGCAAGACCCGCTATATTCTTTCTGAGAAAGACGTTGATCGATTTTTTACCTTTTCCAAAAACTTTTATCAGTTCTTTCTAGAGGAAGTCTCCAGCCAGCAACCATGAAATTTCAAGTCGCTACCATTGCCGCCGGCCTCCTCTTGGCCGGCCAGGCGGTCGCCGCCCCCGCCCCTAGCGCCCCCCTCAGGGCCAGGGATGGGAAGACGGCGGCAGAGATCGTGGCCGAGATCGCGCCCGACTCCAAGACCTGCGACGGGTCGGCGGAGTGCCGCACCGCCGACCAGGCCGGGCCCCTACTCGCCGACGCCATGGTCAAGTACGGCGTCTACGCCCCCGGCCAGATCGCGGGCATCATCGCGCTGACGGCCTTCGAGTCCGTCAACTACAAGTACAAGCACAACGTCTCGCCCGGCCGCCCCGGTCAGGGCACCTCCAACATGCAGCAGTTCAACTACAACCTGATGTACGCCCAGTCCATCCCCGAGCTCAAGAGCCAGGTCGCCGGCGTCGACGCCAACGCCGCCGACGACAAGAAGAACGACGTCCTGGCCCTCGTCAACGCCGACGAGTACAACTTCGGCTCCGGCCCCTGGTTCCTCACCACCCAGTGCACGAGCGACGTCCAGACCGCCCTCGCGAAGGGCGACGACGCCGGATTCCAGGCCTACATGGGCTGCGTGGGCGTCACCCTCACCTCGGACAGGACGGCTTACTGGACCAGGGCCAAGTCTGCTTTCGGCCTTGCCTAGGTTTTCGTTTTCGATGGGTATTTTTAAGGACTCTCTTGGCCATGCATGGACGAAAATATGCGGAGTTGAGGTTCGGACATTTTGATGAAATGGCATTTGGCATTATCGTTTTTACGTCGCATCATTGAGCAAGGGAAAAAAGAGATAGCGGTTCTGTGCTTCGGGGGATTCGGTCGTCTTCGCTTCTGTGTATATTGAATTTATCCATGATTTTTATATAAATGATGTTCATGGCATGATTGTGATTATGGTTATGATTTTCATGTGATGCGTCGTGAAGCGGCAAGATTACGATCTATTATTATACCAACGAGTAACTCGTCGACTACGCTATAGACAGGCCCGGCTCTAGCACTTGAGGGTTGCGATCAGTCCATAAGTGCTAGCTAAAGCTGTGCTGGAACTAGCTTGCTTGCAAATCCTAATACTTATGGAAAATACATCGGGTCTCATCCAATGCTTATTCGCGATTCACCTCGGTGTACTCCTATATTGATGCTGATTCAATTGAGAGCGATAGAGTATTAGAGGAATGTATATGCGAGAGTATAAGATATGTAAATACCTAATTTGTTGAAATTTTGTTATTGAAAAAAAAAAAAACCAGTGACAGAATACACCTGGGTGAGGTCTCGGCTGGCTACTTCCATTGGCAACGACGTCAAACCGATCTAGGATAGAACATCTGAAGTTGTCTAGGTAGTTATTGTTTTATATCAATATTTATTATCTCGCCTGTGTAATGTGCCCTCGTTGGCTGAATTGACTCCATTGACATCTGTAAGTTAGTATGTATGGTGGCTTTGGACTGAATGATCTATTATGCCTTAGGCTACGAGTCTAGCGAGCCTACTTTTCATAGTATCTAATTTTTTAGTCCGAGCAGGGCGGTATTCGAATCTAAGTTTACAAATGGTCTAGGACGCTGTCGTGCTGTTCTCTTTCACCTAATGATTTTGTTCAATGAACTCGTATCCTTTAAAAGGACCGAGAAGTTGATACAGTAATTGAAGCCCCGGAGGAGAGTTGTTTGGTTCATGCTATGTAACCTGGACATCATCGACGTTATATATGCGTACACATATCCCCCATCACTAAATGCACTTTTGTGACCTCCTATGTAAACAAAAAGACGCTGCAGATGCCGCACCTAAAATGTACCGAGATATAAGGGCTGATCGCGGGGTATCTGACATCCATATCACCAATCCATCACAACCGAGCGCCGTGTTTAACTTCCAAACAATAATATGGTTAGTGAGGCTATGAGCCGGGCGTGCTTGGGTTCAGGAAGGTGAAAGAACCATCTGAGGATTCTTGCTGGGATTGCTGGTCGGGATTCCCCGCGAAGAACTGGAATGAAGATTGGTCTGGTCCCCAAGTTGCAGTCTGCGCATAGTTCTCAAAGGCGTCCTATTTAAAGATAGTTAGTATGACATAATATGGCACAACGTGTTGTTAGTTTAGTAACATACCCAGTCGAAGTTATTATTATCGATAGCCATATTGCCTCCTCCGCCTATAGTAGTGAACATGGAGAATGGCGATGCAGCATTATTGACAATGCCACCAGTATCAGGCTGGAATTCGGGCGTAAGCCCAGTCCCCGTTCCTGTCCCGAGACCAAGATCGATATTCGGGTAAGTGGTTCCACCAGGGGACTGGATACCGGACGTCACGCCTCCGGAGAGCATACCGAGTGTCATAGCAGCAGAATGCTCGGGTAGCATTTCAGCACCGAAGGAAAAGAGGCTTTCCGGTGGTACTGATGATCCTCCTGCGCCGGCCGGACCTGTATCTGGATTCTTGAGCTTCCCTAACATGATCTCAAGAATATTTGCAGCCTTGTAAGCTTCTACTGATTCGTGTGACAAAGACTTCCAAATCTCCGAGACCTCTTCAAGAGAAGCGAGCATTTCCTGTCGTTGCTCGGGTGTCCAGAAAACCCCGGCCTGACAGCCCTGGCGTTTGCTATGCGGGCCATGGTCATGATGGAGATCGAGAACAACCAGCATAGTAGGAAGTAAGGTGTCTTTCGATGTGGCCGAGATATACCATTTCATAGAGCGAAGGCGGCCGTTTGGTTGGCATTCGCGATATATCGTTCTTAAATGCTTCAAAATTTGCAACGAGGCCTCAATCGCGCTACGGCGGGAGTGGGCATATCGTGGATGTTGTCGAGCACGCATCATGTGCTTCCTGTGTAACATGCACATAACCTTCTGGTACAGGATGTCTAAGTTGAACCTCGCGATAATGAGTGTTACCGGATCGTGAGACCCCTCTAATGAACGAATTTTTAGATGTGGTGGAAACTCCTCCATGATTTCACGGAGTCTTCGATCATGAAGTAGGATCTCGTCGTAGCTGACTTGCTTGCCCACTCGTGTGACGGCTTGGAGGATACTTCCAAACTCAATACATAGTTTGGTCTTACCGATCATATAAGCAATCGGACTTGGTTCTGACATGGGCCTAGATGTCGGAAGAGTTTTAGAGTTAGGCCCGAATTCTTCGTCAAATATGTTGTGGGGGAGCTTCGTGTCGGTATCGTGCTCATAGATCATCGTAGGTAGAGAAACCTGTCTTGTAGTTAGTAGATATCCATGATAATAACAATAATTTTAACTCAGATCTCATTCATTTTAACTTACTTGATACGAGAACACGATGTCCGCCATACGAAGTAAAGCCCATGTTCGACGCCGCATTTCCTATGGTGGTGATATCAGTAGGTTATTCTCATGCAGATAGTATTTGAAGCTTGAAGAAATGATACATACTCCTTGAAATGGTGTAACTGAAGGGAACCAGTCTGCATCTCGATGATAACCCATCCGAAAAGCTAACCTTGTGATGATACCTGTGATAATCCAAAGTGAAAGATCCGCGTCCCAACGGGAAGAATACTCGCCAAATAAATAAAGGAGGAGCGTTTCCACTGTGTACTCGACTGGCTTGGTATAATCCGCTACTACCAAGCATTGTACCGTTCGTAATCGGTATTCTGCTGCAAGTTCCAATGACCTACCTTTCCACTCTGGAGGCTCGTCCCCTACCTTGTGATAACTAAGCATTGCAAGACATAACATAGCATAGAGGAGACCTATCCACATGATAGTTGACTTGGACGGATCTTGCCAATGACTTCGTAGTTGCTGCTGAAACGTAGGCCCATGGACTATACTAGCTGCAGTATCCAAAGAATTGAAATACCTTGAGATCAAAGTCATTATTGCTGTCCTCGAAGGGAGTTCTGCTCTTAATTCGACTTCGGTGGCTGGCGGAGCAGACAACAGAAAAATAGGCGAGTCTCGTGCAGTTGCTGGTTTTGAGGACATAACTCTTTGATAGCTGTTCTCGAGCTCTTTCTTATGAGACGAGTAGAAGTTCTTCACTTCAGCAATGTCGGCTAGGAGAACATGCCAATGTTCCTGTCCGATGTACATTGACTTCCCTTTGTCCGCGTCGACTTTAAGCACACCTAAGGAGGTGGCTAGCCCATCGTCTACATCGCTGTCGCCATCATCGGGTTCGACTTCATCTCTCATAGCACCCTCATCTTCTCGTTCGATGTGAGGTGAAGAGCTATCAGTGTTGGATGGAGCTGCAGGCGCGGTAGCTGAAGCGGTAGAAACGTCGATATTGGCGCCGCCATGCATCAAACTTAGGACTAAACCTTCTAGACGGTCAATACGGTTCTGCATATCATCAGGAGTCGAAGAAGCTCCAGCACTACTTTGATTTTTCCTCCGGCTTGATGGAGTAGCATAAACGCATGACTGTGTGTCACCTCTCTTTACGCAATTCTCGCAGCTCGGAGTTCCCCTGTTACATTTCAACCTGTTGAGCAGGTCAGCGACGCCGTACTGTACAGAAAACTGCAACGTGTTGGATTAGGGAATCGGAATGGCATTTTCAAGGGCCGGTTTTACTTACTTTCTTGTACGGCATGGATAGCAACTGAGCGGCACCCTATTTCGACGACGAACCACCCTAAACTGCTCCTCGGGCGAATGGCCCGAGGATGATGTCGCAGCAGACGGAGGTGTGGGGGTCATTTTCGAAATAATTTGAACCAAATAGGTAAGTAAGAAAACTCTGTTTTAGGGTGCTCGCTCTTGTGTGAAAGCTGTATGCCGGACTTAGGAAGTTTTAATGTTATAAGGGGCCAGCCTCTTTTTCAATCCACGTAAGCCACCTCCCAGAATGGTGACCTAGGACTGTAGGGATCGATAGAGAACAGAAACCAATGAGTAAGCGTCAATGGTTACTTGAGAGGCAGTAGGCTACCGTCAAGGGTTTGTATAATTCGGAGATAGGGAGGCTCTTGCAGAAGGTTCAGGGGTACAGCAACCTCAGTGTTGCCGAGGGTGATGCAATATCCGCCCAATCACTAGCCGCAGTAGCCAATGGGACTTAACAACCACAGATAGACCTAGTAGGGAAGAAGATCACAACTGAGTGGCCTTGCGATCGTAGACGCCTTAGCCGAGGGCAAGCTAAGGCGATCTCACTACTCGAAGTGGAGTCAGGCAGAGAACCTTACGCAGTTTGATATTCCGATCCAATGCAGATGCGCTGCCGAACAAATAACCGGGAAGATATCCTGGGGGATAATGGCGCGCGGCGTCGGGGTCGGATAAGTTGGTCGGTTGGGTGGACCTAGCTATAAAGGACCTTGACTCTCCCACGTATATTTGAAAAGTCGCCTAGAATTCGATCGCAATCTACCGACTAGTATAGAAGGACTAACACTATAGGTGCCTAGTACTTCCCGTCGAGCGAAGCGCAAGTTGTCTCAGGGAGAGCGACCATAGCGCACAAGCGACTTCGAGAGGTGGTTGATGGTATCGACAGCGATACTAGATACTCTAGTTTTCTTGGTAAGCAGACGCCTCACTACTCAGAATTGCTACATCGGCGATACAGAGGAGATTTGGGTTTTTCCTACAAGTCTATAGAAAGCCGTCTACCACAGTAATGGAGGTGGTTACATTTGGTACTCCAATGATAGAGTTGAGGGTGAGACAATATGACTGTTGTATCGTATGTACATAAAGTGACGAATACGTTAACCTTAGCTAGGTAGGTAATTAAGGTAAAATGAAGAAACTGGATAATCCTTCCTCTACAATAGTGTTGGAGAGCAGGGAGAGGTAGAATAAAGCGAAGTGTAGAAGAGGAGGAGGAAGAGAAGACACCGTTTCTGAGGTGTGTTAGGTAAGATGAAAGTGGTGAGGATTGCGACGGCAGCGCCTTGGAGGGTAAAGATCCAATACATAGCACTAATGGTGGGACGGTGGACAAGTGGGTACCTTAGTGGAGGTGCCATAAAGAATGGCGTTAAACCGGAAAGGGATAGTGGGGGAGATTTTGGGGATGGTGCACAAACTCCCGGATGTCTTAGTCCGGCTTAGCTATCTCAGCCCTCAGCCGACTTCTAGAAAATAGAAAAATAAACCCTCTCCTGATCTCTCCATACCAACCAATTGTAACGCATGACTGAGTAGATGACAGTATTTCCATGATATTACCAATTGTTACTCAAGAGTTGACCCTATTCTTCCGATAGGTAGACTTCTCTATGCGGATAAATATTTCGACGAGATCTAACCTGTCTTTATAAATGTTTAGTAACTTCCATGAATAAATCTTCAATTTTCATTTCTGCGCATAACCTGCTTCATGCAAGGCTACCAACAGGAAAATTTAGTAAGGCCCATATGACTCATACATGCTACATCTTACCTAGTTGGGATGTGGCATAACGTCGTAAGCTGTACGTAGGTGTGCTGCCTATTTTTCATTGTGAAGGTCTATTAACAACTACCTAATGAGAATAATTCATATAGAAGCGGACTTTAGCGATTATCTCCGTGTTCAAATATGTGACTGTTTCCTTAATGCCTAAGAATTAACTTTACTTTTAATTTCTTCTTGGCTCTTTTCATGTGATATGAGGAAAATCTAGACAAGTATTTCAAGCACCTATATGAATTTACGTCAGATACCATATCAGGCTAGTAAGGTAGTGATAACTCAGCCAACAGGAGAAAGATATGATCGAGGTTCGCATTTGACTTGCAGTGACGTAAAGTATACCATTATCATTAGTTCAAAGGGACACTAATTAAATTAGCTTGAGCTTAATCTTGAGATCTTACTAACCATGTAGTACCCGTATAAGTAGATTGATGGCATAATGATCAAGACATCTATGTTCAATATTCGATCGGATATTATTACTCATCTCTTGCCAGTCGCCTTCTAGAGACCTACATATGTAATATGCTACGATGACTGCGGTTAACTCTGGCAACTCTGTACTCTGCACAATACAACAATATATTCTATATTAGCCGTGATATAAGAAATTTTATCTTTTCACTTCACGATTATCTGCTAACCGTCATAGTAGCTTAAAACGGTATGTAGGACAAAAGTGTTACACGGTCTCTTCTTCAAAGCGGATCGTACCGAACCTTATATTGAGCACGGAAGGCAATGGCGAAAACGGGGACGTCAACGGGGGAAAGGATGGCCGAAACCTAACCTCCTCTCAACTCATCCATGACGTCCATCTATTACTAAAGCCCATAACCGGTGCCCCGAACAAACGGTGCATTTCGGCGATTAGCGTGCCGGGCCGATGCATTTACCGCGGCAGGAACGAGATGAATAACGGGTAGATACAGCTAAGATAGAGTAGTCGCACTTGCATGAACTGGGCCCCGAGATCAACTGCGATCCAATCAGATTGTCACGAGGGTTACACTAGACTCCGAATATGGCTAATGGTCAATTTTGAGGATTAGGTACCTAAGTATCTAAAGATAGCAATCGCGACCACTTGAGGTCGCATATTTCCGTATTCTTCCTCACTTCAACGCCACGAACAATATACCAAGTATGAGTTCAAAGCTTGTTAAAGTTGGAGAAAAGTCTTACCGCTCATGCGAATCATCTTGTGACTGATTTCTTGTGACTTGGATCAATTATTTACCTGCCGCCCTATTCACCTAAGCCTCCTTTAGTCAGCCGTGTTACGAATTGCTAAGACGCGATGCCTCGATGAGTCTCTAGATGCTTCACGATGCTGCCTAAGAGACGACACTCATTACTGATTCGAAGTACCTGATCTCTCTAATAAGCTCGGGCGCCTTCGGCGTTGTGGAAGAATGACCATCTACCGTTCTCTGCAATCCCTATCGCCGACGGAAAATCGATTTCTGAGTACTGATGAGGATGAAAGTCTAGACTTCGTTGGCGGTGAAGAGGACAATGATGTGACACAGCACCCTTTACTTGTGTCTGAGAGTGGCGACGTCGAGGAGGTGACAACAAAGTCCGCCGAAGTCCACCAACGCCAACCGCGGTGGATAATCGCTGCGTTTATAATTGCCTGTTTCGGAACAGTACTTCCTCTGACGTTACTGGCATTATCGCTCGACCTTCAGGGGCGACCAACGCCATCTCCTATAGAGATCGCATTGGGTGCCTCTCTTCGACGCCCAGACGAGGATTACATCCTAGATCCCGAATGGGACTTTGGAGCCCCCAACCAAGTACGAACGTATGATTGGGTCATCGTCGACAAGGAGGGCAATCCGGATGGTGTTGTAAAGCCAATGATGACGATCAATGGGCAGTTCCCTGGTCCGTTGATAGAAGTCAACGAAGGTGATGTGGTTGAAGTCAACGTTCATAACTCGGCTGTCAACTCCACCGCCATCCATTGGCACGGCATTTTCCAGAATGGCACGAACTGGATGGATGGAGCCGCGGGCGTGACTCAATGTCCTATTGCCCCTGGAGCATCGTTCCGATACAGGTTCAACGTCACTGGTCAAGCTGGTACTTGTAAGTATTTTCTCCACCAAGAAACCCGAAATTTCATCGTTCTCGTTACCCCGTATCGTTCCATGATGAAGACGCTGATTCATCACATGCAGATTTCTATCACGGTCATCAAGGGGTCCAGGCTCTCAGCGGGCTCGTAGGGCCGTTTGTGGTCCACAGTAGAGAAGAAGCAACGTATCAGCCCGTCCCTTATTCGTCGGACCGCGTCATTCTCCTCCAGGACTGGTATTATGATTCAGACAGTGGGCTAATGCGAGATGTTTTATCTCCGGGCGTCGAGGATGCACCAATACCCAATACAGCTTTGATTAACGGTGTGAACCAAGCTGACTGCTCGTACCATCCCAATCGGTCGTGTTCGGACGCGGACAAATCTTTACCGAACCTGGATTTGGCCCCTGGCCAAGGCCATCGGTTAAGGTTCTTGAATGTTGGGGGGTTTGCCTGGTTCCAGGTAGCAGTAGATGAGCATGATTCCCTGCCAATTATCGAAGCGGATGGAACCACCATTAAGCCCAACTCTGAATCTATGCTAGTGATTGCCCCAGGGCAACGTTATAGTATAGTCTTGACAGCAAACCAGTCCAGTGAAGAGGCCTTCTGGCTTCGAGCCAGAATGATAAAATCTTGCTTTGCAAGTCAAACGCTCCCAGAAAATGGCATCGATGAGGCAAAGGCCATCATACGCTACCGGGCCGAGGGAAAGAGGCACGATGACCACGGGCCCTCTTCCCTGCCCACAACAAACTCGAAGCTTCAGTATATCCCGACATGCAGAGACTTGAGTTCCACGACTTCATTATCACCTCACCCAGCTAAGCCAGCTCCTGAATATGCCGACCACTCGTGGCATATACGCGTGAACCTCGCCATTGGCGACTGGCGACTGCAAAGAGGCGTCATGAATTCCTCCTCGTTCCGACCGAATCTTAAATCGCCCACTCTGCATCGCGTACTCGATGGACTCGCCTCAAATAATGAGTCTTTCACTCAAGCCGGTATACTAAATTCCGCATTCGATCCCGATTCCGAGTTAGTCGTCTCTCACACCGGTGCCGCCGAGACCGTCGATATCATTCTACAGAACATGGACGAAAATGCCCATCCCTTCCATCTTCACGGCACACAGATGTGGGTTTTGGGTGCCGGACACGGATACTTCCCTGGTTATGACGCATTTGGTCTCAAAGATGATGGCAAGGGCCTTCAGTTTCCCACGGTGACGCACACCACCGACAACCCCCTGAAACGAGACACGGTGACGGTCGAGGGCTTCGGGTGGGCACTTCTTCGCTTTGTCGCAGACAACCCAGGTGTGTGGCTTTTTCATTGTCACGTAATATGGCACTCGGAAGCAGGCATGGGAATGCAGTTCATCTCCCGAATAGATTCTATGAGGGAATGGGAACTTCCTGAAGAATCAAGGCAGCTGTGTAATGCATCTGAAGAGGAACTAAGGAAAGGCGCTCCACCAAAGGACGAGGTATTCTTCGGTTTCGGCAATAGTGAGAGAAGATGAAACGGGGTTGTTTATGTACAGGATGCTCTTGGTCCCGCCGAGGATTTTATATAACACGAGACCAAAACTACATCGGAAAGGGCGTAGTAATTCGGCGTTATAGGATGGCGATGGTGGCCACCTGCAGGCTACGGTTTTGTGACGGGATTTAACACAAAGTCCATGGTGTACATAAGCATTTATAATCCTCCAGGCGTGTATTACGGATACCACGTAGAGGTTATGTAGATAGATACGTGGAAAGATACATACTTTTGTAGGATAGTCGTAGATATATTATGTGTACTTATACGTTCAGAATTTGCTCGGGGAACAAGTAGCCTCGTTGAAGCATCATGGAGATAAGCCCAATGGAATTAGGTACCTAGACATTTGATATGATAGTTTGAATTGATTAGTGAACATGCCCAAATTTGTAACCCCATCCTAGGTTATCTGGTAATGAAGGACATAGCGGATATAGATAGATCTACACGCCCATCCTATTCTATAGTTGAACTTATATGTACGAGTCCAGAGCAGTCTCATGCATCTTATCATCAGGAGATAATTCCGTGGGCTGGTATTCTCGGTCCTACGAAATAAAGCTAATCTCGTCCCCCCTTTATTATTGATATATATCGTTCTTAACTCCTAATCTTCCTTAATTCAGTCATAATAGTCTTTTACGACGTCTTTAGTTCATTCGATCCATGTATACGCATAGTGTCCTAGCATATGAGTCTTGACCCTCAGTATGTGTATGGGGAGCTCTACCCGGTTTCTTGCATACTCAGGGATATGCTGAGAACAAGGGAAGTCAGAGTACGAGATAGATTGTGTGCGTATTGCTATGGTAGGTATCCAATATACTTGTCTACGACTCAGGTATGTCCATAAAGGTCCATGCAGGAGCTGAAAGTAAGGACCAGAGAAAAACCATCCATGAATCAGGATGAGATATGTGCATATCATTTTCAACCTTCTATCTTGTACCTCCAGTAAGAACGAGAACTAGTCATCATGTATGAATATCTCCTTAGTTTGTGAGCTTCCTGGGTTAGGTAAGGGAGAGAATCTACTTGGAATACAGTTAACTGGGAATTTGCTACGTAGGGGCGGCATGTTTGGACCGAAAAAAAGAAAAGTATACTGCCACGGCAACGAAAAGTAGTAGGAGACAAGACTCATACGCCGGGTGACACACAAATTTGTAGGTAGCCGGGTGCACTACGGTAAAACCATAAAGTTTCTAGCCCCACTCACGTGTCGTATCCCCAAGCTCGTCGGCGCGTGCCAGGCAACCGCGCCTGCCCACCGAAGCATAGGCCATATATACCGTCTTTCTCTCACCTTCCTTCAAGCCGGATCCACTCCCAGTAGGTCATTATGGCCAATGGTCTAGTTGGTTGTGGAGATGATGGATTAGATAAAACCGTCCGGGGTTTTTCGTAGGCCCTAGGTTCGAGCCACGTTGGAGGGCGCCAGCAGGTCTACTGGTCAGGTCAAGTCCCTGGTTTCTGCCGCAAGCCGAGCTTTTTTGTCATTCTTGGATTCTTTTACATGCCTTTTTATTTTTTTATAGCCATTTCATTTAACGTTTTATTTCATTTCACTCCTTCCATTTTCACACCCCTTTTCCCTTGCAATCACCATAATACTACTAAGACGGCATGACTAGAGACATCATTTGAATTAGCAGCTGTACTTAACATATATTAAATATGGAGGACAGTGGTTTATCTATGTTAGTTCAATCCAGCTGCAATTCGAAATGAAGAGTCCGAAGTGAGGTAACGAATACGTACCAGGGCTCGTCCTGGAAATTTAAAGGTACTATCTATGATCAAATGGCATCAGCCCAAGTATGTTGGTAGGTAGTAGTTATTATAAAAACAATACTAGCCAATATATTTACCATTCACTAAGGGATGAACGTAACGATCAACCAGGCTGACAGTACCTAGGAGGTACTACTGAGCACGGAGTCATGATCAAGTAGGTAAACAAACCCTCACCAACCATAGGTAGATTAAGGGGCAACTGCAGTAATTATAGAAATGGCCAAAAGAAACCCCGGAGAAGCTTGAAAATACGCATCCCCTACGACATTCTCAAATACTCACCCCTGGTAACGCATATACCACACACTATATACGTAAAGTCAACGCCAATATTGGGTCAATTCATTCGTGTTGTGAACATAACGGGCGAAGCTATCTGTAGTTTCTAACAAGGCCCCTCGGCGTATCTACCGCATCGACTACGAGATCCTTTCGAGCTCTTAGCTCCGTAAAGGGGCGCGTGAATTCCATCGAGTACCTAACGTAGACGCCGAAGCATAAACCATCCCATATGGTCCTAGATATTCCATTCCATGGAAGTATCTCACCGTTGTGCCGATTTTCCACTCCTTCCACCTCATGGAGGCACAACTCAAGTCATTAGTTAGCATCCCCGACCTCGCGTGCGGATCAACTATAAGTCATTTCTTTAACGACGAACCCATTTCTGTATTTTAAACATCGACGACCGGTTATGCCGCAGCAGCCTCGTCCTCCTTGAGTACACTAAACTGCTTGAAGTAATCGGGGTTGCCTTCCAGCTCTTCCTTAACCTACAGACAAAAACGGATTAGCCACGAACCGCATCCACGATATTATGTAAGGTCCGATATATATATAAACTTGTAAAAAAACTTACGATATCCAACCCGCCGACCAACTCGCCCGAAACCCACAGCTGCGGGTACGTCGGCCAGTCGGCGAACTTCTTCAGGCCCTGCCGCACGTCGTCGTCGGCCAGGATGTTGAAGAAGCCGTACTTGACGCTACGCTCGCGCAGGATCGCCACCATCTGGCGCGAGAACCCGCACTGCGGCGCGCTCGGCGTGCCCTTCATGAACAGCATCACGGGCGCCGCCTTGACCAGTCCCGCCAGCCTCTTGTTCAGCTCCTCCTCGGGCGTGAGTTCCTCCTCTTCCTGGCCGCCCGCCGCGACCTTATCGACGGCAGCCGCGGCGCCGTTTGTCTGATTATGGGTGTTGATGTTGTTGTTGGTCTGGCTCGCGCCGCTCGGCTTGATCTGCTTCTCAACGGCGGTACGGACGAGGGCGGCGTTGCTACCGCTGATGCCCTCGATGACCTGGTCGTTGCGCTGCAGGACGACGTACGGCACGGCCATGACGTCGTACATCTCGGACACGTCGCTGAGGTCCTCGGCGTTGATCGACACCCAGCTGGTGGCGGCGGGCTCCTTGTCAAACTCGTCTTGGAGGGTCTCGAGGACGGTGCGCATCTGCGCGCACGGCGCCGCCCACGGGGCGTAGAAGTAGATGACGAGGAGCGTGGTCGAGGGGAGGGATCCGACGTGGGCTTGCCACTCGTCCAGGGTTGTGATCTCCTTTAGAGGCGCCATCTTTTTCTCTTTTCTCGTCGAGTTCGAGGGTCTAGGGCAGGGGGAAAAGAAGAAAGTAAATCAAGGGGTTCAAGTCGGGAACAACTATTTGTGGTATTTTTTTGAATGGAGAAGTGGTTTGCCTTTGCCCCTCCGATGAATGCGCCGGCTTTACTGTTAAGGTTTCGGTGGTAACTTAAGGTGGGCTGGACGTGGCGCTATTGGGGAGCTAACAACTACAATCCAATGGCGGGGCAGTTGATTACCTCTTTCTGCACTTTTTACCCCGTGAGATCTTATCAATCAGCTCACAGAAACTTCGGGAGGGTATTGCGTCATTTTGGGTGATTTCTAAACACACGTAACTCCCTTTTAACGGTCAGGGCGTTACAATATCATCTTACGAGATATGTGATATAAAACAGTACTAGACTGAGATTGTTGATCCTATTACCCATAAAAGGGGACTGATGGCGAGATCCCAGCTACGGTCACCCACTAGTACCACGTATCAAGTCTAATGATAATTTTCTATAATCGATAAAAACATCGTAACGTACCTCTAACGTGAAAATGAGGAATTACTAGGTACCTCTTCCTAACAGTGCTGCTCAGCATTCCCTGCCGTGTGACGATACGCAATCTCCCCTTAATCAAGTATTGAAATTGATTTTTTGAGGACACTGGGACAATCAAATTGGGGTGTCATCGGATACTTGCTGCCTACCTCCTTACCTGTTAACTATGGGACATTAACAAGATATCGTTGAAGAAACCTGTAGACTATGTCAATGTGGTATATATGCATACCGTACTGGGTAGGTAATTATGGGGTTTGTGTTCAAAGGCTTTGTGTAATGTCTCGCCTGTGGATCAAGAATTGTAACCATATACGGTAAAAGCATAAAACACTTTTGATGGTGCGTAAATCGCAGTCAGTTTATAGAGGTACAATAGTATCGTTTCGGATGAAACGTCGCAATATGAGCTGTTGATGTACTGGTAGAAACTCTGTCTCTTCCTGCTTGTCATTTACCTAGCTTAACGGGTTGGAAATTGGTTAGGTAGGTAGGTAAGTAGGTAGGTACCTACATACTAGGTATGAAGTTAGCATAGGTACTGTTTATATAGGAGCATATTGCACATCTTAAGTGACCCTTCTCTCAAGGCTTGGTCTCGGCACTCGGAGAAGTCGTGCTGGCCACAGACGTAGATCAGTAGTAATTAGTTGATTTTGGTATATAACCGTTAGCTGAGCGTGCCATCATTTCATGAAAGCGCAAATGGCATGAGTAGTGATACTCATGAGCACTAAATATTAACGAGGCCGGACGAGAGGTAAACTTCGTCCGCATTGCTAACAGTAACCTTTAGTATATTTCACTAAAGAAGCAATTCGTCCCTGTTGGGTCCTTAAACACATCCCGGTATCCCGTCATGACTCCGAACGCACTCTATCTTAATAATCCCCATCCCCGTAGACCTCGTCCGCAGAGAACGTTATTAGCCTCCTGTTTCCAACTCCCAGGGGTTTGATATGCAGCAAATTTTGACCATAGGAAGTGTGGGACCCAGGCGTGTTTCGTTCGCCGTAATCCTAGTCCGCGGAGCTGGCGGCCCTAGCATGTGAATCCATCATTACATCCTGTTCATCCCCTATAGATCCGGCTGTCTCTCTGCTCTTGGTCATTTGGGCATCCGCCTCTGCCCTAAGGACTAATTCACGCCTCTGCCACCAGTCTTCTTCGATCTGGATGACTTGATCAAGTAGAGCTTCCTTCTCTAACCATTCCTGCCTGTAAATGTCTTCCATCTCTTTGCACTCTTGTTTTAAGGCTTCACCTTCTTTCATTGCCCACTTGACATTCGCCACGCATAGTTTGTAGAGTGTCTTAATGTCCATAGCCAACTCGTTATTCGAGAAGCCTTGTTGCTCTGTCAAGGGAGTAAAAAAATCCGTCATGTCAGAACCTGCGTCCCCGTCATCGACGGCATCGTCTTGGCCGGCAGCATGGGATTGTGGAGTTTTGATAATAATCTTCAACTTCCCCGACTTGGGCCCGGATTGGGTCTGCATACTCTTAGGCACTGGGTCCGATGGTCGCAAAGCCTCAGTCTCGTGAACAGTCCGCATATGCTTAGCTAGCGCATCAGACCTGGTAAAAGCGCGGTCGCATTCTGTTACCATCATTAGTAACTTCTCCTTCGTATGCTACGAATTTACAAATGAATTGACAGTGTTTACCGGGCAAGTAGCAGTAGAAAGGCTTCTCTCTTGTGTGACTTCTCATATGGGCCTTCAGTGCGTATCCGCTTGCATGCGCCATGCTTTTTCTAGTACAACCAACCCATTCGCACGTGTACTTCTTCTGTCGGCTCTCGATATGATCGTTGTGGATGTGCTCAACGAGTTTGTCCATATTGCCTAAGTCGCCTGCTCGACATCCATCCCAGGCGCACACTGTGACTTGCTCCTGGAATTCATCTTCGTCTAGCTTTGCGTTTATTGGCGAATTGGGAATGTCTCCGGAAGTATCTGACGAGATGTCGCCATCTAAATCATGGTCCGACTCTTGTTCGGGTTCGGGTTCTGGCTCGACATGCACGGAAGACGATGCTCTCGACTCTCCTAGTTTCTGTCGTTTCGAAGGGGGCGGCGCTGGTTCGTCAACAACCTCGGTATCGTCAAAGTCATTGCCCGCTTCAGGCGAGTCGGACGATAGAGAGCTTATCGACGAAGAATCCGACAATAACACCATGGTGGATTACAGCAGCTATCGGGCTGTGGGCAGATCGTCGGAGTTGGCGAAAGGCGCGTACATGCGTTGGGAATTGATGTGTTTTCCGAGCGCAACCTTACGCGATTAGATTCGAAGTTATCGTGGAATATTTGAAAGATGAAGATGGATTTGGATAGGTTTAGAAATAAATGGCCGGAGAGATGCAGGAGGGAGATTAACCGCGATTAGATAGTGACTGTAGAAAGTTAAAAGAGGTAAGACAGCAAACAATAGAAGCAGGAGGCGACATACTCTAAATTATTTCAGCGATGCTCTTGCCGCGCAAGGACAGCCGCGTTGGAACGTTAAGTGCATGTATGCATGATGCGAGTTCGTTCTCGCTTCTAACGTGGATGTATGAATAATCTGGTTAGATGCAGGGGTAAATTTATGTAAATACACGAACTTTTGTAGCGCAGATTTAGTGGTGCTAGTGGTGCTCCTAGTGGCACCCGACAGCTGCAACAGGTACGAAGTACGAGGGTCTGGATGGTCTACCTGAAGGAGCGATATGGATCCCGAGGGCCGGGCACGAAACTGGACTGGCACTGCCCACTTTCTGTCGTAATGGAGCAGCGATTGTGCTTGCCAACTCGCCCATGTGCCAGGCACGAATCCAAACTACCAATAAATTGGAACTACAAACAACTTCATCCTTTTAAAAGCCCCAAGGTCTGACATGTTACTCCCACAATTGAAATCAGGACAGTTCTACTCATCCTCGCTTTATTAGAGTATCCCGTCCAGGCCGGCCAGGTATCACTCAAGCTTGACCAACTTGAATATACTTGAAGCTTCCTGGTCCCTCGCGGTTGTGAATTTGTTGCTGTGACATCACCTCCACCTCCGATTTATTTCTCCTATCCCGACTTATACTATCTCGAAGAAACTTCACATTGCCAAGAAACGAGGCCACCGCCCAAATAACAACACTTCACCAAAATGGCTTCATTGAATCTTTCTACAAACGGCCCTTCAATTAAGAGCAGCTACCAGGGCGTTATTAACGCCCCCGCTCCCCCGTCAGGCAGCTCCTCCACATATGGTCAATGGGCTCTATTCTACGTCCAAGCCCCCTTAGCGAATGCCTTCCAAGATAGCGCAGGGAAGGAAAGTGTTCTCAAGGTCCAATCGACTGGCTCCGGTGAGCTAGACGAACTTATCGAAGACTTCAACGAAGGCCGTATTCAGTTTGCCTTCCTTAAAGTCAAAGACCCGAATACTGGTTTGCCTAAATATGCACTTATCGCATGGGTCCGTGTGCTCCTTTCCGACTTTATGTTATTACGACCTGACTGACATCCTACAGTGCGGCGGCGGTGTTCCCGAGAGGACGAAAGGCTACTTCACTAGTCATCTGAATGCCGTTTCTAAAGTTCTTCACGTAGGTAAATTATTCTATACACTGGAGCAAAGCGTTAACCAATCTAGGGATACCACGTACAAATTACTGCTCGTTCCGATGTCGACCTCGAACCCGCAAATATTCTCCAGAAAATTTCTGATGCGTCTGGTGCCAAGTATACCGTCGGTGGAAGTGCACCGGTGAAGAGTGGAGGGGCGCCACCTCCTGTAAAATCAAAGCCTGTCTTCTCTACGACCTCAACCGCTACCATCTCTTTTAACCCCATAATCGCTGCACGAAATGCAAGCTTGAGGAAGACCGATGATGATGGTTGGGGAGATGCGCCGCAACCTTCCCGGTCTGAACTTGAGAAGGTGGAATCAGCATATAAGCCGACCAAGGTGAACATGGCCGAGCTGACAAGCCAAAAGCAAGAACCTTCAAGGTTTAACGGTTCGGGCAAACAAGATGATAGACCTAGAGATGTAATTGGAGGGGGATATCAGCCAGTTGGAAAGGTCGACATTGCTGCTATTCGAGCCGCCGCGAGGGAGAAGCAAGATGATCGGCCCGCTCCAGTCAAGGGTGCCTATGAGCCAGTAGGCAAGGTCGATATTGCCGCGATTCGGGCAAAGGCTCAGAAGCCAGGCGACTCTGAGCCTCAACCTGAAGCTGAAGAACGGCCGAAGCCTCTGTCAGAGCGAACCGCAGCGTTCACCCAGGCGGAACGGATCACGGAACTTCCTAAACCCAAAGTTGCTAAGAAGTTTGGTGGCGCCTCTGCTTTTATGGGCACCAAGCCACCCACTCCTGGAGGCTTTGGTGGTCCCGCATCTACTCCAGTCGCTCCACCTGTTGGATCTGCGAGCCGAACCTTCGCCGACCAAGGAGGAAAGACGCCTGCCCAGATCTGGGCCGAAAAGAAGGCACAGCAGGGTGGTGCTCCTAGCGCTAGCAAGCCTGTAGCATCACCAATTGCCGCGCAGACAAGCGGAGGAGGTGGGTGGCAGAGTGGTTATACTGGCAAGAGCTGGGCACCGGTTCAGACGCCTGCATATAGTCGTGGCATCTCGGGACAAAAGACCGGCGAAACTGAGACTAGTCAAGAGGCTCCAGCATCTCCAGGAAGCGTTGGTGCCTTACGTGACCGTTTCAAGGAGTCACCTCAGATAATTGCTCCCGCCCCATCAGCGCCAAAGATTCCGACGCCTGCTGCCGAGGACAACGATCGGGCACCGCCTCCGCCCCCTCTGGCATCGCGACCCTCAGAAGGCGCTCCATCGGGTGGATTCGCACTTCCTGGTATGCCTCCTCGTCCACCTCCGGTTACAGATGAAGAGGAGGAGGAGGAGCCTGAACGTGCACCTTCGCCTGTTCGCATAGCGGTGCCCGTCGCCCGTGGTCCTGAACCCGAGATCGAACCAGTGCATGAACCACCTCGATCACTCCCTGTTCGACCAATCGAACAAGAACTTCCCAAGGAAGAAGAATTACCGGCTGAAGAAGAGACTCATGATCCCCGCGCTGCCGCTACAGCTGTCGCCGAGTCTCAGTTTGGCCACGAGCAGGTGGCCGAGGCAGCCGCTTCAGGTGGAGGCGGACGCGCCTTAATCCAGTACGACTACGAAAAGGGAGAAGACAATGAGATAGAGCTCCGTGAAGGCGAATACGTCACAAACATCGAAATGGTGGATGAGGATTGGTGGATGGGTACCAACGCTCAAGGCGAGACTGGTCTATTCCCTAGCAACTATGTCACCCTCGTTGAGGGTGAAGAGGAGGAGCAGGCCGCGGTACCTCCTGCACCTGCAGCTGCCGCCGAGCCCGAGCCCGCCGCCGCAGCCGACAATGGGCATACGGCTACGGCTCAGTTCGATTACGAGGCTGCTGAAGATAACGGTAAGTGATCCCCGTCAAATCTATCCAGGTATATAATGGTGGGATAATATGGCTAACGAATGTGGTAGAACTGAGCTTCCCCGAGGGGGCTACGATTACGAACTTGGAATTCCCCGATGAAGATTGGTGGTTTGGTCATTACCACGGAGCATCTGGACTGTTCCCCGCCAACTATGTGGAACTAGACCAGAAGTAGTTGCCTCCTACCCTTTTTACTCTTCACCTAAAAATGTAACGATGTGGTATTACGATGGTATAGCAGTTGTTGATTTGGAGAACACCTAGACAGGGGGCGATAGTTAACAATGCAACGGAGACGAAGTGTTGAGAGTTTGTTCCCGCTCGTACGTAGTTGAAGCAAAAAAAAATAAAAGTTCCTCGATTATAACTACAGAGTTATATCAGTTTACCGATATTAAAATACTACTATGTAGTGGATTCGAGTTTTCTACCCCTGGCATCTAAAGACATCTTAAACCCCTCTCAGCCCTACGATTAGATCTGCTTCGGCTCTTCATAAATGTACGGGGTTGTTTGATAAATTCAAGTTTAAGTACATACAAGTCTAGAAGCAACGAAGCACCAGCGGGTGTCTACTAGTGTTAGGTCCGAGATGTCTCGTTTGAATTCTTGCCAATGCGTTACCTACATAATCAACATGTAATAACTGAATTTTATTATATTACATGGATCTGAGGTATGATTTAGAATTGTGCATACATATTTATGATAGGTCATGGCTGCGTATAGAGGTGCCGCGGCTAATAAATAGGCGCCGTCTATTGCAGTCGCAAGAAGACATCGTCTTTCCTCGACAGGGACTGGACCAAGGTCGCCGCAAGATCTTGGCAGTGACGCACTGGTACCCAATGGAGAAGAAGAACTCATTTACAATTCATAGATTTCGGAGCATTAAATACTTACTACGCCTAATCGGATACCTCGGCCTTCTTAGCGCGAACTACCATAGCCAGCTGCATAGCCTACCTAGTGTACACAATACTATTACAGCCTTCATCTTCCCGGCAGCCCGGATAGGCACTTACTACTGCTGCCGCTGCTGTTACTTCGTGCCCGAAATGGCTGGGTTGTGGAGAACTAGAAAGCTCTCCAGCGCATACGTAGGCTGCCTGTGCCACTGCCTACACCTGCGCCAGCGACAGGCACACGCCTTTATGTAACAATGCATCGCCAAGACAACCACTGCCAATACGTGGCTGAGGGATGATTGGGGGAGGCCGCCAATGGGAGATCCCGAAACTTACCTAGCAGCCTGGCTATTAGACGTGTGCTTTACCTACTAGGCATTCAATCCTCAGTGCGATCAAGGAGCGGTCTAGCTTATGTGCTGTCCATATCGACAATCTATTTACGCACGTACATTGAATTGGGCATGTATGTATTACCATTTAATCTAGTATTTACGAGGTCAAAGCAGATCTCGTCGTCGCTGATTTTGTCTTTTGTTGCGGAAAGGAGGATTCTGTGTAACGATTTTCTGACCCCGAAGAATAAAGAGAACTAAGGGGGTCCAGTTTCAAGTCCTGACGCGTTTCGGAGAGGCGAAGATGGGAGAATACCACTATAGACTGCCAGGTGAATATGTACGTGCACATGCATTACATATGTACATTTTGTACATATCTGAATAATCAAATAATGGCCAATACAAAGATCGTATGTGCCACATTATGTGGTTATGTATGAGTGTGTGCAAATCGTATCCATACTACTAGGTATGATTGCATATATAATGCTGAGCCACACCGTATTGCGTGCCGTATTGCCGCAGTGGCTACCCTCTTAGGTACTTAAACCTTAGGTGCAATACTTAGCCCGCTATCCGAAACAGCAAAAGAAGCGCCGGAAATAGTACTAAGGTACCCTACAATACAATTGTGCTTTGCAGGTACATCGCGTCTCCTTGAAACTCTTTCTAAAAGAAGGAACCGCCTGACCATCGTAATGCAAAGCCGTCCCTGCTAGACCACCTTTTGATCGTACATACTACTAGCAGTAGGTACATATTTGACCCACCACCTTCTTTTTCGCACACCTTCACCTCTTGACTTCTTATTGTTACTGGACACTTTTCTCATCAACACCGTCAACCTTTTCGTCGTTCCTAAATCTTGCGACATCGCAATCCATTCAGTTCTATCATCGACCTTCGAGAAGCAGGAAGCATCTCACCACAGCAAATCAAAGTACGTATTGGCGCATCGGGCTTTAGAGGAATCTCATTACCTATTTAAGAGATCATTCAAGCTTTCAGGCGCAAAAGCCTTCGGGAGATTACCCTTCCCGCACCACCATCATTCTTGGCTTTTTCTAACTAATTTCATCGTCGCAGACAACCTCAATTCACTTCTATCAACCAAACTAGTCTAGATGGCTAGCCACGGCTATTACAACCAAGACCCCAACCAGGGCTATGGTTACCCTCAACAGCCTCCCCAGGTATGTCATGATTGAATGAATCGCTTCAACATCCCTAGAACGACTACGTCGCAATTCCATCGAGACACCCAAATCTATCCGCCAAGGCTCTACTCAGCCCGTACCTGCATTGCACCCCGCGAGCTCCAAGCCGTTGTGTCAGCACGCAATGCTAGATTGAATGTCACCTTGGACCTATGGATGACCGCGCGCATTTCTGTTCGCATGTCACATAGCAATTTCTTGGCAAGTGAGAAGCTAACTCTATAAATGAACAGGCGTATGGACCTCCTCAAGGACCCCCTCAAGGCCAGTACTACGGTCCTCCCCAAGGTCAGCCCCAGATGCAGTACCAGCAGCAACCTCCACCACAGCAAAGGAAGCAGGGCGGCGGTGGCTGTCTCCAGGGCTGCTTGGCGGCATTGTGCTGTTGTTTCGTGTGCGAGGAGGGATGCGAGTGCTGCGCCGACTGCTGCGAATGCTGCTTCGAGATGTGTTAAGGTGTTTACATCCCACTCGATACGATAATGATGCCTTGAGACAATGGGGATGACATATCGGCGGTTCTTTGACGAAGTCTGTTTTGGTAGGGGGGTTCGAATAATATTGCCTGCCTGCTTACCTAGTAGGTACGGAGGCTGCTACCATGACGGTGTCGACACTCACGAGGAAGAAAACTCAATAGGATGATTTGGCTTTAGCAATGGTAATGTGAGCACCATTACGGCGTCTCCACTACCAATACATTGATTTTTCACTTCAGGGGTAAAATGGGCTTTCGAGATTACCTAGTTCATGATGATACTGAACAATACTTGTTGGTTTTATGATATAAGGACAGAGCATAGGCTGCTCGCTCGTCTTTACCAATACACAATTTTCTTCTGTCATAAATGCGCTGTCCATGTGCCTGCCAATATGCCTACCAATGTGAACTATATGTTAGTGTAGTATTACGTAGTTTAGTGAACTCAATGATATGTACTACGTCGACATTGAAACAAATACCAGCATCATTGTCCCTCCGTAAGCACAACATGTCCAAAACATTCATGATTCATCTGTCCTACAGTGCACCATATATCTACGTATCCTACAAGCGGAGATAAGCACCTAGGAGATCCTATGAGCTCATAAAGGACACGTGTAGGTAGAATAATATGATCTTTGTCTTCGTCCTTTCCTTCCTGATACATACCCGAGAATGAAGACTAAAACCGACTTTTTCCTTTGTATCTATAAATAACCTCTAATATTTAGATAGCATGTGTTTTGTATGGCCGAGGCTCTTGTAGCACGTCGATGTGATAAATCTAAGATCTAAGGTACCCCATACGTGAATCAAACCAATGAAAGTGAATAGTAATACATTGGCATCTTTAAGCAACAAGGCAATCTGCCTAATCTGCCTTGGCCTCTTGGTAGGGAGAGCCTCATCAAGGACAAGCATCCTAATGGTGAGGCTCCAGCTACGTCACTTTCATTAATCCGATAAGTGATAACTAGGTAGAAGGCACGTTAAGGACAGTGTAATTTATACGGTATATACATGTATAAGCCCACTGTTCATGCAATAAGAGGGACTACTATGATAGTGGGGTGCCGCCACCCGTCCAATACTAGAGAGCCGATTTCGCATGACAAAAATTCGAGAAGCGCATTTCAAAGCATCTTTCCAATGCGATATCCCCTCGTACCCATCCCCAGAACACCTACAAATAATTATATCGTCCAGTCAACAAACGACACTCTTCGTGCACTGTCTTATAATTGCTTTTCTTTTTTCAACCACATGTTAAGCACGAAGCCGTTTACTGATTACGAATTACGTACCTAACGTTCCTAACGCTGCTCTCCCTGCGATCCGACTATCTCCCACACCCCAAGTCAATACACAGATTTCCGCCATCGCAAGTCAAAAAAACGGGCTACTAACAACCGACACACAACCAAGGGACGAGTCGCCCTCACTCGACTCGCCCTTCTCCCCACATCTCCTCAATCACCATCCCCCCGCACCGACAAAATGTCAGCCATCCTCTCCGCCGACGACTTAAACGACTTCATCTCCCCAGGCGTAGCCTGCATCAAACCCGTCGAAACCCTCCCCGCCGCGCCTCCGCCCCCCACCGACCTCGAACACGAAGTCATCCTCGACGGGCAGCCAGGCGCCGCCACCAACAACACCAACGCGGGACCAGCGCAGATATCGCTAACAGACTGCCTCGCGTGCTCGGGGTGCGTGACCTCAGCCGAAGCCGTGCTCGTCAGCCTGCAGAGCCACGCCGAACTCCTCAGCGTCCTGGACGGCGCGCCCGCGCTGCGTGTACGACATAACAGCACTAGCGATGGCGGAGGCAAAGATGGGTACGTGGTAGAAGGCCTAGAGGACCCGGCCGCGAAGCTCTTCGTCGCGAGCGTGTCGCCGCAGACGCGGGCGAGCCTGGCGGCGGTCGCGGGGCGCGGCGTCCGCGAGCGCGACGCCGGGAACATGGTCGCGCAGCTGCTGTGCGGTCCGGCGGGCTTGCGCGCGGGCGGTCGGTACGGGAACGGGTTTGCGTGGGTTGTGGATACGAATGCGGCGCGGGAAGCGTGTCTCGTGTTAGGTGCTGAAGAGGCGCTCCGGTCGGCTAACTACGACAATAATAACAATGCGGAGAATGGGATCGGGAATGGGAATGGGAATGGGAACGCTGATGGAAATAGGGGAAATAGGCTCGCGAAGCCGGTCCTGACGTCGAGCTGTCCGGGCTGGGTGTGCTACGCCGAGAAGACGCATCCGTACGTACTGCCGCACATATCGCGAGTCAAGTCCCCGCAAGCGCTGACGGGCACGCTGCTCAAGACCGTGCTCAGCCGGACGCTGGGGATACCCCCGGATCGCATATGGCATTTAGCAGTAATGCCGTGCTTCGACAAGAAACTGGAGGCGAGTCGCGAGGAGCTTACAGATGTCGCGTGGGGTGGCGGCGGCGGGGGGAAGCCTGGGAAAGGGGTAAGGGACGTGGATTGTGTTATCACGAGCAAGGAGATTTTGATGTTGACGGAGTCGAGGAACATTGATTTCTTCGGATTACCCAAGGCTCCGGTCTCTTCCTCCTTACAGACTCCTTTCCCCGATCCTACATTACAACGTTTTCTGTTCCCCGTCCGTCCCCAGAAGAGCCAGTCGGACCCGACGGCGGGGACTTCGGGGGGCAATCTATATTACACGTTAAAGTATGTCTCCGCGCAACACCCCGGATCCAGGATCGAGACCATACGCGGCCGGAACGCCGACGTCGTGGAGTACACGGTCAACTCGGCTGATGGGAAGCCTATATTTAAGGCGGCGAGGTATTATGGCTTTCGGAATATCCAGAATCTAGTTCGGAAGTTGAAACCCGCCAAGGTGTCGCGGATGCCGGGTGCCAGAACGGCGGGGACCAGAAAGCCGGCGGGGAAGCAGGGAGGACTAGAATATGCCTACGTCGAAGTCATGGCTTGTCCTGGAGGCTGTACCAACGGTGGTGGGCAGGTCAAGGTTGACGATCCGGTGGTGATGGAGCGAAAAGGTTTGGAGTCGAAGCCCGGACCACAGGAGCAGAAGCAGTGGCTGGCGCAAGTTGACGAGGCTTACTTTTCCGCCGAAGATTCAGACGTTGACTCGGAGATCGACTTCGAGAATACCCTAGCAGGAAATGGAGGACAGGCACATGAAGGCGGTGACATGGTTGGCAGCATTTCCCCAGCATACATTCGAGATACCCTGGCGCATTGGGCAAGCATAACTGGCATAGAAGTCGATAAATTGGTTTACACGAGCTATCGCGAGGTGGTGAGCGACGTTGGCAAGGACAAGGAGGCTGGCGCCACGGAAAGGGTCGTCCAATTAGCTGGCAAGATCGGCGGCGGTTGGTAGTTCTGGTACTGGTAGCTGGTAGCTTCCCGCATGTAAGGAAAACCAAAATAGTAAAACCACGTTCAACTGCCTTTGGCGCCCCGCTTCGCGAACCCGAAGCCGCCTCTTCCACTCCCGTCGGGGCCTCGCGGCGCGCGGATAATTTGCTCTTCTTGTGGCGTTGACTTACGGGACAATGGTGCGCCGCCGTCGTTGTTATAATTATTTCCTCTCCGCTCCAATTGGAAGCCCGGCTTCGGTGAGTAGTTAGGATCGTAGAGCTCTCGTCCACTGCCACCGGACTGGCTGCTCGGTCGCTGGGTATTATCCCTCCCCCTATCCCTATCCCCACGGCTCTCGTTGTGCCTATGACCTCCTCCTCCACCGCCTCGTCCTCCTCTACCTCTGCCTCGCGGTCCTCGTCCGTCAGCTGACCGCGGGGGCGTCACGGCGCCAGGCGTAGAAGTCCCGGAAGATTGGTTCGAGCCGAAGATCTTAGCGCGCGCTTCGTCGTACCGCCGCTGCTTCTCCTCGCGCTCGCGCTGCTGCTTGGCCTGGATCTCCTCGGCCGTCAGCTGCGGCGCCTTCTTGTCGTCTTCCTCGTCTAGGTCGGCGCCGGCGTCCTGCAGAGGCTTGCGGCTCAGCACTTTGACGGCGGGCTTGAAGCCCGTCGCGAGCGGCGGGTCGGATCGCGAGGCTAGGTAGTGGAATGTTTCGGCGGGGGCTTCACTGTGTGTGGAAGGTGGGTTTCTTAGCTGAGAAGATGGGACGATGGATAGGTAAAGAGAGGAGGGGCTCGGGCAGGGGAGAGTAAGGTAGGGAGATACGTACGCTGACTCCCAGAGCTTCCTGTTGGACTCGGCGTGTTGTGCCAGACGCTCGGCTCTGCTTAATTGCGGCTGTGGTTGTGGTTCGGGTTCCTCGTCCTCTGCTGCAGCGGCCTTGTCCGCTTGTACCTCCCAGTCGTCGTCTTCCCAGGCGTCTGGGACTTTACCAGCGGTCCTCTTAGCCATGGTAAACCTATATATTCAATACCGTTCCAACTTTTACAGAGGAATATACTACGTGCTAATCCAAGAACAAGAAAAGTGTAGGCATGTTATGGCTGGTTGGGTACCTACACTAAGAGAGAGAAAAAGATTGCGACGGTTTTAAATATTTAAGGAGGGGAGATTTTCGCGAATTGGAATGGAGTTACTCCACGGACTCTTTTTCGTCCAGTGCGACGCGGATCCTGGCTTAGGACCCGTGGGCGTCTTACAAGGTTGGGGCTTACCTAAACTAGGGCGGTCTAGCTGACCTATCAACTGCTGCGGAACCAGTAGCTGCCGTCTTCAGCTCCAAACGTCGTTTGTACCTTACCACCACCAATTCACCACACTCTCATACCGTGACTTGGGACTTAGTCTTCTGCACATACAAAACATAGTAATAAATCCATTCAGCACTGGCTCGATAATATTTTATTACTGTACTGTTTTTCCAACAACTTCATTCCGAAAAAATTACAAATTGTTAATTGTATTTATCAACTTGCCACAACCTGTAACCCCCTTGTAACTTGTGAGTCTAGTGCAAAAGTGCCCAGAGAACAATACGGTTAACTCGATGCTATCATAGGATTTGATATTATATCCGCCAATACAAGAATATCAAGTAGTGACAAATTCAGCAATCATGCAAAACAACACTCCCAGTTCATCTCGGCCACTAGCCGCGCGGGTACCGGGCCAGCTCCACACACCTACACATTCCTTCAGCGATGCTGCCTTCACTCCTGATTCCATCGATGGCCGAACTGTTGCCTGGAACAAGAATTCTAAAGAGGATCTTAGCTCGTTGCAAGCAAAGCTAACCGATCAGAAGTTCAACATTAGTAAGTTCCCTCCATGTAGAATTAACTACTACAAGCTCATGACCTAGGGTTTTCCTGTTGCTCAAAACTAACTTTACTATAGGGGACTATGAGGATCCTCTTCTACCACGCCAGCATCCACCTTCCCACTACTACCCCAATGGTGTTACGGCAGAAACAGAGGCTCGTCTACTGAAAGTCATTGCCAAGGTTAAGGGTCCTTCAAAATAGACCCGTGTCGTAGGTTGGGAAGTATGCGTGGATCTTATCCATGATGAGGTACTAGGGAAGTCTAGACTGGGAACAGCTCATGTCAGCACCAGTAAGAATATGTGCATTCGACGTGCTACTTTATTCCCATATTCAGAATAGGCCAAGCATAGGCAGTTGACTCAGAGATATGATGAAAGGGAAATGAGAAACGTTGTTTTTCGAGACTTCCAAGTTTGCCATGTGGTAATCTTTCTTTCTACAAGACATGTGTTCCTTAACATTGGCAATGAAGAGAATATCAAGAATATCGAGTTAAATGCTCATAACATCTTTGCTTAAAGTCGAAGGGTTAACAACATAATGAAAACAGCATTTACTCCAATATCACTAACTGTATAGCTAATAGATGTTACGCTGCTTACAATTGACAGGGAGAATGTACTAGATGTAGAACGCTAGGATGGGATCATGGATTTGGCTGACTTCGTATTGTTCAATACCACCTTATGCGATTACCAAAATTCGTTCAGGGGAAAAGCAAACCTTTGCGCCAAGATACAAAATATCCTCTATTAGGTTCACCTAGGCTAACTAATCTGTGATCACTTGCTGGCCAATTTCATTTGGAATTTATGTTTTACGATAGATAAAGGGGCTAAGATTCTAGCTCCTCAAAGCTTTAATCCCCTGAAAGATTTTGATTCCATCGAATATCCTATCCCTTATTTTAGCAATAGATTCCTATATAGTTGCAAGCTTCAAGGAAACTTGTTAGTCTTATATTACCGCCATGAATTTGAACAAGTGCGCCCATACTCATTATCTTGGCGTATTCGCCCCAGCAATTAATCATATCACTCTCATCAAGTGATTCTTCGCCCCCCTATCTCGAAAGGCCAAGACCACCAAGAGCGACTGATATCTTCACAATGTGATCACGCAGTCAATACAATCATTTCTACTATTGCACCATTCACAGGACACTCCAGGTGTCATCTGAAATACATATAACATCAGTAATGAGGACTGTGAAAAACTCTGGTTGTAAAGCCACAGATGGTAACCTACCCAACTAAATTGTCCAACTAACGGTGCACTCTTCAGCGACGACAGCGACGGTGAGAGCTACGAACCATTCTTTTGCCACGCACAGTCTCTTTAGACACTTCTTGTACCCTACCCAACTAATTTTCCTATGGCACTAGAAAATCTAGTCCTTACATACTACGGAAAGTTCTTGCAACTTTCCAGAAACTGCCACATCTCCATCTCAGATACCAAGAGATCAACCACGAGAGTAATGAGCAATAACAAGGTCAGTAGTAACTCACTTTCTGTAGAGTTTTTTTCTTCCCTCTCTATCTAAAAACTTACCTAGTACCTCTAAGCGTACCAAACTTATCGAGGGCAGACCAGAGGCTAAGGAGCCCAAAGTCAAGTTGGTCGGAGGTTGGGCGGCACACAGGGGTGATCAATAAGGGTTATCTTGACTAGAAGGCTTTTACTTGTACTTTCTGCTCATTTCCAATGCTTGGATTTGGGATGGTGATGATGAGTTGGTTAGTGTCTAGCAAGCGCGACTAACTGAGTACCTATGTACCGTATAATCATCATTTCAATTATCCCAAGCCATCAATTCTTATACCTGTTTAGTAAGAATGATGTTGCCAGAATGAAGTTGCCGGAGTGCGAGGCCATGTCCTTCAGGGATCGCTCTTGTAAAACCTCGTGAAATGATTTTCGGCGATTTATTAGTATCATTGGCAGTGCCCCCTTTACCCCTTTTTCTCTGAAGACGGCAGCCGCTATGAACCTTCTCCAGTATGAAAGACATTATACGCCAGCCACACCTTCCATTGATAAATCAATCATTCATTATCGATTGGAAGCGTCAGTATCCAACCGAAGAGATAGACTGAGGTTTGGAAGTCGCTGTAGGACTTATCCTTTGAATCGACACTGGACATTGCTATATTTATCATATCTTTGGACTTTGTACAGAAAAGCCGTCCAGAACCGAAACATATTCTACCTTGAATGAATTGCACACGGACAGATTCCATTTCACTGGCTATCCATTCACTTACTCTTAATAATCTTAATAACATCAGTTGTGTCAAGCCTTCATCTATCACTATGTGGCCTCTAAACCCAAACTCCTACTCGAACCAATCCGAACAACATGATGATGAACACCATCACCGCCCCCAGTATCACCGACACTACCACTGCCCCCACCATCATAACATCCCCCAGCAGCAGCCTGATGATGGAAATCCAGATACTGATAGTCTAATGGGCAACTTCAATCTCGATTTACAACATCCTGGACCAAGTTCACAGCTCTCTGCACCGTTTCCCGCACGATCAGCCGACGCAATGTCTCTGTCCGACCTGCATATCCAGCCTGAACCATCAACTCCCGGCTGGTCATACGCTTATCCTGAACAACCGTCTGCACCCAGAGCATCTCGTGTACAGTCAATCGATACCGGGGCTCATCCTATACCTATGCCAAATTTTGAAATGGGACAGAGCACTATTTCTGGTATTGGCAATGCACAAACGGACGGAGGATTCTCCTTGTTTGATCCATATCAAAACCTAATGCCTGTGGCCGATGATCTCCAACCACATGAAGATCCAATCCAACAGGATACAGAGATAGAGAAATACGGTTGTTGCCGTTGCAGAAGCGTGACAATTCGCATCGCCGGTCCGCCAATAATCACTTTCATATGTAAGAGCTTCAAGAGTATCCTGTTCCATGACTTACCCAATTCTAAAAATATCTTAGGCCATTGCACGGATTGCAAACAGATATTTGGATCGGACCTCGTTTCATTTGCGAGGTACAAAGTCGAGGTATGTAACCAACCTACGATATTAGCACCCAGAGCTGGCTGCTCTATCATCCACTTGCCGCAAAAACTCGGAATCACTAATTTGGGACAGCATGTCGACCTTTTGATTGAGGGACAAGTTATATATTATTGTGTAAACGATGTGTCCAATTTTTTCTGTGCAGGTTGTGGCGCGGTATTCGAGATGAGGACTGCTGGCAATCCAACAGAAACCACTATACCAGTCGCTCTCCTGGAGGATCCGAGCCATCTCGCCCCCCGCATAGAGATATATTGCACACAGAGGGCGCTCTGGCTCCCTGACTACGCCCCTCCATCCCAAAGATACGATCACGCACCACAGCCGTCTACTTCACACATGGATTGGCAAGTTCCGGATAAGATCTGGTAGAGCTTTATGTTTGGATTTGTATGGTTTGATTGGCCTGTGCTGGAAGCGTTTGGCAAGCGTTGCTCTTATATGAATTTTTTATATCAAGGGGTGGTCTGGATGCTTGTAGCAACTATTAGGAGCGTTAGTAAGGTTACTGGATTCTCACATTGGAGAAACACCTGGTGTGGAAGTAACCTACCTGTGTAGGTACTTATCTTTTAATCGTATTCTTCCATCTTCACCCCGCTGACACGTACGTAGTATAAGTTCAATAGGGCCCATGTCATGGTTGTCATACGAAGCAAATTCTACCCACGTTCGATGTTCATGGTTCTAGAGGTGAATGACCCCTTAATCAGCTTATGGGGTCGTGGTTCTACATATGCGATACGTGCCACCTCCCTACTTTAGTAGGTAGGTTTCGGATTTCGTGGCCTCGAAAATGTAGACAGACCGACGTGGACCGGACTTGGCCTAGGACACGTTCGCGTATGCGACGGCGCAGAATGGAGAAAAATATAGAAGAAAATAAAACCAGGGCTCGTGTTCTGCATCCTGCGTCCCTATGCATATTGAACACCTAGGCAGGTAGGATGAGTATGCCTGAGGTAATCCTCAGGGGAAGAATACGGAGGCAAGCAATATATCTATCTATAGTGGGTAGCGATCGCAAACTAGATAAGCCTATGAGTGCGGTGCTGTATACCAATGGAGTTCTAGACTTCCGAATTTGGATCACTCCAACTCCTTATACATCCACTAGACCACCTAGACACGCGTGGTTGATACGGTAGCAGGGTACGTTTATTATATCTCCAACAGCTTTTACCAGGGCGTACAAGCTTTTGGCGGGGAATGGCAACCCGATACCCGATCTCCCGTCTCTGCCCTAGGTAGAACTAGAAACGGGACTGCGCCGTCCGTTGATCGTGGTGGTAGGTGGTGCCCAGCTACCACATGGCGACAGGGTTACCTCTCGATCTTCTCTCTCCATGTACGTGTTTGTCTCTCCTATTCTACCTGATAATTTCCGAAAGGCTTAAATAGAGAAATCCAGGTAGTATCACTTTGTTGCTTACTGTTGGCCCGTTCATATCTACGCCCTCGGGGTATGTATGACTCCTTTGTTTAAAGTCGTCTTGTTTTTTTTCGCCCCGGGGAGTGATGGGAGAAAGTCAACGGGATGGGGCCGTGCGGGTTGGGGTTCTTTGATCCGTCGGCTCGGGTTGGGATGGTGGGACCTCGGTGGGAGATGAGGTTAATAGGAGGACGAATCCCGGCTCAGAATTTCCCAATGTGAGATATTCGATCCTGAGCCATGCAAATCTCGCGTGGGCATTACTGTTTTGGTAAAGAAACGTGGGAACGTAAAAGACATAAAAGCCAAAAATGGCGGCACGTATTCGGATATCCGTAAACGGGTTGGGAGCTCTCAACGACTTGGCACCCGACCTCTTGGATTTGCTAAGCTTCGAGCTACCTAATTATAAAACCGTCTCTTGCGTCTTGCGTCGCCGGACAAGGCAGAGGAGTCAGGTAGCACGATCTGGCCAGCTTGGCTGGCTACGCGCGATACCACATACCTACAGGAGAACATCGCGATGCAACCCCGGATATAGATAGATGGCGGTGCAGGGTCCGAAAGGAATAGAGGAAAATCTCATGACTCGCAGGCTCGCATTCACCACCACTTCCCATCCCGCTCATCCCGCATCTGGTCCAACGATTGAGATCGAGTGGCTTGTGTGCATGTGCGACAGTTCGGCTGCATCTGTCGGTATTCCAAAAGGTCTTTTTCAGCTACGGGCATACCAGGACGCCATCCATACTTACAACATACCTACATGAAATAAGACTTTAAAGTAAGACTTAACACGCAAGGCACACGCTAGCAGGATAGGCTTGGGGAACACATGTTGTCGTCTTGTCATACGTTGTGAGAGGCGCGGGAATAGACAGGCCTGTTAGTGACAAGTAAAGCACAATTATCACAACCAACCATTATTCGAGATTTTTCTATTCGGTCGTCAGCTAGTCGCATATCCCCTTTTCCCAACGTATCAACTGTTGGTCTCACCCCTAATTACCTAGGTAGGTATCTTGTCCTCCATCGCTGCATCAACCGTCTACGAAGGAATCCTCCAAAAGAGAGTTGGAGTTCTACATAAGATGTAAGAAGCTGATAAGAAAAAGTTTTACCTGACATGATCTACCGTTCTCGTCATCAATCTACGCGTGTAAGCTGAATGCTCATGTAACGGTATAGGAGGAAGGCGAAGATAAACCATCTACCGCGATGTCTAATTCGTAGCCATGTAACAACGAACTAGTCAAAATGGTCTCATCTTATTAAGACTCGATAGTATGTGTTATTTGCGGACCAATGGCGGCAAACATTGCATCGCTTACTCACTGTATTGGTGGTGGCCAATATTAGAAAGTGGCCAACCCTCGAAAAGAGATTGCAGGCTACTAGGTGCGGCAACACGATGCTATTCCAAGCGTGTCGAGGCATTGGAGGATGCTATATGTAGCTATCTTGCCCACATTATGTTTCACTATGGTCTATGGTCTGGTTTGATGGTCGGAAGCCTCAGCCGCTCGACGAAGGGCGAGATAGACAGGTAGACAGACTACTTAGTAGCAGAGACCAGCGCACAGGGGTTTGTGAATGGCAAACGTTAGCGTCCTGTGTTAGTGCTGGTAGTAGACGCCGCCGCCTTTTTCAAGAAGCACGGATATCCTATCAAGGCAGACTCCACTTGATATTGGTTGACATACTAGGTACTCGTATGCCGTCACAATCTGGTGAGTTTGAAAGAGGATGGCCGCGTATTGCAGGCTTGTGATATTGCTGTATGTACTAGGTATGGAAAAGGGAAAAGCCTTGTCACCGCAATTCGAGACCTCTAGGAATTCAGCCACTCCCAAAAGGTCAAGGCATATCCATCTTAGGTAATAATGGTCCAATGATACGTCTGGTAACGACCCTGGAAGGTCTTGGATTTTGTGGCTATTTATTATTACATAGCACCTATTATTCGGCATGTCATGTCATCGAATCGTCAACGAGGGAAATCCTCCCGGATCCTGTCGCTTGCTCTGCTAACATTCTGTGGCATTGCATATGAAACCTGGGAAACTTGTTTTAAGGACAATAAGCGCGATTATGGTTTCGCTCAAGATATATAGATCAACAAGCCCAGCAAAGTCGAGCATCGAGCAAGTCTCAGATCGCAAAAGACGAATACTAGCCGCTCCGGCGAATATTCGTGAACGAGGGCCTTATTAGAAATAATTCTCATGATTCTCCACCCTTTTAATGCCTTAGCCACTTAGCCAACGATCTTGAAAAATTCGAAGAATTCTACAGGCCAGCATCCCTACCAGGTCTACCTGTTCTACCTGTTCTTCCTGTTCTACGGTCTTACCTGTGTGTACCTGGAATTTTGTTACTTGTTACCAGCGTGGTTTGCGGTTTGACGGCTCATCGATCGACCGTCGTCTATCGTATGTATTTGAAATCAGGGACACACGCGCGTTCTTGTTCCATCGCCCTGCCATTCGAGCCAATTCATCATACCTTTGTAATAGGTAATTCCCCAATTCCCACCCCAAGGGTCACTAAAAGTCACCAAAAGTCGCCAAAAGTCGGCGCCGACAAGCCCATCACAACGCGGCTAGTTTCAGAATTGCGACATAGATCTCGCTCTACTTAGCCGGCTAGCTGGACCTAGTTACGATCGCCTTCCCCATCAGGTATGCCGTCGGGTCGAGCACGGCATCAAATCACACATAACATATTCAACTCCATTTGACATTGCACAGCACAGACGCCAATTATTTCCAATCCCAGTCGCCATCCATAATTCTAGAAGAATTGCCATGTACTATGTAGCTGACTTACAGTACTTACTTACAGTCGGAGAAAGGAGGCCTCGAGATCGGGCGACTGGGCGACTTACCCGAACATCGCCGGCCTCTCCAAGGCGGCACACCGAATCACATCAGGAACTCCTGATAGTCGGCTGATTTCGGTATCGGTATACTGGAGAGCTGAATTTAAGCGACTCCTTTCTCTATACTTCCATTTACATGTAGGTACTGTACAACATACATACCCCATACATTACCTATCCCATATCCCATTCCCTATTCTCCATACTCCATATTCAATACATGCCTACGTACATATACTATGGACCATACATACATCATATCCATCATTCCAGAATCGTTCTAAACCCCTTCCATCCAAACACAGCACAGTACCTTCGCTGCGGATGGTACGTGTACGCACATACATAAGAACATATACGAATTCGTACACGTACAGTGCATCCGTAGAGAGAAAAGAAAAAGAACAGAAAAGAAAAAAGAGACAACAAGAGCATTGAGCATTGGTCATTGAACAACACGAACTCCTGGTTGCACCTAAGGTTCTAACGTTGCCACGTACAGTACAGTACCGTAGATCTGGTCGTTGGACCCTGACGACGAAGGAGAGATAGTGAATTACCTCACCTATTGAATTTGTACACGAGTTGACGAGTTGACGAGGAGAAGAAGACAACCCCGCTGTTGAGGGACCCGCCTGTAAGTCAAACTATAAAAACTAACAGGTAGCTTTAAAGTACCTTCCCCTCTATGTCTTGGTAGCCCGGGTACCCCTTCCATACAATTGTTGTACAAGGCAGATACCAGTTCGCGCTGTACCCGCTATACCGGCGGGGCCTAGCCAAAAACAGTGTCAGCCACTAGGGGTTCCCGGGCCTTTTCTTGCTAGTAGCCTGTCCCGATTGAATTTTTAGCTCCCATTTTTGGGGATTTCAGACCCTAGAGGGGGTACCTATCTAAAGTTCAAAGTTTCTAAAGTTTTCCCGCTGGTTTCTTCCGCTGTAACTTCTAACTTCTAACAAACCAGACTGCACAGTGGATTGAAGTACAGCAGCTAATACGCCCGCTACACCAATAACGTACCCGGTCCAGCAGAAAATACCTAGTACCGATACCTAGTACCCTAAGTACCCCCCGCCATTAAGGCCCCATCGGTCCCCATCAGGCTCAAATCAGAAGCCCGCCTTTTTCAGCCAGCACCACTGCGCCAGCCATTACCTGAACTGTCTGGACAGAGCGAGACATCAACCGCAACGTCTCAGCGTATTCATCTGTCTTCCCTTCACCATCCATCCTCATCCACCATCCACCTGCAGACATCATTTTACATTGACGCCAGAAAAATACGTTTCCCCTCACGCAAATCAATTTTCTCCTCCGTCTACTTTTTTTCCTCCCTCTCTAAACCCCCACGCTCTACGGTCAAACGTCAAATCTCCAACCAAACGACGTTGCTCTGGTAAATTTATTTTTTTAAAATTCCCATTTTCACACAATTACATCAAATCAAGTATTCAATAGCCGCCACACGCCAATTCCGCCCTACGAACCACTGGCGGCTCACGACATACTTTAGGAACCCGTTGGATAGGAACCTGGCATTAGGTGAGAGAGATCAAAACTTACACCTTTTGATCCATCATCATGTCAGGTTCGGAGGGAGGTTTTGACCTGCTTCGGCGGGCAACTCAAGCAATGATGTCAAAGTAAGTAAATGAAGAAAAAAAACAAGCACCAAGCAGAACAAGATAAAATTGTTCCGTCCATTCTCAGTTCGCAATTCGCAAGTTCGGAAGAGCAAGACCCCCCTTCATCCATCCATCCATCCATTTACATCCCATGCCCTTCCCCTCCATCATGCCCTGGGTATCATCTATCTGTCTATCCTATCATCGTCATCGATCAAGGCACAAATCCGCTTTCACTCAAAACGAGTTTATTATCCCTTACCTATTTCTATTTCTCCCCATTTCCGCCCTTTGCATATACCTCACCAATTCACATCCACCTTGTCGCAAGCCGCGACCTTTTCGAAAATCGAAAATGTCATACAAGGTTCCCAGGTTGTCTTTCCCGTTTAGCCAGTATTCGCCTTCGGATTACGGATCACCGCCCAAGGATTTTTCTAAGGGTAAGGGATGTTCCAAAGTATTCCAAAGTTGGAATCCAGGACCCCCAAAAAGGACCCCTGGTACCCTTAGCTATCAAGCTCGACCGCAATGACGCCGGGCCTTGAATGAGACGTTCTCCCGTCGGCTCTACTTTGCTCTGATCTGCTACTATCTGATTTCCGGTTTCCGGTTTTGGTTCTATCTGGTTCCCAGAAGTACGTGGGTACGAGCTTTGAGAGATTACGCTATATTCGACATCCGGGACTAGTTGGATCATCACGAGTGACGATCCGATGAAAGAGGCTCATTCGTTCTACGGTCCAAGTCCGACTGGCCATCGGCACTCCCCCTCCCACGAGAGCAATTAAGCACAGAAAAAAGGCTACGAGATGTAATGTATACATCCCAATGACCTATTTTTAACCAGCGATTTGGCTGGCTTATCTTCATCGATGTACACGATTACACGATGCATTGTACGGTCAGTACGATCGTGGCTGGCCCACCGATGTTCGCAACGAACAGGTCCCCATTATTATATGGATTACTTGGATCAGCTCCGTTCCGCGGCGAACGCCACAGCGCGGGGTCTGGACGAGGCTTATAATTATTATCATATTGAAGCCTGACACCTAACTCGCCGGTTGCAATAATCCACGGAGGAGCCCAATGTTCCAACATTCCAATGTTCCCTATGTCACCGATGTCATCAATGTCGCACTATGTCACCATGTCACTCCCTGCTGGGCTGGCTGGCTGGCTGGCTATGTCTCTCTACGTCCCTGCGTGTTTCTCTCTGCGTCCACCCCACCTCGACGTCGATCTCATCTCTCAATCCACCCCCTTTTGCCCCCACTTCGACTCCCCCCTCTAGGTTACCACATGGCGAGTGTCATGGGTGATCGCTACGAAACCTGCATGGGGTGTTCGGCTGGACGAAATCGCTCGTGAAATTGTACATTTCTACCACCTGCCCTCCTGTTTAATGCCTCCCGCCTCGGCCGCCATCTCGCATCTATGGATACCTGGATACATTACGGAACCATTGGACTTCCTTGCGGCAACCTCCACTAGATATGTTCTAATTCGAAATGTCATCTTTTCAAGAACCCCTTCCTCATCCTCCTCGCACTCTTCTCATCATGCCCGTATCTTATTGATACATCACCCGCTAGCCATACCTAACCCACGTTATTACTTTCTACTTCTTGCTTGGCGAACTTGACGAACTTGACGCGACCTTCTGCTTGGCTTCTGGCTTTGACGTCTGGTTATGATCGCAATTAACATGCCCAGCAGGACATCGACCACGGAGGACGACGGCGCTGACCAAATTGGTTACGATACTCCGAGATCTGGCATCGCTACGCCTCAGCCTGATCTTCACGACAAGAGACTACCGGGTATTAGCTACTTTGGTCAGGTTAGTACCACCTCTTTACCTTCTGCCGTTGGTCTCTCTTCTTCCCGAGCACTTGAGACTGAGTCGACACGCCCTACCTGTCCCCAGGAAGAGAAGGAATCGCACATCGTACCTCAGCAACTGCCGAGCCCGGAATCGGATTTGAGCGGCAAGGACATCACGCCTGACACTTCGCCTCTCCTTTCACATGAGAGGATCGAACCTCTGGCAAAAGTACAGTCCTCCCAACAATTAACTTCCGATATCCACCCTTACCCTACGCCTCCCTGTTCACAAACACCGTCGGAGAGGGGAGTCAAGTTGTCAGATGCGAGTGGAGATTCGGACGGGGCCGCTAGCGGCCCATCGAACCGATCCTCTCTGAACACCAAGAGCGGCTCGGAAACCTCTCAGCTCAAAGTTCGGAGGGCCACTCTAGCATCCCCTCTTACGAGCATCGTCACTACGTCTAATGTTCTAGCGAGCCATCTTTCCATCCCTACCGATCATGCATTTTCAACAACACCAAGTTCTCCCTCGGACGCGCAGCCCCCTGCAGGCGAAGCCAGCAGTTTCTTATCTCAGTCCGCCTCGGTTGATCGACTGAAGAAGCTAACAGATGTTGGGACGAAAAAGAGCGGCCCCCCGACCCCTACCAGAACGCTCTCTGCTACTCACTCGTCACACACGGAAGAGAGGTCGCCTTCGAAGCTTAGTGGAGATGGAATAGACACGGGTGGTAGACAGACGCCGGTCTCCTCTGCTAGTGGCGGTGCGCAAGCGCCACCACAGAGGGGCAAACTTACTATCAAGATCTTAGAGGCGAGAGGCTTGCGGAAGAGCCGCGACCCCTACGTTGTTGCCGTGTTCCAGAGAAGCGAGTTGATCTCACACGGACCGCGGACTTTCGAAGACGAAGACGAGTCAGCAGCGCCCGCGCCAGTCCCGATGGGCGGGGTTCCCATACAGCGCCAAGGCAGCGACCCTGGTCGTTCGATGGCGATACCTATGCGTAGTCGCCAAAGCAGCAACACTAGCATCACCGACTACAACACATTCCGCAATCGTCCGCGAAGATCGTTCACAAGTCCTAAGTGGGATGCTGAAGCAGTATTGTAAGTTCCGTAGTTCGATTGGGTCCCTTCGGACGCATCGACTAACTTTGGTAGTGATGTTGTTGATTCAGACATGCTAGTGGACATCTCGATATATGACCACGGCACACAAGGGGAAGAATTCTTAGGCCATGTCGATTTCCAGGCAATAATCCCTGGCAAAGACGAGCCTGTGCGAGGCTGGTACCCGTTAAGAGGAAATCTCGACACGACTCCTGACAAGACACCCACCGGTGAAATATTCGTCGAGGCGATCTACCAGAGAACCGAAAAGAAGCATTACGGACCCGACGATTTCCAGATCCTACGATTGATTGGGAAGGGTACGTTCGGTCAAGTTTACCAAGTTCGGAAGAAGGACACTGGTCGAATCTATGCTATGAAAGTATTGTCGAAGAAGGTCATCGTTCAGAAGAAAGAAGTGGCGCACACGGTCGGAGAGCGGAACATTCTCGTCAGGACAGCCATGTCGGAATCCCCGTTCATTGTAGGGTTGAAATTTTCTTTCCAGACCCAGAACGACCTTTTCCTTGTCACCGACTACATGTCGGGCGGCGAATTATTCTGGCATCTCCAGAAAGAAGGACGATTCGATGAGAAGCGAGCCAAGTTTTATATCGCGGAGCTTATTCTTGCGATTCAACATCTTCACAACAACGACATCGTCTACCGCGATCTCAAGCCGGAGAACATCTTGCTCGATGCCAATGGCCACATAGCCCTTTGCGACTTTGGCCTGTCCAAGGCGAATCTGACCCAGAATGATACGACCAATACGTTTTGCGGAACTACGGAATATCTAGCCCCGGAGGTGTTGTTGGATGAAGCCGGATATACCAAGATGGTAGATTTCTGGTCTCTCGGCGTCCTTGTTTTCGAGATGTGTTGTGGGTGGAGCCCCTTTTATGCCGAGGATACGCAGCAGATGTACAAGAATATCGCGTTCGGCAAGGTACGATTCCCCCGAGACACACTCTCGCAGGAAGGTAGGAACTTCGTCAAGGGCCTCTTGAACAGAAATCCAAAGCACCGGCTAGGCGCTATTGACGACGCCGAGGAGCTGAAGCGACACGCTTTCTTCGCTGATGTCGACTGGGACATCTTGTCCAAGAAACTCATCACGCCACCCTTCAAGCCGAAGTTGAAGTCTGAGACCGACGTCTCCTACTTCGACCCCGAGTTCACCAACGCGTTGAATTCGAATGGGTCGCTAAATGAACGCGCTCAGCAGCTAGCCGCTGGGTTTGCCACATCAACGCCGCTGTCTCCGACTACGCAGGCGAATTTCCAGGGGTTTACGTTTGTCGATGAGAGCTCATTGGACGACCACATGAGAGGACGATACGTTGATGAAGAGATGGACGACGCAGATCACCGAGATAATGACTGGGACGATCTCGAAGATCTCGATCTCCGGAAGGCCAATAGGATGAGTGGGATCGTCAAGACTGGGAATAACGACGAGCCTTTCGGCGAATCCCACTTTGACATATGACCTGGAGTTTTTTTTTGTTTGTTTTGGACCCTTACGACATGAGGATGAACCCGCTCGATCGTTCTCAGCATTCACGACAGTTTCCGCAATTCTTCCAAAATCCTGTCCGTGACATTATTGCATAGGGCGGCATATTGCATGAGGTGACGATTGGCAGAAGTTAATTAGTCACTATGGGGTGGTCGGGCGTTTGGTAGTTGCAAATAGTCTGGAATCATGACACTTTACGTACACGAGGCTACGGGATTCTTTTCGGACATACCTAACCCATTACCCATTTTACGTCATGAAGGACCGGGGCAGTTTACATGGTGTTCCCCCTTTGTCACTTCAGTTTGGAATTCACACGCGGATGCCTCTGATAGCGGAGCGTTTACTGCCAACGGGCGGCTTGGCCCTCTGCGCGGACAAGCTCGTCCGCGGTGGTGGTCGTGGTCGTCTGTATGAAGCAGATTGGTAATCATTGCTGGGTTTTGCGGTATGAATATGCTTACGCCGAGACGAGCAAACATGGAGGCCGTCTGATTTAGGTAGCTGGGTCCTTTGCAGTCATGTACCGATTCGCTTGGATTCTGGTTTACTCGCTTTGCTATACCCGATCATTTTCTCTCGCATTCTCGAGGCCGTGGTTGCATGTGTCGCAGGGAGGGACTAGGCAGGCGGACGTCGCATGTTACATAGGTACATCTACGTACACTGATGAAGTTCAGTCTCCCCCAATGAGAAGCGAGAGAGACGAAAAGTGAAATAAAATTACTTAGGTTGCTTATGATTACTTGGCTTTTGACTTTTTTGGTTTGTGATGTGATTTGTTCGCGCAATGTTCTGGACTTTCTCTCAAAGGGGTGCATATGCGAGTAGATCTTCCTCCCAACCGGCCGGTAGCTGTCTTACCATCTCGAGATATGGAAAATAAGTAAGCTTAGGGATATTTATGGTAACGAGATATGTAACGACGTAAGAAGATTTCTTGCTGGAAATATCTTTTTTTATCTTTTACGGAACAGGTTTACTCTCCCACTTTCTAGGGAAGAGCCACATTACGTGAGTGATGTAGATAGTCGACAAATGTCGACTATAAGTCTGCTTAGACGTATAAAGGAATACCGGCATGCTGACCGAACGGAATCTGGACTAGAAGTGTTGTGTCGTCACACATGTTGAGAGATATCCCTTACAGGAGCGCTACGCAGTAAGGCGGGTAAGAGATATATATACTCAACACGACTCTCTTCTCACGTTATTAGCCACTAGCCACTTCAAAAATTTTATACCTTGTGCTTATACATGTGCGTATCTCTAAGACTTTGGAAGAACCTTTCGTTGGGTGTCCGAGGAAGGGTCAGGGGGACAGTACCTACCTACATAAAAGGGCTGGAGGAGCAAAAAAAGGGGGTAGCGGGGAGCGGATAAGAGGTAGAAAGTAGAATAGAGTAGAAGAGCCCCCCGGAAATAAAAAATGCTTTTTTTTCGCCTACCTGGCTGACTGGCTAAATAAATCAGCGTGCTTCCCGACTCTGCGTTGCTTACGTGCGTTACGGGAGACGGTGTGCGTGGGCGGCCTGGGTAGGGTCGGTGTAACGGCGCTGGGGGGGGGGGAGCTTACGTTCCCCCGTTAAGCGTCCTATCAGAGGCCCGGGACGCGGTTCTGGCCTTACTACCTGGGTAGGTCTGGGTAAGCGAGGACTTTGGTATGGAATTACGGCGTGGTATCGAGGTATGTATGATGCGTGTGTTGTATAGCCAAGGTAGGTTGGTGGCGGTGAGTGGGAGTTTCCTTGGGCGTTAGCTGACTATGTACCTACACTTACCTACCAGCTTGTAGTAGATAGTTATTTGAATGCTCAACTATTAGTACCTAGTCTAGGACAAGCGGTGAATGTCCTAGGAATTCGAAGGAGTGTGTCCTGAGGTGTCTACTAGGTAGTAGATATTTAGACACAGGTCGATCTAGTCAGCTATATCTTAAGTGTGATAACTCGACTCTGATTGGCGAGTCTACTTGTTCGCTACTTTATTATGTTTATATTGGTCTGTTGGAGAGCTGGCCGTCGAAAGTTCGGTTTAATATGAGTTCCGCCTATCAACGACTTAGTACATTATAGGATGGCGTAAATGAAGTATATATGTTGTGATGCTGGGCAGAGGTTTACAGCGTCTCGCGAAGCCAAGTGCTTGTTCCCAGAAACATTAAGTTGGTATCGTGATGTACTCAAACACCAACTGATCGGATTGATAGACGTTGGTGGTAGGATTATAGGTTATCTAGCAATAGACACCTTCAGCACCGAAGTCGGCGCTATCTACCCCCCTCTAATAACACGTAGATACGGCTGTCTGGGAGGTCGGTTCTTACGAAGAATTCCGAGAAACTTATGGCAAGTTCGTAATAGGTTATCGGGTATACTGTAACTGTAAGTCATATTGAGATATTTAGCACAAAGTAGTGGAGATTTTTCTTTCAGAACGTAGGATCTTTTGTGATTCGGCAACGGCGATCCTAGGAATAAATGTACAAGTCTTAATTACTCTCCTCGACCTCCTTCTCTTTCTTCCTCAGACTGACGGCTCGGCTCTAGGCATGTCTTGCGTTTCTTCTCTTCCCGGTATCTCTCCCTTGCGTGGCTTAATTCATATCCTATCTCGTCATAAATCATCGTTTAATGGTGAGCCGGCTCCTCATCTTCTTCCTCGACGAGCCAGTCTTCCACGACGGCGGGCGTCGAGGCGCTAATGCCCTCGTTACCTTCGACCTCGACAGCCATGCTCTCGTATTCCTTCAGGCTACTGGCGAGGTCGGCCTCTTCGGGCGACTTGGGTGTCTTGGGTGCGGTAAAGGTTTGGACTTGACCGGCAGCGTCGGAGTCCTTGATGGGTGTGGGCTTGTAGGCCTTTAATTCCTTAAGGTAGAGCTCTTGGACGAAGTCGGCTGTTCACGAATGTTAGTGCTGGCTTTGATATTGAATTTTGACCTTGACTTGTGGGTGCAGAGGTAGCTGATTCGAGATCGGCGGAAGGGAAGGTATTCGCAAGATTACAAATACGTCAAGCTCTTCGGTATATGCTCCCCGGAGCTGTCGCAAACGCATGACGGGCATCGATGCGGGTATCCAGCCGGATATCTCATCATCCCGCTCATACCGCCATATGCTTCCAAGTTTCCCCAACCTCGATCGTCCAATCGTACCACCCAATTGACCACCGAATCCACTTCGGCACAGATAAGGTAAAAAAAGGGAATCTTCGAAGTCTTACCTCGTCGCGAAACTGTAGGAGCGATAAATGTTCTGGCGGTGTTTATCCTGGCCACACGGGTGATGGCCGAGGCGGCCGATCGAGCAGTCTGAGAAAAAAAGAAAAAAAGTCGGAGTTAGCGATTTATTCCCCTCTCCACTCTGCTTACTGCGACCGATATGGTGCGGAATAATGTAGGAGACTACTTACTGAAGCTCTTAATTGAGAGAGCATGATGTCCGTCTGTGAGGGATGCTCAATTGAGGATTGTGGGAGGGAGAGGTTATGTGGTTGGTGGTAGAAATGGGGGGAAACTTTTGCACCTTGGGGGACGTTTATGATTTGAGGTTTTTCCTTTTGCCGCCTTCCATTGTTCAATCGTTTAGCGCGGGAAGCTTCTAAGGTGGAGTAGTGGTGCTCCGTCTGGTCACGTGCTTTCGCACTTTGACCTTTGAATCCTATGTATTTTGTATACCACGCTCCACTTTATTACATCAGTCGTGAACTTTGTTACATAATTCAGTCTTCTGAAAGGACCTACTCACACTCTAATGAATGGATATGATCTATTTGTAAACACTCTCAAAACATTCTTTCCAACCTTAACAAGCCCAAAAAACGGTCGAACTTCGAGTGGAAGAGAAGCTTTGGCACATAGATACCTATTTACTTATGAAGGTCACTGCTCATAGACTCGTTCTATTCGACTAATTGGCTGATCCACGACGCAATTGGTTATACATGAGTCAATCCGTCCGTATACCGATTGATAGAGGAGCTACAAAAGTCTACTCGAGACATTGGTGTATTGATTCACGTAGTACCCTTAGCAACCACCTCGCTAGAGTTGTATCAAATTTCAACCGTCGGTGAATATGTGCTACGCATACTAAGTCGTATTCTGTTCTCGAGAAATGGCTTAAGGGATATCGACGATGAACCTGCGGGATCTTTCACACTTTGATGATTCTACGAAAGAATATTTCCGATATAAGTCTATTACATAAATCGTCAATAAGTATCATTAAACAAGGCTATCTAAACATGACAACATAACCCATGGCCACCACCGATACGGAACATAACCCCAGGTCCTCAAGCTAGACCGATAAAGACAGAACATGGATAGGCAAGTGATATCCAGTCTCTCGTGTGTATGTGTATACCCTACCCATTTAATTTGCAAGTTAACCCCCTATCCCAACACCGAAGAAATTCAAGCACACTTTATAAATATCCCCAGGGCCCCCAATTTATCCCTTATATCTCCAACACACCTCAACCCAGATCAGAACAGATCAGAAGCTCTTCTCCTGCTCGATGCGTCTGCGGCGTCGGAACTCGCCAAACACGGCGGCAGCGATATAAATGGCGAACATGACGCCGGCAACGACCGAGTACGCGACCACGAAGGTTTGGGAGGCGTCTGCCAGCTGCAGGCCAAGCCCGCCGTTCACTGCGCCCATGATGAGCAAGGCCCGGCCGTACCAGATGTGAGCGTGCGACACTAGACCCCGCCTCTGGTTCTTAACGAAGTAGCGGTGGTGCACCCAGCCGAGCACGGGCTGTACGGCCATCAGGCAGACCACGACCGTGCCTAGGAGCGTGTGTGTCGAGTTGAAGTCCTGTTTGGTTGGGCCAGTTAGTCTTTGTTCTATGGCTTACCTAGGTATGATTAAGGAGAGAAGTAAGGGGTTAGACGTACAAGGCGAATGCGCTGCGAGGCCACGATACCCAACCCAAACCCGGCCCACATGAGCAGGAAGGCCAGGAACTGCCACGAGGCGTGCAGGATCCATTTTCCGAACAGTGGCATGAGCGACGACCCCAACGGATATAACAGCACCATAACGACCGCCATAATGATCCCGTGTCCTAGGATTAGCGTCCGCGGGTCCGCGAAGCTGCCCCGGCCCACGCCCCGGTTATTGTTGTCGAACTGCCGGACACCCAAGAACGGGTTCGTGTCGTCGGTCACCGTGCCCTGCGTCAAGTCGAATGTCCAGGCATCGTGCGCGTCGTGGTACTGGATCGTGGCGTCCGTGTCGGTGCTGTCGACGGCGTCTCCCTCCTTCCAGGCCGCGATCCACGACGCGGCGTCCGAGGATAGACTGACGGACCCGCCCGGCCAGGATCCACAGTTCCCGCACCGCACGTTTGCGATCATGGTCTCGTCGTTGTTCGTCAGCCCGCTGCCCCCAAGTAGCTCGAGCTGGATCATGGCGTTGTGCCGCGGCATCGTGTGTCCCGTGCCTGCGCGCGCTGAGACCGTTACGTTACCGGTCCCTGAGGAGTACATTACGAAGATATTGGAGTCGGCCATCGCGGTTCCTGTCCCGAAGGCCACCCATGAGTACGATGTTGGCGCGCGCAGTTGCAGATAGATGTTGCCCCCGTTCGAGTCGGCCGACGACGTGGGCACGGCCACTTGGTAGCATATGTCCTCCACCGGACAATACTGGACCGGTTCGGCGGAGCTGAGGCTGCTGTAGAATATGGCGGCTATATGTTGTGTTAGTCTTCTGATTTTCGACGATCTTCTGAGGGGTTGGTATCACATACACAGCGCCGCGGAGGTCAAGTACGACACGATCATATCGAATGCTGCTCTATGTGCCTTTCGTATAAGATTCTCCGATATGGTAACCGAAATATACTGGTTGTCGCAAACGAAGCGACGAGTTATGCGCCCGAATTTTCAAACTCCGAGAAATAAGGAAGTAGACTTCCGCGTCACCGTCTCAGATTATGCGTCGGCGGATTTTTTTAAGTTATAAACTCGATCTTTGTTATTCGGAAAGCTTCTCTGTCCTCGTACACAGATCTTTCTCCTCCCCTCTCAGGCACCTCGATGATGTAATCGTGCTCGTGCGACGACTATGCGGCCCTCGGCCTCGAACGCGTATACCGTTTTAACGTTTTCGAACTGTGCCTCGTGAAGGTTAAATTCGCCAGGTCTTCAAAGTCTATATCCAGGTCCCGCTGTTGAGTAGACACAACACACAACCATCTGCTACGAAGACAAGTGAGAGGGAAGGGGGGTTATATATAGACCAATATTAAACTGCTAACGGTCTTCCCTGTCTATGCCTGTCATAGGAAAGCCAAATGATGGTTTAGAAGACCAAGGATCACTATCTTGGTTTCCTTGTACACACCGAGGCCGTACTTACATAGATCTGCGGCTTATCACCCAAACAAGCTCAGCAATTTGAACTTACTGCATCGCCATACACGTACTTAAACGGTTTCTACTTGGCAGCTTGGGATACATACATAGGTATGAACCAGCTCGCGCCAGAATTCTTCCCAACTGTAGTGTCTTGGCCAACGAGATCAATGCCTGGGTGTCTACGCATGTGAAATCAGAGAACTCCAATCATACTTCTTCATCTCAGACAAATTCAGACGGAAACGGGAGGCAGGCTATGCAGTGCAAAGGCCGTCGATCCATTTTATCATGTCACTCTCTACCTATCCGAACTGCGGCAGCATTATCAATCCCAGAGCCCAAAGAACTGGCATTATCCCCAGACGTGAGTCTGGGGCCACCTCGCCGTTGCTGACGACATCTATCTCCCCCGCGGCTCGCCAAGGCCCGATGCATTGGTCGCAGCCGAGCTGCTTGGTTTCAAGGCTGTGCAACTTGGCGAGCTGCATTACTTACTATCAGACAATGTTGGGCAGGTCCCTTGTTTGAGAAATATGTAGGTAGGTTAGGTAGGTGGGTGGGTAGGTTTTCCGGCAGTTGAAGACAACCCGACGTAACCCAACCTGCCAAACCTGCCAAGCTGCTGCCCTTATTAGAATCGCGGCCGCGGTGATTCGCCAATGGTCCCTCAACGGTACCGAATCACACGCCGGCAACGCACGGCAGGGGTTTCCCTTCCGCCAGGCACCCCTGGCGCGGGACGTTAATAAGTAGCATTCCATTTTTAGGGCAGGTCTTTTTGTTTTGTCAGCATGTGGGGTGGGTTGGTAACAAATCGACGACCAGATTCGATATGCATGCGTAGATCTCTATCCCGTTTTAGGACCAAGGTTTTGTCATTAGCATACTTTATTCCTCTACTAGTAGTTGGGGTCGGTTTTTGGGGAAATTCCAAATCTGGCAGGTTGAGAAAGAAGTCTCTATTGCGATGTACATGAAATGGATTACATAGGTAGGTAGGTAGGTAGGTATAGTAGGCCAGGTGTCTAGGTACAGGAGACTTGCGCGCGACGGAAGTATGGCATGAGTATAGGTTGCTCGGACCGAGTTACGAACTTAACTTAAACCAAGCCAAGCGCCAATGACAGTCAGGTAGTTAGTAAAAAGCGGTTATGACGGCATATAAGAAACAGACATCTAACTTTCTGGCGTCAGACGTATTACAATATATCACAGCGTCCATTCATGAGAAATCGGTGTCACCGTTCATGACGAGAAACATGTGTCTGTAGTAAGAACAGCACGGGAATGGTAATGAGGCTCTGTACAGTCGTGATGCTTTCATTCGCTTGCTAAGCGGGTTTGTACTCTTGTCTCGGCCCTCGCTTGTCGTGTGTCCTCCCCCTTTTCGTAACAGCACATACTGTCTGAAAACACCGAAGGCTTGGAATCTGGGGGATCGGCAGCTGACGCTTCCACGAGATCAAGTGTCGTAGGGAGATAACCGATGATGGTGATGATGATGGGTTCAGACGGGTATAACTATAAGACCGGAAACATCTGTAAATAGAATTACCATATAAGGCGTACGTGAGGTAAGGTGAACACGGTCACTTATTGATTTACATATCTCCGGGTTGATACCGAGTATACTTTCCTTTTCAAGTTAGCTTTGCCTCAGTATATTTCCTTAGAGACGTATAGGTAAGTAAGTCTTCGAACGTAAAGTGACATGTGCAGTCTGCCTTATGTATTATCCTTGTCCGCCTCTGCTTTGGGAGGATTGGCGTAGCGCTGTATGTGGCACAATACTAATGTAGTCGTACCTATAATGGTAAACATGTAGGCAAGTGGGTAGGTATTGGCCTCGCTGTCACGGCCGAAATGTCAGTTGTTGAGCTGCCGCAGGGTTGTGGTGTCATTATGTACGCCAAGGGAACAGACAGACAGGGTGTGTTGTCCCATGTGTAATGGTATCCCGGTCTACTGGAAACGTGAAGAACTCGATTAACTTTACTCGCCACAGATACATTGACTTCCCAGCAAGATATACTACCGTGCTCGTATGTAGGTTATTCGCTTCTGTTTAAGTGCGATCAGTTCGTCGCGTCAGAAACACATACCGTCTCCTGATCCTCACCTCCACAGAGATTAGACTAGACTGAAGTGATCTTCAATATTATAGATATGCTGCGACTATGTCTCCTGCGTAGCTGTGGTCATTACTTAAGCTATTAGTGATTGCCCTTATTATGAGGATAGATGTATAGTTAGGATCGTTATCCGTTTTGAGAGGAGTAAAAGCTTCTTGGTTGGCGGAATCTGCAGCGGTGTGACATCTCGTACTTTTTGGGGCTATGAGCTTGCGCGTCCCCTGAATAAAATCGACACAGCCTGGCCACTTGGCAGACACTAGATCAAATGCCTCTGGGAAGACATATAATAGTATTTTGGTATGGTATAGCTTGAATATTTGGGTCTACAGGTCGTGATAATGCTAGTCGCATTGGAGGCCTCTCTCAATCACAAAGTCGTGTTGAAATATTGTCACGAACGGAGAAGGAACAGGGGTAATTCTTGGCTGCTCAGCAGCCACTGAGCATCGTTTCCATTAATGAATCGTTCCGTATCGGTCTATTAGTCTAAAATCGTGATTTCGATCACTATACGAGCTCCCCAACTTATAGTCGTCGCTAAGCTCGCTAAATCCGGATGCAAACCGACCTGGGATCGCTATTCTCTATATCAATATCATTTCACTGTATCGGTAACCTCAAGTCCCATCGAGGAACTTTCATGCTTCGGCGCACATAAAACCGTTGTTCTCCAGCAGACTGTTGGAGGCCACGAAACTGAATCCGCCAAAGGGGTCTTCCTTAAAGCCGTCCTTCGGTGAAAATTCGTTCCAGGGATCCTTTGCGACGATAGGGCTCAGACACAGCTCAGTGAATTCCGGAGCAAAATTCTCCGCAAGTTCGGGGTCCGTTATCATTGGCTGGATCGGCGCCTCCAACTCCCTGTTCGCAAGCTTCTTCCAATCGATCTTCCGGAAGAATCTATGTTTCTTGATGATCTGGAGATCTTTGGGCATGTTGGAACCTAGACGCTTGGCGGGATCCTTCTTCAAAAGCCGCGTAAGCAAATCCTTGGCATCGGGACCTAGGAAATATGGCAGGATAAGTTTCTGTTTGACGATGTTGTTCTGGATCTTGGCGTGGTTGCCGCCCCGGAAAGGCGGGTTACCCGTCATAAGGTCGTAGCCCAACGCCCCGAACGACCACCAGTCGACTGCTTTGCCGTACTTCTGACCTTGAACGACTTCGGGTGCCATATACTCAACGGTTCCGAGTATAGACTTGCAACCACCTTCTTCCTCTACCGCAACCTTAGACAGACCGAAATCAGTCAGCAGAAGATGACCTTGCGCATCTAACAAACAATTCTCAGGTTTCAAATCCCTGTAGACCACACCGAGCGTATCGTGGAGATGGGAAAGAGCGAGCACCATCTCTGCCATGTAGAAAGCAGCGACCGGTTCGGGAAACATCTTCTCAGTATTGAGATGAGTGAACAGCTCTCCGCCCTGTCCATACTCGAGGATGAGGTATAGCTTCTCTTGATCCTGGAAGGCATAGAACAGCTTAACGACAAAGGGGTGTCTATTGACGGACTCGAGAATTTGTCGCTCCGTCTTTGTTTGCTCGACGAGTTTCTTGTGAACGACAACTGAGGCTTTCTTAAATTGTTTCTGCGCGTAGAGTCGACCGGTAGCGCGCTGCTTTACTAAAAGAACGGTGCCGTACGTGCCCTTTCCGAGACAACGAAGAGGCTCGAAGTCATCTGATTGCATCTTTCGAGGTACCAGTCCACCTTCGATGGCGCCGTACCGCTTCTCTCGTACACTCTCGCTAACAAAGTCGTTTTCCAGAGCGACTTCGTAACTGGTTGATCCGGCCTCCGAGATTTCGTCGTCACTGCGACCTGTGTGACTAGTGAATCCGCTCATGACACGTTGTCGGCTGGCGCTTCGAGTTCGACACATCGTGCTGGCGCGTGAGTCGCCCAGGCTGAGAGGTTCGAGTTGCATGCGCAGCTTGGCGATACCGCTAATAGCCGGCGAATGACTGCCGCGCAAAACGGGACTACAGTTAGCGCTAACAACATCGTCGATACGAGGGGTGCGGCCGCGTCGCGCAGACAAGGGTGGTGTCATGCAGTGGTCAGAGTCGTCGTCGCCGGATACGGTCGGTGCAAAACCGCGAACGGTAGTAAGCGCTGGGGCGGCCGGTGGTAACATGGCTTCTAATCCCTCCTCTTTATCCTTCCTATGCCCTATAGTATGTGTATCTCAAAATAATACCTAATTAATAGGTCAAAAATAGAGCCTTCCGTCGACAAGACCCTTTCAACCCGCCCCGATTCAAGGCAGGCGGGTTCCGCGTCGTCGCTCGGCGTCAGAGCGTGCTTCGCGAAGATAATCAGAGTGTACTGGCTGAAGGGTCGAAGTCATCTGGTTGCAGTCTATAGATGAAGAAAATCGGTCGTAATCGTTTTGCTGATGCATTGGCAGTCGCGTAGTTTACTATAAGTCGTTTGCGGGTTGTTGAACGGTCGAAAATGGTTTCACCTAATGGTGGTGGTTAAGAAGGAAGGAAAGGAATCAAGAATGTAAGAACAGGCCACCACTTTCTTTTAATTATGCGACTGTACCAGAAAGTTTTTTTCTGGATTTAGGGTGGGGTGTAGCGAGCGGATCTTAATTTTACAGGCTAACTTTAACCTTATGGCCCAATTCTTTTGGGCTCCTTCTATTTTCAGCTGTGTGGCTCCTGGAGATGAGCAAGTCCCGTGTCAGTCCAGGTGCCTAACCATTCCCCACGCCCCGTGATTAGCCGCTACAGCTGACAATCAGGCACGTCCAGTTTTCTCAGGAACCAATGAGTTGACGTGTAATAGTGTAATGCTTACCGAAATCAAGGAACGCAACCAGCCTTATTTATTAAAGACCAGTAGTTGGATCAGGTGAAAGCCCCCCCTGTACCTGAGTTAAACAGTTAACCTAATAAAGGAAAAATCAACGGTAACGCGTTAAGGTATGCCCGACACTTCGTTTAATTAAATTTAATAAAATATTTTTAAATAAAAAAAATAAAAAAAATAATTAAAAATTTTTAAAAAATTATAAAAAAATATAAAAATTTATATTATTAAAATTATTATTTATTTATAAAAATTTATTATAATATATAATATATATATTATTATATAAAATTATATATAAAATTAAATATTTTTTAAATTTTAATTTTTTTATTATTTTTTTTAAAAATTTTTTATTTTTTATTAATTATTTTTTTATAAAAATAAATATTATATTTTTTTAATTTATATTAATTAAAATCGTATTAAAATTTTTATTTAATAAAATTTATTATATTTTAAAAATTATTAATTTAATTAAATTATTTAAGTTTAAATTTTAAATTAATATTTTTATTACGATAATTTTTTTAAAATTTTTTAAAATTTTTTAAAATTTTTTAAAATTTTTAAAATTATCGCGTTAATAAAAATTTAATTTTTAATTAAATTAATTAATTTAATTCGAAAATAAAATACATATAATTAATATATTTAATAATTTATTTAATTAATTTTTAATAAATATTTTTTTTTATTTAATTAAAAACGTTTTAATTTAAAAATAATTAATTTAATTTAAAAATTTATTATTATAATTTTAATATAAAAAAAATTTTAAATATATTTAAATTTATATAAAAATTTATATAATAAATAATATATTATATAATTTCAAATTTATAATATATTAATTAAATTTAAAATTATTTATTAAATATTTAATAAATTAATAATTAATTATTAATTAATTAATTATTAATTATTATTTAATAATAAATTAATTAATAAAATAATTTTATTTATTTATTTAATTATAAATTTTATAAATTTTATTTAATTTTTTATATATTTTTATTATTTTTTATTATTTTTTTATATTTTTAAATTTAAATTTTAAAAATAAATTTTTTTTTATTATTATTAAATTCAGTTAAACGGGTGGGGTATGATCGCTGTTATTACATCCAATCACTGACCTTTTAAATCCCTGCGCCCCACTGCTGATTCTTTCCCTATAAGGTTAGACTTTTAGCTCAGGTACAGGGGTGACTTTCATGTGAGCTATGTACTTATCAAAGACTGACTTCATTCCATTCATACCCTGACTCTTTACCACGTGAAATTCAACAACATGCCAACATCGACATCTTTCAAGAACATTGAAATCTGAATCGAAATGGGAATGCGATGAATATACTTTCCACAAAAATTGAACACGTCAATCGCGTTAGTACAAGCCAAGGATAAACTTCATAACTTGCATAGTAACTTAAGATACACCGCTCTCCAAATCTCGGAGTTACTACGCCGCCCGTCATATTCCAATGCATGTCATAACTCTCGTATTCAATAGATAACATACGATTATAATATCTACTAGTGGATTATCCTACTTCAACACAGATGCTTCAATTCTCAGAAGTCTCCGGTGATACTCAGATGATATGCGTTTACAATTGATTCATGGATGACTTCTCAAGGGTTACTTGTACCGGATAAGTCATCACTTATAACTCTTGAACCTCCTTGTCACACTCAGATGACCGTCTCAGAAATGGATAAAGCAACTCCAATACGCTTTCGAATGCGACCCTCTTCTCCTGTTTGGACAGTCGTCACGCCGAATATCTAAGGATCAAGATTATTGGCTTCTGGCTTCCTGACGTCTGACTTCCTACAACTTTGCATCACATGTTGGCTTCCCTCCTAAAAGAGGGAAACTCATTGTGTTACTTGGGACTTAATGCCCATAACTGGGTTGGGTAACATTCCGTCGAAGCCCCTGGAGGACGATGTTACGTGCAGTGTTCGATTGGATCGGATGAAATGCTTCCAACTTAGAGATCTCCCCCTAGTTATGAGATCAATTCTTTAACTTCCTGGACGTCACTGATAAACGCGTGAATTATACGGAGGCTGACGGGTAAATATCACTTGTGTTGTGAAGAGCAACTTGGTTAATCAATTACTTTATATACTTCTTTAGGGGACCATTGTACGTACCTTACCGACGGCCATCTAAACGTTATTGGTATACACACTAAAATCTATGGAATTATCGTGAAGCATAAACTGATGTAAAAAAATAAAAATATCTAGAAGTACCAAGGTACATACTAGGTATGGAACGTTGTACAATCAAGGATATGGAGCTTTGACCACTAAATTCCCCACTTTTTACCATTCCTATCCCAGCGCGACTTAGCCTTGTAACTACGCGAAAAAAAAGCTGCATCCATCAATGATCCTATCAAAAGTTTCTCTACTTCAGGTTTGGGATATACCATAAAATCCGCCAACTGAATATACAAACATCGCCATAATAGAAGAAATTTCAATTCGTGATCAAGATTGCCCACCATGATGCACCCGTCGCGGCAAGCGTATGTGGAGGAAGCAGAAGAGGTAGGCTCACATGTCTTAGGCATCCTCCTACAACGCGTGAAAACTAACATCTACTATTTGCAGGATCATGGTATGACCTTAGATCAGGTTCCAGAAGATCGCGACTATGAAATTCCCTCAGCCTCCGCCGGCATTGCGCCTGAAAAAGCGTCGGCCATACTGTCACAATTTGAGCGAAAGAGACGAGCTGCGACAATGGCAGTACCAACAGACGACGGCCGGGTACGCGCCAAACTACGAGAGCTTGGAGAGCCCATCACTTTATTCGGCGAAGGTCCGGCGGATCGACGAGATAGGTTAAGAGAGCTTTTGACTTTGCAAGCAGAGCAGGCACCAGGAGAATCGCCCGATGTAGATATGGAGGATGCTCCAGAGGAGGGTCAGGAAGACCAGGAAGAAGAGTTCTATACAATGGGCAGCGATGAATTATTAAAGGCGCGACAAGATATTGCTAGGTTCTCTCTACCCCGGGCGAAACGAAGGTTGGCATTCCAGAAAGAGGAGGCATCGATTCCTTTACGGGCACACGTCAAGTTTCGCAAACAGATCAAAGAGCGCTTACAAGCGTTTGAGCTTCAAGGCTCCCAGACGGCAGGAGATCGAAATGTTAGCATGACGAGGATATCCCCTAACGGCGGACTTGTTGCTGCAGGAAACTGGGGAGGTTCTATTAAGCTGATCGAAATACCAACGCTACAAGAGAAGATGACGTTACGGGGGCATACAAACAGGGTGAGCGGTATCTCCTGGTTCCCCGGCTCAACGCTTCCCGAGAATAATGTGTCGTCAGACACAGTCAACCTCGCCTCAGGCGGTGCCGAAGGCCAAGTAAATCTTTGGTCTCTGAATAAAGATACGCCACTCTCGACGCTTGAAGGACACGGCCAGAGAGTATGTCGAGTTGAATTCCACCCTTCTGGCCGATATCTTGCGTCGGCTTCAGAAGACACTACGTGGCGCTTATGGGATGTTGAGTCGACTACTGAATTACTATTGCAAGAAGGTCATTCAAGAGGTGTATTCGCTATTAGTTTCAACACGGACGGATCACTACTAGCTAGTGGAGGCCTAGACAGCATTGGCAGGATATGGGATTTGAGATCTGGAAGAACAGTCATGATCTTAGATGGTCATGGGGATGGACACATCAAGCCCATCCATGGCCTTGACTGGGGCTCAGACGGCTATCGAGTCCTTAGTGGTTCAGCAGATGGTTGGATCAAGTGCTGGGATGTAAGAAAAGTCCAGAGAACAGGTGGCATCGGAGCTCATACTAGTGCGGTCTCGGATCTCAGGTGGTATAAGGGGTTAGATGACCCCCTTACTGGCATTGCTCCAGGGCTCGACGAAAAGGGGAACCAGCTTCCTAAGAAGTCAAGCACGTTTTTTGCTTCTAGCGGTTTCGACCGCAAGGTCAACGTCTTTTCTGCCGACGACTGGACCCTGATACAGACTTTAGAAGGGCATACAGGACCAGTTGCAAGTGTGGATATTAGTAGAGATGGGAGATGGATTGTTAGTGGCGGACACGATAGAACCGTGAAACTGTGGGGCAGGAATGATGGTGAGGGAGTCTGATAGAAGATACATGACAACGTAAAAGTCACAAGTGAAGGGATAGCAACAACTCGGAAGATACCCAATATATTTAGTTGCTGTGCTGGGAAATCCGTAGTCCTGGAATGGTGCAGTGTAGGCTCAGTAAACTGTCACAGTGCAGTACACAGTGTGGACTGTACAGTACAAAGGTACATACACACATGTGGCATCCATGATGGCAATAAGCGGCTATAGACCCACACCTGAGGGTGTAACCGTGAATCCGATAGAGAGGGAAGTAGCATTTCAAAGGAAAGTATCACGAACCCTTCGAAACGTCCATTCAACCTGAGAAACTTTTGCACTATTCTTTATATCACCTCTTCTTGCCTGGAGCTAACTTCTTTAGATTTTTCGGAAAGCGCCCTCAACAGATAAGATAGTTCTGTTATCAATGAACGCTACTTCCTAGATACCCAGATACCTCCTTTTTCCGATCCAATGACCCACCTTACCTAAGGTTTCAACTGCCAGCTGCCACCTGCCAACCGTCGCGAAAGCTCACGATCGCATTCTTCTGCTTTTTTTCTTCTTACTTTCTACGTCATGGCGAGTATCGACCGATACCGACCGCCTTACCGGGAACCTTACCAACTTCCTACCGCACCTCCTACTGGTAGCAACGCGAACAGCCATTCTAAATCCCCCACAAGGAGACGCGACGTACCTCCACCTGTCCCTTCGCCACCTACAAATTCGTCGCGTACCTCTCCACCTGCACCACAATCGCGACTCGTCGCACCTTCTCCCAGTCGCTCGGCGACTAAGACGTCACCCACAATGTCGAATCAATGGCTTTTTACCCAAGATGAGGTCCTGAGCAGTCCCAGCATTCTGGACGGACTATCGCCGGCAGAGGAGCGACTGAGACGGGCGAAGGGCGTAAACTTCATCTACCAGGCTGGCATCCTACTTGAACTCCCTCAGACTACCCTCTATGTTGCCGGTGTCTTCTTCCACAGATTCTTTATGAGATGTAGCATGGTCGAGGAAAAGCATGGAATCCATCACTACGTAAGTCAACCTGGAATCGACCGGTGCATATTGAATCAGCCACAAGTTCCGTTTTACCCAGACTTGACGAGTGACCTAATTCTCACCTCGTTTAAAAGAGGACAAAGATGTCACGCACTAAGTCCATCGCTAACCATACCGTTGGTACAGAACATTGCAGCAACTGCTCTCTTCCTTGCCAACAAGACGGAAGAAAACTGCCGAAAAACGAAAGACATCATTATCGCGGTTGCAAAAGTCGCCCAGAAGAATGCCAAGCTCATCGTAGACGAACAATCGAAAGAATACTGGAGATGGCGAGACAGCATTCTCATGTTCGAGGAAGTCATGTTAGAAAACTTGACCTTTGACCTCATGATCGAGAGCCCGCACTTCAAATTGTACGACTTCCTCGGTCAGCTACAAGTGATTCACAACAAGAACCTGCGACACGCCGCATGGGCGTTCTGCAACGACTCATGCTTAGCTGTTCTACCGCTTCTGATGGACGCGCGCGACATTGCCATTGCGGCCATCTTCTTTTCCAGTACCTTTACTGGAGAGCGAATAGAAGATGTAAACGGTGAAGCATGGTGGAAGGCACTTAACGGCAATGAAGATCACTGCGCCAAAGCGATCCAGGTACTCAAGGAATTCTACGTCGAGAATCCCTTGCGCAAACAAGAGAACCCCTACTCGCAGTCGCCCATGTTCATCCTTGAGAATACTAGAAGAAGAGGGGAGGATATTAGTCTACGTTCTATCAACGGCACCCCTAGAACTGATAGTGCTACGCAGAGCCCTAAGGGCAAGGTCAACGGCATGGATGAAGCGGCGGCAGAAAGAGAGATCGACACGGCCGCAGCTGAATCTGCAGCTCAAGCAGCTCCTGGTGATTCCGATTCCGTCCTTAAGGAGGCCGCGAATAATCCAACCATCCACTCAGGCACGAATGGTATCAAGAGAAAAGAAGTCGAGTCTTTAGCATCGGAAATCCGGGACCCTAAACGGCAACGCCTTGGCTCGGACGATGATGACGAAGGCGAAGTACATGAATAGAGACATGTGCTAGCCTGGCTGGACCGAGTCTTAGTATACCACGGGGAAGCGGCCCCTTTTGAATACGCTCCTGAACAACCTCCTGAACAAGTTCCTGAACAAACAGAGACAAGTTTATCGGAGGGATCCACCCCGAATGATTACAGATGGGAATCATCTAGTGGGGTTTCCGCGGAAGAAAAAATTTGAAGAAGCTGAAAAATCCGACGATCACGGTGAAGAAGGGAGCTCTGAGGCAGACAAGGAAAGTGAAGCGGGTGATGACTGCTAGGAAATGAAGGCGGCTGTCTTAGGACCGAACATCGATGAACGATTAGTAGTCGGCGTGAATATCATGGTTCTCCCAGGGTGGTTATATCACCAGAAAATCTTACTAAAGACAACTTCTCCGCATGGTCATGCACTCGCCAACACCCTCAGACTATGGTACTCAAAGGGTCAAGCAAACCAGACAAACAAGGCGAACCCAGTACACAAATTTCCTGTTTACTTTTTGTTTCATTACTAATGGGCCTCGAAGCCCATGCACGGCGTTCTGGGATAAGGGGCAGGTTGGAGTTGGACTCGGCAAACATGATTCTGATTTTCTGAAGGCCAGGGCGGGCGCGGTGCGTATGTGCTTCTAGGTCAGGCTCCACGATACCTTTCATATTCTACGGTCGCGCGTTGTACAGTAGAATGGACACATTCGGGCATTTGCATTTTCTTCGAGGGGGTCATGTACACAAGGTAGCCATACCTTTGATGAGGGGACGATACTTGATACCTCGTTTCTTTAGTTAACCTGCCTTCGTGGGGAGTTGCTATGAATGCAAATGCCATAATTTCTACGCTCTTATTGTGTTAAGTTCGAGTGACTTGGTGATTAAGGCTTGTACATTAACTAAAGATTTTGAACTAGGTATCGAGCAATTGTTCTCGCGGAGTCTATGTCTATAGGCCCACATACCGACCCTCCTATCCATCCATACAATACACTATTCAATGGTCAGACCCTCAAGCCAACCGCACCATCCCACCCTCCCCTCCTCTCTGACTCCGGATCTCATCCATATAATCAATAACATCAACCCAGTTCCCCATCTCGGTAAGCCGCACGCGCTCCTTCTTCGTCAGCAGCGCGGCGTTGCGATCGGGCCCGAAGCCGGGCCCGCACATCTCGGTCAGGTGGTGCACGCCGAGCTTCAGCGGCAGCGGGGCCCGCGCGACGTTGGTCATGAAGACGTCGACGGCTTCCCAGGGACAGCTATCAAGGCCGCTGAAGAGCGCCGGGTTCGCGAGGAGGGCGCGCGCGGACATCAGGCCTGATAGGTTCGGGAGGTGCGGTTTGCGAGTTGTGGGTGGAGGGTGAGGAGAATCAGCAGCATTGTCGGGGGTGATGGAGGAGGAGGAGGTGGTGGTGAACGTGGGTTGCGGGTCAAGTAGATGCGACGTGTACGGCAGCGTGGAGAGCGTGAATACGTCGCCGGAGACGAGGACGGGAAGCTTCGTGCCGTACGTCGAGGTCAGGATCTCAAGGGCCTCGATGTTGATGGGGACGCTGCTTGGCGTGCGGCGCGTGCGCGGGTGGATCGTCAACCAGTCTATGTTGCGGTTGTGCTCGTCCCCGAGCACGGTCGTTATGAAGTCCATCGTCCGTCGCAGGTCGGAGTGCACGCGGATCTTGACGCTGACGCTGCGGCCGCGGCCTGCGCGAGGATCGACGTCGGGGTTGGAGTCGTAGTTGGCCAGGTCCACGGCCCACCCGTCGCGCGAGAGCCGAGCTCGCGTCTCGACTACCATGTCCCGAACCAGCTCGCGCCGCTCCATCAGCGCGGCTCCCAGCTTCTCCGCGCACGCCCAGCTCTGCGGACAACCGCAGTTCAGGTCCACGCCGTTGACGTAGGGGGCGGCGAGGGAGGCGGCGCGGGAGAGCTCGAGAGGTTGGTTCGCGCCGAACTGGGCTATCGTCGGGACTTCCTCATCCCTAACTCCACACCCATCCCCTTCTCCCTTTCTACCAGGAGCTGGAACTGGGGTTGGGGTGGATATGGTCAGGTCGCTGTCGCGCGCGAACCGGCTCCGGTTGAACTCCTTGGCCAGGATCATGGGCGTCCAGCACAGGTCCGTGCCGAAGTGGTGGACCGTCTGCCGGAAGGCGAGCTTGCTGTAGCGCACCATGGGCGCGCAGGCGTAGAGCAGCCGGTTTTGGGACTTTGCGGCGTCGAAGAGCTTTAAGGGGCTAGTAGGTATGTTAGTCTAAGGTATAGGGGGGATATTAGCATGTGGCATACTGGATCTTGGGCCAGATGAGCCCATCTTCACTCTCCGTGTCCATCTTGGTCACTTGTCGAAGTAGGAGTATATGGTATGATGCATACTGAGACGACCAGTGTCATTTGGGCCTTGTTTCCCTGGTTATAGATCTATTATGTATGTACGAAGATTTAGATCACATCGTAACTCCTTGAGCTTTCGGTCGTGTTATTAAGTAGCTCTATAGCTAAACCGCGATTTATAGCAGAGGAAGAACAACTTAGAAGCTGAAATCATGAAAATCATGGCGGGGTGGCGGGGCAGAATGGAGGGGTATGCAATTAAACCCTTTAAAGTACGCCACCGCTTGCCTTTATCGGAGAAAGATACCGTCTAACTTAATTTTGCCGGCGGATTAATGAATAGGAATAAATTCTGCTTGAGCCTTTTCTACGTTGCGACTTATACTTGATCCAATTATTCCAGTCCTCCGAAATACCCCTGATAATGGCAGCAAAGAAGCCTGTCATCGGGCTACTTGGAGGCGGCCAGCTTGGTCGCATGTTATGTGAGGCAGCCGGGCCTTTAGGAATACCGATCGCCATTCTGGATGCTGAAAACTGCCCGGCGAAACAGGCCAACCAGAGCGATCTCCATGTTACTGGATCTTTCAAGGACCCCGAGAAGATCAAACTTCTGGCCACCCGTTGCGACTTTTTGACTGTGGAGATCGAGCATGTGGAGACGGAGGTATTAGAGGAAATAGCAACGAAAGGAGTGGAAATACCTAACCCAGACGGAGAAGGGACCATTTTGAAGAAGGTTCCCGTACATCCTTCATGGAAGACGATACGCCTGATCCAGGACAAGTATCAACAAAAAGAGTACTTCGCAAAGAATGGAATTCCTGTCGCTGAGCAAATGGCCATAGAGCCCGGGGAAGCTAGACAGGATTCCCTTGATGAAGCTGCTTGGAAATACGGTTTCCCTTTTATGTTAAAGGGTAGTAAAGGATCATATGACGGCCGTGGAAACTTCAAGGTCAGCGGTCCCGAAGACCTAAAGAGTGTCGCGGCTCAAATGGGGGACCAACCCCTATACGCAGAAAAATGGGTACCTTTCGAAATGGAATTATCTGTTATGGTATTACGGACAGAGGACGATAATGGTAAACTTAAGCATGTTTACCCGTATCCGGTTGTCGAAACTATACATGAGGATAGCATATGTACCAAGGTCTTCTACCCGCCGCGGAACATACCTGAAGACATCAAAAAGCGGGCACAGAAGGTCGCCAGCGATGTTATAGCAAGCCTCTGGGGCCGCGGTGTCTTCGCTGTTGAGATGTTCTTACTCGCGGATGGTCAAATTCTCGTTAATGAGGTTGCCCCCCGTCCACATAATTCTGGTCATTTCACTAGTATGTATTTTCTGACTATTTATTGCTCCTTCATTTATCTCTGGCGCATGTTATTACTCACAATCAGGCATGATTGGAGATTGCTTAAATTTCCTCCTTTCCAATCCTATATAAATCTTAAAATGCGATTATTGACTTTAAAACTATATAGTCGAAGCCGTTCCTCAAATGTCACAATATAAGGCTCAATTATTCTCTATACTGGACCGTGTTCCTGGTAAAGGTGTTAATCTGACGGCGCGAGTGCCGTCTTCGATCATGTTAAACATTCTCGGCGGAGCTCAGACGACATCTCATGACAAGTTTGTCAAGCTTGCGGAGGAGGCATATGATGACTTTACGGATGTATACGTACATTTATACGGAAAAGAGTCGAAGCCAGGACGAAAGATTGGTCATATTACCGCCACCGGCCTCTCATCAGTGGAACGGTTAGCTGAGACGATAAGTCCCCTCATCAAAGTCATGGACGAGATTCGAGCTGAGCGCATTGGTTCGAAGGACCCTATTCAGACCCAGACGACGACATCGAAAGCTGTTCCCCTGGTTGCTGTTACAATGGGCTCCGACTCAGATTTGACAACAGTGGCAGCCGGCTTAAAGATATTAGACGAGTTTAATGTGCCTTACGAAGTCCGGATAACGTCAGCACACCGGACGCCGCATCTTATGATGAAGTTCGCGGCAGAAATGGCTCAGTCAGGCTGCAAAGTGATAATTGCGGCGGCAGGTCAGTGTCATATTCTTCGACGGCACAGAATTCTATGCTCCTTACACGTAATGATTACTAATATATGCACATAGGTGGCGCTGCTCATCTACCAGGTATGCTTGCCTCAGAAGTGCATATTCCGGTGATCGGCATTCCGGTGAAGGCCTCGGTACTGGACGGCGTCGATAGTTTACATTCTATTGTGCAGATGCCTAGAGGCATCCCGTGCGCTACAGTTGGGATTGGAAATTCGACTAACGCGGCGCTTCTTGCGATTCGTATCCTGGGTGGTGCATACCCCGAGTACGCGGAACGGATGAAGCGTTACCAGGAGAAGATGAAGAACGAAGTCCTGGCTAAGGACGAGAAGATATCATCTGTGGGTTGGAAGGCGTATCTCGACGGGATGCAGAAGAAATGAGCCGGGAATTTATAGAAGGACAACGTATAATTTATAAAACGGCCTGTTGAAGTCGACATGTGACCGTAGTCGATGTCGGCGCTTGCGGAGAAATTATCTCCTTATTTGTGCCAAGGACAATGCCTCACTGAATCAGGTCATTCTGTTTGTGATATAAAGGGGTGAATCTCGGATTTTTGGAATGGAGGTATGGAAACCCGACACCGATGGAGCCAAACCCCACGCCTAAACCCGGCTTCGCGAAGCGAAATCGCAAATACCGTTGACGTAGTATTCACGTATGAAGCCACTGACTACGGAATAGAAATATGGGATTTAGTATCGATTCGCGTTGGTTAGGTCCGGTAAATGCGACCATAATTCGACCGACTCCGTAGGTCTGCAAGCCGTTGCATGGTAAAAACCCTTACACATCAATTATCAAACGGGGGACGGCTAAATGTATAAAGAGCATAAGACGACTCAGGAGGGCAACTTAGCATCACACATAGACAGCCTTCAGAACTACTATCGATATATATGCTTACTTCTAACTTATCGAGACAAAATCGATCAAATACCTAGTTAGAATGCCTACACTCGTCGGAAAGGAGGTCGGACCTCTGGGGTATGGACTGATGGGGCTGACCTGGCGAGCAAAGCCTGTTTCTCAGGAGCAGGCCCTCGAGGCTATGAAAGCAGCGCTGGACAATGGAATGAACTTCTGGAACGGCGGCGACTTTTACGGGTCGCCTGAGTATAACTCTCTCGTACTGTTGGAGCGCTACTTTGCGAAGTATCCCGACGATGCCGATAAGGTTGTGCTTAGCATCAAGGGTGGGGTGGGCGCTATAGGCAAGGACCCTGACGGATCACCGGAGAACACTCGCAGAACTCTCGATACATGCATCGCTCAGCTCAAAGGCCGCAAGAAGATTGATATCTTCGAGTTTGCGCGCCGTGATCAGAATGTGCCCATGAAGACGACTTTCGATGTTGTCCAGAAAGAGTGTATGTTATTGACCATCCCCCCCCCCCCCCCTTTCGTTTTCATTACTAGCCTTCCTATCCGTCTTCAAGTAAAAAGCCTAGATCCTAACATAAGCCAGACATCGACACGGGAAAGATCGGTGGTCTCGCGCTCTCAGAGGTCAGAGCCGAGACGATCCACGAGGCCGTCAAGCTCATCAAAGTCGTATCGGTCGAGGTCGAACTTTCGCTGTAAGCGAACCCCCTCTCCCTTCCCCAACGACACCCTGTCCTCTCTCCCCCGCCCCCAAAGCTATTCCATGCTGACCCGACACGCGAGCGCAGATTCTCAAGACACATCCTCGAGGACGGCGTAGCGGAGGCGTGCGCGCAGTACGACATCCCCGTAGTCGCGTACTCGCCGATCGGGCGCGGGTGGCTCAGCGGCCAGATCCGCTCGATCGAGGACGTGCAGCCGCACCTGCGGGCGTGGCCGTGGTTCCAGCCGGGCAACTTCGAGGCCAACCTCGCGCTCGCGCGCCAGGTCGAGGCGCTGGCGACCCGCAAGGGAGTTACGCCGGCGCAGCTGGCGATCGCGTGGACGAAGCGCCTGTCCACGTGGCGCGAGGGGAAGGGGGCGGTGCCTAAGACGATTATTCCGATCCCCGGGGCTACGACGGTGGAGCGCGTTGTTGAGAACGCGAAGGCGGCGGAGGTGGAGATCGGGGATGAGGAGATGCGGAGTATTGATGCGATGTTGGATCAGTTCCCGAGGGCTGGGGAGAGGTATCCTGATGATATACCTACTAACACGTAGATTATCTATGGATGTGTGTATGTGCTCCGGGAATAGGATGAGAGGGGAGTAGGTTTGGTGTTTGCGGTGGATGTGTCGGATATACATATATACAGTGTAACCGCGATATCAAGCATCACTCTCCCGTGATACTTTCTGTCTGACGTGCTTGCTTTTACCACAATTTGCTATAAAATGGAAAGACTAACTTGATAGCTTACTACCCGAACAGGTCCTTGAAACAAGACTATCTATCTAGGCTGTGGCCGAAGCGTGTAGACCAGCCTGTTGATTAAATGTACTCAGCCCTGGGTTTCATGCCATGCTTGGCTTGAGGGTTCGATTCCCTCAGATGGTAATTCTTTTTTTTCTAGTAATTTATATTGGTTGCTATTCACTTGATATACGTGATTTGGCGCTGTACTTTTCCCTAGATACCTATGTAGGCAGTATTTGAATATTCTGGTATTCTTTTCTACATAGTATGTGGTCTTGTAAGGAGGCTTCTGGAGTATTTGTATGTACCTATTGACATGGTTAGCTTCTTGAGGTCAACGCTAACATAAGACCCTTAGAGAACACCACTATCAGGCAAGAAGATATCCACATCTCGATGAGCCCGGAGACTCATCTTCAGCATTGCAGAATTCTTGATACGTTCATCACTTAGTGGTTCGATCATGACGCAGTTCGGAGTATGCGAGTATGTAACCTGAATATGTACTTACATTATGAGTAGAATAGGTAGCCGTCGAACGAATCTTGATACCCATAAGTGTGAAATACTGGCTCATTGCTTATCATGAAACTGTTAGCAGTCCTTCGAACAGATGTATGATCTCCATTATTTAGCCTAATGGGTTATAACGATTTGATTTCACATGAACCAACTCATGATACAGATTGAGCCGCAGTTGTGCGACTGTAAGCTGGGAGAATGGTTGTGGAAATTTCCTCGAGAAAAACTGCGAAAAGAAAATTCCAACTGTAGATATGTGGAGAACTCTTATTCTTTAAACCAATTGTAGAAGCCGGAGGTTTATTATGTAAGTCCTTCTTATTAGGTAAGAACTTTTTTCATAGATCTTGCGAAAACCGTTGAACTTTTAACTTACCGGTATTACATAGGACGGCTAAAGATCCATGCGGCCCGTCCCAATGCACCGGACGTCCCGATGACTTCCATTCCAAAAATTCGACGGACGGCAATTTGCACACGAGATCACCAAAAATGGGATAATCAAGGGTGTCATTTGACAGCACCAGGCATTGACAATCAAAATGATTGATCATCATGACATCGTCGGTTCGTCTCATGCACCCCGTGTTGTATAACCTAACACAAGTATTCTTAAGCAAGCACATATTACCGTTCTATTTTTCCATTGCAAGATCCAAAGGTCTCAGACCTCCTAGATAATATTCCGAATGCCCCTTTCACATTACATACAGCAGGGACCCTCGTGATGAAGTCCTAACCACAACTGGCTCGGCCTATGCCAGATTACCTGCATACACAATTAAAGATGGACCTTGCCGTCTTTGCATGTCGCATTGAAACACGACAAGGGGTTAATTAGTGACCTTACGGTATGATTGCGCCTGTGTTTCCGACCAGCGTACCTGGCCAGCCATCCCGCCAGTCTATCCCCTATTCACGACCGTGCAGGATTTACTGCAAAATTTGAAGATCCCGGCAGCTGCATGAATGTGGAAGCTCCTTTTCTCGACTCTGTGATCGGGTGGGTATAAGCAACCTGGTTGGTTCATTTTCGCTGTGCATGAGGCCATATACTAAGATATTCTAGTGGCCTAATGATCACCTAGGACCTAGGGGTTCGGGAGTTTTGAATAATCATCGTCTTTCCTTCACGGTTCTTATATTCTAAATCACAGCTAGCCCTCTTACTAAACCACTATACCCCTTCTTCTTTTTCTATCCGAAGCGGTGCACTTTTGCGGCTTTCACGAGCCGGAGAAAGTCTAGCGTCGGAATATACCAAGCTCAAACGCTCAAACGGTTCTAGAGCCGGCAGAGTGTGCGACACTCAGCTCGCACTAATAATTTTGGAATGTGAAGAGTCGAGAACTAAAAGAGACTAGGAGGAACTAAAAGGAGGTTTCGTCATTTCAAGTACCTAGTATCCATGAATGCTCCACTCCCCCCAAAGAGCCAATGAATCCACAGTAATTCGAGAGGGAGGGACGAGCTGTAATAAAATATCCAATCAGAGAAGTCGTGGCCAGGCCTGGACTGCCCAGGTGGAAGGATCAGGTACAAATGGAAGCATCGGTACGAAATACTTTTGTACATGTGAACCGCAGAACCGATAACCACCTGGGCAGATGGTCCTGAGCCTTGCCCACTCTTTAATTAATTACCCCAAACCACCCGACGAGAATTGGTAACCGATGCTATTTCTTTGCGATTTTGGTCCATTGAGGGAAAACGGGCATCGGAGTTGACTGAAATTGAAATTGACATCCAACTATCGATACCGGCATCGGCATTTTTGAACAACTAGACTGGAGATTAAGGACGGTGGTTGGAGTTGGCTTTCTTCGAGCCTCTCGTTTTTCTCCCCCGTTTCCCTTTTTTCATCATGGTAATTTTTGGAACTCGTGTCAGTCGGCGGAATTGAATAGAAGATCGATCGTCTTGGGATCTTTTGGAGCTTCTCCCAACCCTCCTCCTTTCGGCCGTGCCCCTTGCCTTGGTATCCTGTAGCGTCCCGGCCATCTCGATTTCAGTTAGGGTTTTGCTGTCGCTCATCCGAACGAACTTTACCTTGTCGACTTCTCGGGCTTAATCCGTAGACTATCTCGCATATGATTGGTTTCTTGCTTGCGACGAGTCCTACGCGGCCACGAGCCTTCGAAGGCAAACTCACATACCACATACGCTCTTCGACTTTGGATATACCCACCATCAAACCTACCTATCTAGGTAGATACAGTACCTTGGTAGCTAATATTCGCATCCGCTTCCAATAAGCGGTGCGGCTAATTGCAGTTTGCAGCCCGTTTTGATTCGTCGCCTGTCCCCTCTAGGTTTTAGCTGCCCTCTTCCACGGGCTCTCTCCGAGTAGCGAACTGCAAACCGTTACGATTTCCAGAACCTAGCCAATCCGCCCTATCTCTCTAATGCATACAGCCTCTACTCCACCGGCCCAGACGTCGGGGTCAGGGTCGGGCTCTATGCCCTACCCGGCCCTGCCAGCGTCGCCCACTCTGACAAACCCAGATATGATATTGCCCGACTACGACGATACCTGCTCTTCTCCAGACAGATCGCACTCGCCCCTAATAATGTGGAAGAACGCACATGCTGCCGAGATGGGCTTTGATCTCACTCCCCAGGCTTTCACGGGACCCATCACTCCCACTACACCTATTATATATGGGAACGGAACGATGCTTTCGGATATCGGAGAGGTCACCGAGGTTGAAAGCACATGTCCTCCGAACAAACCGCGATCCGGGTCTACGCGCAGTGACGGTTCGATGCATCCGATTTCCCTATCCCATTACGAGATCATCAAGAAGAAGGATTCCAAGATTGGTCGCGAAAGGCGGTTGTCCATGGAATCGACGAGTACCATTACCAACCATGATCAGGGTGGAGTGTTTGCAGATTTTGACGACGATGTGAGCGTTGACGACAGCAATTTCCAGGGAGACGATGAGGAGAGTGTAGCCGACTCCTTTATAGATGACGCATTCCACGAAAATGCCATGGCAATTAAGGAAGCACGTAGAGCGATAGGACAGGAGCGCTATTCCACGGCCTTGAGTCGGAGAGCTGAGCAGATTCTAGCGAATGCGAAGCGGCGGTTGACGGTGAGGACGCATTCGGTATTGCCCATTTGCATCGACTAATTTATTATAGACCATGGAAGGAAATTTGAGTCGGGCGAGATCCATTAACTCTCCTACCTTTTCGATCGACTCCGGCTCGACACCTTCGCCCACAAGTTTCAAGCCTACAACCGCAATCTACCATGATAATGATGCAAATTCCCGCAAAAGCTCGAATGGGCACACAAGGATATCTAGTGAAAACAACATCCCAACCCTTCCAACTGATTTAGTTAAGCCTGGCCAATATATACCGAGATCTTCGAGTGCCTTAGGCGCGGCGGGTGGGTATCGACCGCCCCTCCATAGCCCGCGTAGTGCAGATTATATGCACGATAATACGAGAGGCACGCCGATGGATGATTCGATATACGGCAGCCCGACCTTTACTAGGAGTAAGCCGTCTCTGCAAGTCAGGGAGCATCTACTTGAACCATTAAGTGAGGATGATGCTTCACAGGATGTGAGTTCGTCAAGGCCGAGCCTGGAAGATACCAAACTGGACAATTTCCTTAGTCCGACCTTCGGGTCTTATTCAGACAAAGGACTGAAACGGTCTGCGTCAACGGCGCAAATGCGTGATTTGAAAGACCAGATGAAGGATCTCAAGGGAAGATTATCGACATTGCGAGATCAAGCCCGAGAAGATAGTCTAAAGCGGCGAAGCCTTCAAAGCTTACGTACTCCTAGTCCTTTCACACATGCTCAAGTTAACCAGTGGTACGCTGGCACGGCTAAACCTGAAGACGAGGGCTCTGTTCCTAGCGACTATAAATCGCAGTTGTCAAACGAGGACGTCTCGAGCATCAATGGTGGTGAGAGGGATATGGCAGTAAAACAAATATCGCCTCACGCTAGCGAAGAATCGGCCCCGAGCGGCTTTTCTACCGTAGAAGACAGCGAGCCTTCACCATTAGGCGACGGTGAAAATAGCTTACCGTCATCTAAAAGTGATGACCTATCAGTTCCTAACCAAGCAGAGGACGATGACGATATGAGGACTGAAGATGGTTCCGACGAAGATGTGGATGAAGTGGCTCAAGAAGAGGAGGAATATGAGGTAGATGCGGAAATAGATGAGGACGAGCAGGCCGTGTTTGAAGACGATGCAAGCGAGAGCGGTGCGTCCTCATATTACGATTCCGTCCAGAATCAACTGTCCCACGAAGATCGCGAAGATGCCTTCGACTACGAACATTTTTTCCTGCACAGCGCGATGGGTAGCATGAGCCGGAGGCGGATGAGAAAAGGCAGCCGCGATAGTTTCACCTCTGAAGACTCGGTGGAGACAACTCGAGGTCCAGTTGCGACTTCCAACGCGAGATCGACTGCTGGTAAGGCCGGGAGCCGCTCTCGTAGAGGTAGTCGTGATTCCATTTCATCGATAGAGTCGTTCGCAACAGCCACAGAGGGCAGGCTGACAAGAGCAGAAAATGAGGCTGTGGAGGCTTATCACGGACCCGGTGTTATAATACCCGAACGCGCTCGAACGCATACGCCGGACGCAGCAAGACGGGCTCGCTTATCGACCGGGACGAGCGATTCCGGATCTGATAATACTCGGACTAAACCATCCAATATCCGGCGACCACAGAGTAGTGCGGCAGCATTTATGCATCGACCCTCCGTATCGTCTTTTGACTCGAGCAAAACTCATAGAAGTTTCCCGTTGGTGAATAAACCGAAGGTGAATGGTGGTATATTAACGCCGCGGGATTCGCCTGACCGAGAGTTGAAACGAATCTCAGAGGTCTTTCTTAACGAGAGCCTTAGCAGCATGCAGGGCGGAGATAACAAGACGTCCCCGATCGAGATGTTACAGAGAGACGATCGAATTCTCGTCGAGCGCTTGATCGGAAGCCTTGGTCGATGTGTCCTCGGTTTGGCCGAGTCCGGTCGCGGTTCGGCTGACTATCGGGCGCAAAGAAGGAAAATAGAAGCAGCTAAGCGAGTTTTGGAGAGCTTGGAGGCGCCGGCGTAATTCTTAACCTAGGTACTTGCTGAATCGGGCGTTTGCGGATTATACCATTTTACGAGGACGAGGGCGAGGACAATACAACCATGGGGGAAGGTTACGGTGCCTCTTTTTTATCCTATTCCTTTTTGGTTTTAATGTTTTTTACTACTTCCAAGGGCTCTTATCACACGGATTACGATCACGAAAAATAAGATCCCATTTTTTGTACAACGCACTACTCTATAATCCATATGTCCCAATGGGTTAGTTTTTTGGGGGAGCTCACTGGCTTTGTTGGGAGCGTAGCGGTGGCCCCTACACTACGCCATAATTCTTCGATACCCTAGACCGCTATGTGGTCTTTGTTTTACATGTATTTAGCTTTAGGGATTGTAGTCGGTATATAGCCCCTAAATTTCGAACTGAACCGGTATGACTATGTATATTTGACTTGAGTCTCTTATGTCGATGAAGTGTTACGCTGTGTTCTGTATGATATATGCATTTACCTAACAAGTGTAATAGGTTTCCGACATGAGCATGAACGTCGTTATTCTAATCCTTGTAACTGCATTTACTTTTTATAAAGTTATGTAGGTAGGTGCCTTTATGATCGTAATCCAATATCAATGAATAAGGTTCATTCACGATATGCCACTGCCTAAGTATCATAAGTGATATAGTCATAACCTTAAAAGCTTAGAACGATATGATAAATCTTGAGACTGTTGAGTTAAATATCGTGATTATTGACTAGTATATATTGCAAATTACGCAGGAACTACCTCTGTACTCGCCCTGGTGAGTTGAATACCATACGATTTTCGAGGTAATTGCCAATAACGGGGCGGCAATATACAATTTTCGAGGAAACTGCAAGCATCGGGGTATGCCGATTTCGAGGTCGGTGCTAATAACGAGGGATGCGGCTGCCACCAGACCGTACATACACTATATTGGTAACATTGCATCTACATCAGCACTTGCCTGCTCCGTCTTACACAATATTATATATCCTCAAATTACCTACATGAATCTCTCAATTCTTATTATTAAGACCCAACCGTTGCCATAAGTCATCTTCTCTGCACTTCTTCTTAACTTCACTATTCCAGATGAAGACAGGGATTGTCCTTGGCTTGCCACCACTTCCATAGCCTGTGGAATGAAGTCACCCTAACAAATACACCTATGATAACAGGAAGCCCTCAACACGGATAGTCAACACCATGGAAACTCCGTGGATCAACAAGTATATCCCGGTTGGGTGTTTAAAGATACCTGCGGACGCCAGTGACCTCTCTTTACTTGAAGCTTTGAGCTCTTCTAAATCACTAGATTGGGAGTTCTTTGCTCGTCAGCATGAGTTGCCCGCTCAACACCGTCTTCCTATACATCTACAAGACACGCTTCTGAAGCAGAAATTCTTACAGCCCTTCTACGGATTATGGATAAACCGATGGATTCAGATGTCTTTTCGCCGGATTTCCGAGCCGGATAGTGTGGGACGCATCCGAATTTACATTCTACCTCAAGACGTAGACAGAGGCGTCATGATATTTAAGCATGACTTAACGAGAGCGACTTTATGCCTGTTATCTCAACTCGATTACTCTCCAGACTACTGGAATGGAGGAACCGGAACTACCTACCAAGGCCACCCAGTACCATCCCACCAAGACCTACTCGAAGGCGAGGATACCTCGCTTCTATCCATGTTCAACAACGTTCCTTCACCGGACCCTCGCTCAGACTTAGAGCCGAATCCAGATACCCGTGATGGGATGGAGTGCTTATTACAGAGTGACATCCCTGGCATAACTACGAAGTTATTCCCTTATCAAGGCAGATCAGCTGCACTTATGCTTCAACGCGAGGAAAACCCTAAGAGGATTGTTGACCCTCGTTTTCAGTCGGTGCTTGATCAAAATGGGAAGGCTTGGTATTACGATAACGTCTCGGGTATTGTCCTAAGAGAGCCGCGATATTACGACGGAGTGCGCGGTGGAATTCTTGCAGAAGAAAGTGAGTGAACATCAACTTTCTTATTAGACCCTTCATCCTCATTTGAATATCTCTCGCTGAGAGTGACGACAATTATCTCGCGATCTAAGATTTTTTGTGATTACCTATTATATTTTCTGCAATGGAAGTTACTAACTATATTCTATAGTGGGTACTGGAAAGACCCTCATCTGCTTGGCCCTGATTATCAGCACCAAGGGCGAACCAACCAAAGTTCCGGAGCCTTTTACTGCCGAAATCGCCCCTCGCGTGAATGCGAGCTTAGTGGATATGGCAGCGGCAGCAGTAAACAAGAATTCGATACCGTGGAGAGTCTTTTTCGAGACTTATGCTACTCAGCACGGCCGTGACTACCGGAACTGCAAAGAGGCCTTAGAAAAACCAGAGAACCGTGCCCTGTATAAAATCCGGGACGTCTTCATAGAGCCACGAAGAAGTAACAGGTCGATACCCAAAACCTCAGCACCTAAAGAAGTCTTTCTCAGTTGTGTTACACTGGTCGTGGCTCCCAACAACCTTGTCAAGCAATGGCGCGACGAGATCAAGAAGCATACCACCGGTCTAAAGGTTCTCGTCCTAGTGGAGAAACAAGATATTCCACCAGTCTCTGAATTGCTGTCCTACGACTTGATTCTCTTTTCTGAAAGTCGCTTCGAGCTGATCCAGAAAGAGCAGAACCAGTATTGCCCGCTTGAGCACATTCGATTCAAGCGGTGCATTATTGATGAAGGTCACAAACTAGGCCACAAAAGCCGAGGCTGGAAAAGCGATGTGCTGAGAGTACTAGATCGCCTTGAAATCTCCGCTCGTTGGGTTGTAACAGGAACCCCTTCGAGAGGCTTGTATGGTGTCGAGGGAATCTCGGAGAGTGGCGCCAATGGAACAATGCAGTCAACTTTACGTCAGGAGCGCGAGGACCTGCAAAGAATTGGCAATATTGCTACGAAGTATCTCAAGGTTCGCCCATGGATGAATACAAAGGACGAGGTCGGCGATAGCGTCGCTGATTGGAACGTGTATGTCATGCACAGAGAACAGCACGCCAAGGGTCACAACCGCAAAGACTGTTTGCGAACAACCCTCAATTCACTGATCATTCGCCATCGGCTTTCGGATATCAGCACCCTTCTACCGCCGGTAGAGGAGAAGATCGTAGTCCTCGACGGGTCTTTCCAGGATAGGCTGTCTTTGAATCTCTTCTCCATGATGATCATATTCAACTCAGTACAATCGCAGCGCACGGATATGGATTATTTCTTCCACGAAAGACAGCGCAAGAGTCTGATCCAACTCGTCAAGAATTTAAGACAGGCATGTTTCTTCGGTGGCGTATTCTACTCTGTCGAAGACATCGCCAAGTCTTTGGAGACTGCGGAGGAATTTCTCGCGAAAAAGGAGGTTCAGATTAGCAACGAAGACGAAGAGCTACTAAAGGAAGCAATTGATTTCGGCAAGATTGCCGTAAAAAATCGGCTGAAAGACATCAGTAATAAATTCCACGCGATGCCATTGTACATGGACAACTTCCCCGGAGGCAATGGGAAGAGTTGGTCACTTGATGATCAAGAGGCCGATGGCCAGCCCATCTGTACCGATGCTGGGATGATCCTCGCGCTTCAGAAGTTCTTAAACCCCTGTATCGATGCCCCAACGTCTTTACAGTTAATGATTGAGAGTGGCCGGCTCGATCAGCAAGGTCTAGCTGAGCGCTCTCAAGCCCTAACGTCTGCGGCGGATGCTTCTGGTCAATCGACGACGCAATCAACTCAGGCTTCCCAATTGGCCGGCAATACTGCTCTGGGTGATGACCATCACCTAAAGCCGAAATCAGGGACTTTGGAGAAGGCGACATCATCACCTACCAAGAGAGATCAAGAGAACAGCGCGGGCCTAGAAAGCCACATTAAGATCGCCGAACCTCTGGAAAAGACCAGGATCATCTCCACCGTTTCGGCTAAGTTATCCTATCTTATTGACTCTATCGTTAAGTATCAAGAGGAGGAGCAAATCATTATCTTCTATGATAACGACAACATCGCATATTATTTGGCTGGAGTACTTGAAATTGTAAGCATTAACCGACTCGTGCCCCTATTTGTCCACAAGCTTACGCACATTCTAGCTGCAAATCCAACATCTGATCTACTCGAGAGTCGGTCTTAACTCAGAAAGACGAGCGCAATACGTCGCTACGTTCACGTACAATCAGAAATTTCGGGTCCTGCTGATGGATCTCACACAAGCAGCTTTCGGTCTCGACATGCGCAGCGCTTCGCGAATCTATTTTATCAGCCCTGTATTGAACCCGCAGGTTGAAGCTCAGGCCATTGGAAGAGCGCGACGTATCAGCCAACAAAAGCCAGTGTCAGTCGAGACGCTCGTTTTGCGGAACAGTATCGAGGAAGTCATCGTCAACCGTCGTAAACAGATGACGCATGCGGAGCATAGCAAAGTCAAGTCTATCCTCGATGACCGGTTAATATACCAGTGGATTTTGAATGCGAAGATCCAGCCAATGTCCGACGAGCAAGACAGCGTCGCGCAGACTGCGATGCTGAAAATTCCACAATTCGTCTTCGGTAGAGGATTTGGTAGGGAGCTTCACCCTGATGAAGGACTGATCACAGGTACCCCGGAGGCCAAGACGCATACAGCAACGGCAAATAAAACTTCCCCAATACCATTTAAGGTAACTAGAGGCCGAAAACGACCAACTCCGGAGATTTCGGCAACCGACGATGAATCGCGAGGTGATGATCCTCACGCTGAGGCTCAAGAGCCGCCTCGAAGACGCGCGCGAGTGGCATTTGCAGAATAAGGGATACCAATAAGTCAATCGTACAGATATACTGCTAAATCAGGTGGCAAATTTACGACGAAAGCCGAAATTGCTTAGCACAATATCAACATGATAAGAACGTAGGACGAAAAGATTACAAGGTATGTATTTGTTCACCCCCAAGGAATAAATACCTAAGTATTCTAACCTGGATAAAGGGACGGAAGCTATTTTGCCTTCCGATAGCAAAGTCGCCAGACACATACCGCACATCTAACGCATATCGTCAGTTTGCACATATTTGCTTCATCTGCGGTGGATTTGAGTGACCACAGAATTAAGGGGCAGAAGTGAGCTCCTTTGATTTATCGCTGCCTTACATAGCTATTTAATGCCAAATGAATTATTGCTAATTACAGACTCATAGTCTGCTAACCACAAAACTGCGTATTTGTCAGGTGCGATTCGAGTTCTCGCCTGAACGTCGTCGACCTCCTTTGCTAGCTCTCGCCTACTTCTCGTAGCCGATCTGATGATATAATGTAGGGCGGAAATTAGAAGGACGAAATACGAGCCGCAACGTCGAGATAGGAATGCTTCTACGTGTATACGTAGTCCTAAATTTAAGGAGGGAGGGGTCACATCTTAGCCAACAGCAGCTCAGTGGTTGCCTTATATCCCCTTTCTAATGCTACCAAGAACTGGTACGTTATGTTGGCTTATGCATGAAAGCGTCGTATAACAGATGTCGTATTCTTGTAGTCAGTCATATACATCTCCCCTCATACATCGATGATTGCTCTAACCCTATAATTGCACTTCTTCCCATTTCTAAGGTAAGCCAATTCATTTTCCCACGAGAACAATCCTTTTACTTACGAAATTTGAGACACTAGATCACAATATTAAGTTATCACTTGGACTCATTCGAGGCTGAGAATAAACGCTTGGACAGGCCTCTCAGACCGTGAAGGCCTACATGAACGGCAATGCGTTCCTCGCCCCGATCGACACGGCGCGTAGCAACCTGAGAGTGCTCGACAGCGCTGCAAGTAATAGTGCGGGTTTCTCAGCTCTTTCTTTCGTCCTCTCTTCAAAAAGCCTTAGAGTCTAAACCGAGATTAGGCTACTGGCTGTCCCAATTCCAAGCCGCGCTCAAGGACCCGGGCTCGGCCACGCTCATCGGGACGGACCTCTAGAATCGGTTCCCGGACCCGCCGCGCCCAGGCATCGGCCTCCAGGTCCAGGACATCAGAGCGCCGTGGCCGGAAGCCTGGAAGCGCACTTTCGACTACGTGCACCAGACGCTCGTCCTATTCCAGGAGGCACGAAGTGGGATTTCGCGAGGGATATCGAGGGCTTGGTAAGGGAGACCGGCTTTGCGGAGGTGACGAGCGCGTTGCTGCGTGTGTGTATTGGGCCGAAGCATAAAGGCCCGATGCAGAGGGATATGAGTATGGAAGGCATGGTGGGAGGGGCGAGGAATATTGCTACGGCTATCTACTTCATGCCTATTTTCTGCGGCTGCGACATCTAGGTGCCTTCTGATGTTGCTGCTAACACGTGTTGTGAACAATTATTCCCGGAGGGCTTAAATCCATCTCCAACGAGGATTTCGAGACCTGGATCGACCGGTTCGAGCAGGAGTTGAGGACGGAAGGGGCATAATTTCTCTTGAGGGTGGTGTACGGGAGAGATAAAGGGGATAAAAGGAAGGCACCAACAGGCCTAATAGGAATTGAACCTAAACTACTTTTTATTCCTCTACCCAGTATCTGGGAGGAAGCCGGAAGAATGATGGAGGGCTAGGCTGAGCGCCGCTGCCGGAGCAAGTAAACTTAACGTGCAAGAGAGGAGAGGCTCTCACACCGCTGGTCATTGTGTGCTGACGTGGTTTAGATATAATGAAGTGCTGTTCGCTGTACTATGTGTAACAATGGATGAGGCTCCTTAGGTCGATACTTTTGGGATATCATGATGTCGGGACTAAGGGTTTGATAGGTTGTGAGTACCTGAATCTATTTTATCTTCCTTGGTTCTATGATACCTAGGAACCTAGGTACCCATTAAAGAATCTATCTAGGTGCATATTTTGTATGTGTTGAGATCGCACTTTATCACATCCATTTTATTCAATGAGTTTGCGATTCCACCTATCTACCTAGGTAATGTGAGTCCCTTGGTGGTGGCCTATAACGCCCAATAATACCCGACAGACATCATGGACCGGTGGTGTCTTCTGATCATACAACTCACCTATGATATGGAGTTTCTCATTCTAAACCTATCTGTCTTAGTGGATCAAATGCTGTAAATGGACACGAGCTGATACCTTTGTTCGGAGCTCTAGAGTTAGTCAGTTGAGCAGACTCTGCAATAGTATTACCTCAGCTCAGACGTCGTGTAACCACCTATGCATAATCCTCTGACAACTACCTCTAGGTTGATTTTTATACCAATTCTCATCAGAAAGCTACATGAGGCTCGACCTTGGCGACAAATTGCTATTGGTCACCTCGTTCAGGACATTCAGCTTCGTCTTGTCAGCTTACTAGTGCCGAAAAGCTCTATACCAATTAATCAAGCTGCTATTCCCTCGGCTATAGAGTTTGGAACCTATAGGGTTACATCTATCTTCAAATGCCGCCTTAGCAGCTCATCTGCAGAAAAGCTTTATAGCCCGGGGTGGGCTTGGTAACCATTCCTCGGATATCGGTCCTACTCTTGAATGGTTTGACAGCGAAGCTACTCACACCATACTTAGGCTGACTAGCCTTCATGTGCATGACTTATGACACGATACTCTTGGTGCTAGTCATGATGCTTCTCTCCAAGGAGATGCTTTGTCCTAGACTGAATACGATATCGTCGACGATGTGGTCACTTGGGTGAGGGCAATAACGACGGTTGGGAGGAAGTGAAAGTGCTATTCCCGGTCTATCGTGCCCAAGAATCGTTGTATAAAGTCGAGGAGCCTCATCTAGATGTTGGAAATTTGAATATTCAGAAATCATAGACAACCTCCCTTATATCTACAGAATACCAACCATCTTCTAGACTTTCCTTCGAAGAAGCTAGTCAACATGCAGTTTAACCTCTTCTTCCTTGCGCCTCTGGCGTCCTTGCTTCAGATCACCACTGGTCTGCCCACCGAAACCGTCTACCAGACCAAGAAGTTCTCCATTGTCCCATTGAACGAAACACGATACTACGCCGAGATACAGGCAAGCAAGAATGGAGATGCAGTCGCGAAGCGCGACTCATGCTCTTCTGACTATCCCTACACCCAGAGTGACATGGACGCCCTCATCGCGGACCTACAGAGCGATGGCCAGACCGACTATCTGCCTGCTGGAAGTAGCGCGTATTGGACACTTGGCACAGCTGTCGTAAGGCTTCACATACCTTTCCAGATGGTCAAAAGATAATAGTGAGCTAACCAACCGAATACAGATTTGCACGTACAACGATTACGTTTTCGACAACACCCACGTCACTCATTGGGAGATGGGATGGGCCGCCGGCTATATTGCCGGCGAATGTTGCCCGAGCGAGAGCAGCAACCCGCAGTGGTTAGTACCTATTCTTTTCCTATTCATGTGCTAAAAGAAATGCTGATTGCTGACTCGACGAACTTGGAATAGCTCTGGAGGTTCTTGCACCGGACAAGGAGATAGCGGACTCTCGGTCATCATCTCTACGCATAACAGTGCCTCCGCCTGTTGATTGAGTTCGAGACGGTTCTTGTTCGCCTCATGTTAGGGGCCATGCAGAGGATGGATCGTTGAGGTCAGCCTCGTGATCTTTGGATGAGGTGGAAGTAAGAAGTCGTCGGATTGATGTAGTTCCTAGTTACTAGCCCCTTGCTTAGTCAGCCACCCCCTTTTCCAGCTGCCCAAAGCTTAGGGGTAGGTAAATAGCACAATGGAGCCACTCATTTCTATCGGTGGTACTATGTCAATGGCTTTATTAGCAGTATTCCAGTTGGATATGTGCCCTAGATATCTCGTTTTATCCCCTTTAAAGTCTCCCGTGAAATGAGGCAGCTCCAGTCAGGGATTGAAGTGATTGCATACGTACCTACCTAGGTACCTATATAGAGAACCTGGTGATCATAGGTAAATTTATACTAAAATGGACATCGCTTAAATGTATGATTTTATTCTATTTAAATACTCTTGTTATAACTGCTGGTTATTAGATAGTAGGTATCAAGCTATAGTAACTATCATGCATCGATGAAATCAAAATGCTGCCCCCGCTTTTATCAGAGCACCCCCCTGGCCCGTTAAAGGAAAGCCCGAGCTAGGAATTCTTTCAGCTGATGGGCATGCCGCCAGGAAGCTCAGTAAGCCAGCCGTCGAGGTTTTCGGTAACGGTCTTGGGCTTAGTGCACTGGTTCGCCTGGTCGAGCGATTGGGTCTGGAGGGTAGGGCAGTTGATTTCTAGAATTGAAGTAAAGGTATCAGTACGATGTTCATAATTCCATTACTTAATCTCCTTGAGGATATAAATGCTACTTACGGTTGGCAAACAGGTCGGAGTTGCAGTTGGCGTCCATCGCCCTTTGGAGCGCGTCGCCCTTCCAGCCGAAGACGTAGTCGCCGTGGATTCCGTACCCGGTCTGGTCGCCGAAAGACCAGACGAAGGGTTGCGATCCATCCGCCGGCCACTCCGCCTTGTTGTTGAAGGGACGGGTGTCCCAGTAGGTCTCGTAGAAAACTTGCGGGATCTGAAAAAGTTTGCGATTAGCTTGTTCAACTTCCCTAAAACGCGTCGTAGATGTTCTTACTGTAACCGGGTGAGTAGACGGGCACGCGTTGCCGACGGGGTAGGCAACGTGGCTTTGGTGGTCCGGGCTGTCGACGTTCTTGCCGTCCCAGCAAGTCGGGAAGCGGATCGAGACCATGATACCAGCGGCGCAGGGTTGGGTGGGGAAGTGCGTTGTCTGGCCACCTCGAGTCATGGAGGATTGTAGGCAAGTGAAGTCCATGTACTTGTATCTCTTGTTTAACTCATCCGCGGTGCGTATCGCGGGGTCTCCGACAGTCATGCGGAATCCGGGCTTGAAGGCGGTGACCTTGCCGGATGAAAGGTAGTAAACGGTTTGGCCGCCCTTGGCTTGCGAAAAGCCGAGCTCGTTTCCGAAGGTGTTTACGCGGTGTAAGGTTCCATTTCGTGCCCTAGTGAGAGAGCCGTTAAAATACAACGCCAGATAGGGAGAACCAAGGAAAAAAGGGGGCTACGGGGTTGTCGTACTTGAAAAAGAGAACAGCAGTCCAGTAGTTGGAGAAATCCTCAACTGGTGTGCACGAAGTACATGTTGCCGTCGTAGGCAAGTCATGTACGGTAGGGTCCATGGACACATTGAAGGCATTTCCTCCAACGACCTGGTGAAGGTGAGGTGACGGGTTCTCTCCAGGGTTAACAAGGCTAAGGACAACAATGTTAGCAAACGAACAACTTCTATTTCTTGGTGTTCGAATTCTGGGCTTACGGGTCTAGACGTTCGACAACTAGCTGTGAGCACGAAAATCGTAGAGTTGCAGCACCAGTGACGCTGGGCGCGATGCCCGCGGTGGCCAGGAGAGCCAGGTTCTTCAGCTGCATTTTGATTTTGACAGCCCTTTAGACACAGTACAGAAGGTTGCCGATCCTAGACGTGTTGAAAATCGCCTCGAGGCTCAAAGCAACTTTGAGAGGCTTGGGGTAGGGATAACCAGGAAGTTATATGTCGCATTCTACCTGGATGGGCTCGTCTCCTGAGCACCGACGGCCTCAATTGCCGACGATCCCACGTTCCACTCAGCCATGTGGTCTTTCGGGTTCTGGGGTACATGCCTCGGAATTGGGTCCTCTAGGCCGATTGAATTATAAATATATCATCGAATCGTTAGCTGTTCTGAGATTAAGTGTGGAATACGACTCCTATTTAGCCAAATTGATTTTTGCCGGAGGCTGACCGTGACTTCTAGCCCATATACAAACATTCTTAAGGAGATAGCAAAGAACAAGGTAGGAAATTAGAGGTAGGCCAAACAATTGCGTTCTCATGGGCAATTAAATGGTAGGAACACTTTACGTGTCTGTTTACCTCCCCCTTCAAGTCGACAATACATAAAGAAAATTCTGCGCGTATCTCATTTAGAATAGGGACAAGGAGGACGTTGAAATACTCAGAAGCCGGAGCTATCCGAGTTTTATTGCTCCTTTTATATCCAATGCTACATATCGTTGCTCTTCCGGACGCGTCCTGCCTAATTGGTATCAGTCCAGTCTCGAGCGTCATACTGATTGGTTGGGCTTATAGAAAATGGGTTTGGGAATGTCTGAATCTGTATTACCTAGCGTATATTAGCGCCAGATCATCAATTCAAGAAACAGTCTAGTTGTGGTGTTGGATGTTTCCCGTGTGACAGGCATTGTACATTGATCAGGGGCAAGCAATATGTGGAAATCCTTGAGACCACATGCCGCAAAATCTCCACAGAACAGCCCAGTACCTGTTGAGACTGTAACGATTTAATCTGGAATGTAGTAGAATAAAGGTTACTAGAAGCCTATAGAACCTGAGAAGCCTGGTCGATAATTCCAAATACTGGCAATGGTGTCTTTCATGATATAAACCAATGATGTTTCTAGCGATCCGTATGTTATGATTCCGAAAAGGCGCCGCGATCCTGCCGCCAATGGTATACTATTCCAGCATTGTATCTATCAATCCGTTGGGATGAGGTGAGTTTTATGGTTATGAGGCTAGAAATCTCCCACATTTTCGTCGGAGATGTGAAGGTATTCCCATGAAGGAGACCTGGCAACACATTCAGATGACCTAGCTATTAGCCATGATCGAGATTCTTAGAAGAGTCATAAGAGATTCCGGCCCGAGTTCCCTGCACGAGATTGGCATTGGGTTTGATTGGTATCCGCTTGTTGGCATTGATGTTCTGTGGCGCTATGTTTTCTACGGCAATTTGCCGCGAATTTTATTTGATGACACATGCAATACAGACGATTAACAAAACTTTGAGAGACAGAAATTGCGATATGGTTTATCTCATGTAATTAATCAGGGTAGACGTGTACCTCTATTCCGTGTCACTGCCAGCCTGTGTAGGTTCCCGATCTATCCGTTGTTGAAGCGTTAGAATTCCGATCCGAGGCGATACTGTTGACGATATGCGGACATAGCCTCAAGTTGATGGCCCTTTAGCAGGAACATAATTAGACGAATTTGTGTCGCCTTTGGCGATTGACCTGAAAGATGATCCGCCGGCCTTCGGGTTGTCCCCCCCTGAAGTCGGTTGTACCTTGGGGGCAGTTTGTGCAGATTTGTCTGCTATCGTGTAAACTATTTAGCTACTATTGTTTAATATGAATTCTGAGGATTACTTACCATCAGCAGGGGCTCGGGTCTTTTCGACGCCGCTCATAAACTTCTGCTTTGCTTCTTCGGTCATTTTGAGTCGTTGTTATCTACCTAGGTATCTTTGAATGTTGAGTTATCGAAGTATGAATGGCGAGGGGTTAAGGAGAAAGAATATATCAACAACAACGAAACATCCATGGATAGACTTTGTAAGAGAGATGTCAGAATGGTTGTTGTCATAATGATATCTACCTCTACCTTGATGACCTCATAATTCCTGATTAACCATACCAATAAGCGCATAAGCTAATGGCTAATCAGTAGTTGACGTATCTGGGTGTTATGCACTTAGGCCTACTACTTACGTCATAGGCTCTCTTTGCGCATAGACCATCTAACACGCTTAGTCATCCAGTTAATCAGCATAGAGTCCAAGGACTAAAATTTCAGACAATTCGCCGATCGCATTTCAAGCTTCTCAGCAACGTCATGTCCGAGTCTGCGGGAACGCAGTCGATCTTGAACGTCAATGCACTGCTCGACAATCCCGTCTTCGCCGGAGGCTTCGGCCTCGCCTCTCTTGGGGCTGTCTTGGCGTTTGCTCGCCGAGGTGCACTCTCCGCCGCCGGGATGATTCGACGTCGTATGCTCGTAAATGTCGAGATTAGCAGACAAGACCCCTCATATCCCTGGATCCTTGCATGGCTGTCGCAACCACGCGAGCAAACGTCTTTTATAGCGAAAAGACTGACGCGCATCAATAAGCTGTCTGTCACTACAGCCACTAGCTCGACCCCGAACGGCCCCACGAAAGCAAGCTTCTTCCTGCAGCCTGGATATGGTCGACATATCGTGAAATACAAGCATGCGTACATCGCTGTGAATAGGGAAAAGCAGGCAACCGCTAAGACGAATACGGGCGAACCACATGAGACGGTGGAACTCACTACTCTATATGCGCATCGACATATCTTCGAGGACGTCTTCGCCGAGGCTCGAGCTCTAGCACTCCAGGCAAATGAGGGGAAGACGGTGGTATACTCCGTGAGGAACTTTGATTGGGTTCCGCTAGGTGAGCCACGAAGGAAACGACCTCTAGGCAGTGTAATTTTGGATCAAGGAATCAAGGAAGACATCGTAAATGACGCGAAGGACTTCCTTGCGCGAAGGCAGTGGTATGTCGATCGTGGCATTCCGTATCGCAGGGGTTATCTCCTTTACGGGCCTCCGGGTAGTGGCAAGAGTTCATTCATTCAAGCGCTAGCTGGTGAACTGGACTTTAGCGTGGCTATGGTTAACCTGAGCGAAATCGGAGTAACAGACGACAAGCTTGCCTTCCTTCTTACCAAACTGCCCGAGCGGACCATCCTATTGCTGGAAGACGCCGATTCTGCATTTGTCAATAGGCGGAAACGAGACGCAGATGGGTATAGTGGCGGAACCGTTACGTTTTCCGGGCTGCTGAACGCTCTGGACGGCTTGTCTGCCGGAGAGGAGCGGATTGCATTCCTCACTACGAACCATGTCGAACTACTCGATCCTGCTTTGATCCGGCCGGGTCGCGTTGACATGATGGTTCGCATAGGAGAAGCTACCAAGTTCCAGGCTGCCCAGATGTGGGATAGGTTCTACGGCGACATAGACGTTGATGGTAGCCATCGGGAACGGTTTTTGGAGCGACTTGACGAACTCGGGCTCTTCCGCGAGGCTAAGGAGGGAGAGTCAGTTCCTCGTACGAGTACTGCTGCTATCCAAGGCCTCTTCTTGTTCAACAAGAACGACATGGAGGGCGCTATCAGCATGGCTGAACATCTCATTCCGCCAAAGTTGGAAGCAGAGAAGTAGGCTGCTCAGCTGTACATTATTTGTAACGTCTATATGTGATATATAAGATACCCCGTCTATTGACGAATTTTCAAGAAAATCCAATTCAATCCACATATTTTTCCAATCTCAAGATTGTGAAAGAAAATTTTTTTTTTTCACGAGTACTTAAATTAAGAGAGATCCCTTGTTTAATCCCATTTTGAAGGAATGCAATCCATGGATGTTGGTGGTATGTGCGGAGGAAATAAGAATGCGGTGCGAGGCACCTTCATATCTAGGTACCTATATTTCAAGTACTGCACACATATTATTGACCGCAAGTTGTAATGGCAGCACCGGATGCCATCACTATGCGCAACCTAAGTGGCGTTTGGATCGTCGTAAGCATCACCCTCCATTTACGGGTGTTGCCCCAGACTAACTATCTAACGCAGAGCAGATCCCTCTCAGATGACCCAGAGCCGTGTTACAAGCTCCAAGCTCTGCCATGGGTGCTCCGAAAATTGTTGTCGCTTGCTACTATTACTAACATAGTAACGCAAACGAGCGATGAAAAGGGGTGTAATCAGATCAAAATCACATCAACAATGTCTGGTGGCTTTGAATTCGACATAGAGCCTTATGTACTAGATGGTCTTGAGTACTCTACTCTGCGAGGTACACAGCGCGTTTGTGCACACTGGGTGGATTTGAGACGTTCCAAGCCACTGAGCATGAGCGGTGAACCAATTGACCCCTATCTAACCCAGGATTGGATGGAGGATTCGAACGCCACCACATGGGACCATATCTACCTCTGCATAGTGAACGAGAGGGGTGGCTGGGCCGCAGATTATGTCTGGGGTTTTTCCTGGAAGAATGGTGGGCGACACTTCGTTAAGAAGCTATTATTGAAGAAGGGTGAACATTTCATTAGGATGGCTATTGTTTATGAGTGGATTGGACCAATACCCCAGCTTGGACTGGACTTAATCATATGAATTGAATGACATATTATTACATATAGGTAATTATGGGATAATTGCTATCGTTTTGAGAGTGATCGTCACTTGATGGAGTTACGAGAGAATATTTCTCCTATAAATTCCTATGTACAGACCATAAGAAGCCTACTTCGTCGCAACTTCACATCGTTGACAGTATGACTGCATCCATGTATGCGTAAGTTCGAATAGAGACTTCACTGCCGGTAACCCGGCCGCCTCATTTCCCGAAATTCAGTAGCCGAACAAGACGAAGGTTCCTACCACAATGAATACATAAGGATACATGGCTCTACTCCTATTTAACCAACATTCAGCTTTGGGTATTCAGTGTGACATGCTGGAATATTAGGTGGCTTGGAGTCTACGCCCTGTATCCACAGGTATATAATGTACTATCTAGCAAGCTATACCTACTTCTAGCAACTTAACTTTCTAATTTATATCAATGATACTCATAACCTGCGTCTATTTCAACATGACATATGTGAGTCTTGATAGAACTATCTTTTACTTAAATTTCCTACAAACAGCTCAACAGCCTTATGAATATAGGGTGATAATGGTCGGCTTGGACCTAGCCTTGAGCAAGGAGATAAATTCCCTCACATAGAGTTGTTAAGACAATGTCTTTCTTGTTCGGCCAAAAGGTTTATTTGGGGAAATGGCAGGCCAATCGGACGTTTATGGAGATTTATTTTCTTTTCTGCGACGATCACGGCAAGTCGGTATCTGCAATTATTATTGAATGCTTCCTTCAATGGAACAGTAGTACACTTCTTTTAGTCGTACAATAGGGCTTGATGACTCCCTAAGATGGTCGTGCAGACGGCATTCGGTGAAATTAAGACATACTTGCGTGCAACTCGTTCCAGAAATAGAAATATCGGTACATTGTTAGATATTGGTCACCCTGTGCCCCCTCGGAGCGAATCTTGTATCAGAAATTAAAAGTCTTGGTGGTACAACATTTGTCCACATCCAATAAGTCTACAGGAAGATTATATTATACATATGTAGCCGTCTAGAGTAGCAAAGGATCGTGGCAAAAGATCAATCCCAATATATCAAGTCGATACAGATTGCAATATACTTAAGGGGTGGCTTGCCAGAATACTACTCACACTCCGATGTAAATGTGTCAGCAAGGGCCATTGTAGAACATTTTGTTTTAGATACTCGGAACTTTTCTCTTCATTTACGTAGCCCTGCTCAGATCATATGCCAGAACGTGATTCAAGATGAAAGCATAAATAAGTGTAGACGTGACTTTTTTTATTCCGTCTTACCGACTTGTTTCTTGACGTCTTTACTCGTTCATATCAACATAGCGATGTTCTTCGGCAAGAGCGTAAATTCGACGGATATTTTAGCAAACATACAAGGAGAAAATGGCACTATGAGCGCCGAGTCGGGGAATCTAGGACCTGCGGTTATTGCCTTTGCGTGGATATTGGCTGCTATATCAACAACAGTCGTTGCATTACGATTCTACGCCCGCTTGACTTTTAGAGGAAGGTTTAGCCTCGATGACTATATCATAATTATTACATTGGTATGCTACTGCTTTGGTTTATTCACGATATCATTGAGTAGCTTATGAATTCCGCTTTAGATACTCAATTTGACCAATAGCGCCTTTCTCACTGTAGCATCCCACTGGGGTTTGGGGAAGCACATCCAAGATCTTGCATCACAACCTCAGGATGTTATATACTTCGAGAAATGGGTATATCTAACTTATGGGCCCGCTATCCTTTCCCCCGGATTCGGCCGCATTTCGTTCGCATTTTTACTACTGAGCCTCACCCCACCATCTAAAGCAAGAAGAAGGCTCCTATGGGTGGTGATATGCGCTCAATTCATAGCCGATGTCGGCACGGTTATTATCATATACGCACAATGCAAACCGGCTCAGGGGTACTGGGATAAGCAAGTCAAGTCAGAATGCTGGCCCCTATATACACAAGTATACGCGGGCTACATTCAAGGCTGTATGAAGAACCCACGGTTTCAGGAGATAACCATGCTCTTAGGCAAGCTGAGATGCTGACTAGTTATAGCAATATGTGCTTTGTCCGACTTGGTGCTAGCACTTTTCCCTTCTTCTCTCTTGTGGAATCTAAGGATGCATTGGAGACAGAAGGCCTCCCTAGCTGGAATAATGGGGCTGGGGATTTTGTAAGTTTTTTTCTTAGTTCCCACGCGCTGTGTACGATGAATGTGTCGCTAATCGTCGTTATATTAGTGCTATGATGGCAGCCATTGCTAAAACTGTCTATCTCCGAGAAATCGACGCGTTTTCAGATCGAAGCTGTAAGTTCAAAGCTGTAACCTAGACTCGACGTCACTGGCCGGTGCTAAAGAATTACTTTATCCCAGATAATATGGCTATTCTTACAATTCTGTGGACGTATGTTTTTCGCTCTCTTCATTTTACAATCCAAATGCGTTGTTGTATGTTAATGTTTTTAACAGTATCGAAGACAATTTCGTGCTTATCGCCGTCTCGATACCTACCATTAAACCCGTCTTGAAGGCACCAAGGACAGCTAACCAGAGCCGAAGTGATCGTGATTACCATCTCAATACCTTTCTGTCCCGGAAGCGGGCCCAAGAGAACGCGCCTGGGGAGAGTCATGGACGTTTCAAACCACTCCAAGAACCTGCACTTGTTACGGAAACCAGTGACGATGACAGCCAGCCACAGTTTCCGCGCAGCATTTATCAATTGGAACACATGGGCATGAGTGACAATAGACAGAGCTCGCTTGGTATTAGAAAGGACATCACGGTTTCGATCACGTTCCAAGACTCGCAGCGGTCGTGTATCCAACCGCACTTGGATCAGACTAGATCTCAAGAAATAGGAAACGAAACGTGTCTCATGGAAGCGGACAGTAAAAATCCCTTGTAGAATATCATTTCCTTTATATGACGGATACGAAGAGCTCGTGTAACTTAACTGCGTGTCTTTCATCGAGATAGAACATGGTTTGAAACGTCACTTTACTCTTAATTAGAAGAAGCCATGCTGAGCATATGGAGAACAGGCTCCATATGTTCAAGCAAGTAAATTGGTTCAACCTCACGGTTGTACTGTGAGTTTGCATCCATAAGCATGACTAATCCATCGGGGCCTTGGATAGGGGTGACACAGCACGGATGGTGCCAAATAAATGGCGAATATTCGTACATTTAGTTATAGTTGAGATTCATGCGAGCTAAGATATGGATAGGTAACTATCATAGTGTTTGTTCATTACGCAAATTTGTGTCTTTTCATTTGTATAGGTACCTAATCGAAATTCTTATGTTGACATTGGCTTAGTAATCACGAATAGGGGTATGTAGGTAGGTACGTACCCAGATCTCCTCTGCATCGTGAACATCTTCGTCTATTAGGTACTTTGAACAACTGGATTACAATGCTTTTGTGTTCGACATAGCTCTCCAGAATTATGTAGGTACATATCAGGTTATCATGTGGCTCGCTGGGCTTGTGCTAGGGACCGGTGGAACTGGGAGAAATCACCTATTGGTAAGGGGTAGTAATATTAGTACCCACTCAGCCATTCAAGTTGGATTTGGCTTCGATTAACTGCGGTGAGCCATTTATTTAATGCATGATCTAGCTCCAAGAATATCAAAGAACTAATTAGGGTGAGAAGCTTCATTGATAGGTAAGCACCAGTTTCACTAGGTAGACATTTTTACTTTCAAGCAGTCTGTCACTGGCTAGGTAGGTATCCTACGATCCAATGCGAACATTGCTCTAAAGATCCCTGTGCTCCGGCAACACTCAAACTTGTTTTAACAACTATCTAAGAGAATAAGTTGGCAGTTTCCGCCAGGGTAATCAGCCATCATTGGAACTGGATCGGGTGAATCTGAGTGCGCCGCACGGAGACATTAATAGATACCCAGTCAATTATCATGACCTCCATCCCTATTTCTGGTAGGCACCCTGGCGGTGTCGCGCTTTGGCATACGCGCTGTAAGCAGAAACTTGAGGGACAACATCCCTTTCTATTTCAGGACCTTGCTGTCTCATTTAATATTTGGCTACAACTGGCTATTTGAAAGATATATATCACGATCGCTTCACGTTATAACATAACATAGGCAGTTTGTATTCAACTTAGAGCTACTTCAGAATGGTTGAATTAGATTTCAACCTGGAAAGAGACGTGCCTGACTTGTGGGGCAAGGTCATTCTTGTCACTGGAGGTAAGGATCGCAAGCCGTTCGCCGTTCTCGAGAATTCCCACGGAGCCAAGGCAGTGCACGATGTTAATACTTCTAAATAGGCACTGCGGGTTTAGGCGCTTCGTCGGTTAGTCTTCTGGCGAAGCGTAACCCAACATGTATCTACATCACCGGCCGCAATTCTGAGGCGGCCGATAATGTTATTGAAGGAATTCGACGTGAATCGCCTGATAGCAAGACGAAGGTCAAATTCATCGAGTGTAACCTCACGAATCTATCGTCGGCGAAGCAAGCGGCTGAATACCTTCTCGCGCGGGAGTCTCGCCTGGATGTTCTGATGGCAAATGCCGGTATTATGGCGACGCCTCCGGGTTTGACAAAAGATGGCTACGAGGTACAGTTTGGTACCAATCACATAGGACATGCTCTGCTTATTCGAAAACTGTTGCCTCTGCTTGAGAAGACGGCTGCGTTGCCGGGAACTGACGTGCGTATTATTATGCTGGCTAGTGTGGGCTTCGTGATGGCGCCGCGACAGGACGGGATTGTATTTGATCAGTTGAGGACGACGCAAGATTATTGGATTTTAGGCCCGTGGCAACGGTATGGCCAAAGCAAGTTGGCTAATATTCTATACGCCCGCGAGCTAGCCCGCCGTTATCCGTCCATCACCACCCTCGCCATACACCCAGGTAGTACACCAACGAACCTTAACGGCGGCCTGTCGCTCATGGATAAGTCTGTTTCTTGGGTTGGAACACTGGGCCAATCTCAGACACTGGAGCAAGGTCCCTGGAATCAGGTATGGGCAGTTGGTGCTCCCAGAGACAAAGTCGTATCAGGCAACTTCTACGAGCCGGTAGGAATTAATTCGGAAGATCAGCTGAATTCGCATGCCCTCAACCAGACCTTGGCCGAGAAACTTTGGGATTGGACTGAGAAAGAGATAAAGGGGTATCTGTAAAGCTATGATACTGTTATTCATAGCAGGCAGATGTCTAGATCGGAGAAGAATGCGCATCTGAACTGCCTAGGTAGACGAAATTAGTATTTTTCAAGGGAAGCCCCTTTTTGTGGGTGATTATAATGACCATTGACGCCCACTGCTTGCAGGCCCTGCACTGTAAGGCGGGATTTTCAGTGGCTCAGCGTCCTTAGCCGCAGCGGCAACCCACTAAATTTTAGCACAAGGACCCCTGTAAGCTTAGAAATCGTAGGACACTAGGTACCTATCGATTGGTAAGAGATCCGCGCAAATCACCACATCCCAGCGACCTCATCGCGCACGCTCCGACAGGATTCCAAGAACGCGTCCGTCGAGATCTTGCCTTCGGTGGAGTACTTGGCGCGCAGGACGTCCCGAAGCAGGCCTTTGACGCCGGCGACGTCGGCGGGCGAGGTGATCTCCCAGCGCTCGCCGTCGCGCAAATTAAAAAGGACGACGCGCGGCAGCGCCGGCAGCGCGTGCTTGCGCGCCCAGAGGTACGCGTACGCGCACGCCTGCACGACGTGCTCGAGCGACAGCCGCGCCACGAACTTGATCTCCCATATCGCGGCGTCCGCGGCCCGGCTGCCCGCCTCGTACATGACGATGTCCGCGCGCCCCAGCAGCTTCGTCTCCTGCGCGCCGCCCGCCCCGTCCGGGACCGCGAATTCGTTGTCGCGTAGCCGGCTCTCGAACTCGAGGCTCTCCGACGCCCCGGCCCCGTCGAACTGCGCCCCGAGCCGGCGTACCGCCGCGTCGAGGTAGGTGTCGAGCCAGTCGAACTTGTGCCCCCTCATCTGCACTAGCCGCGATCGGTATCCGGTTATCTCGGCGTCGCGCTCGCATGCCGCTCGGCAGAACCAGGCTGCTTCGTCCCGGTTGATTTCCACCGTCTTTCTCTTTTTGTATCCGAGACCGGTAAGCTTGCGTCGTAGGGCGTACTCGTACGCAGCGACGACGGCGATCCCGTTGAGGTCGCTCACGGCTTCGTACATCATCTTGGCGGGGTCCGTGAGGACCTTATCCGGGGCGCGAATGTGCTGAGATTCCGGCAGGCGAGGTGAGAGTCGTGTAATATCGACGTGGCTATTGATGATAGATTCGAGCAGCTCGTCGCGGACGTGACGTGCCATATCAGAGACCCAAACATTTTTGGGTAGAAGCAAGCCGAGTTTTAAGGGACGGCCAGCTTTAGGTTGTCGTTTCATGCTCTCGGTCGAAATGAGCGTGGCAGTCTTCCCAAGTTTGGGGAGACTTATGAATGGCATAGGCTGGTTGCTACGGTCATGTAAGATAACAAGTTGCTTACGAGCGCGCGTAATAGCGACGTAAGTAGCATTCGGACATCTGTCGTCCGGTAGGTCTCTCCCCATAAAATTGAAATAGCTGTTATCTGCCCCGTATACAATCACAAGATCTCGCTCATTTCCCTTGAATTGGTGGTAGGTAGATGCGCAGACTTTCTTGTCTATTACGTCGTCGTCTAGTTGTACATCGTCTGATACCGAAACCGCAACAGGCATTCCATATCGCTCAGACAGCAAATTCGTCAAGGAAGCGAGCGGGGCGTTGGCACGAAGAGAAGGCGCAAGAACAGCCGTCTTGTCTGCTCCGTACTGCTCAATCAACGGTAACAACTTCTCGGCAACTCTGCGGACGTTTAAAAGATTCTCGTGCATGTACATGGGCTCCGGCCCGTTATGCGAGCCTGTTATGTGCTCTCCGCCGCCAAGAAAGACTTCGTTGATGAAACGTGCCGTTTCATGGGAGAGCCTGAAACTCTTACTAAGTGGCAAATGTGTCCATTTATAGGGAGAGAGGGTGGACAAGATGGACGGCGAAAGACTAAGGAAGCGGGGATCGGCCCCTCGAAAATCGTATATAGCCTGCCGTTCGTCTCCGAGAGCTACGATTCGAGGGGCACACCCTCCAGCGGCATGTGTTACAGATAAGATGAAAGTGCTCGCTAGCCAGTAAAGATTCTCGGTACAGTCCTGTAGCTCATCTAGAATGATGATATCGTACGGCCTGCCGGTCCAAACCGGCCCCCTGCCCTCTTTTCGGAGCTCCTGTAGTCTAATATCGTTGTAGACCACATCCGTAAAGAGTTTGCCCGCCATTCCATGAAACGTATATACATCACACATTTCATAACCCTTTAGACGACGAGCTGTCTCAAGCTGAAGTCGTTTCGAATATGTGACGACTGCCACGGCCAAGCCTGGGTTAGCACGGACGATAGCCTCGGCTGTGGCTGTCTTCCCCGCGCCGGGCCTCGCAGAAACGACGACATTCTGTATACGAGACAGCTCTACAATAGCTTGCTGCTCTGCTGAGGGGACGAAGGGCCCTTTAGTTCCCGAAGATATCCTAGCGGCGACAGCTTGGTCTCCTTGGTGCTGGACTATACCAGACCATCTACGCCGGAAAGTGGTAATCTAACCTCCAACATTAACACACGAACGACAACCAAGAAAAGAGCATTACCGAGTGACTTAATAAAGCCTTCAGGTTTCTGATCCTGAGACGAGCAATAGCATATGGGATGACATTGATATGCATAGCTCCGAGGTCCTGAGCCGTGTAGATACCCACATATACGTTCCACTATCTCCGTGCTCAGGATCGCAACGCCGATATTGCTCTTCATTTAGCAACACATTTTTGAAGGTAGATTGGCGTAACAAGAATCCTGTATGATTGGTCATTCCATAACGACTCATTCAAATTGGTATTGTAAGGAAGAGCCAGTCGGAGACTTGCCATTTAGTTGGGCTCAAGATGCAATTTGGTGGATACCAACATTTTTTTTTCATTGTATGACACATAAAAGTCATTGACTTTGCTGACTCATCAGAGCCATATGCTGTCTCCACCTACCGCCACTTACCGTAATAGGGGTAATTCCATATGGGGTAATAGATGATGCCTCTTCTAGCTGACCACCAATAGACGCTTATATCAAACTTCTCAAGCAGCCGATGGGCAACTTTTCATACATACAGTTTAATGTCAGATCCAGGGCTTTCACACATGTCTAACTTGGCTTAAACATGACACGAAGGTCGCCAGCGAGAATTTCGGACTCCTCTTAGGCGGCAAAGTGGTTGTCTTTTTCATTACATACTCTTCAACATACTCAAGTAGCCATCGTTCGTATATCTCAGCACAACTAGGGCTAAATCATCATGTTCCACCGCTTGCTGATAAATACGTATTAACGACGCGGGAGACGGTGTAAGGTTGCGTCCGAGTCAATAACCATCTAGATAGTTCTATGATTCCCATGGCTAGCTGGCTCAATCATTGCATCGATTGTGTTGATCGGCTTTAGGGGCTAAGGTTAGGTAGGCAGGGGATTTGTCAGACGACGGACCAATCATGTGAACTATATGTACTATAATAATCACCGTAATCACCGAACCGGCACTAGTGATACTAATACCTCCCACTACTTTAGATATGGTGAGTTGATAGATTCTGGCTTAAATGTATTGAACGTTGCAGAAGCAGATGCACTCTTGGAACAATGACGAACTTGCTTGCTCCCGACTACGACCGATTCGCGAGAGTGTCGTTAATAGTATTAGTAATATAATTCTTCCCCTGATTCGCCGGATGAATGTTAAACTCCGATGGTTACCTCCGTCATCTAGTTACCATCTTACGAGACAGCTCGTAGGACGCCGAACTATTTAAGAAACGCGTGTATCGACTTAATAACTGAGACTCTTTTGTACGATCAGGACTAAGTTCATGAAGATACCTAATAATCACCCATCTAGCTCATAAAATATGCCTCCACCAAGAGGCACACCTAACCCATTAGAGGGACCAGGTATGCGTAAAAAAATTGATTACTACCTAGACTTGTTTTCAATATGCTAACATGTAACAGGAGATTATGATGTCACCTCCATTGTCCACAGCGATACATACCCGGCAATTGATTCTTCCAAAGCGAACTTCAATGGAAAAGCAGTATTTATCAGCGGCGCATCCAGGGGTTTAGGAAGAGCAATGGCCGTCTCATTCGCCAAAGCCGGCGCATCAATGATTGCGATTGGCGCGAGATCAGATCTCTCAACTACAGTCAAAGAGATGAAGACGGCGGTAGCAAACGCGGGAAAACCCGAACCGATCATTCTGCCTATCAAATTCGACGTCTCCGATCGCAAAAGCGTCGACGAAGCTGCAGATCAAGTCAAGAAAAGCTTCGGTCGTGTTGACATCGTGATTAACAATGCCGGGGTTCTCTACGGAAGCCCAATTGTGGATAGTGATCCTGACGAGTGGTGGAAGGTGTTCCAAATCAACCTCGTCGGCCCGTATTTAGTTGCGCGTGCTTTCATCCCCTTACTACTGGAAGGAGGCGACAAAACCATAATCACCGTGGCGAGTGTTGGCGCTCATTTGAAATCGCCCGGTTTAAGCGCGTACCAAACTTCTAAGATGGCAGTTGTACGGTTGACCGAATTCTTCGTGGCAGAGTATGGAAAGAGAGGCATATTAGCTTACAGCATACATCCTGGGAACATCCCGACCGACATGCTCGGCGGCATAGAAAACGCTCCTCCTGAGCTTCAGCCAGGTACATACGACCCCTTTCAAGTATCATTCGAGATAGAGATGCATGCTGACAAGGTGACTCTTGCTTGGTAGTATTTGTCGACACAGCAGAACTAAGCGCCGATTCGTTGGTCTATTTGACTTCGCGGAAACGAGACTGGCTGGCCGGGAGGTATATCAATGTCACATGGGATCTACCCGAACTTATGGAGAAAGAAGATGAGATAGTTAAAGGCGATAAGCTGAAACTTCGATTGGTTATCTAGGCCTTGTCATGAAATCAGCAAGTATTTATAGCAATATATTCAAAGTATTTGGTTATTTTAGTCCTTGATATGGGGCCTCTAATACGACCCAGCTCCCGTATAGGGTTACCTCTAAACTCGGTCGAGATATTGCATTATATTTGATGACTTTACGAGTCTAGGTAGTCTAGACCACTTCCCTCAGATTTATTAGGGAGGAAATGTCGAAGAGTGAAAATCTGCAAAATCAAATGCCCTAACCTAAAAAGGGGGCCACACTGTTGTTTCAGGTTTTGATCCCAACTTGTATACATTGCAACATTAAACCGTCGTAATAGGCGGCGTTGTATGTTGAGATGTGAATAGCATAGCCTCCTATGTAGATAAATTCCTGACTAAGATATCAAATAGATTTGAGCCATGTGTGAAAAGTAGGTACTATGTATATTGGTACGTGGGTAAGTAGGTAGGTAGGAGGAGAGGATGCAATGATACAATGAAAGCCCGCAATTCAGTGCCGCTTTGCCGTTCCAGGTTTATCTTTCAGGTGCAACGGTGGGTAACAGCCATTAGAAAGGTCTAATCGACCAATCATCATTCACAAAAAGCCACCAGTCCTACCCTTGTCAGTACCCCGTATTAATCCCTTAGCTGAAACTAGCCAATCAGCTATCCCCATTTTTGCATAGGGCTGAGGAAGGGGGCTGCGCTGATCTCAGACTTTTCCTCGTTAGTGCTTGGTAGGTAGTTCTGAAGCTACGTAAGCTTACCTCGGTGTGTTCCAGGGTTTTCCCTTAATCATAATGTGTAGGATCGTCTTTCTCTTCTTGTCCTTTTCACCATTTCCCCTAGAAACTTGACAATTTGAATAATTACACCAATAGATCCTATCATGGCTGAGTCACTCGTCTCCCATTTTGCTAAGCTAAACCCTTTATCGAAAATTTCGTCTTCGGAATATGATGAAGACGTTGGCCAAGAAATCGATAACACCACCATCGCAGGGGGTGGTCGTGGTGCACGGCAGACTGATATTACGAAGAACCAGTTGAGAGTCAGCCATGCGTTGAAGTCGTTTCTCGTCAGAGAAGATATTCTGCCGGAGGAAGAAGTTGGTTTAGAATCGGAAGAGCCTGGCGATGGCTTGAAAGCTTTACTCAACAAGTCGCATATTAACGTTCCCTTTGAAGTTACGGACAGATCTTATCCGCTCCCGGAATACTTCATTAGCTCCAGCCACAACACTTATCTTCTAGGCCACCAACTTGCCGGTAAATCCTCCGCCACAGCTTACGAGACAGCGCTTAACACTGGATCCCGCTGCGTCGAGATCGACGCCTGGGACAACGAGGATAACGAAGAAGAGCCCAAGGTAACTCATGGATATACCCTAGTTTCTCACATCCCATTTCGTGCTGTATGTGAAACTATCCGCGATGTCGTTGATAGGGAAGCTGTGCAATCTAGCAACGCACAAGGGTATCGGGCCGCACCGATCATGCTTTCGCTGGAGAACCACTGTGGAGCACGCGGACAGCTAAGGCTAGTTGAGATCATGAAGGAAGTCTTCGGGGATCGTTTACTGAGTAAAGCCGTCCGAGAGAAAGGCCATCGCGAGCAAGAGGGTAGCAGTGATCCGGTGACGCTGGCAGAACTCGGATCTAAAATAGTCTTGATCGTCGAATACCATTTACCCGACGAGGCGGACGTGAGTGATGAAGAAAATGATACCAGCCCCGAAGATGAAGAACAGAGACAGGCCCGAGTATCTTATCTAGCTAAGAAGAAAGCCACGGCTTCTAGTTCCATCGTCCCGGAACTTGCGGAACTGGGTGTTTACGCCCAGTCTGTCAAACCAAAAGACAACTCTTGGTTTGAGGGTGTCCTCAAGGACGGCCCCCACGACCACTTAATCAACGTATCAGAGACGGGGCTCGCGTCCTGTATGCCTGGTTCGAGTCAGAAAATTGCCGAACATAACTCTCGCCATTTAATGCGCGTGTTTCCAAAAGGCACACGTATCACGTCAAAGAACTTGAAGCAGGTTCCATTCTGGGGAATCGGAGCGCATATTTGCGCCATGAACTGGCAAACATTCAATGCTAGCATGCAAATCAACGAGGCTCTCTTCAGCGGCACCGATGGTTACGTTTTAAAGCCGGCGGCCTTACGAGCGGGCGGTAGTATGAACATCAATACAGGCAGGAGAAAGAGGTTGCAGTTACACATCGCGGGTGCAACAGACATTCCCGTCCCCGAGGACGTAGATAAGGATGATGTTAAGCCTTACGTCACCTGCACGATTGTTCATACTGATGAACTAAGAGGTGATCATCCCAAGCGCAAGACTGGCGCCTACAAGCAGCATAAGCTCGGCTTCCTGCATAGGGGTGAAAACCCACCACCGACTGATCCAATTTGGAACGAGATACTCGAGTGGGAGTACGAAGACAATGAATTGGTATTCCTACGTATACTTATCAAGAATGATGTTAGCTTCGCGGAGAATCCTGTCTTCGCTGTTGCTGCGGTGAGGCTTCTATACGCCGTCCCGGGTTGGAGCTTCATCCGCATGTTGGACCTAAAGGGACGAGAAACAACGTGCTCCTTGTTGGTTAAATTCAGTGTACATGATATCTGATGGAAATGAGAAGAGATTTTCTGGCAGCCCCAGACCCGCGGTAGTAGGATCAGATTAAACCCATGTACGGTACGCTGCGAACATAAAGATCAAATAACATTCATAACAATCAAATTGATTACTAAACCAAACAGAAAGCTAATGTTGTGGCAGGTTCTGTAGATAGTTTGTGTCACGTCTAAATGCGGTGAGATACTGGTACGAATAGACCACCCGGTTTTCTTTATGTACCTAGTAGGTATATTCTATGAGTTAGCCCTGCACCTTATCTAGATGAAATGTGTAAGACACCTAGCGACATTTCCACGTAATCCGAGCCGAAGCGCTCGCTTCTATGTGGCCTAACCAGATGCGCCACCAGAAGAACCCAGATGAAAAAGAGTAGTGCAAATATGCTAAGGATTCATGATTTCCACTACATAGAGACAATAATCCGACACCCTCGCTACTCGGGTCACTGCCACGTACTCCGCTAGACCCCGGTGCACCTGCTCCGTAGGTAGTCTCTTGTCGTTCATGTAGCCGCCACCTCACGTCCAGGGGTGCCCGTCCTTTCCGAGCTTGGCGTTCAGAAAAGCCCGACTGAGCAGATCGTCGCGAACAATCTGATCCTTATGCGCCTCCATCTCCTCGATATCCCCTTACGACGCCGTCCCATGCCAGAAGAGTGGCGATCTTTGAGTATTGGAAAGGGGACTTATAGTTTACGCTGACTATGCCGCCGCGCATCCATTCAGCGCGCGGCGTAGACAGGAAGAGCGTCCGGCCACCACTGAGACCGGGGCTATCCTTGGCATACGGCTTCAACATATCGACCGTCATCTCGGTCTGGTCGATTCCCGGTATGAGCATGAAAACGCGTATGCCCGGCTGTCCGGCGTGCAGGTTCTCCACCATGCGGACAACGGCCAGCTTAGACGCCGTGTAGCCCGCCATACCCGGAAACACGTTGCCGATGGCGCCGGTCGTCATGCTGACGACGGTGCCGACCCCGTCCGCTTGGGCGAAGAAAGTGGTGCGTCATTCGGTACGACCCCAGCACGTTGACCTGGAAGTCGTTGAAAAATTTCGTGGCGTCGACGGTGCCGAGGGCGCCTAGGTCCAGACTCCCCGCGCTGTTGATCAGCACATCGACCTTGCCGACCGCCTCCTTGGCCGCCGCGAAGAGCGCCGCGACCGAGGCTTCGTCGGTGATGTCGGCCCCCTGGGCGAGGACTTTGGTGCTGGGCGGGGCGAGACTCCGGAGCCGTGCGGCGACGCCCTCGAGCACGTCGACCTTGCGCCCGGTAATCACGTTTCACGGACACAAGAGATGCGTGAACTAAGTCGAGAATGTGTAGATGTAGAACTGTAGAACTGTAGAGCCATGTATCCGCGTCCTTTGGTGCATCCATGGGGGAGATAGGAGAGCGCTAGGTATGCTATCCGGACAAGTATTGGCTGCATTGCCACGGCCATAGACCTACCATGCAGGGCTCGTACCTCTCATTCCCCCTTTGCATCTAATATATCTGATATATGCAAGTCTTTCCAACTACACTCGAACCTCATACTTATAAGGAGTTACGATTGGATGTATAGCTCATTTGCAACAAATGCTATTTCATATATCATTTTAAAAAGTTCATATATTCCCTCATAGCTAAAAGCTCTACTACGTACATATGTCAGCAAACCTTTCCACACCGTATCTTAATCACCACCTTCTACAATCATGTCAATTAGCTCAACACTCTAGCTGCTAGTATTGCATCTGCGATATTGTCAGGTTATAATTATCGCCCCTAGCAACTGTGTTAAGGCCTGACACCATGTCGGCTAAAGGATTTAGAGACTAAAAATACGTACCTAGGTAGTTTCCCTGAATAAAGCTTTATATGCTCCTCTCCCAAAACCGCGTTTAGTAATTATGTAAACTGCAATCTCTAGTCTCGTAGTTTAGTGGCAAATCTTGTAATTCAACAGTAGTTCAAGTGCTTAAGTGACTTTAAAAGAACCCTGCCTTTTATATCATGTATGTAATCGATAGCAAAGCCCTATATTCAGTTGCCTGCGATGGCCTCTTCTTTTTCTCCCTTATATTGGGCCTGGTCATAATTACTAGACTTGACATCGTCGCCCTGACTGACATCAATTAGCTTAGCAACTATTGTAACTGAAGGTGATAATATCCACGCGACGGCCAATCAGACTAGTGACTCTGGATCAGTAATCACCAGTTGACATTATGTCTACCCTCGGCAAAGGATGCTGACATAATGTCCAAATACCGTCCCATCCCGGGAGAGTAATCATAGTAAGCAAATCACGGCAAGTCCGAATAAACCATTCCGAAGGATAGGGGGATATTCGTTATGTTCACATCACGCTCTCCCATCATTCGACTTGAAAGCAGATGTAGTGTGCTCCTTCATTACAGACCGCCTTCTGTGGTCTGGTTGACGAACCTTTCAGCTTGGCCGTTATTGAGGATAAATACTCAAGGGACTCCTTGCTAAGCACAGGTACATGATAGTCTGGCTAAAGAGTGTATACAGCAGGACTGCTCTCGACACGTAAGATAAGTTGATATACAATACAATAAGCCTCATATACCGTATATTCCAGCACTCATAATGTAACCATACCGGGACGGCATATCAGACAGAAGTCAGCTAAAATCAGACGGACTCTAAGCTCAGTCGAAACTAGTCAAGTGGATACCTAATCTTACAGTACAACACACACGTAAGTTTAAGTACCTTTTGGACTGTTGCTCCTTAGGAGAAACTTTTACCACTTCGATCAACATCGCGGTCGCCTACACCATGGATGATCTGCCCTTTTTCGTCGGCGAGGACGTCGGATTCAGCGAACTTCTTGCAATGCCCGATGATGTGATTAATAACCCTAATACCGGGCCTTCCAACAGCATCCTAGTGGGTAGTTTAAACGATAAAATCTTTGAATGCCACCACTACTAAGGGGCGACAGCGAGGTCTACAATGCGAATGATAACTTTAAGGGTAACATGACTAAAATGTACTTGAGTTTATATGGGGAAGTGTACTCTAGAATAGGTATCCACTAGACTAACTTTGACTGAGCTTAGAGTCTGTCTGAATATGCTGACGCCAGTCTGTTATGCCGTCCCGAACCACATCTTCTACAAACACTCCTCCCCCTTGTCCTCGATTATTGCACTATGTCAGAAGCCTCCTCCGTGAGAGCTAGTGGCCAGATGTTTCACCAGGGTAGTTAGTAATAGCCAGATGTCTCGCCAGGGTAAGTTAGTAATAGCCCAGAAGGACTCGGGATTCGGTTTATACGAGGCCGCCCTGTTGGCGGTGAGCCCTTAGCTGTAGATAAAGGAAGGTCTAGGTATGTATGTAAACCGCATCCCCTGGAACGGAGTAGTTAGAGCTCTTCGCGCAACAACGTTGTTATTCTTTAGCCCTTTGGTCCCGCCTCGTGACACACTGCTCTCGTCCGCCGCCGTACGTCGCCGTCACCTCCCATGGCCATGACTTCCCCGTTCTCTCGAGTCGAGTCGTTCGCGCCGATCCTCCAAGAGCCCATCTGGCACCAGCACCGTGAGTTAGAAGCCTCATCTGTAGAGGCGAGGATCAGGCTTGCATATGAGCGAGCGCGGAGTCTCATTAATACAGTCGGTTAGAAAAGCTACATTACTCTTGAGGTGCGATCAACGCTGAGGGGTAGTAACGTTCATATAGGAATGACAATCGAGGATATACGCTCGTTGAAGCCAAAGTTCTGGGACTTTCATCGCCATGGTCAGAGTTGATCCCCTAAGCTATATCACTACCTGGACGGTCTGGTGCTCATCTTTCACCAGCATTTACCCTCGACTCCGGTGCTTGGACCATCCTGACTATTCACTGGAATCTCTGTATGGGCACAATCAGCTCATTTCTTTCTGAGAGGCCAGATCTACTGCCTTTGCTCCAAGCCTTAGAACGGTTCGATACATGCGGCGAGTTCTTGCTGACCGAGCTGGGCCATGGGCTGGACGTGAGAAACCTTGAAACCACAGCGACCCGTCAAGCCGATGGCTCCTTCGTACTTCACACTCCCAACCCTCGTGCAGCCAAGACAATGCCTCCAAGTTCTCCGCACTCTGGTATGGCGCGCACGGCTGTTGTTTTTGCCCGGCTCATAGTAGCTGGTAAAGACCAAGGCGTACGTCCATTTATCGTGCCTCTAAACGATGCGTCGGGTGCGATGTGTCGCGGCGTTACATGTACCCTATTTCCAGCTCGTCCAGGAGCCAAGGCCATCGATCATGCCTTGACGAGCTTTCGCCACGTACCTCTACCGGCCGAAGCCCTGCTCGGACATCTTCACGGCTCATCCAAGGACGAGCGAAAAGACTTTATGCGTGCTATCCACCGCGTGACCGTCGGTACGCTTTGCATATCTACAAGCAATGCCATCGTCCTGCGCGTGTCGGGCTGCATTGCCGGTAGGTACAGCGCCAAACGGCGGGTCGGTGCGCCGGAGTCGGTCCCTATCCTTTCCTTCAGCACCCAGTACGGCCCAATCGCACGGATTCTTGCGCATGCCACCGTCTTTGACAAGTATGCAATCGAGGCCATGCAGTTGTTCATCGAAAACGGCGGAAAGCCGGATATGCAGAACGTAATCGCCGGCGCTTTCAAGGCTACCGTCTGCGACTATACGCAGAAGGCGCTGAGCGAACTCGTTGATCGATGTGGCTGGCAAGGTCTTTACACTCACAATCAAGTCAGTAGAACTCCTCGTCCCACAACAGAGATGTCTCCACAAGAATTAACATATAACGACTTTCTTCTAGATTAGCGAAGTATGGCTCGCCGAAAAGGGCAACAGCATCGCCGAAGGCGACTTTGTGGTCCTCTGCATCCGACTCGCGAGTGAAATCTTACTCGGGCGGTATGCGCCGCCGAAACCGCGTGACCCGCATTGTCTTCTGGCGCGTCACGAGTCCGGACTTTGGGACGAGGCCCGCCAGATATGGGCGTCTCTTCGCGGTGGACACCGCGGCAAAGAATTCAATGCCCGCATTCTACCGCTGTCTCTGCCGTTGGTCCGGGCTACGGGCAAACGCATGGCCTACGAGGCTGCCAAGGATGCTATGGTACACGGAAATGATCATGGTCTCAGTATGACGCCGCAAGCGTTGGCCTTGTATGAGTCGACGTGTATGATGGAAGACCAGAGCTGGTATGTCGAAAACGGTATTATGTCCCGGCGGGCGCTGCTGAATCGCGATGTCGATGCTATGAATGCCATGTTGCCGTTGTTGGAAGGCATGATCAACGACCCGGCAGTCGACGCCTTCGTCAATGCGCCCATGGTTGACCAAGATAGGCTGGCTGCCTTTTTCTCTAGCTTGCCATCATTTGAGGGGCCAGAAACCGAGTGCTTTCAAGCCAAAGCCAAAATATAAAAAAGCATTGTTACGGTGTGCAGTAATGCCAAGGGGTTGTACGTGACACGACACCGTTTCCGGCTCTACTGCAAAACAAAGGACCGGCACTTACAGCACGGGAGGCGGCCGGGGCGGACAGAACCCGGAAAGGTTGGTGGGCTAGCGCGCACCTCTACGATGAGTCAGCAGACGCGCTCGTGCCGCATGTTCGATATTGCACTGAGCGATCAACTCATGTTCCCTGGCCATGGTGATGATTGCTTAAATTATAAAGGCACTTGAGGAATTAGGTGTATTCATATGTCAGATATATTTACCTTATGTAATCGTGTGAATCACTTGAATGTGCCAGGTGGTCTCTCTGATTACCTAATTAAGGCACATTCCGAGGTCCCAGGGTCAACCCCTTTTCACCTCATTCGATTATGTAATCAACCCTTTTTCCGCATCATATGCATGCCAGCTCCTGGGTAACTATCACTACAAGGTGATATTTATTAATAGTAACCACCTTTGCATGTCTTTTTAACTTTAATTAAGCGTGTGTTTAGATTCAACTTATGTAATGGTGTAGCTAAGATACGAGTGGTGACATACTCGATCGAGGTAGACGACATTATGACCTCATAGATCGTCCTATTGACTTGACTGGTCCAGATTCATTGATAAAAGACGTAAAAGTTAACCGATCATCATCTTAATTTTCATTTTGATCACCCAATTATCAAAAAACAGAACAACCTTCAAATTTCCACGTCCAATTATGTCATCACACGGCAGCTCCAACACTGGCTCTAAGTCAGCCACGGGAATGTCTTCCCAAGTCAAGACACCGGCTACTGCTGGCATTGGTGAAGATAAGCCGAAGATGTTTGATTCCCAAGGTTCCGTTGGCAAGCAATTCACCGGTAAGTCTATGCTGTCATTGTCCACCAAAACATAAGCTTCAATAGGGTACTAATTTGTACTGCAAAGAGGAGGGCGCTCTCGGCGGCACAGCGCAGAAGATCGGTGGCCCATTGGATAAGGAGGGAATGGTCGGAAAACAATTCACAACGGAGGGTGGCATTGGTGGTTCCGTACAGTCTACTCTCGGAGGCACGAAAGGCAGGAGCAACTGATGGACAACTGGAACTTGAATTTCATTCAGAATACTATAATTATGGCCAATCAGAGTTTCCACTGTCCCGACCCTGAGAAGGGTTTTATGATAATGGTTCTCTCTACAGATATACTTATTATAAGACGGTAATGCCATTAGCTCAAAGGCTTGGGAAATTGTCATGCTTTTACATGTGATCTAGTAAATGAATAAACACTACATATTTATTCTGATATCGGCCCGCCTTGCCCCCATTTAAGACAGGCATCGCCCGTACATGTAAGGTCAAACCATTCCATAGCCGTAGCCTCTTGATTTTGAATATTATGCGAGACCCCTGATGCGCTATAGGCCTCAAACCAATTGCTATCACCATAAACATATTTCGTCCATCCACTGATAGGCGTATCATTCGTTGTACTAGTTGGCGTATCGTTAAATCCGAACACCGTAGTCCACTCCTTAATCTCTTCCTCGAATACAGCATAGTTGAGCACTTCGTCGTTTGTGCCGTGGAAAATTTGTATCTTAGGCCGCCATCCTGTATAACCTTGATATCCAGCTTTAACCATTGCGGCCCATTCGGCGCCGGTCTTCTTGACCTTGCCTGTGGCACAGGAATCACTCCAGACTCCGTAGCCATTGCCGGCAAAACATCCGTATGGCACTCCAGCGAATGCTGATCCAGCAGCGAATACATCAGGATACGCGCCCAATAGCGAGCTGGTCATCATGGCACCAGAAGAGACACCGGTAACGAACACGCGTTTAGCGTCCCCATTGTATTTCTCCAGTGTCCACCTTACCATACTTACGATACCTAGGCTATCACCCCCAGCATCGTGCGTAAGAGTTTCGTTCGAAGACACATCCCAGCACTTGTCTGCCGTGTTCGGGCTGTCGGGGTAGATTACGATGAACCCATATTTGCTAGCCAGCGTCGCGTACTGAGATCCGGAATAGCAAGCTTGCGCGTCTCCATGGCACCAATGCGGATTTACCAAGATTGGCGGTTTCTCAGCCAGTTGATCTGGGATGTAAATGTAGAACCCGACTTTTCTCGGGTTAGGTCCGAAGTCAGAAGCGACTTTTTGAAGTGAGGCCGCATTTGTGGCGACCGGGGCAACGGTAAGTAGCCAAAAGAAAGCGGAGAGCATTATATAATACATATTATTCCTTCACAATATGGGTTACTCTCAGAGAAGCTGGTAAAAAAATTGATGGGATGGTCTCTCAGTGATAGAGTTGAAAATTCGATGAATTTTGACTCGGGGGCATTGAGGATTATATTACTTATGAGTCATGATGTATAAAATCCTTCAAGTTATTTATAAACTACCTAATTTTCATCCGCAGGGCCGTCTAGATGCTATACCGTGGAGGCATTGGACCGCACATCTCGGAGTGTTGCACTCCGAGACCACGATGGGTAAAATGTGGGGCCGGAATAGGGGAAAAAGGGGGTGGGGATGTTAGCTTGCGGCTCTGCACATTCACTGTTTATAAACGTACTAATACACTAGTGTTCTTGATGTATTTAATCAATTGAAGCAACCTGGTCCAGGTGAAATAGAATTACTTGGGCCAAAACTGGGGGCTGGCTTTCGTCTGAAATGTGTGTTTTGTTCTAGCCGGTTTATCTGTGATACGTATTAGTCGATAAACACACAATCACTGTCATTGGCATCAGACTTTTATATTGGTCAGTGAGTGGCTGTCTTAATTTTTTAAGTAGTTAGTTAACTTAAGCTCTCAACGACATAACTTTGTACTAGCATTAGAAGTTTGTGAATAGATGAAACAGGCCTATCAGCGCTTAAGTCAATTCAACCATACTGAATTCCATGGCCAACGTTCGTAATGAGGTGGGAAACGAGGTAAACAGAACAAAAAAAAAAAAAAAAAAGAAAAAAAGCCGTCTCTAGCGTGCAACAATGGAATCTGATGAAGATTCTAAAATTCAACATGTCACTAGCGAAAGAGAAAAAGGATTCAAAGGTAGGCGGTTTCGTATTCTTAATTGCTATCTCAAAGGTTCAAGCTTTCAACCAAGCTTTGGCCCTTATAATGATGGCATATAACGTAAGTACTTATATCGTAGAAAAAGCTACCACAAGTACAGTCCTCTCCCCGAACAGCCAGTATATCCCCCTCCTCTATTTGCTTAAACTCTCCGCTACCCTAATGACGGACAAGTTTGCTCGTAATTAGCCATGTATGGCCATACCATTCAAAAGACGATCATGTCGATTAAAGGGATACAGTTCAGCCGCAGTATCCTACGCCCCCAATGGCACGATCACGACATCCACCACAAATAACTCTGCGTGGGTCATTGGGGGCTCGGTAGCACTCGTGAACTAGTGCTATGTGTCGACCAGCAACTCTGAAGCAGCGGCACTGGCATTGGACGTAGCCGTTCGCCATGGTGAAAGTTTCTCCAAAATGATGTTAATTAAGAGGGTATGGTGTGCGTTCAAGGGTAGCGAGATTCCGTAGTACTAGTTAAAGGCTCTGATAATGCAAATATGATGGATTTTAGAGTGTATGATTATCTTGGCAGCGTTAATGTTAGGAGTTGGGAAGTTTAATTTATATAGTATGGAATTCAACATATCCTGCACGTTACGAGTGAGAAACTGTATACTTTGTTACGATGATATAGTGATCCGTATAAGATATCTGATGTACTTCTTATATCTATGACTACCTAGGTAGGCAATGGCCTGAGTGAGTGAGTGAATGAGTGATTGATGACGAGGTAAATAGCCTGGGCAACTACCTAGGTACTAAGCACCAGGAAGAAAATACACAATTACGTCTCAGTTGTTATCCTTAAGTATCTTCAGCACCTAATTAGTGGATAGCTGAGACCAACATATCCTCTGACTGTGGCTGTCGTCACTAACTTTACGACCGGACGACATGTTCCTATGTTCAGGTCCTCATGGACTACCCCAAACTATAGATAACCGTTGGATGCAATGTCAATTATCTCTTTTGATACGGTAGTACCTATGGTACTCACGAGGAAATGACACATTAACTAAAGAGGATCGATTAAGAATGGATATTACATATATAGGATGACAAGACTCTTGGATTAATGGAATGCTAATGCAGTTTATCCATTGGTGATTACGATAAAAGATAATCGAATAAGTTAACGGAGTATTAAAGAAAAGAAGTAACTAGGTACCTAAGTACTTGGCAAGTTATAAGTTCTATGAACTAACGTCCTAAGCCCTACCGAAACAATGCAATTGGCAATCTCGGCAGCTGGATATCGTATCTACTAAGTAAGTAAACATTTATCCCCTACTACTTAAGCAAGCGGAAAGTAACCAGTGCTTAGATTAACTATGATCTTTAGAAATAATGCGACCAATGTAAGTACCTACTTCAAACTAGAACTCTTCCTGTCGAAGACCGACGGTGAGCATTTGTGACGAATCTTATAGTAGGTTTTCATTTCGCTGCGAAACGACATGTGAGAATTTCTATATAGGTACCTAGGTATGGTATAAGATGTTAGGTCTAGATGGGTGATTTGCAGCGGTTGTAGTATTAGTTAGTTCATGCTGAATATACCTTTGGAGAAATGGCAAACTACCACAGTCATTTACTTGCCTTATCCTTCGCACGACCATAGTCAATAAATGTCTCGCATTCACCAAGAATTCTAGTTATTAGATGCCTATGTCGGGAACAACTTTTCTACAATTCATAAGGGAACCTATTGAATGTTTGCCAAGACGTCAATCCCAATTGCTGATGTATCATCACGCGAGCTGGAATTGTTGCTTTAGACCGGTCGAAGGATTTAGATCGTCATACCAATATAGCTAAACTACTCAGCCCATCACTTATCACAATACAACCCGGGTTTCTCGGACCCGGCACCCCGGTGTGGGGCGTCATGCATATCTTGAAGATTTTATTGGACTGGCGGCGAGCTGAGGAATTTTTTGGCAGGTTTGGCGGCTTAGCCACCCAATATTCATTCCAACATCTTTCCTACGCCTTTGCTAAACGCTGAACCAAGTTTGTTATTCCCTACCGGCGGGTAGAATATGTAGGGTGGTAGCATTGAGAAGACGAGGGTATGGAGTGCTGTCCAATGGGAAGTGAGGAAAAAAGGTCGAAACGTAGCCCTTTAGGTTAGTATTTCTCGGGCTGACCAACAACTTTTTGCACTGAGATGCGGCCCGAGGGTCGCCTGCCCGGGAACCAAAAAAGGGGCCTCCGAGGGCTGAAGATAGAGGAAATTTCCAGATTCGGAACTAACTCAATCAAATCTGAAACGATGTCTTGCAAATAAGCCACCGGTCAAGGCTGAGTATCTCGACTATGCTTTCCCCGGTTGCTCTGAGTTTCATTTCCTTAACTTACCAGGTAGGTAGGTACCTACTAAACTACCGTACCGGTACCAATCATAGGTACATATCCATGGATGTACCTTAGGTACTACATAGATATAGTTTAGGTAAATACCTATCACGGGGTTGTACCTACCCAATAGCTACCTACCTATAAATTCTCTCAAGGTGCCCCGTGGCCCCAATCGATGACTCAACCCTCTACCTATTTGATGGACGATTAATCTTCTTATCTACTCTTATCACTTCAAAGTTGATGTATTTTCCCTACTAATCTACTCGAACACTTCCATTAATCTTACGGCATTCATCCTTGGACCACCATGGAGTCTATTTCCTTAGACTCACTAGCTCTAGAACAGCTTCATGGAGAGCAAAAAGCCCTCCTAGATGCTATCGATGATCTACGCCGACACGGTGTCGGTCGGTTCGTCGATCTGCCCCAAATCATTGTCGTTGGGGACCAAAGCTCCGGGAAAAGTTCCGTGCTCGAAGCCATCTCAAGAGTACGGTTTCCTGTCGACGATGGACTCTGCACAAGATTTGCCACAGAGCTCGTTCTGCGCACCAGCAACCAAACCAAAGTCGATGTGCGAATCTTGCCTTGTTTATTTTCCAAGAACGGGGAACATCCCTTTGACGAGAGATCCTTCAACAAGGAAGAGCTACCTCGTATAATCAATGAAGCTAAGAGAATATTGCTCAAAGGAGATGCTGGCTTTTCGGAAGATGTTCTAAGAATCGAGGTATGCAGCCCCGATGTACCACACCTCACCATGGTCGACCTCCCAGGTTTCTATCACTCCGAAGATGAGAATCAATCGGCCGCTGGCCGAGAGATTGTGGAGCGCTTGGTGGAACGTTATATGGCTCGCAAGAACAGTATTATCCTGGCTATCATCTCCGCCCGCAATCAGGTCATATTGCAGAAGGTTCTGTCCAAAGTCAAGCAGCACGACAAGCATAAACGGCGAACCCTCGGTATCATCACAAAGCCGGATATCCTTACAGCTGGTTCCCAAGACGAAACAAATTTTGTTAGGCTTGCTAAAAACCTAGACAAATCTCACGAATTATCTCTGGGGTGGCATGTCCTTCGCAACCGAGGCGAAAAAGATGTTTTGGACACTGATGATGAGCGAGATGATAAAGAGCGAAAGTTCTTCGAATCAAGCATTTGGTCTAGCGTACCTTCAAAGAACCGCGGAGTAGAATCTCTCCGTAAGAAGCTCAGCGGTATCCTCTTAAGCCACATCAAGGAAAACCTCCCAGGTCTAATCTGGAGTATTGAGGAACAGGCCAATGGCCACATGGCTCGGCTCAAGCGCCTCGGGGAGCCAAGGTCGACCCAAAAAGAATTACGAACGCATCTCGACAGAATTGCCTCCCAGTTCCATATCCTGTGTCTACAGGCCGTGGAGGGAAACTACGCCGATCGTTTTTTTGGCGGCTTGTATCCCAAAAATGAAGGGACTGCTACGATCAGCGACAGTAGGGTTAGAAAGATTCGTGCACTTGTTCGAGACCTCAATCGAGCATTCGCCTACGTCCTAGAAACAAAAGGTTCTAGACGCATTATCCTTCCCAAGGAACCAACAGGTGCAATGGACAACCAGCAGGTTTCCGAGAGTATCAATGGCACGGATGGAATTGGGAAAGCTAGTCTAAATCCTACTTTGCCTACATTCCTTCGCCCCCTGACCACTCATTACAACTTTAAGGTCCCGGAAAAGGTCACTTTCAGACGTATCGCGTCAGATTTGGAATCATTGTCATCGGCAAACCAGGGTAACGAGTTTCCTGGGACTTCGAACGATCGCTTAGCTGTGAAGCTATTCCAAGATCAGTCGCGGCCGTGGAAAGCAATTGCACGCTGCCATATCCGACTCATGCTTCACACTACTAAAGAATTCGTCGAGAAGCTTATGGACCACATCGTAAATCCAGACGAAAGAACTTTCTCTGCAATTCTCTCTAATATAGTGGACCCTTTTTTTGACAAGAAGTCCGAGGTTCTCGAATCGAAGTTGCAGGAACTTCTTTACCATTATAGAAGCGGTTATCCACAGCCTCTGGATAGTGAATTCCGAATGATGCTTGCACTGAGATACGAGAAGAACCACAGAGAAGACATGATCCAGGACCTACTCGCAAATCAACCTGAATTATTCACGAAGGACGCACACGCGAAGCTCAAAACAATTTCAACGCCCAAACCTGCAAGCGAGTTTGGGGTGGATGGCCTAATTGACAAGTCCGAGACTTATTACCAGGTAACTTCACCCCGTGCCAAAAGATGCGCATGGCTTCTAACATGTCTCATAGATGTCACTTCGGACATTCACAGATAACATGATCGTTCTAGCCATCGAGAACTGTCTTATTAGAGACCTGCCGTCAATATTTACCTCGGAGAAAGTTAATCAAATGGAGGATAACGAACTCGAACGACTCGCGTCCGAATCGCCTGAGATCAAGCTTGAACGAAAGGAGCTACAGGAGGAATACGACGCTCTCATGAAAGGGCTGCAGATCTGCAATAAATTCAGAGAGCGCAAGGCTACAGGTGAGTATATTTTGACTTCCGGATTTCAACTGAGTATTTAGGTAGGCTGATATTACACAGAGCCTATTTCAATAAGGGTAGACACACCTCCAGAAACCCAAGAACAGGATAAACTATTTAGTTTCCTCAACTCAGGTCGTCAGGCCACCTCTAAACCATCTCAGACAGGAGCCTCTCTGTTCTCGTTCAATGACTCTGTATCATCAACTCCCTCCACGAACCTCTTTCGGTCGACTTCTCCAGAAACGAGCAAGGCGCCAGCCTCGAACCTATTTAGCTTTGGAAAAAAACCAGCTTCAGAAAGTAGCTCGGCATTCGGTGGTTTTGCCGGACCAGTAGGGCAAACAGTTTCGCTGTTCGGATCCAGTACGTCTCCGCTCAGCAGTCAAAAAGTGACATTTCCTCAGTCACAGCCAGGTAAATGTAAGTCTTCAAGATTTTCAGCAATACTATGCTACTATAAACAGTTAACAATGCCTAATAATTAGGATTAGACTTCAGCCCCTTGCCGCACCAATTCGGCCCTACAGTTAAGCCTCTTCACCAGAGCGAAAACCCGCAATCTTCACACTACGAACTTTTTCGACATATATGTTGTCAGAAGCCGTATACAGGCTACTCACCTGAAGAGCTGAGGGTGCTAGCGTCGACTCCGCTGTTTGGATAAATTGTACGATCGAAGGAATGAATAAGGCAGATGAATGTTTCTAGGGCAAGAGTTAATTTCAATACAATTCGGCCCTTTGTCAGGAGTCTCTTCTATGTCTCGAAACAACTGCATTATGTTGTCTTTTTCCTTGTGTTGAATGATGCCACTATTCTCGTGTAACCTAGTTGTACAGAAATTGATTGGATGGGCCATGAAGCGCCGATTGAAGTTGGTTTATGTAATTGTCTGATTTCATAATTCTTATGCCGCGTAGACAATCCTGTAGATCTTTCTATTGCGTCCTTATCATGAGCTCTTCACCGATAACAGAGGTGGTGCCCTGGTACCCTGGTTACCGCATTAGATAGCGTCACTTTACAGTAAGTCACACTAATTATCCCCTTCACCGGCACATGGCTACAAGACAGCTCACCTTGAGTATTAGCCCACTAACACCCATAAAATCCCACCTCATTGATTATTAGCTGAGAGCTGAGAGGCGAGCCACTTTTGCTATTGGCCATTCAATATTTCCAGTATGTTGGGTCTGATCCACCTGGTCCGTATGCCGGTTCAGGGGATAGCCCCACGAAATCGGTGAACACCAAGCGTAACCCGTTACTTATAATAAGCCAACTTTCATATTGAGCAGTTACCTGAGTAATCTAGATAACAATCATTTCAAAATGGATTACGACACATGGCGACACCGAGTTGTTGAAGTAGAACCTTCCGTGCGCATCGCCTATATCGACTGCCCTTCCAAAAACAAGAAACCACAACGAGGTGTGATATTGCTTATACATGGCTTCCCCCAAACCTCATACCAATTCCGGCATGTTATCGATCCCTTTTCAAGGGCGGGATACCGCGTCATAGCCCCCGACTATCGCGGTGCAGGAGGTTCTTCCAAGCCTGCTACAGGCTTCACCAAATCCACCATGGCGCGGGATTTCGTGCGCCTACTAAACGCCCTTGAGATACATGAACCGGTTCACCTTATCGGCCATGATATCGGAGGGATGATCGCATTTGCCATGGCGTCAAAGCATCCGTCACGAGTAGCGAGTATCAATTGGGGAGAATGCCCCTTGCCCGGAACAGAGGTATTTACGGAAGAGTAAGTTGAGATATCAACGAGGATGAAAAACTTCAATAATGCCAATATATACCCAGACTTACTACGCACGCGGTTCAGCAATTTCATTTCGTCTTCCACAATGTGCCAGATCTGGCTCTAGCACTCGTGACAGGCCGTGAGCATATCTACGTGTCTCACTTTTTCCAGAAACTCGCGTATAACAGAGCTGCAATCAAGCCTGAAGACATCGATCACTATGTTCAAGCTTATGAGCAGCCCGGTGCGATGAGGTGCGCTTTTGAGGTCTACCGAGCGTTTGAGCAGGATGCCAAAGAGTGTTTGGAATGGATATCGTCGTACGGAAAGCTGAGTCTCCCGGCTTTATCGTTGAGTGGGATCGAAAGCAGGCATCTTGAACATGCGGGGGGGATGTTTGCAGAAGTTCACCAGAAGGGTACCTACGAGATCGTGGCTATCCCCGACTCGGGCCATTATATTGCGGAAGAGAACCCGCTATGCTTTGTTAAGGAGTCGCTAAGTTTCATCGAACAGGCGACATTAGGGCCGAAATAACTTGATGGGAGATGTGTACCTAGCTAAGCCGACGTTTTAGCTACACACAATGCGCCAACCAATGTACATATATCTAATCGAGATATACCTAAGTATCATAGAATCATTGATGTGGCATATTCTTTGCCAAACCGCCAATTCAAGTTATTCTGCAGTGGATATCTATTTCACCAGTGGGTCCCTGGGACCTTAGGGGCAATAAGCACTACACGCTTAGGGGCCTTGGCGCATAATTATAGTGTATTAACGTCGTGATATTGCTTACTAATCATTTAGTCACATCTATACGTCAAACGCGATGCTAATTAATCTCAACTTTCGTTCTATCATGTTTCACCTGTTCTCACTGAGTACCTGCTCATGGTTTCCTGGCCTTTGCAATGAAGAACTCAATATCCATGCCTCCCTTTACTTTCGTAACAGACTCGGGGATATGACTTGCTTCTTTGTAAACATAAATGATGATAAGCGTGTTTACGTCCGAAGGACGTATATACTACATACAGGCAAGTATGGTATATACATTAACGCGCACTACTAGCGCATAAGACGTTTAGAGTACCTCTCTAGGTAGAGAGATAGAGCTAGAGTTTCGCTTGACATAAGAAATTTTTATCTTTTATTTTTATTTCTAGTGCATTACTCTAGCTAATTAGTAACGGCGTTAGTTAGCCGATATATTTAGGAAAAACCCTACTCCGGATCTACCTTCTTCTAACGTTTTTTAGAACTACCTTCCAACGCCTAGTAAACCCTAAAACAGGATGAAAAAACCTGAATAAAATCGGACCGTTGGTTAAATTGCCCACAGTAGGATTCGAACCCACTCGCTTCACGTAGTTGTACGCTAATGCGCGGCCAGACGCTTTAACCACTGCGCCATGTGGGATTTGTAAACATGAAGGTCGATGGTTTCGGGGTCGCAACCCGCGTCCGAGAAGAGTCGTTTCATCTCGCTGGCCGAAAAGCCGATTTTACTCATAGTATAGCTAACATCAGGTTTATCCTCGACATAATGGTCGTGTGCGTGAGAAGGCGCGCCCGTATGGTCTGATACAGAGTCCTGCAAACAATCAATGATTACCAGCACCCCGTTCCTCCGCAAACGATCCACCAACTTAGAGAGCATGGCTTGCGGATCTTCGCAATGGTGCAAGGCCATGGACATGATGATGGCGTCGGCCTCGTGGAAGTCGGGTCCTGCGATGGCATCGTTGTCGCTAGGATCGAGGAAGTCGCCGCGAACAGCGTGCATGCGCTCGGGCGCAATGCCAGATTGGCGCCTAAGCTCGTTGTACTGGTCGACCATGGCATCGGAGATATCGACGCCGCGAATGACGTCGGCGAAGTCGAACAGGGCCTGCGAAACGATGCCGTTGCCGCAGGCGTAGTCGATCATCTTGACCGGCGCCTCATTGTCTGACGACTTTCGAATCTCTAGCCAGTCGGCGTTAGATTGGAGACAGTCACGCACTTGCTCTAATAGCCTGAGGACCCATTCCTGCTCGAAGAGGCCCTTCGCCTTTTCGCTTTTCTAGAGTGTCAGTGCCTACCTAGACAGGGAAAGAGGAGCAGAACAGAGCAAGGGAGCAATGCGCCGAGATGGCAACTTACTTCCAAAACTTGCGGGTACTCTCACTGGAGGAATCCGTTGCCATTTTTCTAGCTCCGACGAAGCGGACGAGTTGGTGTTGGTGATAAATATGGTCGTAGAAGAGTAACAGCGATGGTATTACTACTACGCACACACCAGTCATCTATGTGACTTGTTTGAGAGGAAAGGCAATTATAGGTGTCTGTTTGGTGCATGAACCGTATTGATTCTCTCGGAAACATTCGCGGAGACATTCATGGAGACATATCAGCAGCATGTGAGTACGATATCACATTATGCCTTTCAGTCTCTCCGATTTTCCTGTCTGAACTTGCATTCCATGCATGCCTGCTTCAGCTTCTTATTCGGCAATTGGGACGTATGGGTAGATATTGTATTTCATCCGATAGTTTATACAGGAATCTCCTATTTGTTTCTCAACCCCTGTCACCAGTGACAGCCCGTAAGTTGGGTACCTACCTCCAAGATACGTACTTCCATCGAGTAACGGATCGCTGTAAGTAACCAGAACCTAAAGTATCATTTATCGCGTCTTCGATCTGTGTATGAGAAGTGACTCTTCGGCATAGCCGGAACTCGTAATCATCATAGTTTCCAGTATGGAAAGTCTTACACATACAAAGTCATCCGCTGACACTAGTCGATAAGCTCATGAACCGAACAGAGCTACAGTCGAACCGATGGGTATCTCCTCAGTATTAGCCATCACCCTCCTTTTCCAGATCGTCGAGGGATCATGCTGCGTTACAGGTGCACAAGTCGCTTTCTCAACTGCGCTCGTGAGAGGGGCACCCATCTACGTCCCAGGGATCGACGCCAGCTCACTCATTAGCGCTGGCGGTACGGAATTTCGTATAGCATGTTCCGGCCAGAACATATATCAGTCATATTACAGGCGCACATCGTTGCAGAATGAATTACGTTCGCGTTTGCGATTGCTCTTACGCTGGTGCGAGAAGAGATCTGGAGATCAGGGCTGAACTAAAAAGTGACTCGATAGCTCACCTAAACAGGGTGGGTCACATAGCTAAGCTTCAACCAATCATTGGCCTTTTTAAGACATCTGCTGTCGATCCCTACTGTATTTAGCTAGCTTCTTTTAGGTCATCTTCGAACAGTAACTTTAGAAAAACAGGTAAAACTTTCTCTAAAAAACAGGTAAATCCATTTTCAGACTAGCGCAACACCACTTTAAACCAATCAGCTTACAAACTGGACACAGCGCGCAAAGCTTTTTTGCAACAACAAAAAATTCTTACTTGAAAAATTAAGTATATACCATTAGATAGAGATTAATGAGAGGAATCGATTGATCTAGGTTGCACTTGTATCAGACGTATAATGCCTGAGATATCGTGAAGAACTCATATGGCTAAGTAAGCAGGTGCGTTGGAGTTGAGGGGTATCACGTGCTACTGCCAGGTACTGCTCGCTCAACTTAAACACTAATAACACATGGCAGAGCTAATGCAACTGGATGAGAATTAGATCATTAGATTTGTTGAATTGAGGGCTTTAAAATAGTGTATGCTTCAATTTTAAAAACGCTTCTAAACGAAGCCTATCTAGATTTTATTAAGTTGTCAGTGACTTAGGCGCGGGGCTGTTTTTTTGCTTATATAATGTTGTTTTTGAATTATGTAATGTTGCTTAAGTAATTCAAATCCGGGTTTCTTAGCCAATAAATAATAAGGTAAAGGTGGGTCTTATGTGGAGCTAAGGAACAGCCAGTAAGATTAGTGTCATAGCTCTAAACTAGTCTGAAAATGGATTTACCTGTTTTTTAAAGAAAGTTTTACCTGTTTTTCTAAAGTTACTGATCTTCGAAGGGGTCTTTTACCTGATCTACTATTAACCAATCACTGACCTCTGTGAAAGGGCTGCCCCACTATTCATCTTTATCTTTTTAGGTTAAACGTTCAGAACGTTTAGGTCAGCTTCAAGGGGGACTTTCACCTGGTCCACATCCTGGTATTTACATGAGTGCCCATGCTTTTTACTACCCCACGAGATGACATATCGTTATTTATGAATTCATGAAATTGTGTAGGTAAAGGAGCACGAGAGGTCGTTGACGAAGAGTACGGACTCTTAGCATCGACCTTGAAACACAACTTCTCGTGTTTCTACTCAGGTACCTAGGTACAAATGCGCTCAAGCGAATGAAGTCAGGAAAAATATAAAAATTGCCATAGAGAAAAACAAGCTACCTCATAATAGGATATACATAGCTCAAAAGTTATTCATTGATTATCGGTGGACAGAAAGACAAAAAAAATACCATTACGGGGGTTCGAACCCCGGTCTCCAGAGGATTCAAATTTGAATTCTTTGAAAATCTGGCATCCTAACCACTGGACGATAATGGTTTATGCTAGAGTCGCAATGGGATAGGTTATCCTCATACTATCATAGTTTATAAGTGTATGTAGGTGCTCATAGGTATGTTTGTCTTTGTGAAGGTGGGAAGGCGCATCGTACAGCTAGTACGGGTAGTTGCACCATCATAGAAACATTTGTATAAATGACGTTCTTTCCTATGTACCCGGGCATGCTTCTATGAATAATAGATTACCTTCAAACCCCCAGGTAAACTTGATTGGGACTTTCATCAGATCTTGTACACATCATTACAAGTCAGCTGACATGTAGCCCCTGACTTTACTACGATGGGTTGGAAACTTCCGGTCTTTTGTGTATCGTTTGTTGAATTCGTACGAGGCAGTACATGCTGTCATATATGCTGCTCACGAGACTCTAGGATATGTACACGAACGTCATATTCGTAAATGGCTAGAAAAGTCATAGGTTATCTCATGTGCTTAGGTTTGCCGAAGACAGTACTTCCCTATTGTACTATAATAGAATACAAAGTGTTTGTAGTACAAGGTAGGTAAGCACTGGCCCTATAACTCGACGGGTACATTTAAGCATTCTACTATGTACAATATCTACCTACCTGTGGTAGGTTCATTCTGTCAAGAGTTGGCAACGGAACCCGCATATTTTTCATAGCGCTAAATGCCTTATTGCATCTTTTTCATTCACTGGATCCAATCTCTCTTCGTTAGCGGTATGCTATTAGCAGCCATGCAGTCCTACTTTTCAAAATGGCACAACCGTAAACCGCGAAGTCGCGAAATAGGGGTAAAACGGCACATTAGGCGGAAGTACAGAGCGAGTCGCCGCGTGATTCGAACTATAATCTCCTTGACTTCATCTATAAATACATTGCTCTTGTTTAGCATACCTAATTGAAACGTTAAGCGGCCAAAACCCCTGGCTTTAGGACTTTATTTTTGCTATCACTCGGGTGGATATCTTACTCCCTTTGCCTCGTCCACTGTTATTCTATGTGGCTTCAGCTTTCGTACTGGCAGTTCTTCGTGAAGTCTAACGGGTCTCCTGCAGTGCCGCAATACTTCATCGGGATTATGGCGGCTACCACCTTTCCTGATTTATTACGACACGGGTAGCTGACCCCGGTTGGAGACTTATAGTTGCTATGGTGGTTTGGATCGCATCTTGGGCGTATAATCGGCTTTGCAAAGGAATGACGGTGATTTAGTTTTGAGGTTTTACGGTTAAATGCAGAAGATTATCATAATCTCACTTAGATAACCGATGTTCCGATAGATGTTTTATCTTTAGTATCTACCACGCGTGTTTCTGTCGGATGCCCGGTATTCATATTCATAAAGGGGTAATGCTCGAGCAAGGGTTGCTATCATAAGAACGGCATGGAGGAACTCTATAGAGGTATATTGAGTAGGAGATTCCAGAACTATGTATGAATTATGGACTCTGTTACACGAATTATTTCGATATTTTGTTGATTTCTTCGTTGACAACATTGTTGATCATTGGATCAGCAGCGCCCGGAATGCCCTTCTTCTGGGCCTCCTGATCGACCACTAAACTTTCATTACTGGTGAAATCGAATATGAAGATGGAATACTGTACGTACTGGAGTCGACCATGGTATCTTTGGTAGCATTTTTACCCGGGTTCTGAGCTTGAGCTCCATGGTTGGCCGTACTACTCCAAGCATAAGTTACTTCATAGTCGAATAATAGACATAGGAGAACACGTACGTTTGGCCAGTGAGCACATCTCTTGCCTTCTTCAGCTTGTCCATGATGAGTGATGTATTCTATGAAGTTACTTGACTTTTGTTATTGGAGTTTGGAAAGTTTCTCTTCATTGAGAGCAGTAAAATGCGGCATAGAGATTTCCAAGGGTGTTTAAGTACCTAGAAACAAACCCAGTTTCGGGAACCGTCCGCATCCCATTATCTAGGGAACGTTGACGTTCGATAATATGAATACGCATGTAATACCTGACGTTGTTACACGTGTAAATGAGCGAAAGCTCTTAGATGAGAATTTACAAGTGCAGGGAGGAACCTGGTTTACACTGGGACTAGTAAGTCTCCATGAAATCGGATTGGCCATACACTTACTCGTGGTCCTTCGCACTACAGATAAAGGAGCGTCTCAAATTAGGGCAGCGTTCAATTGACAGCTTAGTCAGGATAGGAATTCCTGAGTCGTTCGTATGGATAAGGCCAATACCATCTGCTTCCACTACACGTGGGATATCATCAAGCTTGATCAGAGTAATTAGACAATAACTTGGGCTCTTGTACATCCATCCATATCCTTCCTTTCCATAAAATCAGGTTTCCTACATTGTACATGATATCATCCATATGACCCTTTTTAATTGAATTGTACAGCCTCACGCAGGTAGCTCCCACGCCATTTGCTTATTAGACCTCCGTGAATCACGTCTAGCCCACGAAGGCATCTCCGACGGACGGCTCTGCTCATCTAGCTCATGAATACTTTTCTCTTTCGCGCTTAACTCATAAATAACTCTTTCCGGCTCATTGATAGATTGTTGTTGACCTGGTGGGCAATGGCTAGCATTGGGATGAGGAGGTGAGATATTCTGCGTCTTCTTTCGACGCATGAGCAAAAACGTGCCAACGACTCCTAGGGCCAGTGCCCCTAAAATCCCCACTACGATACCTGCAATGGCACTGCCGGCTAACTTGTTGGTAGGAGGTACAGAACTCGTTGAAGTCAACGCAGTCTGTACCACGGAGGGTGCGTCCAGTGTTGTGCTAGAAGCTGGGTTAGATGTCGCGGTAGGGTCGGATAATATGGACACATCGGAAGAAGTCAACGTTGGAGCGGAAGTTATTGAGGCTGCTTTCTGTACTTGGACACTGAATGCCCAGATAGGTTGTGTTGTAATCGTGACGTCTGTGTACGTGCCGGTCGTTGTTTGCCCATAGTCAATTAGAAGGCTGGTTAAAGCCATAGTTGATGTCGAATAACTGCAACCGAATTTATTATACGCAACCCCTGGGTAGCAGCTGAAGTCCAGATTGCTAGTAGAAGGCAGATTAGTCTCATCATCGGCTGGAGGTATAGGCTTTGTTCAACATACGTCGGACAGCAAATAGTCGTCTCAACATTGCTTTGTGTCATGAAGCAAGCATTGGTGTATCCATATGGACATATGGCTGGCGAGTAATAGCCATTGACGACCCATTTCGATGGCATACAGCCATCATCAGAGTTGGTAGGGCCTACCTGCCACACAACGGCTGTTAAGTCTTGGCCTAAGGAATATGTGTTATCAGTACTACAAGTTGAAGGGGCCGAAAAAGTAGTGGTCAGCGGGCCCAGGAATGAGGCTGTGGCAGCGATGGCTCCTGGAGGTATTCCCGGAGTCTTTGACGTTGCCATCCTCTCCGCGAATCCGGCGACATAGTCTAGGTTTGTAGGTGTGAAGAATGGAAAGAAACGAAGATGATCTTTACCGGGGCTTCGGTGGATTTTTTTTAGCAGCTACTCCTTCTATGCTCTCCTCGCTCTGGTGTAGGTTAGTTGTTGCTGAAACTAGACAAGGTAGCAATGGGAATGCCGTGCATCTATTAATCCTAGAATAACCTAAACATGAAACTGATTATCACAAAATTTGAGTTAGCGACCTTCTCATTAAGGCAATTATCTATCGCCAACGCATGGATAAAGTGAGATGTTGGTAGTCTGCTTGTCTGGCTGTGCCGTCGAGCTGCATTTCCTTAGCTGAGCTACCCCGACTGTCATATAACATATTCAATTACGTCTCAGCGTAAAACGTAAGAGTCTAATTAGACCTCGCCTAAACACGTCAGTTTAAGGATTCGACTTTGATGAAAGCTGGTTGATGCTAAACGCTTGTATGAATCCGTAGGTATCTAAAGGAGACACAAGACCCTGAGAATTCTGAAGCTCTACTGCCGAGCATACTAATTCAGAAAGGTGAACGCCGAACTCTCGTAGCTGATGCTGACACCGATGGATCGGAGTTGTTGTCGGTCGGGTGGGACCCTCATGTCACCGATCCAATTGTCATGAAATCAACCGGCTTCCGCTTAGACACAGGAGACCGCGTATCCTGAGGTTATCCTATCTTCGACAAGGGTGATCTCTTTCTATGTGCAGTATGATGGGCCATAAGACCGAAAAAGGCGGAACTTTCTAAGACGACGTGAATAAACACGCTAGGTGCCGGTGTTGATATGGCCTTGCGAGATCTTTACGGCTTTGAACCGAAAGATTAGAAACGGAGGCTAGATGTAACGGCACCTTTCTTATTGGGCCAAGCCTTTGATAGGATAGCTTCATCAAATAGAAGGAATACCCTCTTCGTATGCGGGGAAGTGGGGACAGCTTCTAATCTAGGAACAACTCTCTTCAAGTCAACTCACTAAGAGAACCCGAGTGAAACTTATGCTAAGAATGTGTTGGGAGGATTGCGAATAGACGAGCGGCTCACTGAGCTTTAGTGCCCATCAAGATTTAATCGCCAGTTGCGCGACGTTAATCTTCCGTATTGGCTTAGGAGTATATAACGATAAACTCACTCGAGGCCACGGCAATGGCGTACCGTCCCGTTATCGCTATTGCTGGCCTAGCCTGCGAGACTTCGACTTTCACGCCATCAAGAACGCTCGCGCCAGCGTTTCACCCTCAGCGTGATGGGGATATCGTAAAAAGGTACCCCTTTATCCAGTCCGGGACACCTTTAGGCGATGCTGCAGAGTGGCGTGGCGCGCTAATTGGCCACGCTTTACCAGGCGGTATGGTGACCAGAGACGCCTTCGAATCTCTCTCCGCCGAGATCGTTAGTCGACTTACTCAGATAACTGCTTCTACGAAGGTCGACGGGTTCTGGTTTGACATACACGGTGCTATGTGCGTCGAGGAGCTTGACGATGCGGAGTACGAGCTTCTGAAGCGCATCCGCGCGGTCATCGGACCGGATGTTTTGGTGTCGGCCTCGATGGACCTGCACGGCAACGTCTCGCGCGAACTAGCGCATCGGACAGATCTAATCACTTGTTACCGCACGGCACCTCACGTGGATGTTGCCGAGACAAAAGAGCGCGCTTGTCGAAACCTGCTTCAGTTGCTTCGACGGCAGGCGGCTGGCGAGACCGTGCGACCGTTTAAGGCTTGGGTGCCGATTCCAATTCTTCTACCAGGTGAGCAGACTTCGACGAGGGATGAACCAGCTGCGCACATTTACGCCGCTGTCCCCAAAGTCGAAGCTATGGAAGGCGTTCTAGATGCGGCGATCTGGGTTGGCTATGCCTGGGCCGACGAACCTAGGAATCGGGCCGTGGTCGTCGTCACCGGCTGGGATAAGCAGGCCGTAACCACAGGCGCAGAGAAATTGGCGCATTTATTCTGGGATTCGCACGAGGACTTCACTTTTGTCGCTCCCACAGGATCATTCAAGGAATGTCTGGATACCGCATTAGCATCTGAAAAGCGCCCGTATTTCATCTCGGACTCTGGCGATAACCCCACTGCGGGCGGTTCTGGAGATGTCACCTGGGGCTTAACGCAGCTACTTGCGCGTCCGGAGTTCAAGTCTGAATCAGGCCCGAAGGTCATCTACGCCAGCGTACCAGGACCTGATGCGGTCCAAAAAGCAGTCGACGCGGGCATCGGAGCAATAGTGACAGTGACAGCCGGTGCAGAAGTAGATAACATCCACGCTGGACCGATAACCATGACAGGCCGGGTGCACTCAATAAAGCATGGAGACAGACACGCAGAGACCGAAGTGGTTCTGCAAGTGGGCAGCGTCTTCGCGATCTTGACGAAACTGCGCAAGCCGTACCACCACGAGAGCGACTTCACAGAACTTGATCTTAAGCCTCGTTCTACAGATATTGTCATCGTGAAGATCGGCTATCTAGAACCGGAGCTGTACGATATGGCCAAGGACTGGATGCTGGGTCTTACGCCTGGTGGCGTCGACCAAGACCTCGAAAGATTGGGACACAAACGGATTTTACGTCCAATGTGGCCGTTCGACCGTTCATTTAAAGAACCAGATCTTTCTGCGAGATTGATTTCCATGTCTAATGAGCCAATATAGACCAATATGACTATCAACCGTGACGTAAGATGCATGATGAAATGTTACCGATTTTGAGTTGTTCATCTTCTACGTAAAATTACTTAGAATTTACAAGATCAGGAAGTACAGCACAAGTATCACGTATTTAGTGGCTGGTCAGTTAGCGTACTAGCTTTGATGTCATCCAATGATTCACTTAGCCGCTTCGTGTTCTCCTTCAGGCACGAGCATGCCATGCAGTCCTTTGTATGGGGCTGGCTCGGCGGGCTTCCACCCGCTTTTCTGCAGGAAGTCTGCATCCGCGAGCTTGAAGACTTCGACTTTGAGCGGTCGACAGCACTTAATCATCTCCTTCTCGCTATCAGCGCCGAACCCCCATAGCGACAGGTCGCCCCCCGGACACGTGCCTTCATGACGTTAGTAACGGCATAATCGTATGAGTAATAAGGGTATATATGACGAGAACTATGCATACTCAAAGCCATTAACACATCCTGCTCAGCCAGGAACTCGATGTAATCTCCCTTCTGCGCCGGACACGGGTTCATAAAGTAACGGCCCTGCTCGTCGAGCCCGGTGACCTGGAAAATATTAATGACGTCGTGGACGTCGCTCTCGCTGAGGCCGAAGGGCAGGACGGCCCGCGTGAGGTTGGAGTGGCAGTGGAAGTCGTACCCCTTGCCGGCGAGCACGCTGGATATGTACCCGTCGCAGCGCGTGCCCAGCAGATCGTGGACGCGGCCGCCGTGCTCGTCGACGCCGTACCACGACAGGCTGTCGTCGACGATGGTCACGAGCGGGCGCATGTAAGGCAGGCACGACCACAGCTTGTCGTGCGTCGACACGTGCGACGAGTACAGCTGCTTCGTGCGCGCCGCCCAGAACCGCTCGCGCGGGTTGTGCGCGTTCCAGATATTCAGGTCGCCTAAGTAAGGGTGTCTTTTTTTAGTAAACTTTGTTTGCTTCGAATTCATGCATGGATAATTAATAAGAGCGAAAAACTGCGCTTGCTCTTCTCTATTATTCGCACGTACCGACCTGCGGGCCCTCGGGGGTGCTGATCCGGATGATGGACCCGGCAGGCGCCTTCCACGCTCTCCCAGATCTGATAGGGATCACGAACTCTTCGATCGTAGTTCGCGGTGCCGTCGCGATCGAAGTATATAAGTCCTTGTCAACCGTTAACGGCGACCCAGTTACAGGGAGATAGGCCGGTTTCGGCTTCGGGATTGGCCTTCGAGCCTTTAGGCGTGCCTCGGCTTCCTCCTTGTCCAGGGGCATTATATAGGTACAACCTCTTTAAAAAGTGATGATATTTAAGCTGAGTAATAAGACTACCAGTATAGACTCCCTGGAAGCTTCGTTCAAGAATATAGATGTATGAATTTGTTCTAAAGCACGACGATAATGCTCTCTATTGTGATTTATATCGCGCCGCGCTTACGGAGCAATGTGGAGTACTGTATCGTTAGAAGCGGGCGAACTAGTCGAGACTTAGGACGGGACCCCCTTTATACCTATCTCATCGGATATCTCCTACATACAGTTCTAGTGAACTTATTATCCAATAGTCATTTGTCAGTCTCGTCCAGATAATGTCTATGATAAAAGACGTCTATCCTTTGCGAAATCATCGTCGTGGTTTCTTTCCTCAAGATAATCGTGTACTGGATGTTCGTGAGAGTATTGAAGGGTGGTCTCACTACAATGAATCAACGCCTTCATTATTTGAGAACCACTATGTAGATGACATCCCATCTTTATGCAATTCTCTCGACCTCCTCATAAACAAGATCCTTCCTTTATCCGAGTACTACATACAGCCCCAACCGTCCTATACCGAAGACACGCATCTATAATTGCTGGTCAAATTATACACAATTAGAAAAAGGGTCGTAAATATTCATGACATCGTCCAATCCGCATCCGGACCTCCAGGATACCATGCGCATTCACGTCGGAAATAAGTGAAAGCTCTGTCATGCTGATCAGCTTTCACATACGTGCGCCCACGAGCCCTAGGCCCACTCCGGCAATGACGCCAGCCATACAAGCGGCAGTAGGCCGTGGTGCTTGATTCCCAACGACAAATCCGCCTGTCGAGCCGGCTGATGCGCATTGGGATGTCTGCAGGTTATAGCAAGCCTCAGATGACAAGCTGGAGCAGACTGACGTCGCTGTTGCCGAAGGGAGTGCGGTGCCTTGAGTTGCCGCGATTGTTGTTCCACCTCCTCCCGGAACCACAATAGTGACCCCGTAGGTCCCACCGCCTGAGCCTGCCAAGTCCGATATGCAGGCCTGGTAATTGCTCGAACATTGATTAAGAGCCGATGTGCATGCGACCGAATTGGCAAATGATGTTGGTATGTATGGAAATGTGAAATACGTGTTGCTCACGTAGGAGACGGGAGTTGTTGTACCAGTAGGTGCTACTCCGGTACATGTTGCTCTATAATTAAACGTAAGTTTCAAGTTATATCATGGGAATATTTTCTTATCTTAAGGCAACTCACGTCGTAGGACAGCAGGCTGCTGAGCTATGCGCATCTAGGGAGCATAATTGACCATTCTCACAGCAGGTGCCCGCGAAAGCAGCACCTCGATCTTCGCAACTGAAATAGTTGGCAGGACAAGTGAGGTCTCTCTCGAAGATAGCTGGAGAGCTAAAATGCTGGACTGCGCTGAACCCGAGTGTGCTGGCGATGGGTTCGGCAAGGGCAAAGGTCGTCGCAGCTATGGAAGAGAGCGCAACATATGGATAAGGCGTTAACCGCATCTTCTATCCAGGGTATTTTCGAGCATCAAGGTAGTCGGTCACCTCCGCGCTTGGCGGTGACAGAGGTTATAGCAAAGGATATAGGATATAAAGAGGCCGAGCAAAGTCAACGAAGAGTTTTTTTTGGGTATCTAAATCGGGTATGTCGGTATTCCAATTCACCGCTCGCGATGTTGCAGACACGAGGTGGGGAGTGGCTTGTTGGCTGGCAGCACGTTACTGGTCTTCTCAGTTTTAGGTACGTATAAGTATAAGGGTTCAGCGCCTAAGTTGGATTGGTAATATTCAAGATAGAATCGAATGTTGAAGTTGTTCATGTCAAGTCGTAAGTGGCTTTGAAAATTAGAAATTGGAAGGTTAAGAATTGTGTACGTACAACAATATGTACAATAGATAAACTTATCTCCACAGGCAAATAGGAAGGAGCAAATCAGCAGGTTTTGGGAAGGTCCAGACTGAACACACTGCAGTGAGGTGATGTCAAATTGTTTTAGCAAGCGGTTGTTCGCCCAGCAACCATCTGGATCGCCGGAGGTACTCGACCGATGTGGGGGGAGGGGTCGAGATCCCTGTAGGTACCTTGTACCGTGCACATGGCACATGCACCGCTGACAACCTTAGAACCTTTTGATTTGCACGGTACTAGGTACATAGTATGCATTGTTCAATCTCAATATTGAGACCTCGATCTTTGTTTGTCGAGAATCCCAATTGTTAATTGTTCATATGTCATTTTCAATTACTAAATCTCGAAGATTGAAACTTGATGAATCGTAAAATGTGTACGGTCTATGTGTTTTGTCTCAGGACTCTTATAAACGCCTAGACATCTCTATTTGAATAAGACATAGTATGCAATGATTTTGACACTGTCTGTCTCCAGATTTTCAAAGCTCAATCCGCAATCTTATGTTCTTAGATCACACATGCGATCGAACGAAAATCAATAATAGAAAATAATTTCCCGATCTCTTCACCCGCAACCGACGTTAATCGAGATTAAGGAATGGTGAGGAAGAATATAAATCACATTCGATGAGTTCTTTCGGTAGCCCAGGTTCAGGTCCTTACGCCGGAAAGCCAATCCCGTATGTCTCCTATCTAATACAATCCTTTTCGAAAGAGTGAGAGAACTCATTCGCACCTAGGCCACAGCGCGGTAGCTTCCCCTTAGATCATGATGGTCGGTGAACCCCAATTATTCACTGTCGCATTGTCACTTGCTGATGTCACGTCTTTAGGCGAATGCAAGGCTGTCATGACAAAGTATCTCTCATGTATTAGGAAAGTCAAGGGCATGAATGACGAGGAGTGTCGTAGCCTCGCCAAGTCTTATCTGTCGTGCCGTATGGATCGGTAAGCACCTGCTTCTAATCCAAGATTTACCGAACTCTTCTCATTGCGTAGGAATCTCATGGCGAAGGACGACTTTAAGAACTTGGGCTTTGCGGACCCGGATCCGCCGTCCAATTCGGAGTCTCAGGGGCGGTAGTATGGTACCAATCGCCTTCAACCTGAAAACGCCAAAAATATTCCATTACCCGAATATCGGCTCTGAGTAGATAGTAAGCTGCTCTCCAGCATACTGATTACTATTACTATATCAGTCACGGTCTTAGTAGGGGGTATTGATGGACACTATGAGCTCTTAACTCCAAGGACCAACCCAATTTCCTCCTATCATACACCGGAGAAAACGGCTATAAAGCCCAGACGAAGTTTGATATGGTCGGGTATATATATTGTACATCACCAGATGGTAAATATATTCAACGTTCCTGTTCCCATGTACATACTTGAAGCCACCATACTTGAAGTACCTAGGTAGTTATTAGTACAGTAAACGAAACAGTGGACTCGAAACCACACATAGGTAACTACCTAGGTAAACTATACATCTGTATGTACCTACACACTTTAGTCAGACGTCGCCGTTTTTACCAGACTTCTACCTTTCATACCTACCTTCTTCATGATCTGATTACACATACGAAACCAATTGACTATATCCGACTTATTCCCAAATCCGGTTAAAGTTGGAGCTTACCAGAACTCCGGGTCCGGAGCAGGGTCGATGGAGAACCGGTTAAGACGATCCATTCGGCTTATGAAGAACCGAAGCTTTGACATGCTTTCAGATATTTCAGCATTTTTCGTCACGTATACTCATTAGAAAACATGCCATATAGCACCCTCAGGACCCGGCCTTTGAGGTATCTTTCTACTGTCTCCTCTCAAAGTCTCGGTTCAGCCCGTTTAACACGGATTCTCCCGCAGAGTCGCCGGTATTCGAGCAACGATGCAGCCTACGACGCAACTCTGAGCAACCTCAAAATAGGTGGCCATACCAGGATTATCTTCCAAGGGTTTACAGGTTCATCTCGCTCTTACCCCCCATAGTAGTCAACAGTTTCTCACATTGTAAGTTTAGGGAGGCAAGCCACCGCAAATGCTCGTGAATCTATAGCATGGGGCACCAAAATAGTCGGGGGCGTGACACCGGGTCGAGACGGAGAACACTTAGGCTTGCCAGTCTATCCTACAGTCCGCGGTGTATGGAAATTCCAGTCTAGTCTAATTTCAAAGAGTAAACTAGAGTTGACAGAAATCCATCCCTCTAGGCTGTAGATGAACTTAAACCAGATGCAACGGCCGTCTACGTAGCCGCAAAAGATGCTGTCAACGCCATCGAGGAGGCCATCAAAGCCGAAGTACCACTCATCGTTGCCGTGGCCGAACATATACCTGTTCATGATATGCTTCGGGCAAGTATTTCGTTTTCATAACCACATACTAACACATACACGAGAAATATGAAGTTATATGATTCTAATTCAATCTAGATTATGTCCATGTTAAAAACACAAAGCGTATGTCGATTAGTTGGCGCCAACTCACCTGGCATCATCTCGGTCACTGGAAAATGCAGAATTGGTTAGTGAATATTGTTATTGTGCTCAACTATGCATAACCCATAACTCAGAATACTCCTTATAGGTTTCCAACCACTACCGTGTTTTAAACCAGGACGAGTAGGAATTGTGGCAAGATCAGGGACGTTGAGCTATGAGGGTAGGTCTACCATTATTTTCATGATTCTATGCATCGAGCTCTAACCCTCCTTGCCAGCCGCTGCCTCCACCTTTAGATCCGGGCTGGGCCAGAGTATGTGTATAGGCGTCGGTGGTGATATTGTACCAGGAACGACTTTAAAGGAAGGTTTACAGATCCTCATCGAAGATAAGGACACAGATGCCATTGCATTAATAGGAGAAATTGGAGGGGATGCTGAGCTCGACGCTGCTGACTTGGTTAGGAGACACCTAAAACAGTCTGCAAATCCGAAGTGAGTATCCGTGGACCTTCTATCATAGCATCGATATTGACAAGGATGCCTTCGGCAGACCAGTTGCAGCCCTCGTTGGAGGAGTCAACGCTCCCTCGGGACGAATCATGGGCCATTCTGGAGCATTTTCTCTCCCTGGTGACCCATCAGCTCGAACCAAAATTGATGCCTTGAAGGCAGCTGGAGCAGTCATAGTGAATCACCCTTCCAGATTCGGGCCAGTATTAAAATCTATTCTAGATAGCACAACAACCGCTGGTGCTGGTGCCACTCCAGGCCAGGGCCCTCAGCGAAGAGAAATGCACACCTTAGCTCGTCGACCTACTTTAACCCGACACACATCATGCCAAGAGCTCGAATTTCAAAGGCGGAGTATATACCTACCCCAGGAAGCTTGCTTGGCGTATCTGCGCGAGCGCGAAATCCCCATCTCTTATGGAGTTGATCCGGATTCCCAGAAGATGCTCGCAATAACCATCAACAGATCGACCAGAAGGCCTTGTGTGATCGCCTCCCCGACAAGACACATATCCGACGTAAGAAAATTTGACTTTACCTATGGCCTCCCAAAAGCAGATGACATGCCACTGGAAGGTATAGTCAGGCACCTCCAACTTGACCCAAAGTCCGGCGATTCCTTGAGATCCCTGATAGACGAACTCATAATGCTTTTCATAGGCAAGGAATTCTTCCTCGTACAAACCTGGATCACCGAAGCTCCTCGCGCCAGTAAGAAGATCCTGGTCACAGGGGCGCACTACGGTTTTGATACCGCTTCGGCCAAAAGTTGTGGGCGGCACATGGATGTCCTAGAGCTTCGCAATACAAGCGCCGAAGACCCGGACGAACTTGCCGCTGAGAAGGAGGGGATTGTGTATATCAAGCTTAAGGACGGTAATATCGGCACTCTAGTTAACGGTGCGGGGTTGGCTATGAACACAGTGGACGCGCTGGCCGAGGTAGGAGGCCGCGCGGCGAATTTCTTGGATACGGGTGGAAAGGCGACGAGTTTAACGGTGAAGAAGAGCTTTGAGTTCATATTAAAGGACTCAAGAGTCAAGGTACCTTTTCCCCTTCCCCCCTTCTAGACACATACTTTATCAAGATGTAAAGCTTACAATCCACTCTCCATCGTAGTGTATATTCGTCAACATCTTTGGCGGTCTGACACGCGGCGATATGATCGCGGAAGGTGTGATCATGGCGTTTAAGGAGTTGAAGATGAAGGTGCCGGTTGTGGTGCGAATCCGTGGAACGAATGAGAAGGAAGGACAAGATATCATCGCCCAGAGCGGGTTGCCGTTGTTCGCTTTTGACGATTTTGATGAGGCTGCTGCTAAGGCTGTCGAGTTGACTCAAGGTGATATTGTCAACTCATAGACAAGGCATAGATTCATCTAGTACTACGATAGAGTACATGCGAATTCGTACTGATACACATGTTTATACAGCCCAATATTGCTGTAAATTTTGTTTCCCTACCTGTCTATACCATGAATAATGCCGTATTTTAGCTTTGAACGCTTACAATTTTCTTAAACCCGTTCTATGACCCAAAGGCCCTTAACGATTGAAAATGGCCTTCGAGAAGGTTGAGACCTCGGGTCACTATTATGCGACTGAGTTTCCAAAGCCGACGACAAGACGCCCTCATCACGGATGGCAAGCTCGCGCTCTTCTTTTTCAAGACGGACTTGTTCTAGTTCCCAGACTTTCCAAGCTCTGAGAGCCCAGCCTATTTCGAAAGCGTTAGCCAATTGGAATCACAGATCGAGTTATAGGTAGACATGTATCAAGCAAGTTTTGATATATCTCTTTATGGTATATCTTTATGATGTAACTTTACGACTTATCCCTAGGTATGAGCAGGTTGTGGAGCGGTGAGACCTACCGAATATAAATGCGCCTATGTAGAAAAATGCGGTGAGGAGCTGGACGCGGATGTAACCCCCTTCTCCTGGCCGCCTTAGGCTTACAGCGATAACCTCAGCGAACGTTGCCGGTAATACGAGCACAAGCCACGTCATTGATAGTGCTATGCAGTAGTTAGTATGTCGTAGTTAGGAGAAATCGTTGCTAGCAGCATTATGAAGATGCCGGGCCGTAAGAACTAAGGAGAGGATAGGTAAGGGGCGATGCTAAAAGCAAATTTCAGAACCGACCTGACGGGATAAGAGCAAGCCCAACAACTTCGGCGGATATAGGAGCAACAGTGGCCCACATCACGCCAGCAACGCTACCACTAAGGAGGGCAAACACTATGCAGCCAGCAAAGGTTTTGGTGCCAAATATCCAGAAGAACAAGCAGAGGAGCCCGCAGAACAATGTACTGAGATTCGCGATATTCAAACGGCCGACGGAGTCACTTGAAAGTCCTATGAGTGGTCTTCCGAGTCCCTGGGACACTATATCACATAGGTAGTTAGCCTCATTCACCGGCGATAGTAGTAAGGTAGGGTACCCACAGTTAAACAATGCCCCTACTAAAGAGGCTTGAGAAGCCGTCAAGCCAACCGACTGGGAATAATCGACGATGCTGAAGACAAGTATGACGTATGCAATGAGCGATAGTACCATCCAAGCCTGCATTAAGAGGAAGGACGGCCTCTTGAACAGTTTCCAGTCAAAGGCTACATGAACAGAGCCGATAGCTGCATTCCGATCCCGGATAAGGTAGGCGGCGACACTGTTTACTACGAAACAGATGATAGCTATAATGCGGAACGCCCATGGAAGGCTAATATTAGAGATCATCGCATTGGTCGCCAGCGAGTAGCATAGGCCACCAAAGCCGGACCCGGAAGCGGCAATGGAGTTGGCGAACGACCGACGTTTTACAAACCATTGAGGAGGGACAGATGCGGAGGCGACAAAGCAGAGGCCCATGCCCAAGCCGAAGCTCACTCCCTGGCTCAAGACCAAGTGCCATAACTTTGATGCGAAAGAGGAGCCGATGAACCCAATTCTGTAAGAGGTCAGCATGTGAACCGCGTGGATAGTTTGGAGATGGTCCTACGTCTCAAATATAACCCCAAGAAATATAGTTCGTCGCGTGCCGCATCGCTTCCATCCCACCAGAGAAGTGGCCAGCGGGGAAGCAAGAAGGGCTGTGACGCTGTTAGTAAGACATAGCAATACCCTATATACTGAGAGGAATATATAGGTACCTATGGAGATAGATAATCCGCCAACGAAGGCATATCCGAGCTCGCTAGCTCCAAATGTGCCTGTTCTAAGGTAATAAGCGAGGAACACAGCATAACTCTAGGGGTGGCATAGAACGATTAGAAAATTTTGATATTGACTTGTCTTAGACAACGTTGGAACTTGCTTACCGAGTTGAGTCCCCAGGTATGAGCATTGAGTATGAAAACACCGAAAATCACAACCCTAAGAGGACACTAGTTAGCATCGGCCACATTTTAAAGTCAGATCTTTCAAGATTGATCGCCGAGTAACTAACCAGCCATAGCCGCCTTCCTTAAACTCGTCCTGCGACTGAGCATTGTATTGAGGTTGAGAAGCGATTTCATTGGGTGCGTCATTACCATTCTCGATGTTCTCTTGTCCTCTATTGGATACCGTCATGGCGACTAGAGATAATTCAAGGCGGCGAGTGGTAAATCAAGGGAAAATCGAACTAGGTAGATTATTGGTTCATAAGATTCACATTGCCGAAAACAAAGAAGGCTACTATTCATATATGACATCAAGAAACTGAGCTTAGATTTACGTTTAGACACATGTATTATAACCCTCTGAAAATATCTGTATGCTCACTCATTATGTAAAAATCAACCGGGAATAACAATCCCTCGGTAATAATTTGCACTACCATAAAAGACCTAGTAAATCTCTAGGTAAGCCAATTTGCTCTGCTAGCAAAGACCGATCGCCACATATGCCCGATACCGACTCCCGCGGGAACCGCCCCACGGGGTTTGCGGTTTAGTAAGGCAATTGGTGATGCTTGAAGCTATCACCTGCGTATGTGTAACTGGCATCTCCGTGTCCGGAGAGGGCGTCACCTATCGCATTCGCCAACAATAATATGAGATAAGAGGGAAATATCGAACGTAAGGGGTATTAGGGATTAGTATGTGTTAGTATCGGAGAGATGTCTCACTCAAGCGTTGGTCTCCGTCATATAATGACCCCAGAGAATAGCGATCGCTTATCGGTGGTCATGGCCTGACGGTGAAGTAGTCAATCTAACTCGGAAAATCGGCCGGAGCAAAAATCTTTTATGACCGATCCATCTCTGATACTGTCTTGGCGTGAAGAAACAAAGGCCCCTGCTGTGCCGCCCGGTCCATGGTGCGGTGAGTCACCGTCAAGAGTTAAAGAAAAAGGCTACCCCCCAAAACTCCTGAGCCGGTATCCAGAGAATTACATCCGCAAGTATCTCGGTGAGATTACTGTGTAAATAGTGTGGCCGTTGGGTTATTATTCTGCAATTGACACTGTTACTTGAATACACGTAAGACCGGAAAAGAAGTGGAAATATGAGAACACAACGTGCGAGGCCTCTGTTTTAGAATTCTGATCAAAGACTTGTGACGACTAGAATGAATTGATGTTAGGGTGATACTATGTAGAACAGTGCTTCTCGACATAGAGGACCCTCTTCTATTTATGTCTGGCAAAGAAACCTTATGGATCTTGTTTCTCAAGATTGGATTGGCCATTAAAGAGGATGGTTTTTTAGGAAATATCCATTCTGAAAGATCGACAGTTGAATAGAACTGGTAGAGTTGAAGGGAGGCTCATAAGCACGTGCTCGACGGTATCTGTATGCTGCATTGAATCTCATTTAATAAACCTGGCGTCGCATCCATTTAAATAGGTTCATGGTAGGACTGGCGAACGGCTCGATTTGAAGGATATAGACGGTGTCGGATTGGTTCTCGTATATGTAGGGTATATGCCGTAGTGGAGTATGGATGAGTACAGACCTGGAAGTTCTAGGTCAATGGTTAAGTTAAAGTGGAACCGTCCGCTGCAGGAAGCTTCTAGCTTTACCCAAAGCCAGCTGGCGGAGTGGGGAATTGAAAACCCGGGCCTGCCAGTTGTCCTACCCTATTTGTTGTTCCTGCCCTGTCCACCCAACCGGCTGCCCTAGCAACGCATTAGCAACGCACGGAAACTGCGAGTGAAAACATTGGTAGCATTGAACCCCGGAAAGCACCACACAAAATTCTCCATTCCTCAATTGGGTCTTCTGGGAAACTGCTAGGTACCCGACCGAATAAAGGAACTCGGGTGGACACATCATCATGCGTTATGACTTTATCTGTAAAACATACTTCTTAATCCATAACAGTCCATAATAAATACCCTCTCTTTCCCTAGCAACCTTCCGGCAGCTAAGAAGTTTGTAAGTAAACAGCAATTAATCATCATCACATCGCATCACAATCCAAATAAACCAAGTATCACTTACTTGATCCTACAAACCAAGCTGTCGCTGACCCAATCAACAACCTCTGCCAGCAGCAAATTGAGGAACTGATCACAATTCAAGCGCACCCTTAGTCAGTGTGTATATTTACATATTCCGACTTCGCAACTCGCAACAATGCCGAGGGCCAAGTCAAAAGAAAGGTCTTCGACCAGAAAAGTGACGCCGCCGTCACCTACCTATATGAACAACGATCAGTTTGGTGAGTATCATTATATGATCCGTGTTTGTAGGTCAATGCACAGGCACTGACAATTTCCATAGCCGCTTACCTAGCAAATCTCCGAGATAATCGCGTCACTCGACCAGGAGGAGCACGTCCGCTACCACAACCGACCCTACCACGCCACGATTCCACAGCTCGCCTTGCTACAGAACGAGTCACTGCCGGTCGCCCGTCTCTTGGAAGCACATCTCTCTTATCCGAAGCCTCTAGCAACCACATGAGAGCACAATCAGATAGCCCCAGACCTCGTGGTAGCCGCCCAAGTTTCGCCCCTAGCATAGTCTCTCGCGCGTCGAGGTATTCTACGCTAACCTCCGCAACTGGGAGAGATTACTACCCCGAGAACCCTGCCACTGCCCCTCCTCCACTTAAGCCTGGCGAGGTTGTCCCCAGTGCCACCTACATGGAGCGCGGACAACGATGGATGGAAAAGGAAGAGGCCGTCTCGATTCGCGATGCAATGGATGTTATGGATGCTATGGAGACTTTGAAACTCCATGAACAGGACAAGGGAAAGCAACCAGCCGGCGAACAAGACGATGAAGAATCACGACTCTACAACGCTGCTCTAGACGAGGCCGCTGAATTGGTTTGGCAGCATCAACACGGTGTAAAGCCACCGGAGCCTGGTGCTCCGTACCGATACAAGCCACACCTGCGAAAGGATAGCTATGCCCATGCTCGTACCGCTAGCAGCGGACGATATGGCAGTGAGATCGGCGCCACGGGCCTCGCAAGGGACTCTATTCGATCCTTCTCTGGAAGCTCCTCTAGTAGCGAAAGAGCACCCTCGCCAGAGAGTGCCCGCAATAGTATGGATCAGCAGCGGACCTATTCTATGGGATCGCAGAAGTCAAAGTCGTATGGTTCGATTGGTAGTGCTGCACGGTCAAGCTCTGGCGGCCGTCGCCTCAGCAGCCTGAAGCGCAACATCAGCGGAGAGATCGAGAAACCGTTCTCAGGCGATCAAATCTGGGAAGAACCAGAGAGTACGACACCAGAACGCAATCCAAGGCAGCCTCGTCTGCCTGAAAAGACACAACCTCTGGGACTTAAGTCAAGAGGCGTTCCCAACAGAGTTCAGTTTGCTCCTACGCCTACTTCTGGTTCCGTTTCTCCTGAACCATCGGAACCGGCCAAGCCCATATCCAGATTTGAGATTCATAAGAATCCTCCATCGCAGTCTCGCAACCCTGCCTACACGACAAATAGCCTTTCCAACTCGCCAAGATCTTCTCAGGAGAGCATCCCTAAGAAGAATGGCATGGAGATCCGTAGTGATGATATTAAGCAAGCCACAAGCATGCGGCTCAAGGACCGCAGCGCAAAACTCCCCACTCCGTCGGCCGTCAGTGACAGCCCCGGACGTCCAATCGTAAGCTTTGACAAAAACTGGAAGCCCCCGGAGAAAGAGGCGACTGATTCAAAGTTAGAAGAGTCCAAGCCCAGCGCCATCAGCCAACGCCGAGTCGGACCCTTCGGGGTCGTCGGAAAAGAGCGTGCGGGTTCACAAAGTCCGCAGCCGTCTGTCCCTGCTATCGCAGTTACGGAGGCTGCTGAGGCCTCGAAGCCGTCCCCAGCTTCACGGCCTTCTACCCGCACGCCGTCCGTCCCAAGTATTCAGGTAGATGGGGCGGACGACGGCCCTAAGGTGCCGGTCATTTCCGTCTCGGGCGATGGTCCAGCTGTACCGAAAATCATGCTACCCGATGATGACAGTAGCAGCAGCAAGGCACCTGGCGTCCCGACTATAGTTACTCCCGACGACAACCGAAAACCCTCAGCTAGACCGTTACCGGACCCCAAAGCGTCCAACAACGCCCGAGGACGCCCTCGAAGTCATTGGTCCCCAGCCCCAGGAGTAGTTGGTCGTCGTGCGTCGGCGATTTGCCACGAATGCGGGCTCCCCATCGAAGGCCGCTTTGTCGCTCTAGCCGGAAACTCAGAGCGGTTTCACCCGCAATGTTTCCGGTGCTACGCGTGTGGAACGGCGCTCGAGGCGCTCGAGATCAGCCCAGAGCCGGATAACTTCCGGAACGAGCGGCTTGATCGTATCCGCCGCAGAGCTGCGGGCGAGATCCTAGATGAGGAACCGGGGCAGACGATGGCGGAAGACGGAGACGAGCGATTGCGATTCTACTGCCACCTCGACTGGCACGAGTTGTTCGCACCACGGTGCAAGCACTGCAAGACCCCGATTCTGGGTGAGCATGTGGTAGCGCTAGGCGCGCACTGGCACTACGGACACTTCTTCTGCGCGGAGTGCGGCGACCCTTTCGAGCAAGGGGCGACGCACATCGAGAAAGACGGGTATGCGTGGTGCATCAACTGCCAGACGAAACGGACGGAGCGTCGGGCGCCAAAGTGTAAGGGCTGCCGCACGGCGGTCATCGGCCAGTACGTGAGAGCCCTCGGCGGCGAGTGGCACGAGGAGTGCTTCCGCTGCGCGACGTGCGGAGGAGGTTTCGACGACGGACAGATCTTCCCGATGAAGGATCGCGGCGACATGGTGGTGCTGTGCACCGCGTGCCGCTCCGCGGAACTCAAGATGTGATTACGACTTTACGAGAGTATGATGGACGGGTCCACGGATTGAATTGAAGAGTGCAAGTGCAAATGATGATAAGACCCCATGGATTCAGAATCATACGACGTCTGCTGCTTCTGCTTCTGCTTTTGCTTTTCGGGATTGATTTTAATGGGTTTGCGTTTGAGGACAAGGTCAAGGTCAAGGCTGATAAGACAAAGTAATGCTTCGGGGCGAGAATGTCGGATTTTGCTTTTTCACAAATCGTTTGGTGGCGTTCGCGTTTATGTGTTTCTTGTTCGGAGTTTGGCAAAGCAAGCAAAGCAAAAATGAAGCAGACAAGCAGGCAGGCAAGCATGGCAGGCAGAGCAAACAGTTCAGTTCGGAATACAGAGATTTGCGCGGTCTGATGATTTGATCTATTACAATGGCCTCCTCCCTAGATTCGTATATTGCGTGCTGTACTTTGTTGATGCGTTGTGATGTGATCCGTATACCATCATTGACCTTTTCAGCCAGATTTTAGGCATCCAACGTACTCCCTATCTCCTATCTCGCCTCACAGCCTACACGTGAGACCTATGGAATTTGTGCCTATTTGATAAATGAGTTTTGTGAAATTCCGAAGGGAGAGCCATAGAACTATCTATGAGTCGGTGCCAATGTCAGCGCCTTGGATTATAGAACATGTGGTAGGCGTAGAATTGCAACGACTTGACCTATCCCACTCTCACCTTAGGAGGCCGTAAATTTTAATAGGACGAGCAGGTAATAATGAAAGACAATCTCAGGAACGATCAATGGGCTATTAACGACTTGGTAAGGTAGCACGAAACCGACGATGCGGGAAAAAAATACAATAATATAATAGTTATGCTGTGGCAATGATAAAGGCAGAGCTCTCTCTCGTTTGAGATTCAGCCGCCCCGTTTCTTGATTGATGGGATGAAAAAGTTACTTCTGAAAGATTTTGCAAAAGCAGGAATCTAGATGACAGATGCCTCCTTAACCCCTACCTCGGGTTAGGGAGAGGAGAAATGACGACGAAGGGCCTGTGAACGAACTTCCTCGTTTTTTAGGTTCCCGAGACGATAAGAGAAAGTGTGAGAGAGAGGGATCATCCACGGGCCCTTGTTGCTTTTCCACCGTCATCTATTTTCACTCAAGGTATATCACGAACCCCTACTCCGTTCCCCCAAGTCCGGAATCCATGTACGATTCAACGTCGTTGTTGACACTGATTCTGCTAGCCCTGAACGAGGCTGGTGGTGTTAACGGCGGCACGCGCCTCCGACCTGCTCCTGATGGACTTCTAGGGTGTCGCCATCCGCCATCTCCAGCTACGAAGACGATAAATTATCGTGGTTAGCAACGGTAAAGTTCTACTGAGATGCTAGAGATGCTTCAATGGTGCGGTATAGAGCTACAAGTAAACAACTTACCGAGTCAGGCGTATCGCTCTTCTGCACTCGCTGTCCCTCGAACAGGAAACGGACGGCTTCGACGCTCTTGCCTTGGCGCTCGCAGAAGGCTGTCATCAGCTTCTCGAGCTTGGTGGATCGCTTGATCTTGAAGAAGACCTCGTTGTTGTTGTCGGTCACCTTAATGTTGAGGTGCTCGCTGCCGCCGGCGGGGGCATCCTGGCGCTCAGCCGCAGGGCTTCCGCTGTCGTTTTCTCCGGACATCTTGGACGTGGGGGTTTGCGTGCAGGTGTTGGGAATGTTGCAGGGTTTTCTAGTGGTCTCGTAGTCTTGACAAGAAGCTTGGTTTGCTGCCTATTTGTCGGGGTCGCCAAAGGGGCGTTATATGTTAGTTTGGGGGCCTTGCGAGCGTGTGGGAAGAGGCAAGAGGTTGGGACCTCTATTGGTGTGAATTGCACGGCGGCGGTGGGATTATATACTCACAAGTCAGGGTAGACAGAGGATAAAGATCGCTTAATAACTAGAGCAAGCCTCTGGATATGTCGAGGTATGAATGACCAAGTATGTTCAGCGCGATTATGGCAAGCGTTTTGGGAGTGTGGGAAGAAAAGGATGGCAAAATGTGGCTTAGAAGAAGAGAAATTAGAAAAGTGATGCGATTGCGGTGGTGAAGTTTAGAATCGATTTAGAATCAACGCGAAGGCTACGGGCCCTACGTGAGGCGCCCTCCAAAGTGGGAAACAGCGTCCGCAACCACGCTAGATGCGGGGCAGGTACTTTTACACCAACAAATACTTCCTGCGGGTCATACTTTACTTGCCTTATCCATGTACATCTATGTTTCTTTGGTAAGAGCACAACCTTAATTCCAGGCAGAGCATGTTAATTGTTTCTATGATGCTGGCGTTTCAACGGTTTCTTTCTTTTTATTAACCCATTGTCGTCAGTGAATCTACCTGCTCATGTGTAATAAGTGATGCGTGGATTTGAGATTTCTGAGCTGGAATGATCATCTTGTCCTCCTGCTACAGACGCCGTGTAATTAACTCTTATCTCCGGTTAGTCCTATCCATTTGCCTTACCAGGTCACAATTTGTCAATTTGATAAACAGGTACCTGGTATTTTAGCCTAGACTCTTAGGGATACATATGCATGTATCCTGTATGTAGTTGCATACCATTACACAGCTGGCAATGATCACCTCCAGCTGATGAATGAATGAATACCTAGGCGCCGTATCCTCTGATATCTACTAAGTATTCACTATAACTAGCGGCTTGAGATGTAGCAAAGATTTATACGAAACTTAATCTTGAATCTCATTGAATCTATCTAGATAGCATGTGACTAGCCGAATTCATACATTGTAAGACCCTATGAAGTTAGTTGACATTTTGTCGACGTCATATTTATTAGATCGATGGGAGAGGATCTCTTGGCCATTTGAAAACTGAAACGCACCTAAATAGTTTATCACAGCTCACTAAAGACTTCGGACTATTTGGACTTTCAGCCTATAGATATTTAGTTGCGCTTCCAAGGGTTGACTATCAGCTCTAAGATTTAAGAGGAAATTCAACGTGATACAAAAATACAAAATGGTATGTTCGATTGCTTCCTATGAACAACACTCTAAATTAACAAGAGCATAGGGGTTGGAAGAAGATCTTGAGTCAAAGCCTCCTTGCCATCCTCGCGCCGTGAGTCTCGAAAATACCTATATTAAACTTAGTTGAACAAAACTTGATGTACACGCGGCTAATACAGATCTCTTGAAAGTGTGCTATTCAAGGTACGTAGACTTGGTACTCGTACTCTGCCTCATCTAACATGAACAGACTGCCTTACAAAGAATAATTACAACGAAGCAAAGTGCTCAGGTTTTATCGACGCCCTATACGAATGTTGCGATGCCTTCTATCGGAAGCACGGAGATAATGCAACGAGCGCCAGTTGTCCAAAGGCCAGCCTTCTTCGATTGAAACTGAAGCAAAGACAGGACGAGATGGAGAGTTAAACAGCCATAGTTTTACAAGGGTGTAATTTATATAAATGCTATCACAAATCATTATTGAGTGGTTTGGCATACCTGAAGGTACCTAGGTAGCATGTTCGACATCTCCTTATATGCGTCAACCTAGACAGGAAGCTAGGCAACATTTACGAAGAGTAGAAATCGTTCTGGGCGATCATTGAGCGCGCAAGAGGCCCTTGAAGGACCTGGATAAGCATTGAAAGCAATGGTTGGCTTATCCCGAGACTCTAATATGAATGCCGATGACATTATGGAGAGAACAGAAGAAGAAAAAAATAGAAAATTTTTAGACAGAAACTCTTGCCTTTGTACTGTCCCACTATAGCCACTGAGGCTGGTTTTATGAGGCTGATGCCTTTTTTCTGATTAGCCCAATTTTAAGGTTAGGTCCCGGATCCAACAGTCACCTTAATCAGGTACGTACCTGCTCACCCGCCAACCTAATTCTAATTCGGTTCAGCAAGCGCTACAGACACGCCTTAACCGCGTCAAGATTCTCTTCCAGGTTCAGAGCTTCAAAAGCTCCATTCTTTTTCTTAACAAAACACCAATAATACTACAACACTACTAACCATCACGTCCGTCGCAAGCCATCACCTCCCTCGATAGATGATAATCTGCGACTACCTGTTGAACTGCGATATTTAGCGACTTGGAGGATGCTGGTTAGCAGCCAGCTCCCCATCCAAAATTAATAACCGTATTCTAGACCACCTCCTACCTTTACCCTCCCTCACACGACGATGTCCCAAGGACCACCGAACATGTTTGGCCTACAGTTTGGCGCGCCATCGCCACCTCTCGATGTGGATGAGCAAAGTACAACACCACTAATACCATCAATTGAATTTGGAGAGCCCATGGAGACTAACCATCCCGTTCCAACAGCAACGCCTTTCTATACCCAAGCCGAGAACGAATTCGCAACAGATGCCGAAGAGTTCGCCAGGGACCTTGATTCACTCTCGTTAGTGCGAAAGTCTCCGGCTGAGCAACGAGCAGAAATTTTTAAGCTAGTTGATTCCTACTACCACTACGCGGCTAAGAAGGTTCACGCCATACGCAAATCGCAAGGAAAGGGAGCTGGCACTGGGCTGAGTCATTCACATTATGCTTCTAGTCAAGATTCAATGGAATTAGACGATGCGGAAAATTCGCCGGGATTTCCAGGTTCAGCAGAGTCACTTAAGAGATGGGAGTTGGAAGCCCAGACTTGGGACCTGCTGCGTCGCCTCCTGCCGTTGCGATACTCGAACAAGACCTCACTGAAACCGACGCGCCATGACGTAACAAGATTCCAATCATCTTCCGAGCTCTGGGAAGAGTTTCTCCAATCAGATTCTACTGCGCAGGAGCGCAAGGCGGTTTTGGAATGCTTACAGGCCAGCGCAGATGAATCGCGTACGGATATCGACGAATTGGTACGGGATTATCAACAGCGGGCAGAGAGGGGTGATATCATCGCATACGGTTGGCTCCATACACGATCTGCTATTAAGATGCAGAAGAACCTCCACGGCTGGTCCGGAGCTCTGGACCCTAACGCTCCTGACGTCGTTCAGAAGCTCCGTAACGGACCGAACCCCCTGGTAACCCAACTTGACCCTGATGTAGCAACGAGGCAGAATCGAAAACTCCTGCCGCAAGACGAATATTTTGAACGAGCCATTTGGGTCGGATGCTACGAACTGCTACGACGAGGGCGAAGCATCGCTGAGATTCGAGACTGGTGTGTCGAGAGGACTGAGGTCTGGAGAGCGGTTAGCATGTCAGCTATGCCCTTGTCCAAGGAAGAAAGTGATATTCGTTTTGGCTGTGATCCGCTCTCAATGCTTCTCTGGCGACGCACTTGTTTCGCCTTAGCACGACAGGGCGGTACCGACGACTTCGAGCGCGCTGTCTACGGTATCCTTTCGGGTGATATACAAAGTGTCGAGAAAATCTGCGAAGATTGGGACGATTTTGTCTATGCCCACTACAATGCGTTGCTGCGAACGCAGTTTGACGCTTACCTGATGAAACGATCTCCGCCAGACGCGACTGCTGCCATTACCCAAAGCTTTCCGGCCGCTTTCAACGCTGTTCAATTTCATGGCGATGCTGGTTCCGTCGGAGAACGTCTTGTCAAATCCTTGGAGACGAACGATAAGACTTCCAAAGAGGCGAAAACGCCTGTGAAGACCCTTCAAGCAGCTATTCTTTCCGATAACCTAGATCAGTACACCTATGAACTCGGTCTTGCGCTTTCCAAGTTGGCGAATAAGGAGGGCGTATCGGCATTAATACCGCGTTATAATTCCGATGATCAAGACATAGACGATACCAAATATGTCCAACCGACAGACCACAGTAGTCTGCGCGTTTTGGTCCACGTGTATCTGATTTTGTCAAATCTCGAGCAGCTAGAGGGTGGTCTGCACGCGGAGCTTTCCGAACGTCACAAAGTGCAGGAAAATGTTCTCTCTGCGTACGTGACTACTCTGAGGCTAACAGGTTTGACGGACATAATGCCTCTGTACTGCAGTCATATGCAAGGAGACAGGGCTTTCTTCACGCTCAGCCGAAATGTCACCGGCGTTACTGATCAACCGGAACGAGAGATTTTATTGAGACTTATGGAAAAGCTTGGTATGGATATTGCCGAATTTGTCCAATTCCAGCCTCGATCTATTCTTCAGCAGCATCCCTTACCGGCAGAGCGCCCTCCGCCGTTTGGTAGATTCACCATGTTCTCCAACGAACCACCCTCGCTCAAGTATGGACGTCCTCTGAAGCCAGACTTTCTTGGTGAACCCCCGGAGAATCTTGATGATGTGGATGAACATCTCATCCAGTCGTTGGAATGGTTCCTTCTTGTTGATGGTCTTTGGTACGAAACTTTCCGATATGGTACTGCCATCTACAAACGCTTTCTCAGTAAGTCACCCCATTTCTATCACTTAACAAAATGCATTTACCCAGTGCTAACATTATACCAGTGCAATTCAATCTCCATGCAGCACGTGCCTTGGCTGACCGAGTTCGTTGCTCCGAAATATTTAAGAGGAAGGCAGGTATTATATACTCGGACGATTCAGATGTGTCATGGTTCGAGGAAGTCCGAGCAAGCGCCGCAACTGGCTCGTTAGAGGACAACGGTCTCAGCCCGGAGGAGATTGCTGCGGCCCAAAACTATTTCGAGATGGAATGTTTAACTAGAGCTCTGGACCTGATGGAAACCATTGCTTCGAGTCAATTATTGGTCCAAGAGCAAGTCACCCGTGCAGCCCATCAGCATAGCACAAAGCTAACCTCCAAACGCAGCCCAGCTGAGAGAGTAGGCAGGGACTTCTGGTCTCACATAGGTCACGAACTGAAGACCATTAAGAGCCTCATGCAGCCGATACTGAACAACTGGCTAATGGAGAGTATCGAAGGTAAGTTACAAGAACTTGACTACCTAGGTAACGATTTTTACTTACTAGCTGAATTAGAAGACGAAGACTTCACCTACCTTCGAGATGCGTATCTTCCCGAGACGGTCATAGGATACGTGAGCGTGTTGCATTTTGCGGGGACGGCATTAACGCGCGACAACTTGTTAGAATGCATGGAACTTGCTTCGGTGATCGCGAAGAAGGATGCGGACGTGCAAGCGGTAATCATGAAGGCCGGGCGAATGAAGGAGCTTGTGGAGGGTTTTGCGAGTTGCAGCAAAGCACTTGCGGTAAGCAGCAACGACAAGAAGGGGCCCAGTGGCATGAACAGCAAGAGAATGATGCGCGAACACGGATGGACACGAGAGCTGTGGTCAGTCAAGAAGTGAGATGGCCTATACGGTCTGAGATGAAGATCAACGGCTCTATTTTGCACTTGCATTTCGGGGGTAAAGTCTGGCTTAACGGCGTTGGTTGGCTTTGAGGATGTGATGATGACCATCAAAAATGAGGGCGTTCTTCGGGGTATACTAAATGCCCGTAGTGTAGCATGACGAACCTGAATATGAATCAGTGTGTAATTCCTACAATTGTCCACGTTTATAAAATGCATCTTATGAACCTCCCTGCTTCTATGCTTTATATCCAGCTTATATGTTTTGTGAGCTACGAATTGAATAAAATCATTTTATTTACGTTGATTGTATTATGTGATGTAGTAGGTATGAAAAGGGGGCCTACCCCTGACCATTACGTAGTTGCGATCGGACGATAAGATAAGCGAGCGACAGTCTTGCTACCTCGGACCTCTTGATTCAACATCTTGGAAAGCTTAAACATATTTAACACAGTTAACATCACCTTCGTCAACGCAAGCGCAGTCTTGTTACCATACCGAAAACATTCCTATACCTAATCTACGGATAAGGAGATATGTACACGCCAACCCCACCGCCTCCGATACCTCCGCCGAAACCCAGCAGCCACGACGCCAGCCGCCTAGGCACGCCCTCCGCTTCCAACTCCCCTCGGCCGCCGCCGCCGGTACCAGATGATGCCTTCGCGAGGGATGCGCAGGGGAAGGGCAAATTGCCAGCTACCACGGACGCATCGGGCCTGATCCCGGCCCCGATAGCGGGCGGCGAACACGAGAGCATACCGGACCCTGGCGACCAGTGGCTGCCCAAGATCCTGGAGGACAAGTCGTACGTGTCTTCTAATGCTACTCGCTATTCACCATTCTTCTCACTTCCTCATACATATCTACTCTACTCTACCCACCTACCTACCTACCTATCCATACATATACCATACACCGTACACCATATAACTTCCACTAACACCACACACCCCCTAACAGGAAACAAGACCTAACCGAAATCCTCTCATCCCGCCCAACCCTCGAGGCGCTGACGTACGCGCCCTCAACGCAACACCCCTCGCTCGCGCAGACGCGCGACGCGCTGCTGTCCGCGCTGGCGGAGAACGTCGGGCTCGCGGCGCACCTGACGGACCTGGAGGCACGGCTCGGCGCGCAGCGCGCGCAGGCCCAGGCCCAGCTCCTCGGCGCGCACGCGCTCGAGCGCCAGTGGCGCGCCAAGCAGGCCGAGATGGACGCCGCGCTCGCGCCGTTCTCGCCGGGCGCGCTGTACGCTAGGCTCGGGCAGAGCTTGGCCGAGCAGGAGGCTGTTTGCGGTGCGCTTGAGGAGAGTTTTTTGGAGGGAGGAGGGGGGGATGGGGAGCGGGCGTCGGAGAGGGAGGTTTTGGATTGGGTTAGGCGGTATAGGGATGCGAAGAAGGTGCTTTATTTGAGGCAGGAGAGAAGGGAGCGCTGGAATGAGCATCGTGTTGGGGGGTGGCGGTGATTGGGGTGTGGTATGGTTTGGTGTGCCGGTGCTGGCTCGACGACTTCTAGAAAAGGAGGGAAGGGAAAGGAATGGCAACGTTTAGTCTACGTCCTCGTGGTGAATACCTGGGCGCTACGATTGCGGGTTATCAGCCGATTAGGATGGGCTTGGGAATTTCGGAACACGTGCACCAAGGTTGCGGCGGTCAGCAATGTCGACGGCTGCATCTACTCCCGAAAGAAACAGTCCGCATGCCATGAAGAATCACGAGGCGATACCATATCTTTGACTGCTGCGCCATCGTCGTGGGTTTTAGGTCAATGAAGTCAAGACGTTATGTACCTATACTACATGAATCCATTCGAATCTTCAGGCCTATCGCGAAGGAATCGGTCCGCGGTCGAAATAGATAGTCGGGCCCGGCTAGTTATCGAAGACTACGGGAAGAGCATGAGAAAGGATTGAGACATCTACGGGACCGATCAGTGGTACTAGGCGCTTAGTAGGAAGAACAGGATTTTCATACGTCTAACATCTAAATCCTACTCCTAGTTGTGAGAAAAAAACCACCAAGACAGGAATTATGTCCAAGTTTCAGTTAAATCACCTTCACCGCCGACTCTAACCTAAAAGCCTATCTACTATCTAATAAATTCGCGACGCATACTATAAGAGGCATGGGGCGGTCTGTAACCGACGTCTCGTCGCCGGTGGTGCTCCGGCGGCGGCTTATGGATCCCGGCGTCGAACGTGGACGTACGCGGAGCGGTCAAATTTAGGCAGGCAGATAGACGGGTGGCGGCGACGAATCACAACTAGATACCGGCCGCGCGCGAATTTCCTGTTTCAAGTTTTTTCCCTTTGCCTTACGACAGCAATTGCGTCGACGGGGGAGGGGGAGGGGAATGGTTGTGTGTGGTGGCCCCCAAATCGGACCGAAGACCAAGGCGGATACGGGTTACAGCATGTGACATCCACAACCTTTTCGAACGAAACAAACCCCAAGCAAAGACATTCCTAGCTAGGTATTCTTAACGTGCTACATACCTTTCTCGTAACCCCGCGATTTGAAGTGTTTTCCCCCTTCTTATTCGTTTACTTGATAATAATAAAAATAAAGAAATAAGAAAGCTATGTGAGGACGAGGGTCCTATTGTGCGGAGTTACCGCGAACGGTTAAGGGCGGAGTTCCCACGATAGTTTTCTAATCGGCGGAGTGAGTGCCTAGCCTAGGAAGTAGCGCGGGTCTGGAGTCGAAACGAATCGGAATGCGGGATGGGGGATGGGACACTCGGGTACTCCGTCGGTATGGTTATCTATACCGTACATACGACGTACGTAGTTGCGGTCACGATAGAGGCCCCATTCTCCATCCGTCATCCGTGCGAGGGTCGTATCAATACCGATGTCTGATAACTTGATACGATGTTTCTATGACTTGTGCTTTGCTTGCTTGCTTGCTTGTTTGCTGTCTGCCTGCATGTCTGAGGTAGAGATTGCAATGCGTTAGGGCGGCGTAGATATCTGAAGGATTCGATATTGGCGCTCATACGTCGTATATCTTCGCCGATAGCCTTGTTTCTGTTTCCTTATGGTCATAGTCTTCTTAAAGAGGAAGCCAAGGGGATTCGATGCGGCTTGTTGGGATAACAACATATATCCCTCGCGCAATGTCTTGCCATACGTCTCACTCAAATGTTCTTACTCACTTCTCTCGCTCTTCTTTACTAGTATAGTTGATCATTAGATATCATAATTAGGTGCATACAGATCTTCCATATATCCTAGTAAGTGGTTCGTCATCACACACGCAAGAGCGCCGGAGCTAAGTGGTTCTCTCTCTACTCTGCTCTGGCGGTGACGAAATATGGGCGCTTTGCTGGCTAATATCGCCGACCCTTTCCTTTCAACTCTTTTCCTCCTACCGAGGTTTGCTCGTTCCCTCGCACTACGCTATATCCGCTATACCCCGACGTTGCTTTAGATAGACGCGTCCACATTTTTCTCGCGTGGCCGTTGCGATTTTTGCCCTTTTTAGTTCACCGGCCGACGTTACCTTTCCCCCAGCCGCCCCAGACTTGCCCAGATACCGGCCCCCTTTTCCGAGACCCTTTCCCTCCACTTATTTCGTCCCACCCTGCTCCATATTCATTATACTTCGGTCTGCTACGTACTGCTACATAGTACTCTAGCACGCCTCTCTTCTCCACACTCCATGCCCCCATCCCAGTTTTTTTCATCCGTTCCCCGGGTTCTAGTCTCCGGGGTTATTACGTAGCATACCTATAAAATCTTTTCTCCAGATTTTTCGCTATTTCTAGAACCCTGTAACTATAGGGCTTTTCTTTCCCCCCCCCCCCCCACGTCCTACCTTAGGAGTCCGAAGGGGCTCTTGGTCTTCATATCTGGGCTCCGCGGGCTCATCGGCAGCGCGAATAACTCGTCTTCCGTCTCCTTACTCTGCGTTGCGGGCGGCGCTGCCGCGACCTGCGCATTCCCGCCAAGCACGGCGTCGAGGGATGCCACGCCGGCCCCTGGATCCGCGCCCGTTCTCGGCGGCGTCACCTCGTCCCCTCTCCTATTAGGCGGGGAAGGACGACCAGGTCCCGGCAGATGCGGTTTCTGTTGTGAGGGGTGGGTGTCTGGGGGCATGGTAAGTACCTATCAATAAGGCCGGACCCAAGGTTGAACCTTTCCAAACCACATGGAACCAAACAATGGGGACCAAACATAGAAGGAAAACCGGGAATATTACCTATAGGATTAACCAAATCCGACGGCGAAGTCGCCAACTTCAACCCCCTCAACTTCTCCCCCAGCCTCCCTGCTACCGGAGACCTCGGGCTCGCGGGCGGCAGGGGCGACACGGGAACCGCGCCGGCGGCGACGGCGCTCGCCTCCTGGAGTCGCAGGTCGTCGAGGCCGAAGTGGTCGATGATCCAAAGGCGTTCCTGGACCGCCATCTCCAAGCCGACGCTCTCGCTATTGTCCCTGAGCTCGGCGCGGATCTCGTCCTGCAGCTGCGCGGCCCTGAGCCGCGCCCACACGGTGTGCAGGACGCCCCTGCGCCCGGCATCGCGCGAACCCACGCCGAGGCCCGGAGCGAAGATCGCTGGCATCGACTTCGCCGTCAGCGCGCGGCCCGAGCCGGCGTGCGAGATGGCGACGGCCGGCGGCACCGCGACGTCCGAGGGCAGCAGGAAGTAGACGCGCTGCCTGCGCTGCTGGATGCCGGCCTCGACCCGCTCCTCGACGCTCTCGTCCTCGTCCTCCACCTTCTCGCTGACCGGGAACGTCATCGTCTTGCCCTCCCACGTCACGGCCCAGCCGTCCTCGCCCGTCGGCGCCGGGTCCCACTCCACCATCAGGATCTTGGACCCCTCGTTCCCGCGCCCGGCCTCGAATTCGAAGCGCGCGAGCGCGTTAGGCGACGCCGGCGATATCGGCGAGTCTACCACGCCTGTATCCGGCGGATGGGTGCCGGTGGCGAAATCGCTAGGCGCTGGTTCGGTTATCCGGAGGGGCCCGGGCCCGGAATCGCTCGGTGTGGGATCCATGGCCATTTGCGTATATATATTTATATCGCGCCCGCTTTTCTCGGTGTGGGTTACCTTGCGAGGCGAGTTGAGTTGCGTCTTGCGTACGGGGAACCGCAAAAAACCGCTACAGGCGCATGGAAAGCCAATAGAGATTGGCTGGATGGTATGAGCACAGGTTTGAGAAGGGGGGAAGGGGGTAAGTGGCAACGAGCGCGCGTCTGGCGCAAAGAGGATGGACAATGACGAGCCAATCCTCCCTGAACACGCGCCGCACACAGGCAGGCAACACACGCAGCCGCGCTGCGGGGGTAGAAGCTGTTAAGATGGAGCTGTCTCGGGAAGAATGTCAAGGGACGGATGAATATGCTGGGTAAATCTCGAGTGGCAGCGGCCCCAGCAGCAACGTTAATGTATGCTCCTTTTCTTGGCTACCGCCACTACGCCTTATATGAAGCAGACATCGGCAGTTAGACGTAGATCGGTGAGAAGGAAACTAAAAATAGAGCTTTCGAGTCGCAGGTGAAGAGCGAAGCGAAAGCTGTGTTTTGTTTGTTCGGGTTCGGCTTTAAGGCCTCAACTTCCAGCGCGGGGCTAGTAATAAGTGGAAAAGGATGACAAAAAAAAGGAGTCGAAGAATAAAAAAGAAACCTAAGTTAGTAGAGAGCGGTTTAGATAATGGTAATAATAGAGACGAGTATAAGCTCCACCGACTCTTCCCGTCGCAATGACTGGTTGGCTACCAAATTCGGCAAAGTAGACACCTAACCCAACCTTACTGGTGTAGTCGTGCTATAAAAGAAGGCTACCGTATTTCACGCATATAGGTAGGCAGCGTAAATAGAGGGTCTGTAGATGAGGAGGATCAGGCGGGGAGAGGAACGAGATAGAATGAGAGAGATCGGATGGTTCTTTTCTCCCCAAGTGACGACTCTCATGGCAGAAAAGGGAATGCTCGACGTCTTGGCGGCGATGATGATGGTACGTGGCAGGGACACGCATGGTCAGCCGAACTCCTAACAGCTTTCGCCGTTTTGGCCGTCGTTTTGGATGTTGGACCATGCTGAACCATGTAGCTCACAAGTACCCTCGCAGTAAGAGACGTCAGTGATGGCGGGGGGGGGGGGGGGGGGGGGGCCCCCCCCCCCCCCCCCCGGAAAAATGAGTGGGTAAACTGACCACCCCCGGCAAACATTTGGTTTGCGTAAAATATAAAACGCCACACAACCACGCCGCACGC